GGGTGAGTCTTCTAAAACTAAAGGTGAGTGTTGTAAAAGTAAGGGTGAGTGTTGTAAAAGGAAGCGTGAGTGGTGTAAAAGTAAGGGGGAGTGCTTTACAACTTAAGGTGAGTAGATGTAGATGAGTAAATGTATAGTTAAATACATACCCAAACAATAATATACATAGTGCCACACCGCTGACCTGATGTAACTGTACCACCATCTTCCCCATTAAACTTTAATGTCAAAACTCTGTCTGTTCTTCTTTTGTAATTTGTTGAACTTTAGGATGGCTGTGATTCAAATTACATTTAAAATTCTTGTGATTCAAAGATGATTGAATATAAATTTTTAATGGCTTGACATTCCTCATCCTCATCTAATTGATTTATAAACAACAATCAATATTATTATGTTAACCATGAAAAGATAAAGCAATAGATAGTAATTAAAAAAATTTTTAAAAAATGAAAATGAAGTTTTGTATTGTTGTTGCTTTTTTGAATTGTTCATTCTGAAACAACAACCCACCAATTTTACCATAAACATGTTTCGACTTGTTTAAGTCATCATCTTTTAGTATGCGAATGAAGTAAATTGTTTACAATGTCAATCAAATTTATAATATAGGAGGATACATTGTATATGATACATATTAGTTAATAAAAGTATACTAAAAATTTACACATTTCATTCTTAATTTTCATAATGAAGATGAATGACTTTAATGTAAGTAAAACAGCAATGTTTATGGGAAAAAATTTTTTGTTTATTTTAAATCCTTAAAGGGGTAGTCAGACCTTAACACAACTTTCGCTCATATGAAAGTGTATATTGTTCTTACCTCTCTCGCGAAATCCTAGGTTTCCAATTCAAATTTAACTCGAGAAATAATGCCTTAAATGTGTGTATTTTTGATCGCCATTGTGTACATGCAAGCGAAGCCGCAGTCCAGCAGCGGTTTTTCGTCGTGACGTCACTGCGCGGTGATCGTTGTCAACCATTGAGTTCTATAATAACTATAGAACTCAATGTTATCATAGAACTCAATGTTGTCAACATTAGACAAAATATACTAGCAAAAGTAGAAATTACGCATAAGCATATTCATCGTTGCATTTTATTTTCTAAGTTTTTAAATTATTTTGCGCAATGGATACGGATTACTCAAACGATTCCTCTAGTAATTATTCTGGAAGCAGTGTTTCAAACTACGAAGAAATGATTAACGATCAAAACATGATTCAACCATATGCTTATGAGCCGATTGAAACAGACTCTAGCGACGAGCCTATGGACGACTCCGACGAAGTTCAGCTGTTGTAACAATGAATGAAGACTCTGCACAATTTGAGGGAATAGATACTCCATACTGTATTACAGATAATCCTGTTTTTCGAAGTCTTTTTTAAATTATTGGGTATTACGACTGGCATGGAGTGAGTACAAACAAAACTATGGTTCAAGAGCTGAAGAAGGACCTGAACACAAAAGACAAAGACATGTGGCTTACAGGCAACTGGTTCGATGGTGTTGGAATGTATTGGGCAAGGAAATTAGAGTACCACTACCATCTTTTGCTGTTAGCTACATTCAAGCACATTTCCAACCACCAGGTCTAGAAGAGGACTTTGTCTTTGAGGGTTTTAAATTCGCTGATGAATAATAATGGTAATGTAAACTATTATAGCCATATTTAGAAGTATCGTTAATGATGAATTACTAATAAATAAAAATATAAATTGGATTTAGTAAATGAACAATAAATACAAATTATAATGGCCAAGCCAAACCAATTCTTTATTTGTGCTATGCAAGGATTTTGGTGTACATAATTAAAAAGTGCCTTTGCTAATGAATTTGCATAGCAAAACAAAAAATTGGGCTACTTTACTATTAGAGATTCTCTTATTATTGTGCTTGTATAACACTTTCTTTGTTTGGCTTTTCTATAGATGCAATATTTCTTGAAATGTTTGCTGATAAAGAAATCTTGTTATGTACATTTTTTACATTAAAACAGCAGACATCTTCCATCATACCTTGCACAAAAGAATATGACTTACTCGCCATAATTGGCTTGGCTACCCAATTTTCTTGTCCTTTTGGGAACACGATATTATATCACTTTTTCCCTTGCTGCTTTCCACATTGAACTTGTTTTCTGCCAGTGTTTACATTGTGGTCTATCACTGCCAACTTGGTTCTTGCAAGCATACCTTTATACGAAAAACACTTTTAATAAAGTATTTTCCCTCCTTCCACTTGTGCTTATCGTGTTCCAAAAGGGCGAAAAAATTGGGTAGCCAAGCCAATTATGGTGAGTAAGTCATATTCTTTTGTGCAAGGTATGATGGAAGATGTCTGCTGTTTTAATGTAAAAAATGTACATAACAAGATTTCTTTACCAGCAAACATTCCAAGAAATATTGCATCTATAGAAAAGCCAAACGAAGAAAGTGTTTTACAAGCACACAAATCAAGAATGGGTAAACAGTCCCCAAAAAATAATTATGTATATATCAATATTTATAATTAATAATAAGAGAATCTCTAATAGTAAAGTAGCACAATTTTTTGTTTTGCTATGCAAATTCATTAGCAAAAGCACTTCTTAATTATGTACACCAAAATCCTTGCATAGCACAAATAAAGAATGGTTTGGCTTGACCATTATAATTTGTATTTATTGTTCATTTACTAAATCCAATTTATATTTTTATTTATTAGTAATTCATCATTAACGATACTTCTAAATATGGCTATAATAGTTTACATTACCATTATTATTCATCAGCGAATTTAAAACCCTCAAAGACAAAGTCCTCTTCTAGACCTGGTGGTTGGAAATGTGCTCGAATGTAGCTAACAGCAAAAGATGGTAGTGGTACTCTACTTTCCTTGCCCAATACATTCCAACACCATCGAACCAGTTGCCTGTAAGCCACATGTCTTTGTCTTTTGTGTTCAGGTCCTTCTTCAGCTCTTGAACCATAGTTTTGTTTGTACTCACTCCATGCCAGTCGTAATACCCAATAATTTAAAAAAGACTTCGAAAAACAGGATTATCTGTAATACAGTATGGAGTATCTATTCCCTCAAATTGTGCAGAGTCTTCATTCATTGTTACAACAGCTGAACTTCGTCGGAGTCGTCCATAGGCTCTTCGCTAGAGTCTGTTTCAATCGGCTCATAAGCATATGGTTGAATCATGTTTTGATCGTTAATCATTTCTTCGTAGTTTGAAACACTGCTTCCAGAATAATTACTAGAGGAATCGTTTGAGTAATCCGTATCCATTGCGCAAAATAATTTAAAAACTTAGAAAATAAAATGCAACGATGAATATGCTTATGCGTAATTTCTACTTTTGCTAGTATATTTTGTCTAATGTTGACAACGATCACCGCGCAGTGACGTCACGACGAAAAACCGCTACTGGTCTGCGGCTTCGCTTGCATGTACACAATGGCGATGGAACAAGAGGCAAAAATACACACATTTAAGGCATTATTTCTCGAGTTAAATTTGAATTGGAAACCTAGGATTTCGTGAGTGAGGTAAGAACAATATACACTTTCATATGAGCGAAAGTTGTGTTAAGGCCTGACTGCCCCTTTAAGCAGTTTCTCAGAGAATCATAAACATAAACTTCTGAGATAAAACATACATTGAGATAAAACATTGTTGTCTTTACAACAAAAACCAATCACCTTTTGGTATAAATATAACAAAATAACACCACACATCTGCTTTTTTCTGTCAGCTGGATGGAACAAACAAAGAATTGTTCTGTTTAACAACAACCTTGAGTGTCCTCTCTTGACGTAGCCGTTCGGAGTTCTCATATCGACGACGCGACGACGAATTCAGCATAAAATAGCTCTTGTCATTCTTTTCATACTTAAAAGCATTATTCCGCGATCAGCAATGTGCCCTCACACTTGGCGACTTATAAAATGTAACGAATTTTCCTTACTATCTATCGTCGACGTAATTTGCGGTCAAACGAACATTGACAAAGATCTCATTTTACTTTGGGATATCAATTTGATTCTCTGTCGTGTGATAAAACGACAAAAAATGTTAAAAACTTCAATAGATCACACAAAGGTGATCACATTCATTTGCCCGCCATTCCGTTGTATAAAACAGAGTTGCAGGCTCATCATGCTTTCAAAATGTTTTCCTCCCCTCCTGATTTCAATCAACGAGTAGCATTTCAATATTGTGCTTCTTTCTTATAAAAATCTGGCAAGTAGGTAGGGTTTCCACACTCTTTGTTGGTAAGAAAGATTCCCATTGGAAACATTTTAAGAGAAATGTAAAAAATTGTATATATCTCATAAAGTTCAACAAATGAAATGAATAAATTAAATGTGAAGTCATTCCCAATTATGAAATATGTTCATTGAAACTTTCAATTTCAAAAGTGATCATGTGAATTTTCAATTTCAATTTCAATTTTCAAAAGTGAACTTTCAATTTCAAAAGTGAATATATTCAGCTATTTAAACTCTTTGAGCAAGAAATCTTTTTGAAACATAAAGGAGCATTTTACACCGACTTTTCTGTCAGGTGGAAACAAAGCAAACAACTGAAAAAGAAATAATGTGAAACATGGCGTTACCTTTTGTCCTCTCGTCGTAGTCATTTTAAATCATGAAGTTCACTTCTGCTTATAACTATATCTGCTGCACACTTATTAATCCGTCCTCACACTTCACGACAGAAGTAATATTGCGAATTTTTCATAACATCAACGCAATTCAGCATCAAATTATACCTACCGAGCCATTATCAAATGTTCTCACACAACAAGATGGTCGTCATCTATTCAGATGACTTCCACATCATTCCCCCGACTTACCAAGTTCGTTAATGCTTCAAACCCCTTCCTTGCTTGCCGCTTTCACTGTACTGCCTTCGCCGTCCCCCCTAACTTACTGCTTTCCCTGTACTTTCTTCGGCCCCCCCTGACTTACTTAATACTGCAGATTATATTACAGGTCACGATATTCATCAAATTATACAAATTATTCAGTAAATCATTTAAATTATTCATATTACTTCAATTCTTATTCCGGTGTTTATCTACAGTCTATCAATTCATTATGATCATTACAGGAGTATAATAATTACTTTAAACTATTGACAAAAAGACAATTTACAATATTATTTTATTGCATTTATCTATCAAAATTGTGTGGGGCAATTTTGACAGACAAAGCATTTAACTTAAACTTCATCTAAATAAAGTAGGAAGGAAGGGGAACTTCCAACTTTATTTAGATTGACAATTATACTTATAGTGGAGCCAAACTATATCTATTACCACGAGCAATATTCACTGAACATCATTCTGGGCTGGTTTTCCTTGAACAATTTACCATTAACAGCAATTATTATCATCGTTTCACTTCAATTTCACTTGTATCGGCATCTGAAAATAGAATGTGTTTCCAATAGATTTTAAACACAAAACATATATTAAACATATTTCATTTTGATGAAGTAAAAAAATTAAGATTTTTAGTGTTTAAATTGGGTTGTAACATATACAACACGCAAAAAAATACCGTTACCATTATTCAATTTGCTCATCGTCGGTTCTCAAATAATGGCAAAAAAGAATGTTACTAAGAGAATGTATAATCTTTGAAGATGAATCATCTCAAAAGCAATATCTGCAAATTACAACCATTTACAACACAACGCTTCAATAATTGACACAACAAAGTCAACTCATGGTTTGAAGAGTTTCGCAGAAGCCGCATTGCCATCAAAAACAAGCATCGTAAGGCAAAAAGTGCGACGAAATTTTAGATGGAAAACATAACGAAGCAGCAAAAATCGCATATATATACATATGTAAATAACAAAACAAACCATGTTTGTTGTCCATTATCTGCTGACACAACGTGCAATTTTTTCCCAATTACTCCATTTGCAGCCAGAGTCCATTGATTTTTACTTCTTTCTAACACACTTCTTTTGCATTTGTAGCGCACCAATGTTCATTACATTGAACTCCACTGCTTACGATCTTTGACGATGAGTCATCTCAAAAGCAATATCTGCAAATTACAACCATTTACAACACAACGCTTCAATAATTGACACAACAAAAGCAAGCTGCATGGTTTGAAGAGTTCCGCAGAAGCCGCATTGTTATCAAAAACAAGCATCGTAAGGCAAAAAGTGCAACGAAATTTTAGATGGAAAACATAACACGAAGCAGCAAAAATCGCATATTGATACATATATCAATAACAAAACATACCATGTTTGTTGTCCATTATCTGCTGACATAACGTGCAATTTTTTCCCAATTACTCCATTTGCAGCCAGAGTCCATTGACTTTACTTCTTTCTAACACACTTCTTTTGCATTTGTAGCGCACCAATGTTCATTACATTGAACTCCACTGCTTACAATCTTTGACGATGAGTCATCTCAAAAGCAATATCTGCGAATTAAAACCATTCGCAACAACGCTTCAATAACCTGTGCGAGGGAAACTTAAACAGAAGTTTAATTCTTGGTTTAAAATCGCATAAAACACTTCGGAAGAAATTCTTCTTTTCTCAAAAAAACGGGCATCAAAAACATAACCAAGAAGCGAAAAACGTCAATGGCAGCGACTGTCGTACTTAAAAAAAAACATCTGAAGAGACAATAACAAAACATACCAATTCTGTTTTTCATCTATAGTCCATAATCTCTTAAGACTTTGCCCAGTTTCTTCCCCAATAACATCAACATTTCATTGAAATAGTCATTTAGTCCAACTGCTGAGATGTTCACAACATATTTTTCTTTAACTCCATTGCTTAGATGGTCCAAACGTATTCATCAACGCGGGGTAAATTACTCCAAGTTATCGTACTTTTGGTGAAAATCACCAAAAATTCAACAAACATTACAGTCATAAAACTCATATTTTCGGACTAATTTATAAAAATTCCTGGGAAATTTTCAAAAGTTAGAAATGTCTTTAAAAAACATGTTGAAATGAAATAATTCTTTCTTCAAACAGTACATAAGCTGCTAATAATTTCTACACGAAAAAAATATCACTTAAAAAAATTCTCTGGAAATTTTCCATAATATTACAACAACCTAGGAAATCTTTGTACGCTTTTGTCAGAGTAATTTACCCCTCATTGTCATTTAGCTCCACTATCGATTTGCATCACAGCTTTAGTTGCTTTCATTTCTGAAATGATTAAGCACAGGAAAAGAAATATCATCTCAAGTATATTATTCATGAATGTAAATAAACTCATATAAACAATTACAACAACAATTTCAACAACCAACCAGTTTTTGACGTTACAACTCCTTTCATTTATTGCAGCATGTTCTTCTTTCTTTTATGGGAGTCCACACACAAACGAAATCCATCACCTTCTTCATTTTGCATGAGCTTAAACAAAAAGTGCTTAAAGAGACAAAATACAATTAGGAAGAAATCAAAACAGTCATATAATTGAAATACAGAAATAACAACTTCCCTTTTATTCTTCTCTATCTTCTCGGCCTGCACGATAAGGAGCCTATTCCGTAACCTAACTAAGATCGGGATCGAGAGAGAGGTATATCCATAGTCCGGCGTGTGACAGTACCACCTCCCCGTCGTCGGCCCGCATGCGCCTTATGTTTTTTATGATATACTTTCGAAACATGTGTTAAAAAATGAAACATTTTGGAATTATATGGTCAGAAGTGAAACATTGTCGAAATATGTAATCAAAAAAATTTTAACATTGTTGAGAATTTTTTCTTTGTCAATGAAGAATTTCCTACCTAACCTTGAGTATTACAATTTGTTACTTACTCACAAGCAAAAACAAAATAATACATACAATGGCAAAATCAGAAATTGAAATTGTTAACTAAGCATTGCCCACAAATGCTTAGTTGCAATTTGACCGCTTTTAACTCCCTTCTGTTAAAGAAGTTGACATGCACTTTCATCATTGTTCAGAAAAATCACAATTGTTAATAAATCTTTTGTCATTTTGGTACAAGTAGTAACAAGTTGTAATGCTCCTTACTTGGTTGGTACCAATACTCCTTCATGCATGCACAATCATTCTTTTTTTTTCAGTTTTCACATAATGAAAATTCAGGGAAGTCATTGGGTAGCTGGGTCAATGTGCGGTGACGCCACCCAGCCAGCAGAGCTGAAAAAACAACATACAATTAACGATAATTAATACAGAACTGCAAACAAGCAAACTTACCTCAGCAACGCAAGTTTCTTCCATTGTTGCTGAGATGGAAGTGGGCTTAATGGATTTGTTGACGCCTTTGCAAAGATACATGTCCCCGTATTGACCTTCAAGGCTAAGGTGGTTCCTCGTCCAAACCTTATCCAAACATTTGTAAACTCACCAGCTTAAACCTTACAATGACACCAACTACACACAATAACATAGACCCTTTTATCTTGCTCCCTCAGACAAACAAAGGAACTTTTCTTAACGTAACTGCTTGACTTAATTATCTAAGAATGTATCTTTATCAGAAAATTTCATTGCGGGAGCCTAATGGGGCGCTCTAGTCCGACATGACCACGTTACGTTAATGCGAGCTCCGAAGAACACGCAACCCGTCCTTTGTCAGGGACCTTCTCTCAGCGCACCTAGCTAAAGGGAGGGAAAAGGAGCAGGCCTTGTACCACACGATGATCATCTAAAGGAAAAAAAAGGAATGAGAAAAAAAAACATTTTAATAATTACTCCCACGCTCGATAATCCTTGAACAGATACTTAAGCGTTTTCATCAGCTTGTCACCTAAAACAATCATCAAAATAACAGGAATTAAAAAGCGAAATAATTAGTAGTAAATGATATGTTTCATTATTAACAATCAATTAATGACCAACAACAGTAACTGTTTTAAAGTGTGTGTATTTTTATTACAAGACAACATATTCTTAAAAGCCTTCGTTTTGCTCTTTATAGTTCAAAAACAGAAAAAAATCCAAAATTAACATTTCATACATACAATGCGACATGTACACACGACGAAGAACACTTTACGCTTTATTACAAAACACATTGCAAAACGGCAAATCATTCATACTCATTAAATTCATCATATAAAACTAAAAAAATTTCAATCCTTGCCACGCCCAACAAGGGCTTTCCTCAATTGTCAAGTTGACTTTTTTGTAAAGGAATGATGTGTGGTTAAAAAGAATGTGTGCCGAAAACACTAACTAGTTTTAATTAAAGTCATGAAAGCCGCGTTTGATGATAAAATCTTTGTGACTATCTATACACATCTTTACACTTTTCTAAAGATCACATTCAGTTTCAGTTCAAAAATTTACATTTTTCTCGTTATTATAGAGCATCATGTAAGTTGCGTTATTCATAACAGCTTATCTTTCCGCTAATAAATGAGTAGTAATGAACAAAGTACTTACAACATGTGGCTTTGAGCTTCGTAAACATTATTCTTCGTTTGTGGCTGTGACAAAACTACAACGAGAATTTCTTCTTTTAATGCACATATTATTACTCTATAAATCTATTTATTGACGCTTAATAATCGCGATTATTCTTACTACCTTGAAGCAATTGAATGAATATTGATGCGAAACGCGCCGCACAGTATTTCTCCTTGTCGCATATTTCAAATGGTTTTGAATAAACCAAACTTTCAATGAACTGAAACAGCACCTGGTAGAAATGTCGAAGAAAATCTTCCACCAATTAAATACAATAGATTTTTACGAGATGACTTTCATCACAATATTTCTTTTTAGACGTATTCCTGACGCTGGCAAACGTGAAAATCAAGTTGTTGTTGATTTATCAGCTAAATACGATTGAAGAAAAACATCAAGCCAAGAATTATCTAAAGATACACAAACATGACATAAACTTACCACATCGCTTTCAAGATAATGGCTTTTTCACCAAACTTCAACGAACGAATTGAAACATTGCCTAAATATAAAAAGAGTTATTTTGCAAAGGAAGCAAAACGAGAAATGTCGGTTCTCCTTAAAGTTGCTCTTCTTTGCCTTCATCTCATCAGACAAACAATCATAATTGGTCACAAAACAATTCTTTTTCAAGAATTGTTTTTGTGATAATACGATTGTTTGTCAAATGAAAACCACAAATACTTTCCATAAATTACCAAATTCACAGTATACTTTGAAATCACAGTCCAAACTTACTTTAGTTTACAAACATACAATGCAAATTGGTTGCTGCAAAACTGCAACGTCCAAATATAAATTTATTGAAAAACATCAATCAAATTCATTGCACATGTTTAAATTTATCATATAAAATTGAAAATTTTCAATCCGTACCACGCCCCAACAACGGCTTTCCTTTATAATCTTGCAAGTTGACTTTTTGTAAAGCATTGATATGTGGTTAATCTCTTTAACCGAGAATTTTCTTGTAGATGGACAACATTTCGCATTAGACAGAATATTTCACAATAAAAAAACCGTGTGTGAAAAACGAAACTCGTAAAATTGTAATTGTTCATTCCTTTTTATGCCAAAGAAACCGCAAGTTATTAGTAGCCTTACAGATCTTCTTTCTCAAATCAGTATACCGTATATTTTCTTTTACTGCTCAACATCTTTTAAAGAAAAAGAATGTGTTTGAAACCAGTTTCTGATTATATTTTAAGCCATGAAAGCCACATTCAATGATGAAATCTTTGTGACTATCTATAAACATCTTTACACTTTTCTAAAGATCACATTCAGTTTCAGTTCAAAAATTTATATTTTTCTCGTTATTATAAAGCATCATATAAGTTGCGTTATTCATAACAGCTTATCTTTCCGCTAATAAACCAGTAGTAATGAACAAAGTACTTACAACATGTGGCTTTGAGCTTCGTAAACATTATTCTTCGTTTGTAATGGTTTTAAATAAACGGAAATTTCAATGAACTGAACCAGCAGCTGGTGGAAATGTCGAAGAAAATGCTCCACCAATAATTAAATACAATAGATTTTTACGAGATGACTTTCATCACAATACCTTTTTAGACGTATTCCTGACGCTGGCAAACGTGAAAATCGAGTTGTTGTTGATTATATCCGCTAAATACGATTGAAGAAAAACATCCAGCCAAGAATTATCTAAAGATATACAAACATGACATAAACTTACCACATCGCTTTAAAGATAATGGCTTCTTCACCAAACTTCAACGAACGAATTGTAACATTGCCTAAATATAGAGTTATGTTTGCAAAACAAGCAAAACGAGAAATGTCCGACGTCAAAATATATCACATTCCACATTTACTTTTCACATTTTTCAGCCAAAGCTCTTTCTTGTCTTCATCTCATCAGGCAAACAATAATAATAATTTTGACAACAGCAATTCTTGGTTGTCATGTGTGTCTTAAGGGAATAACGAACAAAGGAAGTCCATCAGCAAGGCGCATAAGAAAACCACCAATACTTTCCATCAATTAACGAATTCACAGTTTGAAAACGGATCTCTTTCTTCTCTGCCAATTGCTTGTTAGAAGTTCATCAAACTAAATATAAAAAATGTTATGTTCAAAGGAAGCAAAATGAGACATGTGGGAAGCCATTATCTCACAGTCCAAGTTACTTTACACGTTTTGCTGCAAAAGCTGCTAGTCATTCTTTCCTGTCATACATACATAAAAAAACAAACATAAAAAATTTTTCTCAACGCTTTCCATAAAATTATAGATTCGTGGTTTTTACATGGACGGCAACATGCCAATGCGAGACTATTTTTCTTCAATCAAAATGTAAATTAAACAATCACTTTCTGTCATGTTTTGCGTCTCACATGATCATATGAAAAATCATCAAACCTACTTCTCGCCTGAATAAAATTGCGGTGAGTTTGCTTGCTTCTTTAATTTAATTATCACACAACGCCTACGACGACCGATCTCAAGCAGGGGTACCGTTAACCAAGCCAAGCATTGCATATTCAATATAAATGATTGTCATCAGCTGTCAAACTTGTCATTTTGGTGGGTGTAACTTAGGCCTGTTTCAAACGTCGAATTTTGCATGTGTTGAACGAATACAATAAGCAATTTTATTCGACCGAAATGTAAAATTTGACCGTGGATTTCAAACGTCAAATTTTGCTGGCGTGCAGTGCAATTATGTACTTCGCTTTCTCTCGTTCCAGACTTTGTTGTGAGTGAAACGCGAGAGCCAAATTGTATTCGATACATGCAGAAATTGTATTCTTACGTTTAATGTGTAATTGTCAGGGTACAATTCTCGGTGAATAAAAATTACATTACTGCATGTAGTAGGTCAAGAAATTAAGACTCGAAATAATAAAACAAAAGTAAACCAATCTCAAAAAATTCCATAGTAAAAATTCAGTTAGTTGTGATAATTTTCTATTGTTAAACCGGAAACAGCAAACGTATATTATTACTCACTTTAAAAGATTTTTTTTGAAGACATTTACCATTATGTGTAATGCCCAATAACAAAATAGTACATAGTTCTCTGCGCTTGATAACATGAAAGTTGTTCTATCTACTACACACTTTTGTAGTTAGAGTTCATTTTATATTTCTACAGAGATTCGGCTAATATTCATAATCAATCAATTTCAAAAATCAATATCACAAGAGATCACTTTATCTCACATCAACTGATTTCCGTCATTCAGTCATTACTATCAATTATACATCGCAAGTCAACAACACGAAATTTCAAAATTTTCCTATTTGAATCGAAAATCGGGTTAAAAATTAGGTTTAACTTACTCCTTTCTAGATTGTCTAAATAAAAATATATCTAAACAATGAAGTGTAACTGAAAACATTTAAGAAAAAGTAAAATTCCTGAGAAAACACAACAGACAAATCGACTAATTTGTCTTCACAAAAAATAATGGCCTTTTGCTATATAAATACAACAAACAAAACACACTTACTTCTCTTGCAGACTTCCGACCTACTTAACTCCAAATTTCTCTCTCAAAAACAAATCACCTTTTGCTACACGGTTGAAGTTTTAAGTTCTAAGAGTTTTAAGTTCTAAGAGTTTTAGTTCTTAGTTTCAAGTTCTAAGAGCTTAGATGAACATGGGTATAGGGATATTTGTCGAATCTTATAGAGACCAAACAGGGATGGGATGTAATGTTGGGAAATTCGAGTCTTAGCGAGACAAAACAGGGATGCTTGAGAAGTTTGACTCTTACTAAGACAAAACTGTTCTAATTTAAAGCAAATATACGGGGGGGAAAAAACTAAGAAAACCTCCCTTGTTTTTCTTCCTCTTTAATCTATCTTCCTTCATTCCAAGAATAAGAAACATTTGGTTAAACGAAAATAATCAACTTTGACCTGTGATGAATAAATGTGTATTTCAAAATATTTAGTTTCCTTTCAAAACTTATCAAAATTTGTCACCTTGATCCTGATTAATGTTGCAACTTCCTCATGGCAATGTGCCAATTTTCATCATCAACTCTTAAGGCTGAAACACACGAGGCAGTCGCTTTAGTCGCGCGTCTAAAACTACCGCTTTGCGTGGTTACTAAGCTAGTAGCGTAGTCGCGTCAGCTAGTCGCTTTGAAAGTCGCATGAATAAAAATGGAGGAATATTTGTTAATTCCAGTTCCACAACACCCCAACAATGCCTTGGCCAGATGAAATAACATTATCCAATATTATCATACATATCTTTTTAACATTAATGTTGGACAACTTTTGTCATTCAAAAATTGGAAGCTTTTGGACTACAAATTTTGTCCATAACTAACCAGAAAAAGAAGAAACACTGCCCAGGAAAATAAAATGGTGGCTCGTTGATAAATAATAAAATTAATTGTTTCAAGCATTGAAATATCGTCACAACATCCTATCTAAAAAATTATTTTTGTGCATGGGCATACTGAGTCAAATTATTATTTCATATTATAACCATCACCTTCGCCAAAACTTCGACAACTTTCAAAATTACTGCTCTCAAACTTGAAGACTTTTCTTCTTTAAATATTTCAGAAGCTGCTATCAGCGTGTGGGTTCTCAAGTAGTTGTTGACATATAGTGCAATGTTTTTCCCTGTAAATTTCGTTGATATTTTATCTATTGAGTTCAGGATAAGGAAACGAGAAAGAAAACCCACCCATTTTGTGGAGAAGCTTTTCATCCTTGTCAAACTCAAAATGATATTTTAAAAGGTTACAATTTACAAGTGTATACAAAAATACGCTTAAAACATATGGGTAGGTACTCACGCAGAATGAAGGACCATAGAATAAAAAAAGTTCAACCTTTTTGCTCATAAATATATAAGGTAAACAGTAAGCACAAATTCTACTTTTCTTCTTCTTTTACTACACATTGCCATTTTGAACGTTTTCAGAAACGTGGTGGTGAATTGAGTTTGGTGATATTGTATGACGTCACATGGACGTACAACTCCATAACGTGAAAAATATTAAGGGCCTGGTCATTCATCAAATAAGAATTTTTGCAGTATGATCAAATTGAACAAGAACAGAAGATGCAACAAGAGTCTAAATCTATTCTTGTTTCTTTAAGTGGATCGGGAATCCAACCTAATAACCATACAATCCCTACTGCAGGTCCCAGGCATGGCCACCCTTTTTTGTTGTTCTTTAGAGAGATTCTCTAAAGATGAGGGAAACCGGCGTAAAGCCGGAGGAAAACCCTCAGAAATCCAACAAGCTACGAAAGCCAGTCGGTGGATGCACATTATTATGTTTACAACATTTATTATACTGCCTTTATCTTTACAAGGTTGTTGACAGAGGTATCCTGTTGGCAATATGCACCCTTCATCTTTGGAAAAAAACGAAACTGGCTCCATTTTCACGTCATTTGTAGGACGTACGCCATTTTTTGACCGCTTTTACCTGCGCTATTTTTTCCTAAGCGCATTCTTAGCTAACTAACCCTGCTGATCAGTGGCATGTAATAACCGATTGGAATGTCTACTACCTACGAACTATTCTGCACAAAAATAAGTAAACCATACCTTTGAACGATGAGACACCTGTAAAGCAACGTTAGTACCCGAGCCGAAAGGGAACCTAACGAATAGGGAACCGCCTCCCTGGGCCCTTATACTTTACCAAACGGCGTGCCAACCAATCCTTCTTGTGTCCAACACTCGATCACCTAGGTACCAATTTGGCACCGTTTACGATTATTCCTACCTGGAACTACATTAAATGTATCGGATAAGTTTGTCTCACTGTCTATCAAATCATCTTCCATGCATAAAATAGATGAAGATGTTCGATTTGATTTCGAGACGATCTAATCCAATACATCATGAATAATTGAACTATATTTCTTCTCTGAACTATTTTCTTCAAATTAAATAACAGTGAGTTAATTAACTTCGACATGCCACTGTCACAACATTGATTTTGACAGCTATTTAGCAAAAGCAATGCCAGGTTTCATGCACCTATTAATCTGTTTCGTTCTTTATTAAACCAACGTTGCATATTCGTCTTGATGATACAAGTCCCTTATTTTTTTCTAAAAATATTTTAAAAACTTTGACTTGTTTTTATTTATTTTCAAGCGTCTGGTGAACATTTCAAATTTTGCATGGTTCAAAATTCAAACAATTCGAACTAAACGTAAAAATGATTTATAAAGTATCATCAAGCAAGAATATTTCAGACGTTTATAACTTTATATTAATTTAATTTGCGCTATGCAGCTTGCATGCCGGATTACGCCATGTTTCGGTCCGAATTTCTTTTGTTAATTTAACGTGCAATCTGTGATTCGGATTTCGCCATTTTTTGGACCGCAATTTTCTAGTTTGATAACTAAATATACATATGATTCAGTTTTAAGAAGTATAATATACAAGATAATAAACAGGACCAAAACTCAAAGAAACCCATGCTCATTTCTTTGTTATTCACTAACTTTGTTATTCACTCAGCCAATGATCAATCATCTTCCTGTTAGTATAGATCACCAGGACTTTAACTAAAACACTATAAACTTGCTACCTTAAACGTCGTCTTTGGTCTTCATTCGTGGACTAAAAAACCGCAAATAAATTTATTGTAAAATGATAATAATTTTATTGTGAAAACGTATATATTCGGTGTAATGTTATAACAATTAGTGTAAAGATGTTTTTGCAAGACAAAACATTCCCAACAAATAACATTGCTTTTTGCTAGGCTACTAATTCCCATTTACAACATTATCTTCTGCTCTTAGCGTAGCCAAAAAGCAACTATAAAGATTGGTCAATAAGAAAAATACACATGAATTACCTATAAATTGATCGTCATGAGCACCAACTGCCTCTTTAAAACTTCCAGCAGTGTTGTGTAAGGTGGTTTTGTTCATAGGATGAAACATACTCTGACAATCAACACGTAGTGTTAGGATTTATTCTGTTGATAACTTTTGTGATTCCCTCAAATCTTGATACATATCATAATTCAACAAACCACCATGAAATTATCGTGTGTTTTTTAACTCGTGTGGCACAATGTCAAATAGATTTTGAAGTGAAACAACAAAGTTTATGAACGGTACGTTAACGTTTGATTATCACACCATTGCTCGTCGTCGTTCTTCATTCATAGATTAACGTAATCCTTAGCCCAATATTAGTTTGACAAAATCCACGACAACAACGATGTAATCCACGACAACCATGACGTAATCCACGACAGCCACGATGTAATCCACGACAACCATGACGTAATCCACGACAGCCACGATGTAATCCACGACAACCACGATGAAATCCACGACAGGTACGATGTAATCCACGACAGCCAGAATGTAATCGACAATAACCATGTTGCAATTAATCAATATAATACATCACCATTCTATCATTCCTTATCTACAAAACAATGAAGTTCAAAAAATAAAACATGAATGCATTTAAATTTGACAAAAGAATAACGTTATATAACAAATCAAAAATGCTTTTTAGCAATTCCCTTCAATTTTTTCGGCTGCGCTTGCTCAAAACTCTTGGTAATTTTATATGAATTAGTTGGATGACTTTATAAATTTAGTAATAAAACACAACCAAAAAGCATTATTCCAATTTTGAAAATTTATTAAAAATTAAATGCTGAATCATTTTTTATTATGACATCATACTGTAATCATAACTTTTTATTATGACATCTTACTCAATGTAACCAGCTTTGCAGAAACTGCAAGTAATGATCAAACAAGTACAAAAGGTAATTACAAGAAAAGTTTAATACCTGTAGACTCATCGTCATAAGCAGCCAACTGCAACTCCTAAACGTTCAGCAGTGATAAAGGTGGTTTAAGAAAAAACAGTTTGAAGAAAAATTTCTGAAATGAAAAATCATTATACTATTATTAGTTATTACATCCATCCACCTGAAACGATCGCTTGTTTGATATCGAACAGATAAAAACACATCAACAACCACTTACCAAAATATATTTTAAGCTTTGTGGTATTAGGATGAATAATTTGTTTCCTGATATTGAGTTTATAGTTCACCATATCAGTTTTAAAACTTCCACACAATGTCACCACCATGATTATTAACATTTCTATTATGCAGCATAACAAACCATAGATGGACAAAGCACCATAACTCATTAAATGAATGCTTTTTCCTAAAATTCAGGTGGCAAAATATTCAAATAAGATTTAATGTAAATGTAAATGTCTGTGCATCATCTAATGTTCATCTTACCTCACGTCCATCCTTCATATTGTACCAACTGCAGCATCTCTAGAGATTTACTTGTGCACACTTGGTCGAAAATCACGTGAAAGTCAAAAACAACAGAACATAAAACTTCGACGATAGCTATTTACATCTTAGTCTGAATTACGTTGTTCAAGAGCTTATTGAGTTAAGGTAAGTTATACGAGACAATTAAGTCGTGTCCTTCATGTTAGACGATGAAACCCACAAACAAAAGCAACATGTAAAAAAAATTATATCTGCAACAAGAAGTCTTCAAAAGTCATGCATGGGCTAAAGTGTCAGGCAATGTATTTACAAGTATAGTTATAGAGTCGTGAAATCTTTGTCTTGCATTATTTCATTTCATCAAGATTGCTTTGTCATTTTTTTGCACCGTTTCACTGTAATTTTTTTTCAAAACATAGCAGTGAACTTTGCCTTTAAATTTCTCGCTTTTCTTTCTTTGTTGATTTTTCTATCTGATCTAGTTTGATCTATCTGACGCCTCGGATCAAACTAGATCAGATAGAAAAACCCACTCCACTTGAAGAGTCTCTGAAGAAATAAAGTGCCTCAACAACAGAAAACGATGAAGTGCCTCAACAACGGAAAAGAATGAAGTGCCTCAACAACGGAAAACGATGAAGTGCCTCAACAACGGAAGACGCTGCGCGCTGGCAAGATTCAATGAAGTGCCCAACAACGGAAGACGCTGCGCGCGCTGGAAATTCGATGAAGCACCTCAACAACGGAAGACGCTGCGCGCGCTGGCAAAATTCGATGAAGTGCCTCAACAACGGAAGACGCTGCGCGCGCTGGCAAGATTCGATGAAGCACCTCAACAACGGAAGACGCTGCGCGAGCTGGCAAGATTCGATGAAGCACCTCAACAACGGAAAACTACATTCGCACGAGTCGATGAAGCACCTCAACAACCTAAGGACATTGTTTGCTCAAGATGTGATAAACGTCCCAAACAACGAAATGGTCTGCGCCCTTCCAAAAATTGATAAGCTCCCCAAACAAATATAGATGCTGTTTTGCTATCATAGGCTCATAAACGCACTACTGCTTTCTTATGTTTCCTTGTTCTTGTCTAATTATGAACTTGTGGTTCCTGAAGTGACCTCTTCCAATGTGAGGCTTCCATTAATTCTTCTAATTATTCTCGACGTCTTGTACATATTTTACATAATTTGTGGAACGCTTTGTTCAAAGAGTACTTTTTACAACAATACTTTTGTTTACTTTTCTAATTAATAATTAAATGAATAGTGGACAAATGAAGACTTCAAGTTGCTGATGTAAGATTACGTATGATATTTTACTTTCATTTTATAAATAAATTTCTTCGAATTAATGTTTCTTTTCATATTTTAAAAAAAGAATGAAGTCGTAAAGAATTCTTCATTTTCTCTTAAACGTCGATTTCAAATCGATCGTTCACAATGGCAGTTTTGACTTAATGTCTGACAGTCCTTACCCAAAACTCAACAGCATTTTGTTTAAAAATATTGACAACATTTACTTTTGATTCATGAGTAAATTTCATCCAGTGAATATGTCTTTTTATGTATACATTTTATAGGAAGGAAGTCGTATAGACTTCTTTATACGCCATTGAACGTCAATTTCACATATATAGGTCATTCACAACACTAGCTAGATTCGTCTTATTGTTTGCTAATCTTTGTACACCTTAAACTCAGGAGCATTTTGCTTAAAAAATGGAAGGAAGTCTTATAGACTTCTTTATATGTCATTGAGCGTCGATTTTTGAAATATTATTCACAACACTAGATTTGACTTAAAAATTTAATCAAAATCGTTAGCACATGCACACAACAACATTTAGTTTTGTTTCATGAAGGAATGTTTGTTTTAATTCCTTACACATTTCAAATGGAGGAGTCATATAGACTTCTTTGAATGCTTTTGAACATCGTTTTCAGATAGATCGTTCACAACAATTGTTTTTTTGATCTATTGTCTAATCATTTTTCTACCCTTACTAGTACTCGTCTACCACCAGCAAAATACGACAAAGATAGTGATTGCACAACAAAAATGTTAAACAAACTTTTCGTGCAAAGTTTTAAGAAAAAAGGAAAAAAAATTTTGAACGTGTGCACAAGTAAATCCATAAAAATACGCTCTGTCTGTTGCTTTCATTTGAATATCCTATCAATTCAAATCAAACGAAATGAGCTCCTGCGTTTCCACCCATTTGATACATATCATAAAAATTGCAATATTAAAATAAAAATATTAACAGAAAAGATTACTACAATAAAAGAATATTACAACAAAAATTTTCAAAAGCGTTTTCGTACAAAAGGAACCAGGCAGTCAATGAAAGTTTTAAAGTCATATAATTTTGAGTTTCCTACCTTACTCCTCCTTTGTTCTCTTCCAGTTCTTTTCACAGCGATCCGTTTTATCTTCGCCTCAAATTTCAACCAGGATACGACTTCGGTTGCATTCTTTATGATTTCTCATAGTAAATTCTCAAGAGAAAATTATCTTCTTTTCCTATAGAATATAAACACATTTATTGGTAAAGTGTTCTTAAAATAGTTTTCAACAACAACTTTTCAAAATTGTACTCGAGTAGCGTACATCGTATTTCATTAAAAATCTTTTTCTCGCCCACTGAAATTGCTATCATTCGAACTTATTGAATTGAAGAACCTGTAGCCGTCAACACTCTTCAAATTTTTCCCTGTATCCCACTCCATTCAAAGATTTTGTGGGTATTTTCGTAGTCAAGCTAGTCAGTTTTGCATAATTCGTGCCCAGTGTTCTTCGTTTTCTTCACGAAAATAAACAAGTAATCACTAAATTTATAATTAAAGAAAAATAAAAAATAAACGCTTACCTCATCTATTGGTTATGATTATGTAAATTTTCATTATGCAAATTTTTTTGCATACTATATCCATAATGCCATACTTTCATTATGCAAATTTTTTTTGCATACTATATCCATAATGAGATTTCGCCATTTTTTCAAAATATATCGAACAAGGTTGAAAATATCAATTTTAGTTTACTTTTTACTCAAACTAAACATACAAATACTTATATAGCGTAAAACAATGATGATCGTGGACAATTTCAAAAAATATCGATTCAAAAATACACGCTAAAAGCAAAAATATTCGACAAAGTTTCACTTCGAAGTATTCAAAACACCAGCTGTCACCAAGCACACTGAAGTAAAAAGAAAAGAAAGACTTTGAAACATACAAACTTGCCGTTTTTATACTGTCAAGTTTCTCTGGCAAAGCAAATACACCGTCGAAGGTACGCAGTTAAACGGCGAATTGCACAAAAACAACCGACGAAAAGATTTACAGTAAAACAATGCGTAACTATACACCAAACAAGGCTTTTGTCATTGAATTTATCAACATTTGAAGTGCGTTTTAAAACAATAAATCAAAATTTCACTAACCTTCCTTTCACTTTCGAGTCTTGAGGGCATCTACCGTTGTGTAGAGTGATTGACGTTTATTAAGATCATTTGGTGGTCCGATCGATTTCATTGGTTGATTTCAATGAGCTCTACAAATGTTATTGGATAAATTTTGAGCTCTTACATCTCTGATTGGCTACATTTCTACAATATGTTAAATATTAAAACTTATCCCAAATAAGTGAAAGGTAAATTAGGTAAGACACTTTTGATAACGTCTCTCTTTGAAATAAAATAACATTCAAAAAAAGTGTTTCTGCTTTCAAATATAATAATCCCAAGTTGAGAACATACAATTTTTTAATGGCTGAAAAAAAATTATAATGTTCAGGTTAATGATGCAACTCCGAGAGGACCAAGACGATGCACTGAGTGCATCCAGAAGTTTTCATTGATATAGTGCAAATCCCTCATGAGATACCATGTTTGGTGCGTAGTGTAAACAACAAAAAATATGATGAAAACGCCAATTTTCAAGATATTCTTGGCTGACATTTAAATAAGCGCCGCTTCATATATCTGCTTGACGGAGTTAAATTCTTTCAATTCTTTCAGTGAGAAAAAATGACTTCTTAGAGTGATACATGGAGTGCATGGTCTTGGCAATAATATATGCTAAGAGTACTGAAGAAATTTGGAATGGATTAATCAACACCAGTATCCAACACCATCTGTATCATTATATTTTGGCGAGAAGTCTGTAGATGTTCAGAAATATCAGACGGTAATAGATTGCTTAACATATGCAACCTTTGCAACTCCTCAAGACTTAGCTTCCGTTGATGCAACTTTATCTATGTAGCTATATGTCCACACCAGGTAAAGATTATTGGCAAGCAGTAAAAAGAGTGTTTTGTTATATCAAAGGAACGATAGATCGATAGATTCTCTTTTGTTTGCATCAAATGGTAAACATTTTGATTTGTATGTTTTTTCAGACACTGATTGGGGTGATGATATAGAGACAAGACGTTCTTCATCAGAGTATTTTTTTTAGAATTATGAACTGCGCGATAAGCTGGTGCACTAAAACATCTTAATCAAGATCTTAATCAAGATCTACAATGGAAGCCGAATATATTGCTTTGAGTTCAGCTTCACAAGAGTCCATCTGGCTAAGAGGATTTCTGAATGTTTTTTAATTGTTTAAATCTGTCCCTACAACTATTTATAAAGATAATCAGGGTGTCATTTAACTGTACAAGAATCCTAAATTTCTTAATCGCACAAAACACATCGACTTATCCAATCACTTTATTAGAGCGAAAGTTAACAGGAACACAATATGCGTAAAGTATTGTCCTACAGAATCAAAGATTTCTGACATGACTGAACCAGTGAATTCCATATATATATATATAGATATAATGGGATTTTGTGATAGAAACTATCGCAAACAAAATCGCACGGATAGAGTGCTCAATGCCACGGCAGAATGAAATATAATTGAATTATCGAAATTTATTGACAGAATTTTAACTTACACTTGTCAGGAGAATAAACATAGCACTATAGCACAACGGAACTTAAACACAAAGATTAATAATTAAGTGTTTAGGTGATACAGTATTACATTAATAACGTTAGTAAGTGACGTTAGTGACGTTAGTAAGTTATATGACGTTAGTATTACATTTATGACGTTAGTTCCGTTGTGCTATTGTGCTATATTTATTCTCCTGACGAGTGTGGCAAGTTAAACAACTGCCATACGAAACAGTTCTGTAGGGAATAAATTTCGATGAAGTAATTCGTGGTTTATTTTATTTTCAATTATATATATAGATATATCTATAGGAAGTTTTGTTTATTTGAATCTCCGTAAGTACAGTGCTCGATGCGTAAGAGCAGAGCATCCCTTTCAGGGATGAAATTGTAGTTTTGTGTATTTTCTTCTTATTATCAATATATATATATATATATATATATAAAAATAAACGTTTCTCCGGATTTTTAAATGATTTTTATTGAGCTTTCGACTCGTTGCTTCGAGAATCCGGAGAAACGTTTATCTTATATATTCAATGCCTGGATTACAAATTTTCAAACTTATATATATATATATATATATATGAAATGATAACGACAATACATTTTATAGATATAAAATTGAAGCCTAAGTCCTAGTCTCTCGCGCGGTTTGTACGTCAAATCCAGTCCTTCAAAGTCGAATATTCACGCGGTTTGTACGTCAGTTTCATTCCCCTGAGTGCCAACCAAACATACACGGCCATTAAGAATTTGAATACAAATTGCAAAAGCATAAACATATAAACAACATCACGACTAACAACACTAAGAAAAAACACTCACCATTTTCCACCAAAGCTTTCAGTAAGAATAGCAATCATTCTTTCAACTGAACCTGGAATATCTCGATGTATAATATCAGAACGTAATTTTTCATCTCCTTCACAACTGTCAATAAAGTAATAAAATATTGAATAAATTGTTACAATTTGTAAAGATCTACAATTTCACGGAAACTCGAACTGTACCGTATCCTCTGACTATATCTGTCTATAGTACACGGGCTTACATAAGTTCGTGAGCTTGCAGTTAACATGGATAGTTACATGGGCGAGGGGGATGCACGGGGATAGATGCATGGACTACTAACTACTATATTGCACTTATCTGTCAACATTACAGTATTAAACGTAACTATATACTTATATGCGGGTGGGTTTGTTTGCGGGCGAGTTTGAATGCGGGAAGGATTTTCAGTGTTCAGCGAGGTAGCCAGCCCGCAAGTTTGGTCGTGCAATGTGAATGTTTCAATATGACTCTAATAACAACAGATTTCTAAGACGCATTTCGGCAGACTACTCCTCAAGTGTCAACGTCTGCTAAATGAAAATTTTAAAATCTACCGATATTTATGCCAAGAAATAGCGTATGTCATCTCCAAAAGGGGAGATGACGGTCAAAACAGGATAAATTGAAAACATAATCCTTTTGTTGGCAGAGGACGGGATTGGTTAACTTAATTAAATCAGCCTCCATAACCTTAGCTCTGAAGTATATAATGCTGATATCTAAGCATCTTAAACAATGTCATCAATTTATAAAAAATTTAATACTTTGACGTTAGTCTGATCTACCATTCACATCTTCACCTCAAACTGAAGCTCGTTTGTTCAGTATTTCAGTTGAATAAAGTTCGTAAGAGTCGCGCTGCCGGAAAAAAAGGTTTGACATCTTTATGGGTGAAATAAAGAATTCCACAAATGCAATAGTATAATTCACTACTTAAAATATTGTGTACACCTGATTTCTAAGACAGCATGCACTGCGCACTCTCATCGTTTTTAATGTCAAAATGAAAATTGTCTAATTGGATCCTATTTCCAAACTTTCATTTACTAACACAAAGCAGTATTTGGTTGTGCTTACACACAGGCAGCAGGTTTCTCAGCAGGTACCACACGTCTGGTTTAACGAGAACTAAAAATTTACTTCCGTTTATAATGAAGACAAGAAATAAATTGATGAAACTTAGGAAAAAGGTTCTTTCAGGGGAAAGCAGAATTTTTTTCCCAGACGGTCGTCTAAAGGCAGAGCTTCTTCCTAATGATGATCGCTCTTTACGTTCCTTGTTCTTTCCTATTGACCTGTTTTTTTTCTCGTCTATTTTTTAATGTGGCTTTTCCGTTTTAAGGAAGGAAACAACTATGAAAGACCTCGATAGTTTCTTTATCATTTTTATATCGCAGCGATTTATCTTTTAGTATGTGTTCATTTTGAAATACAAAAATCTTTTTTAATCGACGAAAACGTTAATCGGAATATTGCATGTATTTGGTTTTCTTTTGTTTCCGACGAAATATACTTTTCCCTTTTCTCGTATTACTCATAATTTCTTTGCTTTGTTTTTGAGTTTTTTTCAAAAAATATTGACTTCCCTCAAGACTCCTTGACGTCGTCTTCCTTCTCATAGGTCTACTACCACTGGAAATAAAAGATTCCTTCATGTTTACAATTCTTCCCTCAGCATTTTTCCATGTTCATATCTTTTATCACCGTCGATATCAGATTTATCTCTATCCATATTCGATAAATCAACACAATTATTGGATCTAATGTCAAGACACAAGCTTTGATTATTATAAATATCATCACCACCACCACCATCATCATCATTTTCCCATGAATGTTTGTCATTGGATCGACATTCCTCAAAGTCCAAAGAGTTAATTGATTTGGAAACAATATCATTCTCTGAACTTTCCATCAAATTATTGCTGAAATTAGACAACTGGTTACTGATTCTTGCAACCGACTGAGTGAGAGTTTCATTCTCGTAATCTTCGTCGTCTGAAATCACAGAAAAACATGATATTGGAGATTTTGACGGAAAAAAGGATAATTATAACTGGGATAACACAAAAATTTCAGAATTATGTACCAACCATTTATAGTACATCGTCGTCTTAAAATACCATAAATTTCACACAGCAACATTGTATAACAAGCCCAGTTTTTACGATGATGGCGTTCGATCAATGAACGTTTGTAATGCAACGATTCTTTTAATTTTTCTTCTTCTTTTTCCTGATGATGTTTCTTTAGATTAGCTAGAAACGTTATCAATAAAACCAAAGTTATATTTAACAGCTATAAATAGTAGTTATAATGATGAACAAACAACCAGCATGTGCATGTTTTCGGCGAAATGTCACTTCTTCATAACCCACAAGACTATCAAACATATCTTCTTCAAGATCTCTTGTTGCCATTGCAACTTTAGCCCAGGCTTTGCGCTTTTTCTTGATGGCAACAGCACAAAACGCACGTAATTCAGCAATCTCTCGCGCTAGTTTAAATCCAAATTTAAAAATATCAGCTTCCTTTACGTCTGCAGTCTGACGAGCAACATGAGCAACTGTTGAGAGAGCTTCCTCGACTAAAGTAGCAACAACAGCTGATCGCCGTCTGGAATGAGGTTTTTTTGGCACTAAAATGGGAAAAGTAGCTACGATGAATAAAATAAATTTTAAAAGAAATTGGAATGATTGAACAAACCAGGTAACGAAGAACGACGTCTTTTCGTATCATCAACTGGTTCTTAATGAAAACAAAATGTCAGTTGACAAAGATGTTTTAACAGATGAAAATATCATTTGGGAAATGTCATAGAACCTTTCAAGACAAATTATCCACAAACTGAGGACCAAAATTCATTACCTAACATTAAATCACGTTTGGATGAGTCTAATGACCTAGAAAAAGATTTCATTAGAAAACCTATCAATTTTTAATATTTTATAAACTGACACATGATTGAATACTGTGTTGCAAAGCGTGTTACAATACTGTGTTACAATACTGTGCTAAAAAACGTGCTCCTATCTATCCAGGTTACCTTGGAGTTCTTAATAGATTTTTTGTGCATCTACGATGTTCAATAAGCCATCGCTGAAACATGTCGTCCAGTTGATGACGATCTAACCAAATACCCAATCTCATGAACTCTCCCAGCTTACGACACAGAATGTCAGCGGTTGGCCTCTTGTGCATTTCATCTAAACACTGACTAACGAGGTGTTTAATAAGGCTAGGCCAGCAAAGTAAAATAGGTAAAAGTCTTGAGTAAGGTATTTGATCTTCTGAACACCAAGACCAAGGTGTTGTTCGAGTCAAACATTCCCACAGCGTTGCTGCAAAGCTGAATAACAAAAAATTAAAAAAAAATCGATCGAAAGTAACATAAATATGAAATTACTGGTAGTTTTATATTAAAATTCGGGTTTTAATTCATATTAGTTCATATGATTAATACATCTTTATTATTTTAAGCCTGCATGTAAACCACTTTGTTACTGAAAAAGAGTCAGAGTCGGTAACTTCCGTTACAATCGGATGTACGCCCGATGAGGAGGAATAACGATTACAAGCAATTCATCGGGATGAAAAGTGTTCAACATCAAACATATAGCGTGACAGAAGATATTTGCATTCGGCACAGAACTGTTAGTGGCACAATAGTATCAAAATGTTGCTTAAGGTATTAACAAGAAAATATTTTTTATTGCCAGTTATCATTTATATACGGTCACTTGCGATCACTTGCAATGTACAAAACCCTCGTTTTTAAAGATTTCACATTGATTGCAATCAGCACAGAATTGTCGGAAATAATGTCGCTTAATTAACAATGATCTAAAAATGTAACAACAAAGAACACGACCATCTATTGAAACAAACGACATGTCAAACACATCGGATAACTCTTTTGAAAAGTAATCAAGTTTTGATATTTATAACAAAAAATGGTTTTCATTCAAAATGATGCAAAATGCTGATAAATTCCGTAAAGGACTTAACTTTAAATGATGACAATATTCAAGCATATAAGAAGAGTCACATTCACATGTCATGTAACTTTGAAAAATGAGCAATTAATGATTTAAACGAATAATAAGGTCAAACCATTTTTTAAATCCTAGACATATTTTATAAATTTGAAGTTAATAATATTAAAATGATAATATGATTTAAAGTATGTTTACCGATGTATTTCACTTTCCATATAATTGATAAGTTACCCACATGTACGCAATGCGTAACTAGTTTTTTGAAAGTTTCCATAATATTTCTAAAACATTTCAAAGTATGCGTCCAAATCCATGGACATTTACAGGTAAACATCTTGGCTTCGCTTTGCATGCACAAAACCGAAAAAATATTCAGAATTATAATATGCTTATGATATTAGGATGTTAAGGAAAAATACTAAACTTTCTTATGTAAATTTAATCGTATTTCCTACCTATAAATATCATCAGGAAAACTTGCTTTACCAACAGCCAGTAGTTCTGGTGCTAACCAAGGCAGTTCATCTTGAAAACATTCCATAAACTTGACTGAGGCTCCTGATCTTTCACAGAACTCTAGGCTTCCCAGTTTAGCACGAGGACCATCACATACTTAAAGACAAACCGTAATAATCATGAATTAAGCCATAAAGTATCTGTTGAAGACAATACATAAAAATATAATTCGATAATAAAGTGCAACAGTTCCGTTGTCGTCAGAAAATAATTTTGCCTAAATGATATACACTTTTTTATAATATATTTTGTAAACATGACAAATTGTATAGCTCAAAAAATCTCCATGCCAAAGATTTAGGTAAATCTACTCATACCATTAACGACATATTCAGATACATTAAAAGGAATAACATTTTACTCTACAGCTTGTTGCTTAACCCTTTACAACCACGTTTTTTCTCATATGAATTGTGGATCATTTCGTTGTTACTTCGAAGACTACTGGCTGCAGTTAGTCATTTCAAGATTTCTTTTGGTCAGAAAAAAATAAACTGACAACCACAATGTTAATCACATTTCTTTAATCACATGCGTAAAAAGCGTGGCATTTCTGTTTGTTTTTAGCTACTGTGTATTGTTAAAGTTATCGATAACATCAACTTTATAAAGAAGCAAGAGTTTCTCGTAAAGATGTAAATTACATTGTGACAATTGCCGTTTTAAATACTATCAAAATTTCATTTGTTTATTCTCTCTAACGTGATTTAGATGATTTAACGTCATAGGTCATGAGAAAAATTCTTTAACTCAAAATTTGTTTCTAAATATTTTTCAATTACGATGAACTAATGAAAATAGCGAGCAATTCTCTATGAATGAAAAAGTTGTAAACTATTTATATCTCACCAAAAATGCTGTGTGATGTCACATGACAATGGATCCAATTGCGCCGATGAAGATGGGACAGTGCTTGAGCAATATCCATCATTATCCTTATAATCCTCATGAGATGACACTCCAAATCCTTTTCCATATCCATGTTCGATTGACGGACATAAAAGAATAACGTAGAGAAATAAAACCTCTCCATGATCAAACAGAACGGATTCAAACAGATTGCCATTGCAACTGGGAACCGGAAATGACGCAATTGCCTATGAAAATGGACAATTAGGCCTCTAACACGATTCAACACCGTGTAAGATAAAAACCATGATACCTCAATAAATTTATTTCCTTCCGTAGTCTATAATGATAGAACGAATCTTGGTTGAATTTTGGTGCATGTTTGACTGTGACAAGACTTCCTCGCCACATGCCATCGATGAAGTTAAAAAAAGGACCTTTGAATGAATGCTTGTGTTCGGGCTTCTTTATGTCATCTAATTCAATTAAAGGGATTCCCCAGAAAGAATTGTCAATATTCTCATTTGTCAACCTAACACAAGATGCCGACGCACAAGAGTTCTAAAAAATAAAAGAATAATAGCTCTTAAATATATATGGCATAGTTTTAGATACAAAATACACACCATAACTATGGAGTTGTAGTTCTGCGCAGGTTGATGATGACCAAAACCACGATCGACCATAAAGGAATGAAGAAGACGCAAAATTTCGTGATTACCATGATAACGTGCAAATGCAACTACGGTAGGATACTCAGCAAACGTGTTATGAAGATCAGATCCATATTGAAGTAGAAGAGCCACACATTTTACATGATCTTGTTGAATAGCAACATGTAGAGGAGTCATTCCTATTGATGATGATCTAAAGGAAAACTTTCACGTTAGGTTTTGTAGACAGCATTTCATTACTATTGGATAAAATGAATCTAAATTGAGCTATGCCTTACTTTAAACTAACACATTTGTTCATCTGTATATGATTAGTATAACTTACAAGTTTGGATCTGCTCCCTTGTTTAGTAAATATTCTACACATTTGGCGTGACCATTCATTGAAGAAATAAACAATGCAGTTTCATTCTTTATGTTTGACGCATTAATATGGACTCCATAATCAACCAACTTTTCAATTTTCTTAACATTGCCCTTAGAAGCCCAGTGCAACAGATGAAAAGCCATAATTGAACGACTGTTACTATTTAATGACGTCATATAATAAAAACTGGCGCACATAAAATTAGAACTGGAGTGCGTAAAGAAAAATTATAGAAAGAACTCAAGCTGAGAAATAAGAAAATTTTCAAAAGTGATTATTTTACAGCGCGTTCCTCCTTTAATTACGATCTCTGTAATTTCATGGCTTTTACTTTCTTTAAACAAAATTTTTAAAAAATAGAGTAATTTTAAACGTTTACTCGATTTTGCTTTTCATGTTTATACTTTATATTTCCTTAAATACAAATCATTAGTCAGAAAATTTCCTCATTGTAAATTACTGATGACAAAGGGTTTCATAATGAAAAATTTAACAGTGATAAAAATGTTTGTAAAAAAATGTTTATCATCATTCATACCAACATTGCCGCTAAAAGTTGAAACTAAAAAAAAATAAAAAAATTCATGTAGTAAATGCTTATTTTTTTATTTTCTTGTATAAGGATCAAAACATACGTATTTACCTATGAAAATCCAATTCTTGTTTAAGTATTCCAGAAAGAACAAATTCGACATTATGAATTCCTAAAAATTAAAATATCAATTAAGAAAAAAACTTCACTTTTTCAAAAAATAAACGACAGAATAACTTCAAACCAATTCCCGCCATTTTCATTTCACGACATAAATGAGTGTCCTCGTCACAAGTGACACAGACAAATGCTGGATAGCCCTAAATATCCATAGTTATCCACAATTTAAACACCATCATCACAACGTGATGTATATCAACACAACAATGAGCTTACATCTTTTGTTTTTTTCTCAGCTAAACTTTTCCATTCCGTTTTTTTAGGAAGTTCTGTCATTATCTATAAAACAACAAAAAACGCACTGAGCATTGATTTAAAAAACATCTATAATCATGACTTCATAATTTTAAAAGAACGCCCTGCAATAAAAGTGTATGAAGAAACGCTTAACTTTCCTACCCGTCCGCCAGCACAATCTAAAATTTCCATCATATTACGATGGTCAGGTCGAACATTTGCGGTCACGTATACTGTTATATCCTATAAAAATATAATCGTATAATGAACAAGTAAAATCTGCGTTTTGTATTTGGACATCTAATGATTAGAAGTCTAATAATTAATTTCTATGTAAGACTTAGAGTGAAGATTTGGGGGAGAAAATTTGTTCACTCTGAATCAGTTCTACTTATTAATATGTCGTTTTTCAATTTATAGCACCAAATATAGCATCCATACCATATAGCTGCCTTGTTCCTTAATATATCTCATTGTAACAACTCTTTAAAAGTACATTTACATATATGATGATCCCTTGAAGGAAATGTAGTTTCTTCCTCTAACTAAAACACCAACCTGAAAAAGAGGTTTTGCTTGGGCTCGATCAATAGACTGGGACAGAGACATTCCATAAAGTCTCTCTCCATTATCATCTTTCAAAATAAAGTCCTTTTCATCTAAAAACGAAAGCGATTGCAAAACAGTACATTCTTCATGTTAAAATATTTGTAATATAAAAAGTAAGTATAGAAATTGTACTTATTCAGGTACACTACAAAACATTTTCACACTTTATGCGGTCTTTCCGATTATATTCTGACATATTGTTTTAGTAAGAATAATAAAGACAATTCAAATCTTATTTATGTATAGTAATACCGACAAACTCTCCTTGATAATGACTTGCTTCAATCCATTGAGGATTGACAATATATTGACATACAGAGATTCCTGTTAGAAACTTAATGGTCCTCATTATCTATAATTATCCAACAATGTACATATGAATAAAAATACATTTACTGCAAAAAACATAAAGATGACTTACTTTAGTAGCAACAATGTGTGTACATGTTCTAGTCGATGTTGATGTATCTCCACCTAACTCAACCAATTTCTAAATCAATATTTACATAAACGAAACGTTACTTTCACATGTAAACATTAAACTCTATAAACCAATGATACATTAACTATTGAAATTAAATATAAGAATAAATTTTAATCTATGTTGAGATGTTTTAAAAAAATCGAAACTTGACTTACGTCAGTCATACGTCTTACTGATGTGGGATTAAGGCCAGTGAAAACAACACGAGGCGGTTCTTTTACACGAGCATTTTTTGAAGGATTTGTTGACTCATCACTACTATATTAAAATAAATACTACTATATACTACTATATTATATATACTACTATATTAAAATAAAATTTACTGATTATAAATGAAAAGATGGCAAGTTAAAAACATTTTTAATTCATAACTAATTAACAACTCAAACATACCAAAAGCGTTTATTATTTTGAGAAAACTTCTTAATCTGCAGAAGAAAGATCGTGAACATGATGAATAACATAAGTAACAAAACAGGAAAATAAAAATATGTTTCAACCTGTCTTTCAAGCATATGCAACTTGCGTTTCTATAAAACATCGATTATAAATTAGGTACGATAGCGTACACATGGATAGCTGAGTTTTGAAGCACGCGTTTTGTCACTAGCAAATATATATGAACGGGCGGTATAGCGTGTGATTTGAGAACACTGCCTTTGTAGAATATTAACAGGCTATCCACAAAAATCAAAAACTACGATTACCAAGAAAAATTTTTTTAACAAAAACCTTGTCAAGAATGGCAGATTTCTCTTCGAAACCTTCCCAAGCATCTAAAAAATCGTGGAATTGGATAATTTAAATAGAATTAAATAAAACAAGTAAATTAATATTCATGAAAATGGTACGTTGAACTAACTCATTAATTCTCGAGCTAAGTTAAGATTAATGGAAAGTTCACAGTTTTCCTCAGATATTATTTTGTATCTGTTCAAATTCACAGGATAATCACAACCACCTTTATAAAAATTGAAAAAACGAATTAATAATAATTTCAAGAAAAATATATTTGTGATAATAAATGAATCCACAATGAGCGACTTTATACGGCGACACTTACAAAACCAAACCCACTTTACTCATACAAAGCAAATTTTCACGTATTTCTTTAGAAATTTAATTTCAGTCATTGTTTTTGCAGGGAATAAACACAATTATATTCGCAAAGATACACCACAAAAGTAATTGGGTGAAATCCTATAAATTGATGGACAGAGAATATTTTCCGAAAAAAATTAAATAACTATATATGAGATAAAATACCAGCAACAATATCACAGAGCCAAGCAGCGTTTGTGCAAATTATTCCCCAATCCTTAGCACGTTCATATTTCAAAGATTTGTCACTATAAAAATGCGCAAACGAAGCATTAAATTTCTGAAGACGTGAAAACTTAAAAAAGATTGAAGTTTGCTTCTGTTAAAGTTAAAGTTAAAGTTTGTTAAAACATATTTTGAAACGATTACGTTTTACATATAAGATGTGTGACAGATCGACTTAAGTATCCACAATACTTAGCACCAACAAGATCAACCATATCTTTCAGTTTCTCTCGTTCAATGCCTTGAAATCCTGTGAGAGAAATGATCTAAACGCCAAACATATGTTAAAGATCTTAGGTTAAGATGAGTACACAATACAATGAAAAAATAATCACAAAACAATGAAATGTCGCAGCTGACCTTTGTAAAATACTTTCAATACATACCATACTTCGACATCGTTGAACCTTATCTTTAAATGGAACAGGTAAATGAATTGGATATTTTGGACGAATGAGTTTCTGCCCTTGAATTACATCATTCAACCAATGACACGTGACTATTCGTTTTCCTTCAGAAAGAGCCTGGAGATGAAAAAAATTGGCAAAAGTCAAATGAAATAAATGAAATCATATTTCTTTCAGACTACATTACATGCTGAAAATTAAGACTTTCATTTCTGATCATCTAAATTCAAACCAAATACGTAAATAATGCCACAGACTGTTTTGCAGAAATTGGGATATTAGTTTTTGTACCTGTTTGTAATAAAGTCCATGATGATGAGGACATAAAAAATATGTAACTTTATCACAGTAAACATCAGACACTATTCCTGAATTCTGTGTAATAATCTACATAAAACATTCAGCATGTGATCAATAGATACATAAAATGTGCTGCTGATAAAAAATAACATGCTATGGTACCTCCTTCCACATTGTCAAAGATTCTTCAGAAACAGAACATTTATACTCTTCAAGGTAAAACACACACTCCGAAAGGATCTTTGCTTCAAAAAAAAAAAAAAAATTCATCAACTTCACTGTAGATTAATTGCTTTGGGATAAGGTAAAATACTTTATAACCACCAATAGATGTTTTACAAAACTATGAGTCATATGAACAACGAGTTACTTTAAAATTACTCTCAACTACAAAGGTTTGCTAATTTTAAAGTAGAGGCCATTTTTATATATATATAAAACTTACTGACATAAATATCTTTCTTCGAGACACTACTAGTTACTGCCTTTGTCTCTTCACTTGTACTTTCTACATTTCCTTCATCTATTTTTTCCTCATCATCAGTAACACTATCTTCACTCATTTTTTCATCATTTGACTTTTCCATATCATCAACCATATCACGTAAGGATTGCCTTGCATTTTCAGCAGACTGCCTTATAGGACGTGAAAAACTACTTGATTCATTATCATTTTGAGTATTTTTCATCTTTGACTCATCGTTACCACCTAAATTGAGAGATAAGTAATTCGATGAAAAATTTTTTTGCTTTATTAAAGCAAATTGTAAACTGGTAATAAATTTATCACTTCAACAAGTGTTACAAAAAAAATCATTTTTAATTATTGAAACATAACATAACTTACTACTAATGTAAATATAATTCACATAAAAAATTTTATGCACCTTTTATGGTAGATTTTTTAAGGTTTGCAAGATCTGGTGATTCAGGAGTCATCAGCATTGATGGTTCTTTAAAATCAAATCGTTATGTTAACAATGCCTGTTTTATATAACAAAAATACAAAGACAATAATGATTACTGACCGTGAAAAGTCAAAGTATATTTGTTTTCATTTTGGATTCCACCTTCTCGAACAGAATCAACTATCCACTCAGGTGTTACAATTTTGACACTTTGAAGCTTTAAAGCATTCTCAAACATTTCCTAAATTTATATTTCTATTGTGCATAAAGCCTACAAATTGTAATTTTATGAACATAAAATGAGTCCTTTTATATTGAAGAAATATGAAATCAAACTAATAATTTAATATTTCTACATAAATCATATTTAAGGTCTACACTGACAATAAAACAAAATAAATTTTGCTTAAACATATTATATTAAGCAGTTACTTACACCCTGTGCTTCAGAAATAATCAAATGTGTACATGTTGAATCCAGGTTTGTTTGCCATTTTCCACCATAAAAACTAAATAATGCCCATAATCCTTCCCTATCCTTTCTTGACAACTAAAACAAATGAATGACAAAAAATGCAATAAATTGTATGTTCAACTATACAATTATTTCTTACCTGTGAAGAGCAAGCAACACATGAAGAAAACAATTTTTTCTCCAATGTAAATGGAGTCAAACTGAATTCGAGTGAAGAAAATATGTTCTCGCAAAATAAAAATAGATATGTTAACAAAACAGGAAAAAATAATGTTAAGCCTTAAACTATTTTCAACACCACACTGACACATATCTCAAAAGGATACGGTAACACAGCTTCAGAAATGATAGAAAAAAAAACCCACTCAGGCTGAAATAAAGGTAGTACTCTACACATCAATATTCATTAAAATTGTTGTAATTTTTGCATTATCAAATGTAAACCTTAACAACAGGAATGTTAAATTCTTTTGCCTTCTGTGCATCATCAAACGTTGCTGTATTTGATATGACATGAGATACAGAATCACTAAAAAAGAACTCTCTAGTTGCTCCACCATTTTTCAAGAAATTTTTTACCTAAATAACGAATCACTCTTTTAGGTAAATTTAGAAGGGACTATAAAATCCTGAAGTAAAATCAACTCTTAAAAAGAACATTGAACTGCTTCAAGTGGTCGTTGATAGTTGTATTAAAAATTAAAATATAGTGATATCCAGGAATTTCAACAAAAATTAAACAGTTGTCAAAACAAATATAAACTTATATATCAGTATTTACTCATGTTGATATTCACTTACTTTCGAATCATCTTCCTGCGCCAAATAAAACTTGACGTTTTTGAAGAGACTCTTTGGAATTTTGATCAAAGATTCAGTGGCCATGTTTAATCCTGTGGTTTAATTTAATGAGTGTTCATCATCGGGAGGGGAGGGGAGGGGAGGGGGGGAGATGTAGTCAGAGGTCGTTAGTTATAAATCTTGATCAGTGGTCTTGGTGGGTCTCTGTGAAGAAAGTACAACATAAAATAACCTAATTCTTAACCTAATTCTTAATTTGGATTGGGGCAACCTTGGTTAGCAACACTTAAAGTCCATAGTACCCGATTCCAGCATTCTTTTTATAGTCACACACTTTTTGTTTCGGGGGAAAAAAATTTTATATTTATAAAATTATTAATACCGAGTTTTTAATAATAAATGACAAAGTGCTGATAACGGTGACAAAAATAGAGCTGTTGGATACAATTACGATACGCTGGATACGTTATTCGTGGTACTATACTTTTTTTAAAGAAATTAAAGGGAAAAGGAGGGAAGAGTAAGGGGTAAAAGACCTAAAGGAAGGAAAATGATGAAATGCTAAATGACTAGAATGAGGACGTGCATGTCAACACGATAAGAAGAGAAAATAGAGACCTGGAGTGGAGAAAATAGACGATTAGAAGCACCTGAAAGTAAACAGAAGAACATAGACAGATAAAGGTGTAGAAAGTGAATCAAGGTTACATGTTAACGGTAAGAGACATGTCAAATCATTCATCCAAAAAAAAACGGGACACGTGATCTCATTCCCGATACTTCTGATATTTTTCGCTTGCACTGACAGCAAATTGGCAAACATTCTACTCACCTCACCCATAACATTTTTCTTGCTTTGGTTACATGAAATGGTTAAACATAGCCCTGGAAGGAAATATGATGAAAAAGTTTATCAATTTCAGAATATCAAATCAGTTTTTCAAAAATTCGACACGAAACTTCTACATGCGTTAGAAAAGATACAAAACCAATCAAACAGTGCACGAAACCTACGAAATACTGAACGATAATTTTAACAAGAAAGGTTTACAGCATGATGATAAAAAAATCCATAAAACGCTAAGCACGATTCAGACTTGGAAAGTTGTATCAACATTTATTGCTGAAAGTATTATGTTATGTGAAATTCTGTATGTACGATCCGTTCCATACGTTTATCATGAGATAAGTGTATTTGTTCTTTCATGAAACAGTTCACGTTAAGCCTAGAGGTAACAAGGAATAAAACATGAGCAACAACATGAGCAACAACATGAGCAACAACATGAGCAACAACATGAGCAACAACATGAGCAACAACATGAGCAACAACATGAGCAACAACATGAGCAACAACATGAGCAACAACATGTGATACAACATACAAAGAACTCATGTTTGAGATCTACGAACTAAAAAATATCGTAAAAGAACATAAGCTGGTGATAACACAAAAGTAAACAATCGAAAGCTCTAGAAAAACGTATCAACGAACGAAACATATTGATTGAAAAAACAACATGAAATAATAAAGAAAGTTAGAATACTGCTGGATAACTATGGATGGCTAACTATGGCTAACTATGGCTAACTAGGGACACTGTAAAGCAAGAATAGACTGTTCGACTAATGTCAATGTATAGTTTGGTTTTGTTATATACATATCATAAACTTAAACTTAAAAAGAAGGGAAATAACATTAAAAAAGAGCACATAATGAAATAACAGACAACAAGATATTTAGCTAAGAAAGATAAATATGATTGGTTTTCATTGCAATAATTTGTCACGTGAATAATCTTTCTGCAAGTACGTATTAATTTCTTTTACATATGAAAATAAGAAAACTACAAAGTAAATGACAGGTAGTTACGTGTTGTTTTTTTTTTAAAAATTGGATATTTTAATGCAAATACATATGAAAAGAACAGGTATACCTGTTCGTACGTGAACTGGTATGTAAAACATTAACTATACCCAATGTTGCGTATAATACTTTTTATTTTATTTCCATCGTAGAAATGCGCAGAATACTCTTATTTTATGAATCTGACGATGAAATGTTTGAAATATAAATCAATGTTACATGCGGTAAATGAATAATGGTTATTGGATTATTTAAAGAGATTTTCTAATAAAATATTAAAGAATCTTACATAGATATAACATGCAATACATAATAAAGAGACATTCACTTGAATAACACCATGCACTAACTACAACATTGACTCGTTTACAAAAAAATGACAAGAAAAGTTAGTGAAAATTATAACAAAGTTGCAAAGTTAAACTATCGTGGATATATCACACAGTTTATTATTTTTCTAGTTCTACGATCTCTAGACATTGCTACATCTATAGCAGTTCTCGTAAACGCTTGGTCAAATAATGATGACTGGAAAAACATCGATAGTACTTACACAAATAAATCTATTGGAGAGGGAAGAGTGGAATTATTCAATCAACCTAAAAAAGTTTGTCAAGACCTTAAAGATTGGAAGGAACATGGTATCGATGCAAGTATTTCAAACTACAAACTGATTCTCTATTTTACCGTATATTCAATGTAACGTCTGTCATTATCTTCTTAACACGTCTCGCATTTTGGTCACAGACCTTACGTAAAATATCAAAAGATGAAAAAGAAAAAAATCATACAGACGACAACATCGTTACAAGATTAACAAAAAACAGTAAAATAGCTTTACTAACACCTATTGTTCGTGCTGTACCATTATCTTGTTTAAACACAGAACTTCTTGCTTTACGTTCTGGACATAATGGTCTCGTATGTATGGCGTGTATACTTGGAGAAAGATGTTTGTTTAAGCAACAATATATTGAAAATACTATAAACGCGGCAAAACATATATTATACGCTTATTACATAGTAGTCTTCGTAAACTCACAATGGAAAGGAGTTTCTGCCTTTTATCGTTTAGTTCGCTTTGAAAAATTCAACTTGCATATGATTCGAGCTTGTGCATCTATGGTTTTTGCATTCCTGTATTCGATAATGATTTTTACCCCAGCAATGTTTATATTTATCTATCGATATAAAGCGACAGCCGGCTTTGAATCAATCTTTTTAAATGACTTGTTTAACAGATTGATTGTACTCGGAGCCACGATATGGGCTGTATGTATGTCAGTTGTTATTTGCTGTCCTATACTTTATGCAATACAAGTGAGTGCATGATAATATTAAGGTTTTTTGAGTAATCGAACTTATCGTAGGTCATTCAATTTGTCATTATAAATTAGAGATAGTAGAATAATATGTAATAAATAAAATTGATTAAATACTATACTTATGTAGTTGTTTTATTATTGGAATAAAACCTGATAAACTAACTATATTTAAAAAAACCCAAAATATTGCTGAAAAAAACGTCAAATTCTTTAACGATACTTCTAAACACAAACAATACACAAATCCTGTTTTTAGTCGATTAAATTATACACGAAGTATTTCTAAAGAGTTGTTATAACAAATACCAATCCAGTCTGGTTGAGTACTTGCCCATTGAATTTGATTGATTTCACCATCAGCCTTGTACGCCAAGATTGGATCTTCCACAGCGCGAGGCATATGTTGAATATCCCATATTAACGCCTGACGATCTTCCCCTGTATCAAAAATTATTACGTTAGTCATCAGGACTAGATAAGTTTCTCGTAAAAAATATTTACTATTAGTAGCAAAGACAGCCCCTTTTATGATCGCTCGTGGCTGAAACGGAATAATATATACAGCCCCTAATATATACTCGTGGCTGAAACGGAAATATTTTTGTGATCGCTCACTGAAAGAGCAATGAAATGAATTAATTTTCTAAAGAAAGGAAACAAGAAGAAATATTTCTATAATTACCAGCAGTACAAATATGACACGAGGAATGTGGAGCCCAAGCAATACCATTAACACAACTACGATGATTACTTAATCTTGCAACTGGAGTACAAGGAACTCGCACATCAAGAATAATCACCTTTGGAAAAAAGACGCCAACAAATAAGTTACTCAATGCTTATATATGTGTGTGTAATATAAAAATTGATATAACAGAATGTGTTTTTTTAATGCAGCATTCAAGATTTAAAGACATTAAATGAGAGTGACACATGTAACATGATTAAATGCTTTATCTTGTGTAGACAAGTTTCACAATTGGAAAACGTATAGAGAATAATTAAGTGTACATCAACAAAATACCAGTTACCTCAGTGGCATCCAAAGCAAAAGTGGACAAATAATTGGGATCTTGCTTATTCCAGCCCAATCGTAACAATGGCTCTCTTTGAAGATCTTCATAAATTATTGTAGAATGTTCAAGATGCCTATGGGCCCATGAACCAAGAGTAAAAGATAAAGAATTATTTAATGTATTTTTATAGTTTCTTTATTGTAGTAAAGTATAAATATTTGAAAAATATTCTACCTTAAGTCAAACATTCTTACAGAACCATCTGCACCAACAGAAGCAAACATATCTTTGCCACCACCAGCACGACTAAATGCAATGTCATAAACCTACAGAAAAGCAACATTACCAATAGATACAAATACATCAATTATTAAAATAAGAAATCAACTCACTTCTTTATCATGAGCTATGAGCTGGGTCTTTACATGCCCTGAGACCATATTAACACGTCCCAGAACTTGACCTGTCTAACATTCACATAAAAAAATCTTGGAAATGAAGCACAATTGAAAAAGCCAACTGAACAGCATACATTTGAAATAGTACAAATAAAAAACCTGTTATTTCCTATATTACACATTTATTTCCCCTCAATATGCCTATCAAACATAAACATTCCCCTTATCCCATCTTTGTATATTAACCACACCTCCAAACCCCATATTGTACAAGTTGTATCAATGCTGGATGTTCCAATAAGATTTGGATCTATTTCATTCCAGTCAAATGATGTCAAAGGAGCACAAAAATCTGAATTCTTGTTCTAAAAATTGATGAAAACAGAATTTTATTAACTTTGTTCGCTTTTAATTTATTTTATATTGATTATCGAAAACAAGTCAATTAAGCAATTGAAATGTTATATTATTATAAATACATTGTTTAAAAGACATTCCAGACGACAGTCATTTTCACTGACGCCAAACACGTAAGTAATCTCCTGAGGTTGCAACAAGATCAGGATAGATGGCTTTCTGAAAAAAAGTAGAATGACCATGTTTTTTAAACCTTTTGAATGCAAAAAAACTTTGATATCCAAGAAGTAATTATCAGTTTGTATGAAATAATACTTACATTATCAGGAATCCATAGAATCTTTGTGGTTGGATAAGGATGGTCAAATTGACCTTTTACAGAAAACTCACCAGCTTCTTCATCCAGTTGAATAACTTGCACCTTATCAACAGAGAAATTGGCAAAGTTTAAAAGGCATTATACAATATATTTAGCATATTATCATCATTGATGATAGTTATCATTAAATAACTTTGAAGAAAATACAACTTGTATTGATAATAGTTAGATAAAACATTGTATGACAAGATGGAAGTAGCACAGTTAAAGGGATAGTACAATACGCATGATGTGTAAACAACAACATTGATGTCAATAATTAAGAAAATATATTGAAAAGTATATGTATTTATTATTTAATAAAATTTCTGACATTTCTATAAATCATAACAAAGCAAATATATATTTTTTATTGTTCAACTCAACTTAATTTTATCAGGTGCTAAAACGAATGCAAATAAATATGATAAATGAACCAAATTAAAACATTTGAAATAATATCCTTTTTTGAACCTTGTTATTATATTCTTCAACAAAGCTACCGAGAGCGAGACGAAATCGTTTATCTTGCCTTACACTCCAGCTCAAACTGTACAAAGTCCAAGGTGCATCATATTTGTAGATTTCCTTTCTTTTCAATGGCGCAGAAACATGCCCTGCTGCCATTGAAGCCATATGTTACATGGAAACTGCACAAATGACAATCAGTTCTATAAAGCCAGGCACTAATAGGCCTTATATAAGGTTTATTAAAATTAGGACTGTTATATATTTTCAGTGTGTTTGACATTCGCCATGTTGAACTTACTCATATTCCAGTTATAGTTTAGGTCAGTATCAGCGTGCATTTCCATAGTCTATGATTGCCTTGGTCATTGCACAGTTTGAACTGTCACTGGCATGGTCATTGCATTACTCCATTGTTTCTTTTACAAATAATATTTCCGGGAGGAAATCATCAAGGTTGCTGCGACTGAACTGTGACAGACTACGAACGAGAAAGTTTCGATTTGGTCGTTGTAGTACAATTACTCATTTTTTATACTTTTGGCCCTACTCTTGGCGTTGTAGAAGCTTCTATATTTGGTTGGAATTTTTCAAAATCATGGTTGATCGTTTAGGTTAGTAATTTAGTGTTTTTGAAGCCAATCAAACAGTGGTATTTTTGAAATGTTGGTAAGTGTTTTGCTATTATTGTATCAATCAATCCCAATCAATTCGGATTTTCTTAACGCTTAACAATTGTTAGACAGTGTGATTTCTGTAAAAAGTGTTTTCATTAATGTAGCAAAATCTAACTTATTTTGTTGTAGTTTTGGGTTGATAATTATAAAAATTTTGTATTTCACTTTCGAGCGGTCAAGAAATGGCTTTTCTAATGTTTTTATCGTTTGTGAAATGATCATTGTAACAACTATATTGTAAATACTTTGGCGTAGGAATCGAAGTGATTAGAATATTTACAATAATCACTAAACGTATCATAATTTTCAATGGAAATACATACATCACAATACTTGAGAAAGTTGACTCAACAATCCCATGATATTCTCTGTGCTTTTCGTTGTGTGAATTAGTTATGTACGAGTTTCAAATTTTATTGTTTTCTCCGATTGTTAATTAGAGTTGAGTTCATGAATTCAAAACTACTTAATTTTCAATTGGTACTTTTTTCTAAAATTCTTTACTATTTTACAGTGAATAGCGAGGCGAACGCTCGTAGAATAAACAACGTCGAGAAATGTTTTGGTGCATCAGGTCAACCTTTAGCCATACATGGACGTGTTCTTGTTGGTGAAGGAGTCTTAACAAAGTTATGTCGAAAAAAACCAAAACCAAGACAAGTATGACTGCTACAATGCTTCAATGAAGTTGTGGATTATGTTGTTTTTATCGTTTTTTTATTTAGTTTTTCCTTTTCAACGATATTCTTGTTTATGGTAATATTGTTATTAACAAAAAGAAAGTAAGTACAACTTTAATGAAATTGTTACATATTTTGACTGGTTTAACATTGTTTTGTGTCAATTAAAGTACAATAAGCAACATACCCTGCCATTAGAAGGTGTTCAATTGCTTGCAATTGAAGATGATGAAGGTAAAACTATATTTTTTCCCATTACACTTGAATTTGCCAAAGCATTTTATAATTGTTATTTACATGTCCTTTCATAATAGTTTTGAAACATGGTTGGCAAATCATTTCTCAAAAGAAATCATTTGCTGTTTATGCAGCCACTGCAACTGAAAAAGCCGAATGGATGGCTCACATCAATAAATGCATCACAGATCTTCTTTCAAAAAGTCAGTAAGATTAAATCCATCTCGGCACCATTTGCGTTGCTCACAAAATGAGATTTTCATCCAAATTTTTTCCAGCTGGAAAACAACCCTCCACGGAGCATGCAGCAGTTTGGATCCCAGATAATGAAGCCTCATTATGCATGCTTTGTAGAAAAACTAAATTTACCACTCTGAATCGCCGAGTAAGATGTTATGTTGATAAATTTGCCAAGAGTGATGAGTTTCTTCTTTATTTACTTTTATATTATTTCATGAAATGTGAAGAAGATGTATTTCATTAATAGCATCATTGTCGAAAATGTGGTGGTGTTGTTTGTGGTGATTGTTCTACAAAGAGATTCTTATTACCTCAACAGTCATCAAAACCTTTGCGAGTGTGTGACAAATGTTATAGTGAATTAACCAATGAAGTAAATAGTAGGGACATTGTAAAGTCATCAAATAAAGAAAAGAGACCCACAAGACCTCCACCACCTAAAGCAACAGCTAATAAAAAAGAACAACACAGGGTTGACAGTGGATCATCAGGTGAAGAAAGTGATGATGATGGAGATCAAACTGATGATCTTGAAGTAGAAACACAGGTATGAATTATAAAGCTTATGATTAGACAAATAATGGTTATAGAGGTATGATAAAAGAGATATGGATCAAGGTTGGATGCTTTGAGATAAATAGAAGGCCTTTGCTAAACAGAATCTTCAATTTGTATATAGCCAACATTTTACAAAGAAAATGGCCAACAAGATATAAATGGTAAGATGGACGAAGAAGAAGTCTCAATATAAATGGTAGCATGGACCTTTTGGACAAATCAAATGGAGAAGATTGAGAGAAATGAATTTATATAATTGACATTGCTAGAAATACAAACAAATGCCTACTTTATTTTTGGATGCTATTCTCTATGTTTTTATACTTTGTACAGCAAATTTATCAAGCTTAAATTAATGACATTTATAGACCAAGCAATTGTTATCTTTGTTTATTGTTTGATTTTATTAATAATCACCAACTTTTAGAGAAATATCCGAGAAATACTTGGCTAGATTATAGTGTGATACAGACCTTGAATATCTTAATCAGAATTTGCAACAATATGGCCAAAAACATTGTCAGACAGGTGATGTCACTGTAATTTTTCCACAATTTCTTATTATTCATCACATGATGTTATAAATACATATGATAGTTCATAAAACTACAAAGTTGAATTATATGTCTTCAAAAATTGCAAAATATACCAAGTGTGAGTTTTACCCAAAAAATAGTGATTATATATTTGATTATACAGTTCACTATAAAGAAGTTCACAAATGTACTAAACCTGGTGGACACAAGCATTCAGAACGGCATTCTTTTCTTGTATTTTGTATTTAAAATAGGATGATGTAATTATTTGAGACTTACACTGGTTCTACCATTTTGGAAACCATAGAACAATCTTTCCTTGTTTAAACACAAGCATCCAGGTTGTATGTTATCATTACCTGCTAAAAGCTCTCACTTAATGGTACAAATCCTTCAGATCATTCAACAAGTATTTTGGTAATGGTAGTTTCTTTATGTCTTCATGGTTTGTAGTTTGTTGAATCGATTTGAGACAAAGATTTACCAATGATTGTGCGTTAAACACTAAAATTGATCGCAAAGTCGTAAACACATCAAAGATGAAGCTGTTTATAAAGAATTTAAATATTGGCCATCGACCTATCGTGGACGATGTCATATTATGAAAAACAAAGAAACAATTTTCAATACGAAATATCAGCTTATGAACTTCATCTTACCTGGATTTCTGATGAAGACATTGGCTCGTTTCACAAGTAACTGAGAATTTAGTGTTTCCCGCGTCCTGGGTTGAGGTGGACGAAAAAGAAATCGACGATTAAGCCATAATCTTTGTTTATTCTGACAGTCCAGAGCTATCCATGGATGAGTTACAAAAGTATCAATAAATTTCACCGACATGGATGAACCACGTTTGCTCAATTCCCCATAGGAAACTTTTTCACCAGAGTGATTAAACCAAAACAATTCAACACTTCTCTCTGTCGTATTAACAAATTGCACAGGTGATTTTACAAGAGATTCAATTGATCTTGGTCTTTCACAGTTTTCCATTCTTTTCTAAGTAGAATGAGGAAATAGAAATATCATTTAAAAGCTTATATTTTTTGCAGAAAAACTTCGTCGTTTTGAATTACAGATAACATATTTAGGCCATCTATTTCAACGACGATTTCAATCTATTTCAATCAATTTCAGTGATCACAGAGTTGACACCAAAATGAAATCTATCATCCAGGATGATTTATTTGCCTTCGACGACATGTCGACAATTTCCGTCTCATTAGATGTTGGAGATTGTTAGAAGGTGGTGGCTGCTAAACTGGACTAAGCAGGATATACTTCATCGCTCGCATGTGTCTATGCCATAAGAGATAATAAAGATATTCATAGCCTGTGGTAACCTTTGGTCAGTTTCTGGTTCACTCATTTGACGCAAAATATGAAAATCAACGCGGTATTTGTCCAAATTATCGTAGTTTTATAGTTGTATTGTGATGAACTTTTGAGTAAACGATAATCTTTTTTCTTAAAAATTTAGACACAAAATGTTTGAAATTATTTCTCTATTTTTTCCTAGCCAAAAACCCTAAATAAATCGATTCGAAATTTGATATTTCCTGCGTCTACCATATGTAAATTGTCAAAGGCGACTCAAAACTTGTGCTATCCTGCTTTGTATGATTGCAAATATTATCGACTCGGTGTCTATAGAAATTGTGAACAATGTTAACTTTATCTTTGAAACAGTGTATTTTTTATTGTACAATTGCTGTCGTATGGTCGTCACAACAAATATTGCCTTCACTCATTTGGGATTTGAACAATCCAATGTAAGTGAAACCAGAAGCATTTATGATTATTTAAATATCAGAGTATATAAACCAGACAATCTTCGATCGTCTTTAGTATTTATTATCAAGTTAATGTCTTTGATATTTAATGTAGTCCATCTATATTTAAATGGCGAAAAGAAGTTTCCCAAAATGGCCTGTACAACAACACTTTCCTCGTTTTATACGAACAAATAAGCGACTGGACAACTGGGGTTAGCGTTGTTTGTAGTCATGAACCACCAATTTTGCTCCCAATGAAAAATTAATTCTATCTAGATTTCATATTCAAATGTATAAAATGTTTCGACTATGGATTTATGTGAATGTCGAACGTAGAATTTGTCTCCTAATTCGTAATGATGAACTGTATTACGATTGTTGAGTTCATAAGTGTTATATACGATAAGTAACAAATGTGTTCACTGAAAAGACGATATGATTTTGCCATTTTAAATTAATAATACTTTACACAGAATAAAGATTGTGTCGTAGGATATTAACCTTGACTTCCTTTGTGCTTCCTATCGTTCGCCTTTGTACTACCACCTTTAGGTAATCCTATCTAAACAATGAACAACGTAACAAGCGTTCACACTCCTTTGATGCACTAGTATTGTAACACTACAACGAAAAAAAATATTGTTAACGTTTTTGCCTCATAGAAATTAGAAAGAATTACATGAATGTTTTGTAATAAAATATTGAATTACTTCTACGCATAATTTTTCAGCGCAATTTTTTTCTGTTTTAAAAGTGTCAATTGTCGCTGCAACTGGTTGAATATTCCCGAATTTCAAAATTCCGATCGTATTAATGTGATTTGTCCCAAGTTCTTCCAATTCATGTCATATATGGAGCGAGATGTGCATAAATCAGCCGTATATTACAACATATTCCTTAGAAGACTCGATAGAAAGAATTATGACTTAAGTGATCTTAAACAAATGTTACAAAATGGGAGTTTCTGTGATCCATCACACAAAGACACAGGTAAACAGGGAAAAAACTATAAATTTGAAACACAACAACTCATTTCTCACTCATTTTTTGTTGTTAAGAAAAATTGCATACTTGTGTAAGGGACAAGAACGGAGAAGGAGATGCTGTTTTAAAATAAAAATCGGCTTAGTACCAGTCTTTAAAGAAGGAGATATTGCTGTTTTATTTGGTAAGATGAACTGACATTAGTATATAGATATTTCGAAACGTATAATGAGTGATAATATTATATTTAGGTAATACTAAAGATGGATCCAAAAAAGAATTAAGTAGTGTAGATAAAGTTTGCTCTATTGTGTTCGTGTTTGAAGTATCCCGGTCTAGAAAAGTAAAGTACGATTTTTCTTACGGAAAATGTCTCAACACAGGTAAAAAATTATGTAATTTAAAAAATAAATTTTACACTCGAATGGATGGTTAACTTGTACATAATTTTAGCTAGAAGAAAGCTAACTTTATGGTTTCATCTTTCCAGAACAAGCCAACTGCTCTGAAGTCAATGATGGGTGCAACTGTGGAAGTGAGGATACGACAATAAACTGTCTTAAAGATGTGTCAATGATATTTACTGTTTAATGTCACGTGCTTTTTTTTACTTTAGCTCAATCCTACTCTTCAAAATTGAACACAACATGTGAACGTGAGTCCGAAGGTAAAATGATGACGTTGTAACATGGTACATTGAATTCCTGCTCATTTATTGTCACGTTATTGTTTTCCGTTAGTTCAATCGAACAGCTCAAAATTGAACTCAAAACGTGACTTTGAGTCTAAAGGTAAGACAAACTTGCTTTCAGTCACGTATTTAAAGAAGTATCATCGTATTTTAATCTATCTTTTAAGCTATCTTAATATAAAATTTTCATGATACATAAAGTTTTTTAGAAATCGAAAATGTCTGTTGCCTCCCTGTAATTTGCCAAATGCAATCATTAAAATATTTTTTGTTTTATTGAATTCTATAACTAATAATATTTTGTTCATTTATTGAGTTCACATAAATAGAGAATTGAAAACTGGTCCAATTCTCATCGTCACAATTCGCATTGTGTTGAATTATCATACAACAATAACATTATCTGTTTACTTAGTGCAATTTAACAGTTCATTATTGAATGCAAATGCTAATTGCAACTGTCAATTTAGAGGTAAAGCATAATGAATTGTATTTTAAAATAATTACTGTAATGAACGCTATTTATATTCAACTTTTAATTAATCTGCGCTTATGTAGATTGATTTTTATGACACGTAGTGATGCAGAGTTGCTATAAAACTTCACTGAGATGATGCTATTTATTTTCCAGATAATCTGAATTGTTCCAGAGATCTTGTGAATGAAGGTGAAATATCAATATTTACGGCTATGATCAAGGGGCACATAGACAATAATTTTTTTTCTCTTTTCATTGCTTTTTAATGTTCCAATTCAGCAATATGTACTCCGTCATTTTAAAATACCATATGTTTTATACAGACAACAATGAGAATGTTACCAAAGCAAGCAAGAAATCGGCAATCCAGTGCTTCTGAAGATAAATTTTTGTATGGTTTTCTCGCGGGGTTCGTGACAGCGATAGGAGTAATAGGATTAATAGGAGTAATTCTGCTTTGTCTAGTGAAGAAAGGTTCGACTTTAAACATTCATTCAAGTAACATTTTTTTAACACAAGATCAACATGCAATTACGTAGTTAATGACTTTCAATTAATCATATTTCAAACCATTTATTTAGTCCATCCTTACTACAAAAAAAAATCAGGCGACAAAACTCTTGAAAAAGAAATAGGTTTGTCGAATCCTTCTTCTTACAGTTTTTCATCCTAGCTATTTAGAATAAAATCATTCTCCACTTCTTAGGTCATGTTAATCGTTACTTTGCACCAGTTTCACCAAAACGAGTGACACCAGAAAACATTGAAGGTAATGTTTAGGGAAGAATAAAAGTCTTTTATTTTGGAAAAAATATTTTTTAAAATCATATTTCGTTTTTTCAAGAAATATTTGTCACATTTAAAAGAGACACGTCCTTTATTTCTAACTTGTGTTTTAAGATCAAATATTGGAAAAAGAAGAAGAAAACAAACAAGAGACAAACAAAGATAATTATGCCGGTGTGTGTTGACATAAACATTGATCACGTGTCAAGATATTGAATAATGATTTTATTTGAGAATTAAAATATAAATTATTTAATATTGATGTCATTTTAAAACAAACATTTTTGTTAAGTTTGATGTACAATTAAGCCAATATCATTACAAGACATGTATAAATCTCTGTTGTTCTAGAACATAAAGTAAAATCGACTTACATTAATAAATGAGGTAAATACATGGCTTAGAATGTTGTTTTTCTAAGGGTGAAGGTATGAATTTAAGGGTTATGATATGAAGTTAAGGAGTAACATATAATGTCAAGGGTGATGGTATGAAGTCAAATAAGGTAGGAAGTTATGGGTTAAGGTTAAGTATTGAGGGCGGATAAAACAAGTAAAGGAGGAAAATGAAAAGTTAAGGGGCTAAGAAATTACATGCAATGCCAATAAATATTTCGTAATCCTGTTCTTTTAAACGAAAGATTTGTTTGTTCGTATGATTGTAGCTTTTCTAAATCGATTTTCTTTCTACCTTCCCCGTCGAAAGACCCCCAATAATAATTTTCTACACATGCACAGTCAAATCATCAGAATTATTTAGCTTGACAGTGTTGTGATATGTAGGGATTGCCCCAATCTTTAAGGTCAGTGAGACTACACGAAGTAAAACATGAAGTTGACGGTAACGTCGATTTGAATATTGAGAACTGATGTAGATCGTGCAGGTTAGTATAGTCCTGAGAAGGACTGTTTTTGTTGTTGTTGACTGACTTTTCGACAACCTTAGCGGTAGTCATCTTCATAGTCAAGTCATTTTGACTCCAGGTTCAAACCGGGTTCAAACCATGTACTTTATTGAGAACTGACGTAAACGTTTCTCGAGATGAATTATATTTTGGCATTCGAAACAAAGAAGAGTTTGTTATCTATAAATAGTAAATGGATATGTGTAGGGGAAATCAATTTTCAGATTTTAGTTGAGTTGGCACGTTATGATTATGTCCTAAATCGTATAGACTTTTTTGAGTTTACGCCTATTCGAATGATGGCAATTCTCAACTCACCGTAAAAATCAATCGAAACCCAGACTTGTGCCTTAAATGCAGACACCACAGAACACGAAGAATTACTTGTAAAAACAATACACACGAACAAATGTTCCCAGAATATATGAATTTATAATATTGATGTAACAAATATGTTTTTTTAGTCTTTGACACTTTTACCTCTTCAAAGAACTGTGGACATTTAACCTTGAAAAAAGTCATGAATATTTAAAAAGCATATAAATATTGACAAAACTCTGTGGTGATGACATACTGTATAATGTTAACGACTTTAACATCTTTATTACTCAGGAACAAAATAAATTTGTTGTCGTTGAAGTTTATATTACAGAATGAAAATAATAATCTTGTCGTTAGAACTTATAATATTCTATGCAAATTCATTTGACTACGTGGACTCGGCCAGATTTTTACCGTCGATTATATGGGATAATCTCAACACTTTGTAAGTACAAGAGAATTGGAAAATGGGAATCGTGTATTGATCGTTTATTGTAAACTTACATAAATAAAAAGTTCACTTTGTTAAAGAAGTTGTTTGATATGTAACACTAACAAAACACATTACTACTGTGAATATCGACCTATGTGTTGATTTAATATAATATTTATACTTGCCATAAATCTCTAACAACTATTCATCATCATCATGCAGTCAGTCGTAAGCGACGAGGACTGTTCTATGGTTGGATTGAAGCTCTCCAGGCCGGTCTGTTATCAGCCAGTTGCTTCCAGGTTGACACGTTGATGTCTCTCCTCTTTAGATTTCGTTTCATGACATCTTTGAGTCTGAGTCGAGGTCGGCCTTGGTTTCGTTTCCTTCTACTAGTTGGCTGTACAATAGCTGGCGTGGTAAACGAGATCTCTCCATACGATGGACATGACCAATCCATCTTAAATTCTTTTGAATCAGCATGTCAGCCATGTGTGGCAGGTCAGTCAGACGGAGAATCTTAGCATTTGCGATCTTGTCCCGCCATGATATCTTCAGAATGTCCCGCAGTTGTCTCATCATATACGCACTCAGTTTCTTCACTTGAAGCCTGTAGATTGTCCATGCCTCTGCTCCATAAAGGAGTGTTGTCAGCACCACCGCCTGATAGACCTTGGCTTTAACTCTGGTCGAGACATGCTTATTTTGCCATAGCCGATCGTTTAGTTGACTGAACGCTGCACTCGCCCTTCCCATTCTGTTCCTCAGCTCCTTTTCAATCTTAGCATTGCTGGAGATTGTACTACCCAGGTAGTTGAAGTCTGTGGTCTGGACAAGAGGCTTTCCGTCAATGGTGATTGCACAGGGTTTTAGGGGAGGGAGTAGAAGCTTTACTGGGTGGTAGAGGCACTCAGTCTTTTTGATGTTTATCTTGAGGCTAAACATAGCGGCAGCTTGTGCAAATTTGTCCACCAATGCCTGCATCTCTGCTGCACTGTGAGCAACCAGAGCACAGTCGTCTGCAAAAAGCATATCTCTGACAACTATTATTGATTGGTATAACTACAACCAACAACTATTATTGATTGGTATAACTACTATCATTAATTTGATTCCAGGAAGACAAAATCACAAACAGAAATATTTAAGACTTTCCTTGGTGTCGATTCTTTGGGAATCTTACGATCCATCACAACAATAAAATTTAAATACATATTTTCTATGATTTGGTTCTTTCGTTCATAAGATTTTGAAGTAGTTTAGATTTTTAAACATGTTAAGTCTAAACTATAGTTGAAATACGGACGTTATAAAATACATTTAAAAAAATACAGCTCATTTATAACGATTTATTAACTTCAATTAAGTTTTGACATAGATAAGATTAATCTTCCTATTATTAGATGTCCTTTGGTATCTCCATAATGTCACTTAAATATATAAATGAATTTCATACATTTACAGCAAACTAATGACCATTGGCGTGATACATATATATACATTGTTCATAATCTGACATTTTATCTTTGTTCATTTTTGTCGCGTTTAGTTGTATTTTTGAAACTAAAATAATGAAAGAATTAATTTTTGGACATAACAAATACATAAAGGCAAGCCAATCGTCAAGAGCTTCAATGTGATGGAAAGTAGGAAAATATTTGAGGTGGACAAGAATCTTCTATCAATAATATACCATTTTATAGCTATTTAAAACATGATTCTACTACGTTTGGAAGTATTCTATTTTGCTTTAGTAAATTGTACTTATGTAAGAATCTAAAAATATTTTAGTGTTAATATCACTATTTTTATGGATATTATCAAGTGCTAATTATGTGCTTTCAATTGTATTCAAATGTTGTCTACAAAATCACTCTAGCATAGCAACCTCATCAAAGAAACAATTAAACAGACAACGCTTTATATATCACGTGTTGAAATTAAAGCAAACGTTTCATGTGATGAACATTCTATAGAAACAAATATAGATGCAACATTGAACTTTCTCGTCAATTCTTTGTGCTTAAATTGACGACATTACATTATAATTAGAAAATTCTATAAGCACGATCAAAAGTACATGACATACAATTTCATCAAACAGCTTTAGTTTATTTAGTTATAACACTCAAGGTTACATCTGTTTATTGTAACACGTAGCTTTGACATTTTTCATTTTTGATAATTATCTTTCAAATTGTTTGTGCCATAAATTTAAAATCTCCCCCTTATTGCGATATGCATCAGCACTGACATATGTAGATAAGCATTTACGCCATAAATTTATGGTAGAGAAGAAAAACTAACTATAAAAAATTATATTTAGTTTTATAATTGTTTTATTTCACGGATAAACTGATGAATAGACTTTCCAGTTTAAAATTTTAAATGATAAAATACGAAGATGCTTTATACAAAAATAAAATATTTACGGAGCTACTACGGTTACAGATCTCTTCTTATGAGTTATGACATCACTTCACCCAAATGATCCTTAACACAACATTATAATTTCAATGAAATTACAAATGTTCCACCACTTTCCATTAAAAACTGCAAATTTAACACAGTTAGGCAATATCATTTCACAATAAACATAATCTTTGTATACTTTTTGTTGTTGTTAGTTGTAAAAACAAGATGTCCAAATGTTAATTTTCCCAATACATGGTTATGATGGAATTGATGTAAAAATTCAAAGAATCGCCAAAAAGATTAAAATACGTATAGTTATGCATCACTTGGCAAGATTGAAAGTTCAAAATTGAAAAGTCAAAGTTTCGTTTGTAGGTTGTGCTGTCCATACAACTGGCTAAAGATCTCGTATGTTGACATGCATGATATGATGGACTTTGTGTGTCCGACGCCAATGTTGACGGTGAAACAAGAAAATCGTCATCAAAGGATTTCTGATACAATGAATTTTCATTTATTTCGACGAGAATGGAAGGGAAATTTAAAAGAATTGCAACAAAGTATTATAAATGGAACCATTCACTCATTTTGCAATGTATCACATCAAGGTACGAATTGCTATGTACGTAAAAAGAGATTTATACGTTACAAGAAAATAAACACAAATTTCACTATTTATAACACATATCGAACATAGTTTACGTAGAGAAATCCAACGTGTCTCAACTGTTCTTACTAAATGATGATTTAACGTTAACATAAAGAAAAAAAAAACTATCAAAACATCAATCATACTTTTCTATCATTTCTTTACTGTTCTTTGTTTTGATTTAGACTCAGTAAAACTTCATACATGTAAGGAAGGTAAACAAAGTTATTTCAAAGTAAAGTTCTCTCATCATATATTTGATCTAAGGCGAGAAAAATATGACAGATACCAAAACAGTAAAACCTACGTCTTTTACAGTAAGTGGTGGCAATGAAAATGTTTCTTTTCATAAAAACACACACATTTATTGCACGTTAAAATTTGAAGGTAATGGTAATGGAGATGTATCATCCTTAGCAAGTACAAAAATCACGTGTACGATGATGTTTGCAGTACGCACCACGTCAAGTGAGAAACAGGAGTTTAATATGATTTACAATAAGGAAGGTATGTAGCCACCACGTCACATGAGAAACAGGAGTTTAATATGATTTACAATAAGGAAGGTATGTAGCCACCACGTCACGTGAGAAACAGGAGTTTAATATGATTTACAATAAGGAAGGTATGTAGCCACCACGTCACATGAGAAACAGGAGTTCAATATGATTTACAATAAGGAAGGTATGTAGCACCACGTCACATGAGAAACAGGAGTTTAATATGATTTACAATAAGGAAGGTATGTAGCCACCACGTCACGTGAGAAACAGGAGTTCAATATGATTTACAATAAGGAAGGTATGTAGCACCACGTCAAGTGAGAAACAGGAGTTTAATATGATTTACAATAAGGAAGGTATGTAGCCACCACGTCACGTGAGAAACAGGAGTTTAATATGATTTACAATAAGGAAGGTATGTAGCCACCACGTCACATGAGAAACAGGAGTTTAATATGATTTACAATAAGGAAGGTATGTAGCCACCACGTCACGTGAGAAACAGGAGTTTAATATGATTTACAATAAGGAAGGTATGTAGCCACCACGTCACGTGAGAAACAGGAGTTTAATATGATTTACAATAAGGAAGGTATGTAGCACCACGTCAAGTGAGAAACAGGAGTTTAATATGATTTACAATAAGGAAGGTATGTAGCACCACGTCAAGTGAGAAACAGGAGTTTAATATGATTTACAATAAGGAAGGTATGTAGCACCACGTCACGTGAGAAACAGGAGTTTAATATGATTTACAATAAGGAAGGTATGTAGCACCACGTCACGTGAGAAACAGGAGTTTAATATGATTTACAATAAGGAAGGTATGTAGCCACCACGTCAGTCATAAAACTGACACAAACAGAAGTACAAACGCATAAGATAAAGAGTTATTGCCTAAAATCAATCATTGCTATGTGACTACTAAGTAAACATTGCTAAGACCATGGTAACATTGCTATAACTATGGTAACATTGCTATAACTATGGTAACTACAACTATGGTAACTTTACTATAACTATGGTAACATTGCTATAACTATGGTAACTACAACTATGGTAACTTTACTATAACTATGGTAACATTGCTATAACTACGGTAACATTGCTATGACTAAGATAACCTTATCATGGTACATATATTCATTTGCTACATTATTCATTTTAGTTTCACAAAGCAAATGTCAATGTGATCAGATGATAAGCCTAACTCAACAACCAACTACTCAACGTGTGACGAAAAAAACATTAAACTCTTCAATTATAAACCAATCATCCCATGCAAATAAGAATATGTCTGAAAAAGCTATTCTTCCCATCTTCACTTCTCTCAAAACACAGGCAGATCATGATAATTCAAAAACAACTTTAGAGTTTTCCACAACAGACATACCAACAGGTAAGAAACAACATTATATTTAATGCTGCTGATCTCGTCGTACATATTTCTCAAGCATTTAAAATTGGAGGTGTTAGTGGTTTATTGATATTTGAACTAGTGCTTATAGCTCACATTTCTTATTGTATGGACTTCTTACATGAAAAAATAATTGAGGTTTTTTAAAAGGGAAAATATAGCTATGAAAGGTCGTGTGAGATTTTTAATCATACGGCAGAATCGCTCTTCCATAACCCCCCCTCGGAGCCTTTTGTTTCAGGTTTTCTATTTTATGAAATAGTTTCCTTATCTTTGCTGGTAATTTTTTATATTCATTTAGTGACAAAAATCGTTATAGAGAAGAAAAATAATTGGATAAACATACCAATTCTCGCGATTATAACAGGAGTGTCGTTTCTAATTGGAATATTAACTTCTCTCGTATTTTACCAGTTCTATAGAAGAAAATCAAAATCTCAAAACGGTACACAAGTAGCAATAAATAAGGACTCAGCATGATTCTCACTATACAAAACATTACATTATAATCAGAAGATGCACTTTCATAATCACACTTCACATATTATAGTTCTTTGCTTGCAAGCAGGTATTACATAAGATTCATAGTAACATTGTGTTTTATTATTAGCAAGGTAAAAGTTAATATGAAGTTTTCATTTAGCAAACAAATATAAAAAATTCTTTTAGACGTCTTTGATGGATATGATATAAACAATCAAAGTTATTATCGTCGAAGACTCGAATCCGGGAATGCCAGTGCAACATTAAGTATGTCGATATAATTTAAACTTTCACCATTACTTTTAATTATTATTTGAAGGTCATAATTTTGGTAAAATCGAATGAATATAAGATTTTATTACTCATTGCATGTTTCCATATTGAATAAAAACGTTGAGTGCAATCTAAATATTTAAACAAATGTTTTCTTTTGGAAAATAAGAATATTGCAGATTTAGATGACCAATGAATAATATTTCTAACTTCATGTTTTACTTGATTTATAGTGGCTAAAATTGGTGATTAAAATGTCAAAAATGTCCAATCACTTAACAAAGCAATCTACTAAAAGATAAAGACACAAAATGTAGATTTAAAAAATGACGATGGGCTTGAAAGATTCCAACAAGATTTTATATTATTCTATACTGTTTATTATAGAGGTTAAATGTGATTTCAACGATTACAGTATACAATTAGTAAAACTTGTTATGTAAAACATAGTTTATTAAATTATAGCCAAGTATCAATCAAGCTTTTATGACTGGCAACCCACAACTGTTACAATTGGCTGTAGTAATTAAAATGAACCTATAATTAGTAGAACCAAACTATCAAATGTTATAACTTAATTGGCTGATTTGATAAACATGAAGGTGAATAGTTTTAACCTGGGAGTATTGTTCCTTGTTTGTATATGTTAAGTTTCCATGTTAGTGTAGTCCTTAGAAGAAATGCTGGTGTAGATGTTGACCACATCAGCGCTACTTATATGACAAAAACAAAACAACAGGCCTATGAAAGGAGATGAAGATCGAAGAAAGCATGAGTTCTTCTGCAAGACTGCAAGCTCACTGTCACTGTCGCTGACTGTCTCTGGACCTGATCTTAATTTGGGTGGGAACTAGAGTGGAAACAACGTCCAAGTGCAATGAGATAGATCCAGAGTGCAAGCCTGATTTACTCAGGGAATTGTTCGGGCACAAAACCCACATGCAAGACCAGCTAAGACCTAATGCAAGTTGAAAATGGCAAAGTTCTAATTTAAAGCAAATAAACATACCAAAAAACAAATAAGTCTTCTTCCCTTGTTTGTTTTCACTCTTCTAAACATCTTTCATTCTTAAAAAAGAAAAATTAATTTAAATGTAAAATAATCAAATTTGAAGGTTTTAAGTGCTAGTTAAAAGCATAGATAAGGATGTGTAATTAGAATATTCGAATCTTATTGAGATGAAATAGTTATTCTAGAGTGGTATAAGTTAGTTCCTACAGTAAATAGTAAAACAGTAATAGTAAAACTATTGGCTTCGCAATAATAAAAAAACAACGAAAAAAACCTCCCTTGTTTCTATTCACTCTTTAGCATTTGAAAACCGGGTTTTCCTTTTCTTTTTGCTCAAATACATTAACTGCCTCAATTAGGTTTTTGTAAATATCTTTATTTTCCCATTCAGGGAGATATTGCGAGAAATTTTCAAATATATCCGCCATTTGTTTTGAAAACGTGAAATTTTCTGTGACGTCATTCCGTATGTCCCTTACAGATCATGGCTCTCGACCAATGAAATCGCTCAAATTCTTCTGGTATTAAATTATACATTCAACATGGCTGAGAAGGAAAGGTTAAGTATTTGGGATTTTACAGAAGCTAAACTAAAATGCGAAGAAAAGCATTCCTGTTTTGTAGAGATCGAAAGACAAGAACATATTTCTTTATCTCCATTTTACATTGGACGCATAAACCTTGGAGTTCAAGAACAAATTGAAAAAAAAATACGACAATGGAAGTATTTGGAAGAGTATGGTGGTGTGATAGTTGCTTATGAGAACATCAAGTTACTGGAGAGATTAGCAACCATCGACGACGAATCACCATTAATACATTTTGATATAAAAATCAGTTATATTATATTCAAGCCAGAACTAGGTAAAAAGTTAGTGGGAATTGTTAACAAGATAAGCAATAGTCATGTCGGATGTTTAGTACATGGACGATTTAACGCATCATTGAAGAAATCTGATTTATATCAAAATGATCGAATTGAAAACAAAACATTCAATATTGGAACTCAATTTGTATTTCGAATATGTGATATAAATACCGTAGGTGGATTGTTATCTATTGCTGGTTGTGTTAAAGAAAAAGATAAGAAATATATCAGGTTAACATGTAATTAATGGTCAATATTTTGAAGCAAGTTATTTATGCTAATATTAGATTTATATATAAGAACTTTCAAGTCACTGTTTTTATATTTAGATATTTTGAAATAGATTTTTCATGAATGGGTGAATTAAATCAAGTTAAAACTTTATGGGAATACATTAATCTTACATAAACAGTAAAATACATGTGAGAACATTTAATCCTTTTGTTCCATCTTGTTATTGCTCAAAATATGTTTAAGGAAAAAAATGATGGCACTTATGAAAGACAGATGTTGAAAAACAGAATACCCTACCTAGGTTGCCCAAAGACTGAACTATGTGATGTATTTTAACAAATGCTAAATATGGAGAGATATGTTAAGCACAGGTGGACATGAAGGGGCAAATCACGAAAAAGTAAAACAGAAGAGCTCAACAAGTTTTAAAAACAAAGAAAAAAATGACGAGTTGTGTCAATATTTTTTTAAGAATACACCAATCTTTTGAGAAGTAACTTCATCCCATATTTTTAAAGAATACACCTATTTTTTGAGAAGTAACTTTATCCCATATTTTTTAAGAATACACCAATCTTTTTGAGAAGTAACTTTATCCCATATTTTTTAAGAATACACCAATCTTTTTGAGAAGTAACTTCATCCCATAGTCAACAGGTGAATTTAACATTTTGAATGTTGGAGGCATTCTCCAGACATTACTAATGGTAAATTCCAAACAAATAAAAGGGTTAGAAAACACTCATCAGTTGTAAAATGGATTAACAAAATTTCATTGCAGATTGTAGAAAAACTTGAAACTGCCCATCCCCAGCTAAATCGAAATGTTATAGACCAAGTCGAAGTTATGGATTTTTTTTGTATTATATGACAAAATTTGATCAATTAAACAACAATCATCAACCATCAATATTAAACGATGAACTTATTGCAACACCAAATAAAGCCTTACTCACTACCCACGCATTGACAACGACGTTCACGTGAAGGTAATTTGATAAGGAAGCATTTAAAGACCGTTCCCTTTCGTCAAAGGACGAAGGTGAAAATAGAAAGACAATTAGACATGCGTTTTGGCTTATTTATAACAACAAAAGAGTATTATAGATTCTCAGGTGTTAAATGTCATATTTGAGAGATGCGACGGTTAATATTTCTTCATATTCTTGGATTTTTATTTTATAAATGCGATGGAACAAGAGTAATGCCAACGGTAATCTGGGATTATAATAATGGCTTGTAAGTTTATAATAATAATTTCATATTTTTCTATTTTCAAACAACATATAGATATGTATAAATTATCGACTTTAAGCGCGATTTATATAAATAAATTTCGTATATATGGGTTATCGAATGTTAACGCTTCCATTAACGTAACTTGTTAACGATTCCGTTGAATGTAAAATATGTGAAGACTCAGAACTCAACTTACAGTCTTGTTTGTAAAAATTATTTCAAACTTTTGTCACTAAAATATACCAAAATGTATCATTAAAAAATGTTTAAGTTTTACTTCAACGTAGAAAATGCTATAGACACCTGATATATTACTGACAATATCACAGATGACGCGACAAAAAAAACCGAATAATAACAAAAAATTACAAGTTTGTAAATGTAGATCGTCCAGGTTGGTGTAGTCCTGAGAAGGACTGTTTCAAATGACTCAAATGACTCTGAAGATGACTACCGCTAAGGTTGTCGAAACGTCAGTCAACAACAAAACAGTCCTTCTCAGGACTATACCAACCTGGACGATCTACATTTACAAACATGTAACGATAATCCGGGTTCAAACCATTTACTTTCAAAAATTACAACAAGGAACTAACAAAAAATACAATAAATTGATCTATTATGTCACCTAGAATCTAATACTGATCTAGGTAGCCAGTTTGAATGGAAAAATTACATTTTTAATACAAAACTTGTATCTTTCGTAATAATATACAATATCCATGGTGATATTCATAGTTTCTTACTCTTTTAATCGCATTTTAAAGACTTAACTATGATTTCTACTGCGACACCTAACAATTCGTTTGTCAAATAAGGAAAAAATATGTATTGAAAATAACTCTGAATCAGGTTAATTAAATTTACGTTGAAGACACGTTTTAAAAAATAATTGAAGATTTTAATAAACGAACGGTTAAACTATTTTTTATCCTGTCCAAAATCTATGACATAAAAGAAAAGTTGTTTGCTTTATGAAAAGAAATATGACAGTGATTTAATAAAATACCAAGAGTTTCCACGTATTATAATATTTGCTCTTTGAAAATCTCTAATACTTTAAAAATGTATCATGGATAACAGGGCGCCATATTTAGCGTAGGGATACTTTAAAAGAAAGCGATTTTTATCAATAATTCTTATGAATTACACCCAGAATGAAATGGAAAAAAAGCTCAGTGATTAGATGTATTCTATAAGGCAACCACACAGCTTGTGTCATTCATGATTTTTAAGTGACTCTTAAATAACATGTTTGACTATTTTCGATTTAATGTGTTTTGTTCCACAAGAGCAAAAGGGTGCCTTTTCCGTTGTCGAAAACAATAGATGAAAGCTCTTTAAAACTGGCAATTTGATACTTGACTATCATTTCGTCAATCTTTAGCGGAAATCTCAATACAAAAGAATATTTATTAAATTTAAGTTTAGCAGCATTGAATGTGTTAATATAAAAGGTTTTTATAAGCCAAAAATATTTAAAACTCAAAGAGCTCAATTATAAATCCAACAATACTTTATTCACACTAATGGCATAAACAGATATTCTATTTAAGAAATATGTTGAATCATCGAGAAATGTGGCCAAATAAATAAAAAATTCAAAACAAATATTCAACAATGTTAGTTATTCTACTTTATTCTTCTCTCTACAATATAAACCTTGCAGTATAGATGTAGATTCGTACCTTTGCAGTTGATATCTTCAAATTTTTTATTCATTATTTTTCATTGCAAAACGGAGTAATTAAGTTAGCAGATAACGGAAATACAACAAATACTTAATTGACAAAGTTTGAAAATTCCGCCATATTGTCGATATCAATGGTGGTTAGGAACGTCACAAATGCAACGTCACCACCCAACCATATGGTTATCAATTTAAAATTTTCAAATGCACTTGATCTTTTTTGACGTTTTCAAAATTTTTCATGAATGAACATGCACGCAGATGCGCTTCTTAATCTTTTCTTATACTTTCGTAACATCAAATTTCGTCAACTAAACTTGTTTTGATTCAATATTTTAGATTGTCATGCAAGTATAATTGGCTAAACAGTAAGTAATAACTGAGTCACCGTAAAAAGGGATAATTGATGTGGAGTTCCATAGATAAATGTCTATAAAACCTCCTTTCGTCTTCATCGTTAGGCTTAAGAGCTGATAAAATGCTAACGATGAATGAAGTCTACGATCATATTCACTTCGTCTGCCCTACACCAAGTATAAATGTGAAAATGCTGGCATCCTCACGACCTGGAACGCGCATGAATTATAATGTCTTCATGAGAAAGTGGTCGGGTGAAAAAGATGAAAATGGATTGAGAAAATTGAGAGACCTACTGGAAAATGGAACGTTTTGTGATCCTAGACATAGTGAAACCAGTAAGTTTGTGAATGCTGTTGTTTTGAGTTTTTCTTATAAACTACAAATTTTATCTTTATGTCACTCCTGAATCCTAATGAAGACACTAGACGAGTGATAAGAAAAGGTTTAAATATACATGACTTCTTTTGATGAAGACGTCAGTAGTATCGTTTGCTTGTACGATACATCACTCTGAATGAAGTGTATAAGAAAAAAGTCAACTAAATAACGCAGATTTGGCAGCAAATTTTCAGATTTCATGACTTGTTTTGTACTTTCATAGAGGCGCTATACACGTGCAGAAATGGTAATGAAGGACAGTCAATTACTATAAACTTTACACCGCAAGAGAAATTTTATGAAAATCAATTGATTGTTTTTTTTAGTGAGTTTCAATCTTTATTTATTTGATTATTTCATTTATAAAAACAAATTTGAGCAATTTTTCTTCGTTTGCAATTTATAAATAGACAATGAAGAAGATGGCAACGTTCAGAGCCTTTCATCGCAGAAAAAGAAATGTGCAATGGCTTTTATAACTCTACTGACGTGGAGAATTGATGCTAAATACGATATGACATATAGCAAGATCACAAATATTTCGGGTATGAATCGCTAGTTATGTATAAATATGTAATGACAAAAATTGATAATTGAAGGGTTTTTTATTGAGAGATTCTTAAACGTACAATTATCAGTTAACCAATTCTACGTTTCACATTTGAAAAACATATCTTTCCAAAAACGAAAAATTACAGGCACCTGAACGTGATAAAAAAATTAATGTTTTTCTTTAACTTTTCTTTAGATCCAAGATGTAAAAGTGTAACCTTAGATCGTCCAACACCAAAACCTTCTACAATGTCAACTACTCAAAACACGACAAAAACTACCCCATCAATTACAACGAACATAACAAAATTCACCCCATCAATTACAACGAACACGACAAAAACTGCCCCATCAATTAAAACGAACACGATGAAAAATGTAACAACAAAAATAAGAGATAACACGACAACAAAACCTCCTGCAATTCCTCGTATTGAAAATTTACGTTCCTCTTCTTCAGATGGACAATGGAATTTTTTATATGGACTTTTAACCGGTGGTTTAGGCACATTAGTTGTGGTTATAATCTCTTTTATAACATATTACGTGATCAAAAAGAGGGGGAAAAAAAGTAAGTAAAGTCAAAATTTTTCTTACATTCAGCAGGATAAATTCAAGCGCAGACGATGTACAGAACTTATCTCTGTAACCTTAAAATGAGCAATAATTGTCTTTTAATCTTTTCATAGCTGAATCGTCAAGTTCAAGCGAAAACCAAGCAATGAAGCAATTCCCTCCAGGTTAAAAATTTTTTTTTTGTAGAAAATGTTGCCCAAGCAATACAATTCAATATTGCCATCCATCAAATCAATTCAACCATATTCCATTATGTAGTTTTATTCATGTCAGTTAGGCAGTAAGTTAAATTACCAAGTTTAATGTAATCATTACAGGTATCGACAACAGGGGTTATGATAAAACGATATCTCGAGATAAAGTGATCGTTTAGACAACACACACAACAGTAAGTCAAAACACAATTTTACTTTACCTAAACCATTTATAATAATTTGGTGGAATGTTTTTATTTTCGACAGGTTGCCAATCGAAATTATCACTTGTAAAGTCATCGTACACGAATTAACATAAATCACCATTAGAATAAACACGTCATCAGATACAAAAACGTAAACGATAAATGGTTAGAAATCGATGTTGAATCAGAATGACGTCATCAATATTAATTGTTATATTAAATTAACATAATGTAATAATAATCCATACACTTCTTTTGCAGTCTTTTGCTACTTATTTCACTGAACAAATATGTAAATACACTGCAATGTAAATTATATACAAATACATAAAAAGTGTTGGGTATCCTTTAGGTTGAGTGGTACGATCTCGTTATGTAAAGTTAATATAAAACTATCCAGTAGCGTTCATATTTGAACAATCCCAAAGTTCTGAAATTTTTGCTAACAGTCCACATAAAATTTTCAAATGAAAAATCTTGCTAACCATTGCAATATTACGTCAGTTTCTTTAATTTTACCATGCATTTTCGAAAGTTTATCTAACTATACCATACTTTTTGTTGTAATTACTTTTTTGTAATTCAACAATAATTATTATTGGTGAAAATAAAAGATAAACAAGATCAAGTGTAAGAGACTTAAAACACAATTATCAAAAATTGTACTTTACCTTTGCTTTGCAAATAATCAAATTGAGATACAGTTTCTATCATTCATGAGCTGAATGTTGTGCAGTATCCCTGGTTATATTGAGACACAGTTTCTATCATTCATGAGCTGAATGTTGTGCAGTATCCCTGGTTATATTGAGATACAGTTTCTATCATTCATGAGCTGAATGTTGTGCAGTATCCTGGTTATATTGAGATACAGTTTCTATCATTCATGAGCTGAATGTTGTGCAGTATCCCTGGTTATATTGAGATACAGTTTCTATCATTCATGAGCTGAATGTTGTGCAGTATCCCTGGTTATATTGAGATACAGTTTCTATCATTCATGAGCTGAATGTTGTGCAGTATCCTGGTTAAATTGAGATACAGTTTCTATCATTCATGAGCTGAATGTTGTGCAGTATCCCTGGTTAAATTGAGATACAGTTTCTATCATTCATGAGCTGAATGTTGTGCAGTATCCCTGGTTAAATTGAGATACAGTTTCTATCATTCATGAGCTGAATGTTGTGCAGTATCCCTGGTTAAATTGAGATACAGTTTCTATCATTCATGAGCTGAATGTTGTGCAGTATCCCTGGTTATATTGAGGAAACAATTGACTCAACAAATGCGTGAAGCGTGTCCCCATTTATTAACGATTGAAGTCAACGAAGCACTTCGAAAACAGCAATTACAAATGTTTAAAAGCTGTCACAAAAAATACGGCCACTAATCACCGTTCATAAAACTGCAGTTTAAATCGAACGTGAGTTGAGAAAATCACTAATAAATATCTCATAACGTTAATAGATGATACCTTTTTGGTAAAAGAACAACATTCTAGAAATTAACAGCAAGCTTTATTTTAGTTAAACAAAAGCACTCAAAGAATTTTTTTAAATTGAAAGAAAAAGTAACAAATTTCTTTCAACTCACACTCGACCTGTTTCAACAATCCACAAAAATCAACACGTTTAAAGTTCATCTATAAAAATCGATGAAACTTCCATCATCAACTCTTTAATCATAGTCAGCCCCAGGTCGTTCGTCCTCTTCTTCAGTACATTTATCGCACAGTTCATCTAAATGATTTAAGTTGGACGAGAAAAAATGTATCAGACATGAATATTATACAAACATTAAAATTGAAAACAATCTTCAGATGGACCAATGATAATGAAAATACAAACTAAAGATGTGACGGTAAGGAAAATCCTGTTTTAAAAACACAATCTTTAACTTACTCAGAGTATCACGGATTCTTTCCCAGCCTCGACGTGGGATAGTTACGCAGGCTCTGTAATTATTTGTCACCTTGATAAATTCAACAAGACTTGTTTAATGTTATCATGTAATTATCATTCTTCTGCCAGTGAAATATAGGTTATATGGAATTTGATGTTTAAACGTTTGTCAGCTATTGAAACACTAATTATTGATTCAATTTTTCTTACCTCTGAAAGTCGAACAAATACTCCACGAATGTTGCTGCCAACATCAAAATAAAATCGTTTCTGTTCAACCCGAACTTCCTTTGCTTCAGGTAAGTTCATTTCATCTTCCTCTGTCACATGATTGATTGATGTACATTTTAACGAATGAAATTTCTTTTTGAAATATTTTTTGCCATGCGGAGAATTTAATCGCACAATCGCAAAGATTTTAAAAATTTATGCTTGTTGGGCAAAGCAATGATAAATGAGAATTTCTGCATTTTTCTTACAGTATATTGAATAAATAAGATAGTAGTAAGATGCATTACCTTCATCCATACCAAATTCGTCAAGTATCTCCGATAAAGAATTCCTAATGTCAGCTATACCTTGAGCGGGAATAGCTAGTTTATTGCTGTTGTTTGGACCTGCATTCCACATTGCTTGGGCAAACTGTTAATAAAGTTTGAATAAATTTTATCATTCCTATGTTTTAACAGGAATACTTTTTCTCATTCTTACCCTAAGGAAATATCCACGTTTGTTTTGTCTGAGGTCAAAATGAAAACGTCTGTTATTCCTTTGCAAGTGATCACTAAATATATTTAAATGTAACTTCAACAAGTGAAATCAAAAGAGGAAGGAAAATATGTACAGTGATGTATTTGATAGACTTCATTTTAATAAACTAATCAGGAAAGTAATTCACACGAATAAAATAGGAATCATAATTATTAAACAACTATTTATTAAAATAAAATTCAAAATCATACAGTATAATACAGTTGGAGCCATAGAAGAGAATATTGAAATGAATACATACCTCTTAAGTGTTCGTCCTGGCTGATCTAAAACAAATAATCACAATGATATTTTTATAATTCATCATTAAATCAATACGTATATTGCTACTTTAAATCAACAAATTTTAATTTATTTGTTGAAAAAGTTGTGCTAATCTTTGAAAATATTTCAGTGAAATAAATAAGCATCAAATGATAGTTTTCTTGTTGTAAGACAAAACTTGGACATACATTTTAACTTCTTCCACAATAAATACTCATATTAATCCCAAAACACAACTGTCACATGTAACTACAAATTCCCCTGACACAATTGTATTGTCACATTCTACAATAGTGGAAAGTGAATGAAAATAATATTTAAAGATAAAAACATACCATCGTTTCCTGTTGCTTCACCAGCTGGATCTGAAATGAAAACAATCAAATAGTTTTATTTTAGTTTGAATAAATTACATAAGTAACACAAGATGGTTAGTGTTCCTTACCAACTCCATACCTAAAAATGTCACATTAAATAGAAAATTGTTCTATACAGGTAAGTGTTATTTGATGACACAAACTATATTATTTATATCTTACATCCTCAATAAAATGTTGTTTCATTTTTAAATTACGATTGTTTTTCAACTAGTTTAATTCACATTACTCACCAAGAGATGCATAATATTCAGCAAATGCAGTAAGTTTGTCTTTAACATCATGGATGAATGCCATTGGAATCATAACACGACTCTTAACTCGATTGGGAGGGATCTTAGAAAAGATAAGTTGTTTCAGGAATGTATCTAGAATGGTTTTGTAGGAGTGCTCTGTATTGGATTAGATGGCAACTTGTTGTAATAGCAAGTCAGACTTATTTTGTTGAATTTTATAACCTTTTTATTATGATTGGGAGATTGTTGTAAGTGTGACCCATTAACACAAAGTACACGCCCTTCCTGACTTCTCTGTAACCAAGGCTAGGAGGAGTACACACCCTTCCTGACACCTCTGTAACCAAGGCTAGGAGGAGTACACACCCTTCCTGACACCTCTGTAACCAAGGCTAGCAGAAGTACCACCCTTCCTGACACCTCTGCAACCAAGGCTAGGAGGAGTACACACCCTTCCTGACACCTCTGTAACCAAGGCTAGGAGGAGTACACACCCTTCCTGACACCTCTGTAACCAAGGCTAGGACAAGTACACACCCTTCCTGACACCTCTGTAACCAAGGCTAGGAGGAGTACACACCCTTCCTGACACCTCTGTAACCAAGGCTAGGACAAGTACACACCCTTCCTGACACCTCTGTAACCAAGGCTAGGACAAGTACACACCCTTCCTGACACCTCTGTAACCAAGGCTAGGAGGAGTACACACTTCTTTCCTAAGTCCATCCCTGAGTTGTTTAGAAGACACACAAAGTAAAATATGATAACACCAGCTGCCAAGAACATATTATCCAAAAGTAAATTGATTTGTTACCATAAATGTTAGCAATAATGATTTTTACAAGTCTTAAATGTCATCCCAAAAATTTATCACTTGGAAAGCAATTTTAATGGCTAAACCTATTGTAATTTATTATTTGAAGAAATTTTATCAAAAAATTTAATCTTCTCAAAACGCTAAAGAATTGCATCTAAAAATATTTTTGACAAAATTGGGATAGCTTTATTTAAAATTAATTTTGTAAACAATTAGCCCACCCACAACAGAGAATTTTAAGATCAAACCATGTTATGCAATGTGAATAATTAATTCAATGTGTTCATACAAGGTATCAATGACATGAGACTGACTCTCTCATCATTGGAATTTTACTAAATAGACATCCAAATTAGTAGAGTTAATCAAGTAGTCAACCCATCTTACCTTGATTTCGGAGTAAAGATTAACGCGTAAGATTAAAAACTTGCTTATTTCATGAGAAGTAACTTTAATCAAATACATGATGGAGTCATTTCAACGAAAAATTTTTTTAACAAAAACAGTAATGGAAATTTTACGAAAAACCTTTTTAATGAATTTGGAGCGGAAATGAATAATATAAAGCAAAACATAATCCTTATGCCATGGGTTAAGAGAGATAAATTTCAAGTAATTAAACATCACTTTAAGTTGACATGTTTAAGCAAATATGTCTTAAAAGTAAATTATTTAACACTCAAAAATATTTAGGTTAGTAAAGATTTCAAATGAGTGCTTTCTTCAAGCAGTCTTATAAAATGAAAGCTTATACAATCATTTGACCTTTGAACAAATTGACAATTTAGTGCCAACTTTTCTATTCAATTGACCAATAAGCCAAACTTCAAATGCCTCGGTATTTCAAAAACGAATGCCTGACATACCTCTGTTATCTTTAAAAACCTTCCACGGCGGTTTTCTTTAACGTCCAAATAGTACACTTTGGTTTGAATTTTCAACGACTTGGACGTCAATTCTTTGTTGTCGCTGTAACTCGAGAACCGACCAGCTCCTAACGCGAATCGAGAATAAGCGCATTTCACATTCATATCGTAGTAAAAGAAAGTCAGTACTTAAAGACAATATATATTAATTAATATAAAAAGGTTACCATCACTCCTAGCGTCTCCTTTCCCGTCATGTGAACCTATTTCATCTTGCGTCTCTCTTTCACCGTCATCAGCCATCTTCTTTCACCAGCCTTCTCCAACATCCGTACGCCAGAATGCGCATGCTCATACCTTTCATAAAGTTATGCGCTTTGCTTTGATTTAGGAGTATTTCATACAAAATACAACCTTCATTCAAAAATAACTATTCAAAATTATATTTAAGGTTGTCATATTTATGGGAAATTCGCTTTCCATCTAGCAAATTTTTGTCTGCCATCATAAAAATGTATATACGTATTTATGAGAATTTTTATTTTATCAAGGACTGCGCAGATTTTCAAAATGAACATCAAAAATTGAATATCAAAAATATGAACTCAAGTGACAAATGTATTAACAAGATACGTCAGAAAAAGTTTGTTTGTTTTTTTGTTAAACAAACATCATATATTTCAATGAAATGTTAGAAGTTGTTAGAAGTTAACGAGCGATTGTGACATTATATCAAACACTATATGTTGATCTGATAATAGCTTGCATCTAAATACTTTAAGCAAACTAACTTAAAAGCAGCGTTACTTAAAGACAACTGACAACACTAATTTTAAGCGTAAGAACTTCCCCTTCTCTCATAAACTAGTCCAGTAATTTCATCACTCTCTTACAAAATTACTACAGAAAGCAAAAATGTGGCTACGTTATGAGAAAATGTAGAAATTGAATGATTCTTCCCACGCAGATTTCTTAAACAGCAAAATATTTTTTTAAAAAATTAGGATTCATATTTTAAAAGCTCTGGTTACCCATTCTGCATGAATATATCAAAACTTAAAAGACAACTCCTGCTCACAAAATGGCATTTGCGTTTATTAGATTTTGATGAATAAGCTCCCAGGTTTCCAACAACCAGAAGGTAAGGCTTGTCCTAATTTACTTTAATGATCAACAACGATAATTCACCTTCGAAATTTGCTTTGATGATCAATGCCAAAAATTCACCCACGAAATCTTCTGTTGTAACAGCTACTTCTTCTTTTTTTGTAAAAGTCTCTGTGAGTAAGGATTTTTCGAGACAAGATGCCGTCCTTAATCTTCATCGCTGCTATTTTCTGTCAAATCATGGACATACAAAGTAGCAGATGTCGTTAAACCAACGTCATTTAATGTGATGTCCTTGTTGTCTCCTAGTTCCAGGACCTTACGTGGAAAGTTGCTAACCAGTTTAAAATCGTGCGGACATTGATCATTACAAAAAACGTAATGGTAGAGTGTCTACAATCAAAATTGAATTAATATCATTGCAACACTGTTATTGCCTATGTAGATCAAACATTCACCTGTAAACGATCCATTTTTAAAAATCGCCTGTCCATTCTCTCACCATTAGGTAAACGAACAACGATACAAATTGCATTTGAATCATTACTGTCAGGTTCTGGTGGCAGACTTGATGATAGTTCAGCCCTTTTTCTCGTAATTTCCTAAATTGAAAAAATGATTACGAAAACAAAAAATTATTGTTTTGATAATCATACACTATTAAGATACGATATAGCCACCATTATTTTGTTTTGAATCGATTCTTGTTTGTCTTTCTTTCTTTCTTCTTCCAAACGTTTCGTTTCTGCCAGTAAACTTTTTTGTCGATCCTAAATAGAAATGCACATTGACGAAAATGGTGAGATATAAATAGATAACTATGAATGAACACATCGCGCAATAAAACCTTTTCTTCATCAGCTCTGAGTGATTCAAGATAAGCAGCATCTTGTTCAGCTCTCAAAGATTGATTAAAACTTCTCTCTGCTCTAATTCATTTAAAAGACAGCAGTGCAAAGAATGGATAGGTTTATAACATTGCTAAGAATGTCATCAATAACTATTTCTTTATGTTTCATATAAAACTCAAGGAATAATTGCTAATAAATTTAAATATAGAAATAAATGAACAATTCTCTTGTACATCACGAAGAAATCTCCAGTAAATCATTTATAATACATTTTACTTATTTTTATTTTGGGAAAAGTCTAAACTCTAAACAATCAATATTTCTAATTGCTTTTTCTGAATACAAAGTTCATACGAACCTTTCAGCACGAGCTGCTATGATAGAAGGTTCGTTGTCATTCATTACTTGAGCAAGTCTTGCTATAAAATTATCTACATCCATCATACCTACAACATAGACCAACATCAATGATTAACATTACAATATATACTTAGATCATGTGAATGTGCAAAGGCAAGATATTTAAATAATGCTAACATACGACATAAAGTGAAAAAAAATATTGATGAATCTTCTATTCATGTAATGTGCACAGTTGGAAAAATCATTACAGCAAGATATTTTTACTGTGACAAATTAACAAATATGAAGAAGTTAACTATTACCTTGCAGCCTAGCCACAACCATCATTCTACTATCTCGTAGACATATTACTGCCATAAAAGGATAAGTTGTCTCACGGAGAGCACGTGATACTAAAATAAAACAACAATTTATACAGCTATATCTACTTTAGTACATCAGATATATACATATGTTTGTTGCAAGCTGGACTGATGAACTAAATTCTCATCACCTTTAAAATTAATGAATCTTTATACAAAAGATCTTAAATGCTACATTTGAAGTCAGTATAAATAAAGTAAAATTTCAAACCTCTACAGCCCTCTTTGCTGCTGACATCTACTGCCCAAAATAACATATTTCCATTTACATAATCTCGAATAGCTTCATTAGTTAGAGTGGATCTAAGAGTACAAAATTTCACCTTAAAGTCAACATGTTAATCAGAGAAACTATACAAAATGAATGACCTTATAATTACAATTGTCTGAACACAAATGTTCAAGGAAATAAGAAATGGACAAAATTACCTTAGGTTTACAGAGCAATATATTTTATCATTCTTGAATTGACAAATTTATAGATGTATCAATAACATGTAAAAGTGACAAATTTATTTTTTTTAATTGACTGTTAGGCTAAATTGTCAATATACATACGTAAATAATAGAATCAGAAAACACTGATGCAACAACACACATTGAAGCTCAAAAACTATTCATTTACAAAAAATATTTTCAATTTTGTACCTGCAAAACTGGTCTGTGTCATTATGTTCAGATGAGTGAAGATATACTAACAAAAATCTTAATTCTTTCTTTGCATCTTCAATCACCTGACTGTAACTGCCTTCATAAAATGTTGGATGTACTCTACCATATTTTGATTCAAAAGAGTTTTTGAATTTCATAATATCCTCTAATGGAGTTGTATCAACTGGAGAGAAAACAGTGAGAAATTTAGATAAAATTGCTAACATATGTAACTAAAGCAATGAAAGACTGAGAAAAATACTCACCACCAAACAATGCATGCCCAACTAAACCAACTATACAAATGAGATGTAAATGAGAAAATAAAAATGAAAGTATTCAAATTTCTCAATCAACAAAACTTTTTTAAGACCTATTTCCCAGTATTTATAAGAACAAGAGACAGATTTTTTCTTTGACTTTTCAATGGTAGAGAAGGAGTCAGTTGGAAACAGTCTACTCTTATGAACTTTCACTGGTCGTGGAGTCAATTGAAGACAGCCTGCAACTTACCAATAAATCTATAAAAATCTGACATAACTGAATATGTAAATGAAAATGGCATTGTCAGCATCGACAAAAGCCAATTACTCCATTCCTAAAACACAGAACAGCTTTTAAAGTAAGAATGTTCACAAGCATATTTGCATTTTCAACACAAAAACATCAACATTTTCTCCATTATTAACTGTAAGCAGCATGGTTAAAAAATACTATACATAACCACTTCAGCCAAATGAAGTTGCAATATAACATGTCTACAAGCTAAAAATCAAATTATACCATTGGGACAGGTTCTCTTGTCACTGGTTCTGGAGGCTCGTTGTTCTCAAATCTGAAACATAAAAATGAATGATGGCTTTCAAAATGCAAATTCTTATATAAAGATATCATGCTATTTAGATTTCATTAAATAAAGCACCAAATCATCAATGGAAAAATCCCCACCACTTGCAATCAATATAAATATTATCAACAAAACACAATATCTACCAATAAATTCATACATACTCCTGATCACTAATAGATAAAGGATCCTCTTGAATATCATTAAAAATATCAGGTTGACCTTCAGCTTGATTAAAAGCATCCTGCACAGCGATCTGCAAATTCCATTGATGAAGAGCTAAAAGATGCCGGCATCTTTCAAAGTCTTCCCAACCAGTAATGGCCTATCAAACAGGCATTTAATATTTCTACTTTAATCAATTCAGAAAATGTCGTAAAAATAGCCTTTGGAATCGTTGCAGTATAAAAATTCCAATCTAGATTATGTGATATATTTTAAATTAAAAATTAAGAATGAAACAAAATTGTAAAAAGCTAAAATATCAAGTAAAACAACAACAAACTTACAATAAGGACAATGTGAACACACCTGAAACTCAAGAAGAATACTTTCCTCTTCTGTTGATATTCCGTTTTCAACTTCTGTGCCATCTTCTGCCATTTTGAATACAAACTAGTTACCAGTCTTCCTGCAACACCACAAAGCAGCCCACACAGTTATCTACTGCCATACACAGTCATCTACTGTCGTACACACTCATACACAGTCATCTACTGTCATACACAGTCATCTACAGTCATACACAGTCATACACAGTCATCTACAGTCATACACAGTTATTTACAGTCATACACAGTCATACACAGTCATACACAGTCATCTACAGTCATACACAGTCATACACAGTCATCTACAGTCATACACAGTTATTTACAGTCATACACAGTCATCACTACCGTGAAATTGGCACCACATTGGCACCACATTCACCACAACATTCATCACCACATTCATCACCAAATTCAACTAAAATTTATCATTCAAAATGATAAATCGAAAAATCGTCTTTAAAACACGTTTTCCATCAAATACAACAGTAAAAAACAATTATTAACTGTTTATTACTATTTTACTGTCTTTAACCATCACAAAGAAAGTATAAAAGTCAACCCACACCACAGTCATCTTTAAACTCAATGTGAAGGAACAGTGATAGAGACAAATGTTTAGCACATCGAGGGCAAAACAATTTAGTGAGTTTCTTGATGCACAGTTCTTTCATTTGAAAACGCTCTTTGCAATGATCACAGAACGCTGCGAGAAATTGAACAGGATGACGAGGATCCACAGTAGCAATTTTGCCAGTGAATGATATATCCCCTGTATCACTTTAGTTGCTACGACCTGTGGTATAGGTATGGACTTATCAATGGCTCTTTCACAAACTTTTACTCATCATCAAAAAGTTGTGTTTGTTTACCTTTGAAGAAAATTTACATAAATAAAAACAGAGCGAAACAACTTAATCCCAGCTAATATCAACAAACCGATCGCTACAGTTTGGTAAAAAAGTCTCACAAAATTAAAAAACTCAATCTCCAGTTGAAGCACCATCCAAACTTCATAAAACACAACTCAAGAAATGTAATTTCGTACAAAACAAAACTGATAAAATACTAAAAGAAACACAAAGTGATATACAAATGAACGTTGTTCTAACGAAAAAATCTTACTATAATGTCCAGGAATTGATTGTATGATACCTGTATAGCGCTATGGCACTGGATAATGATCGCGTAAGGATTGCGTAAAAAAGTTAATATATTGACAAGGGGTCGATTGCAGAAAGGTTGTATAGATAGTGAATTGTATTTTTTTGAGTTCTTTAAAAAGCCTGATCTAAAACTCTAATTTAAACAAAATATCCTGTACATAACGACCTTCATAAACCACTTGAGACCATGTATCCATGCAGGCAACCGGTCCCCCGATCATCATGATCATTAGAATAAAAGAAAACTGATATGATAGACAAAACTACACCTTTCGCTGTGTTGATAGTTTAAGTAGAACGTACACAGGCTTTCCTTTCACTTTCCCACATTCTCGAATACAGATGTCATATTTTATATTTCTTATCTCTTTTGAAACAAGAAAACTTCTCAAGCGCTCTTGTTCGTCTTTCTCCGTGAGTAACTTAAAGGGATCAGTCTTAGTGAAAATTTTTGCAGTTTCGTCTGCCAACACAACATGGTAACCCACACCACAGTCATCTTTAAACTCAATGTGAAGGAACAGTGACAGAGACAAATGTTTAGCACATCGAGGGCAAAACACTTCAGTGAGTTTCTTGATGCACAGTTCTTTCATTTGAAAACGCTCTTTGCAATGATCACAGAACGCTGCGAGAAATTGAACAGGATGACGAGGATCCACTCTATCAATTTTTCCAGTTAGTGATATATCCGTATCTTCAATCTTTACTTCTGGCTCCTGATCACAATCGCATAATTTCTCCCTAATCATTTCGACATCTCGTTCTGATGTCTTCGAGGTTGCTTCGTCATCTACGATTTCAGAAGAAGATGCAACGATATCAGTTGGACCTACATCTTTGTTTGAAAAACGGCCAACTTCGTAGTACCACCACGAGTACCACGAACACGACATCCAATTTTTTAATTTTGCGACTTTATCTAAATCATCTTTCGTGACAGTCGGGTTACCAGCCTTTGAACAGACTGGTGGCACATCCTCGTCGCTTTCAAACACCAACCAAGGTGACTCAATATCGTATGTTCGTAATTGAGGCCGTAGTTCGTATTTATTTACACGCATTGGCATTTTTACAATCTGACCCACTTTGTTTATTCTAGGCATGTCTTCTGTAGTTTTTTGAAAACAGACACAGCTAACTGGTAGATATTCATCCGGAAAGGATTGATCTACGAGGGAAAAGCTTAAGATCATGTCTGTTCCTCTCGTTTTTCTTGGTTTATCCAACTTAAATACCACCCCAAAAACGACGACATCGCGATCAGTTAACTTTACAGATTTCAGGCTCTTGATTTCCTGTGTTTCCCAATTTGGCGGGAAACGATACTTGAAGACTGTATTGCTTAAAGAAATGGTTTTATTCATCGTCAACTATTAAGAAAGAGAATATAATGGTACATGATGAAAAACATTTTGAATTTAAGCATACAGTATTTTCAGGATTTAATATTGTTAGTATCAGTAAGTGGGCAACCATAAAATAACCATTTCAAACACAGGAGTAAGAAATTATCAAGATACAACCAGCTTTTCTTTTATATGCAAACCATTTTTAAATGGTAGTTTTAAAAATGCGATAATAGTGGCAATATCTACTAGTTATCGTAAAAAATGTTAAGAAAATGTATCTAGACACAATACATTTGTTGGGAAAATGTATTGTGTCTAGAAGTTTAATGGATAAGTCTGAATACTTTTACTCTTCATAAAGCCTTCGTCATTAACAAAAAATCAAGCGAATACATTCACAGTCTCCAGCAAAGGAAAAAAATTTTTTGTTCAGGGCCATAACCGAAATGTTAATTAGGGGAGGGTGGGTGTGTTTATTCATACATTCAGCTGTTCCAAACTGAGTCCTTCTCTGGAAAAGAATTCACTTTTAAAAGAAATCAGTTGGGTACAATTGAATACAAACTCCCCCTCCCCTCTGCATTAAAGTTCTAGTTACAATAATCAGCAAAAGTTATATACACTGTTTATACAATCCTATATACTCAATGAACAAAATACTAAAAGGTAACTGTGAAACACAATGACATTCAGTATATATTTGAGTGAATTTGATGGAAAGTTTGGGTAAAATAGTTACTTGATCAGTTCCAGCGCTTCATTATAGAAACACTGTACGATGTTTTGGCCAAATAATCTTAATGAAAGTGCATGACCAAACCAACTTATTCCTTCTCCTTATGCAAACCTTGGGGACATTTATGATAACTTTCACTAATCTTCTCCTCAGTTCCCTTAAAGGTCTCCACGATTTCCATAAGCCTGTGCTAACACAGTAAACATCTTTTATTTCTTAAGTACAAAACCAAAATGTAATAATTTTAATGCAAAATCATTGTACGTAAGCTGATAAAACAGCCATGCTAATTTTTTTTGTCGTCAAAAATCACTTTTTAAGGCATGTTTTTGTTGGGAACAATAGCCCACCTGGCTGGCATGGCTTTGAATGCTGGGTTAAGTTTTGATTCATCCATTTTATTTATGAAATCATTCCACTTATTCTCCTACCCACTAGTCTGCTTTTAACTACCAAGCATGTCTTGTCAAAAGTGAGACACAGCTGTTAAATAAGGGAATAATTCAAAATAGCAAACAAGAGCATGCTGTTGCTCTACCTTTTCACAAAATTAATATCTGTCACAGGCTAACAGCATTCTACAAAATTCATTTAATACAACTTCACTCATGCACACATGTCCACCAACTGGTTATTTTTATCCAGACTTACAGAGACAATGTGGAGAATTTGTGTTCATATGGAATAATTTCATACCACTAAACTGATATCTCGTATTGCTTATGCCAACATCTCAACAGGGATAGCTCGCATTCCATATAAAAACAAGATGGAAAACATACTAACTACTCTACAAGTTGGGATCTTGCCATAGTGTCATCATCTGGCTATTTTCTCAACCCATATAAACAGAGCTTGAGAATGGACATTTTTAATATCACCAAATATGCAAGACTGTGAAGAATTGCAAAATGAAAATAATTTCCAAAACTCATAAAATGATTAAAATGGCTGATTTTGTAGTGGTGGTTGGTCTTCAAGAAAATTGTCCATTTGTGAAAATGTTTCTCAATGAAGTCGGTGTCAAGTGTCAACAGTCAGGTGAATTTCCCTTGTGCAAATGATAACATTTTGACATGGAGATATTAAAAGTTATGACAAAATTATAGGCATCACATTTTTAAATGCTCTTTACTAAAGAATAGAGGGCCGTATTTATTTTTAATGAAAAAATATTTCAGAAGTATTTCACATTATTCGGATGGAGTATGATATACCCTGGCCAACGAATTCTTGCACTTCCAGTTTTCGAAGCATCAAGCACGTATTTTCCGCTCAAAATTGAGAATAAAATGAAGCAAATTTACACAGAAATAAACAAATATCCCTTACCAATTATGTTGACTCATTTAAACAAGTAAATTATCGACTTCTCCGAAAGCAACTTCAGTAAAAATTGGACCGCCATTTTGTATTCATAATTGTTTGTCTCCACCCTCACAAAGATTTCACCACCGTGAAATTGGCACCACATGGTGGGGCACCACACTCAACACAACAATAATCACAACATTCATCACCACATTCAACTAAAATTTATCATAAATTGAAAAATCGTCTTTAAAACACGTTTTACATCAAATACAACAGTAAAAAACAATTCTTAACTGTTTATTATTATTTTACTGTCCTTAACCTCACAAAAAATGTATAAAAGTCAAGAAATTGAAGAAAACACTAAGATTTATATTACAGTGTACTTTCCATTTCTCTTAATTAGCCTATAATTTAAAAACAGCACGGTAGAATTTTTTTAAACTTGGCCAGAATATAGATAATTATGTTGTCTAAAATATATACAAAATCTGGAGAGTGCACAAAAAAATAAGTTGTAGAAAATCATCTACAATTCGGATGACTCCGGTTGTTTAACAAAGCCTAATAAATAAAAAACTACACGGTAGAATCTTTGCCACTCTCCAGATTTGGGATATGTTATAGACAATAAGAATATCTACATTATATATACGACAAGTGCCAAAATTGTGCAAAACAGTCCTAAAAATTGAACAATAAAGGAAAGTAAACAGAAATGAAATTAGATAAGTACTTGTTCTCAAAAAATAGGTACGCCTGCGTACATTAATACTTCCTACTTTGCACAATATCAAACTAGTGACTTGCCGTATTCAACTTCCTTATTTTCTTTAACGTTGATTTACGATGTTTCTAAAAATGAGACCCTAAATGGGTCAATCTCGATCATCAAAGTTACCACGAGCATAACCATTTTGTGTAAATTTTCTAATAGATTTTCTCTAAAAGAATTTTTCGATTCCCAAGCTTAAACGACCTGTGGTGCCACAAATATAGACTTATAAACCTAAACTTTTCAAAATAAAATTTCTGTTCATCTTTGAGGAAAATATTATACAAAAGTGATAAAGACAACGTAAAAATACAACTTAATCCCAATTCCCAAGTTAATATAAATAAACTGATCACTACAGTAAAGATACCCACAAAAAAGTCCCTTTTGAAAAACTCATAATCCAGTTGACAGCACTATTCTCAAGCTTCGTGCAACCGGCCTCAAGACATACGAACAAAACAAAATTGATAAAATACTAAAAGAAGCACAAAGTGATATACACATGAACGTTGTCCTAACCAAAGAAAATCATACTATAATGTCCAGGGACTGATAGTATGATACCTGTAAAGCGCTATGGCACTAGATTAATTTAATCAAAAACCTCTATTTAATTTACACAATGTTATTCTTACCGTACATAACGACCTTAATAAACCACTTGAAACCCCAAGTATCCATGCAGGCAGCCGGACCCTCGATCATTACGCTCATTAGAATAAAATAAAATTGATTTTACAGAAAATTACACCTTCCATTTTGTTGACAGTTTAAGTAGAAAGTACACAGGCTTTCCTTTCACTTTCCCACATTCTCGAATACAGATGTCATATTTCATATTTCTTATCTCTTTTGAAACAAGAAAACTTCTCAAGCGCTCTTGTTCGTCTTTCTCCGTGAGTAATTTAAAGGGATCAGTCTTAGTGAAAATTTTTGCAGTTTCGTCTGCCAACACAACATGGTAAGCCACACCACAGTCATCTTTAAGCTCTATGTGAAGGAACAGTGACAAATTCTTAGCACATCGATGGCAGAATACTTTAGTGAGGTTGTCGACGGTCAGTTCTTTCAACTGATAACGCTCTTTGCAATGATCACAGAAAGCTACGACAAATTGAACAGGATGACGAGAATCCGCTGTAGCAATTTTGCCAGTGAATGATATATCCCCTGTATCACTTTAGTTGCTACGACCTGTGGTATAGGTATGGACTTATCAATGGATCTTTCACAAACTTTTACTCATCATCAAAAAGTTGTGTTTGTTTACCTTTGACGAAAAAATTACATAAATAAAAACAGAGCGAAACAACTTAATCCCAGCTAATATCAACAAGCCGATCGCTACAGTTTGGTAAAAAAGTCTCACAAAATTAAAAATCTCAATCTCCAGTTGAAGCACCATCCAAACTTCATAAAACACATCTCAAGAAATGTAATTTCATACAAAACAAATTTGATAAAATACTAAAAGAAACACAAAGAGATATACACATGAACGTTGTTCTAACCAAAAAAATCTTACTATAATGTCCAGGAATTGATTGTATGACGCCTTTATAGCGCTATGGTATCAAAAACCTCTATTTAATTTACACACAATGTTATTCTTACCGTAAAAAAGTTAATATAGTGACAAGGGGTCAATTGCAGGAAGCCTGCATAGATTGTGGATCGTATTTTTTTGAGGTCTTTAAAAAGCCTGATCTAAAACTCTAATTTAAACAAAATATCCTGTACATAACGACCTTCATAAACCACTTGAGACCCCTACTATCCATGCAGGCAACCGGTCCCCCGATCATCATGATCATTAGAATAAAAGAAAACTGATATGATAGACAAAACTACACCTTTCGCTGTGTTGATAGTTTAAGTAGAACGTACACAGGCTTTCCTTTCACTTTCCCACATTCTCGAATACAGATGTCATATTTCATATTTCTTATCTCTTTTGAAACAAGAAAACTTCTCAAGCGCTCTTGTTCGTCTTTCTCCGTGAGTAACTTAAAGGGATCAGTCTTAGTGAAAATTTTTGCAGTTTCGTCTGCCAACACAACATGGTAACCCACACCACAGTCATCTTTAAACTCTATTTTAAGGAACAGTGATAGAGACAAATGTTTAGCACATCGAGGGCAAAACACTTCAGTGAGTTTCTTGATGCACAGTTCTTTCATTTGAAAACGCTCTTCGCAATGATCACAGAACGCTGCGAGAAATTGAACAGGATGACGAGGATCCACTCTACCAATTTTTCCAGTTAGTGATATATCCCTATCTTCAATCTTTACTTCTGGCTCCTGATAACACTGGCATAAATTCTCCCTAATCATTTCGACATCTCGTTCTGATGTCTCCGAGGTTGCTTCGTCATCTACGATTTCAGAAGAAGATGCAAAGATATCAGTTGGACCTACATCTTTGTTTGAAAAACGGCCAACTTCGTAGTACCACCATGAACACGACATCCAATTTTTTAATTTTGCGACTTTATCTAAATCATCTTTCTTGACAGTCGGGTTACCAGCCTTTGAACAGACTGGTGGCACATCCTTGTCGCTTTCAAACACCAACCAAGGTGACTCAATATCGTATGTTCGTAATTGAGGCCGTAGTTCGTATTTAGTTACACGCATTGGCATTTTTACAATCTGACCCACTTTGTCTATTCTAGGCATGTCTTCTGTAGTTTTTTGAAAACAGACACAGCTAACTGGTAGATATTCATCCGGAAAGGATTGATCTACGAGGGAAAAGCTTAAGATCATGTCTGTTCCTCTCGTTTTTCTTGGTTTATCCAACTTAAATACCACCCCAAAAACGACGACATCGCGATCAGTTAACTTTACAGATTTCAGGCTCTTGATTTCCTGTGTTTCCCAATTTGGCGGGAAACGATACTTGAAGACTGTATTGCTTAAAGAAATGGTTTTATTCATCGTCAACTATTAAGAAAGAGAATATAATGGTACATGATGAAAAAAATTTTGAATTTAAGCATACATTTTTTTCAGGATTTAATATAGCTACGTAAAATTTGTTAGTATCAGTAAGTGGGCAACCATAAAATAACCATTTCAAACACAGGAGTAAGAAATTATCAAGATACAACCAGCTTTTCTTTTATATGCAAACCATTTTTAAATGGTAGTTTTAAAAATGCGATAATAGTGGCAATATCTACTAGTTATCGTACAAAAAATGTTAAGAACTTAAACAAGATTTTATAGTATGTGCGTCTTAGCCACATACGATCTTGTTTCCAGAAATGTCGATCTCAAAATAAGATCTAGCTAACACAGAAGGCTACTTTCAAGACTCTACCATATTTTTCGGGCACAACTGAATACAAACTCCCCCTCCCCTCCGCATTAAAGTTCTAGTTACAATAATCAGCAATAGTTATATACACTGTTTATACAATCCTATATACTCAATAAACAAAATACTAAAAGGTAACTGTGAAACACAATGACATTTTAGTATATATTTGAGTGAATTTGATGGAAAGTTTGGGTAAAATAGTTACTTGATCAGTTCCAGCGCTTCATTGTAGAAACACTGTACGGTGTTTTGGCCAAACAATCTTAATGAAAGTGCATGACCAAACCAACTTATTCCTTCTCCTTATGCAAACCTTGGGGACATTTATGATAACTTTCACTAATCTTCTCCTCAGTTCCCTCAAAGGTCTCCACGATTTCCATAAGTCTGTGCTAACACAGTAAACATCTTTTATTTCTTAAGTACAAAACCAAAATGTAATAATTTTAATGCAAAATCATTGTACGTAAGCTGATAAAACAGCCATGCTAATTTTTTTTGTTATCAAAAGTCACTTTTTAAGGCATGTTTTTGTTGTGAACAATAGCCCACCTAGCTGGCATGGCTTTGAATGCTGGGTTAAGTTTTGATTCATCCATTTTATTTATGAAATCATTCCACTTATTCTCCTACCCACTAGTCTGCTTTTAACTACCAAGCATGTCTTGTCAAAAGTGAGACACAGCTGTTAAATAAGAAAATAATTCAAAATAGCAAACAAGAGCATGCTGTTGCTCTACCTTTTCACAAAATTAATATCTGTCACAGGCTAACAGCATTCTACAAAATTCATTTAATACAACTTCACTCATGCACACATGTCCACCAACTGGTTATTTTTATCCAGACTTACAGAGACAATGTGGAGAATTTGTGTTCATATGGAATAATTTCATGCCACTAAACTGATCTCGTATTGCTTATGCGAACATCTCAACAGGGATAGCTCGCATTCCATATAAAAACAAGATGGAAAACATATTAACTACTCTACAAGTTGGGATCTTGCCATAGTGTCATCATCCTGGCTATTTTCTCAACCCATATAAATAGAGCTTGAGAATGGACATTTTTAATATCACCAAATATGCAAGACTGTGAAGAATTGCAAATGAAAATAATTTCCAAAACACATAAAATGATTAAAATGGCTGATATTGTAGTGGTGGTTGGTCTTCAAGAAAATTGTCCATTTGTGAAAATGTTTCTCAATGAAGTCGGTGTCAAGTGTCAACAGTCAGGTGAATTTCCCTTGTGCAAATGATTACATTTTGACATGGAGATATTAAAAGTTATGACAAAATTATAGGCATCACATTTTTAAATGCTCTTTACTAAAGAATAGAGGGCCGTATTTATTTTTAATGAAAAAATATTTCAGAAGTATTTCACATTATTCGGATGGAGTATGATATACCCTGGCCAACGAATTCTTGCACTTCCAGTTTTCGAAGCATCAAGCACGTATTTTCCGCTCAAAATTGAGAATAAAATGAAGCAAATTTACACAGAAATAAACAAATATCCCTTACCAATTATGTTGACTCATTTAAACAAGTACATTAACGACTTCTCCGAAAGCAACTTCAGTAAAAATTGGACCGCCATTTCGTATTCATAATTGTTTGTCTCCACCCTCACAAAGATTTCACCACCGTGAAATTGGCACCACATGGGCACCACACTCAACACAACAATCATCACAACATTCATCACCACATTCAACAAATCGTCTTTAAAACACGTTTTCCATCAATACAACAGTAAAAAACAATTCTTAACTGTTTATTAATAATCTTACTGTCCTTAACCATCACAAAAAATGTATAAAAGTCAAGAAATTGAAGAAAACACTAGTACAGTCATCTACTGTCATACACAGTCATCTACAGTCATACACAGTCATCTACTGTCATACACAGTCATCTACAGTCATACACAATCATCTACAGTCATACACAGTCATCTACTGTCATACACAGTCATCTACAGTCATACACAGTCATACACAGTCATCTACAGTCATACACAGTCATCTACTGTCATACACAGTCATCTACTGTCATACACAGTCATCTATTGTCGTACACAGTCATCTACTGTCATACACAGTCATCTACAGTCATACACAGTCATCTACAGTCATACACAGTCATCTACTGTCATACACAGTCATCTACAGTCATACACAGTCATACACAGTCATCTACAGTCATACACAATCATCTACAGTCATACACAGTCATCTACTGTCATACACAGTCATCTACTGTCATACACAGTCATCTACAGTCATACACAGTCATACACAGTCATCTACAGTCATACACAGTCATCTACAGTCATACACAGTCATCTACAGTCATACACAGTCATACACAGTCATCTACAGTCATACACAGTTATTTACAGTCATACACAGTCATACACAGTCATACACAGTTATTTACAGTCATACACAGTCATCTACAGTCATACACAGTCATCTACAGTCATACACAGTCATCTACAGTCATACACAGTCATCTACTGCCACACACAGTTATCTACAGTCATACACAGTCATCTACTGTCATACAGTTATCTACTGCCACACACAGTTATCTATTGTCATACACAGTCATCTACAGTCATACACAGTCATCTACTGTCATACACAGTCATCTACAGTCATACACAGTTATCTACTGTCATACACAGTCATACACAGTCATCTACTGTCATACACAGTCATCTACTGTCATACACAGTCATCTACAGTCATACACAGTCATACACAGTCATCTACAGTCATACAGTCATCTACAGTCATACAGTCATCTACAGTCATACACAGTCATACACAGTCATCTACAGTCATACACAGTTATTTACAGTCATACAGTCATACACAGTCATACAGTTATTTACAGTCATACAGTCATCTACAGTCATACACAGTCATCTACAGTCATACACAGTCATCTACAGTCATACACAGTCATCTACTGCCACACAGTTATCTACAGTCATACACAGTCATCTACTGTCATACAGTTATCTACTGCCACACAGTTATCTATTGTCATACAGTCATCTACAGTCATACACAGTCATCTACTGTCATACACAGTCATCTACAGTCATACACGGTTATCTACTGTCATACACAGTCATACACAGTTATTTACAGTCATACACAGTCATCTACAGTCATACACAGTCATCTACAGTCATACAGTCATCTACAGTCATACACAGTCATCTACCACACACAGTTATCTACAGTCATACACAGTCATCTACTGTCATACACAGTTATCTACTGCCACACACGGTTATCTATTGTCATACACAGTCATCTACAGTCATACACAGTCATCTACTGTCATACACAGTCATCTACAGTCATACACAGTTATCTACTGTCATACACAGTCATACAGTCATCTACAGTCATACACAGTCATCTACTGTCATACACAGTCATCTACTGTCATACACAGTCATCTACTGTCATACACAGTCATCTACAGTCATCCACAGTTATCTACAGTCATACACAGTCATCTACAGTCATACACAGTTATCTACTGTCATACACAGTTATGTACTGTGACAGTCATCTACTCAAGACATTCATACAGTGATTGTAGGGTAAAGATAATTTCTCGAGACATTCAAACAGTACAGTTGTATGGTAATTTAATATTTCAATTGCTTCAAAAATGACTTTAAATAAATATACGTGTATATCATGTATAATTGCAAATTTATAAAATCATACTTAACCCGAACAAACCATTGCCAACGAAACCATTAGGCTTTCCATTTTTGCAAAATTAATTTGTAAAAATTTCTCAAGCATACATGGAAAGCACAAGATACCAAATGTGAGAAATACAAAAATGATTAGATAATTTTAAGAATTGATTTTTATTTGAATATTAAAATGTCTTTTCCATGTCATTATATTTTGACTTTTTAAGAATTCAAGCAAAGTGAGAATGATGGGTAAAAATTCTCCATTCCTAAGTACGATTATGTTAATCTAATATACACACTTTGCCTAAACGCTAAAATTACACTCTCTTATTAACGTTAATTCCAAAGTATTAAAAAATAATTATTACACACTATGTACAAAACGTGTCGTTTTTCTAAATTTCAAAATAAATTTCGTTAAATCCTACACATCTAAGTCCTTTAATATAAACTTCAGCCACGAAAGTGATGTGCTGTTAAAATAAATCAAAAAGTTTTAACTCCAGAGTTCTCGTGCATTACAAATAAAATTAAAATAAATAAAATTCTACCTTTTCATATGTCATACGGCGGATATTTTACCATCACCTTTACCTGTAGAATAAAGAAAAACGATTTGATATTTGTGAACATAAAAATGAGTTGTTGCATTTCAATGTCCGCATAAAATACATATTTTCATTTTTCAACCAAATAACAGCAAGATTTAACGATAAATACAGACTTTAGAAAAAATATAACTTTAATAACATTTAACGGTGAATAACAAAATAAAAAAAAACAATGTTATTGTTAATGTTAATAATTATGTTATTATATTATTTATTATTATTATTATTTATTTATTTATTATTATTATTATTATTATTTATTATTGTTATTGTTATTATTATTGTTATTGTTATTTATTTATTTATTTATTCCATTTATTGTTATTGTTATTGTTATTGTTATTTGTTATTGTTATTATTATTGTTATTCCATTGTATTTATTATTGTTATTGTTATTGTTATTGTTATTGTTATTGTTATTTATTATTGTTATTGTTATTCCATTCCATTCCATTCCATTATTCCATTATTATTCCATTCCATTCCATTCCATTCCATTCCATTCCATTCCATTCCATTCCATTCCATTCCATTCCATTCCATTCCATTCCATTCCATTCCATTCCATTCCATTCCATTCCATTCCATTCCATTCCATTCCATTCCATTCCATTCCATTCCATTCCATTCCATTCCATTCCATTCCATTCCATTCCATTCCATTCCATTCCATTCCATTCCATTCCATTCCATTCCATTCCATTCCATTCCATTCCATTCCATTCCATTCCATTCCATTCCATTCCATTCCATTCCATTCCATTCCATTCCATTCCATTCCATTCCATTCCATTCCATTCCATTCCATTCCATTCCATTCCATTCCATTCCATTCCATTCCATTCCATTCCATTCCATTCCATTCCATTCCATTCCATTCCATTCCATTCCATTCCATTCCATTCCATTCCATTCCATTCCATTCCATTCCATTCCATTCCATTCCATTCCATTCCATTCCATTCCATTCCATTCCATTCCATTCCATTCCATTCCATTCCATTCCATTATTCCATTCCATTCCATTCCATTCCATTCCATTCCATTCCATTCCATTCCATTCCATTCCATTCCATTCCATTCCATTCCATTCCATTCCATTCCATTCCATTCCATTCCATTCCATTATTCCATTCCATTCCATTCCATTATTCCATTATTCCATTCCATTATTCCATTATTATTTATTATTATTCCATTGTTATTGTTATTGTTATTCCATTTATTGTTATTGTTATTGTTATTGTTATTGTTATTGTTAATGTTAATGTTATTTTAAGGTGCACCTGCAGCAAAGAATAAACGTGGCGACGATATTTCTTTCTCAGGAGTTGAAGGACTTGGTGTTTCTACAAAAGTGTTAAAAGCAATTGGTTAGTAATTAATATCTATTTTTGTCTGGCAAACGTTCGTACAGGATAGGAAGTTATCACAGTATATGTAATCAATAATAAATACACGATATCATCGGTAGAAGCCAAATAATCAAGGTAAAAATTTACAAAAACGAGAGATATAGGGCCACTCTTTTTAATTGTTCCAATGTTGAGCAAACATGACGTTATACTTTAATGTAAAGCATTAAATAAGCAAAAACAGTGAAAAATAATCTATCGTTTGCAACTGATGAAAAATATACTTATATATTTCTGAGCTATATACGATACTTACTTGGGATGGAAATCTCCCTTGTTAATGTGTCATCTAACAAAAGCATCATAATTTGTCAATAGACATGTAACAGAACGGTTGCTGGCTGTAAGAGCCATTTTGCACACTTCATTTAGGAAATTTTTATTCTTTTCCTAACCTCGTTTCAATGTATGTTTTTGTTCTTCAAATGGCCTGCTAGACACTTCTGGAAAGACATCAATATCTACGGGGATTACAAAGTGATTAAGAATTAATCATTCTGAAACTTTAAAGTAAATTTTTCATATTAATATAAATTGGAACAAAAAGAATGAAAAAAAGAATTAAGAATTTTCCCTACCGTTAATATTAACCGCTCCTGGTGAACTTGGAGGAAGAGGTGAAGCCGGCGAACTGACTGAAGAAGACTGCGATATTATATCTAAAAAAATAAAAAAAATTAATTAAATTATTGCTCAAGTTTATGCAACAATATAGTAACCCAAAGGGTTATGACATAGAACACAACAAAAAACTAGATTTTATTTTCTGAGGTCATTCGCCATTATCATAAATTAAAGGTGACTTTCATGTAACACAAGATGAAGTACCTTCTTTGTCTTCTCGACTTTCACTAGGGGAACTAGGTGGAGTAAGTTTTTTCTTGATTTGAGCCGAAAGGCCTATAAGCACGTCCGAAAGATTCACAAAAAGTATAAATGCTTTCAAGATGAATAAAATGCTAAAATATATCGATCTTCTCTGCAATAAATCATGAAAAGTACCTGAACCGGCCGGGGGCTCACATATCAAAGAAAGAACTCGTAACTCATCTTCATTTGTGATAATCTCGAGGTTTGTAAGATATTTCTTAACACGACGACTCATAAGGACCTTAAGAAAGCAAAAATATTGTAAGAGAAGATGATGGATAGATGAGTACACACAACAACTGATAGATGATGGATAAATGAGAACACGCAACAGTTGATAGATGATGGATAAATGAGAAAATATAACAATTGACGTATATTTTCCTTCTTTAAACATACTTCCTCATGCATTTTTCTTGGGTTTCGAAATCCGTTGTCACGACGACTGCGCCTGTTCTTGTTCTGAAGACCACCGGTCAGAGCTTGTATGACTGTCGGTCCAGGGGTATCTGTGACGGCACGATCAAACATCATATCGCTGACCTATTCATAGAGAACGATAAACGTTAAGTTTTATAGCAAAGTAAGATATCTCTTAACTTTTATATATTTTGATCTAGTAAAAAATCATTCGGTAATTCCAACATACATAAGACACAAGGCTAAGCTTAGTTGTGTTTCGAACTTCTTTTGATATTGAACGCAATTTTTCAAAATTAATCTGAAAAAAAATAAAAGAAAGGAAAATAAATTCAGGACAAAATAAAGTCTGTATACACTGAATGAATGCACTTTACCAAGCCGTCCACAATTGACTTGTTTCCAAAGTGAAGAAAAGACAAATCTTTCAGGACAATAGGAAAAAATGGTATCTGATAAAAAATAAAATTGAGTGTTTATTTATTTTAGACTGGTGGGTTAATCCAAAGTGATTTTATGTCGTAACTTGTGTCTTCATATACTTTAGTTCAATGTCTTATACAATCTACTCTTGTGTCTTAATACAATCTACTCTTGTGTCTTAATAAAAGTAATCTGATGTTCCAACTTCAAGGATATAGTCTTTCAAATACTCTAATACTTAATTGATCATAATACAATACTTTAGTAATAAATGAAAGTACTGTAGTTTCTAAAATGTTTACAAATATGTGTTTTATCGGTGATAAGAAATATTTATAGCGAATTCATGGCTTACCACAGGAGGATAACGTTGTTCTCTGCTCAACAAAGTACGATATTTTGACATATTCCTTGATGGGTCCATCAAATCTTTTATATCCTTAATAAGAAAACGCAACGAGTGACACTTATATCTAAGACTTCACAGTAATTTAAACTTGGAGATAAGACTTACGTCAAATATTTTTGTGTATTTACTAGGAACTTTTTCCCAAGTTCCTTTCATTCTTTGTACAGCAGAATGATCAAGACCACTAAAAATACATCAAAATATAAACAATTCACGTTTTTACAATGCCTGCAAAAAAAGGTACCAAATACCTAATGGAGGGGGGCATATATCTCAGAAAGTTTACGATAAAAATCATTAAAAACAGACTCAAAAAAATTAACTCAAGAAAAAATTATTTTAAATACTTACCTAACAATCTCGAACATTGAATTAAAATTTCTGCAATCTTTACACCGTTCTGAGAAAAACAGTAACACATAGATCGTTTATCTCAAAGGTTTCTAAATATTTTTTTCTTTGTAAGATTTTTTTACTATGAACAATTAGATATACTTACAGTGAAAACGAAATCAGATTACGACATTAAAAAATATTAAAACAGGTGTGTAATATTCTTACTTGCAATTCGTATAAACTGTTTGATTATTTTTACTCGTTTTATAACATTTTGTTCTTTACAAATCTCCGTAATCACCCAAAATCTTTCTTCATCGGTTATCTGAAGTAAATACAATAAGTTTGTAAATCTGTCGTAAAAGTTTGTAACTCTGTCGTAAAAGTTTGTAAATCTGTCGTAAAAGTTTGTAACTCTGTCGTAAAGTTTGTAACTCTGTCGTAAAAGTTTGTAACTCTGTCGTAAAAGTTTGTAAGTCTGTCGTAAAGTTTGTAACTCTGTCGTAAAATTGTAACTCTGTCGTAAAAGTTTGTAAATCTGTCGTAAAAGTTTGTAACTCTGTCGTAAAAGTTTGTAAGTCTGTCGTAAAAGTTTGTAAGTCTGTCGTAAAGTTTGTAACTCTGTCGTAAAGTTTGTAACTCTGTCGTAAAGTTTGTAACTCTGTCGTAAAGTTTGTAACTCTGTCGTAAAGTTTGTAACTCTGTCGTAAAAGTTTGTAAATCTGTCGTAAAGTTTGTAACTCTGTCGTAAAAGTTTGTAACTCTGTCGTAAAAGTTTGTAAGTCTGTCGTAAAAGTTTGTAAATCTGTCGTAAAAGTTTGTAACTCTGTCGTAAAAGTTTGTAAGTCTGTCGTAAAAGTTTGTAAGTCTGTCGTAAAGTTTGTAACTCTGTCGTAAAAGTTTGTAACTCTGTCGTAAAAGTTTGTAACTCTGTCGTAAAAGTTTGTAACTCTGTCGTAAAAGTTTGTAACTCTGTCGTAAAAGTTTGTAAATCTGTCGTAAAAGTTTGTAACTCTGTCGTAAAGTTTGTAACTCTGTCGTAAAGTTTGTAAGTCTGTCGTAAAAGTTTGTAACTCTGTCGTAAAAGTTTGTAAATCTGTCGTAAACGTTTGTAAATCTGTCGTAAAAGTTTGTAACTCTGTCGTAAAAGTTTGTAACTCTGTCGTAAAAGTTTGTAAATCTGTCGTAAAGTTTGTAACTCTGTCGTAAAAGTTTGTAAATCTGTCGTAAAGTTTGTAGCTCTGTCGTAAAAGTTTGTAAATCTGTCGTAAAAGTTTGTAAGTCTGTCGTAAAGTTTGTAACTCTGTCGTAAAAGTTTGTAAATCTGTCGTAAAAGTTTGTAAATCTGTCGTAAAGTTTGTAACTCTGTCGTAAAAGTTTGTAAGTCTGTCGTAAAAGTTTGTAAATCTGTCGTAAAGTTTGTAACTCTGTCGTAAAAGTTTGTAAATCTGTCGTAAAAGTTTGTAACTCTGTCGTAAAAGTTTGTAAATCTGTCGTAAAAGTTTGTAACTCTGTCGTAAAAGTTTGTAAGTCTGTCGTAAAAGTTTGTAAATCTGTCGTAAAAGTTTATATCTATGCAATAATATTTTTTAGTTGCATTGGAAAGGTGATAAAGTGTGAAATTGTAATGGACAAACCTTGGTAAAATTTGTTAAAGTATTTCGCAATTTTTCTTCAAATTTCCAAAGTTCATAAATATATTGTGATGATTCTATCTTTTGAAAAATCTGAAAATCCTGAAAGACAAAAACGACTTAAAGACAGGGCAGGTTCATTCAAGTGTCACTTGTTGTTCTGGAGTTTGATAAATTTTGCATTAAAATGACAAACATTAATTTGCTGTAACATTAATTTGCTGTAACAAAAATTATTTGCAAGAGGGAATTTTCCTCCATCTTTGTACAATTACATCATGAGCTGCATGAAAATGTCAAATAATTTCTTAGTTCGAGTCGCCACCAAATATCCCACGTGATAAGAACCAGCCAATTAAATTGCGACAGTAAAATTACGCACAGTAGAAAAATCATAAAAGATCAAAACATAACAAATTTACTAACTCTTAAAGTGACTTGACGAGCTACTTCCGTTGCATCTAAATCAGCAATTGTGTGTCGTAGTTCTTTACCTAATTCCTATAAAATCAAGATAAAAAAAGATAACAAAAACGGCGAGAGAATTTTTCCTGAAGAAAACTTAAATGGGACACGATCAGAAAATGTGCACAAGTATTTTCAAATGACAGAAAGTAATTTGAAAAGTTATCAGCGTTTCAAGAATGAATATTGTATATGAAACACAACTTAAAATTCAACAGTTGAGAACACAATCTGTAGAATTTTCACGATAACTTGTCTTTAAAAGATGCTAGGAAACATTATTTACATAAAAATACTAACCTGGATAGCCTCCTCGGGCAGTAAAGTAACGTCAGTGGAGTTAAAATCTTTCAGATAATAGCGTCCATTTAGAGACGCTTTATTAACAAGATCACACATTAAATCAGGAAGTCTTTTTTGTTTGATTAAATCTCCTTCATTGACTGAAATTTCACTCAACGAAAAGTTACTAAAAATAAAAAAATGTCAAAATAATGTTTAGAGTGCAGACGCTTTTCTAATACAATCACACAAGTCATTATTTTCTTCTATTCTCCACCAAAAGAAAAATATTACTTTGACGCCAATTTCTAGATACTATTTAAGGAATTTTTATTGGCTCATACTCAGCAGATTCAGCCAATGAGAACGCATCTACAGCCATATTTAGCACTTCTCGAACCGTAGTATCCTGAATAAAAAAGTCGATTACTTTTACATGGATGAAGATACGTATATAGTGATAATAAACGGAGCATTTCCAAATTATTTGTTTTTTACACAAAACATGTACAATTTATGACGGTAATAAACCTGATAAATGACGAAATACTTCGACGTGTGATCCGCCTTATAAATCCGGATCACTTGATCAGGTTGAACGCTATCGATTTCCTCGTCAGCAATATTTTCGGAGGAGCTGTAAGCTCGAAGCGTTCCGTTGCCAAGAGCATGTTTCTTTGCGTTCATTAAAGTGGAGTCATCATAAGATATTCCATATAACGCCTTAACATCTTTTTCACCTCTAAAAACATAATTGGAATGCAAAACAAATGTAAAGAAAACTTTAATAAAAAACATTCCTAAACGTTTTCTGATAGCAAAACACATGACAAGGCGTTAATAAAACTTTAAACGGTTCCTAAACATTGAAAGAGATAAACTTACTAAATGAATTGAACTAATGAAAATAGTAAAACTTACTTGAGAGAACGAGGTAATGGAAATAGTAAAACTTACTTGAGAGAACGAGGTAATGGAAATAGTAAAACTTACTTGAGAGAACGAGGTAATGGAAATAGTAAATCTTACTTGAGAGAACGAGGTAATGGAAATAGTAAAACTTACTTGAGAGAACGAGGTAATGGAAATAGTAAAACTTACTTGAGAGAACGAGGTAATGGAAATAGTAAAACTTACTTGAGAGAACGAGGTAATGGAAATAGTAAAACTTAGAGAACGAGGTAATGGAAATAGTAAAACTTGAGAGAACGAGGTAATGGAAATAGTAAAACTTGAGAACGAGGTAATGGAAATAGTAAAACTTGAGAGAACTAATGAGAGAACGAGATAATGGAAATAGTAAAACTTACTTGAGAGAACGAGGTACGAATAGTAAAACTTACTTGAGAGAACGAGGTAATGGAAATAGTAAAACTTGAGAGAACGGAAATAAAACTTGGAGAACGAAATGGAAACAGTAAAACTTGAGAGAACGAAATGGCGGGAGAACGAAAACAGTAAAACTTACTTGAGAGAACGAGGTAATGGAAACAGTAAAACTTACTTGAGAGAACGAGGAAATGGAAACAGTAAAACTTACTTGGGAGAACGAGGTAATGTTGTAAACTTAAGGAAAGTTTTCTTTATTCTTGTCGTAGCATACATATTACTACCAAATGTATTCTTAACAAATAAAAAAAATGAAAATTATATGTTGAAAATACATCAAGACAGCTGACTTTTCTTGAGTAAAAATTGTTTTTTAAACATTGAAACGTACCCCTAATTTCTTGCCAGAATCTAAAAAAAGGAAAGCAATTAAACATATTTTTCTTATATTCAAGAGATTCTTATGTACCTTTCCATTAATGTATTTTTTTCAATTTTACTATGATTTAAAAACGTCGAGCAAAATAAAATACGACAACATCGACATGCAGCAATAAAACAAGGAACATGGCAGCTAAAATACACGGTGTTATGCTTGTCAAACTATAATTTATGATAAACTTACAATCAGAAAAATATAAAGGATCGTTAGTTCGATGAGAAAATCCTTGACGTTTATCACAAGAGTCAGATGAACTTCTTTGAACCTCGCCTTTCTAAAAGAAACAAAAAGTTCTCCTCAATATCTTCATAAAGACGTTATTACAAATTCCTTCATTTTCCGCCACTTCTCACACATTTAATTTCACTATTACCAATTGCACTAATAAACAGATGAAAAGGTTTCTTTTGTTAAATTTCCAAAAGAAATCATTGACAACGTACTAACCACTAACCATCCATAAGAAACACGAATTGAAGATGAAGACACCGTGTTAATTAAACGTACAGTTATACTTTTAATTAGTTATAGTACAAATCAAATGTGTAATTGAACCTTTGTTTTCACGTGAGAACTTCTTTTCAGTGGACTATTTAAAAGTTCTTTAAAAACTATAAAAAAAAGCATTAGATTTTAATTAGATTTTAACATAAAATAATTTAATTTTTATCAAAAATCGAGCTATATTTCTTATTTATACCAGCAATATTATGTTTCACGCTAATGGTTAAATTTGTTTGACTCTTCAAAATGTCTTTCGCCTAAAAATACAATTATGAGCACTAAAAAACAGAGAAAATCGCCCAAAGTATGTCAAGCACTGACAAGCATTGACTCCCCGAAAATAAATGAAGAGGATTTCTGTTATAGAATTTCCTGAAAATCAAAAATCTAAGACTGTCGTAAAATAATTGTAAAAAAATTCGTAAAACTAACTTTGGCCAACGTCATATTTTCAAAATTTTGACCATTAACTTCTAAAATCTAAAAACAACAGAAATATACAAATAATAACAAGATCACAATGATATAACTATAACATATGTCAACTTCGTAATATTGCCAAAAACCTGATCCCCTTTGCGCAAACCAGCTTGGTCAATCTTGGAACCTTTCTTTACCTATTATAAAAAATATTTATTTAATCCTCTACAATAAAGCAAGCGCATGATCTTAGCAACAGATCACATGACGTAAAATGTGAAACTTCAAAGGACACTCATGAAGACGCAAGTTTTTCCCCAATATGCTGCTAACCAATAATTTCATCAACGTGTTATTTATGAGAAATTTCAACAAAGATAACTCACTTTAGCAATAAAAATACCAAATCCTCTATCCTTTCCACCAGTAATAGAAAAATTCAAAGAAGAGTCTTTGGCGTGATGAACCTTAAAATCAAGGTAAACTTCAAAATTTTTATATTCAAAGATTTTATAACGAGACTAGTTTTACGTACCAATGTAACTTTCCGTAGCCTCGCTTTAGATGAACACGCAATATGAAGTAAACGTAGTTGACCAATCATGGACTAAATGTTTAAGGAAAAGAATATGGATTCACTACATAACTTCCAAAATAGTTCAAATAAATAAGGTTAGTAATGCATAATTAATCCATGGTTTTTGTATCATTACATTGCCAAAAAAAAACTCTTTATTGACAAGACAATAAAACAAGTAAATTCGTGTGAAGAAAATAAAAAGAGAAATCCCGAATTTCTGCGCGAAGTAAAAATGAAATGGCAAAAAATTTGCAGACATCGTGTAAATGCGATTAAAAATAACAACCATTTTGAAATCAATCATTTGAAAAAAATTTCATAATAATTATTCAACTCACATGTTTCTCAAGGCCTTTTTCAAATCTTTCCAAATGTTTTTCCATTGATGGACTGTCTTCAAAATCGCTGTTAAAATGATTGATTACCCAAAGCAACATAACCCGGGTTACCTGTGGTCAATAAATTCAAATAATTAAATAATTAACAAAGCCACGTGACTTATGCAAAGTTATACATTATAAAATAAAAACAATAAAACGGGTGGGCTGATTGGTCTACAAACCAATCTGAACTTGATCAATTAAATCAATCAACGGGAATTTTCAAAGTAATCATGAAAACATGTTAGAATAAAAATTAAACATTTGTACTAAATTTATCTGTTTTTCATTGTTATTTAATAAAAAAATGTCAAACTGCTAGTGCAAACTGCTCTGAAGTTCTCCCAAAGGTCTCCTCGGTTGGCATAAGCTTGTGCAAACACAGTAAAAATCTTTTTATATCCTGATTAATAAATGTTCATAACAGAGATATACACGGTGTTACAAAAACAAATCTCTAATTTAGACTTTTCTAGTCTCTCTTCTTTGATGAATTACGTACGTAAAAAAATTAACTACAAGTGTCACACTACTACGTCACATGACACACCAATACGTCACATGTCACACTACTACGTCACATGACACACTACTACGTCACATGTCACACTACTACGTCACATGACACACTACTACGTCACATGTCACATTAAGACATCACATGTTATACATGACAACACATGTCATACTACTACGTCACATGTCACACTACTAAGTCACATGTCATCGTTATACGTCACATGACACAGTAAGACGTCACATGTTATACTATGACAACATATGTATGTCACACTAAAACGTCATATGTTACACTTAAGATTAAATCAAGACGTTCTACCTTATCCTTTAATTCTGGGAAATCAAACCAATCGAGAAGTTGAGAACAAATATTAGAAGGTTCATTAAAGAAAGTTCGATAAGTCAATAGAAAATCTTCAACGTAGGTAGGATCAACAATTGAATGATCTTCAACGAGATGGTCAACCAAAAGTTTGGGTTTAGCCTAGAATCAAACAACAAGTACCGCTTCAATAGCATTCTTCGTAAAAATCATTTTGCAAATGAACTATTTCCCAAGTTAACATTGTACGATGTACGATGAGATCTTACTGAGCTGACATAATCCTTACCTTAATGACGACGTGCCCATCTCTGTTTCCACCATCTAACGAACGATATTCTGTCACCATGACAACTTCACCATTCTCGACGACTTCGTGAATGTTTGCTTCACCTTGGCTGAGTATGCGATGATATTCAGTCTGCGGTATGCACACGAACTACAATGGTATTTAGTATAAATATGACATAATTTCTTTAAATTCACCAAACGTGTTAGTTTACAATATCTGTCAACGACCTCGTTTTAATGTGGCTGAGAAACTTGAAGTTGCATGACATCACAATCGCAGAATCCTTAGTAGCACACATTCATTCCTTATATCCTACCTGACAATCATCAACACGCGTCTTCATCACACCTTTATGATAATACTGATCCAAAGTCGGTTGAACTCCAAAACTCTGTCCTAAATGTAGAGTTACTGTCTCCTCTCCTGGGACAAGTACTTCAACTGAACCATTTAAAATAACACACCATGAATCAAGCTAGAAAGAAAAATTTATATTCACAACACAACACTTTATGGATTTTCTATTATTTTCTAAATTAAAAGAATATTTCTACCAGAAAAGATTTCAATTAAAGAGGATGAAACAGGATCTACTGATACAATGAGGGAATTAGAATGATAATCAAAATAACGTTTGCTGCGGATGACAATTACTTTATCTTAAGTAAAATAAATTAAACGTTCAAATTTTAAAACAAACCTGATCACCATCATTTAGAACGACGACATTTGCATGTTCCACTACAGCAAATAACATCACTGCGCAAAGTTCACGACGAACATTCGTTGTCATGCTTGAAAAAGCCTAAAGGAAAATGTAAAAGTCAATTTGGTAGCAGTATGTAAGAAAAAATTTAATACAAATGTGATACAAAAAAGATGAAATAAAGAAAATTTCAATTGAAAACAACAAACTTACAGGTAAATGTTGAAGAAAATCCATAAGCGCCTCTACACAATGAATATATAAAATAATTTTTAACGAATAGCACATTTTATATGAAATAAGACAATTCATTTTTTAACAATAATTAAAGTCAACAAATTAATTGTACCAATATCGTTTTCAGTTCGTTCAGAGGTATCCTTTTCAAGACAATCTCGTACAACATCTCGAACCATCATTGACTGAGAAAATAAACAAAAAATTCCAATATAGTTTGCTATTCTTGCACTTTGAAAGGAATGGAGAGTTTTTGTCATTTGAATGCTGTCAAAACAGTAAATAAAGCAAAGAATAGAAAACCTCTCCTGACGATTGTGACGTTGTTTCATCGTCATCTGAATCAACTAAAAATTACATACGTAGAAGATAAAAATGAAATGGTTTGATAAAACTTGATATAATAGTCTTCATACATAGATCAACATGATACAGGAATACATATAATGAACGTTGAAAATAATTGCTAACATACATACATACATAGTTAAACAAAGGTAAAGTATACATACATACATAGTTAAACAAAGGTAAAGTACACACATACATAGTTAAACAAAGGTAAAGTACACATACATACATAGTTAAACAAAGGTAAAGTACACATACATACATAGTTAAACAAAGGTAAAGTACACATACATACATACATAGTTAAACATAGGAAAGTACACATACATACATAGTTAAACAAAGGTAAAGTACACATACATACATAGTTAAACATAGGAAAGTACACATACATACATAGTTAAACAAAGGTAAAGTACACATACCAATGCTTTCAACAAGTCCTGATAAATCCAAATCAAAATCAGGACCAGATTGGGGTCGACGTGAGGTATCTGACTCTCCATATGAGGATTTGAGTAAAAGTTGTTTAACTTGATCCAATTCTTGGGGTATCTTATGAAGACAATACTCATTGTTTATCACCAAATGTAGCTATATCACTGAACTATATACACATGGATGAACTGCTTATTTATATTTACATATTGCAGTGTTAATATGAAAAAGAATGTTAAAATTTAATATGACATCATGCATTTCCCATTGTGTTTACATTGTAAAATAGATGAGCTCTTTAGCTTTCCAATGATGTGTTTTTCATTTAATAACAAATCAAACATTCAAGTACCCCTCAAATCAAAATCACAAGTTCAAATGTATTCAATATTTGTACTCATTTCCAAATGGTAGAAAAATGCAATTTCGACAAGAAAATTTTATTGGAGTAGTATGTACTCATTTCTGATTGCTATGAAATGAAAAACAAATCATTCAAAAGCTAAAAAGCTCATCTGTTTTGCTATGTAACTTTACATAAAACCACATTTAAACAAAAAGAAAATTTTCAAACCTTTTCATCAGGAATGGGTCCTCCAACTTTAACTTCACCATTCTCTAAAGCCAACATCATTTCAAGATCCATTGCTTCATATGAATGACGTGAATTTGGTTTCATCAATCTTGAGTCAGGATAGTCAATCTAGAAGAAAAACAAAGAGAAAAGCATGTCAAAATATCTTTCAAAATTTCAAAACTCTCTTAACTTACAACAATCATTTCTGAATGTTCCAATATAAGACATTCACTACCACGACGGCCATCTAACCACAATGGTTGTTTGCCAAAACTGAAGAGAATTTAAAAAAATTACATGCAATGACTTTAAATAGTTTATGGCTATAAATATTGTTCAAACAATCCAACAAATCTTTGGTCTTTTCAAAACAATAAATTAATAAGATAAATTACCTACTACCAGGAAGATACATGTTACAATCAATGAATACGGATCCTGAGAGTAAAATATACCAACATGTTGCATAATCATTTTGCCTAAATCAATGAAAATAATTCAAACTATTTCATTCAGTTTTTAAAACAGAGAATTTTATCAAACTCACACAGTGAACATAAATATCTTTCTCATATATTACCATAACCATATTATGTTAAAAAATTACTTACAAGTAGAGCAAATGGTTGGACTCGTGGACCTCATAGCGCGCTGTCTTACACATAGCCCTAAGACAGAAAAGAAAATGAAAACAGATAAATGAATAGCAACATACAGCAAATTAAAATAGAATCAAACTAATTTATAAACATTTTTTATTCTCTTATTCATAGTACACAAGCCACATCAGTGTTAACATTGTTAAAAAAATATGACAATTTTGGTTTTTGTCAGTCCCAAAATATTTTACTTCTTTGTCAATTAACCTCATCTTCAGTGGCATGACATAACAACAACAAAAATTGACAAATGTTTACTTACTTAATGACTTCTCCTCCTAAGCCTGACATAGCCTGCATACCACGCAGGTGTTTCAAAATGCAAGCACAATCCTACAAAAACAAGAAAGTAAAAGCATTCTTGTTTATAAGTGATATCATTGTACTTAATCTACAGCTCTATTATGTTTTGTAATGTCTGATAAAAACATATTTTTTCTGCTTTATAAACAACGACAAAAATTACAATAATTTTACCATCAATTACAATAATTTTACCATCAAAACTTTTCAGTTCATGAAAGACAAAATGAAAGTAAGGAAATTTTAAACAATGAAATAACACAAAAAGCTCAAGTTGTAATAACACTTCATCTTGAACATTTTTACAACACAAGTTCTCATTATCAATAATTTTTCCCACGTGATCACTAACTTAAACTTTTTTTAAGACAAAATTAAATAAACATGACAATAATTATAAAGTCTATTTTTCAAATATCATTGATTCGATATTGCAACATTTTTAAAATTTGGCATTCTCTTGTAAAAATATACTTATGTACTTTAATTTTGCAATTATCACACACATACCTCATCTGTTCTTGCAATTGAAGGTCTCTTAAGACAATTGATGAATTTTTCACTAGTTCGGTCCATTGTAAAAAGTTACTATGCTCACAATTAAATTTTTCTTGCTCTTCCGTCACTATGAGAAACTTTACATAATTTGAAAAACGAATTTTTAGCTGGAGTCTTGAAGATGAATGAAACCATAAACTTTATCAATTGCTTCCTTCTTTCCAAGTTTATTGTGCACTTATATGAAACGTTAAATAGAGCAGATTTTCTGTCAACAAAACCCACTCTTTTATTACAAAATAAAATAACTTAAGATTCTCAATATCAAGAGCTCTACGAACGTTTTCTTCGTCTCCAGTAACGTCAACAAAGCTAAGTGCTTGACTATTTAACAATACTTTGTGGTTTCCAAATAAAACTCTGCAATTTGAAGCAATGCAAAGATAATGGCTCCAATATATTCCAATCTATAAACCAGACGATTAAGTCGACAAACTGATATATTAAAACGTTTGAGTAAACTCTCCTTAATCTTGTACGTTTTTCAAATTCCACAATAAAATCAGCGGAAGATCCGTTAATTTATTTCCATTTAATACGACAATGATCCAAGATAAATGAACTAACCAATTCAACTGCCTTCGTCAATCGATTATAAATAAAGAAATACCAACCAAAACAAACCAAAATCGATCTCAACTCTTGACAAAATATGGGTCTTTCCACTTATGATTTAAGAGTTGAATACAAGTTGCTGTGACAAGCGTAATACCGCAAAGGCTTAAAAGGCAAGCAAGCTAGTATCATGAAATATTGATCGTGTATGACACTTTTTGAAGATGGCAATGGAGCTACGTAGCAGAAATTCGACTTAAAAAATGACCAAAAATCCAAAATTTACTGAAAACATTCAATCCGCCATCATACTGTCGTGTACACAGAAAGTCACGTGATGTACATGAAATGTGTACTTTGGATAAACATTACATAAAGTATCGCATGTTTTGTCGAGGTGGGGTTGCAGAGACCATAAGAGGGAGCGTTTGACAGAACGGCGGACAGTGCTACCACATTGGATAATGATTTTTCAAGTATATTTAAAAGGTGATGATATTCACTTCACAACTATGAAAATTTTTTCAATCAACGTTTGAATCAATTCTCCACTTTACATCGTAGCTTTTTCCATCTACAAATTTTCAGATGATATTCACTTCACAACTATGAAAATTTTTTCAATCAACGTTTGAATCAATTCTCCACTTTAAATCGTAGCTTTTTCCATCTACAAATTTTTAGAAACAAGTATCGAAAAAGTTTCTATCCACAGGATCGCGATATGTAGATTTCAGAGAAGAGTTTTTAATTTATCTGCATTACATAGTTTGTTGATATAAGGAAAGAGGACTTGCTAGAAAAAAAATAAGAAAGATAATATACGACCATTTCCATTCATGAAAAAAACCCAAAAAAATGGAAAATTTTGCATGAAATTGTTGAATTGTTTTCTTCATAATTCAACTTTTTACAGTATCAACCTAGCATTACCAGAACTAGGTATTTTATGAATGCAAATGAGCTAATTACATTTGGAAATGAATGTCTATTCTATACTACTAAACACATTTTCTGTGAACTATGTTTGGTCCAAATTCATCATACTCAGAAGACGAAATCCACATTGAGTGAAAACTTGGAACTTTGCTTAACATAGAACCACCTTGCCAAGTGAGCATATTTCTTTCATCCACTGCGCAGATTTTTACAGTATCTTGGGGGCCAGCAAGCTTAGAAAGCTCAACATGTAGACGACGGTTGAAGCCTGTAAACATTGTCGATCCTCCTAAACAATAATTGGTTTATCCAAAATCATAAGATATAAATCAATTATCCAAAATCATAAGATATAAATCAATTATCCAAAAGCATAAGATATAAATCACGTATAGACATATATAATACGTACCAGCAATGACAATATTTTCAAGTAAACTAGTTCTCATGTCAAAAGAACAACGAAAGATAGATTTATAGATCATTTCATGAACTCCATCAATGTCTATTCCCGCCATGGATGGCGAGAATAACAACTCTGGACAACGGAAACATTCGCTGCCGATTTGAATCATTTTCCCGTCAGGTAACTAAAGAGAAAAAATGAACTTAACTTTTGCTGTTATTTCCAACATTCAAGAATTTTTTAGGTGTAAAAAATAACATCTAAAATTTCCTTCGTTTATGACCATGGTAAAAACAAAAAGTAGCAAAAACGTAAAAGTTAATTTAATTCTTGCCAATAAAATTTAATCTCTATGAACAAGGCAAGTATTTAAAATAATTAACAGTATATGTGCAAAACTGACGAAATTTTTTTTACAAGATACTATTAATTCCTATGATTTTCGTACTGAGCAATGTTAAAGCAGAACTGTAAGATTCTTCAGTAAATTGTATATAATTTTAAAAAATTTCCAAAATTTAAAATTTAAACTTCATCTGAATTTACCATTTTTAACTTTTAACGACAGTTCTAGCAACATGAAAGTTTAAGTATTTTCTGTCTACATTCCTCCCTTTCCTTACCTTATCTCCAAACAATTATGGCAAGCACTTTTGTTCATGCATTTCTATCTAAATGTAATTAATTCTCTACCATGTACGATGTGTCTTTTCGTTCTCCAAAATTATACGCTCTCCTTTCATTGTCGTAGTCCATTACAACGTAGCACAATCTACGCTTAATGTCCTCAGCGATGGATATTGAAGTATTACATTCTACGTTAATACCACGATCTTTAAGCATGCGTGATAGACACATAGTAAGTTCATCACCAGCAAATTCAGTAGTGAAAGTGGCGTGTGGAAAAGGGTAACCTTCGTAGACTGGAACCGAGTGACATTTGCCATAGCCGCAGTCGTAGACAACACCTTTAAAAACACAAAAGTATCTTTTTTGCCATTATTTCAAAAGAAAGAAGAAAGACAATGATTTTTGAACATGAGCAGGTTTTGTGTTTGTTCTTTGGCTCAAAATTTGACTTGTTAGTTGAAAACGCTCTAGGTGACCATACAAAATATTTTCATCATTCTTCATATAAAAAATACGACATTTTCACTTGGGTACATCAGCTACTTATTTACGATTACATACCAGTTGTTCGTCCAGTGGCAAAGAGTGCAAGAGAGGCCTGGGACGAGCTATACATAGATGGTACATGGTATGTTTCAAAGAGAAGTTGTACTATATCTTCTCGTTGTGTTTTAGGTACGAGTACTGGCTCAGTTAACAAAACAGGATACTGGTCAGCCTCACAACGTAATTCTTCAAAGACTTCATCCAAAAGCTTTAATAGAACAGGATGTTTAAATAGTCGCCATATTACATTTTAGATCTAAGCAATATCAAATCATAAGTAAAGTTGAAAGCACAAAAATTCCTTACAATATTAGTAAAAAGGACACAAAAATGAAACGTTTTGCCCAGAAACATTGATCTAACAGAACATCCTAGGATTTAATAAGTTATTTAAAACAATTTCTAGCACACTAAATACACACAATTGGGAAAATGCACCTTTTCAAAGAGTTCCCAGTTATGAACAAGTCCTTTCTTGACAGGTTTGTTCATATTAATCACGTGATGTAAATGTTTTCCTTCATCACCGACGTAAAAATTTTTATAACAAAAATCCTGTCGAGAGAAATTTATCAAAATGTAACAAACGAAGAGAGAATTAGCATGTTTACGAGTATAAAAATAAAAAATACAGATTGATAACTATAAGTTTATTTCTACTGCAGCTAAGGAGACATTGGCTTTGAAAAAACGTTTCTACTTAATGGAAGAAGGACGCGTTTTGTGAGAGAAATCTGAATCATTGCTAGTTTCTATGAAAAACTTTTACACTCACCGATTTCGGAGAATAACCAACAATAGAAGGAATCACTACCCGAGGTTTTTCGTCAATTGAAAATCCAGCTTTGATACTATTAGAACCAGGATCAATAATTACCGATGAGGAATATGGGATGTTCTAAAATATGACGTTTTACATAAATAAATGCATTAATCCATGAAGATGATTGTTACGATCTACCAAAAGATATACTTCTTTGATTTAACAAAACATTTAGATTTAACGAGGTATAAAGTTGGATTGAATTTTTCCAATCAATTAGCCATGTAAATAACTCTTTCAGCAATAATTTATTGTTAAGACATGTTCGTTTAGTAAAAATTTTATTTTATATACCTCATAATTCGTTTGCACGGAGTTAAATGATGAAGATAATGGATTAGTAATGGCAATTTTCATTATTTCATCGTCATCGTTATTATCAAAAAATGCATTCTTATGTCCCGTCAGATCTTCATATTCCATTTCTTCTTCCTGGATATCCTCTAAAACTGGACCAAAATCTTCATCATTTTCACTATCTTGTAAATTTCCATAATTTCCCTCTATGTTATCATGATAATAGTCATTCAATTGTGATACTTGAGAATTGTTTATTGGTGCAATTATCGTGTCCAATTTGTCAGAAGAACTCTTTATTTTACTGTCACCATTAATATCTTCACTGGGAGAGGTTGAAACGAAATCATTTGGTGCAACAATATCGTGGTCAGTTATTGGTGTTTTTGTAAATATATTTTCAATTGTTCTTTGACTATCATTATAGGAAAACTCCTCGTTAAGACTATGAAAACAATCAACAACTTCACCACCATGCAGGATTTCCACATTATTTAATGCATCAATGGCAACATCAACATCGACAAACGAGCTCTTCTCTAAAACGTTTTTCGTATTTTTAGATTGATTATAGCCACTATTATCCATTTCTACCACCACATCTAGCACGTCAAGCCTCGTGATGTCATTATCATCATTTTTCATTCCAACAGATTGATCAAAATGACTGCCTTCGTACTCTTGTGACTTTTCCTCCAATTTTATGTCATTATTGACATGTATTAACCTTTGTGTCACTTTATGATTGTCGCAATAATTCCTTCCAACAGATTCTTCATTCACATTCAAATTATCTGGTTTTAAATATTTCACATCCTTAATTATATCCTCATTGGTCACTTGATCAACATTGTTATCCATAAAATTCCCAAAGCTTAAACTCCCATCTATTTCTAAACTAATTATAGTATTTTTTGTGTATCGCATGCATCATTGTTCTTCATCTTTATATCTACTCCACCAATATCTTGGTCTATAGTCTTCGTATTTGATCCACAATTTAACGTAGTATTGTTAAATATATTTTGTAAATGACTCGATGTCATTTTATCGCCGTCTTTCCAGCTATCGCAATTTATATTATCTGTAGTCTTTCCTTCATCAGAAATTATGAAATCATTAACAGTCACATTCAATGTTTCGTTACCAACAAAATCATCAGTTGGGGTAAGAGGGGATAGTTGGGAATAAAAAGGTGGGGTGTTCAAATATTCTTCGTTTGAATCAATTTGATCATTTTTCACAGTTGCAAGTGACTGTTCAAAAAGTTTGGCATCAATTTGCTTTTGTCCTTTTACGTCGTTTCCTGCTACATCAGAAACATTATTGTCTTGCGAAATACATAATTCACTTTTTGCTTTTGGCGTAAAGTTTTCATCAAACTCAAACTTCATCTTTAGGTGTTTTGAAGCTTCGGACACGTCTTTTGATCCATTTGTCAAATCTTCAAAATGGTAAATAGAATGTTTCAATGACTTATCCTCTGCAATATCACATTCGTTTTGGCCATTTTCAACGCAATTTTCATTTACATTATTTATAGATTTTTTCCTATGGTCATATTCTTGAATATTTTGATCACGTGATTTTAAATAACTCTCTTTAGTACAACTTTTTTTACATTTTGCTTCTTCAGTTTTTTCTTTATGGATAAATACATTTGATGAATCTTTATCCGTCAAACAAATTGCTGCTTTCTCAAACAGAGCAATCTTCTGTTGAACATTAATTTGAGAGATACTTTCCCTATTTATCAAGGGTGGTTGAAGACTTTCTTTGTTATCTTTCACGATGCAAACACTTTTCCTTTTAATATTTGTATCATAATTTTCCAATGTCTTTCCTAATAATTTTTCTTGCTGCAGACCAGATGAAGCTTCTGGAAGAGTTTGTGCAGACCAAATGTTTTGTTGTAACTCATCTTGTAAACTGACACAACTAGACGATTGACTGTGTAACACCATAAGCTCATTGTTTTCTATATGATCATCCAACTTACTTGCTGACTTAAATTTGTCCCTAACTCCTTCCAATGTTACTTTATTCTTAAATGAACTATCAGACATAGGCTCAGAATCAGCAAACTTTCGTGGCAACTTTGATTCTACAATACTACTTACTGATTCCTTGTCATCGTCTTTCAATCCTTTGTTCTCATTACAAAACCCTTTATATACCACACTTTCTTTATTTTTTCTCAATCCATCTTCATCAGTCACTGCTTCATCCACAATAGGACTATCAATCTTTTTAACTGTTTCAAATAATGACATCTTTCTCCAATGTACGTCAGAATTAGGCTGTAAAAGTGAGAAAGAAGTGGTGTTCCAGCCACTGAGCTGCTTTACTCTAAAAAGCTGTATTTGAGCGTTAAAATATCTCTCTTCAATTTCTTTTCTCAATCTTTCGTCTTCTATAACATGGGTCAAGAGCAGACGTTGGTCATTTTTTACTTTTGTCCAATGCTCGATTGCTTCAAGAGTAGAAACAGCGTGTTTTTCCTTTGAACAAGTCATACAGTCATGTATTTTTTGCTTACAATCGAAAGTTACCTTTTAATATCACTAGGGTAAATTTTATCGACACACAATTTTTTCTCAGTTTTACCAGATGTATCATCTCTATGGAACAATGTCAGTTGGTCATCTTTAAAATCATGAGGTATAGATAAATTGTTCACATTTAGCGTATTTCTACTCGTGATTAATGACTTTCCACTGCCAGTTAGAGATTTTTTAAGATCACATGAAAAGTTACTTTGATCAGATGACTTATCGTGGAAATCTTGTGATGCAGTCATCAAATAATCACCTGAAAATAAACCATCATTCGATAGTTGATCACTTTTTTTAAATTTATTCGACCAATCAAATGTCAATGCAGTCTCTTGGTTGTCTTTACTGCTCTTCCTTTGTGCTAAGTTTTCAGATTCAGTGTTACAGCTGTTTCTCAATTTTGTAGTAGAGAGTTTATCAATCCTACACAAGCGCTTTAAGTTGTTGCAGCCTTCTAACAGATCAATGTTTGTATATCGTCCGGTCTTAGTAGACATCTTGCTGATTTCATTCACAGATGTTTCATCATCTAAAATTGCACCTTCTTTAGAGACAAATTTTCTTAAAGGAGAAATCAATTTGCGGTCATTTTTATCACTAGGTTTTATATTTTCAGCTTCGAAACTGTGCATTGTGTGATCAGAAATATCGTTATTTGTGATTTCTTTTGATTTTGCTTCTATGTCAAACAACCTTTGGGAAACACTACTTTTACTCTCGAGATTAAATATATTTTGGCATGTTTGTGTTTGACTTTTGACTTTCAAGCTGAACTCCCTTTCAGAAATTTCCTGTAGTTCATTTTCAAGAATCAGCTGTTCATACAATAACTCTTGGTCACAAAGTTTTCGTTGAATATCGTTAAGACGAGCACTCTGACCAACGTCAATGGGATTAATGTCGTCATCAAATATAACATTACCAGATATAACGTCACCAAATATGACCTCATCAGATAGAGTTGTCGAGCTCATGACTTCATACCCACTTTGATGATGCGTAGTGTTTGGAGATGTTTGATCAATGAACGATGGTAAGTCTAGAGTATTGGGGTCTTTTGGAAGAGGAAAGACATCATCAAAGTCGTCATTGTTTCTAGGATATCTGGAAAAAAATCATCAAGAATTCATGTCACAGTTGCTATCATCAAAATAATATTTTTGTGGTTATGTGGTAGGAAAAGTGACATCTTTTGTTAAATTTTACGAATATTTTATCATAACGATGTCATAGCATGATTTCAATGAGACAAATTTCAAAAATAACGCCAATTTATGAAGTAAATTACTGAGTAAGTAAGTTAACAGTTTCCTGTAGCAAGCAATTAATAACATCTATGATACCTCCGACCAACATAAGTCTCGTGTGTCCCAGGAGTTTCCAAAGCTGCTTTTAGATGTCGACAACGATTTACCAATAAAGCAACGCGTTCACGCGTCATTTTATCGCTGACATTTCTTGAAAATTGAAGAAGCCAGTCTAACTGCTCATTGGTCAATGGCGAATGTTTTTCCAAAAATTTGTCAATTTCAGTTAATGGTACATTTGGATGGTTGATATCATTAAAAGACATGTTGCCGATAAAGGAAGGCCACAGATCTGAAGCTCTCTCACACCAAATTTCGGCCTGATATAAAGCAACAAAAACATTCAATTTAAATTATGAAAAATGGAAAGCAAAAGCCAAAAAAAAATCTTGTTGGTAAGTACTTGATTTAACATGTTCAAAGTTAACACGCACTCGTAAAAATTGCAAAAAATAATAATGGAGCTTGTGGAATGGAAAGGGACCATGAGGGATCGTGTTTCTACGCAAATTCTGTGAAATCCTCATTTCATCTATCTATGTTAACAGTATTTAAATTACGTGGAATTCTTCAGTGTTTGTTTATTTGTGTATTACATACCTTAGTTATGTAATGCCAGAAATCCTTTACTTCTTTTAAATGCTTCATGGTCTTTTTTGTTTTTCTCTTCAAAGTTTTCATCAAAGACCTCAAACTATCAGCTTGCAATTTGATATTGCGATTAGGTAAAAAAGCATCAACTTCTTTCAACAATTGACGATATCTCTTTAAGTTGACCTAAATATGCATTTGATGTAGATTATTATAAGAAACATAGCCCGGGTAAAAGGTTCGTACTCAACTCAATATTTAAGAAACAAACAAGACAGTTTTCACACAGTAATATTTCGAATTTGTTGCAAATTCATAACTAGATTATAAATGGGTGTATAAATAGTCTCAGCAGCAAAGCTTCAAGCCTTTCGAATTCATTTCATTTTAAAGAGACGATTTAACTTATAACAAAAAGTATTCTGTATCTTAATGACTTCGAGCGTGAAATATTGATTAAATATACATGAAATAAATTATATGACACTAAAGGTACGTTGTGTTTATAAAGTGTTTTTTAAACAACTTCTTATACATCATATGTAAGTGATCATTTATTTATAGAGAAACGTTCTGAATAAAATACATGTGCACGATTAAATAAATTTTGTCAGTTTAGAATCAAAGAGATACTTGTTTCTGGCTAAAAGACAGTATTAATTTACAATTAGATCGTACCACTTGATATATAGAAAGCATTGCACGAAAGTGTGAAATGAAATCGTTAAAATTGTTATTTACAGTATTTAAGATTAAGTAAACAGGAAAATTTTATGACCATAAACTGTCAACATGTTCAAAATTTTTTCTTAGAAATCATGTTATGTAACACAAATTACATAAATTTCACATAACCGTTGAACCCGATGACACAAATTGATCCACTTGGATGTGAACTAATCCATAAAATCTTTTCATGATGACACTGTAATGTTTCAATTTTTCCTAATTTATTGCAGCTCAGAAGATGACCTGGTTCATTAAGAAGAAGAAATTTGTCGTGGCCAAAGTAAAATGACATGTCAAATATGTTTTCTTCGAGATTTAATGTTGATTTTAAACTACCATCCATTAAGTAGATATAAATTGATCGTTTTGTGGCTAGTATGATTTCATTATCGTCCGAACAGCTCATCGCACGAAGTTCTTGAGATGCAATTACTTCAGGAGTGAACTGGTTTCTCAATATCCCATGATAATCACAAATGTATACACGTTTATCCTTTGTTTCCCTGCATACCACAAGCTTTCCTTTTACAGCAAACAAGCGAATATTGGAAATTGATCCTTGAACACCAAGAAATGTCATGCTTACTTTGCCTTTAACGATAAAATGATTGTTAAATATTTGTAAATAAATACGATGTTTTTTACGCCATTTTAAATCTTGAACTGACTCTCGCAAAACGTACAGATTATCATTTTCATCTAATGAAAATTCCTTCACTTGCTCTTCGACTATTCCTGTGTTCATATCTGTGTGTGAAAATTGATAAACAACATCTATTTCCCCATTTTTTCCCACAACTTTTACATCGTCATTATCGCAACACACCATCTCACCTTGTGTGTTAACATGAAACTTTACACTTTCTTGGAAATAAGGTGAATAAAAATCGTTTGGAGGGGAAACTAACTTTTTACCCCATGAATTTCTGTTTGATATCCTATGCCATTCCCAAATAGGGTTGAAACTTTCACTTGTCAGTTCAATTTTTGGCCAATTCAGAGCGGAATGATATTTACTGCGTGTCTCCATAATAAATTGATACAACACATAGTTTATGAGCATGACTGATCTCACATTTTCTAGTCGTTCAGATTTTTTAAACAATGATCGTGGTCCACGAGTAATGTAAACATTAAATATTTCACGAACGCCAGGTAATGTATGAAGTTCATCTAAGAACAATAAACACGAAGTAATGGCTGATTCGTGACATTCAATACATTCCAAAAGCTTTGAAACAATACGAAGTTTTGCAGCAAAGATTCTATCGTCTATCGATAAACTTTCGTTGCAAAATGCTCGCGTCGCTTCCTTACACGCGTTCTGAAATCCTTTCTTAGCAGTTTTAAATTTCTCACTTGACTCAACCTGTAATTTGCCAAAAGCCTGAGTGATTTTTTGTGTCTCATTCAAGATTTCAAATTTCCCTCTGCCAGAAGACTCACCCGCGTCCAGTGAGCAAGCTTCAGTCATCACGTTAGACTCAGTTTTATTTTCTTCTTTTGATTCATCATAGTTCTCGAGGCAATCATAAACAAGATGAATAGCTTCCTTTAAGAAACTGTAACTGCTGAGAAGATCTTTTCGTGAAAGACCATTTAATTTTGTTTTAATGTCGTCCAACTCTCTCACAACAATCTTCCGTATTTTTGCATCAATAACATCACCATCTTGTAGCTTGTCTGCAGTTCTATCTCGAGCTTTATTTAACAATAAGCCGACAGTTGAGCTTAATAAACCAGAGATCAACGATGACATGGTTACACAAATGGTTAAAACCAAAAAATATTGGAGAATTTATTCAAACTTGAATGCACTTTTCTCTGAATTGATAGACTTCCTCACAGTTCCGCCTTTTTCCCAAGCGACAATCTTTTAATGAATTCATAGTTCGAAGCAATGTTTGTCTTCCTGTCTAGCACTCGGATTACAAAAGATTACAAAAAGAATACAAAAGATTACAAAAAGCCAGAATTTATGGAAAATACAGAGTGTAGACAGTAGAGTAACAATCTCACCACGTACTTTTAATACAGAATGCACATTTTTCATAGTGTTCTTGCAATATGATAGTGTTTAATTTAACATTGTAGAGTACGTGTTTATTGCTAAGAGTGATCATTCTCATCATATATTGTTAGTGTTTATATGTGCATTACACATCCAAGTGTTACAGGTCTTGAACAAGTGAAATGATAATTTAAAATGTTAGATTTGAATGAAGAAAAAAGTCTACACCCGACTCATTACTCTACAATTTGACTTCATACTTTCTACTATGCCAACTAGAACAGTGTATTAAATGTGATTTACTTACTGAAATTACATAAATATACATCCAAAAACAAAATTGTTTTCCATGCAGATTGCTTACAAGACTTGATTAATATTTGTTTTCTCGTTAAAAAAGCAGAAGCATTTCTTGACTGCCTCTAATATTGAAGGATTTCATTGGATCTAATTCATAATAGTATTATCAGTTGAGACAATAGACTGCATGATGATTTCGTAAAGATTGATGAACTTTTTCTCAGAGTTATTTTGATTGCTTTTTAATGACAAACATCCTCCTTTTCATAAAGAAAAAATTATTTCCATAGTGAAAGGAAGCGTTTAGTAAAAAATTTCTCCCATAAATTCTTTGGAAATACCAACATGACTTTTATTCTACAGTTTCTTGGAATATGATAAGCAAATACTTTGCCTAGTGCCTACAATTTCTTGGAATATATAGATAACAATTCCAGTGTACAGAAGTTCCTAGTTGAATAGACCAGTTTTATAAAACAGAAGATTATGAAACATCGTTGTTTCATTACATAAAACGGATAAACCAATTTTAATGATGACGAAATTGATTTTTGTCTTCAATAAGTAGTGTAATAGTCACTATTCAATGTGATAATTGAGGAATAAACTTAGCAATTATTGTAAAATATACATACCACACATTTCTTTTTAACTTTATCTTACCTTAGCAGGTTTATAAAAATCATTTTCAAATTTGATTTTCTGCGTAAGAGCGTCAGATAATGACGCTGACTCCAATGGTAACAAGTCAAGATTTGAAATACCTTTATCCACAATCCAGGTACAACACTGAAGCAATTTTAATGATAAAGTTATGAAACATTTTTCTAGTGAATATTTTAATCAACAACACTCACTTCAAGTAAACGATTGTTCAACTCTTGTTCTTCATTTGTTGAATACATCATATGAAGATTTTTTTTGGAAAAAAAATTTATAACGTCGTTAATGGAGAAATAATTTTGCAACGAGAGGTTTTTCCTTTTCAATCAATGAACTAAAAAAGAAATAAAAAAAAACAACTTAATAACCGACAGTAAAAATGTACATCTTACTTTAACATATCATTATTTTTAACATACTTCGTCAGCACAACCTTGCTTCACGTTATCATATATATCTACAAACTCACCAGAAAACGTCGTTACACCCAGCCAACTACCCTTAATAACAGCAAACTAACCTATATAATGTTGTGTACTCCCAGTAAACTACCTTTGATAACGTTTTGTACCCCCACAGTAAACGTTGTATACACAGCAAACTGCCCCTGAGACGTTGCATAGCCAGGCAACCATCTCTGATAATGTTGTTGTGAATCAACGCAACGGCTTGTGTCACAATATATAATCCAATAAAAAACTGAAAAAATTCATTCTAAACATTTCTTGGCAATACTATTCATCATGAAGATCATTGTTAAATTACTTTAACATTTCTTCATTAACAAATCAACAGCAAACCCACTATTATACACAATTCAGACGCCAAATAATTCTGTGTAAATTATATAAAACACTAAATACCTTATCACATTTAAATAAATCAATTTACGTTTATGAAATAAAGTATTACCTTTGATAGTTATTTACTGCCATTTTGATTTTTCGTTTTTGTCATCATAGTTGTCATTGACGACGCTTTGAAAAGCGATACTTTATGTAAAAACAATCATATTTGAAAAGGCGATCTAGGCTTACCCTAAACTTACAAATTATTTTTAATTTTTCTTTTTAAAATGTTTCTTTACTCTTTGCTTCAAACGTGATTTGTTTTGCTTTTTGTTTGCTCAAAATAACAAATGTACAACTGAAAACACAAATGATGTTTAAGTGAGTCACCATCATAAGAAAGCCATATAAATGAAAATATCTGCAAAGCAAGTAGATCAGATGCTGGTTAAACTGGAGGGAGTATGAGTTCACAATATTATTTTGATACAAATTGCATTACAGTAATCATATGTATTTATTTACTTTGCCAATGAATGGCCATGTTTCACCATTGTACGTGGTTGACATATCATGTCATTCCAATGTTGAAGTTCTTTACCACGAGCATACATCATACCACCAAGTAAAACTCGACCAATGAACTTTCCTTCTCCTTTGACGTCACTTTTACTTTGTTGATACACGGAAAAAAGTAATGTGCACACAGGAAGATCGTCACTGGAGACGTTTAAATGAAACGTTTCGTTGTAGAATGGCTCGATTGTGTCATGTTGAATGCTTGTCTTTTTCATTTTTAATATATTGTTCCCTTTGGAAAACGTCACTTTAACATAGGTATCTGTAAACACAAATAGAATTCTGTAAAGTTTAACTAGTTTCAAAACTCATTTTTCATAATTTCACCCGTATAAAGCAAAACTTCCATATAAATAAAATATACCTCACCTGGATTCAAAATTCCTTTATTTAAAGGTAACTTTGTTGCTCGAAGCACAATCACAGTTAATCTATCCAATAAAGGATAATGAGCCAGCGATACATGAAGAACTCCTAATTTTGATTCATCCTGTGTTAACAAAGGTTTTAGTTTAACATTTTCACGTTAATGATTATAATAAGTTGTAATTTCTTCGATAATATCAGCAAAAATTTTCCTCAGTTCTACAGAAAATTTCAGTGATAATGTAATCGTATTTTAAGTCATTTTTTATAATCTTTCTTACTCTGGCAATTATATTCAAAGTGTTATTTGCTTTATATTACTACTTTACCTCTGAAGGTTTTTCCAAGTCACTTGATAACTCTTCGCCAAATTTTTCATTTTTGAGTGGGTAATGCGCGTGTCCTATTAATGAGCCTCGTCGTCCTTTACTCATATCGTAGACGGACAACCGCAGGACACGCTGGTGTAGGTGATTGCGGGCAACTTCAAAGCTGAAAACTTCGCCGAAATCTGGATTCTTAGTGCTTTTTACAGCGGTTTGATGTTGACAACGGTCGTCCGGCAAAAGATAAAGTCGAACTTGAGGGTTTGGACGTGAATCGCTTAGGCTTGTGGCAAGATGACGTATCTTCAAAATATTTACTTGCAATATTTTCGAGGAAGACTGGTAACTAAGAAGGAACCATATTCGACCAATGTGTCCAGACGGGTAGTTGTTGTCTTCGTTCACACTTGCATCTCTTTTGTCATCTGTTAACAAAATAAAATAAAATCACTTAATGCTGAAAAAGTTATTTGACTTTCAGAGATACTTCAATCGTTTGATTTTTTGCCACAACCCAGATTTCGGGGTACAACCTAGAAAATCAGTTTCAGTCGATCTGCAACAACATTCAAGATTTTTTTGTCGAGACAAAGAAAGTTCTTGAAGCAGATTAGAGATTAAAAAGTCTTGTAGTTCAAGTTTCATGTTTATATTGCAATGGCTAGATATAAAATGAAAGTAATGAAAAATCTTGAGTTTATTAATTTGTGTGCAAAACATTTATCAAATGTTAAAAGCAGATATGAAACAAAAGCTACAACAACTAAGTTTGGTAAAATAAAATATTTAAAACTTTTTACATGTTGCCAGCAAGTTTTTTCAAAATAATTATTGCAGACAAAAAAAGTAAAACTTCCAATTAATTAATTAATTTTTCAAACTAATAATGTTCTTAACAATGACGATTTTCTTACTGCTAAAACAGGCAAAAGTTTGCTGCATTTGCAAGTTTTTTTAATACGTATTTGATCAATGTATCACGTACAATTGTCTTCAAAACGTCAATATTTGTATTTTGCTTAGTATATGTTGAAATAAATTTCACAAAGATCTGTCGTTTCAATTGAACTAAATTGGGAAAATATATTTGATGAAATTTCAACTGCACGCCGACATTGTATTACCTTCTCCATTTACTTGTTGTTCTTCATGGCGATTTTGCCTGCGTCGCCTTGGCGAGCCACAGTCATATTTTTCGTCAGATTCATCAGTTTGAGTGTTGACGTCATCATCCTCGCTAGAACTGTATTTAATCATATGAGTGCTGCTTTGCTTGTAGCGGTGACCACTTTTTGAAATTCTTTGATCCAAACCACATTTATTGTAGTCTGGTGCAGCTGTGATTGGTTTGGTAGTTGTTAACTGATACGTTAAAGTCTGCACCCGGAGAGGATTGTGTTTAACAGTATGTAGCGGTGTATTCCGACTGCTCTCCGATTGCTTGTTTTTTGATCTTCGTTGTCGGTAGAACATAAACATCAATATTGTAATTGTCGAAGTAAAAACAACCAAAAACACGACAATCCCAATGATTACAGGTGTTGAAACTACAAGTTTGATAAAATACTTTTAAATAGAGAACCCAATGCTTACGAAGTGAATATTTTATGTTAAAATACTATTTAAGTAGAGTTATATTTCAATTGGATATTTATACTCTTTGCTAAAAACACAAGTTTCCTTAAACTTCCACAACAAGCAACATCATTACAAATAAAATATTTAAAAACCATGCGAATATTTGTCGATTGCTGGTTCATTCGACTTCAACTTTAAAGCTACAGTCAAGTAAAACATTTACATTAAAGTTTTGTATAAGTTTCAATGAAAACGAATGACACACCAAAACTGCTTTATTCTATGAAAAGCTCCCACATGCACAAGATATATTATATGAAAAACATGCAATAGTTACCGTATATTCTGTTTGTACTCAAAAGTATATAAATAAACCCCAAGAAGACGCTGTTATAAACAAAGTAACATTTAAATGTACGTCTTACAAATTGGAACTTTAAATTGCAATTAACACGTATCAATCCATAAAGCTTACACGAAAATGTCATCAAATGCTGTATAATCTTGGTTTAAATTATCACGTCATTTGATGAGGATGGCTACTAGAATATTTTTGTGTATACTTACTTGCATTTCCATTGCTTTTTGTCTCTTTTACACGATTTTCTAAATTGTTGTTTCCTTTAAAACGAGGTCCAACATTTTCTTTTACTACCATCGTCGAGTTTAAATGTTTCTCAGGTAAAAATTTCTTATAAAAAGCGTTGGCGTACGTCATTTCCCAGCATATCGATCGCCGTGTGTTATTTGTATTAGCCACCTGCTCAGTAATATGGCAATCATGTCTGTTGCTCATATTTTTTAAATAGCTCTCAAATGATGAATCCATTATAAAAAACATGGATATTGCAAGGATTGCATTCTTATTATCATTTCGGGATTCTGCAAATGAGACAAGTATAGGCATAAGTTTTTACCGCCTAATTAAATCAAAGAGTTTTTTCTATTGAGAGAACGTTTTAATATTCAATATAGCTCAATGCCACAATACAATAAATAGTCTTTTAAATCATTCATGTATGTTTTACTAAAATAAAAAGGAAGACAGCCATTAAGGTTTATATATAATCACATAAATTATAAATCCAGCTATCATGGCAACCCTTGTCTTACTTAAAAATTTACGTGCATGATTAATAGTGCTCGGTCAGTCATCAAAGCCTGTCAAACGTTGCTTCGTAAGTGAAAATAAAGATTTTCTTATAAAAGCACAAGATACAGGTTCTGAATTCAGAAAATATTTAAATATTTTACTATTTTTATCTCAGACTTATACAGCAAACGATGACAAAAGTTTTATGCTATACATTCATCAAAATTTATGATAAATTCAAACTCCCTTCAGGCTTTCAATCAGTTAATGTAGCAAGGGATTCGTAAAGGTTTTCTTCTACGATAACATTATCAACAGGTGCACAAGTAGCTAGCAAATCATACATAAACCATTCACGACAAGTTATTTTTGAATTGGACGTAATTGTGCTCATGGGCAATCACGTTTTGCTCTGGATTTTTAACTGGTATCATGTAGGGAATAAAAAAATGACGACGCAGTGTGCTTAGCTACAACAAGTAGACATGGAAACATGACTGTTATACTGTTATACTGTTGTACTGACGGTTCTTTGCTAGATACTCTTGTTTTGTTGTTTTGTTTTCATGCTGTAATTTTATGTGAAATTTCAGATAAATCACAATGAATTATTTGCCCATGAACCAAAAAAAAACATAAACCTACTTCTATATGTGGAAAAAAATCTTCAGAAATATCGGAATTATCCTTGTTGTTATTACTTAGTTTCTTAAATCTTTGCTAAAACTCTTGTAACACTTTTCTCAAAATATTTTTAGCTATATAATATTTTAAGCTATACAGCTGTTTATTCCCATAAAGTAGCTAAACAACACAAGCATACCTTTTTTAGTGGGTTTAGGTGATAGGGTTAGGGTAGGTTTAGATTTAGGGTTATGTTTACATTTAGGGTTAAGGTTAGGTTTAGGGTTAGGTTTAGATTTAGGGTTAGGTTTAGGTGATGGGTTAGGGTTTAGAAGCAGTTGTGAATATCATACCGGGACGATATTTCGCTAATTGGAGATGAAATCCAATTTGTCTAATACTTCCATCTCAATACATTTGAACAGTAACCATAACACCATTCTCAACAAATTTTCGACCTAATTCCTGATAGTTTCATACAAACACAGCAGTTATCTAAATTATTAATTGCATTTAAAAATTCGAACTATTTTTCGTGTTTTTATCGTCAAAGTCACCATTGATTCACTTCATAAATTGCAAGAATTTAGGCAAGATTTTGTCATGATTGTGCAAGATTTTGCAATTTAGGCAAGAATTTGTCATGATCGTGCAAGATTTATTCATGCAAGATTTTGCAAGAATTTAGGCAAGATTTTGTCATGATCGTGCAAGTTTTATGCAAGATTTTATCAATATGTACTTTCGATATCGGTATGATGATTAGAATGTTTGAAAATCGATCACGTAACTATAATCTTGCAACTGAACATCACAAGATATGTCATTAATTTCTTGTTCCTAAAGTAGTACACGATATGACAGTAAGGTATTAAACATCGCACATAAATAAGTCAGATCTAAAGCAATTGAGGTCGACAAACGGATGATATAATTTTTTTCAAAAGAACTTGGTGTTTGGCAAACACAGAATGTAACTAGACACATTTTAAACAAATGTTATTATAAGATTTGAGAAGGACTAAAATGTAAATGTAAATGAAAGTAAAACTAAAGTAAGACATGTGTGTTAATGCTACATCAAACGAACGAGCAGTTTGCAGAAAATAAAAGCATTATTTCAAAATTGTAAAGTGATAACGCATTTTCTTGCGTGTTAGCTACAGTAAAAAAATTTATTCACGACACAGAATTTTCCATTTTATTGAATTTGTTTTCACAATTCATTTTCAGTAGTCTTACATGAAGTATTCTTTAGAACGTTATCAGAAGATTCACACATGCGCCAATCTTTGGACTTCAATTCGACAAAATGATCTTCTAAAATATTTGTATATCCTTCAACTTTCCTCCATATTTCTTCAAGAACCATGATCTTTCTATTGTTCATATCAACACATTCTGTAAGCTGATTAAGAAGTTCAAAATTTGTATGTTTCTGCGAGACGAGTTCTTTCTGTTGTTCACAGATGTATTTCTTTAATCGTAATACTTCTCTTTCAATTTCTTTATTTTCTTCCTCCAAACGTCTCTTTTTTCGCTCCATTTTTTCCCATTTGTTATCCAAACCGAATATAGAAAGTCCTTCAAAATACGAAAAGAAAATATGTGATGTAATATGAAAACATTCATGTTGCACAATCAAGAAAAATAAAAATACTTTCATTGCTCTCTTTCACACGACAACAAATCAACTACAAAGGAAGTAAAAATACTCCATACATAAAAAGTGATCTAAAAAAACAAGCTCTCACACACAATCTCAAGCTTCTTTTGAGGTTTTTCCAGCACTCCATTGACACACGTTGCAATTTAAAAGAAATCGTCTGAAGCTTTTTTTTCTCATGGTGAAAAATCACTTAAATAAAAATATATGGACTACCTTCGTAAAACCAAAATCCTGACCACCACATGAACAGTAAAGTCTTTTGAACGACAGATTTTGCAATTACCAAGGGATGGACTCGTTCAAATAATGATATCCTAGAGCTTTCCTTTTCTAAAATACAAATGTTAAACATGATTAATAAAATTGTTAAAAACTTCAGATTTATACCTTATGATTAAAAATGAAAGTTCGTTTTCCAACAAAAACAATAACATATTTAATGACCCTTACTGGTCAGTTTTTAAAAATATTCAAGTACAAAAATGTACCTTATATTCATGAAACTGAGATGTTCTTTATATACACTATACAATCACACAAACCATTTTTTTCCACAGCAACGTGATTTCTTCTACTTTTTCTTAGTTCGTTCATCAAATCTGCATTGTGTATTTTCTCAAATTTAATCTCTTGATGAAACTTTTCATTTTCCTTTTGTAACTCTACGTTTTCTTTGTCAATTTTATCTCTTTCTTTCTGCAACCTTACGAAGGCCGCTTCCATTTGCATCATATAAACTTCAAATTCACAGATACGTTTCTGTAACCCGTCAAGATTCTCTTCCAATTTCAAACGTTCTTCTTCATTTGGCTCAATATAATTCAAATCTTCATTAGTAAGATTGTTTCTTGTGTTCATTGCTTTCTAACACTTTTCTCTTTGAAAATTCGGAAAAGATGATGGCACGCGATCATCTTGAATAAACATTGTGACGTAACTAGACAAGTTGAACACTCTACACATTTGATATTACATCAATAAGCATTGTGACGTAACTAGATACGTTGCACATTCTACGCATGTGCAAATGCATGTGCAAATGCATCAATTCCACAGGATGTGCGACAGGATCTTGGATGGAAAACGTATATATTTCTTTTTCCGAAGTGTTTTGCAAAAAACATGCAAATTGATTTCATTTATTCTGAATTTAGAATTCCAATTTTGACTCATAATTATTTGCATTGACATCAAAATTTTTCTCTTTCTCTGTTGTTCATTCATCACTACCTACACTGACACACGTTATCTTAGTTTATATTTAAGGTAGTGTAAACATTTTATATTTTTAGGGTGGTTACTTTGCAATTATATTTCAAGTACAAACAGACATTCCACCTAACAACACCGAATAAAAGATAAAATGTTCACTTGGTCGTAAACATTCTTAACGAAATTACTTCAAAGATTAAACACAATTATTATGGAGAACTTGTGTATTCTATTGTTCACAAACATTTAATTCAGCCAAACATAAAATCAATCAACTCACCAACAGTAGACAACTTTCTGAAGGTCAACTTTGAGGCTACAAAATTCAAAAAGGATAACATTAATTTTCCACAATTTGTTGCTATGCATAAAAATCCTATAACATGCAAACCTACCATACTGAAAATCTATATAAACAGAGAAAAAATAAATTTACCATTAACATAAACTATAAATATAAAACTAAAAACAATAAATAATTTATTATTCCTAGAATAAAAGAAAGAAGATGATGAAAAACTTTAAAAATTCACCAATCATCATGTTTTTCATAACAAAACTTCAGTTTACGATGATATAGAAAAACAATGTTCCTTCCATTAGTACAATTTAAACAAGAATTGAAAGCTGCAAAATGCTAAATCTTTCCATGGTTCATTATTTTTTTCAACAACAATTGTACAAAATATGTAACACATTAAAAATAAAAACAAAAAATAAAAATCCATATTTATGCAATACACAGTCATATTTACAGTAAAATTTGTTTAATCTAAACTTCAATGTTAATTATTTCAAAGAAATGCTGTGCTACATGGAATTTACAAAAGACAAATAACTCAAATTCAATTTACGTAAAATATAAGAAATGTTTTCACATAAAAATACACATTAAAAATATAAACAGCTTTTTTATGAATTTTCTGGGTTTTGTTATTTGGCTGCAGCCAAAATGAAAATACCTGCTGATTATTTTAAACAGTTTGATCAAATATCTTCAAAATCCATGATAAATCGCCAAATGATCTTCAAGCATTCCTGAAGGATGACAATACATTCTTGGATAACGACATGGTACACTTAAAGAAAAAAAATATATATATCTACATGTGTTGAAATGTTTCTCATAAAAAATAAGAGTAACAATCTTTTTTTATCTTAAACATTTTTGCTATTCATTTGTAAACTTTGTGTTGATAAATCATTCCCAAAAATAAACATAAGTATGGCTTCTTCACAAACATTTATTGCTTCACATTTCTTTAAATGTTTTAATAATCCTGCCAAGCACAATCATAAACAATGACTTAAGTTTCATGACCTATTGAGAAACATGTGTACACAGACGTACAACAATATACACAAAGGTCTATTGAGATTACTTGTAAGTTGTACAGGTATTGAGATGACCATGAGGACAATATTTAGCATTTGATGAAACATTAAATGTCGTGACTTCCTCATTATTTTGAACATCAACGTCATCCATTGGTTCAGACAATTCTTCATGAGCAACATTCTTCTTTAGATGCATCTCACTACCATTTAAATCAAGCAAATTAATACCATCTATTTCAATAGTGTTGCTTAAATTTTGCTGAGAGTAGCCATTGTATGGTAAACCACATTTTAATTCATGCTGATCATTTATGACACCACAATCATCAATACTCAAGCGTTGTTTTTTCTAAAAAGACAATAAATATACAGTTTTATATCCTTAATCAAAATGATTTAAATTGGAGTATATTTTAATAATTTTATCAATGTTGTTGGGAGAAGCCAAGAACATACGGGTGAAGGAAATTGTTTATAAATAGATTATTGGTAAGTTAACACACTCAGGTTGCAGTAAATTTCAACATCATATTACTCCTAATGTAGACTTTGGCATTGTTTATTCATTTTGTTAAATTATCCTTGAAAACCTCCCAATAAAATGCTTCCATCTTCCACATAAATATTGAGCTTACCTTATCAGAGGAATTTATTTCATTCTCAGCTCCGAAATTCGTAACATCTTGCTTCCTCTTACACCCTTTAGCATCTTGAGAGTTGAACATTTCACAAACATCGGACATTCCACATTTGTTGTAGATGCACCTTATTTTTAACAATTAAATCCTTTTCAAATAAAAATTACACAAAGACTCGAACTAAAAACTGCTGAAGAAATCAAGCGTTTTTTCCCAGTAATTCAAAACACAATAAAATGGTTGAAACAATAGTTAAATTGATAGAAAAACTGAAGTTTGGTTACTTGGCTCTTTGGCCATCTTGGCTTTGAAACGGTATTCTTCCCGCCGAACAAAGAGATTCAAATGATTACTAGCCAGGGGAGGGTGAGTAGCAACTTTGCACCAGCATATTTCACCTGAAATTACCATGAAAGAAACTTTTTAAATCGAAAAAATGGCTTAATGAAAATGATGTTAACAATTAGCTTCAAAACTAGCTTTTCTTATAGTGAAAATAGTTTGTCAAAATAAAACTGAACATCTGCATTTGCAAAAGTGCCAACATGTTTCTATATAAATGAGCTACGGTAAAATTTTGATTTTCAAAAGATTCAAAGCCAAACTACATCAACTGAAAGAATTTAGCAATTCAAAAATCTCATTAAAACATCTGTTGTTCTTTTTACATATATTAAATAGATTCACTACGAAGCGAACAAAGTGGAAAGAGTGTGTGTTTTGTTGGGGGGAGGGGGGGGAGGATTAAAGATTTGATTTGATGTAGGGAATGTTTTCAAGATGGCGGACGCTTCAACAGTACATCGAAAGTATTTAAAAGCAGCTGTGTGCGCTGTTTGTTCTGAAAAAGGCTACGATTCCGTTACCAGGCTTGCCATTGAGACATTGACTGAAATGATACAAAGTTGTAAGTTTATTGTTCTCGGAATATAACATGAAAATTATAATATAACTTCTGGTTCTTTAAAGTAAAATTTTTACTTAAATTTTTATAACGTTAAACCCATTATGTTTTTTTATTTTAATTTCATTAAAAGATTTTAACAATAACTGTAGTTACATCAAAGTTCTTTGTTATGGATTTAGTCATATGTGAAACTGGTCGTAGTTCACTGAGCATATGTGAATTGTCAGGCAGATCAAAACCGACATTAAATGACGTTAAATTGGCTTTAATAGAAATGGGTTAGTACACTTTCAACGACACAATATATCAAAATATTTTCCTTAATATGTCCATTAAACTCTTTTATGGAAGGTCTTCATGTGGATGAATTAAACAAGAATGTACCAAGATCAACAAAGACTCTCATACCTCGACGTCAGTAAATGGAAGATATCTTTCTTGTTATTTAAAGAACATAATTAAAAAATACAACATACTTTCATATCATTACAGCATCTTTAACTCGACCAGTACATCAACAAAAACCACTTCAATCAGGAACAAAAGAAAGTCGACCTTCTCATGTTCCCAACTATCTGCCTTCATTTCCAGATCCACATTCTTATGTTAAAACTTTGGTAAGATGGAAAAAACAAACATAAAAGTAAGAATAATTGTGTTCTGAATTTTTCAAATTTTGGCAGACATTTCGTAAAGAGGCTGATGAGTATCAGAAATGCAGAGAAAAATATGCTTCTATGTGTCGCAGTGTTGAATCTGGTCTTGCAAAGTATGTATTTCTACTGAAGTATTAACTGTGTTGTTGGTCATGTTTGTTATTGCAGACCAATCAATAACACAAAAGCCACAACTTAGAAACTGACCAATAAATGACTGGCAGAAATAATGCAAGCATTCATTTTTTTATGGTAAAGAGCATCGTTTTTGCACATAAAATGTTGCGATCTAAAACATATTTCTTCTTGGTGGTCTTGTGTGGGCAAATATTTTGCAAATGTACACAAATCAAAAATATCTGGAATAAGAAAAGTTTTCATTTTATATTCAATATAAGTCCTTTTTTATTTCATTTAGATTTTTATCAAAGACTTCAATATCTGAAGCAATCGTGAAGAATTGTACCAATCCAAATGATTTCTTACGTAAGCCTTTCATTGCAATCAAACTTGTTAATGTTCTCAAAGTTTATTCATTGAAACATGTTTTTCTTTTCTTAAAAGTAATCCTAAATGAGCCAAATCATTTATCTTATCTCACGGCCCTTATACCAAACCCTGAAGACACTATCATTACTCCCAAAATGGAGAAACAATCCCAGGATTCTGATGAAAATTACAACGAGAGAGCAAGTTCTACTCAAGAATCATCTGAAACAGAAAATCCATTTCTTAGACCTCCAAAGAGACAAAAAACTCAAGAACATCCTTCATCAAGTTTTCATTGATTGAATTTCATTTTATGGTCATTATTGTAAGTAAAATAGGTGTTCTTTATATTGTTTTATTACTTTTGAAAATTTTTTACGTTGTGGTACTTTTTAAATACCATTTTTTTGCGTGATTCGTGGTAGAAATAGGGAATTTTTCTTCATTTCTCTCCCGTCTAGATGAGCTTGTTATCGCTACATGGAAAGAAACCAATGTTAACATGGTTTTTACTCGTTGTAAATTTCTATGTTAAACGCTTTGAATGTTAACATGGTTTTCGTTCGTTGTTTTTTATGTTAAATGCTTCCAATGTTAACATGGTTTTCTTTCGTTGTAGTTTTCTATGTTAAATGCTTCAATGTTAACATGGTTTTCTTTCATTGTAGTTTTCTATGTTAAATGCTTCAATGTTAACATGGTTTTCTTTCGTTGTTGTTTTCTATGTTAAATGCTTCCAATGTTAACATGGTTTTCTTTCGTTGTAGTTTCTATGTTAAATGCTTCCAATGTTAACATGGTTTTCTTTCGTTGTAGTTTTCTATGTTAAATGCTTCCAATGTTAACATGGTTTCTTTCTTTCTATGTTAAATGCTTCCAATGTTAACATGGTTTTCTTTCGTTGTAGTTTTCTATGTTAAATGCTTCCAATGTTAACATGGTTTTCTTTCGTTGTTGTTTTCTATGTTAAATGCTTCCAATGTTAACATGGTTTTCTTTCGTTGTAGTTTTCTATGTTAAATGCTTTTAACATGGTTTTCTTTCGTTGTAGTTTTCTATGTTAAATGCTTCCAATGTTAACATGGTTTCGTTGTAGTTTTCTATGTTAAATGCTTCAATGTTAACATGGTTTTCTTTCGTTGTAGTTTTCTATGTTAAATGCTTCCAATGTTAACATGGTTTTCTTTCGTTGTTGTTTTCTATGTTAAATGCTCCAATGTTAACATGGTTTTCTTTCGTTTTCTATGTTAAATGCTTCCAATGTTAACATGGTTTTTTTCTTTCTATGTTAAATGTTGTTAACAGTTTTCTATGTTAAATGCTTCCAATGTTAACATGGTTTTCTTTCGTTGTAGTTTTCTATGTTAAATGCTTCCAATGTTAACACAATGTTTCAATGTTAAAATCAATGTTAACATGTTTTCTTTCTTTTCTAAATCTTTCAATGTTAACATGGTTTTCTTTCGTTGTAGTTTCCCAATGTTAACATGGTTTCTTCCAATGCTTCCAATATTAACATGGTTTTCTTTCGTTGTTAACAGTTTTCTATGTTAAATGCTTCCAATGTTAACATGGTTTTCTTTCGTTGTAGTTTTCTATGTTAAATGCTTTCAATGTTAACATGCGTTGTTTTTTCCAATGTTAACATGTGTTTTCTATGTTAAATGCTTTCAATGTTAACATGGTTTTCTTTCTTTCTATGTTAAATGCTTTGAATGTTAACATGGTTTCGTTCGTTGTTGTTTTCTATGTTAAATGCTTCCAATGTTAACATGGTTTTCTTTCGTTGTAGTTTTCTATGTTAAATGCTTTCAATGTTAACATGGTTTTCTTTCGTTGTAGTTTTCTATGTTAAATGCCAATGTTAACATGGTTTTCTTTCGTTGTTGTTTTCTATGTTAAATGCTTCCAATGTTAACATGGTTTTCTTTCGTTGTAGTTTCTATGTTAAATGCTTCCAATGTTAACATGGTTTTCTTTCGTTGTAGTTTCTATGTTAAATGCTTCCAATGTTAACATGGTTTTCTTTCATTGTTGTTTTCTATGTTAAATGCTTCCAATGTTAACATGGTTTTCTTTCGTTGTTTTCTATGTTAAATGCTTCCAATGTTAACATGGTTTTCTTTCGTTGTAGTTTTCTATGTTAAATGCTTCCAATGTTAACATGGTTTTCTTTCGTTGTAGTTTTCTATGTTAAATGCTTTCAATGTTAACATGGTTTTCTTTCGTTGTAGTTTTCTATGTTAAATGCTTTCAATGTTAACATGGTTTTCTTTCGTTGTAGTTTTCTATGTTAAATGCTTCCAATGTTAACATGGTTTTCTTTCGTTGTTGTTTTCTATGTTAAATGCTTCAATGTTAACATGGTTTTCTTTCGTTGTAGTTTTCTATGTTAAATGCTTCAATGTTAACATGGTTTTCTTTCGTTGTAGTTTTCTATGTTAAATGCTTCCAATGTTAACATGGTTTTCTTTCGTTGTAGTTTTCTATGTTAAATGCGTGTTAAGTTTGTTGAAATGACAAGGGCATTGATAGTTCAGAGAACATATTTAAAACATGCGGTTTTCTTTGAACTATTGTCTCTTAAATTTAGTTGTAGTATAATATAATCCAAATGCGTTTTAAAGTATAGAAAAGAATAAGTCTTTGAGTTAGAGCTACGGAAAAAGCATAAATTTTGTATAATTGAGGTAACTTGGAGCGTACATAAATGAGGTGATGTCATTTCAAACCTCTTACGTCTCCAGGATGTGTCCGAACCTGAAACATTACAAAAGATACTTTTCAACAAATTTAACATTTTGCTTATAAAAATGTAAATTATCGATGATGAAGTGAAAATATTCATGCCGACAAATAGTTCCGAAATTATATCATGTGAGTAATCCTTGTTTTTAATCCTTCACGTGTTGTCGCTAATATGATAACATCTTTGTAAATGTAAATGATAACATTTATTGGTTAAGGTCTTTGGCATGCTTTAGTCACCGGTAACTTTTTATGTTTATTTCCATAGGCTGGTCATTATTTATTTACTGTAACCTTTTCATAAAGAAATATTTTTTGTCGGCAAAGCTGCATAATTTTAAAAAAGAAACATTCCATTTGGAGACATAAATAAATTCACGGCATTTTTTTGACCTCTTGCTGTCCTCGATGAATGCTTAAACACTCAGCTAAGCACTATCAAACAAAGAAAATGAAGTAGCAAATATTTTATTAGCATTTCAACAAATTGATCAAGCATTAACTTGACCTCTATAGAAACTATCTAAGATGACAAATAAGTTATTTTCAAAAGGAGAAGTTATCGTTGGCTTATATTTCGCATTTGCACCTGATTATTCGCATCATAAACAAATAAAGAATCGAGGTATTTATAGGTGAGAAAAATAACAATAATTTAAGGACAAGACACGACTCGTCAAAAGATTATAAAGTATGGCAGATAACGACGAAACACTTCGTATACCTTTATCAAGACAAACTTCGATTTCCATCAAAAAAGGAAAGTGAGTAAAGAATTTTTAATACAGCAAAAATGAAAATAATTTAAAATCATTCATGAAGTGTTTTTAGAAATAGTTCAGTCATATTATAAAGAATGCTCTTTCAAATTCTTTCATGTATTGACTGAGCGAATGCCCTCAATATTTTCAAACTTAAAACTAATGAATTTTCAAAGCAATATATAAACTGATATTATTGTTTCTTGCACATTAAATAAAATTTCGAATTGTTTAATTTGTGGATTTCGATTTTAGAATATAAATAATATTTGAATAAATCAAAAAATGCTTTTCGAAAACAATTACTGATGAACATAAATATTATATATTCCAAGAACATTATATATTATAAAGAATACATTAATGTATTATAGTAATTTAAATTCATATTTAAAAGAGCAAAAATATGAGTTAATTTTGTTCTCAGCAAGTAAAAAAATATTTACAAAAAATGTACTTATGAACCGGAAAACATCAATCAGCTTACAAGATATGATACAGCAATAATAACATCCAAGAGAAGTTAATGTAAGTCAAGGTAGAATAAGCCATTCTTGGATATATTTATGTATCAAAATGAATTAAAAGCATTTTCCTCTGTACAATATTATTCTTTTGAAATGTTTGAGCTGTTACGTACATATTTCATGTGTGCTTTCGCAAAAATAAACGTTTCAATTACAATTTTTATTCTACCCAAAGTTTATGACATTACCCTTCACTTTTAAACGATAATTAACTGAATTTATAGAGATTTTCCAAAATGTCTAAGATTTGATTTTCGAACGCCAGAATGGATGAAAGAAGCTATAGCAGAGTTTATGGGAACATTTATACTTATGGTAAGTTCTTTAATAACTATGACGATATTTATGGTAAGTTCTTTAATAACTATGACGATATTTATGGTAAGTTCTTTAATAACTATGACGATATTTATGGTAAGTTCTTTAATAACTATGACGATATTTATGGTAAGTTCTTTAATAACTATGACGATATTTATGGTAAGTTCTTTAATAACTATGACGATATTTATGGTAAGTTCTTTAATAACTATGACGATATTTGTTAAGAAATGAAACCATTTTAAATGAGAAAAAATGTCTTACATGATACTTTATTTATCATTCATTATTGTTCATTCCCAGCTTTTCTCAAGCAAGAGCCATAATAGTTCATTTGCAATTTCATTCCCTACTTTCACGAATAATAAAGTTTTATTTCGATTAATGCATTAACAATTTATGTGGCGCAGTCAAGATTTTTTATACAGCAGATGAACTTTAACCGAAAAGGGTAAATATAATAATTATGAAATTTCTATTTATACATTAGACATTTGGACTAGGCTCAAATGCACAAGTAGTTCTAAGTCAGGGAACGGCTGGAAATTATTTTTCCATTAACATCGCCTGGGGTATGGCTGTAACAATGGGTGTATACTGGGCAGGATCAGTATCAGGTAAGAATGTTTTTATTAACTCCTAAATTGAATATCGTACGATAATGAAATGATAGTAAATAACTCTTACCTTTATATCTTCACATAGTTAGAAGCACTTTTAAACGCGCATGAGCCATTTTTCTTCATGTTCTGTCGTATTCAAAGTTCAAACAAGAACAGAAAGTATTTTACATTGTTATACATTCCATTTACATATGCATGTTTAATCATGTGACTACCTTTCATATGTAACACCAAGTTGTTGCATAAAGGATTATGATATTTTTTTGAGTAATTTACTTCCTTTACTCCAGCAGAAATGATAATTAAACCCCTTATCACATTTCACAACAGATGTTTTGTTTAACGGTTGTGGGCATTTGACAATCGTTGGCAGTGATTTTTTATGGTATGAAAGCTTAGGAGAATTTTCCTGAGGAGGGTGCATTACCAACTAACTTTTTGCCGAGAGAAATATTTTTGAACAATAGTTAGTAAAACAGATGTTGAATATTTGTGTTGATGTAAGTACATGGTTTTGTAAACAAAAGGTCAATTGCAATAAACTGAGCTACGGTCTTTGAATATGTCTTTGTTTTGTTCAAATATTGTTCAAGAGCACATTATGAATTCTCATCAAACACAAATATTGTCAATCATTTAATGAACGGCCGAGCGTTGCTTTTTTTTCATCTCCTGAAGAGACGAAAGGTTTTTCGTTTGCATCTTTACGATTTTACAACATAAACCAATATTGAAGCTCTAAAGGATAAAACAGAATAGACTTTCAAAAATTGTATAACTATGTAAATAATGTCAATTATTTCATCGCACGCAACAGCAACTGTCATGCAAATACAGCTGCAATCGGTAACACGTAACAAGGGAATTAACCAAGGGAAAGCCCCGTAGAGAAAATATGAAAAACATTCAAGTTGAAAGGGTTTAATTGTTCGTGAAGCTTGTGTCGACATTAGAATAGGAGCAGTTTAGCAATGGCTTTTTCCAAATTTTCGACTGAAAAGATTTGGCAAGAGATATCCAAGAAAAGCGAAGAAGAAAAACGGCAATTATTGGAATGGCAACTACAAGCAAGAGAGCCAATTCATAAATTCTCCGATATGAGACCAGGCGATCACCTAACAAAGCGATTTCAAATATCAGGAAAAATCCTGTATTACCATCATTTTTTATGCATTGAATCAAAAAATGGCAAGCCTAAAATCATCCACTACACAAACACACCTTTGAATGCGATAAAACAGGCGTTTAAAACGGCTTCCTTCTCTTCTGGTTCGGCTCTTGGTCAACTTGGCACTGTAAAGGAAATGACTTTGCCACATGATGATTTTATTCCAAATGAAGAACTGTTGCAGGAGAAAGGTGGTGAAGTAGAAAGAGTAGTTTGGCCAGATGAACTTAAACGTTATGGAATAAAAGAGGTATGAGATGTCTTTTACTAAAACATAAGATGATGATGTAACATGAAGATTTCATGGGTAATTCCCGTTCATGTCTATGTTCAGTTCTATAAAGTAAGGGACTTGGAATGAGAAAATTTTACAAAGAAGATAGTATAAAAATGACTTGAACACCTTATGAATTTGATACGAAATGTTTATATTGAGAATTGTTTCGATCTTCCAAAAATAATGCCGGGGGGGGGGGAGGGTTCACCAAACCCAGTCAAACACTTTTTGAAGAGTAGCCGTACACTACAACACTTGTCAACATATGATTTCAATATGTTTTTTTGCAAACTATGTCAAAACAAAAACAATTTGTTATCAACAGGTGGTAACTCGAGCAAGAAAAAGAAAAGACGAAAAATTCTACGATTTGGCAAAAAATAATTGTGAAAGTTTTGTGATGTGGTGTTTATGTGATATAAACATCAGTCTTCAAGCAACCAATTTAGTTTCCTTTATCACTGATTATCTTAAAAGCACAACACGAACTGCCTACCAATGTCTGCAACAATTGCCCAAAATAGGAGTAGAAATTCCGGAAAAGATTTTGGGTCGTACATGTTTTGGAAATGATATAGGATGCATTGGAAAAGGTGGACTTTCAGGTTCGTACCAATTTCAATAGTTTGAAAACTTTGTTTTACCATCAATTTATTCAAGGCTAGTGATGATTCTTAGTTATACATTTGTGTATGCACAAACACATTCACGCCGACCATCTTAAGGAAAGCAAAATTTCATTTCTACATACAGGTCTAGGGTCGATACTGGGAATTTCAGTGACAATATTGGTTGAATCATTTATGTTGTACAAGAAAATTAAGGAATCGAAAAGGAAATGGGACGATGGACTGCTGATCACGAAGAGAAAAGGATTTATCAAAGAAGTTATCGATGCATTCATAAGTTTTTTATGTCGCTCAGGAGGAAGCATTGGAGGAATGGTTCTTGGTCAATTCTTCATACCCATACCATTTGTTGGTGCTTTTGTGGGAATGCTTCTTGGTACATTTACTGGTGATTTCTTATCCAAGCGAATACCTGAAAAATATTTGTCTGACACTGCTTCTGGAATTGATGAATTCATCGATGAACTATATGATGATATGAAAAACGATTAACAAAATACACTTAGAATATTGACGTTTGAAGCACTTAGCAATCCAGAAAAAGTACTCGGTTTACTTAAAATTAGTTGTTCATAAAATATGACAGTTTTTAGTTGTTTATAGATAGTATGGTTGTTTATGTGCTTAAAAATATAACTCGTTGTAATGTAATGGAGTGTAATGTTTTGAAAAATGAAAGTTTAATGTACCATTGACATAACATGAACATTCTTTATTTTCTGTATTTGATAAGAAAATATTTATTCACACATAAATGACTTAGAAGGAAATTCTTAAAAACTCAACACGTTATCGCGCTATTTTTATTAAATTAGTCGATGATCACATTACACCAGTATAAAATGATATTTTCATTATTCAAAGGTGCTCATCTTAATCCAGCTGTAACCCTGGGGTTTGCATCAGTTCAAAGATTACCTCTATGGAAGGTACCAATATACATCACCTCGCAAATGTTGTCATCAATAATGTCGTCAGCATTAGTTTACGCTCTCTACCATGGTAAGAATATATGAACAAATAAAATAATCACTAAAACCGGCGACATTATGCTCTTCTAAAATGCTTTTTCCTTAAGAACATAAAAATATCTACGAGATAGTACTTCTGTTTTAGATGCAATCGATCATTATGACGGAGGAGTTCGACGGGTACTGGGGCCAAATGCTACAGCTAAGATTTTTACTACATTTCCTCAACCCTTCGTGAGCAACATGACCGGATTCTGGGACCAGGTATTTACAGCTTTTTCTCGCCATCAATGGTTGATCAGTAAATATTTAACACCCCCTTTGTTTTCTGTGATATCATGTGTATGTTAGGTTGAACGAGAAATTCCTGCAACCATTTTTCACTATTTTATTCAGGTCTTTGGTACAGCAATGTTAGTTGCTCTTATTTTTTTGCTCGTCGACAAAAAGAACAGTAGCAAACCCAGTCCAGAGTTGACTCCAATCACAATAGGTTTCATTGTGTTTTTAATTGGAATGACGTTCGGATACAATGCTGCTTATCCAATCAACCCAGCTCGAGATCTTGGTCCAAGAATATTTATCTCCATGGCTGGATGGGGAATAGAAGTTTTCACGTAGGAACTTTGAAATTTTTGATCAATTTTTGTCACAAGATTTATTTCTTTATTTGTCTAATTCCCTCCAGGGCACATAACAATTATTTCTGGATTCCACCAGTAGCTGGTAGTTTGGGTGGTATCGCGGGCGCTTATTTGTATGTATTCACTGCGGAAATTCCGGAAATTCACCATGATCCAGAGAGAATTAACAAAATTGACGATAAAAATAACAAAGACTTTGCAATGGAGAGAATTCAGGTAAATTAGCAAGGAAATAAGCGTTAAATTAGCAAAACAATATAAATGGCCAAATTTATGATGTACAAAACTTTAATATACCGCATGAAAATTTGTGACATAAATTATAAATTTATGAATAGAATAACTATTTTAATTACATTGTATGAGATTTACAAACGAGAGGTCGCTTGAACATTTTTAGGGGTATGAAATATTCAGAAAATGAACAGCGAGTTCTACGCGCTATTTGTTCAAAAGGCAAGCCTGCACTCTGACGTAATTTTTAGAGTTTGCCAGCTGTCGGTCGCAATTATTGAAAATCGTACTTTTAGGTATGATTACTTCTTGGAAGCGGATATTTAAGCAGACACTAACTACGTTGTAGTCCGAGGCTGTCCGCTGACAAGAGATTTGACAATATACTCCAATATAAACGATTTGCGAAAAAACAATGCCAAACTACATTATTAAATTATCAGAGAGATAGTTTTATATGCATTTAATTTCCAGATTTCAATGTAATCACAGACAAAAATTAACAACTTGAGCCAGTTGATTTTTAAAAAATGAACGTCATATTTTCTAGAATTGAGAAGCTGTTGAAGAAAACGACCTCAAAATTACAAGTATTTCTGTCATCAATAGAAAGATTTAATGTAAAACCTATAATTAATGCAACGTAAACTGTCTATATACTAATCTAATTGGACTGCGTCATACATAGATCACGTATATTGTCAATGACATGTAGTTTAAAGTATCATTGTGTCGTGCAAGTACACACAAACACATATATCTACTATATCTTCTATCTAGAATTTTTTTAAAATATCCACCATTTGTAGCTGAAATAAATTAATTTGAGCAACAATATTGAATTGAGGAGTAAAACAATTTTGTCCTTGTAAAAAAAGAAAGATTAAAAGATGAAAAATGATGACAACAAATCAGATGAACTCATTGGTGAAATAGACGAGTTGACTGAAAGGTAGGTCAGATCAGCTATATGTATATTAATGAAGATTTAATGTGTTTGATACGGTATTTGTCATTTCTGTTGTAACCAATGTATTAATTAGAAATCATAATTGCAACATGCAACTGAATGTATAAGACATAAAAAATTTAGTAAATTTACGTCAGCAAATGAACACACTATTTTAGAGAATTTTGGAGAAATATTTCATTAATAGAAAATACTCATTTCATATTTTAAAGTGAAATACAATGCCTGTTGTAATTCACGAGATCAACGTTAACATAAGAAACAAATGATTTTAAACATTATCGTTGAACTTCAGTTAGCAAACATTTTATACAAAATAGACGAAAAAAAATTCATAATTACTTAGAGACTACGAATGATATTAAAATGTGTCGCTAAAATACATAAATAACATGAATGACTATAGTTGGTTATATTTTGGTGTTCAGACAGGTGATATCCTCATGACATGAAATTTGCTCAGGCAGGAGGAGCAGAGATCAAAGTAGAGTAAACCATGCGAGCCATAAATAAAACAACATTTTCAATTTAAGCTCACACATTTGAAACCAAATATGATAAATTTTTTATAATGATTTAGATTACATATGAAAACGTTGCGTACCGAAAGTATACATTAGTAGTTATATTATATTTTTAAAGCGACCTGCCAAGATTTCTACAACGATTTAAGTTCCAGACACCAGAATGGTTTAGAGAAGCGTTAGCAGAATTTATGGGAATGTTCATTCTTGTGGTAAAAAACATGTATTTATGTTAAAGTATACTCCGTTATATAAATGTCAAATTCCATATATTTATACCAATATTTATTTATTTGTCACATATTAATTCCATTTTTGACAAAAAAAAGTAATTTACTTATGACAAAAATAAACATGAAATTAACCTGTATCAATATTATGAATGTAAAGAACATGACAAATATTGTTGAATATACTTGCTGAGAGGACATCGACAAAGAACCACATGATATATATCAACAGATCTATACTTAGGTGTTTGTAATTGGCGCAAGCGCACAAGCAACTTTAAGCAATGGTACCCTTGGTAATTCTCTTTCTACCAGTTTAACCGGAACAATAGCGTTGACAATGGCTTTATACTGGGCACTGGCCATATCAGGTAAAAATTATTATAAATATAGAAACACCTTTCAACATCTAGACTCATTAAATTAAACTCAATTTACAACACAATTCACAGGCTGTCATATAAACCCAGCTGTGACCTTGGGATTCGCATCAGTTCAAAGATTTCCACTGAGTAAAGTACCAATTTATGTTGCCTCTCAAATGCTCGGATCGATAACATCGGCAGCTGTTGCTTACGCTTTATATCATGGTAAATATGTATTCGACTGATTGGTTGAGCTTGAACAATGGGCTTGGCAAAAATTGTTTCAAGCTCCCTTAGTTATCTTTTTTTCATTTTTCTTGGTACTTTCACAATAATTAGTAGGTAAAAAGTTTTGTCACTTATTTTTTGTCATCACCTCAAACATTACTTATTATAACACATCATTAACAGAGCTTCTTATGTTTTAGATGCAATCGATCATTATGACGGAGGAGTTCGACGGGTACTGGGGCCAAATGGTACAGCTGGGATCTTTACTTCATTTCCTCAACCCTTCGTGAGCAACTTCACTGGATTCTGCGATCAGGTATTTTTTCATAAACATCTTTACTAGGTCGCATTGTTATATAAACATCTTCCTTCACAAACTTGTGTTGTTAAAGTACACAGTTTTTTCATTTACAATTTTAATCATCTGGGAAAAATATCACGAACTAGCTTAGAGACATTCAACAAAATGCTTTGATTTTATATGAACATATAAGCGTTTCGTAAAGGTAACATTAATTTTTCTGCTGTAGTTCTTTGGTACAGCAATGCTCTTGGCACTTATTTTTGCGCTTGTCGACAAAAAGAACGAAAGTAAGCCAACTGCTGGCTTGGCCCCCATCGCCATCGGATTAGTTGTAGTTCTAATTGGAATGACATTCGGTTACAATTGCGGTTGTCCAATCAACCCAGCACTAGATCTGGGACCAAGGATATTCACTGCAATGGCTGGATGGGGGAAGGAAGTTTTCACGTAAGATTTTAATGTAAATTACTGTCAAAACGTCCTATTGTATCAACTGTTTCATTTCTCATTAAAGAACTAAAACGATCGAATTTCTAAAGTGTGTATGAGATGTCTAAAAAAATTTTCCAAGATACATAAGAGCATCGTAGTTTTTTTGTGATTTACAAACGCTCTTTCGTAAAGTTTATAAAAATTTACAAACGTTTCTTCAGTGAAACAAAAGTTAGCATTTGTGCCTTAAAAGATTTAGTAGTCGATATAATTGTCTAGTTCCTTGTAGGTAGGAGACTTTCCTAGATAAAGAAACTATTTCCATGGGTTCATATTTTACTTTCATAAAACCATATATTTATCTATTCTTATAGCGCGCATAATAATTGGTCTTGGATTCCACCAGTTGCCTGCAGTCTAGGTGGTATCGCGGGCGCATACTTGTATGTATTAACTGTAGAAATTCATCGAAAGCCGGAGACAAAGAAAAACAAAATTGACACAGATAATGAACAAATTGCAATCGACACCATTCAGGTATTTTACACAACCATGAATTTTATAGTATTACAAATGACTTGAGAAATTTGTGATGATAATACATCAACAATAATTATGTAAAAAATCCCAGATTTCTCTATTTTAAGTTGTATCGAATTTTGCAGAAATAAAGCGTTTACCCTCAGAAGAGCAAGTTAATAAGTTGGTCTATCAAGAAAAGAGAAATGCATTTTTTACTGGTAGTCAATGTAATTGATGAGATCTAATGCGTAGAGACTATAAATTTAGATGTAAAATTTTTTGTAATTTGATGATTGCACGAAATGCTCAAATAAATAACAAGAAAATACTTCTGTAGCACGTTTAATTCAAACACTCAATTTCATTGGCAAAGAAACATTCAATACTTATAAATATATTTTTAATTTAGTTTGCCAAGCAGCCTTAAGACCACCTTTCCCAAAGGGAGGAAACTAGAGCACCTGGAGAAAATCCGCTCATCCCAAATTGACCAGTTCCAATTTACTTGGCCCCAGGAATCTAACTCGCAAATACGTAAGCGGTGGAAGGCAATTACGATGAAATGTTACTGCGCCACTGAAGCTTTAAATACCAGTCAATATCATACAATAAACTATAATATTGACCGTATTTATTGAGGAGCAATATTAAACCAAGTCTGATTATCTATAAAAGTGTCGTATTACAGACTAGATCTGTGTAAAATATGATATTCTGCGGTGCAAAGATCTCCTTCCTTGTAAAAATAATTTTCTTTAATATTGATGTTTAAAACACAAAAACCGAGATTTAAATTTCTTCGGCTAAGGTTTTGCAAATGTATCTAATTGCTCGCAATAACTGGCATTAAATCTATATTATGAGTGCTGTAAGGTACGTATTTGTGAAATTTACTGTATTTAAACAAGCAACTTTATCCATTTAAACCTCTCATAAAAATAAATTTTAAAACATGTTTTACAATTTTCATATTATATTGCTATTTTCAAAACATGTTTCATTATCATTAATCATATAAGTCGACGTCTCTATCCGGCAATACTTAACTACATACTTATCAATATCTATGCATTTATCATTATTGCCGATATACTCATATTTATGTATTGTACTTGTCTATTTTTTGATACTAATATAAATTATACTTGAACGATGAAGGAAATGTAGGTTTAGAGATAAATTTAGTCATTATAAACAGACTTTTCCTGCATTTGAAATATTTCGTTTGAAGAATTTGAATTTTAAGTGAGCATTCATAAAATGTTCGCGCAGAGATGATATGACTAAACTATTTTATCAGTAAACGACAAAAATTCAAGTTAAAACTTACGGTTTCATTTTCCTTCAGGGACATCAAGTAATTTTAGTTGCAGAGGCAAATATTGTAAACACAATGGAGCCTGTTAAACAAACTCCTGCCACAAAATTGAAGTAAAGAGACCAACTATGAGATGCTGTCAATACTTGACCAGAAAAATAAATTGCACCAAACACTATAACAACAACACAACATATTAATTGATAACCATATGACAATGATAGTACTAAATAATTAATTATGTTTTCTGTTATCTTTTGGGATCATAATACATTACCAAGCAAACTAGTATCTACGGGGAAACAAAATATACCAGATAATGAAAATTCACCTTTTTCGATAACAACATATATGTATTTATTTATTTACTTCTGAGACAATTTAGACACAAATAAAGTGATACAAATTCAAAGATTCTATGCCAACTCTTGCATCTTTTAAAACTGATTTTATATTTTGAAAATATTTACTCCATATTTTCTGCAATATAGGATATACACACCAGATAATGTAGACACAGTTTGAGAAAATCCAGAAACAGAGCCGGCGTATTCTGGTGCGATGTCCTGCGGTAGCACCATTGCTCCTGCGTTTGTAAATCCAGTCATGCCTATCGCAAACGTCATAAGAAGTAGAGCTGGAGGGAAAGATTCACAACGACTTAATAAAATGAGAGAAATTGCAGCACCAAGCTGAGCCAAAGCCTGAATTAAAAAAAATCATCGGTTTTAATACGATTTAATGTAAACAACTTTTACATGTTTTTAGCAAAATAATTCAATAATCATCACAAATATCAGACAACTGCTTCAGTATATTAAAACAAATTTGTTTCATGCTTTAGGCTCCCATCATCAACCATAGAAAAAATAATTGTTAAAACGACAATTTTTAACACAAAGATGTATATAAACTTACATTAAAAAATTTGCGGACACATGTCAGAGAATAACCTATAGATAAAAGTAAAATTCACAGATTTGACATCATTTCCATTCATTAATGAGAAATATTTTAGTTTTATGAAACACACAACAAACATACACAAAATGACGAACCTTTTTGCAGGAAATGGTCTGCCCATATTCCAGAAATAAAAGCACAAGGTGAGTTGATTAACCATGGTATAACATTAAATATCCAACCCTGAAATTGATCAAAAAAGAAGAATAGTTGTTAAGAGGAGTATGATAGTTTAGATTAAATATTGGTGGCTATTTACAGGAGATTTTTTAAAGTATGCTCCATTAAACACTCATGACAATTTCTTTTGATTGTTTCGTAAATAAGAATTTTGTCTGGACCTCTTCAGCACACTTCTCTATCTTTCGACATATCATTTAATAACTCATACATGATAAATAACGTTTAAACGAAACAACAATATTTCATAATTGATGTTTTGTATTTACATAGTTACTCGTTATGGCAATCAAACGATATTGGAAAAGCCGTCAAAGCACATCACATAACAAAACTCAATCGATTAAAAATTTCTAAAACGTCACAAAATCGGGATGATACACAGGGAGCGTGTCGTAGTGACCTACATTTAGTTATATTTGTAGATGAAGTAAAAAGACCTGAGGTATGTTGAAGAACTCTTCTCATACAACACATATGTTACTCTTTAGATTAAGGCAGAATTTAACGTCAGTGAAAAAAACATATGTGAAAGTTACAGCTTTGATACTTCATCAGTTTGTGTGAAAGTGCGTTTAAGAGGCGTTTTGCCTCGAAACCAAGATGTACACATGGCGTTACATGACGTACACATGGCGTTACATGACGTACACATGACGTTACATGACGTACACATGGCGTTACATGACGTACATGACGTTACATGACGTACACATGACGTTCATGACGTACACATGGTGTTACATGACGTACACATGACGTATACATGACGTATACATGACGCCGTCGTCCCGATTACAGTTATTTCAAAAAATAACACCTGTGCATTTTCTTTGAAGGTCAATAAAACTAGAATCAATAATTAAATGGGTAAGTTAGACAAAATTATAGAGTAAAAGCCTTGAAAATGTATTAAACTTTAAACAATATATCATGCTTTGACATTGATAGATCCAAAAAGGTTTTTGTGTAAGGTGGGGGGTGGATTGTGTTGGTGGTGTAGTAGTGATAAGAATTAGGTGTTTACTTGTTGCTGTACCATGTAAGACATTTTTTGTTAAATTTTGTTACCTTTTTACAATGAGGGATTCTAAAAAGGAGGCTCTATTTAATGCTGATCACAATTGCTTTTGCTCAGTTGTCTGGTAAATCAGTATTTGTTGGGAAACGGGCACCTTTTGCATCTCATCTAGTCAAGGCTAGAAGGGCACAACCGTTCAGAGCACATCTAGTCAAGGCTAGAAGGTGCACAACCGTTCAGAGCACATCTAGTCAAGGCTAGAAGGTGCACAACTGTTCAGAGCACATCTAGTCAAGGCTAGAAGGTGCACAACCGTTCAGAGCACATCTAGTCAAGGCTAGAAGGTGCACAACCGTTCAGAGCAAATCTAGTCAAGGCTAGAAGGTGCACAACCGTTCAGAGCACATCTAGTCAAGGCTAGAAGGTGCACAACTGTTCAGAGCACATCTAGTCAAGGCTAGAAGGTGCACAACCGTTCAGAGCACATCTAGTCAAGGCTAGAAGGTGCACACACCTCCACAACCCTCTCCTAAATCCATTCCTATCGAAATATGAACAATAAGTCATGTTCTCACTATGTCTATGTCAAAGAGATTGAACCTACTTTGCTTTGTGGGAAAGTATCATGAAAATATGTAGGTAGCCAAGTAGATAAACCATGAAAACAAATTGATATTGATACATTAGCAACAATCATAGCCCTAAAAAGTATATTGGCATGTTATAATTCAAGATCCTATTGACTGAATAATAATTACATATTCTTACCACAATGGACAATGAGATAATATAGCAAGCCAAGGTACAGAAAAAAAACGATTACTATTTTTTGATAAAAGGCCAGCTTCCACAATACCAATATCCAACTTGTGATTATTATTGAGTAATGTAAATTTCCAAATAATTAACCAAGCACAACCAACAATTCCAACACAATAAAATACACTGACCCAATTAGCATTATCTAAAAGTAATGAGCCTGTTATGCCAATCATGACGGACCTAACAAAACAAAAATCTTATTACACATAGCAGTTAATGTCTTTTCAATAAAAATAATTTCACTAACCCAATACAAGCACCAGAATTAATAAATCCATTTGTTGAAGATTTGTGCATAGTTTCAAGATGTTTTCCGAGCAAACTGGCCATTGCACCAGAAAAACATCCTTGAAAGAATCCCATGAAAAATCTTATTAACATATAAATAGTTGCTGAGGATATGACTTTTCCAGTTTGAATCATTAATGGTGTAGATAATGTAAGTAAGATCCAGGATAAGCAAGACCAAAATAAAATATGTTCACCACCCCATATATCACTCAACCATCCTCCTACAATTTGACTCATTCCAGCTCCCCAGAAAAATGTTGAGAGAATTGAGCCCTAAAATAATGATTCAAATCATTGGGATATACAGAAGAAAATACTATGATGTTTCGAAAGCCAAAAAGAAAACTTGAAATTTAAACATGGTGATGTTTTGAGTCATAATATAAACAAATAAACCTGAATTTCTTTATTCCAACCAAATTCTTTTCCTAATGTTGACATTGTGACAGGTCCAACTGTTCGACACATGAATAAAAGTGTCATACCAAAAAATAAAACCAGGTCCAAGCCCTTCTTTCCCTCGCTGACCAATACTTATCAGTCTCGGAGATTTTTTGCCCTGTGTTAGACGCCATTTTATAGTTGTTCAACTCATTTTGCATGAAAAACAATATTGAACTTATTGATTACGACGTATGAGGGCTTTTGATATGAAAATGTAAAAATTTTATAATGAACATTTATATTACACGTACACCATATTGAAATGTGGTACACTTGACACGTCTACTCCACAGCGTCTAATCGTTACTTTATATAAGGTTTGTATGAAAAGTATTTTTGTGTCTAAAAATAGGTACGCAATGCGATTATTTTGGTAATCAAATAATAACAATATCGATGAGTTCTGTAATATTATGCATTTAAACGTCATACACATCTATATTCGGAACAATTAAAACATAAATAGAACACAAGAGTGAAGAAATGTTTTTGAAAACCTTGAAACTAACATCCAGTGCAGTCAAGACATATAGATCAATGATATGAAAGCGATTATATCTCGGGCATTTTTACGCGTTAAGTTCAAACAAATGTTCATGAATAATAAACTCTAGTTGAGAGGTGAAACAGTCAACTATAAAAAACTATACAGACTTCAAAACAATCAAAAATAAAGACTAATTTCACACGTATTTCATATCAATGACATATACATTTAAAAATCACAATCTTTAATATTCAAAATTCATATCATAATTTAAAATTTTTTTGTTCACTTTGCACTCAATTATTCATAATTACGATATTTCCTAACAGTCATATCAAAATATTTACACTAAAAACAAACCAGTGACAGTGTTCTAGCAGCTATACTACAATTTAAAATTCAGCAAACATTGCTGTATCAAAATCTTGTTTGATCTAAACATATTCACATAGGTACATGGAGTCAAACCATATGTTACGTGGAGTCATGCCCCGTGAGCCATATGTGGTACGTTGAGTTACACCACGTGAGCCATATGTGGTACGTTGAGTTACACCACGTGAGCCATATGTGGTACGTTGAGTTACACCACGTGAGCCATGTGGTACGTGAGTCATACGTGAGCCATATGTGGTACGTTGAGTTACACCACGAGCCATATGTGGTACGTTGAGTTACACCACGTGAGCCATATGTGGTACGTTGAGTTACACCACGTGAGCCATATGTGGTACGTTGAGTTACACCACGTGAGCCATATGTGGTACGTGGAGTCATACCTCGTGAGCCATATGTGGTACGTTGAGTTACACCACGTGAGCCATATGTGGTACGTTGAGTTACACCACGTGAGCCATATGTACGTTGACACCACGTGAGCCATATGTGGTACGTTGAGTTACACCACGTGAGCCATATGTGGTACGTGAGTCATACGTGAGCCATATGGTACGTTGAGTTACACCACGTGAGCCATATGTGGTACGTTGAGTTACACCACGTGAGCCATATGTGGTACGTTGAGTTACACCACGTGAGCCATATGTGGTACGTGGAGTCAAAAAAATATTTAAATCATTCAAACAGGACATCATTTTTATTAGCATCTATGTGGATTTCTTATATTTGCCGTTTTGACGATCCAAATATAAAGTATATCACCCATCCAATAACAGATATCAATGCTGTTACTTGAAATACAAGTGCCCAATCTCCCGTCGTTTCGAGTATATAACCAGTAATGTATACGCCAATAAAGCCTAAATGTGAAAAACCAATCAATGAGATGTGATATAAAACTAAAAGTAATTTATTTTATGTGATAGTTTCATACAGACTACTTTATTTTATAAACATAAACAATTAGAAACTACACATAATTTATAACTACCAGGAATTGATCCCATTGTGTTCATAACACCTAAATTGTAAGAAAAAAACCCCAATAATTTTGAAAGTTCACTTTTTCCCACCAAATAAGCATCTTATATTGCAGCCAATACTTTCAGTATTTCTTACCGTAAACAAAACCAACATAAGTTGGTGCAACCTCTTGAACATTAACATTTGCCCCACTTGCGTTAAAAGCAGAAAATGAAACAGCTACAGTCATTAAGAATATTGCGTTCCAAAAACTCTTTACATAATTCATAAGTAACAGAGCTATGGCAGGGCCCAATAGAGCAAAGGACTAAAAAATACAAATACAAAATAAGAATTAAGAGCTTTTTTCATAAAATACATTCATTACTTAGTGAACACAGTTAAATTTTTAAAATAAAAATAAAGAAAAATATAAAGATTTTCATAACAGTTCTTACAAAGAAAGACAAATGTGATGTGAACAAAACAAGAGGAAGTTACAATTTTAGACAATAATGTTGTATTTAGTGATATAACTGTAATTGTTTTTGTTTGTCAACAATACATGAAAAGAATTATTATTACCTGAAACAATTTTCGAACAAAAGTGTTTGTGTATCCTGTAAATTTTAAAATCAAACACACTTTGAGGGATTTTATAAATAATTAAAAGGCCAAAATATGGTTATTTAAAAAAGCACAACATAGAGATGCAATAAACATTTCTTCATACCTGATTTAATCATGTGGTCAGCACATTGTCCAGATATTATAGCAATCAGTGGATGTCCTATCCATGGAACAACATTAAATATGACACCCTATAGATCAAAGATGATACAAAACTTGTAAAAATGAATAAAGCAAAGTATCAACATCAGTTATAAATTATTTCCTCTTGTGAGTTGTCATATTATCTTATACATATATCTATATACATAATACCTCGCTATCTGGATAATTATCATGGAAATATGTAGGCATCCAAGCAAAAAGCATATCAAAACAAGTACCAAGACAAAATGCTGCAACAATAATTGCCCTATGAACAACAAAAAATGAACAAGATGTTAGTTAAACATTTTGAATTAAATTTGCCCAATCTTATATTCTTACTATATTTCATCAAAAAAATTTATCTGTATCAAAATTGTTCTTCAGCAAAATCTTGGCCATCTTTTTTCATGATGACATCAAAGATTATCTTAACAAAATGGTGTACCTCCAAATTCACCTTTTTTCTTATGGTTCACTTACCAAATGGCAGGTTTTGAGAAGATCATTTTCCAAGGAACAGACCTATCTTCTTTGCGATTCACAAAAGAAACATCCTTTGCCTCTCTAACATCATTATTTAAAGCATAATATTTCAGCAATAATAACCATAAAAAACTGACTCCACCAAACACATAATAAACCATATGCCAATTGTAAAATGCCATTAAAATGGACCCGAATATACCAGAGAACACAGATCTACAATTTAAAAAAAGACATGTATAAATTTATGACAATTATGTACACGTAAATGTTGAAAATGATTTATTGGACATCCCATACAACTAACCCAACTGAAATGCCTGATGCCACAATACTTGTACATAATGATTTTTCTTTTGGTGCAATTCTCTTTCCTAACAAACTGTAACATGCTGGAAAATATACACCTAAAAATAAAATTACTCATATAATGTTTAAAACAGTTAAATTAACAATGTATTGTGGAGAAAAGAAAAGAATTTCAGAATATGATCACATTCATAAAAATTAAAATAGCAACTTTCTATGCGATGTCTTTTTACATTTTATTCATTAAAGTAATATTTTTCTTTGACTTAAAATATCAATAGATATAATTTTAATATAATGCTGTAGATTTCCTTAAAAATACTCTTAAAAAAATGCTAGTAAATATAAACATTTTGACATTAAACATACCTTGTAACATACCAAAAAGAAAACGCAGAAGAAGCAATGCAGATGTAGGTGACATAAAGATAGCATACTCTGTTTTTACAATAACAGGAGTTATAAAAGTTAAAAATACCCAGGCAAATGATGAATATACTAGAACACTTTGTGCACTGTATGTATCACTGAGCCAACCACCTAAGACTTGCGTGAAGGAGTATCCCCAGAAAAATATCGAAAGAACTGATCCCTATGAAAAAAGATTGTATTAAAAAAGGTACAAGTAATGTTAAGGAAAAGTGATGAAACACATTTTGCTCTATGAAGTCTATTGATTTCATTACAAAGCTACATACGTATGTTCAAAGGCAAAAAATGTCAAAATTGTTCAAAAGGTAAATTATGAAACAATGAAAACATTTTGAAAAATATTTTATTGAGCATTAATTTGAATTTTCCACACATTTTAGAACTAGATACGTTGTAATGTTGTCGTGTTAAATAAATTAACTATTGAAAAAAATAAAATATTTTGTCAACAAAATACTTACTGCTACTGTCTTATCCCATCCTAGATCCTGACCCATTGCGACCACAGTAACAGGACCTGAAACTCTAGTAAGATAGGTCATTACCGATCCAAGAAAAAGTGAGATAACCCATATTTTTCTTTGTCTATTTGACCAATACACATTGTTTATGTCTACGTTGACCTTTTTGACTCCTTTTGTGTCGTGAATGTCAACAATAGTTTTTATGTCGAAGTCTGGCGACTTGCTGCTCATTTTTAATGTATATTAAGAGATGAAACTTGGTAGAATTTAAAGATAAATTTGACTTCCATTTCTACTCTTTACGCCATTCATAACAGGATAGACAGTACAATTATTGAACATTTGTAATAACGAGCCTGCATTCTTGTGCTGGTGCGGCAAAACTTCATGTAATCTACAAAAAAGTAGTACAGACATTCTTGGTGTCAAGTATCAGTGATAAAATAGGTTGGATCAATTGGTGAAGAAGCATCTGAGAGGGTTGTTTACAAATGCTAAAAATTTGCTCATCTATAGCATCTATAGCAGAGATATATTTGTTTAGTCGATACACCAAGGAAAAATTACATCTTTTAAGCTTGTTATTTTATTGCAAAGATGTTTTTTCAACATTGTCTATTTATTATTGAACTAGTATATTATAATTTAATAATACGTGTACTTGAATAAATAGCTATGTACAACGATATTTAGTGATCATTTATGCTAAATGTTATTTGGATAACTCTTTATTCTTGTGTACATGTTGTAGATATATTTTGACGTCCTCAATTATCTTACAAGAATTTTTTTAGCCATCAGTTGCAAAAAAGATCAACTGCTTTACATTCTCTCAATGCTCAATTTTGTCAAAAATTCTTTTTCTACATATAACATTGATAGTTTAGTTTTTTCATAATCAGTGACTTTTCTTTTTAAGAAAAAGTTTACAGTACAAAAAACTCGATCTCAAGACGCTGGCAAATATAATTTTTGTCACTTGTATGTTTTTCATAAAGTTTCTTTTTTTGATATTATTTTTTCAGAATGATTTTTTTATGATAACTTTCTATTGAAACTTGTAGTCATTGTTTGCTAATCAACCATACGCCGAGTAACATTTTTCATATCTTGTTTTTTTAGCTTTTGCCAACTTTTTTTTTCCTTCAAATGATGATGCTTTATCCAAAATATTTGTTCTCACTCAATATCAGCGTACATGAAAGCAGACGAATATTGATTGATACGATCTCTTCATTTTCCCTTAATTTTTTTTGGGACTGTTGATGTTATCAGCTCGCACAGTTGAAGATAGATGGACCGAAATCTTTAGAGTGCTGTATGTTCATTTATCACAGCGCATTCATTCATTATCGTGCGTAATGTGTCGAGGATATATTTTATTTTGCTAAGATGTGACCGATAGAAACTGAAGTTGCCAAAACATAGAATTTTTCATAAAAGATGACCATTATAAATGTAATCCTCGTTATACTAAAAAAACTGTTAAACGCAAGCAAGGGTCCATGCTTGTGGGTGATTTATTTCAAACCGTTTCTTTTTTGAACTTTTAAGCCTTCTCTACTTTGAACGATACATCTGTCTTTAAATTCATTATTTCAGACTCATTCCGTAACTCATATTCTTCTGTTGCACTAGACACATTCATTAACTCGCTTATCTTGCTAGCCTCGTTGTCGCTCTCGAAATCAGCTTCCGTTGTCTGTACTGCTAATTCATCAAGAGTTTCAAAAGTTCCGTTAACCATGCCGTTCTTAGTACCAACAGGCATATCTTCCGTTGGGGTGACTTTGTTGGATTTGAAAACCGGAGGGGGTAGAGGAGATGTACTGTGACAGCATATGGAAGAATCAGCTTTTACTGAAACAATGGTCTCCTTCAATAAACGAGTTAAATATAAAGTACTAAATAAATTTAAGATTTTACTTTTCTCAGCTAAGTTTATAATGCATACAAAATACCACACTTGTCATATACTCATTAAAATACCAACTATGAATAAAGATTAAGTAGACTTGTATTCTTACCAAGTTTTCAGTTTTTACAAGTGTACTATTCATCATAGATCTTGAATTGTCGTTACTTCTAGATGTTTTTTGTTTTGCAATACTGATGACTAGCGCGGGTCCAACGTGATCTATTCTATCAGAGCTATGCCGTTCTTGCAATCTTTGATGATACCAGTTGGGAAATTTAACTCCTCGTCTATTTGTTGCACCATTTGGAATATCGTTGGCTTTCTGAGCTTCAGTTCCATTACGTACATTCAAATTATCAGGTCTGTTTATTTTTAAACCCAGTTTTTTTACGGCAACTGAGTTAAGGTTGTCCATGTCAATTCTTCGAAACGCTTCCATAGGATCTACCAGCATTTGTGTTTTGTTCTCGATGACCCCTGATATCGCGACAACAACACTAGACATTATTGCGAGACCGATTACGAGATATAACAAATCTGAGAACTCAACGAACACCTGTATTTGGCAAACAAATGATTTTAATAAGAGATTGAGCCTTGTTATCTCGTTTATAGCAGTGGCGTCATTAGCTCGGAAAATGGCAGAGGGAGGGCTATATTATAATAAAAGCGTATTCTGTTTTTATTTTGTGATTTGTGTAAACTAGTGGTGTCGACTGTTCATTCTCTTTTTTTTGTTGTTCATTCATCACTACTACACTGACACATGTTATCTTAGTTTATATTTTAGGTAGTGTAAAGACTGTTTTTGCTCTGTTGTTCATTTATCACTACTACACTGAAACACGTTATCTTAGTGTATATTTTAGATAGTGTAAAGACTGTTCTCGTTCTCTGTTGTTCATTCATCACTACCTACACTGGCACACGTTAGCTTAGTTCATGTTATACATACAATGTGTTCACTACTCTCGCGTTGTCTACTCGAAATACTAATTTCCAGGTTTTCTAAGTACTTTACGGTTCTTTTACCTGTGATTCAACTTTACTTGGCTCTCGTAACGCTGTAGGAACAAGATCCCCGAAACCGATTGTGGAAAATGTAACAAAACAATAATACACAGAGCCCAAATATCCCCAGTCTTTCTCAATTTTGGAAAATGCAATAGCAGGTAGCAATATAATTGACCATAAAAGGCAAAAAGCAATAACAGCACTTTTCAACTCAGCGTTTTCTGCTTCACGGTTATAAACGCGTCGATCAAATTGTTTGATCATTATAATGATCCATTCGGAGATTCGGTTACCAACTGAACGTAGCATCAGGGCTGTTAAAGGAATACCAAATAAGGCAAATACAATGCAAAATAATCTTCCTCCATCTGTTTCAGGAGACATGTGACCAAAACCTGAAATGAAATAAACGAAAGCTTTATCAAGTCATAATAATTTTTAGAAAAATTACTTTTATTGAAAGAGTAATATTTTATATTTTAAAGAGTTTTCATTACAACATTATTAACATGAAATAATTTGAAAAAATTAAAAAATATTATTTGGTTTTTGTTGCCATGTCGTCCCATATGGTTTTTGTGAACACATAAAACAAATATAAAATGAAACAATTTGTTCACAATGAACATAGGGAATGTAATATCATAGTAACAATATTTTCAATTAACACATAAATTGGCTGTTCATTATTATTTAATAACAGCTAAGAGTTCAAGATTAACAAAATTTGTTATTTTTCAGTTTGCTGGCTTATCCATTCTGGAAAAATCGTAAGATCCGCGAAAATACACTTTAAGGCAATTTTTAGAAAGTTTACAGTCAAAACCAACAACACGAAAAATTTTTGGAGGTGTTCAAACGTGTATGTAAATATCTCTGGAAAGGTGATGACCGTCTAGAGCTGGTAAAATTTTACTCTCTTGTCAACCCAAAATTTTATAATTCTTTGCAGAGTTTGTGTTGGAAACTTTCCAATTTTCTAACGTTAGACGTTTTCGTCAATTGTTAGTATAACAGGTAGATACCAGGATTGAAGCAACAAACACTTTTTAAATAAAATGTTCCGAATAAATTGAACATTGATGTTATTTCAGGAAAAAACATTTTCTTTTATTCACGAACTTCATTGACTACTTAAATGAAAAAAATACGAAGAAGAATATTGAATAAAAGCAAACATGTACGAAATAATTATCGACAATTAACTGTATGTTGTAGATAATCTGAAATGTTTTAAAAACAACATCAGTGCCCGTCCGACGTTGCAGTTGATTAACGACATTATTCATTTCATGGCTATTCACAAAGTACAAACAGACAAAATCCCTTGGATTACATAACAATGTATTGAAAAAATATATCAATTTGCCAAATGCAAGAAATTTACACGTATAGCCATGTTCGATTGCAATTTAGACACATTTTCAAACACATAGTTATATTGCCCTAAAATGCTACAACGTAATCACATTTAAAGAAACTTGTTTTCTAGTGTTAATAATATTCAATGTCGTAATTCAGCTAACGTGACACATTTCAATTATAGCAACCTGACCACAGAAAATACGTTGTGAACAAGGAACAGAGGAAACAGCAATAGCTTGCTATATTTCATTTCAGAAAATCAAAGTCTTTTATCTATTACATGCAGAAAGAAAATTTAGAACAATTTAAGACAATTTTTCATAATCGATTGTTTTCAACGTACGTAATATTTGAGAAATTATTAAAATAGGAAGACTGGCATGTTTTTATCTTGAAAATAAGTTTCTCGGTTTGGGTTCAAAAAACTAGCTGGTTTTGATTAAAAAGGAAATGTTTCGTATGTCAACTTGTTCATCATGAAATTATTTAACCCCATATTCTTCGTAAACCTATCCCCATGTGCTTCAAGGAAAACTAATTATGACATCGTTATTTCATATGCGGTAATTGAAAAGCTCATTTTTAAACACGCGTATATTTTGAAAGAAATAGGCCTTGTAGCTACGCACTCAAGTTACCTACGTAACTTAGTGGGTTGTAGTTTAAACAGTTCTTTAAGCAACAAACACAGTTACAGGAATAATAGTTTTTGATTGATCTTTGCTCAAAAGCTGGAAAATTTAAGACGTTTTCAGAAAATGCATCATGTTCTTTTCACGTTGAAAACATCTGCGTCGGTCTGTGATATAAATGTGAATATTTTCAATATGTTTTTAGAGTGCCCATATTGAACATTGGTGATAAGAAAAATTATGTGAGGGAGGTAGCTAATATCAAAAAACACAGAAAATATTACGCGATACAATCATAACCAACAAAATGACGCAATCGCATAATTTGTGAATTATATACGCATCCACTGCAAACATTTCTTCAAACGATGATTGAAAAAGTTGAATTTCAAAAATTGTGTTTTTATCGCTATCGATTGTGGTTGCCATGAGAGAGTATATCCTCTGATTTAAAGACACTTAGATGTATAGCAACAAGATCATAAACAAGGATTATACATATAGTTATCGCCCCTTACCTATAGTTGTAACGATATTACCGACGAAATAAAACGCATTCAAATATGTCCACTTCTCTCCTTTGAAGTTTTTTGATTCAATGTTATAACCATAATGTAAAGCATGCTGAAATCTAAGCAAAAACTTTTTCAGATCTTCTGAGTTGTTAAAGGATACATTGACGACGTGAACTCCCCGGTTGACAAAGTCTTTTGCCTTTTTCCTTTCCAAAGCTTCTTTGTTCTTCTCGAGAGCAACAAAAATCGCTGCCCCAAGCACAATATACAAAAGAAAAAGTACAACTCGTATAAATAATTTTTTTGTACTTCCCGACAACTTCATCGTTCAAACGGATCCTCCATTGAAGAGCAAATAAATTAAAAGCTCTTATTTATTTTACGAACCCTGACGCTCATGACGAGCATCAGATCATTCTAAGAAGCAGGCTACAGCTCAAAAAAGGTCCACACATAAGTACGGTTAAGGACATTTGCCCACTTGCAGTAACACATAATGTATAATGGATACGATACAAGGATACGCACACGCTTAGCTTTTTGAAGCCGTACCGTTGTATGCTAATACGGGAGAAGTTATCACCTGCTATAAGCGTATAATAAAGCTGGCTTTCAAGGTTTTCCTTATGCGAGCAATTAATTGAACACGCAATTAAGACGTTTCGTTATAAGATCGCGGCAAAGTAAAGCAAATTGTCGAGGTAAAATAGAAACATGATGTGAAGAATTTTTGTGACCTAAAACGTACAACTTGTTCATTCATTTATTGAAAAGGAAATTTTATTGACATAAATAATACAGTAAGTACTAAAAAAATTTCGCGCGCTATCTTAGCAATGCCCATGGCATATCTTTATGTCGCAATATGGTCTCCTGGGATTGGCTAACGTGTTCATTTATCATTTGAGACGTGTTTGGCAAATTGAATTTTTCCTGTAACTGTCACTCAAGATGCAAATCTACTGCATTGAATCGAAATGTGTGCTTGGCTATAATGTTAGTATATATCTAGACAAAATAACCAGTAAGAAAAGTTAAACGACAAAATAGCAACCAACAATAACGAATTATTATGCAATAAACGAGACACACACAAACCGTTTGGAAAAATCGCTATATATTTTTCTAACTATTTTTAAATAAAACTTAAATACGTAGTTAAGCAAAATGACCTGTTGAAAAGTTAGCCACAGAGTGCGTCATCTAAAACTACAAGCGTATTTAAACGTGTTAGACCTGCATACCGACATATCATTTTTAATCGTTCAAAAATCTTCAACTGATCTTCAAAAATTCAATAAAAAAACAAAACAATATTTTGAAATATATAGGGTATTCAAAACATTGAAATATGTTTGGTACATTGTATAATGTATAGTTATAAATTGTTGTAATATGCTCTCAATCAACAGTTTTACTTCAAAACCGTTGCATTTTCCTACATATTCATTAAGACCTGTTTTTAATTTATAAAGCTTCATAAAGATAATAATGTATTTTTAAGCAGCAGTAAGACTAATAAATCTTTCGCAAGTCGACCATGTTAACATTTAAAGCTTTGGCAAAGAAATGGACACAAAGATTTACAACAGTTATAATTTGTAGCAAGAAAAATATTTTGTGCCAGCCGTAAAGTTTACCTACAGCAGCCAAAGGATAACCAGCTAACACTCCACCAACTAGAGAAAATTATAAAATTGTAGTAGTACATGCGAATGGGTAAGCTTTCATCAAAGGAATCTATTCAGCCAGTGAGCTGTACTGAAGGATACAAAGACTCGAGTTTCATCTTCAGACAATAAATAGGACATTGGGGGTATTTACGTGCTGGTGTTGGAAATAAAAATTAGTCTTGAAAAAGATTGTATACACTATGGAAGATAAGAAATCAAGTTTAGAAACAGGTTAATTGGAATAAAAATACATAATCGTCATAATCCACCTTTCCAACGGGAAACACACGTGTCAAAAAACGTGATCAAATTACAAAATTCGGATAATCAAATGGTCGGACATAGTATTGTATTTGTAGAAGAGTGGCAATAAACTAGAAAGAAGATGCTCTTGAGGCATTTGTAAATCTTATTTTAGAAACTCAACACGACTAATTATAAAGGCAGAAGGTGCAAGAGTGAATAAAAACCATTTTCCGTCAAATCAAAGGAAAGCTTGGATATGACATGCAATACATATGCAGATACAAAGTTGTAGAGGAAAATAAAAACATTTCTAACGTTGTCGCGGATATTACGAGTGCCGTAACAAAGTGTTGACAAGTTAGACATGCATTTGTCAAAAAAAGCTTTAGAAAAAGAGCAGACAACAAGCACTAATTTCAATTCTCGGTCACAAATTGATTAAGATTGACCAACTGTATGTACTAGTATAAATTTTGGAATAATTAGCTCACTCAGTCACAAATTTCAAGATAAATCATCTGCGCATGTGCAGTCTGCTTGAGCATGCGCAGTAGAATTGATTAGCTGCACAAGTTCATGGTCATGGCAACGACCAATTGCATCGATTTTGAAGTAAATAGCATGTTTAGTAACAATTTATTAGAGAAATCATCTGCGCATGCGCTAGAGCATGCGCAGTCCACTCAACTAAGTGTTTATAGTCATGGCAACGACTAACTATATGTACTTGCACTGCATTTGTGGCAATTAGCTCTCTTAGTTGCAATTTATCAAAGAAATCATCTGAGCATGCGCAGTAGGACTTTAATAATCCCACAACTTTCGTTAGCCTTTGAATTTTTGTATATATATATATAAAGCCAATACTAGGATAACTAGCAGAGGAAGCTGGGTGCGATATGTTTGCAGTGGCTTAGGGGTCCAGACGTTTCGGGTCGCGACCGCACTCTCCCGAGCAAAGCCTATCGCAGGTGATCTCGGGGTCTGATGGGCGGAAGCTTGCTATTGCATCTCCCAAGTAGGATAGCGTGGAGGGGCCGAAATCTCCTACCGAAACGTTAACATGCGGCGTTCTAGTGCCTTACGCTTAACCCTGGAGGGCCCAAAATTTGCTTACGTGAGAAAAAAATTTTTTATCAGTCAAGAACACTTACTATGGGCCGGTTAAACATAACAGAGGTCTTTTAAGAATTTTGCAATCCAAACAATTGTCATATGTGACCCATTGGGCCTTCGTTAAGTAATACAATACACTAACAACAAAATAATGACTGTATATTAAAATTGTAATCGTTTATAAAAAACTATGATAAAACTGTATGTGTCTGGTAAAATATATAAATGGGTAATTTAAAAGATTTGAACATGGCAAAACTATTTTACATGATATACCTTATAACAATTTCAAATTGGTAAACTTCAAAGTCATGTAGCAAGCCACTTGAGCACCTACACCAAACCTTGAATCCCCATGGATGGGGTTTGCCTTTACATACTGACGAATGTTGCCAAACTTGCCTTTGTATGGAATCATCATTTCATCAATTGACTGATGCTGAATTGAATGACTTGAAGGCATTGCATGAAACATTTCAAGAATGGTTGAACTTTCCAAAAATTGTTTTTCTTCTCGTCATCAGTAACAATTTCATTATCCACAAAATGAATTGTACCTAAAAGCAGCTTGAACCTGTTCCTGCTCATAATATCAGCAACTGCTGGGTATCTAGTTCCATTTTCCCAATACATTTTGTAAGATGGCATTTCAGCAAGACCCATTTTGAAATACATACCTAATAACTGCTCCATTTCTTTCAAAGATGCATTGGCACATCTTCCATGTTTCAGTGTGCTATATCGTTATGCTCACAATATGCTCTAACATTTTGTCAGTAATGAATCGCTTGAAATACTGTAATGGCGTTTCAGACAAACCAATAGGATCTGTGGCCACAGTTTTTCCTTGAAATTTGTCACTCTGTGGCTCGAATGTTTTCTTTTTCCATATATACTGGACACTGATTCTTGTTGTTGACTAATCTGGCAGTCAAGGGTATGTCCTCAGCACTATTATAAACCTCGATCTTCACCATTGCAATTGCAACCATCATCTTCGTTGCCACTCAATACTGGTTCATTCTGAAAACCAGCCTCAGCCAAGCTCCATGATTTGTCCCCACAAGACATACTATCATCTTCAGACCAATCAGTATAACCACCCTCACTGAAATCGCTTTGTCACCATCAAGAATTGCGAGAACATCGTTGGTTGTGTAATCATTGTTCTTTGTGGACATGATTGACTAATACAATGTAGAGGAAAAGATTTAAACACTGAAAATTTACAAAATGAATTCATATATACAAATAAGAAATTTGTATTTAACAAACAAGACAAAACGTCTACAATATAGTTCATACGCTCAATATAAACTGCTTATATATCAACAAGGCAATAAGAGGCTCACCTGACGTAAAGCCCAGTGGGTCATATATGACCCGTATATTTCAAATTGAATTTATTTCATGAAGAAAGCAACAATACTGCACAAAAACTACTGAAAGATAAAGGAAGAGCTAAATATTTATCAGTGTGCAGTGATTTTCTCACAAAGTCCCTATAAAAGCATGATGGAGCCTTGAAATTCACCAACAAACATCAACACACTCATGGGCAAAGGACGCCATCTTTGTGAAAATATTCTGCTGACATAGCATATGCAATAGCTACCAGACCAACACGAATAAGGGGTCATATATGGGACTTTGGCCCAATAGGGTCAATATTTATTGTGTGTAAACGCATAGGTTCAAATCGGCCCATGAAAATCGTGGGGTCATATATGACCCCTTGGGCCCTCCAGGGTTAAGAAGGTATCGGGAAGCATGGCCCGAAAACGGGGTTTTTTGCTTTTGAATTTTATCTTTTTGTTTATCTCATAGAAGAAGCTAGAACATCCAATGATGGTACAAAGATTCAAAAAACTTCTGCCTCTTTGATTTATAACTTAAAGCAACTCTAAACATATTTATACGTTTTTTATATGTTACCTTTTACAATGTAACTTTCTCATAATTCTCTCGTGATGAACGAGAGCCTCGTTATACAATTTAACTCTCTCATTATAAACAAAAACATCCATGGGTTTCATGAATAAAAGGGATTATGTACTTTTTTATAATAGTTTATAGTACTTTTTTTACAAAGATAACATTTAACAAGCCAAGCAATTTGTATCATCCTGAACCTCGCTTTCAACTCTTATGTTACAAAATTTTGATTCATTTTGGATAGTAAATTTCTTTTTACCTTACAATATTTTCATGATTCAATCTAGAAAGGAACTTCTCTTCTCGAGCAATTTTGCGATTTAACAGGACACTTTTCAGATTCAAATGATTGCATAGAGACAGACGTCCAATTTATTACGTAAAAGCATGTAGTAGGCATTTCGTTGTAAGAAACCACTCTACCAAAGAATATCCAGATCCGATTTTAGCTGCATCAATTTTAACTGTTATTTTTATAATATTTATGATTCGATGTATCTTGAGACTCCAGATGAGATTCATGACTGCCTTTGAATACAATTAGATAACAAATATTCATAAGACAATGTTTTATGATATCACTTAGCCTTATCAGTTTATCGTAATTTAAAACATTTAAATTTATAGCTATAGTTTAAAATTTTATTTTTACGTATATAATATGTAAATGAATCTAAAAAGCCAGTTTTAGGGAGATTCATCCATCAGTAATAATAGTAGTGATTTAGTGATTATAAGACAGCGAAACCATTATGTAATAAAAATAACAGTTTAAAATTTGTATGGCTTGCTTTTTTGGGCTTTATGCAGCTGGAATCTGCCCTGGATATGCATAAGTCACGCCGTAAAGGCCCGTAATAATCCTTAAAAAAAGTCATTAGCGCGACAACATGCTAGTATTCAACCTTTCCTTCGATCGTTACGCTTTTTTCTAACCCCAAATTGTTAATATTTAGTGTTATGCCTTATGCCTTTATAGATAATCGCTCTGAATAACTAGAATCAGATTTACAAATGCCCCAAAACTCAAATGTATCTCCTAACCATTTTATTGCCACTATTCTACACAAACAAAACATCGTCCGACCATTTGATTGTCCAAATTTTGTAATTTTATCTCGTATTTTTAACACTTGCGTCTAAAGGTAGATTAACAGGGGGAATATACAGTTCTAAATATTTTATTGATTGCTCTTACCACTTGATCCAAGAGATACAAAGGCATTTGTCGTTCCCGAAAAGTTTTGCGGTGAATTTTCTACTGCCAATAAACCGTAAAGAGAGTTAGAGCCAGATAAAGCCATTCCACAACCAAATAAAAGGAATGCAATAAATATCTAAACACAAGTGAAATGAGTTCTCAGATCAAATGCATGTGTGAATGCCAAGTTAAACAATAAATAAATTGATTTACCGTTGATGATTGTGAATCAACGAAATTCGTCAATAAATGCAGACAAACAAGAAGCATAAAAAATAGCCAAACAAACGCAACCATTCGCGGACTATGGTGATGATGTGGATTACGCTGAACACAACAGAGAGAAAATGAATAAAAAAAATATTCTGTAGTTTAAGAACATTAACATAAAATCATTTACAAAATTAATACTTTTTGCATCCATTTGTCCGTAATAACTCCAGAAAAAAGACTTCCAAAAATCCCACCAACTTCAAACAATGTGAGAGCAACACTAGCTGCAATACATCAAAATAAAACTTAAAATGTAACCAGTTGTGTATGTAATCACATTATCTTAAATTGAGAATTCTGGCATGCATTAATCCTCAAGATCCAAAGTCACATGACAATGAATGTCTAAAAGTATGTCATAAGCAGATTTGTGGGAAATCTAACATATATCAAATTACCATTGCTACAGATATAAAGATCTCATTCTGAAATAATTTTTAATTCTGAGAACTAGCTAGCTTTCATTTACTAACCAGTTGACTTCAAATGTTTCTTATCATGAATGAGATAAACTTGAATCCATTCATTAATTCCACTTCTTAAAATAGCCGTAAGAAAGTTCCCGTGTATGAGCACCCATAAAAATGGACTTGAACATAACTTAAGCACAATTTTCAGCCAAATACTGTCAAAGCTGTTATTCACTTCATTTGATGAACCTTGAACAGTGAAAGAGTGTAATCCAGCTTCCTCTGGTGAATTAAAAATGAAACGGAATACCAAAGGTGCACTGGTAATGGCCACAAGTCCAGGTAATATCATGGAATATTGCCAAGGATACCATGATGTTATATATAGAGATATCAGCGGGCAAAAGGCACCAATAAAGTTACATCCCACTGTCAATAAACTCCAATAAGTGCCAATCTACATTATGTCGTATAAATATAAAGAGAGAACTGTCTACAATCTCTATTTAGTATAGATATCAAAAAAACATAGTATAATTATCTAAGTATACACATTCTTTATAACACAATTTATGCACTAACTACAAATATGAACATACCTCATCAGGACGAAACCATACTTTCAAAAGTTTTGCACATTGTGGCCAACCAATACCTTGAATCAAACCGTTGAGAAACCAAATAGCAGCCAATGAAACAACACCATCAAAACATGTAAAAGTAATGTTGCATAGGCCTGTGGCAACCAAACCAAAGACAAACAAAGGTCTAGGATTGGACTTGTCAGAAAGCAGTGCAGAACCAAACTTGCTTAGACAATAGCTCAATGAAAAAGCACTACTTACTAAACCTACACCACTGGCATCCAAAATTTTTGATTGTAACAAAACAGGTATCAAAGAGCTTGCTGACTTCCTGTTGTAATAGTAGAGAGAATAGCCTATAAGAATTGTCAGATATAAGGTATATTTGATTTTTGTGTATTTTTCTTTTTCCTGCATGCTCATTGTACGATTTTTATTCATAACATCAACTGTACTTGGGCTGATTATGACTTATAAATCATAGTCATGAGAGTCTTCCAAGCCAACTAGACTGTCAACCACGTGCAGTTGGCCTGCAGGCGCATTTATCTGAATTTTTAGAATTTAAGAACTTTAAAAATCTTGGTTTCTTCGCATATTTATATATTTTCATATTATATTTCGAAACTTTTGGACTTGATGTTTAGACTTTAAATCATTTTCTTGTTATGTTTTAAAACGTAAAATGTAACACTCAAGCGAAAGCGATGCACATATTTTGTGAGCCTCCAATCATGAATTGCATTTGTTTGACTAATTTTCATATAAGTGTAACTTGATGGTGAAAAGAAGATTTGAAATGAGTCTAAAATTTTAAATAGAATCATCCATATAATCCATAAATATGTCTAGAGTAAGACATCTTAAACGTTTTTTTATGTTTGGTGATGATTTGAAAGTGAGTAAAGCATAATTAATGACAAAACTGTACGAAGAAGTTATAATATTATTATTCAGTTTCCATTTCTTAAAGTTTTATCTTAATCATTTCAGAATTTATTCAAACCTAGCCCTTTTATGTCGCCATCTTCCGTCCAACGTCACTTTTCAAAAAGTACAGATCCTTCGACAACTGCTGAATATATTCCTATTGAAATTGCTCAAAATGTTTTGGAGACCATTCATATTTATACACATTTACCATGGTGGTCTACTATTGTGTTATCTTGTGTAGGCTTACGAAGTCTTGTTACCCTACCTTTAGGAGTATATCAGAATAAGCTTGTTGCTAAAATAGAATTGCTACAGCCAACACTTAAAGAACTTTCTGAGGCACTAAAACATCGTGTTACTATAGAGTGTAGAAGGAAAGGATTACCTTCTCAGCAAGCCAACAAACTTTTTAAAAAACAGGTATGACTACAAAACTTTGTACCTATATGGCATAAAGTGCTCAAAAAGTCATGGCTTGCAGGAATCAAATTTCTTCAAGTGTAAAAATTTGCATTCTACCATGGTTAATAAAGGAAATTCTTTGGAGTAAAGCAGGGCTGTAAATTCTGAAGAAAAACTGGGTTTTTTTAACTGACAGTTCTGCAAAACAGATAAATTTGCAAAACAGTTCTGCAAAACAGAGTGTTTTTTTATTTTTCTTATACATGTATTAATGATTAATTTTCAAGTTCTCATTTTGTTTGATTCAGCTCTAGACCAATGAGCATTTTTTGTAAAATAGTAAATGTGTGAACTAGAAATCACATATATTTCCATAGTATGAAAACTAAATGGTTAAATACTGTTCATTCATTATATGCTTCAGCAAAATATCTAGTTTCAATAGAATATATTTGGTTCATAACTTTAGCATCACTCTAGCATTAATTGGAGGGCAACATTAATTGGGGGCATATTTGTATATTCTCCTATGCCACTCTGATTTCTTTTAAAAATGAAAAAATAGCCATGATGAATATGGTCCTCAATCAATTGTTATTAGATTGGGAACAATGATTTACAGGCTCAAATATGAATGCAAACAATTTTCTCAATAACAAGTAACTAACATTTGTAGTGGAGGAAATTAATTTCATTGTATTTTTGCTTTGGTAGCTTCGAAAATATAAGTATGATTTGTACAAGACAAATGGATGTAATCCTATAAGGATCTATATTTTACCTTGGGTGCAGATACCTTTATGGATTATATTGTCTTTGGCTTTGCGAAATATAAGTGGAGCATTTTCATGGAACTCCAAAGGTATGATGTTTGTGAAATAATTATCAATGTTTAAATTCTCGAAGGTGAAAGAAGTTCCATTCACATGATAATATGATTAAGGCAATTAATACATATTTAGTACTTTGACTTTTCATTGAATTTGTAAACATTTAATCATGCTTATTTAGTCAACAGTCATATTCATAAGCAAACATTTTATTGTAGTTCATACTCAACAACCTTGTTATTCAGACATGGCTAATGAAGGAACCCTTTGGTTTAAAGATCTTACAGTGCCTGATTCCACAGGAGTACTTCCTGTTATGTTGGGTGTTGCAAATCTTCTTAATACTGAGGTGATTTATTAAATTGTATTTGGTTTTGTTTATCAACTAAATAATTCTCAAATCCATTCAACAAAGTGTTTATTGCGTGTGTTTAACGTCTTGATTTAAGACTCTTTCAAATTTTGTATAAAAGTTTGTAAATCTTAAAGATGCCTGTATTTGATAAATACTGGAAGTCTTGCTGATAAAACACTCTAAGTAGAGCACTTAAATGATCCAGGAAAAATATCTGGGGCCAAATATCTATCTACCTTTGTATGATAAGATGTATCTGTACGATGTCTATTAGATAGACTGAATGTTCATGCAAAATCTGTAGACAGAGTGAAATTCATTTACAAAATGTCCAGCTAATATAGCCATTATGTTTTTATAATATGGTATTGTGCTCCAAGTGAAGAAAAATTGCTGAACAAACCAAGTCAATATTTATTTAGCTTCACACACTGAAGAAAAAAGAGACAACACTGAGACAGCGGACTTTACTGATGGTCTTTCGATTGTTATCTCTTCTTATGATTGCTGTTGCTTTAAAAATGCCAGCAGTAAGTTTAAATTCATATTGTTTTTAAGTACGTATTAAATACTGTATTTAATACTGTATTTATTCCTACTTATATAAGAGATTTTTTCCCATTCAAATGCGCCGGCAGGTGGTGGTGGGGCAACTTCACTCCAATACTTCCCGTACTAAAGTTTTTAATGTATGTTATTAATAATGTCAGTGACATACAACAATGCGTAATATACATAGGTATGTGACATATTAGTGGTGTTCTCCCCTAAATAAAATACTGCCTTTGCAACTGTTTCCACTGCAGCAACACTCATTGAAGATACTTATTACCATCAAATACAGTGTTAACATTTGGATGTATGTTCTAGGCAATGTCTTTGTATTGGTGCATTTCGGCGTCGTATGGCCTCCTTCAAAATATATGTCTTAAATTACCTCGTGTTCGTCGTCTCTTCAAAATTTCCAAAACTCCTTCAGAGAGTGCAACTCCTTTCAGAGACATATGTTCTATTGTAGCTGAACGTACTGCAAAATTCTTAAAAATTCAGAAGGATTATATGGGAATGAAATGACATTAAAAATCACACAATTCTTTCAAATTGAAGTAAAAGCTCGAATAAGTTTCACAGTTCGTATATCATATTATCATAGTGGATTTTGTTTTTTCACTTAACTGAACTTTCCTAGAATATTCGCCATGTTGCAATTATAATGAAATCCAGCTTATTGGGTTAGTGTTTTGGTTTTAAACAATTCCTTTAAGGACTATTTGGTTATTATTTTTCACCATTCCCGTGGTATTGGCAATTTTTAATACAATTTTTTAGATATGTCACCACGACAAAGTTTCTATTTTATTATAAAAGATTTAGTTACAGTAGTATTATATAAAAATAACTATATTTTATATCGAAAACTTTTTTATGTCTGGTAAGGTTTATTGTGCGCTCCTATGTATAGAGGAGCAATGTACAAAACATTTTGTGTATTATCACACTTTCAGCGTGCTGATGTACTATACATATTCCTCGTGTATATAATGGTCATGCAACACAAAGTACAATTGTCAAATGGTCGAAAAGCTATTAATACGCTTTTAAGTTAATTTTATTTAACAATCTTCATTTCAAATATGTGGAAAAAAAGCACAGAATATCATCTTCTCAGCTGGGATCAAATCTGGAATAAAATATTTCATATTTTAGCCAATCAGAGCTCAGAACGTAACTAGTAACAATGCGAGAATCTCATCGAAATCAGCCAATGAAATCACTCCACTAAATGATCTTAATACACGTCAATCACTTCATTCACTTGAGATGCCCCAAGAGTTGAAAGAGAAAGGAAGGTTTGTGAAGTTATTTTTACACTAGTTAAAGAGTATTTCAAATGTCGATAAATTCGATGGAAAAAGCCTTGTTTGATGTGTAGTTACGTATCGTTTTACTTGTAAAGCCTTTCATCGATTATTTTTGTGGAATTCGGCTTTTTACTCCGTGTCTTCGCCGTTGTGTTTGCTTCACAAGAGGACCTTGTCAGTATAACAACGACAAGTTTGCGTGTTTTATTTTTTTCATTCAGGTTTTATTTCACTGTGTTTCCTACTGCTAGTATTGTGAATGTTTTGAAGTGAAACTTTGTTGAATATTTTTACTTTACCCAGCATTTGTGAATCGATATATTTTCAACAACAAACTTGCGCTACCGACATCTTTCGGAAAAATATGTACAAATTCTATGTGAAAACGTTACAGTATGGCAAATTGAAGGGTAAAAAGGGTATTTGTTATTCATTGGATTGCTTTTTGACGGTAAAAAGTGTATTTTTAAGCAAAAACTTTGAAGATATTTGAAAAAAATATGAAAATGTTGTTCATGTTCGACCTTGGACTTTCAACTAAATTGGCGCCAGTTTTGTTCCGCGTGAAAATGAAAAGTACTGGGAACAAATTATTCAAAACGAACCAGAACAAATTTTTAACCGAAAACACCTAAAAATCCTTTGACGAATTCGGTGTACATGCACTGACAACTTTCATCTTGAAATAAACTCAAAAGTGTAAGCCTTGAAGAGTGTGACAGCTACAGGTTTTTCAATTAAATAAGTTGAAATGATAGCAATTTCAATCAACAAGAAAAGAAAGTCAAACGCCAGTGAAAGATATTAATGTTAGTTACGCTACTTAAGTACAGTTTAGAAAAGTTATTGTTGAAAAATTATTGGTATTTTTGAGAAAAGTTATGGAAAGTATTGGAAAAGGACTAAAGAGAATTAAGGTAGGAAACTTGATATTATGATTCATTAAAATATTCATTGATTGCCTAGTTTGTTTTATATGAAATCGCTTCTGGAAATTTAGCTATATTATATAATTCTACATTTGAATTGGCAGGATACTCAAATGAAAGGGACAGTTAAACTTAGAATATCTTTATGGATTTTCTTGTGCACACATTCAAAATATTTTTTGGCTATTCTCTGAAAGCTTTGCACGGACAAGTTTGTCTTGACATTTTTATCATAAAATGTCATTAGATTTTGCTGCAAGTACATGAGCACTATTTTAAAATAGAAAGCTGCTAAGGCTAAGTAAGGATAAGAATGATTAAACAATGAATGAAAAAAATTATTGTATGCGATCTATCGGAAAACGACATTGAATGAAACAAAGGAGTCTATAAGACGTCCTAGAAACATTCATTGGAACTGAGAATCTACTTCTTACATGCATGTTGTGCTTCTGGCAGTTTGAAGTTTTCATTTATCTGCTAATTAAGGGTACGACTATCTTTATAAATATAATCCATACAATTTTAAAAATTAAAGCAAATGAGGAAGTCTATACGACCTCTTTAAAATTTATAAAATATGAACAGAAGCATTCGTTAGAAGAAATCTATTTATGTAATAAAAAGTAAATTTCATATTTATCAATTCAAAAGCAACTTGAAGACTTCATCAGTTGCCTACTATTCTTTTATTAATAAAACAAGTGTAAGTAAAAGTATTGTAAAAGTTCTCTAAGAAACAAAACGTTCAAGAAATTATGTAAAATGTCTGAAGACGTCCAGAGCAGTGACAATTAACAAAAGCCTCACAAATGTTAGCCATTATTTGGAAGAGGAGCTACTAGATTACTATTGGACAAGAACAAGAGAATTCAACAAAGCAGTATATTTAATCGATTGGATAGAATGAGCAAGAGTTTTGAAAGAGCTATAATGAGAGTGGGATTTAGGAAACGTTTATTAGCCTATACTGACAACATAGCATCTTTGTTTGTTTGGAGAGCTCGCCAATCCTTGCGAGGACAGCCCATTTAGCTCTTTGGGACATTTTATCATATTTGAGAAAGCAGCGCCTTTCGTTGTTTCTGTGATATTTCGATTCCTACGAGTGCGGTGTTTTCTTTTGTTAGGTCGTTGAAGCACTTTACGGATTCCTGCAAGCGCATCGTCTCCTGCTGTTGTGGTGCTTGATCGATTCTTGTAGGTGCAGCGTCTTTTGTTGTTGAGGCATTTCATCGATTCTTGCAATTGCAGCGCCTTCTATTGTTGCAACCCTTCATCTATTTATGCAAGTGTGGCGTCTTCTGTTGTCGAAGCACATCGATTCTTGCAAGGGCATCGTCTTCTGTTGTTGTGGTACTTCATCGATTCCTGCAAGTGCAGGTGATCAAGTGTTGAGGTGCGTCGTTAAATCTTGCTAGCGCAGCGTGCTTCGTTGTTAAGGCATTTCATCAATTCTTGCAATAGCAGCGTCTTTTATAGGTGGTTGGCATGTTACGTCACGGTTGCCATGTTAGTGGTCAAATACAAAGGAATATTTTACTAGTGCTATTGTGAGCACCAGCCGTTGTGGGTGAGCCTAATTGTTAGACAATTCCCTGGAGGTTGGCTGCAAACCAATAATTGTTGAGGCACTTTATTGTGCTAGTTAAAACAGCGTCCTTTTTGTCGAGGAACTTCAAGAATTCTTGCCAGCGCAGAGTCTTCGGTTGTTGAGCTACTTCCTCGACTATTGCAAATGCATTATCTTCCATTGTATGGAATGATGATTCATTCTTGACAAGTCAGAAATTTCCATTCTTGTCAAATGCAGCATTTTTTTTATTTTACGAGTCTCATGAATACGTAGAGTTGTCAGTTAGCTCAATGTAGATCAGGTAGAAAAATATCAAGAAAAATGCAAAGCGAGAAATTTAAAGACAAAGATGACTGCTATGTATTGAACAAAAAAAAGGGATGCATGACAAAGATCTCAAAGCAATCTATGAGGAAAAGGAAGATTAAATGATGGAAGACAAAAATGACAAACAATCTCAAGACAAAAATGACAAGGCAATGTTGTGAAGAAAAGCAAGATGAAATGATGCAAGACAAAGGTTTCATGAGCTCTATAGCTTTATATATGAATAGTGAATATATTGCGTAACACTCCTGTACATGCATGAAGTTTGAAGATTTCTTGTGACAGGCATAGTTTTTTTACATGTTGCCTTCGTATTATGGGTTTCATTGTTTAACGTGATTGACATGACTCAATTCTCTCTTATTATTTACCTTATCTCCATAAGCTATTGACTAACTTAATTCAGACTGCGATTTAAATAATCTAAAAATCTTGAAAAGTTTTTGGTCGTTGCTTATGACGACCATAGGTAATTTATGAGTAATTGAGTATGTATTCTTGTTGACCAATCTTTACAGTTGGTTTTTGGATACATTACGAGCAGAACGACTTAACACTGAATGGTATAAAATAACACAGAATTTATATGTTTTCTCAATAAAATTTATAACATTATTGATATATTCGCATCATATCTAAATATTTGTGCAATTTGAAACTTTTCGTGTTATCATACTTCTTTTATTTGTTTTGTAGTAAACAAAAAGTACGACGGTGGCGCATTATGATTCATATACTACATGATGCTGATCATAATCGTAGTCATCGTATCGATCAACCCACGGTTGATGTGGTTTACATGTACTTTATGGTTGTCGTGGATATTGTCAAATTAATTTTGGGTCAATCAGTTGAGCCAAAATTGCGTCAATCTACAAATGAACACCAAAGTCGACGTTTCAGGTTTGTGGTGTATTAGTTTAAATACAGGTTATCAACACTAAAAGGAAGAGTGTTGAATATTGGTTGACTTATATAACAAAATGAGTTGTTCTTTTGATTCTTTTCCGTGTTTTTTTTCCTGTTTTCTGCATTGTGCAGTGCTTATTGCGATGAGAACATTTGCCTATAAATGGTGATACATCTTACATTGGCGAGAGCTTTTATCTAACCGTCGTGTAATGTAAGATTATCATCTACAAAGTTAAAGAACCTAAACGGTTTACATGTCAGATGTTGCAAATGTCCGATGTCTGTTTTTCATTTTTTTATCTCCAGGATACACGATCCTAAAAATAAGCAGGGTTTCTTTGGGTTTGGGTCGTGTGGGATTGCATGCTAAAATTAAAAAGAAAATTCCTGTGCATATTTGTGCGACATAGTTCGTAGGTAGATGTTCATATCTGTTATTTCATGCCACTATACTATCACCAGGGTTAGATAACGATGCGCATTCGCTAATAGCGCAGCGGAAAGCGGCCTGAAATTGGCGTAACATGGAGGTTTCGGTTTTTTACAAAGATGCATAATGCGAGAGATAGTTCACAACGCATCCCGCTTGCGTGGTGAAATATGGCAACATATGTAACACATATATACCTACATTACAATTATACTATGTACAACAATCCACAGCAAACTTTACTACGACTGACTAAATGACAACAAATACATGTAATTACATTTCATTTCCTTGAATGATATCCAGTGGACTGATTACAAAACGTGAATAACCCGTTATATGCAGTGGACTCGCCACAAGTCTCATTCATCTGAAAAATACACAAAATGTATATTTTAAAATTGCTCACATTTGACCATGAACAAGACGAACTTCATCGTTCAGAACTCAGAAGTAACAACAAATAAAATAGCGAGTACATCATAAGTATGCTCAACAATTAATTTTTTCGTATTTTAATTATTGTTTAAATGTATATATACGTGTATTACTAAAAAATAGATCTTTGCCCATGGTCTAATAGTTGCTATTTAATAAACAAGCGTCTCGCTAAGTTTTTTGTTAAGATAGTCCTTGGCTGTGACTTCAGCATAGTTTGATGACCCATCAAAGCATTTGATAACAGTTGAATTGTCTGGGAAAACAAAAAACGCAATAGACTGTCTCGAACACAATCGCTTGATTTCTTCATCAGGAACAACAACGCGGTGTTTCTAAACAATTCGTAAACAATATTCAATTAATCGTGATCACGTTAAAATGTTTTGCTAAAATACCCACATCCGTGATGAATTGTCTCAGCTAAACCTTTCTCACTAACGTAAACTCGAAAAGTTCAAGTTCCACCGTTCCTCCCTTAATCTGCTACTGTATAGGTAATACACAATAAAATCACTTAGCTGGGCAACTAAAATTCAATTGATTTGCTGATAATATGAAATGTACAGGAAAATATGAAGGTAGCGATCCTATAGTTAGTCGCCCATACAGTATCACTGGAAATCATAGAGTGATATGGTTTCATTATGAATTGCTTCATAGTTTTCATCAATAGTGGCTTGTCAAACAATGCCATGTGCTGTGATCACATCAAATTTGCATTGAACTTTTAAAATCATAAGCTCTAAAAAAATTCGCTAAACACGTACTGTAGACATGAGTTTATCATTGGTCCATCGTTGAAGAAGATCACCAATATTTACCAATACTGCTCCTTCAATGGGTTTTGCAGAAACAAATCCATTGTTTTGGCTGTAAACCTTATTTAGTGAGATAGTTGGTCAGTACTAAACTACGGTTTTGGCTATATTGAATATGTTAAATCTATGCTGTATACTTAAGCTTGTGGCGATTTTTCTAGTAAATCACATTCAAAAGTATGACGCTTAAGACTGCATGTACTTTACCTCTAATCCACCCACTTGATCCTGAAATAACAATGTTATTGTTCCGTAATCTGTGTGTGATCCCAGCCGTACATCTCCAGATTTCAAGTCATCGTTGAATGGGTAATATAGTAGACGCATTGAAGTATTATTAGTTCTTGCGCTTAACTTTCCGTGAGCTTTTGTAAAAAAATTCTTGTCCTAAAAGTAAAAAAAAACCGTAAACGAAAAAGAAAAAAACTTTGAAAAGCCATTCTTGCCATTAGTAAGCTATTTTCAACATTTTTCTACCACAATATAAGACTTCTTTTATTGCCTATCAATTTACAATCCACATGCATTTTAGAGGAATACCTGAATGTTTAAACCATAAGAAATCAGCTGTAGTATGGCGTGAGATAAGTTTTCACATCTTTCGTAAAAATCTTTTACAATTTCTTGAAATTCTCCACCAGAACCATCCATAGGCCAAGAAACGTTCTCATTATAAGGTTCCACTATATGGTAAGCTTCCTTTAATTCATATAGTTCATTTGGATCAACACTTGATGAAAGAAAATATTCAGCATAAGAGTTTCATAAAACATGTGATTATAATGAATGAATGTATACACTTTTATTTTTTATTGCTTTTCAAATTATTTTCGAGCAATTAACAATGTCGAGGATTTTGAAAAACGTTTTCATAATCTCAAAGAAAAGGCGTCACTGTTTCCTCATTTAAAAAATTGAAGATAGCTTGCAAGGACCGAGGAACAACTTGCTTTTTGCAATCAGCGTCTAAACAAAGCTTTTACTTACATTTGTCTTCCTGGCGCTAGCCATCCATGATAATTGTTATCTTTAGTTAACACCGCCGAAAACTTTTCCTTTTCTTTCGAAGGTAAAAGAAAGAACCTCTTAGCCACATTGAATAAATGTAATACCTGAAAGAATGGAGTTTGTATCTTCTTCATATGAATGAAGTAAAGGTGAATGAATATAAACGTGTCTAATTTAAAATGTTTAAATTATAAAAATGTAGCTTGAGAGAGGGTTTACAAAGGAGTAAACACTCAGTCATGACACAAAACAAGTATAATAAACTCTATAAAATAAACACCTTCTACTGTGATACTATATTTCATTATTGCCATGTGTAAATCACAGCATGAAACTAGTATTGCGTTGATAAATTATGCACATAAAGATGTAAAAAAACCATAATTTTTACCTTGTCGTTAGGAATGCCATGGTTCTTTATGTACAAAAAACCCACTGTTGTAAAAGCCTGATAAACTTGATCAACTAAATTATTAACTTCTAAGCTTTCACATTCATCTATTCTTCGAGATTGTAAACAAGCAAAATCTACCACGGCGATCTCCGCCATTTTAAAACGAGCTGATATTGTAAACTCATTAAAATATAAACAGTTTAATAACCTTTTGTCTTTTGTTATCGAGTTTATTCGGCTCATGTTACTACCAAAGGCCCAGAACCAACCAATCGTAATCTTCGTTATTACTTTAATTTGTCACAGTGTTTCAAATAGTATATTATCATTGTTATCATTGTACATTTGTAACAAATGCAGTTACCCTTTTGCCTAACTTGTAAATTTTTAATAATTTAACATATTTAACTGGAATAGATGCAAATGACAAAAAATTTGTTTTCATGATGTAGGATCACATTAACAATCCCCGAAAATTGGCCATTCCAAAGTAGGTGGCAGGAGCCTAGTTCGGAATGGCTTACCTATTGCTTAACTTCATTATTTAAATTAGAGAGCGAGGGAACTCTTTAATTTAATGCGAATAAGCAAAAACCCACTGCTATACATATTTTGCACGTGTTTTTTACTAAGATGTTGGAAAACGCAAATGTATATTTTGCAATAAAAAATCGTTACAGATCATCTGAAAGCACTGAAGAATTGACTGTCAAAAGTGTTTGAAAATGAAATATTTGATTTTAAAAACGAAGTAAAGTATCTAAAATAGCCAGCTACACTTACGGTAAAAACGGCCATGTCAGATCACACCATTCTTTGTTCTCCGAATCTGAAAGAGAAGGCTAAAGAACGTGTAAATGTCAGGACAATAATGAATACACAAATACCCATGTGCTCTGTCGTCTTCTTGATCTTCGTGTTCTGCCATCTTTTTCATCTTCGTGCTCTGTCATCTTTTTCATCTTTGCGCCCTGCCATCTTTTTCATCTTTAAGCCCTGCCATCTTTTACATCTTTGCGCTCTGTCGTCTTTTTCATCTTCGTGCTCTGTCATCTTTTTCATCTTTACGCCCTGCCATCTTTTTCATCTTTGCGCCCTGCCATCTTTTACATCTTCATGCTCTGTCGTCTTTTTCATCTTCGTCCTCCGAATCTGAAAAAAAGTCTGAAGAACATGTAAGTAGCCTGACAAAAACCAATACACAAATACCCATGTCCTCTGTCATCATTTTGATCTTCTTCCTCCGAATCTGAAAAAAAGTCTGAAGATTAAGTCAATAGCACAAGAACAACAAAAAAAACGAACATATGATTTTGTTTTATTTTTTCTGCATTAGAAAGAGAACTAGAAGAAGAAGTTAGTAGAACAAAAAAGAAGCAAGCAAACGCATACCGTTGTCCTCTTCATGAACGTTTTCTTGACAGCTCTGTAAATGTAACAATAATTTCTAAATTGGCTTTATAACAAGCATTTCGCCCAAATGGCATCCTTATTTTGTATCAAGTCAGTGCTTGCAGAAGATCTGTTTCAACAACCATTAAAAATTACTGTGAACTCTAAATGCAGTTTGTAAAAGAAATTCCTGAAATATACCATTTACGATGGGGTAGAAACATCTCACATGCATGCAACGCATGTCAATGCAAATTAATGTTACGTTTGAAGGGTTTTTACTCAATGTTATAACATCCTTCGATGTTATAACAGAATTTTACACAATGTTATAACATCCCTCAATGTTATAACAGAATTTTACGCAATGTTATAACATCCCTCAATGTTATAACAGAATTTTACACAATGTTATAACATCCTTCAATGTTATAACAGAATTTTACAAAATGTTATAACATCCCTCAATGTTATAACAGAATTTTACACAATGTTATAACATCCCTCAATGTTATTACAGAATTTTACACAATGTTATAACATCCCTCAATGTTATTACAGTGTACTACAAACTTCCTCGATGTTTTAAAGTGTTTTGTTTGTGGATCCATTTAAGCACTTTAAAGTAAACACTTAATGAAAGATTCTACAGCATTCTGCCAGCATGCTGTAGCAACTTCCTTAATTAATTTATGGTATATCAAATTATCGTTTTCACATTCAGTAATTCTTACAGGTTAACTGAATCGAACAGACTACTATACGATTCTTTAATGTTATAGAAGAAACATTCGATCAGTTAACATTCAAAATGTCTCCCTTTAAACAAATAGATGATCTCCCAAAGAAAAAGTTAGTATTGTTATTTCTAACATCGGCCGTTTGTTAGAAATAAGCACTAAGTAAAAATAGTTTTGCTCTATATATCATGATCACAGTGTCAAAATACACTTGACTGGAAAAACAAAACAATGTTTGCACAATTATAGTTTCCTGTACGTCGGTCAGTCAAATAGTCAATGACGGCGACAGGAGACGAAGTTTCTTCTAAATAGTTATTCAATCTCTCATAAAACGACTTGTTCTCTACAAATATAAAAGTAAATGATAAAAATGAATATTGTATTTTAAATCGCAATATTATGAGCATGCTTGGCTGAATTTGCGTTATCTTAAATTCCCCGCAGCATTTTGACTCCCAGATTTGTTAGTCAAGGATGGTCCGTGATTGTTTTTTTACCATTTTCATATTTGATTTGGTTCTGCTAAAAATGATATATTTTTCTCGTGGTTTACCGATCGCTTCTCTAGCCTTTTTCTTCTTGATGTCTTGTTACTCTGAATTGCAAATCTTGTAATTAACATTTTGTGAATTATCCCATTTGGCTTTCCATAAGTGATGGTTATGTTTTAAGAGCAATCTTTTGCCATTAATAGGACAGTTTCCAATACCAAAGTTAAACATCAAGATTAATGATGGAGATGTTGATTGTACCATTCACGAAGCCGTTATGATACGACGAAATTGTTTAATCTTAAATACCGTGGTTTTTACACTGAAAACTTTAATCTGCTATGTGCATGGTGTGCAAATCACCCGAGAAATGGTAATTGCCTCTCTGTTGAATACATCGATTGTTTTTGATGCGTTTGTGTAGAGACTTTTTTGTGACGGCATGTATTTCTTTGTTTGTGAGTAACTAGTGAGTTTGTATTGAAATGAACATTGTCAATGTATTGTTTCTAGGCTCATTTTAAACGTCGAACTTTACATGAGCCGAATGCATTTAAAACAAAAGATAATGCAGAAGAATCTCATTATCTTTTGTCTTTAATGCGTTCGGCGCATGTAAAGTGCGACGTTTGAAGTAAGTCTAAACTCTTAAGTATAGGGTAATTAACTTTTTACGAAAACTTTCTTTTGAAATGCACACATTCAAACAAAACAAAATTCCCGAATGGAAAATTTCAAAAGAAATCTGTTCCAGAAATGTGCAACTGTGGGACTTGACGATGGTTATGAGTCGATGGTTATAACTGTCGAAACTTCATGTAAGCTTATCTAGGTAAAAAATTCAAAATGGCGGATAACTTAATCATAGAAAGCAATCAATTCAGTAGTAATGTTGACGAGAAACATTTTGATATCGTTGCCTCAGCCTTGAGAAAAAGTTGCCTAAATGATGATGAATTGAAAGATTACTTTGAGTTAGAAAGATGTTTTAAGTGCATTACAAAATTTGAGATGCAATCGTTTGGAAATAGTAAAGATGATTTAAACAGCGATATTTTTGTGAAGGTAGAAAGATAGACTAACTTAGTTACTGTGGATAGTGAAATTATAAGAAATAATACAAAATTTTATTTGGTACAATTGATTTACAACCTATACCAAGAAGCCTTTTAGCCGCGTTAAGAATTGAATAAGAAGTTTTAACTGTTATTTCATTGTCGAGATACATCCATCATGCATGCATAGTTTGATAGCCACGTATGTCTAGTGATCAACAGAGATTTTTATTTCACAATACCATTTCACGCCAGGAGCATTTTTTTTGTGATGCAGGAATAATTTTGCTGTGCACACGCACTGAAGATCTAGTCAAAAAATTACATATTTTTCAGTTTAGCTTGATGATTTTCTTTATCAACCATAGGTAGGCCTTCAGTTTCCTGATCATATGTTATGTAATTCAGCAAGAGTTGCTCAACTAATTGAAGAAAATGTGAAATGTAAAACATACATCATGGCTGACACCACTTATGGAAGGTAAATGAACGATAATGCTCATTAACATTTTTCTTCCTTTGTTTTTTGTTGATCTTGTAAAATTTATAAATTGTTTTGTATTGTTTCTATTAGTTGTTGTGTTGATAAAATAGCAGCTGAACATATCAAAGTAGACTTCATAATTCATTTTGGTTCAGCATGTCTCAGCAGGTTTGTAAAATACTTACATAAAATCTTGCTACATATGTAGCAATGTGCTTTATCTTTGATTATTTTTACAATCAAAACCTGTTTTAAATATTAGAAAACAGTTAAATGCTTTGTGAAAAATCATTATGCTATTAATGATAAACTTACATTTTTGTTTCTTTAGAACAGATAGTATTCCTGTCATTTTTGTTTTTGGTAAAGAAAAAATAAATATTGAGGAATGTTGTGTGGCCTTTCGTCATTGTTTTGAAGATAAAAGTACAAAAATTATACTTGCTTATGATGTTGTTTATCATCATTCAATTGGTAGGTTGTTTAACATATTATCATTAATTGCATAAAAGCACTATTGTTAATGTGCATTTGACGTAAACAATGAGTTTTTAAAAATGTATCTATATGTGATTATTTACTCTTACTGAAAATGGCATCATGTTGATTTTCAAAAATATTATCACTTGTATTATCATATTTCTTTTTTATTAGATCAAATATACACAAAGCTTTCTTCTGAATATAAATCACTGATTCCATCTCGAGTCAAAGGCTGTGATAATTTCATTATGAAAAGTAGATGTTGCAACACTGAAAATTTTCCCCTCAACAATAGCAATGAAGTTTATGATTCTTCATTTAATGATGAGTGCAATGAAAATATTTCTCATTTTGGGTATGTACAACAAACAAAGAACATGAACATTCTTTACACTACCTAAAATATAAACTAAGATAACGTGTGTCAATGTAGGTAGTGATGAATGAACAACAGAGAAAGAGAACATTCTTTACACTACCTAAAATATAAACTAAGATAACATGTGTCAGTGTAGGTAGTAATGAATGAATAACAGAGAACAAGAACAGTCTTTACACTATCTAAAATATAAACTAAGATAATGTGTGTCAGTGTAGGTAGTAATGAATGAATAACAGAGAACAAGAACAGTCTTTACACTATCTAAAATATAAACTAAGATAATGTGTGTCAGTGTAAGCAGTGGTGAATGAACAACAGAGAACGAAAACAATCTTTACACTCCCTAAAATATAAACTAAGATAACATGTGTCAGTGTAGGTAGTGATGAATGAACAACAGAGAACAAGAACAGTCTTTACACTATCTAAAATATAAACTAAGATAACGTGTGTCAGTGTAGGTAGTGATGAATGAACAACAGAGAACGAGAACAATCTTTACACTACCTAAAATATAAACTAAGATAACATGTGTCAGTGTAAGTGGTGATGAATGAACAACAGAGAACAAGAACAATCTTTACACTACCTAAAATATAAACTAAGATAACGTGTGTCAGTGTAGATGAAAGAATCATTTATAAAGAGAACAATAAGCTATTGTTCATAACTTTCAAATTCATAAGTTTCAGATTTGGTCGCGAATTCAATCTAGAAGATGGTTGTTCTGTTGATGATTACGTCGTTTTCTATATTGGAAAAGAAAGTTTGACATTAACCAATCATATGATGACTCTCAACAAATGTGAGGTAAAAATAGGTTTTTATGCAGCTTTCTGTAAACGTTTTCGAAAGTTTTTGGTACTGTATCAATTTGTAGATTAATATTTTAATTAACTGCAGTAGAAACGATTCATTTGAATTTTCTGATTACTTAGTTTTATTCTTATGATCCCGAGATGTCAACATGTCGTAAAGAAACTTTGAATGTAAATCGTCATCTCATGAAAAGGTATAAAGAAACATCAAATGCGATTATTTTCCAGCTATTTTTCCTAGCTATGGTTATTTTCATTTTGTCACAGTTTAATTGCACTTTTTATAATTGGTTAATCTCTCTATTACTACTTAATTTATTCATAAATTGCAAATATTGTCATTTATATTCTTATTTTGTAACTTTATTTATACCATTATTCTGAAGATTACGTGCGTTGCGACGACAAGTGAATAAAATTTTTTCATTGCACTATTATATTTTACAATGGAAATTCGTATCATTGTAATAAGCTGGACTCTAATGTTCATTATAAGATTACGTTTCCCGCCGGGAAAAATCTATCGACACTGTACTTTGTATTATATTAAAGCAATGCGTTGATATATTTGAAAGGTACTATCTCATTGAAAAGGCAAAAGACGCTCAAACTGTTGGAATACTTGTTGCTACAATAGGAATTGGTAAATTGAAGTTGAATTTTTATGTATCATCTTGGGACTGGAAAAAGCAAAATTTTTTTCATATACATTCATGAAGTAGCAGTTGATTTGTGGTTTCTTCTAATCATCTTTTTCAATGGGTAGTTAACTCTTTGCAAATCCTCAAAAGAATCAAAACAATTTTACGCAAATGTGGAAAAAAGGTATTTTATTCTGTAATTATTCTGTTCATTTTGTTGTGAATGCTGAAGACTTTTATATTCTTAGTTTTATACATTTGTGGTTGGAAAAATCAATGCAGAAAAGCTGGCAAACTTTATGGAAATCGACATATTTGTGATAATTGCCTGCCCAGAAAATAGTTTAATTAATTCTCAGGTATCTACCGCAGTTACAATATAAAAATCCCATGTATGTGTTTGCTTGTGTGATGATGTCAACTATATAACACAACAATAGTCGTGAATGTTGCTTAAATTTGGCACAATCTTTTGTGCTTTAGGAATTTTATAAACCAGTCATAACACCTTTTGAAATTGAAGTTGCTTGTACAAGGTAGGTTCATTATGTTATTTGTCACAAAATACTTTAAAATATCCAATAGTCATATTTAACTTAGTGCTTTTCTTTAATTGCGTGATGATGTATTTTAGGGCAAGGCAATGGACTGGTGAATATATAACAGATTTTCAAGAACTTTTACCAGGTTGCTTTATTGAGTAATTTTCATCTGCCTTGTAGAGTTCAGTGACTTTAAGTCAACGAACTGTTTTTGAGGATTGTGATTGTCTTGAGTTTATTCTTTTATACATTGAGTAAAATGTTGGTTGTGTATTTAGGTGCTGCAAGTCATGTGAATATAGAAGATCAGGTAATTTTTTTTATTTATTCACCTGTATCTATTTCATTTTATTCTATAATCATTTCATTAAAATTAGTTTAGATGGTTTTTCTTAATGGAAATCATCGTTCAATTGTAGCTATAGTCACTATAGTATAATTTTATGTGCAGGTGTAAAAATTATTCCTTGTACAAAAGGTCCAAGGCCAGACGACGTTTTTAACGAATATTTTTCTTGGATACATGCAGTTTTGTAATAAGTGAAAAAAAATTTTGTGTTTTCATTATACGACCTATGGAAAAAAGTAAACGGGAAAATTTTATTTGAAAGAAATCAAATAATGACAAATGTACTTTTAAGGTCAATTCATATTACAATTAAAAATGGCCTTGGCTGTAATATACTTCGGAATATCTTTGGTTCCATAGTTTAATCAACTCATACCTCGTTGCTGCATTTATGCCATTTTGCCCTATACTTTAGGAGAGTGAATTTGATGTTCCTGACATGTCGTTGATTTCTGGCCATCTACGTCCTAAGCGTTCACAAAAGGGTAAGTAAGATTTTTTCATCTGTCGACTTGTGAAATTCATGGTGACGTTTTACAATGTTTGAATAGATTCAGATATAAACATTGAAAAATCTACTGCTCTGGCTGCTCGAAATATGAATGCAACATTATCTTGTCATCATTCAGCTGCAGGTTGGTAGTTATTTTATTCAATAAAATAAGTTGATTGTTTTTATCCCAATCCTATACAGCTTAATTAAGATCAAACTCTTTGTTTCTATTGGTAAATCTTTTTATTTTTTGAATCGTTTGAGAAAAACCCTCTCTTCTACTTCTCCAATAGACTCCATTGTTTTACTAACTTTCTTACTTCGACATAGTTTGCGTAAATTATATTTGACGCATGGGCCAAACAAAACGAAGTGCATTCGAGATTTTTTACTTTTAGCGGAATTTCTCGCCCAGCGCTCTTGGAAAGGTCTGGAAATAAAAAAAGGTGAAACACAAGTGAGCAAAGCGATCGAAGGAAGAAATGGGATTGCAAGCTCTTATACTCATGAAACTGGGCATAGTTCTGGTGCAGAGTATTCTGATGAAGATAACTTGATGGGTGCGAATAGACTGAAACAATCTGAATGTTGTGAATTGATGGCAACCCGACTAGTCTCAACTCAGACAACTTGATTGGTCGAATGGAAACTATTTAAATTGTTGGAAAATGATTGCTTTATAATATATATATTATGGATGAAAAACAGTGGATTTTTTATTCTTTATTTAGACCTGCATTTAGCTATGGATTTAGCCAGTTCAAATCAATGGTTAACGTTCAAGCATCCAGGTTAAGTTGAGATCAGTGGTATGGTTTTCTTTTGACGAAATCGAAGTTTATGTCATCCGGTTTATGTTGCAATCTTGGCAACGCTAATGCAATTACTGAAATATGGCGTTAATTAAAATTGTGTAATTTGCGACAAATCAATGGCTTAGTCGCAATATTCTTGTGAAGATTTATTGAACTCTATTTTCCTTACTGAATAGACATAATTATAACTTCTTGAAAAATATTTCCCATTGGAATTAATGAATGGCAATTTCCGTCCAAAACTGTTTGTCACACAGGAAGAATGGTAACAGGATTGGTCTTAAGATGGTGTACTTTGATAGTTTTGTGTGTTACAAATATTAATATTATTTTTCAGTGAATGATATTCCTTCTTTTAAATATTCTATTAGAAATTACTATTTTTACGTTGTGTAATGTAATTTTTTATACACATATTTTGTAAATGCTTTGCTCTCCTTGCAAAATTTAATTGCTTGTGAACATATGATCAACAGTGTAATATCAGTTTGTGATTGTCTATGTATACTGAAACTTATCTTTACTCTGAGTCATATGAGTCATAAGAAATTTTCTTAGAGGGGGTTATATCTCCATTTTGTAAATAGTGATTTTCCATTTCCTGCTGAGGACATTTTCCTAATAAACATTCTAGCTATGACCCTGCAGACAACATCCACATGACACATCCACATTAATTGGTGCTTTAGTTCATGGTCTTATGTTTAAGTTTTGCAAAAGTGTAGCTCTTCAAAAGGATAGATTACATTACTCGAGCAACATTAAAATTATTATAACATTCAATAATTACATTATTTTAGGTTGTGATAATCTTTTAAAAAATGAGTGAAAAACGAAAAATTGGTCCATGGATTGAAAGTGGTTACCTGGGCCATGGAACTTTTGGAATGGTTCGGCTGTGGTACAATGAGGTATTTAAACTGGTTTCTGTTTACACTATTTTACATTCAACCTTATCATCAAGCAACATGGTGCATATGATCTATTGTCAGTCTGTTTCTATAGTTCATACACTTTTATGGCAATAGGCTATAACTTGCATATTTTTTTATTTGTAGCATACAAAACAGCAAATAGCTCTGAAAACATGTCGTAATGAGCCACCATTATCTGAAAAGAATCGTGAGAGATGGCGACAGGAAGTTCAGTTTCTCAATCACATTAACCACCCAAATATCATTAAAACCATAGAATTACCTCCAGAACTAGCACAAGATGAGTTGACTATAGGAAGTGGTTTACCAGCCTTGTGTATGGAGTATTGTGAAGGAGGTGATCTTCGTAAGGTATTTTATTTCATGGGCATGTTGCAAGCATGTCTAAACAATTAATAAAATTATTTAAAATGAAATATGTTATTTCTTCAATAATTTTTCGTTTGAAAAGTTTGTAGTAAAGCATATATTAAATAGTAGATACCATGGCTTAAATGTGTATATTTATTTTAATTAGAATTTTAACGTTTCAGTTTTAGTCCAAAATGTTGCATGAAATGTCACAATATCTTTAAATGCAATTTTGTATTTTTCATAAAGTTTGAAAGCCTTAGAAAATATGAAAATTATCATATTTACAAAATTTCATTTCCAAAATCTTACTATTTTGATGAAACTTCATCCAACCTATTTTAAAAACTAGGCTTTCACGTATTTTTTGGTTTACTAAATCTTAAAGTTTTAAAATAAAACTATTCCTGATATGTGCGCCAGTTTGCAACTTTAGCTGTGTATGATATCTTTTTCTTCATCTTTGATGCATTATTAAAATGGCAGTTGTCTTACAAAAATTTAATATTTTGGTTGTCGTAGACACTGTGTACGTCTGATAATTGCTGTGGCTTGAAGGAAGGGATGATTATTCGTGTTTGTGAAGATATTGGTAAGACGTAATTTCTGGTGAAATTTTGATTATTTTCATTCATTATCGTCTGAAACAAAACTTTTTCCCGACTAAGACTCTTTACAAATTAAACGGTTTATCCCGAGAGTATCGTTACATGTTTGTAGATTTAGATCGTCCAGGTTAGTAAAGTCCTGAGAAGGACTGTTGTTGTTGTTGTTGACTGACTAAGGTTGTCGAAACGTCAGTCAACAACAACAAAAACAGTCCTTCTCAGGACTATACTAACATGGACGATCTACATCTACAAACATGTTAGACTCTTTCCTTTATTCAAATTTAAAGAAGCTTCGTGTTATTTACTTTCGTAATTCGTTCCTTAAGAGGTTGTAATGAACTGACGCGAGTTACTTTTCCAATCTTTCAGCAAGTGCTATTGAATGTCTTCACAAAGCTAAAATTGCACATCGCGATTTGAAACCGGAAAATATTGTGATTTGTCCTGGCAAGAATCGAGTAAATCCATTTAGAATTTTTTCTGAGTATATTTTGTCATTATTTTAACGACTATAATTTAACCATTACATTCTCGAACTGTCAGATAAAACAAATATTCACAAATATTCCATTAGTTTTCAACTGTTTTGTGTCTAAAATTTCAAATACTATTACATTGACATCCATATTTTTAGAATACATACAAAGTCATAGATTTGGGTTATGCAAAGCAAGCAGATCCATCTGGAGTTTGGCATTCTTTCGTTGGAACAAGATATTACCTTGTAAGTACTCGCTAACAGTATTAGTTTATGATATTTTGCCTTAAAATACGTGCATTGTTCATCATTTTTTCATAGGCACCTGAAATTCTAAGTCAGAAAGAGTACACCCTTACGGTATGTTTTTACATATTATTTTTATATGTATTAATTTTGATGTATGAACTAGAGAAAAATGCAAAACAGAAAACAATCTTACATTGTATCAATATTTTAAACTAAGATAACGTGTGTCAGTGTAGGTAGTGATAAATGAACAACAGGGAACGAGAACAATTTTTACACTATCTAAGATAACGCGTGTCAATTTTGGCAACCTCGTAGTTAGCGTTGAATAACGCTAGAATAAAATAACATTAGAGAATTAGAACCCTGAAATATAAAATAAATGAACATTTGTCAGTGATGGATGAAACCTTATGGTGGATAGTGTACTTCTTAGGTCGATCTATGGAGTTTTGGCATTCTTTTGTACGAATGTTGTACTGGACTTCGACCATTTCCACCCAAATTTCAAGGATTATTGGAAAATAAAGAACGCGAATTTATTGCTGTAAAAGAAGAAGCGGATGGTATATTTTGAAACCGAGAATTATAAATATGTAGAAAATTAGTTTTGTAAGACCAAATTGTTAGTGGTATAAATCATTGTTCATTGCACTCTTTTTACGATAGTTCAATTTGTTTTGTACAGATATGTTTGTGTGCTGTGACAAATTACCAGAAGTGAATCGATTGAATTGGTAAACTAAATGTTCAGTTATTCTTTCATTTTCATGTCATGCATTATATCATATTTAGTGTTTAATAGTGTTCTAAGGGATAAGTTTGAGAAGCTGCTTCGTTTGTTACTTGATGTAAATCCCTTACGTCGTGGAATACTTACAATAGAAACTGAAACAATATCATGGCAGGACTGCATTCGCGACATTCAAAATACCAAGGTAGATATATTTGAACAATCCTATATAAATTTCATCAATTGTTTTTCTTCCAACTATATAGTAAACCTTACATACGTACCTATCTATACTTTTTCGTGAATACTAAGCAAATAAAAGTAGGTGAATCTTCACCGGTTGTAACATGAAATGTGAACACATGAATTGGAGATATAGCTTTCATCATACTGTATAAAGTTGTTATAGAAAATCTTGTTAAAAACCTCACTGTTAATGTAAGATGATGCAAATGTGTATAGTTTGACGGCATCTTTTGAGCGAATATTAAATGAAAACGTGTAATATTTTGAACTGCGTTTTTTCCTTTTTACGTCACTTCCGGCACGATGTCACTTAAGTCTAGCCCCAAAAAACCCATAAAGATCAAATTTTCGTTGTATCAAATATATTGTAAATGTTCTTAAAATCAATTGAATTATCTAAAGAAGCTATTACCCTGACCCTTATATCTGTATTTTTAACAACTGAGACTCGTGTTTGAGCTACCATCACTTTTTTCAATTTTTTTTCTGTCAAGGTTGTTGAAGTGTTTTCCATTGACCAACGCAAACAATATGTGTACGAAATCACTCTTCATCTGAGGTTAGAAATCACTAAAATGTCAATCTATGCTCCTTCGACCTATTAAGGCGTATATTAGCGTTTTTGAACCACCAATTACATTGTTAAAATGTAGTGAAGTGAAGGAAATAATCAAATCAACGAGTAAAGGCATTTCATAATTCATTTCTTTTGCTTGAAGTCGCCGCAAGTTTTTGGAAAAATTGCTTTCCAAATGGATTGTTGTTTAAATGAAGAAATTACGAATTATATATACAATTCAATGTTTTTATTTGTTTTAGTTTGAGTGAACTAAAACATAGGATTGAGAAGGATACAAGCATACCGGTTCGTGATCAAGAGCTTTTTATCCATGATGGTAGCGATCTATCCACAATTAATACAATAAACGATGTAAGTTTTGACGTTTGTTTTTCTTCGATGATTAACGATGTTTAAGTAAAAAACAGATTTTTGTTTAGAAGATGATCTGTTTTTGATTTAGAATCTCACCGTATTTATGTTTAATAAAGTTTTTGATCCAAAGTTGAACATACTACAAGAGAATGATGTACCCAGCACCTTAGCAGACATGTGTAAGAAAATAATATTCACGCTTTTTATGGAATAATATTGACGGAGTGGATAAATTGTCAACATTTTCTTATTTTATTTTGTAACAAACAGTAAATGACCCTGACGGATTTTCAAAACGTTCTGTGGTATGTTTAGTACACATTTTTTTACCATTTTATCATCTGTTCAAATTAACAATATTCATCAATCATTAAGAAATGTCACAAGGAAGTCTACAAGCACAGTATCTTCTTCATTCAAAAGCAAATTGCTAATACTGTTTCTTTAATACGTGGTCGTAAGGCACTTGTGTAAGTAAGTGAGCTTCGAAAGGATGTTTTTTATGAAAGATTCACGTTTTATCTTCTTTCTTCATGTCAATTTGTCTTCAATTATTTGCGAAGAAACGTAGCTATGTTTCTTCTTATAATTTCATTCACTTTTCATTTATATATATTGTGTATATAGAATTCGTTTGTTGCAATGGTCCCGTGAGGAATTCACTTTGAGATGTGAAAAGGTTGGCCAAAAAATGACAGAACTTAAGTCCGTTGTTTCTTTCTTTCAACAAAGGTATTGGTTTCGTTGAGCTTACATAAACTGTGACTAAATATAAGGTTTGATGACTCATCTTTTTAAATAACTCCTTTTTGCATGAATCCACCTTTCCGACAGTAGACACACGTGTCAAAAATACAAGATCAAATTACAAAATTTGGACAATCAAATGGTCGGACATACTATTGTTTATGTAGAATAATGGCAATAAAATGGTAAGGAGATGCTTTTGAGTTTTGGGGCATTTGAAATTTTGAAAACAAAAAATATGGTTTCGGTCCATGCCTCCTGATGACCCGAGATAGTTGAGCACTAGAGCGTCGCATGTTAACTAAGGAAACTAGATAATCCTTGTTTGCCATGTAGCCCATGGATGGTTTGCTCGTGATACATGAGAAACAGTAAACGAGAGAGTTAAATCAGATAGATATAAACCAATATAAATTGTATAAAACATGTTCAAGGTTGTCTTAAATTTTAAGTGCCGGAAAAAGGCACAGTGTCAGAAGAAGTTAATTGAAACATTGCTTGGTTTATTTTATGAGAAGAGAAGAACAAAAAGATACAATTCGAAAGCAAAAAACCCCGTTTTCGGGCCATGCTTCCCGATACCTCCTTAAGCGTGTTAACGTTTCGGTAGGAGATTTCGGCCCCTCCACGCTATCCTACTTGGGAGATGCAATAGCAACCTTCCGCCCATCAGACCCCGAGATCACCTGCGATAGGCTTTACTCGGGGTACGCAGTGAGAGTGCGGTCGCGACCCGAAACGTCTGGACCCTAAGCCACTGCATACATATCGCACCCAGCTTCCACTGCTAGTTGACATCTACTATGCCTAGTATTGGCTTTATATATATATACAAAAATTCAAAGGCTTACGAAAGTTGTGGGATTATTAAAGTCCCTACTGCGCATGCTCAGATGGTTTCTTTGATAAATTGCGACTAAGAGAGCTAATTGCCGCCAATGTAGTGCAAGTACATATAGTTAGTCGTTGCCATGACTATGAACAATTAGTCAAGTGGACTGCGCATGCTCTTGCGCATGCGCAGATGATTTCTCCATTAAATTGTTACTAACCATTGTCTTTACTTCAAAATCGGTTCTAGTAGATGCAGTTATTCATTGCCATGACCATGAACTTGGGCAGCTTGTCAAGTCGACTGTGCATTTCCGAGGAGACTGCGCATGCGCCGTTCATTTATCTGAAAATTTGTGACTGAGCGAGCTAATTACTCCAATTGTAGGTACTAGTACATACAGTTGGTCGTTGCCATGACCATGAACTTGGAGAGTTGGTGGAGGTGACTACACATGCTCAGATTAATTCTCAATTGATTTGTGACGGAGCGAGCTCTTAAATTGCAACTTGTACATGCGCTTAGCAAATGATCATGTATTTTTGGCACGCTCTTTGTGTTCTTAACCTTGTTTTGACAAATGCATGCTATGCATTGATTTGTGATGCATGGAGTGTGCAACTTTGTGCTTTGACAAATGCATGTTGACAAATGCATGTGTTATGCGTGCACTCGTAATATCCGCGACAATGTTAGAAATGCTTTTATTTTTCTCTATAACTTTTTATCTGCATATATATTGCATGTCATATCCAAGCTTTCCTTTGAGTTGACGTAAGATGTGTTTACCACAGGAAAGGTGGATTGTACAAGTTAGATATTATACCTATTACGTAACATTCCATTTCATTTTAATAAAACTTCTTCCTACTTACTTGTTTAGCCTTCACACTGATTTAAAAATTTATGAACATAAGCATCCTGCTTGGGAAAAATGTGTCAAGAACGATCTTATGGACTTTGAAGCATGGAAACAAGTTGAGAAAAAAATGAATGTTGAAAAAATATTTGTAAGTTTTGATGACGTATGATATTTTACTCGTCATTGACTCCTTTTGGGATATTTTAATTGTCTTTTTTTATGGCAAAAGTGTGTTAGTATAGTAAGAAATGAATAACATAAGAGCAAGAACAATCTTTGCACTAGAATTGAACAACAGAGAACGAGAACAGTTGTAACTAAACTACAAATATAAACTAGGATAACGTGTGTCCATGTAGTTAACTTTGAATAAACAACACCCAATGGCTTTTATTACATCATTTACAATAAACGAACAATCCTTGATTTTTACCTGAACAGGAGGAGGCACAAAAAATTTTTCAAAGAAGAAATGAGCTCCAAGCCAAAATAACCACAATTAAGAATAATGAGCGTGGCAGCAAAACTTCTGATTCATCAAGGCAGCAATTAAATAAACGGTTAGACTTGTGTATTTGATTAGAAATAAAGTATATAGCTCCTGTCTGTTTTTGTGATCACTATTGAGCATCTGCATTTTACTTTCTCTCTATAAGTTGAAAGAAAGGGAAATATTTTGTGCATCTGGTTATGATCCTTTTTTAGAATTAACTTTGATTGTTTCTTTGCGTTTTCAGAGCAAATGAAATTCAGTCCAGATATGAAGAGCTGAAAACTTGTGTTAAGAAAGTAGATTGTAAGTGAATACTTAAACAATTATTTTACCTTGCATTAATATATTTTCTGCGTTTTTTCCACAAAAATATTTGGTTTAATATTAAAAAAGATAACATTGGAAGTTTGCGTGAAACAATCAAAATGGTTTTAAAAGAAGTAGAAAAGATCAATGAAGAATTTTACAATTTTTTGAGGTAAACTAAGAATTTTATTTTAGATGCTTCGCTAAAATAATATTCAAATTATTAAGTGCATCTTTTCATTATTCATGTTGAGATTTCTATATTTTTATATCACAAATAAATTTTAGACAGCTGTTAATCTTACGAAAGGATTTGGAAATATTTATTCCTGATTTGAACAATCTCAATGAAAAGATGAACGAGTTACGACAAAGTATGCAACAGGTATAATCAACATGTTTCATACATTATCTTAGTTTGTGTTTCGTTGTAAAGGCTTTTCTCTTTCTCTGTTGTTCATTCATCACTACCTACATTGACACACTTTATCTTAGTTTATATTTTAGATAGTGTAATGACTGTTTTTGTTCTCTGTTGTTCATTCATCACTACCTACATTGACACACTTTATCTTAGTTTATATTTTAGATAGTGTAATGACTTTTTGTTCTCTGTTGTTCACCTACTGACACACATTATCTTAGTTTATATTTTAGATAGTGTAATGACTGTTCTTGTTCTCTGTTGTTCATTCATCACTACCTACACTGACACACGTTATCTTAGTTTATATTTTAGATAGTGTAATGACTGTTCTTGTTCTCTGTTGTTCATTCATCACTACCTACACTGACACACATTATCTTAGTTTATATTTTAGGTAGTGTAAAGACTGTTCTTGTTCTCTGTTGTTCATTCATCACTACCTACATTGACACACGTTATCTTAGTTTATATTTTAGATAGTGTAAAGACTGTTCTTGTTCTCTGTTGTTCATTCATCACTACCTACACTGACACACGTTATCTTAGTTTATATTTTAGGTAGTGTAAAGACTGTTCTCGTTCTCTGTTGTTCATTCATCACTACCTACACTGACACACGTTATCTTAGTTTAAATTTGAGGTAGTGTAATGACAGTTCTCGTTCTCTGTTGTTCATTCATCACTACCTACACTGACACACGTTATCTTAGTTTATATTTTAGATAGTGTAAAGACTGTTCTTGTTCTCTGTTGTTCATTCATCACTACCTACACTGACACACGTTATCTTAGTTTATATTTTAGATAGTGTAAAGACTGTTCTTGTTCTTTGTTGTTCATTCATCACTACCTACACTGACACACGTTATCTTAGTTTATATTTTAGGTAGTGTAAAGACTGTTCTTGTTCTCTGTTGTTCATTCATCACTATCTACATTCGTTATCTTAGTTTATATTTTAGATAGTGTAATCTGTTCTTGTTCTTTGTTCATTCATCACTACCTACACTGACACACGTTATCTTAGTTTATATTTTAGGTAGTGTAAAGACTGTTCTCGTTCTCTGTTGTAACTGATCTTAGTTTTCGTTCTCTGTTGTTCATTCATCACTACCTACACTGACACACGTTATCTTAGTTTATATTTTAGATAGTGTAATGACTGTTCTTGTTCTCTGTTGTTCATTCATCACTACCTACATTGACACACTTTATCTTAGTTATATTTTAGATAGTGTAATGACTGTTTTTGCTCTATGTTGTTCATTCATCACTACCTACACTGACACACGTTATCTTAGTTTATATTTTGGGTAGTGTAAAGACTGTTTTTGTTCTTTGTTGTTCATTCATCGCTACCTTCACTGACACATGTTATTTTGTTCTTTCTAATACAATTCATTGTGAACTGTCGGATGTTGTTGAGCAGCAGTAGTTTTATTGGTTGTTCAATTTTTTATGTTGTTTAGTATTGTTTTTTTTCGCAGTGGCAACATACGAGGCAAAAACAAATCTGGGATTTACTATCTGTTTTTTCGGTAATTATATATTTATGTACTTTTTCCCTTTGCGTAATTTAGTTGTTGAAATGAGGGAAGAGATATTTTTTATTTCTTGGATGATGCATAAATGATCAACTTTATGAATGTGAGGCTTTTTAGGAAAATGAAGAAAAAAAAGAAAAGAAAGATAGTATGTCATACGAGAAGAAACCTGCGAACTGTTTAAAAAAGAGGTAAAATTTGTATGAACTTCTCAATGTTTCTTTATCACAAATAATAAAGTGAATACAAACAGAGGCTTGAGTTTTTCTTAGGTTATCAGGTGCTGACCATGTTAAGCAAGGTGAAGCATTTCTCTTAAGGTTTGTGTGAAAATAAAGACGAAGTCTTTTTCATTATTGGATTCTTCCTAAATAATTCATTGTTTAAGTTGCATTGCAACCTAGTGATTTTTATATTTGTCGATGGTTGCTCGTTGGTCGGACGACCATTTGTCAGTTCGGCTTTCCAACCTGCCAACGCTTTCTTCTCCATCTCTGAATGATGAAACTTGAAATTATTTTTTCGTGAAAAACTCTAATGTTACAAGAATAATAACGAAATTTGTTGTGATATTGTCTTTAGAATGAAAGAAAAGGTTAGCGATGTGCAAAGTCGACAAAAATCCTGGAAACATCAACTCGAGGTGAAGTTTTCTAATTTTTTTATTGGTTAAATCAACAAACGTGATGTTTTTAGATGCTTTAATTTTCAACTTTGTTTTTCTTTGCCAGACTCTTGACTGGTCATTTTGTCAAATCGACAAATTTACAGGATAAAGGAAAATCAATATAACATTATGGAAATACGGAGTTGGTAGCTCAAATCATTGTTTTATATAGATTTTTGTACATAGAAATAAACTCCATGTTTTTGTAATCTATTATTTATTTTAAATAGATAGTGTTTTGAAGCATATCAGATTTGCTTGATAAAAAACTGCAATTTGGATTTTATACATAAAATGACTGTGTGCCCGTCACCCCCCTCCCCCTCAAGTCGAGCTAAATCGCCCATAATCATATTGCTGAGTAAGCGCTAAGTTTTAAGGTCGGTTTTAAGGTTTACGGAAAGTAAAACTGAAAATAATTTAGCAAAATTACCATGGTCACGTTTGCTGCGGAAGTCAAACAGAAGCATCTGAGTGAAAGTTTGCAAAGTAATTGTTTCGTTTTTGCGCATGTCATAGTTGTTTCACTATAACAAGTGAGTTGTTCATCCAGTTAAAGGGATACAGCTCAGTTTAAGGAGAGGCTACTCAGCCATAGAAATCGCTTATTTGGCTCGAGTTCGTTCATTTCATAGCGTCAAGGTTTGTAATGTTTATGTTTGAAAATTTAACGTTTTCTCTTAGGTTTTAAAATTTAAGACAAATGTTAATTAATTGATTTTAAATTTAGTGTATTTCCTTCTTAAATCTGGTTTAAAGTAGAAATTTCATGTTGTTTTATCATGGAATGTTGTGATCTAGAAGTAAGTGTTATTCTAATAAGTACGTATGTTTGATTGATGTTCATATTTTAATAATCTCGACAAAGAAATGGGATTTGTATTTTTATTTAATTAGTGTCCTCTGTGTATGGAACCTTTAGAGATAGATGATGTCAATTTCTACCCTTGTAGTTGTGGCTATCAGGTAAAATAAAATTCAATTTCTCATTTTATTAAAAATTTTTGTCGTAACATTTGATATACGTGGAAATAATTCTTCCTCTTTAAGTATTTGTTACTAAAATAAAGTGTGATTCTTAACTTTTCTCTTGCAGTTAAATGTATTTTATATAAGTTGTTTGGTTTATATGTGTGTTTTTTTTTTAGTCATTTGATTATTTACAATGACGCAATAATATATATTTTAGTTCCCTTTTACTGTCAATTGTTTTGCTTTTCTTTCAACAATTTTTAAAATTCATTTATGATTTTTAGTGTTTTTGATTATTGAATTGTGCAATTAAAAATTTCAGTATTTTTAAAGTTAATAATTAAAATTATTGTGAAAATACTTGATTTATGTTTGTGTAAGAGAATGTTAGATTTATATGGTTAAAAATTATGGTTGATTTTATGCATTAACTTGCGTTAAATATTTTTGCATGCCTAATTGGAAATCATCTTTTCAACAAATGAGATTTATTTTTTAAAACCTGTTAGTTGCTTACATATATATTAAAAATTAATTTCATTAGATAGCTATCCTTATATTTACTTATTTATTACTGTATTATAGAATTGTGTCAATCTAGAAGTACATTTGATGACTCAATTCCTTTTTTTATAATCAAGTACTGCTTATGTAATCCTTATGGGATAACTGTTTATATCTGAAATTTTTTACCATAGGTCTGTCGCTTTTGTTGGCATAGAATAAGAACAGATGAAAATGGTCTTTGTCCAGCTTGTAGAAAGGTTGTTCATCACATGATTTTGTTTGATTGATTGTTTGAATGGTGCAATAAAGAATTAACATTGTTTTTGTAATATAAGCGTTACACAGAGGATCCAGCATCATATAAACCTCCATCACAAGATGAGTATGTGAAGAGTTGAACTGTGTGTTTTTAATAAAATAACATTTATTCATCTCTGTTATTCTTTTGTAGAATTCATAGAATATTAAAATCAAGAAAGCATAAAGACATTCATAAAAAGCAAAAGCCAACAGAAAATAGAAGTCATTTGGCAAATGTCAGGTAAATGAATTTTTTTTTGAACATTTCATTTTTCTTACTTTGTCACAAACATAAACCCAAATTTATACCATGTCATTGTTATTTAGAGTAGTACAGAAAAGTTTGGTTTTTATTGTTGGTTTGTCAAATCGTCTCGCCAATGCAGAGGTGAAGTTCAGACAATTTTACTGCTAGTAGTTCTGACATTATAATATTTTTACATCATGGTAGCAAATCAGTGTTGAAGACACAATGTTGAAGAGATAATTTATTTACAAGCCATAGTTCATATGATTTCTTCTCTTGCAGCTCCTCTCCTCACCAGAATATTTTGGCAAATTTGGAAAAATTCTCAAAATTGCAATTAATTCAAGCACAAATTATGCTGGCCCACAGGTAAAAAAATACAGTGGAAAATGAATCTGAATTATAGTCAAACCTGTATAGTTAAAACTAAAATTTAAAGAGGTGATTGATCAATTAAGCTCACATAAATAGCATTTATACTATGAAATTTTTTGAGAAGGTGAGCATATTATTATATTTAGTGCCATCCAATACAGATTTATAAAGTGCTGTACCTGTTTACAACATGGAATACATAACTTTATGTTTATATCACAGGGACCCAGTGCTAGTGCTTATATAACATACCAAGACGAGGAGGTATCAAATAAAAATATTTTTGTCTGTAAATAATAAACTAGACATACATATTTTACAGCTTGCAATTTTTGATGTTAAAAACTATATGCATATATGTAGCATTAGAACAGACAATCTTATTTTCTCTTGTATTTTTAAGGATGCATTTGAAGCTATAAGAGCTGTTAATGATCTTTTCTTGGATGGCAGAGCTTTAAAGTACAATGTTTTAATTTATAATGCTTCACATTAAATCCACAACATTCTCATTTTTCTAAAAGGGTCTATTTTTATGTGGCAGGGCATCTCTTGGTACTACAAAATATTGTACATATTTTTTAAAGAACACAAATTGTCCTAAAACAGTAAGTACAATTGATTTTACTTTCATCACAAAGAAATATTTCATGAATAATGTGTGGCCCGAACAAAGATATTTATGTTTAGTATTTTAAAATTATAGGATTGTATGTATCTACATGCATTAGATAATGATGGTGCAAGTTTTACCAAAGAAGAAATGCAGGCTGGGTAAGTAATGCACTCATATTCTATTGCTTACAATATAATTTTTTACCTTTGAAAAATGTCGTTCGTATTTTGATCAACTTGAAAATTAATGCTATTTTTTTCTGAAGTTCTCAAAACAACCTTCGTAATCAAGAAGTGTGGCAGTCTTTTTTTAATATTGAAGTGTTACATCTTTGTTGCTTTCAACTTTAAAATAGAAAACACATTGAATATGAGCAGATGTTGCTGAAGAAATATGAAGAGAAAAGGTTAATTATGTTTGATTTAAATAAAGTTAAATAGTTCCTTTGAAGTTTAAACTTTAAAGTTATAACGTCAAAATTGTTTGTTATTTTAGAAAGACAAAACGAGTAAGTAGAAGGATGTACAAAATCTCACACAGAGTTTTAGTGAAGTAAAACTATATTTTGGTGAATTCTGATTGAATATTTGTTGTGTAAAAAGTTGTGTGTTGATGCATTTTTTCTACATATGTACAAGTTAATGGTTATGTTAGTTACTATCGTATATACTGAAGATTGTTCTCGTGTGTGTCATGAAAATGTGTGTACTTGTGCAAATGAGAATTAATGTCATATTCATTAAACACTTTGAAGTAATCGTTGTGCGAATTAATGCTTTTTGAATTTCTTTTTTTAATGGTTTATTTCAAATAATTTGCTCGTTAATAGCAGAAATAAGACGATTCACACTTTTTAAAATATTTGTTTACAATGACAACCTAAGACATAGTTGACTGGCTACTGTATGCCTATGTTCAAGTTAACGATAATAGTTTTCATTAAATGAAGATATGATCTTCGCACTTTGCTGGACAATTTAAGCAATTGTCTCATGAACCTGAAAAATTCAGGTGACTCAACGGGATTGAATCACCTGAATTTTTCAGGTTCGTGAGACAATTGCTTAAATTTTCCAGCAAAGTGCGAAGATCATATCTTCATTTAATTTCAAACACCGCACTGCATAAAACATTGATAATAGTTTTCTTTGGATTTGGACCATAAACATACTCCATCTACCTATCTCGTGCTCATCTTCCAAACTTTCAATTACATGAACATGAGATTTAAGTTTTTTTAGGACGGTTTTTTTATCTAAAATTAAACATTTATCTAAAAATAAAACGTTCTAGATAAACAACGATAAATGGCCTGGGAATCCATATGAAGAAACTACAGGTTACTACACCTCTACTTCGGAAAATTACAGTTTTTGTTCACATAATTAATACTTTCTTGTTTTATTGATATTTTTTATGTAGCCGGACCAAATTTCCAAGAGAAATTAGTTGCAAATGATAAAAAAATGTAAGTCATTTTAATCAGATGTTCGTGTACCGTTTGTAAATATTTCAATTTGTTTACGTTTATTTTTGAAGTGTAAATGGAACGATCTCGCCTGCAGGTCAGGCCAAGGTGATTCCACCCGCAGGTCAGGCTAAGTTGAATGGTAAACCACAAAATGACCCAGAATCATGGGATGATGAATTATTGAACTCCTCAAATTTGAGACCTATTGGTGCGGAACACAAAGCTACATCTAGTGTTTCATGTGGACACACAGGTATGTTTAGTCAACTCTACTTTTGTGTTTACATTTTACAGTAAATTTTTTATTGAATTCAAACCAATTGCTTTACATAATGTAGATATATATCGTATATTTGTTGATCCGTTGAAAATGTGTATCTACTACATTTTTCAGATTCTTTTCCATCTTCTTATCAAATTTTAGGGTATGTTTGTTTTCTATTCATTTGTTTAGGATATCACTGATTTGTAGCATAATCTCTTGGATACAACGTAATACGTTTATAGCATAAATTTCTATTATATTTTGAACAAAACTATATGAAGAAGTGTAGATGCTTATGTAGTTATGTTGTGAATCGATTGGAGAGAAATAATGTTGTTTTTTTACCCTCTAGTGACTTAAAACCAATGACCGCTGATGTAGCTGGAGGACTGGGTTTATCTAACTTACATATTCATGATAATGTTGGTGGTTTATCTACAGAAGATGATTTAGGTTTGTTTACAATATTTTCATTATTTTTTAATTTGACATTGAATTGCCAAATAATGAAGCCCATATGCTATAAGTTAAGTTGGCCAAAATGAACAAATATTGACCTAAGATACCATAATCACTTCACATATTTTATTGTATTTTTTCGCTTTTGTTACTCCTTTCAAAGTTTGATGATGCATTCGTTTCGTTTCTGTGCCAGGGTTTGACCCGTGGAGTGAATCACGAAAGGGTCTTGAGGATATTATTCAAAACGAAACATTCGGTTACCGCGAACCGATTATAACAAAACAACACTCTCCCCAAATGTTTGGTAACGATGTATGTGTCCCTAGTTCTGTTATAGCAGATCCTAGTGCACCACCAAACTGTATACCAACACCAGAGGAAATGGTACGAAATCGTATAAATATTCATTTTTGCTGAATTGGATTGGTACAAATAGTTATTTATATGAAAGGGATGGTTTTATCAGAAATCATTTTATATTTAGGAGTTTTTGAGAAATTGGAAAGCTGGTCTACAGGCACTTCTGCCAAATATAAACATAAGTTTCTCAGGTATTGAAATGGAAACACGTTCTTTTTTATCCTGACCATTTTTCAACCCTTAACTTGTTAATTTTTTTAGACACATTTTCTCCTCCAACCTGGCACTTAGAAGACACGAATGGCTCAAGTTCTTTGTCCTATAATATCGATGAAGTTGGATTTAAACCTTTCAATTCTGGAAATAACTCTCAAACACAGAGGATAATGCGACCTCCCCCTGGATTTCAGTCTCAGAATACTCCATTGTTTTCGGACAGCAACATGTCTTCCGGATTTCTACTAAATTCGCGCGGTATGTAATAAACATTCGCTGCTCTTTGTAGGATGTGAACCCCCCCCCGTAGCACTTTTACTCTTAATTAATGTGTGGCAGTTATAAATTTATAATTATGGTGTTTTGTTTGTAAATGTTACAGGTGGTAGCTCTAGTCACCATGCTGGAAGTAAAGATACACAAATGGTGAGAAGTTTTATTGTACGTTCTGGAAACTTCAGTTATTGTATTTGTGTAAATATTTTATAATTTCATTTTTCAAACATCAATTAACGATGAAAAAACGCACGAAAAGGTCATTATGTTGTCTGGATTTGTCTGACGTTCAACATTTTATTATGTAGAAACAAATGATCCTGTTTGGTAACTACCTTACATGCATTTTCGTCTTACTTAATTATTTATGATTGTACTTTATTGTCTCTTCAAACAGATATCTTTTAATGTTAACGCATGTTATTTTTTCATAATTTTTTTCGATTGAATGAAGACAATCTTATGATATAATCCTTTTAATTGTCACATGTCAGGTTAAACAAGACACTGCCCAAGTGGTAGCAGGTGTAGTTTTTGTCAATAATAGTCTTATAGTAGTGTACTCTCAACAATACAATCGTAAATTGTGAATTGAACTTTTTTACTACATATGATATATGTACTGTACGTACACATGATCAAACTGAGACCAGTTTTTTACTTAAAGTTACTCGGTTTTAAACAGTTACAGTAGCATCAAATTTTATGTTTTTTATTTTCTATAACTTTAATAAATTAGCTGAGTCATCGCTTGGAAACATTAATTGATGGAAGATTTTTTATTGTTAGTTGATGACAGATTTACACGATAACGCCGTTCTGGGTGTGTACGGTCGATCAGAAGCAAATCCTTTTTCCACTAATGCATTACATGAGGAATATCTACGACCTCGGGTTCCAGGTCACTTGGACATATCTAATACAGACAGTAAAGGATACTCTTTAAATTTTCATACTTTGGAACAAAATAGAAATAATTCGCGTACCGAAGTACCTCGCTGAGACTGAATACAAGTGAATTGTAGAAAAACATATTTAATAAGTAAATGACAGATAGTTGTTTTGTTAATGATGAAAGCATAGAAAACCTATTAATTGAAATGTTATTTTCTTTAAAAGCGTTTCTTGGTAGTTTTTCAGTTTTCTGATATTTGTGAAAACGTATGTCAGAGGTAATATCTGAGTCAGTGGTCTATCAATATGCGCAAGAAAAGAATATTATTTGAGTTCCTATTTCCACTGGTTGCCTTTTTTAGACACTTAGGTGGACATAAAGGAAGACACTTAGGTAGACACAAAGTTAAACAAAAAGGTGGCCATAAAGATAGACATAGAGGTAAACATAATGGTAGACACAAAGGCAGAGAGAAAGTTGACATAAATGTAGACATGAAGGTAGACATAAAGGTAAACACAAAGGTAGACACAAAGGTAAACATAAAGGTAGACATAAAGGTATACACAAAGGTGGACATAAAGGTAGATATGAAGGTATACATAAAGGTAGACATAAAGGTATTCACAAAGGTAGACATAAAGATAGACATAAAGGTAGACATAAAGGTAGACATGAAGGTAGACATAAAGGTAGACATGAAGGTTAACGTAAAGGTAGACGTAAAGGTAGACATAAAGGTGGATAGAAAGATAGACACAAAGGCAGACGTAAAGGTAGACATAAAGGTAAACGCGAAGGTAGACATAAAGATAGACATAAAGGTAGACATGAAGGTAAACGTGAAGGTAGACATAAAGGTAGACACAAATATAGATAGACATATAGACGTAACTACAGATAGAGACTTAATAGACAAAAGTAGTTACAAAGGGAGACATAAACGTTGACATAAAGATAGATGTAAAGGTACACAAAGATATAGAGACAAAGCTAGACATAAAGATAGGCACAAAGTTAGACATAATAGCAAACACAAAGGAAGACATATAACGGTAAACATAGTCAAGGTAGACAACGTTGAAAGGAAGAATCTTATAATAAATTAAAAAGTTTGTTTCTTTGCAGACAAACAAGGATGATTACAGTTATGAAGAACTGGAAAGTCCGATTTCCAAATGTTAGCACAACCAATGTTTCATCTGTAAAAATGTTTAAATAAAAAAACGAGAGTGAAAACGTAGGTAACTTCAATAAAGAAAACAACGTGAATTTAAATTGCTCATTTTAGTACATATGTCGTCGAGTGTATGTATTGTTGCAAAAAGAGAAAATCAACAATTTGAACACTGATATTGCTTTTGTTTAAATGGCAGATGGACATTTGCAATTCTTATGTTCACCCGTTTTCAAAGCTGTTACTGGCACAATCAAGTAGTTTGATGTTATGTGAACTTCACACTATATTCAATTTACGACATAAGAAGGTATTTTAACGACTGTAAAAATAGCTGTATTACATTTACAGTGGATTTAAAAAGTTTTACTTACGTAGCTAGATCAAACCAGATGTAACTTAATTACAACCTGTTGCATTTCCGCCGAGCTGGTATCAGATCTCCATTCTCTTTGTGTTGCACCGACTAAAATAAGATAAGAATACATATCAAAATAATTTACATTGATTTCTTTGTAAATGTAATTTTTTTCTTAATTTTACATAAAAATTCCTTCTTGTCCCGAAAATTGTAAAAATGATAGTTTTTCTTACAGAAATAGCACGATGGAGAATTTTAATTTAAATCAACCGATATCTTGGAATCGAAATTAAAACGATTTAGTTTGTGTTTCTGACAAACTGTTTGTCCTTTAAATGTTTTTGCTATTTTTGTAGAATTAGATTACTTTAAGCCAAAGCAATTTAGATAGTTCTTCCGAATTGGACAACTCAAGTTTTCAACACCTGTTAGGAGCATTTGATAAAATGTGTTTCGTATTTATTAAGCTCGTATCTAGTTCTTACTAAGTCTTATGTGTTCTTTGCAAAGTTACAGTTACAAAGAAAGTTATTAAAACCCCTACAGTCTGTACACAGTGTAGGATTTAAGCTTAAATAATACGCCCGCACGGCCTTTACGATCGCCTAACGTGTGACATATATCTCTCGTTTTAAAGTGACGATTTTGCCGGAAAATACGCAGCAAAAATTTTCGGCTTACATATATGTACTCCTGTTATCATATCTCGGCAATGATAACATATTTCAGTCATAGCAAAAGGAGAGTTTTATAAAACATTAAATTCTGTGATACGTGTTGTCAGTCATGTGTTGCTATTTAAACATTTTTTGCCGGGAAAAACTTCTCCGTTAGTATCCTGTATAAAATATCGTTTCAAGACTCAATGTGTATTGATATGAAATTGTCTACGGAAATACACCGCTGCTAACGAACAAATTTCAAGTGAAAATTGTTAAGTATTCTTACACCTGCAGTGCCCGGTGTCCACCGTTTAGGCAAAGAGCCAAATGCAACACAATAGTAAGTTATTCATATGCAAATACCCTGCCATGGGTGGAGCTAATGTTTCGGTCGTTATATAAAATATTGATTCGCATTTGCATATGGGACAAAAGCATTAATACGCGACATTAAATCCCTGAGAGAAATTTTCTTTCGTTGAGTTCTATAATAGTATTTTGTGTGCAAATTGTTTCTAGTTTCCATTCACATTTTCTCCCTCACTTATTTCGTGCGGTGTGCTTTAATTTCGAACTTTCTCACCGCAAATTGAGCCAAATTCAGAAAGTAGTAACATGACCTTTTATGGAGATAACCTTGACATCTTGTTTTGGACATTGTCCAATAGGCACAAAGCTTGTGATCTTAACAACCAATGAGCATCGAGTATTCAATTCAAGTTCGATAATTAAGAGGAAACTGATTCATCGTTCGTGGGGTATTTTTGTTTTATCGTGAGTATACATTTTATAGAAGGAAAGTCAGGCAGTCGTGAATTCTTAACTAACTGAGTGAATTTCAATGGACGTCTATCACAATTTCTCACATCCCTTTCAAAATACAGGCGATATTGCCTTTCAAGAGCTGGCCGATTGCGAACTAAAAGACTTGGACATCAACTACAACGATCCGTCTTTTGATTCCGGTCAGTATAATGTGGACGGTGGAATAGTATATCCACAGCATTCGGACAAATATCCTCTTAACGTTCCTGCAGATTTGACTAACCTGCAATGGTTACAAAACATGAATGTTGCAATTCCCGTCGATAGAAATACGTCTGTGAGCCATCATATTGATGGCGGCAATGTCATGGTTGATCCCAATACGGCAATGCCTGTGCAACACACGAATATCAATGGCTGTTGGCCCAGTTCAAATCAAATGCAAGTTCAAACATTGCATCAACAACAGTTGGCACTAAGACGCGATAAGCCAAAGAAGACAACCAATGTTCCCATATCAGCTAAAGATGATAAAAATTATAAAGAAAAAAATTATCCAAAGCCTGTGTTTAGCTACTCCTGTCTTATTGCAATGGCCTTGCAAGATAGCGATGCCGGAACACTGCCTGTCAGTGAAATCTATAAATTCATGCAGTGAGTTTTTTCATTTTCCGGTTGTTTCCATCCATTTTAAATAGCATTCCATTTTGAGGCTATTTCTTTTATTTTTAGATCAAATTTTCCATATTTTAAAACAGCTCCTGATGGTTGGAAGGTAAGCTAGATAATATTATTTTAATAGATGCTCAACCCTCAAATGCTTAAACGACTTGCCTTGTGAACTTGACGTATAGCTAAGAGCAAACAAAACGAAGCAAGTAACCAACAGTACTGACTCTCTGTTCTTTGAAACTAACTAAACTCATCCATTATTCGAAGAAGACTTATTAAAGCTCGCAGAAGTTTCTTAAATTTTGATTTGTAATATTATGCTCTTTGCCGTTGACATTTGCCCTTCGTCCTTTACAGTTACAGTGTATTTAAGCCCTCGATAAAGCTTTCCTTCTACTTCTTGTTGAGTATATGTAAATTTATATTGTCATACTAAAGTACGACTTAAAAATTTCTCAACTTCATGTCAAAACAGGTTATCAGGTTCAAAGTTATTTGTGCTCGGTATTCATTGATAAATTCACTCACAACGTTTTTAATTTTGAGTTATCAGCTAGGGCAAAGAAAATGAATTGTCAAATGCGTGGGTTTTAATATTTTCTACTTGGTTCTACTTGACTGGCGATGAGATAGTTTTTTCGGTAAAATTCTCGCCAAAATCATTTTTCGAATTCTTTTTGACATTCTTAAGAGATATATTTGTATTTTACAATGTATTTAGAGCAGTGTAAAACACATTTGCGAGAAGATTTGTATATGTTATTTTCATTGGTAAAACTAGAGCATCGATTTAATTGTCTTATGAATTCACTCATGCTGCTATATGTATATTCTATCATACCGAAATGACGTTTTCATACAGACATTGTTTCTGTAATTTTTCCATGAAAATTATGATTTTATGTCGCATATTTTTTACAATTCAAAGTTTGAAGGTTCGCTTTTTTGACATGGGAGGCTTGTAATAAGGAAAAATTAAAATTTTTATAATAACGTTTTCATAGATATTGATAGGCTAAAATAATCGAATATTTCATTCAAAAATTGCCATTCCCTACTTTTTACGCGTGCAATTAAATAAATATTTGTGTTACCTATGTTGAGAAGATACACGATTTATAAAATCATATAAGTACGTTTTACAAACTTTTTCACTTTCATTTTTGCAGTTTAAACAATAACCGTATGAATAGCAATACTAAGCCCCACCCGTTGACTAAAGTTTAATTTAAGGATATTTGTGTATCTCGTTCATATTTTTTGTCAAGCAACGCCTCACAAGTACAAGGAATTCTATTTCTATTCAAGCTAATCGCTAGAAGTAGAAGTTACGCAAAGTTTTTCTTGCCATATTTAGAAACTTATTCAACCTCAATAGCGCAACAGGTGTAATAGAGCAATGAATAATTTACACGAAATATAAATAAAGGCAAAAATTATGTGAACTTGAAACCTTTTGTTATCTCCAGCACAAATAAAGCGCTTGTTTCAAGACATAAGTACTATCGCTAAAAATTTATAACTGGTTCAGTTGAGCTTTTCTATCGCGATAATCCCATTGTTAAAATAAGTATTATGCCGAAAGTTGAATTAGTCGCCATTTTGAATTGCAAAACTTTGACAGGTGAGACCTGTAGACATTTTTGCATTCTCATTTTCCCATTTCCTTTTCTTTGTGTTCGAACAAAGAACTTTAATTTACAATTGCATATGTTCCCCATCTTGCTAAACAATTTCCACGCAGGAAATTAAAAACGCCTTTGCCATAAATTGTTTTCAAATAAAATCAAGTAAGAACATTTGTCTTGCGGTCAGAGCAGAACATAAGAAACTCAAAAAAAAAATTGTGGCAACTTAGAACATGATTTAATAAATATGGAAAAATAAATCAACATAATTTAATCATTTTTATCTTAACGTTTCTTTTCTGAATGAAAAGGCAATTTTAAAACGAGATTTATTTTTTCAACATAAATTAAAGTTTAATCTTGCAATTTAGATCGTACATTTTTTTCTTAGAATTCTGTGAGACATAACTTATCACTAAATAAAGCATTCTGCAAACTTGAAAGACCCCAGGGAACTTCACAACGTAAAGGATGTTTGTGGACCTTGAAGCCTGACAGAAAGGAACAAATGTTTAAGGAAATAAAGAAGTGGAAAAAAAAGCATGCAGAGTCAATTAAAGCCAGCATGGCTAGACCAGGTATATTTATCAATTTCCATCCCAACAATTATAATATGTCTTTATTTTGATGAGTTTTATAAGCATTGAAAAGATGCTCACAAATATTTTTTGTAATGTGTTTAAAATGTTTTTCTCTCTTTATAAAAGTAAGCAATTTCTATTTGTTTGATGCAGAAGAATTTTTCATATCAAACGATGATTTGGATGTCAAGCAGTATCCTAAGATGCCCTCCAATGATCAGTTAGAACATGCTGCAGCAGATGCTGCTAAAGATCTATTTGGAAATGGAATGCAATTTGAAGAAATTCCTTCTGAAGCATTCTGGGATGACATAATGTCATCATCCTCTCCTGATAGCTTAAAGTATGTTGATCCAAATTTTATCAACAATGTTGCTGTTAATAACCAAGACACAGGATACCCAAATGAAATTACTTCTACTGTTGAGGTGGACTCTTCTGCTCATTATTATACAAATGAATACAATAATCACTTGCCAAGTGTAGGTAATGTGTACAGCTACAATAATAATAGTATATACCAACAGGCTGTAGGGTACTAATCATTACTGCCTATAATTTGGTGTATACAGTTTTAGGAAATCTTATTTATTTCAATTGTGATAACTTATGGACCTGAAGATATAAAGTTAAAAGTTCACCTTTTACATGCATTCGTCACTAACATTGCTGCTAAATTAGTGAGGGATTAGTTTAAATTTGCTGCAAGATGTTTTGTGTATTGTGAAACTTTTTGAGATTTTTTTTATCAAATAAGTGGATACAATTGCTGCATTGAACAGCTTTGTCTTTCACCTTAGAGAGAGAGAGAGAGAAAGCTCTACTTTGTAAGTTGTATCTTGAACATGTCATAAGGACTTATTTTTTGGATCATTTTTGTTTTCAAGATTTTCAATCTTTTCTAAAAAATAATCTAGAATGCGTTTCCCACTCAGGATCTTCATTCATTCAATGTTTGGTGTTGTTTATTTAATAGTTAAAATAACATTTTAAAGAAATATCTACGTGTACGCAGCGGTAATTTATGTCATTAGTTGTAAATATTCTTTCATGAACACAACCAAAAGACACATATTTGTTGAGTAGTAATATATTGTTTTAACTATTTGTAAAAATGTAAATAGGTTTACTTTTAGCGATTACTATTTTACTTATTTTAATTTAATAAACTAATTCGTTGGATGTACTAACTTTCATCGTCATTACTTGCTTTTTAACTATGTGCGTGCAAGTACAACTTATTGGCTCGGTTTCTGCCCATCCATCCTGGCCCTCCACACTTTTTTTTGTTATTATTATTTTATTATTATTATCATTAACTCTTTTTTTTATTGTTGAATTAGTTTCATCACTTTTAAATTCAAAATTCATAAGGCAGCTTGGTAAAGTCACCGCTGGGTCAATGGAGCCCTTAAAAGAGTCCCCTTCCCTCCCTTCTCTGATTGGTAAAATTACTGCGTGCTGTGCAAACCTAAATGTACTGCGTGTGGCAAGGAATTATATGAAAGGCGATATTTTGACGTGTTAGTTGTCAATAGTTTTCTTATATGTATGTTTATTGAGAAAACTTTTGCTCTAATGATTTATAAAGAAATTTTCAAAAGCAATTGTTTCAAGATTTTTCACAGTTAAATTTAAACCTATATCTGCTTTCATCCACAGACAAGAAATATGATTCGAGCCTGCTCTTATCCGCTGTGATGCCGCTGCCAAAATGCCTGCCATTTTCAAATTTCAACCAAATTTTGCATAAAACAAAAGATGTAAATTAGGTGAATGATTCGTGGTAATCTTTTTCTGTATAATTTGCATATGTTTGTTATTATGTCAATAGGGATGTTTTTATCATATGTATATTTTATGTATGTTCAAGGACATTGTATAGTTCCGTTATGAAACATGAAGTTATACCAAAAATGTTTTGAAAATGGTGCTGACGAAAGCCTTTAGTGTTTACAAACGGTCGAACAATACACAAGCTGTTTCAGTTCTGCTTGAGAAGCGCGACAGATCGGAATCTTTGCTATTTGAAAGTGGTGCGGTTGCTGAATTAGGTAACAAATGAATCAAAGATAACTTTCAAATCAGTGGCGACATTAGTATTGTACTTACCAGTGACTAATTAATTAAGCAAATCATGAAATTCATTCTAATCAGTTAGAATTTTCTCAATTTAATGATGATTTATTGGTTATATATTATTTGAATTTTGTTGTCACTTCAGTTGCCACCTTGTTTGAGGTTTGTCATGTAATGCTCAATATTGATTACAAATGCACAAAGTACCTTTATACAAACTTGATATAGAAGCTGCTTAATACGATGAGTATTTTTTTATTGATACATTTGGGTTTTTTTTAATAGCATCTTGGGAAACAGTAACAATTAAAAAGGATTACAACAAATTATGTGATGCATATGGCTGTCTTGGTGTTCTCAAACTTAGTTTAAGTATGAAGTATCATTTTTTTCACAAACATGCATGCATGCAATGCAACTGGAGCAAATCAAATGTTCTGCATCTAGTGTCTTAGTCATAGTATCTTGGAGTGGTGTATAGAAATAATTAAATATCATTTAGGAAGACAAGCAGTTACCCTAACTAATTTTATGTCCTTTGCAAGTGATTCATTTTGTAATAGATAATGAAAATATAGCTATTGTATGTTTTTGTTTTGCTTTTCAATGAACAAACCAATTTGTAGCTGAAATTATGAAATTCAAGTTCTATATGATAAATAGTGTGTTCTTTTTTCAGATGAAAATGTAAGTTATTTGTATTTGGTGTTGGTGACAGGCTGTCATTCTGTTGGAAAAATAAAATATAGTGAGATTTCTTGTGTTACATCAACAGTGTTCATAGCCCTAGGCGATCATGCCGAGATAGGAATTTCTGAAGTTCGAAAGTTGCTCAATTCTGGTTCTTTTTATTTCACCATATCATTGAATGAGAGTGAAGCTCCATTAGATCTCAGCTTAAGCTACCAATCTCAGTGTGTTTCTTCTGAGCCAGACAATCGCTTTTTTTGGTAGGATATGTTTATACTTCGTATCTAGCAAGCAAACTGTATCAATGCTTCACAATAACTAATTTTTAAAATTTCAAGGAATCATGCCTTGCATGCACATCTACAGAAATTTACCATTGACTGTTCAGCATGGCTCATTAACATCATGTGTGGAGGTATTGAGCTAAAGACTGTTTATGCTGGAGCAAGACAGGCCAAAGCAATGGTTATATCAAGACTAAGTTGTGAGCGGGCTGGTACTAGATTTAATGTACGAGGTGTTAATGATGATGGACATGTTGCAAACTTTGTTGAAACTGAACAGGTTTGGACACAACTCTTGTTAGATTCATCGTATTTTTTTAATAGCTTTATTAATGATCGTTTTTTATGTTGCATCAATAACACTAAATTTCTCAAAGTGAAAATTTTGTTTTCTGTTGTGTTAATCATTTATCACATGCATGATCTGACTATTTTTAAAGGTGATTGTTTTGGATAACAGTATTTCCGCTTTCCTTCAAACTCGAGGCTCAGTTCCAGTCTTTTGGGAACAACCTGGAATTCAAGTGGGTTCTCACAAAGTGAAAATATCGCGTGGATTTGAAGCCTCACAACCTGCCTTTGACAAGTAAGCTTCAATCCCCTCCTCTACCAATACAAATAAATTTTGTCTGTAATGTATTTCATAATTCCATAAGTTTATCAAAATACTCATATTTTTTGCCAGACATATATTTGCCCTCAAAAGTTTGTACAGTGATCAACTTCTCATTAATCTCCTTGGCAGTAAAGAAGGAGAATCGTTTTTGAGTGCAGCGTATCAAGTATGTGCGATACTAAGACATGTACTATTTCCATTGTACTCGTTAAACTTGATTGGCTAAAAAAATAAGACTTGCGATATTGTTTTTCTCAGAAACAGCTAAAGGCATCTGTTCACTGTGGTGGTACACCACTTATTTTATTTGACTATCATCGTTTATGCAAAGGAGGAAAGCGAGAAAAACTGGAATTACTAAAGAAAAAAGCTGAACCATATTTAAATAAGTTCGGTTTTTTCGTAAGAAATGGCGAAGAAATAATAAGGTAAAATGAATTTTTATTACATATACCTTCAAAGTTTACTTAAATATTTTGTAAAATGCCAAAGGCTTTTTTTAAAGGCATAACGATGATTTAATTCGGCATAGATCGCGGAGAATAACGAAATACATTGGCCGCCACTGTGAAATAAAATTTATTGCAAAGTGATTGCAAATTAATTGTTCTTTGAAATATTTGGTTTTATTTAGACAACAGACTGGTACTATTCGTGTCAACTGTTTAGACTGTTTGGACAGAACGAATGCTGTTCAATCTTATGTGGGTCTCGAGGTATTATATTACTGAATATTCAATGCGTGATGTGTTTATTTCCAATTTCGATCAAACTCTTTCTGTTGTCTTTTACCCATGTTAGTTTTACAATGTTAACACTGAACACCAAAAGTTTGTCGTACATACGACATGTGTCAATTTGTAATGTTTACACTCAACGTTAGATGCTTCAACTTCAACTTGTCGAACTTGGCCTCGGTGATAGGACATCTCTGGTGTCGAGGTTCATGGAGTGCTTCAGGACAATGTGGGCAAATAATGGTAACCTGGTTAGTCGAACTTATACAGGAACTGGAGCAATGGAAGGGGGTGCAAGGGTTAGTTTTTCATTTGCTTTTTATTAGCACTTATTTGTTCTTTGTTGGTATAATATAGCAATATTGTGAGTTATGATGCTAAGTAATCTGCTTCATTTCAATGTATTTAATAGATCATTTGTGTGTATCAATTATAAATTATTTCATAAGCAATAACTTGTAAATTTTCGTGTATGATAGTTTGGGAGCAAGCTACACGATGGAGCTGTTTCTGTAAGGAGAACTATAAAAAATAATTTTTTCGACGGCAGCAAACAGGAAGCCATTGATATCTTACTTCTTGGAAACACGTTTGTTGGCGAACTTGGTGACCGTGCAAGAGCTTTGCTACAAGGTGCATTTCTTCATGGTAAGAAATGTTTTTGCCATTTTTGCGAAAAGATGCTTTCACTTATTGTACATTCCATCATTGATATAAACTGTCACAGGAATCAATAGGGCATGTTGTACGCTTTTTATTTCATTTAACTTTGCATTGTCCACGACAAATGAAAAAGCAAAACAAAAAGAAAGCCAGCTGCCAGTGATAATAACGACTGTGCTATTGTATCAACCATTATCCCATCTTTTATTCGAAATCTTTGAAATACAGTAAAACCTATATTGAGCGGTCAACCTGTATTAAGCGGTCCACACGAGAAATCCCCAAAGGTGACCGCCTAATACAGGTTGTACTGTATTTTTCATTAATTTAACCCATCATTTACTTCAATACAGTATTTGATGCTTTGTATTTTTGATATTTTTAGGGTCGTCAGCTATTTTGCGAGAATTGTGTGACCGACATTTGGAGTACACTAAATGGCGTACGGTTCGCGTTTGCATAGGTACATTTAATGTGAATGGTGGTCGTCATTTCCGTAGTATTGCGTACAAACACCAATCTTTGGACGACTGGTTATTGGATTTTCACCTCAGACAGCCCAATGGTTGTGTTGAAAGAAACACTGATTTTTCGTTAGTCACTGATATATTTGCGATCGGATTCGAAGAGTTAGTTGATTTAAAAGCAGGAAACATTCTATCAACAAGGTTGGTGAAGGAAGCTTGTTCTTTATCTCCCTATTTTCTTTACATTCTCGGCTGAGGAAACTGGCTAATTTGAATATTTTCCTCAACTTGATTGATTACTTGATTTGCTTACTTTGTTTTCAACTTACTGCCTTTTACCTAGTGCAGCGCAGCGTTTGGACTGGGGCGATGAATTGAAAAAAGTTATATCCCGTGATACACCATATGTTCTTCTCACGTGTGAGCAGTTGGTCGGTGTCTGTTTGTTTGTATTTGTACGAGCACATCTTGTCGAGGACATTAGGTAACATTAACATTTCATAAAGTTTCTAATTTTCTCCAGATATTTAATGACTTCTAAAACTGTCTTGTTTTGTTGAAAATGTTCAGTTTGCTTGGCATTGATGTTTTTTTAAAACCATTATTTACCTCCAGAGACGTGGCGGTGGATAGTGTCAAGACAGGTCTTGGAGGAAGCACTGGAAACAAGGGAGGAGTGGCAATACGCTTTTTACTTCATTCTACGTCACTATGTTTCGTTTGTTCCCACTTTGCCGCTGGACAATCTAACGTAGCCGACAGAAATAGTGATTATCATGATATTGTGAATAAAATTGAATTCCCCATGGTAAAGAGTTTTATTCTGAGAATTTTCTGTCAAATTGAGGATGTTTATCCCGTGGTGCACGAAAATATCCACAATTAGTTGATCAATTTCCAGAATTATATTTTCTTTATCTTTAAAGGGGAGAACAGTCCTTCCTCATGATTATGTATTTTGGTGTGGTGATTTTAACTATCGTATTGATCTTCCCATGGAGGATGTAAAGGAGGGAATTTCACAAGAGAGTTTTGACCTTCTGCAAGTGGAAGATCAATTAACAAAGAGTAGAAAATCCAACAAGGTAAAAGTTCGGGAAATTAGTCATAAAATAAATTTTTGTTAGAGAATAGTTTTCATAGAGTAATGATTGATTTTTTTTGAGACTCTTGCCTTTGATCTTGTTTGCCAGTGTTTTCGTGGTTTCAACGAAGGAAAATTGACTTTTGCACCCACCTATAAATTTGACCCATTCTCTGATGATTATGACACTAGCGAGAAAATGCGCATACCGGCTTGGACTGATCGCGTGTTGTGGCGACGTCGAAAACCCAGGTCAAAATTCACGGAAAATACCGTGGTGGATGGTGGTGGCAAAGACTCTTTAGTCGATATTGAGAGTGAATGCTCAGAAGAAGATGATGAAGAGGAGGAAAACAATACTGAAGATGAGAGTAGATCAGGTGTGTCTAATTGCCCGATGCATAATGATGGTCGACTGCAGATTTTATTTTACTCAAAATATAGTAAGATCATATATTATAATTGCTACATTATAATTTATATTTATCATTGATACGGTTACATAGAGCAATATAACATGCTATTACGTTATTCTACCTAAATATAAACTAGGATAACTTGTGTCAGTGTAGTTAGGGATGAATAAACTATTACAGAGGTATAAAATCGTCTGCACTATCATTTACAGGTATGGGAAAGTCTTTTCATCTTGATGGAAACAGCATTAATTGGTCCGTTGGAAAGCTGCTGTATTATCATTCTGCACAGCTTAAAACATCTGATCACAGGTATTTCTTAGTAAGGAAACCATCAAGCTGTGTGTATGAACATGCTTTAGGTACCATAAAGTATATTTTTAATCCTTGCGACCATTATTTTACGAACATTAATGTAAAATGCTATAACAAGATTGCTTGCAAGGATTCGTCCGTTTTCTAAATCCACATTATTTTTTCGTGCTTCATGATCATGTTATGTTGAACATACAAAAAATAAACGCACCCATGATTTTATTCATTTGATATTGTGGTCATTTACATTAGACCAGTAGTGGCTCTTATTGAAATTGAGATTCAATCTATTGACCAAGACAAGGAATCTGATGTGCACAATGAAGTCATTATGTCGATGGGTCCTGCTGATCCTACGGTGATCATTACATCTGAAGCAAATGAAGAAATCAATACTGACAAATTCCTCTCTCTTGTTGAAGACATCGGTGAAACTGTTTTAGTCAGGTTTAGTTTTAATGTATCTTAACACGTTTTTTACAACACGGTTATCACAGGTTTCATTTCTATTTTTGTACATGAATAAATTGTCAGCTCGTTCTTATGGAGAGCTTTAGTTTACCTTTCGTTTATGCCATATTTTTCCTGTTTTAGGGTTATTGACAACGAGTTATTTGTCACATTTGATGATGGCAGATCAGCTTTGCAAGCTCTAGAGCTTAATAACACCAAGGTATATTAATAGTAAGCTATGTACGTACTTTGTTTTAGTATTTAATGAATATATTGTTTCCACTTTTTAGATTGATGATGTTGTGATATCAGTTAGATTAAAATCTGATACATTGCTTTCCAAGACTGACATGACTGTAGGAGACCTCGGTGGGGTTTTATCAAATGCAGAATCAAATCGTGCTCGCACACTCTCGGAAATACTACAAGAGTCCCCTCAACAAACTGCAGCATGTCCTCTCTTGCATCCTATTAGAATAACCTCACAGGACTCGGACGACGACGAGAGTGAGATTGAAGATGAAAATGACATTGAAAATGAAGATGCACAAGAAATAAAAAGCGGTAATAGTTTTCAAGATGTTCTTGTGGAAAGCATGATTCAGAGTGAACTGAAGGCTTCTCATCCTTCAAAAAGACCAGCACCTCCAAGTCGACCACAGCGCCCCGCAAGAAGCCCTCAGATGCAAGAGAAGAAAATCACCTCTCCTTGTAATCCCGAACAAGCCGAGGTTACGGGTGAATCCGCAGTAAGTCAGTGCAATAAGCCAGATACAAAGCGGAGAGTAATCCCCACAAGACCAGAGCCACCCAATGCAACCAAAGCTTTATCTGCAACAATGAAAGCTGATGACTCGTTGCAATCGGAAAAAAATCCTGCTCTCCCAAGAAAAAATGTTAAAAGTCAGGTGACAAAACCCTCTCCTCCCCAAAGACATGCTGACGCAACATCAAATAACATAATACTGTCAGCTAACTCTGAGGTCATTGTGAAAAGGAGCATTGAATGTGTTGAATCGTCTTTAAAACATAACAATGATGAAATGACATCGGACGTCGACACTAAAGCAAACACTTACGCGAGTAAAAATGTAATAAACCACGAAAAGCCCGTACCTCCCGCAAGAAAACGCAACTTTCAAAAGAATGAAATTATGAATACAACGACAAACAATCTTTCCAAATCTCATTTCATGTCACAATCTCAATTAAGTATAGTTAAGCCTACTACGGTCTTGCCTGCAAGATCAAAAACACCGCCACCTAGGACTCCTCCTAGTCGGCCACCTCCACCTTTAATATCAACATCAGTTGAAAAGCGTACAGAAATGGAGTCAAATGTTGAAAACATAGAGTCGGAAGCAGTTTCTCCATCTCGTAGAAAAAAAAGTAGAAGCCTAAAGCTAATTCGGAAAAAACCCCATGAAGAAGTAAGTTATTTCTTAAGACAATAATTTTCTTATGTTTTGAAGTTTATGACACCATGTTCTTGTGTGCATTGACCGTTGAAGATCCCCAAACCAGATTTTATATCAAGTCAGGGTAAATTGTTTTCCCTTAGACGAATATGAAGTAAAAACGCTGCCTTTATTCCATGGCCATATTTTAAATGTTGTTTTTTCACCTGGGTAGGGTTTGAGCTCTGACTAAATCTATCTTTTTTTTAATTAGTCGTCGTCTTCCGTAAATATCAGTGGTCCATTTGATGTAAAACACGTTACACATGTAGATGTGAACAATGTCAAGCCTCTTCTTGGTATCAGCTCTCACGAAGCAAATGTGGATAAAATAAAGTCTGAGAATAACATCAAAACTTATATGAGCGTACAAGATAAAAATTCCATGGATCAGACAATCTTCGTTGCAAAAGAGCAATGGAAACTAGTAAACCCGTTCCTGTACCACGAAGAAAGACAGGGAACAATAACTCTGAAACGAACAAGGGGTCCTATCATAAGACTCAAGCTGATAGCTTCATGCCTGTTGAGAAAGTACCTCCAAAATTACCTCCTCGACCTGTAGACGAAAATTTAGAGTTTAAAACTGTTCATTCCGACGAACGGGTGCTTGATACTACTCGGGCAAAATATCCCCCAGAAATACCGCGCAGGCCCGGTTTTTCTGAAGAAAGTACAGGAACTTTTTCAAATAGTACCTTTGATATACCAGAAGTTATTGATTTGATGAAACCACAGGAAAATGCTCCCATTCCTCCTCCAAGAAAAGGGCGTAAAAGTTAGCATTTCGACTACATCACTGGAATGGGAGTGGAACCTTTCCTATAGTTCGTGAAATGTCTTAATTCTTTGAAAATTATATCTTGTAATGTTTTCTTTGTCCAATACAAATAAATATTTGCGAACTTTCAATAAAGGAAGACCACGAACGATGTTCTAGATGTCTTTTTGTGTACTTGTTTATAGTTTCAATTGCAGCCAATCAGAGGACTGCTATAAACACGTTTATATGTGGACCAGTCAATGATCGGGCCATTTAATAGCTATCGATAGACAGACACGCGCGACCTTCCCGTGCAGTAATCGTACATATAATTCGCAACCATATTGATTGTTTGTATTTTTCATAATCCATTTCAAAATGGCTGGCGAATATTTGGTCAATTTAACAGGAGGTGGACCATGGGGTTTTAGATTGCAAGGTGGAAAAGACTTTGGAACAGCTTTAGCCATTGCTCGGGTAGTATTGATTTGCATAAAAGTTATGCTCGAATAAAGGAGAAACGTCATAGTCTGTCCCATCTGGTTTCTTCATCTGTTTATCGAAATCAATTGTATAACGTGTATATAAGAAACGACGTTTGTTGTAACTTCTTCGTTTTGTTGCAATGTCAATATTTTCTATTTTTCCTTTTATTTAGGTAACACCAGGTGGAAAAGCGGACTTAAAAGGTATACTTGAAGGTGATATTATAGATGAGATCAATAACAAGCCTGTGGAGCATCTCGTTCACATGGATGCGCAAAATTTAATAAAAGCTTCCCGAGACACACTGCAACTAAGACTGATTAGGTGAGTTGTCGTTTTCCAATAGTTCCCGCAGTCTTGGTTTCAAATCGCAACATGGAATGCTGCCGGAAAGTATTAATTTGAAAAATCTGTACTATACGCTTTATATGTTTCTCAAAACTGATGTCTGATTTCTCTTCGAATCAATAGAATCGCGTATTAAATTAAGTCGATTGGCATGCATTCACGCAATAAAGTTCATTTTTATAGTAGTGTAATTAAGATATGCAGCTTTGCTCGAACTAATGTCTAAATGTGAAGTCAGAGGCAACGATTACATGCAGCTTTCTTTCATAATATGTTCATATTAAGACTCAATTCGTATTCTCCATGTTTGGTGAAATTGAATAAGAAAACAAATGGAGCGAATAATCTAGAAATGTATCTAATGTGTCTATTTATGGAAATACCATGTCGCAATTATCGTTTGTTTTAGTATGATAGGTTCAAACATAACATATTTTAAATACACATTATGCAGCAGATCTATGACATTGTACTGAAAACACAAGGTTTTATGAAAGGACGGAAGTCATCATGGAGTTGTAGTAAATCCTATCATTATTTATATCTTGACTTTTATCAATTTAGACGATGAAATTGCATTTCTTTTCCTCGTCGTGCTGTGTGAGTTTATATTCGAAAGGTTAAATATTCGTTGTGAAGTTCAAACACCATCCAATCAAATTGCAGGGACTATTTAAAGTCCATCATGATTGGATGTTATATGTCCTTTGCTACATTTAACTTTTTAATGGTTTATCTATATCTATAGTGATATCATATCATATCTATAGTGATATGAAATGAACTGTCTGTCAATTTATGTTTTCTATTAACATAAATGAATGAGCCTGTGTATAAATGTGAAACGTCTTGTATGACGTTTAAGAATATTTCTACTAAGATTTCCTCCTGATTTTCGACTCTATTTGATGCATACAGTATGCAGTAAACATCATATTATTGCTAAACTGGTACGAATAATTTGTTTGGTACTCATAATTGATTTTGCTACTGCCTCAAGTCAGATAACGTAGTCCGAATATCCAATGATTTGACTAAAATAATGAAATTTGAACAAGTAGTTTTGAAAGAATGTACATCAAATCTCCATGCGCTTTTTAGAAAAATTGGAAATACTGCAAAATCCATGGGATCTAAGTCGCCAATAGTCATTACAAACATGACCCAATCTGCTAACGTCGATCACAAATTCAATGCAAAACCTAGACCATTTGGTGTTCCAAGCTCATCTAGTTCTATTGTACAAGTAAAACCTACATCGTGAGTAATTTTGCTGCTGCAAAGGATTATGGGTAAAAGCGACATGCATTATTTCATGTGGATGAAGAATTTTCAGTTTAGTGTCGCGTAGAATTGTTCTTTTAGAAAAATTACAGTAAACGCTCTTACCTTCAAGTATTTGCAATATTGTAATTGTGCAACGTAGAAATAATTGAAACTCGATGATGATTTCGTACTATCTTTTTCATCTTAAGAAAACCAGCAAAAGATCCAGATAACTTCGATGACTCGGAAGTTTTAAAGATGCTGAAGACATCGAAAATAAATGATTCCGGTTTGGAACCTTCTTCATCAAATCCACCTGAAGATGGTAATTTTTGTCGCTCATATTTTGCTTTCTATTTAAAATATTCCTCTCTTTTGTCGAAGAATCCTGCTTGTTTTGAGCAGTATTGTTCTTTTCATTGTTGTAAACAGATCATCGATGTTGTCTGCATATCCAGAATCACGGAGCAAATTTCTTGAAAAAAAAAAACGAACAAAATGTTTGTCTGACATGTATTGATCGGTGATTTTTTCCAGTTAAAAGTGATATTCAAGGAAATGTACAGTCACCTTTCTTACAACATTTACAAAAACATCTTAGTGGAAAATAGGAGCAAAATAATGGTATATTAATCTGAAATTACTTAAATACTTTTTAAAAGATTTATGAGTTATATATAGAAACTAATCCATGGAAACCTCGCGATAAATTATATTTCTTTGTGCTAAATGATTCAACCTAATCTTTACAATTTCAAACTGATTTTGAGACTAAAATTATCGATCTCTTGAAACTGAAAAAGTATCCTCAAGGAAATACAAAAATTTAGTTGAAAACTAGTTGTTAAAGAGCCATGCCAAGACACTTTCATATGTTATGTATAAGCTTGAGAAAGCAATTCATCATCCATCACATCATGTTGTAATATTTTTTCTATATCACTTTATTGCAAACAGTTTACTCGTTAGCGTGTAATACAAAAAGGATGCCCTAGAAAAATACATTGATTCTTTTTTGCCCGAGTTAAAAATTACTATAAAATGTAATTTTTCTTTTTGGTTTGTCTTTTTAAAAAGTTGTTCATTGTAAACAGAAGAATTGTCTTTTGCGTTGTTTCATTTGCTTTCGGACAAAAATAATTTTAAATGGAGAAGTGTTAACAGTTTTCTTACTTAGATCTTCCTCCGCCTCCGCCAGAAGCTTTTCCTTCAGAATATGATCTACCAGCTGGACAGTCGAGATCCTTCAAATTGCTTCAAAAGCATATCGACCAAGGGGGTGAGTAAACTAGAAAAGAATAAGATGATCGACCTGTTTATAAATGTCTCTGGTATTTTTAACCTTAAAGCTTAAAGAAATAAATTGGCGATGCGATTCTATAACATTGTCTCCTGTTTGGTAATAAGTTGTTTTAGGGTTGAGTGATTCAAAACCAATTTTCTTGCAGAGCCCCCTGCAAGTGTTTTCTCCCAGACAGACGGCGACAAAAACCGTGTTGCTCCTATCTTGCGTCCTTACGTAGTAACTTCAAATTCTCGTATTAGCAAACCAATGAATACGAAAGAGCCACCCCCCTGTCCTCCGGGTGTCAAGCCCATGCAAGTGTTACCAGCAGAAGTCAATTTCACGCTACCTTCACAGGCATTTAGGGCAGCCTATGCTGAACGACGACAGCAAACACCTGCATCGCAATTTTCTAAATAGCGCATATTATGTACCAGAAGGATGGGTTTTGTGTTATTCCTTTTCCGAAGTAATATAATAAGCATAAATAATAGTTTGCATTACCACAGAATTTCTATAAATTTAATTAAAACTGCTTGTGGATCGTTATGTTTAAATAAATAATATTAAGGCACGCTTCTTGTTACTGCCTGGTGAGATGTTTTTATTTATTGAAAATTATCCAAATTATTTTAAGGAAATGAAAAATGTGTCTTTTCTCATTCTTTTCCTCCTGAAAACCTCCAAGTGCGTCGTTGAACGTCCTGAACGTATGACTAAAGTTTGTCTGATAAAAGCCAAGGAAAGTCGACATTGATTGAGAAATTGTTCTCTTGTCTCTGTACAGAATCATTGGGATTCATTTCCTGCACCGACAAGCGGACATCTGCACCTAATGCGTAGATACATAACCAAAATTGGCGAAGTTTTAAAATTCTCTGGAATTTTTTCACGCTTTTTAATTCGATTATTGACTCTATCCAATCATTGATTGGTCCAGACAAAAACATGGTCAAAGCAGTCTTTTGATTGGCTGCAAGCGAAAGGTATATAAACAAATACTAAAACTTAGTTTCCTGTCTTTTTCATTTATAATTTCGCTAACATATATGCTTTTGTAAAAAGAATATATTACACGAACAAACTTATTTTAATTTATGCGATGCGTAGAGCTGAATGCGCAAATGTGAAAAGTTTTTCAAACAATAAACAAACACGTGCGACCTTCCCGTGTCATAATTGCACATCATAACCGCAATCGCATTAATTGTTTATACTTTTTCATAATCCATTTCAAAATGGCTGGCGAATATTTGGTCAATTTAACAGGAGGTGGACCATGGGGTTTTAGATTGCAAGGTGGAAAAGACTTTGGAAAAGCTTTAACCATTGCTCGGGTAAGATTATTGATTTACATAAAGGCTACACTCGAAGAAAGGAGTAAAACGTCACAGATGTTCCATCTGTTGTGTTGGTTTCTTCATTCGCATACGTTTGTTGCAAGTACTTTCTTGCATTGAAATGTCAACATTTTCTTTTTTTCTTCCACTTTTGTAGGTAACACCAGGTGGAAAAGCTGACTTAAAAGGTATACTTGAAGGTGATATTATAGATGAGATCAATAACAAGCCTGTGGAGCATCTCGTTCACATGAATGCGCAAAATTTAATAAAAGCTTCCCGAGACACACTGCAACTAAAACTGATTAGGTGAGTGTTGTCTTTTTACGCAATGTTGTTGGAAAGTAATAATCTGAAAAATTCACACTGTGGTTAAAATGTTTGTCAAAACTGATATTTCATTTGTCCTTGAATCAATTAAATTACTCATAAACGTCAGTCTGTTGGCAAAAGCATTCACACAATAAATTTGTGGTTTCACGTTGTTTCTAGAGATAGGTGAAGAGTTTATACTACGCTGGTTTCTATTGAAGGCGTAATCGTTTTCATAAGAAATACGTCAAGCATTACTATTTACTACTGAATATATGACTCCCCCTGATTAACGGATTCACGCCAATGAATACAGTTTCACATTAAATACATAATATACATATCCATGTTAAGGCAGAAATTGTATATTCGCAATTTATAGCTGAAACTGACTAATGTAGAAGTGTAGCAAGTAATCTCGAAATGGTTCAGTCTATATTTTTGAGTGCAGAACAAAGTACATGTCGAACAATGAACATGTCACAATTATCGTCTGTGTTACAAATTGTTGGTATCAACAATGTAACAAAATGAAACGACCTATCATTATAAATCTGTAACACTATTGCATATCGCAACAAGAGATGTTATCTATATTTTTCTAATGGAATTTTAAAGTAATAATGCATACTGTGTGAAAGGTATACACGTTTCCATAGTAATATTGGTAAAGTTTTAATTTCAAACACATTACGTGATTCAAACTATTACGATTTATAAAAGGAGTGATTCATTTATTTTTATGTAACGTTGAAAATGAGATTCCATTTCTTTTATCTATAATCTTATGTGAGATTATTCAAAAGTTTAAACATTCATTGTTAAGTTCGTATGACTTGCAAACGTACGATTTAAAGTCCATTATGATTGGATGATATACGACCTCAGTATAAAGGACATTTAAACTTTCTTCTGAACTCATCAACAGTACGCAGACAAATGGCGGGAAACGTAATATAAAAACAAAAAAAAATAGAAAATGCATGTAGTCAATCACTTTACAAATTTTGAACGTATGATGTTTGTCTATGCAATAATTTAGTTTCATATCATCAAATGTTAACAATTTCTAAGAAAAATACTAAGTCGAATATTGTTATGGAAGAATGTGTATTTATTTTGCATTTTTTGTAGAAAAACTGGAAATAGCGCAAAATCCATCACGTCTAAATCACCAAAAGTCAATTCAAATATGAACGACTCTACAAGGACTGATCATAAATTCAATGCAAAACCAAGACCATTTGGCGTTAAGAGTTCAAAAATTACAACTGGAAAAGGGAAACCTGTATCGTAAGTACGTTTTACTTGTGCAAAGTGTTATGAGTAAGTCACGTGCATTATTTCATGTCGCACAATAATTCCAATCTATCACATTTGCAACATTGGGACCGACATTCAAACACGTTTATCGGAAAATCTATCATTTTTAACGTCAAGAGAAACAGCAAAAGATCCGGATAACTTCGATGATTCGAAAGTCTTAAAAATGCTGAAGATGTCAAAAATAAACGATTCCAGTTTGGCAACTTCATCGAATCCACCTAAAGATGGTAATTTTTGTCGCTCATATTTTTGCTTTCTATTTCAAAGTAATCCTGTTTTGAAGCTAAGTCTAATAATCCAGCTTGTTTTGAGATGTATTTTTCTTTCCATTTGTTAAAAAAAAAGTGCTTAACAGAACGTCAATATGCTATACCCAACGAATAACCAGAATCATGGGAAAAATATATTGAAATGACAAACGAAATGTTTGACCGAGTATCATTGACATATGTTTTTATGATGAGTAGTTATTCCAGGAAAAAGTGTGTTCAAGAAAATAAGCACTCACTTTAATTTCTTTCAACTGCAAACGTTTTTTCATTAAGTTTGTCTTCGTTGTAAACAGTTTACATTATAACTCATTCTTCTCTCTGGCTTTAATTCAAATGCTTTCGTTAAGAAATTCAGTTATCCTAAAAGCACTGAGTTTTCTTTCTTAGATTTTCCTTCACCTCCACCAGAAGCCCATATTTACGAAGATAATATGCCAACTGGACAGTCCAGATCTTTCAAGCTGCTTCAAAAACATATCGACCAGGGGGGTGAGTGAAGAAAAGAATGATACAACCAATTTATTTTTTAAAAATGTCTTTGGCATTTTAACCTTACGCGCAGATTTCATGGCATTTTCTTCCGAGAATGGTATCAGTTTCTTTTGCAAGATATTTACCAATTTGTTTAGACACTCTTCCAGTTGTATTATCACAAACAGATAGCAATAGAAAGCGTGTAGCTCCTCCCTTGCATTCTTACTCGGGATCATCAAATTCACGAGTTGGTAAATCTCTCGTTCAAAAACCAATGAATACGAAAGATCCACCTCCCTGTCCTCCTGGTGTCAAGCCCATGCAGGTGTTACCATCAGAAGTCAACTTTACACGGCCTTCAGAGGCAGCTAGGGCAGCCTATGCCGAACGACGACTGCAAAGCATACAACCCATACGCCCAGATCCCACACCATCTTCTCCTGCGTCGCATACCTATCGTTCACCGGCTGTACCCGCCCCTACTTCTAGGCCTAAAGCCCCAAGCCCATGGACACCGTTAAATACAGGATCCCCTCATTGTCATGGATGCGGACAAGTTATTACGTAAATGAAAATTTCTACTTTAGGAACAAATGATCTGCTTTTATATTTGCTTTTAACCATGCATCACTTTTTTATCTCACCAATTCTCACTAAATTCTATGTAGAGGCTCATTCTTAAGCGCTCTCGGTAGAAGTTGGCATATTGAACATTTTAACTGCGCGGGTTGCAGGAAATCACTTCAGAATGAGGGATTTCTTGAAGAATCAGAAAACCTCTATTGTGAATATTGTTATGACATGAAATTTGCACCTCACTGCGTCGTATGCAACGAGACTATTTTTGGGGTAAGTGTAGTTTTATATTGTTTGTGGATACAATAAGTATGCACCTTTATAGGATGTCTAATAATCACTTGTTTCCTCTCCGTTTGCGAGACACAGGGTGTCTCTGAAACAGCTTTGATAATGTTTAGCAGGTTGTCATAAATCAGAAAATTTGCTATGCTGTAGCAACTTCAGTATTTCATCTTTTATTTGTGTGTTTTGTTGACAACACCTTATCGTTCAAGTTACGGCGTTATGGCCACGTCTACCTCCTCTCTCAATATTACACGAAACAAATATTAACGCCCCACCTAAAGTAAAATCTAAATATCTTAAACAGTCATCCAAATGTGGGTTGGTAACTTGAAAAATAAAAAAATTTCTATCTTCCTTTTCAATACTTTCTTACGACATCGTGCATTGCAACATATTTAATTCATGAAATTTATGGAGTTTTTAATTAGTGCTGGAACTTTGTGTTTCATTTTTGTATCGTCAAATCTGATCATAGTCGAACAAAGAGATTTGCTCCTTGGGTGGCATTCATTTATAACAAGTAGATGAAAAAAACCCCGCATTAATGATGTCAAAAAAAGACGTTTAATTTCATAAGGCATCATCTTCTAGCTTGATGTTAAGTTGTCTGTCACTTTTTATTTTAGTATTTTTCTACTGCTTATCGCTATTGACCATCTGTCATATCTTGAGCATTTGTCAAGTGCTGTCGTTCTTTCTGTTTTATACAATAGATATCGTAAAAACTTGTACTATTCACACTATAAAAATATGTGTTACGAAACCTTGATGCTGTTGCGGAATGTAAAACATACGGTTGTTCAATGTCTTAAAACAAACAATGACAGCTACAAAAAAGTTACACTCTATATATTCATAATCAGAGAATGAAAACCATCATGTGACTAGGACATTCTCATGCCCCATGATGAGCAACGGGGAGCCTATGCGGATGAGAAGAGTAACAGATTAACAATTTGCTTTCGGCAACTTCACTCCCCAAATAATCAAGGATTCTGATTTAGTTGAGATTTATCATAAATGAAAGCTTTTTGGAGATTACCGAAGGTTTGTCTGTTTATCACTGGCTATCACTTAATACTAAAGGTTAAAGATGTCAATTGCAATGATGAAATTTGATGCGACTAGAATAACCAAGTAAACCAACATCTGCCACCAGAAGATTTCTCCTTACGTCGAAGATTCGTTTTTGTAGAACTCGATAATTTAATTGCATAAGAAAATAACATCAAAGAATTGTAGCGTTTTGAAGACGATCAAGTGCCGAGATTTCAATTCCATCTGTGTATTGTGCAGTGATGTGACTATTTACATGGTTATAAAACGAAACGCACTTTGAAAGTATCTTACACAAGATATAAAAGTTGGCGAAGCTGCTGCCAGAAAGTGTTGAAAATCCTTCCATATTTGAGACAAAAAGAGTTCAAGTACAATTTGTTTGCATTATTGTTTTTATGGTTTGGACAAATTGCGAAACATGAACTTCTAATTAACAGGTAAAAGGAAACAGCTGCGTTAGATCGAGCCCTATAACCTACGCAAATGATAATAATACATTTACGTTCTGTAAACTTCTGATTTATTTCAGAGATTAGGATTGTATGTTGATGTCACTTATAGATGAAAAGGGAGTCAAACTAATTGTACTGCTATCTAAATTTTGCTTATTTTATAAAGTACAAGCGACATTTCGAGGTACATTTAAACATTGGCAAGTGAAACCGTGATAGTGAAATCGTGATAGTGCTTCCTTTCAAATTTCATGAACAAATGTTGACATTGTGTCTTGTTTGACGTTGCTTTGTTTATGTTCGTCAGCAAACAAACCCACATAGCTACCTTGAACTTATTTTCTTGAAGATTAGAAAAGAACCTATCAAATTGCTCGAGCCACGTCAACCACGTACGTAGTTGAATCACCAAAGGTAACTACTGACTATACTCTCAAACACAAACTTATCGTTGGACCAATTTTCGAGAAACATCTAGTAAGCAAAGATACAAGGATTTATGATTTGTTTTGCCTTTTGTTTTTACCAATAAAGGTTCAAATGTTTGACGTTTGAGCTGAAGCATATTAATACAGTTCAGACAAATGATTATTCATTTTCTGGCATAAATTAGTGTGCACAACTACTTCGATACAAACAGTAACTTGACCATTTGAATTTGTTTGCCAGAAAATAAAATTCCAGCTGTAACAGCAGTTTATTGGCAACGATAGCAATCGATAGCCGTTTAATCTTCAAAATAAAGTTCGCTAAAATATAGTTAACGAATCTCGGAAAGCTGCTAATATTTGGCAACCTTTTGAAGGATCAATGGCAGAAAAGAACGACGTCACGGGATCAACAATGGAAAAGAAATTGTTGGGAGTCGAAACTCCTGATGGAAGTGGTTTTAGTTCAAAATATGATGCATATCAATATCAAGTTCAATCAAACAAAAACCAATCGTCCGTGCTCGTTCAAGACTCCAGCCAAAACACTTCTCCAGGGATCGAACGCATCCAGTCTTTCTCAGAGTTAAAGCATAAATTTGAGACATGTGGCAATAATAATGAAGAGAGTCAAGGAGCTGCCCCGTGTAAAACGCTAACCACAAGTTTTAAACTCGAAGATCTACGACATCTTTGGACCAGTTTGTCTGTCTCGACTGGCTCACGGCCAATTAATGATGTGTTCGATGATAAACATAGCCGACCAAACGATCTTTCCGTAATCCGTGAAAAAATTGCAAACGCAAAAAAAGAGCTTGCTGAAGCAAACCATTGCCGGGAGGTAGCAGAGCAAGGAATCGTTGTTGCCAAGCAACGGATAACGCAATCTAAACAGAAGTCTAAGTTATTGCGAGATCAGCTTCAAATTCGTGAGGATGACTTAAATCGCAAAGAAAGAAAACTTAGCGAATTGAAGAAAAGGCTTGCAGCAAAAGAGGTTCAAATACAGGAAACCCATGAAACAATGGTTTATTACAAAAAGGATATTGAACAAGAGTCTGAGCTAATTGAACAACTATTGCATAATATTGAAAAAGCGAAGAGTAAAAAACGTGAAAACGTGCGGGAGATCCGCAGTCTTGCTCACAAGATATCGCCACTTAAAGCTAATATTGTAAAGGTCGAAACGAGATTAGAAGAAGCGCAAAAAAAGTCACGACGTTTTGAAGACATTTTGACGAAATTATCAATAAAACTGAGAAATACTCGCACTATGCAAGAGTACGCGGCCAGAAGAACGTCTTTTAAAGGTTCGGAAATTAAAGATGTCAAACAAAAGATCAGGGAGAAAAAAGAGCAACTTAAAAAGGCAAAAACTGACCTAAATTTTGTTGAATATCGAAAGGAGTTACTTACTGAACAATTAAGGGACTGGAAAAACGACATTGACAATTTAGTAATGAGACTAAATCCATATCGACAGCAACGAGCTTTAGGCTTCATTTACACTCGAATACCAATGAGTGAAGAATTGTAAAATTTTTCTAATAGTTTCATATTTTTTGCAATTGTAATATTTAACAACATTGGGATTGAGACCCCGATTCACTTGAAAAGAATTGTTTTTTTACAATGTTTGATAAAGGAATGTTCAAAATATTTATATTTTATTTCTTATAAATTGCTCATCAATTATTTTTCTTGATACTTTAATGGAAATGCTAGCCTGCGTGCAAAAATTTCCTACGAAATATCATCTATAAATCAATTATATATATTCTTAGCCATGTGTGAAAGCCATTGGTAAAATGTTTCATCCTGAGCATTTCATCTGCGCCCACTGTGGTAAGCAAATCGCAAACGAGAGTTTTCATTTGGACGGAGGTAAACCATACTGTGCTCGGGACTACAAAGAATTGTTCTGTGTAAAATGTTGCGCATGTAATCAGGTCATTAGTGGTGGAGATCGTTGGTTAGAAGCACTCGATAAACCTTGGCATGCTGACTGCTTTAGATGCGCAGTAAGTTCATTGAATCTTATTTTTTAAATTACATATTTTTTAAAGAAATGAGGCAAATCATTTAACTCTATAATCTCTGTATTACACCGATTGTGGCTACGATAGGATGCTCAAAAATACCAATGCCATCAACTTAAAAGAGGGAAAAAAAAATTTTGCCAGCCTTCCTAATATGGCGGACTTCCATTCAAAATGAATGATTATATATGAGATATGCTATATTATTTCACCCAATTTTCGGTGAAAATGCACCCGATAAATGTATTACATTAAATTGACGTGTCATGTATGTCGTGTATGCGTCAATAAAATACAAAAGTTTGTTTTCGTTTTGGTAAATTACAATTTACATTTTTCTTCAATCTTTAGGTGTGTGGTAGCAATCTAGAATATACGGGATTCTACAGTATGGGTACGCAAGCCGTTTGCCCACTACACGCCTGAGGCGGAGGCACGAATTATTTTATTGAATGTAATAAGTGCACATGTAGTTTGTCAGCTCAAAATGTTTATAGATTTTTGAAGAAATTGTGTAATTTGTGCTGCTGCTTTTCAACTTAATTTGTTTGTCCATTTGACGCAAATCCGGTAATTACATGACTCAGATATCGATTCCAGTCGCCGTGAACCATATTAATTATCTTTGTTGAACGTTGACTTCACTTAGACACAGAATAGATACATATGTATCTATTCTGTGACTTAGAGTCACAGTGACATTGATACGTAACCGTTATTTATAAGGGGGAGTTATTAAAGCATTGAATGTAATTTAATGATAGATCTGACGTGGATAATTCAGCGAGAAATGAAACCGAAATATGACAAGTTTCACGATATTACGGATGTTTAAATACACGTAAAAAGTGATGAAGCACCGCTCGTACAAAATGACTGTGTAAATAGCTTTCACAGTTAGAATGAAATCTAATTTATTTACGGGAGGAAGGGACGTGTGCCCTTCCCTTTCCCTCAAGAAAGTTTGAAGACTGAAAAGTCGGGCAAATTTTCAAAAGTACGAGAGAAAGAAATTATGAAGTGTATTTTGAAGTCAAGTGTTGTATTCCATTGTGAGTTGGAGAATATTTATATGACAGTAATGATAATTCTCGCACGCATATGGGGTGTCATTTGAGTTTGATTAAAGACATCGGTAAAAGCAGACATTATGAAGTATTTTCTCGAAGTAAGCAGCAATGGTTTCCGTTCCCAAGCAAAATAATCCGGATGATGATTATGAGGGTTCATGCATGTTTTGATACATATATAAAGAGCTGACCACTGAAACTGCGAGGGTGTTGGCATTATGACGTATTTTTATGCTAAATATCATCATATGCTTGTCGTTTCTTGTCTGTCGCACGCGAAAAATATCACTTGTTAATATTCTCTTCTAAGTAAGACTAAAATATACGTCTAAAGGTTAAAGTATGAGCGACGATTACGAAGTTGTTTTGTCTGGTGGTGGACCTTATGGATTTCGTCTACAGGGAGGCAAAGAATTTGGCCGAAGTTTGGCTATACAATCAGTACGATAACTTAATAATTTCTGTTTACATTTCAACTGTATTTTTAAATATTTTTAAGTAAACTTTTGGCTGTAGTTGTCGTCTTGTGTGATTACCATATGTTGTTGTTAAATAGTTTATGACAAGCCCTCGTCTGATAATTGTTAATAAGCACAAGTGCTTAGTGAGATGATACAAGACTCCATATGTTTTGACAGGATGCGTGTTTTCTAGTGTCACGAGAAGTTGAAATCGTCGATATATAGGTCAAATACTGAACACAGTTTGAATTCCATAATGTGTAAAATTTGTCATACATTCCTTTAGAGTTAACATAATAAAACTTCATACTTTTGTAAGCAAAGTACTAAACTACATTGTATATTCGATCTTTCTCGACTGATGCATTAATTCGTTGTTGCGTCATTTCGTCCATATTTGGCATAAAGTTTTCGGAAAAAATGCCAAAATTATATGGGCGCTGTTGTAAAAGCACACGCGCTGTACAGTAAATTTTTAAAATCGGCGTCAAATGTCCATGGAGTGTATTTTCTTTTTCCATATACTACGATCCAACGTTTCGTAAAACTCCTTTTCTTACTATTTTTATATATTTTAATTGATCATTTATGAGAATTTTGCATCGTTCAGATAACTCCAGGAGGAAAAGCAGACAATCAAGGAATCTGTTCTGGAGACAGTCTAATTGCCATTAATGACCAACTCACTGACAACATGACCCATATTGAGGCTCAAAATGCAATCAAACGTTCACAGACTTTGAAACTAAATCTTAAAAGGTGAATTTTTTGACACTCGCAACACATGATAACGTAAAAACACCTGAATAACAAAAATGTTATTGCTTTTTGATAGAAAACCTGGAAATATTGCTGTATCCATGGGATCAAAAAGCCCCATCATTTCAACAAAAATAACACATTCAAACAAAGTAGACCACAAATATAATGCTCAACCAAAGTCATTCAGTCCAGTTCAAGGTCCAATCAAATCATCTGCTCCAATCAAATCATCTGCTCCAACCAAATCATCTGCCCCAGTCAAATCACTGTAAGACTTACAATTTTCTTGTTGACAATTTAAAAACTATCTTGCCCTTACATAAACATATCTAAATTTGTATGTAGAAGCATAAAAAACTGAGATTCTATTTGTCATGAAACGTTGCCCAAGCTTTCATATAAATACAGCATGTTGTTTTTGTTGATAGGAAGTCCTCAGCACCACCAGATGAGAAGAAGGAGGATAATCTTGAAGATTCAGAAGTGTTGAAAATGTTACGTAACTCAAACCTGTCAGATGAATCAACTGGTTTACGTCACACTACAAATGGAAAAATACTTAGCAGTGACTCTGACAATGAAAATGATGGTGAGCATACTTGGGCTCTTCTCTCCTCTAGAGTTCATTTTATTTTTAAAGAAGAATCTACGTTGGGGCAAAGCTTTCATTTTTCTTAAGTATCTACACTTAAGATCCCTTATAACATGGCACATTACTACTTGTAGTGAGTTCTTCAAATTTCTTTTAGAGTTACCACCACCACCTCCAGAAGCATATGAAGCACATGAAAGAAATGAAGGACATCAATCAAGGACATTTCGCTTACTGGAGAAAACCATGAACGCTGGAGGCACGTAGCTAACGAACGGAGAAAATTTACGCTCACTTATTCCCAACTACGTAAAGTATTATTTTAGTCCATAGGCAGAAAAAAAATTAACAAAATTGAAGTGAATAACGGTATTAATTAAATGTTGTTTGATGAGGTACCTATCACATTCATTCTTGAAAATATTTAATTCTTCTTTTAAGGCGTTTCTAGTTTGTATAGTTACAATCAAATGTTTTAATGAAACCGTTTATATTTTTCATAGATGATCATCCTAGTTCGTTAAGTAAAGAAACTGTTAATCCACTCACAACCAATCACCTGAGAGGTCCAAAACCTTACAACTCACCCAGCCAAACCTGGACTCCACAGCCTGGAACAATCAAATCTGGTCCACCACCAATCCCAGCTAATAAAAAACAACAAAAACCCGTTGAAGCCTCTCCACCACCTCCCAAACCTGCACCATCGAAGCCTCCTTCTCAAGCTACACCACGGATTACTTCGCCGCCAAAGCCAAAGCCCGGCAGTACAGTGTGCGATAAATGCGGTGAAGCCATACAGTGAGTGTTTGCTAGAGAAACACTTTGTACGTATAACTATTTTAATTTTACCATTCCTTTTGCCAATCTTTTTAGAGGTCCTTTTGTGAGCGCTCTAGGACGAACATGGCATCCGAATTGTTTCCGTTGTGCTGGATGCGACAAGTCATTGCAGAATATTGGTTTTATCGAAGAAGCTGGAAAGATGTATTGTGAAGATTGTTACAATGAGCAGCTAGCACCAAAATGCGCAAAATGCAATCAGCCAGTTGTTGGTGTAAGTTTGTCTTTACTTTAGCATTGTTAGCGTATTTAACGTTACTTAACAATCGACTGTGGAAATTTACATTCGTAACCAGGTCTGCTCTTCTCATATATGTTTATATTTTAGATGAGTGTTAAAGCTCTGGGAAAACTTTTCCACGAGGAATGCTTTACATGTACCCACTGTGGTAAAAAATTGGCTGGCGAGGGTTTCAATGTAGAAAATGGTGAACCATACTGCGGTTATCACTATAATGAATTGTTTAGCGTGAAATGTTATTCGTGTAAGCAAATAATTCGTGCCGGTGATCGCTGGTTGGACGCTGTCAATGAAAAATGGCACGTCGATTGCTACCGTTTAAAAATGTTATATCGTTGACATTTAGTAATAATTAAACTTTTATGTATTTTTTTCTATCTTTGTGCATTAATGTAATGATTATTTTTTTAATTTGCACTACAATACACGCTTGATATTATTTGTCATCGTCAAAGAAATCAAATATCTAAAAACCTTTAACTCGCTATAAATGAAAGCATAAAACATAAAATAATTTCGATGGAGAATAAACAGTTACCTTTACGTTTATCTTTATGATCAATATATTTGCAATGATAGAATATTTGATTATATATCCAATGTATTTTGTAAATCAATGTATTATAATTTGGAAATATAAAGTTCCTTCAATTCTCTCGTTTCTATGACTTTAAGTGTGTGTTTATTTCTACCACATATAAGTTAATTTAATGTATTTTATCATATAGTTATAGACGGAGTGATCGATTTCAGTATTAGGGATCTTTTCATGAAATGTAATCATGGTGTCTATAATTTCTGGTTTAGACGTTTGTAGCATTTCTTAATGATTTTTATATCAACTGAATTTTCCCAATCCGACTTTGCAAAAAAGCCTCTTGATTCATGATTGACGAACGGAAAATAAATTATATCTTCCTTAATGAATATGTTCTGATTTATGGGTTTGTTCAAGATTTCTTCATTTCTTTGGTCTCTCTGTTCATTTTTGTCATTTATTTCTTTTTTTTCTCATCAGATTAGACTTCGTTGGCCATTTCCGCAGTCTTTTATGAACTGATTACATTGTATTTAAATCTCGTTTGATACTGACTGCAAATTTTTGTCCCTAATCTTTTACAGGTTTCGTTATCTTTTCTTTCTCCTTACTTCTTTGTTTTCTTCCTCTACTTCTCATTTTAAAACTTCACGTCAATTAACGTTACGCTTTTGCAGACTAAGCTGCTAACATGCTGTGCAAAGTAACTCCAAACAATGCTCTAAAGCAAGAAGTTGCCAAAACTTTGCCAAGTACACAATGCTATGTGCAATTTCTCCTGACTGTTTTTCTACTGATGTAGCAAAATAAGGATGACGTAATGAGCGATTGTAAACAAAAATGGTGGACATTTCAATACCAGAGAACATTGATCCAGCATTTAGACTTCGCAATTTGGGACAGTTAGGATCTAGTGTTGTTGTAGAGAATAATGTACCAGCAAGAAGATATCTTCGGTCAGGAAGTGAAATGGAAAGAATGGTAAACTGTTTTTAACGTCTCTAGAGCACTGAGAGAGAGAGAGAAGTGACTTTGTTGTTGTTGTATATCTTCGAAGTAAATCAAAGAGTGGGATGATTTCTCTAAATGATTTTTATTGATTTTATTATTTCATCCATTTACTGGCGATTTCTTCTGTTTGATGTTGTCGTACTTATATTTCTTTTTATTTTTGTAATAACAAAATGATTTAATCCATTAAGGCAAACGTTTATATAGAAGAAGGCAATCTTGAACATGCGTATGTCTTGTACACTAAACTAATTACGTAAGTTACTTATATTTTTCTAAATTCAAGATTTTTTCAGTTGCTCACACACAATTAACACAAAAATAAACGGTGTTCAACTGCCCTTGACAACATTCTGTCTGCTTTATTGCTCTGAATATTTTCAAACACCTGAAACGACTCTACCTGCTATATGCACTTGCAAGTTGCAAACACATATTTTTCTTATTGTATTTGATTTAAGTACATGGTGACTATTAATCAGGTACAAAATGTATTGATTGATTGCTCTGAAAAATGACATACATATAACTGTACTTTAGATTACTTGTTGAAAAACTTCCAAAACACCCCGAATACAAGCTGATAACTCCAATTAACCGAGCAGATAGCAAAAAGGTAAGCATATGAAAAATGGACATTTTCTAATATTATTTATCATCAGTCCAATATAAATTGGTGCCATCATCAACCTTAAGAGAGTGATACGAGCATTCAAACGAGCAGAAGAATTAAAAGTTATTTTGAAAAAACAGTTTGGTGAGGAATTGGAGCTATGGAAATTAAATGAAGCTAATAAAGTAAGTTGCAACAATAAGTTGTTTTGTTTGATGTTGGGGTTGATTTATTTATGCAATGCTGTATGTTGTAAACTTTCATGTCATCAAGACACCTACTCTTACATAGTGTAAACTTATAGGCAGAAATGCCACAAAGTCTAGTTCATATTAATAGATCAAATTGGAAGAAGAAGAAAATGAAAAACGTCTCCAGCAGGAAAAAGACCATGCAACACAAGAGGAATTGGAGCAACAGAAACGACCCAAATTCATCGAAGTGAAAACTCAATGAAAATAACAAATCCCATATTGATACCAAATGCTCCTCCACCTGACCCACTTCCTGAAAGCATAATGCCTAATGAGCCAAGGAAATCCCTTACTCCCCCAGTTTCTTACTCAACCTTAACAGATGAAATACACAGCAATATAACTGTTAAAGAGAGGTCTCATTTGTTATTTATTCTTGAATCCTTGTTGACAAATTGTTTTACTTATTTCAAAACTCTTTCATTTCATTAGAACTACACCAACAGTTGACAGAAGTACAAAGCCGAGTTGGTTTGGTAAGTTGCATTGAATCCATCACGGATGACGCAGTTTAAAGACATTTTCACGTGATGTCTTCAAAAAGAAAAAAATGCAGTGTAGCACCAATTTAACGGGAAAATAACATGAAATCCCTAATTTTTGTTTGTGACTAATACTTCTTGTGTACTATTTCGTCTTTTAATGTATTCAATGAGATGTTTTACGGTAAATGTAGATTTTGTAAATGGACTTCGAACAGTTAACGTTCCTACTGAACTGATCAGAATATTCCTGGAAGTAGCCTCGCCAAACACTCGTCAGAACCGTGAGACATGTGGGATCTTAGCAGGAAATTTGGTAAAAAATAAATTAAAATGAATTATAAGTATTGTCCAAGTGAATCCGATTGAAGCCTTGGTGGAAGAAAATGATTCACTTTTTAACAACGATATTTTGCCTTTCGGCAAATAAATTGAGCAAAATTAATTTCATTGTAGGGTCAAAACACCTTTCAAATTACCCATTTGATCATTCCCAAGCAAACTTCGACTTCTGATTCATGTACCACGCTGAATGAAGAAGATATCTTTTCGTATCAAGATACACATAACTTGATCACACTAGGTTGGATACATGTAAGTTTTACTTGTGGCACCTACTTTTTTTTATATAACTCTCTGCTTACTTTACCAATAAAATTTTTCATTTCCAGTATTTCCAAGTTCATGTTTACTTTGGATACACTTTACTATACTATTATCTTTAGTTTTATGAGATCGTCAAGATGGATTAACTTGAGAAATTAAGGATAGATCCCTCACGTAATGTATGAACTTCGTTGGTGGTGAAATTCCACTAATTACTGAATCGTCAACATCAATATTCCATTTTTTAAACGAAAGGTTCCATTTTGGTCACATGGTTCACATCACTGTTACTGTTATTGTGTTAATGACTTTAAGAATTGACTTTGTTCCAATGTTCATTGTTTTCAAATGCATGAAACAGAGAAACCATAAAAAAGGACTCTGTTTTTAGAACGCAATTTAAGTTGGCCCATAAGTTTTATCATTCAGAAGAAATATAAGATAAGACCTACTTGGAGTCAATTTTATCTTATATTACATCTTTGTGCCTATGTTTTCGTGTCATTTTTTTAGACGCACCCATCACAGACGGCATTTATGTCGAGTATTGACCTTCACACTCATTGTTCGTACCAGTTGATGATGCCAGAAGCAATTGCCATAGTTTGCGCACCAAAGCATTCACAGTAAGGTCATCTAACACGAATTTCAAACTTTTCCTCCAAAAAACTATTTTTCCAACTTTCTTTTTCATGCAGTAAAGATGCATGTTTTTACACCTTTTGTTTTCCGTAAATATTTCATTAGTTAGCAGGGAAAATAAAAAAGCATCATGAAGATAAATTTTATGCATGCATTTTAACGTAAGTACTACTTCATATTTTTTTGTTTTAGAACTGGCATATATTCTCTGACCAGAGACTATGGATTGAAATTTATATCAGCGTGTAAACTGAAAGGATTTCATCCTCATCCTAAGGAACCTCCTTTATATGAAGTAAATGCAAAATCAAAATATGGTTGAAACAGTCATAGCCCATTTTTCAATTATTTTGCGTTTGAACTTTTCATTTGCTAAATTTTACAATAATTTCTTCTTAAAACAATTTCGTCGTATACTTTCATTCAGGAAAGCGCCCACGTCAAATTGGATGGAAACTCAACGATAACGACAGTTGATCTAAGATGATTGATCGAGCTTCGAAAACTTGAAATCGCGTTATATATGGAAGAAGAAAGTACATAAAGCAAAAGAAACGCTTTGTTCTTATATATTTTTAAGGAATTAAAAAGTGTTTATTATCTTTAGTCTATCTGCTATCTGCATCCATATCTTTTGAACATAGGCATTTGGAAAATGTAGAACAAATACCAAGTAATAATACCTTTGTTGCCAATGTAACTTCTAATCATTAATTATTAATAAACCATCAAAGAATCAACATGGCTGACGATTATATTGACGTTAACTATGAATTCAATGGCATAATGGGCACAATATTATTATTTAGCAGGTAATTTGGAAAACTTACGTACGGGCAAATGCTTGTGTGTATATCTGTTGCCATAGTATTTTCAAATACACGATTTTGTTGTGTTTGTTTAAAAAATTTATGCTAACAGGACACTATAGACAAGTAAAAAGTTGAAATTTGAAAAGTTTAAATATTTTTTTTCTGTGATCGGAAATCGAGTAGGTATTTCTATGTTGTTCTTTGTCAAAATAAAATCACAGGTTAATGCGAATGTTGAATGATGTTTGTTGATGTTCGTTGCTATTCTTTTGTGACCAGGAGTTGGCAAGGTGTAAATTTAGAATTTTTCTCACTGTGCTCTTGGACAATTCTACTTGATATATTAGCCCGAAATTCTGCTTCTCAACAACTTAGTAGCAATTCAATTTTTGTAGAGTTGCTTGCGAGACAAGTTTTCTTTTGTTTTGGTCAAGGGAAATCTGATGTTAAAACTTAAGTAACAATAAACTTCCGTCAAGTGAATACTATCACTGCTTTAATGCTTCAGTCTGGTATTTTTATCAAGAAAGATGTAATTAATACATACATAGTGCTTATGTGCTTCAATTTAGAGTGTGTGTTTTTTTATCATAAGTAACTTCAGACATGGGATACTCAGGCAGCAATTATTTTTCCATCTATTTAAACTAAATATATTTCTCTCTGCTGATTATTTTTATTTTTTTCAGCCATAGAGCTGCATGGGTTGTGGTTCTTCAAAAACATCAGTGTTAACTTCTCAACCTAAACAAGAGCATTTTGCATGCCCTTCACAAGTTGAGCAGTCCTCTGAGACAAACAATTATCATTCCTGTCCTGAAGTATCAAAGCAGAAGAAGGAAGTTACTACAAGTCTTTCAGACCTTGGTTTAGAGATTTCTTTTGAAGAAGCTGCCTCCCTTCGTCTTCATACGCCAATGCAAATGTGGACTGCAGTAAAGAAGACATGTACTCCAAACAAAAAATGGATAGTTGAAAAAAATAAAAGCCGAAAGGATGGAAAACAATTCGTTTGTTTGTTTCATCAACATTTAAAGATTTCCACATTGAACGTGAAGTATTGGTGAAAGAAGTATGTTTTTGTTTTGTAAAGTTTCAACTAAATCTAATGTATAGTAGAAGTGATTGACTGCATTAAATGAATTAGATGGTACTATTTCATAATTTAATAATATAATAGTGAGTATGAAGATGATGATACTTTTATACTGGCTACTAACATTGCTCGGCTAAACTTCTATGGGTTTTGCATATATTTTTTAAATTTTTACTAAGGTGTTTCCAGATTTGCGTCTGTGGTGTGAGCAAAGAAAACTGCATTTAGTCGAATGCGATCTTCGATGGGTATGTGAATAATTTAATCTCTAGATAGTGTGTGAGATTATCATTCTGCATGAATCTTGGCAAAATTTTATCTAAGTTATTGAAGGTTGCTTAACATGTTTTGCTGTTTGAGATTTTAAAAATTAAGTCGGTTCTTATGTTCAGTTTAACAAACAAAGTGACTTGTGAAGGCCAGAACAATATGTTTATTTCTATTGTTATATGTGTTCTTATCTTTCACCACTTTTTACTTATAATGCACAAATTTAACTTAATGTTAGGGTGTTCCCAAGGATTCCACATCAGAAGAGACAATAAGAATATGTTTGGAAGTATTAGATCGTTGTCATGAAGAAAATGTTTTACCTTATTTTCTCAATTTAACCTGGTAAGTTAACAGAGTAGCTTTCAAGATATTTTGTTGATTTAAAAATTTCTGTTTTGTAAAATTATGAATTTGTGGTAATGAAATAATTTTTGAAGCAAATATTTGACTCTCCACTCCGTCTACGCAGTGAAAGAGCCGGTTGGATTCCGACTTTTGGTGATCTTACATACAATCTCGCTGCTCAATATGGCTGGGTTTATGGTCTTTCTGTCACAGAAATGGAAATAGTTCATGGTGCTTTTAGAAAATGCAACCCAAATGGTAACTATATAAGCAGTTTTACGAGAATAAATGTTTTCTTTGAAACCGGATTACTTGTCAAATTCCGCTCAATTCACCAAAAACACGTACGGTGAACAGTTAAATATTTTTTTCCTTACTCGCTAGTCACTATAGTATGCAGCAAACATACACTTTGTGTCGACGATAAACGCCCAGTTATTTCCAGGTTTTCCTGTTGATGAATTCGGCTCTGACTTGTAATAAAATAATTAAATGAGTTTTCAAGAGAGCCACGTTGTTTTTGTCAGTAAAGCGGAGTTAGCTAACTTTAAACTAAACATGCCAAGATATTCTATTAGTACACTTTTACCGGCAATAAGCGAATCAGAGTTCGGTTGTTTTGTTCTTACTTTATCATAAATTGTTGTAAAGCGAATCAATTGAACTATTTTTCAACATATTTCTAACCTCCTCCTCGGTATTTCACTCACTTGTCATTTTCTTTGCAGCGTTGTTCCTCATTCGCGATGGTGATTTTGCCTCAAAATTGCCAGAGAGTTTGAAGGAAGCTTTCGTCGACCCCGACTCATTTGCTCAGGATAAATTGGTTAAGTTAAAACAAGTCATTCGAGAGAAATTTCCCGTAAGAACTTTAAGAGTTGTCTTCCTCCCACTAGATACAATAAACGACTTGATTTTTACCGCGCTTTGAATCCTAGATCACAAGACGTTAAATTGACAAGAGCTGTCATTCATGCCCATATATGGAGTTGTTTTTTATGTTGTTGCCCATTGCAAATGGCTATTTTGTATATTTCTAATGATAGTTAATTTTACGAGTAACAGTGTGCTCAGAGCATTTAGCCACTTCTGCTGCTCTTTTCAAATGAAACAATATTAATATAAAAATGATAATTTCGCAATGTTTGTTGTTTTTGTCTTCTCAGGAAACAAATATTCATCATTATAATGTGGAGTACAGCAACGAACAGGTTGATGGTATGACCGAAAAGGATGTCAAATTAAAAGGTCTCAGTGGACAGGACTCTTTCTTTTATAGAACAGTTGGTATTCTTTCCTTTTAACTTTCCGTTGAGAATTTTTATTGATTTGAATTCAGTTTATAGCTGCCCAGAAAGTGAGCTTTGTACAAATTTTGTCACGCTGAGCGCAGCATTCAAATAAATAGCTATTCTTTAAACTCCATGGAAAACTGGGAAATAAGTTTTGACCATTAAGAAGGAATTTTATATTCCCTGTAGGTGTATGAGTTTTTCAAGAAAAGAATAGAGGAGCAATATCCTCTTGATCCAACACCAGAAGATCCACTTGAAGCACAGAGAACTGCACACGAAGTAAGTTCTTTTTTTACCTTTGTTATCAAAAAGTATGGATTGAATATATTTTGATATAAAATATGTATTTATCTTTTATTCAAGCATTTGATAAATAAAGTGTTCATATTATCAATTTGTTATATAGTCATTTCTTGATACAAGATCACAATGTGTGCTTGGAAGAAATGATATTCTGGCTAAGGTAAAATAATGTCCTTTTTTTCTATGTGCGAAATAATCAAAAACATTTTACTGCAACTGTTTTTGATCATCCATGATTACTAACGTAAATTGTAGATCGAAGATTACATTTATGAGAATTTCAAGAAAGCTCCGTTGTTACTGGTTGGAAATGCTGGATCTGGAAAATCTGCTATAATGGCGAAAGCTGCCCATGATGCATTTGAGAAGTCGAGCAATTCTGCTGCTGAAGAAAATTCTCCAATGTAAGTTGTTTAACGGTTATTTGGTTAAATATAATCATCAATATTATTTGAAAAAAAAGAGATTGCTACAAGTGTTGAAAATCTTTTACAGGCAAATGCTGAAGTGGCGAGTTTATTTCCATTTTGTTGGTGCGACACCTGGCTCCACTGACTTGGCATTCTTTCTTCAGCGTCTTACAAAAGAGTTGAGTCCCAGGAAGGTATAATGAATTTGTGGAAATCTCTGAAGACCCATTTCTTTGTGTGACGTTGTAAAAGTTTTTATATTTAGAGCGATGTTGTAAGGGATCTTGACTCTTTGGTGCAGTTGGCAAATTCTATACTTTCTAATGTCAACACTCCTCCAACCATTGTATTTGTTGATGCAATAAACCAGGTTTGAAATTATTCGTCAATTATCGATTTAATAAAATTGTGCCGTCATACATTACAGAAGCAATTTATCAAAAAAAGATGCTTTCTAATGTTATATGTAATTTTGTTTGACTTTTCTCGTGTATGTGTAATAAGATTGCATCAATACAAGATTAATCTTGTTTTCATTTATAATTTAAGTTTTCTCTAAAACGACTTTCCTTCTGTTAGATGGACAGTGATAAGCTTCAATATTTAACAAGATGGCTACCAGAGGTTCTCTCACCAAATGTCCGAATTATTCTCTCAATGATTGACGAGACAGAATGCCATCGTTTACTCAGATCTTATAAAACAAATCCCACAGAGATTGTAGTTGGTGAACTTGATTATGAATCACGAAAGGTATTTTATATTTTTCATAAAATACATTCCTGCCTTGATTTTCCTGTTGCAAAGTAAAAGAAACCTTATTTTAAATCTGAAGCATGTCTAGTCATGTTTTTTTACTAAATACGATCTACAATCTATGATTGAAAGTTAATCTTTTCTTCTTTTCTGTTTTAAGAACTCGTTTCTCAAAAACTGTTCTTTTCATAAATTATTTTCAAGGCAATTGTTATCAATACGTTGTCTCGTTACAATAAACGATTAGATAACGAACAAATGGATCTACTTTTGGCAAAAAAGGGTTCAGCTAATCCGTTGTGGCTCTCACTTGCATGTGAGGAGCTTCGTGTCTACGGTGTGTTCCGAATGGTAAATGATAAAATACAATCTTTATCCGATGATTTATTGAGGTGTGTATAGGCGTGGGTATTGTTTTCGTACGTAGAAAGTATAAAGTCTGGTATATTCTTAGATAACATTACAGTGCCATGATATTTGTTTGTTTTCACTACAAAATCTTACGTGGTGTACTTTAATCTATTTACAGTCTTGAAGTGCAAGTTTTGAATCGGTTTGAAGAAGAAAATGGTGGAGAACTTGTTGCCGCAACAGTTTGTCTCCTTGAAACATCACGCCATGGTTTGCTAGAAACGGAACTACTAGAGTTACTTGCTGACGAAAATAATCTTACTCCAACGGAGTACAAACCCGGCGAAGACGAGCCATTTTCTACAAAGAAGACGGAGAATTCGCCCGCAGATGTTTTGACAAACGATCCGACCAACGCTTTAGCAGACAAACTTCAAGAACAGGTTAACATAACATATGTACAGACAGACTATAACAAAGAAGAGGATCAGAAAAAGAAAGAGGAACAGAAAAAGAAAGAGGTAGAAGGAGGTAAAATGAATTTAGTTATGATGTTTGGGAATTAAAAACTTCGTTTTACTCCTATTTTATCTTTTCTGCTCCAATTTGATCTTTCATATGTTTACGATCTTTTTAATCTAAAAGAAATGATTCAAAAGCGCCGTCGAATTCATCTACCAGCGGTGAAATGGGCTATAGTATATCGTGCTTTAAAGCCATTATTGAGACCGTGTGGGGACCTGGGAGAGGGTCGTTTGGACTTTTATCATCGATCTATTAGTAAAGCAGTTCGAAGAAAGTAAGATGATATCTGGTATTTTTAAACATTCAATTTTAATCTTTTTATAATCTAAGAGTCAAGAAACAGCGTGTCAATTGACTCTATATTTGTTCATATTTTGGTAATTTCATAAGTGAACAATCCTTCGGTTCCTACCTTGTAGTCCAAATCCTTGACTACAAGTTTTCTACGTTTGTATTCAGGTATTTTAGTGGTGATGATGCTCGTAAGAAACATATGTATACCTTCTGGCATGGTCGTTTAGCTGAGTTTTTTGAACATTGTGAAGATTTCGATAGGAAATCAGAGGTTGGTTCCATTGAACACATTGTATGTCCGCACAACAAATCAACTTTGATTATCGGAAAACAGATACTAACTTTCTTTTATTTTAGGAATTGCCATATCATCTAGAGCAGTTATTAGACAATAATCGACTCACACGATGCCTGCTAGAATGGCCTGTTTTTGAACGCTTGTACTCTGAAGACTTCAGTATTGATTTACTCAGATCATGGCAAAAGGTATTTAGAAATGGTAAAAATGATGCATGTTTTTATATGTTTGTCTGACGTTAATATGTTTCTATGTCGTTTATAGGCAGGAGGTTATGCTGTTGCTTCTAATCTGTACAAAGAATCACTAACTATTCTTGAAGACTCTGGTGCTTCAACAGCCGAGGTCGCTGAAAGAAAATCTATGGTCATAACATTCCTGTATGTGTAGTTCATATATATTGTATTTTTGTGTGGATTTTTTGTTACAGATTTCAAAATAACAAAAAGTCGATTATGGATCTAAAATTCATTTTTATACTTCAGAATCCAAGCTGGACAGTACAATGAGTCTCTTGAATTGCTGGAGGAATTGAGAAAGATAGAAGAAGAAAAAATGGGAGGAAGACCTGAGAAAATGGCTGAAATTTATCAGTTGATGTCCAAGACAAAAAGTGAGGTATGTAGGTAGTTTAAAGTAGACGATCTACATTTACAAACATGTAGTTTAAAGTAGATTAAAAAAATTAAATAATTGTTCTCTCGCTGGTAACTTTTTTGTTTTTCTTGTAGATTGTCAAAAACTATAACTTTGTTACTCAATCTCAGCTAAAGGAGGATCGAGAAATTGTCGATTATTGTCGTCAGTGTATCGGCTATCGTGAGAAATTATCTGGCGATGAAAATGATGTAGGTTACACATAAAATGTTTTCTAAAGATTCTAGAGAATTTTATGTACAGTTTGAAATTGAAACATTCGTACACTGAATTGGATCAAAATTCCAAATGGCTGTTTGATAAAAGGATCTAATGTTACAAGTAATTTTGCACTATTTTTAACTGAATTAGTTTTGGTGGGTGAGTTTACTTAATATTTTGTTTTGAAATGACAGGATTTAGTGGAATGTAAATCGCATCACATCTTAAAGTTAAGAATGTTTTTTGTCTTACAACACCTTATTTTATTGATATAATCATCTCAGTTTAAGTGTGCACTGGTAAAGCTTTTGATAGCCCATCATCTAACTATTGTTGCTGACTTGGAAAGAAACGAGAGTAAGAGAAAAGACGCATTTGAGACAATAGAACATGCGATTGAAGTTTTTAAGAAGGTAGCGCATGCGTAGAGTGTTCCCGATCACGAATGTTCAACAAAAACTGTCATGCGCGTCAAACAATTACGTTGTGAACAAACAACATTTTTGAAGATTCATTTTCATATTGAACTTATGATTTAATAAAATTTCTTGTTTTAAATGCTAAAAATGATAATAAAAATCATGCAAAAATATAAATGATTTTTGTTGACCATTCGTGGCGATTTTTTAATGAGATATGTGTTGTTTTATTTCAGAATAAACTTGGTCTTATATACCTAGTTATGACACATCACTTCAGCACGATTTGTGACATCCAAAACTCGGATGATGTTCGGAATGAAGCGTTTGCTTCCGTAGAAAAAGCAATAGAAATATTTACGAGGGTAATTCATTATTACCTATAGTTTTGTGCATTTTATGATTTTTCAAAGACGCAATGGAAAATAGTGTTGTATGAATCAATAACAGTGGGTTTAAGGACATATTTTTTACGTGCTTTGATTCAGAGTTTAACAAACTAAACATACCTTGGTTTTTTAAGTATTTCTATTATGATTGAAAGATCAAAGTGATTTAATTTATGAACTGAAATTGCGTTTTACTAACATTTATCTTTGCGCTTACATTTCTCTCTAGCAAAATGATACTGGCCATCTTGCTGAAGCCATTATGACGAAATCTTTTATTAATCCACGATTATCAAAATACTTTGCTGAGAAGGAAAAGGTACCCGTATGTAAACGACGTCACGTTAAAAACTTTAAAATCTTTCAACATTTCATTATATTTTTTATGTATAGATGCTTATGACAGCTCAGGAGTTGTGTGCCAAGACATATGGTGAAAAACACATGTTGATGTTAAGATTATTCTTAAATATTGGTATTTTGTATGAAGACAACCGCAACTATGAAACAGCTTATGATTATTTTGTAAAATGGCATGATACATGTATTGAGGTACGTCACTTGATTTCGTCATGGAAAATGATGAAACTTACGTCATTTGATTTCAATTCTCGTATTTTAAGGTCCTTGGACCCAGTCATCCAAAGACGAAACGAGCTCAAGACACTTTAAAAGAGCCGACATATATGAGAATTGCCAGCATGAGAACACAAATGTCAGCTGGAACAGCTTGATTAATTTTGCCATGTTGTTTTGTAAGTTATTTTGGGGGGGATAGGGATTGTTACTTTTTAGTATGTAAAATAAAATAATTTACATTATTTTAGTTAAAGAACTCCAGATGTTGTTCTTCCTTTTTTTACACCATAATTTGAGAGACAGTCGACCACAGTTCCGAAATCCAGAGGAGTTTCCACAATGAAACTATGCTTACTTGTAAACATTGAATAAATCTTGCAGACATGTTCATACATCGAACTAATTGTTTAACAACATATTCCATTGTACATTGTTTACATCGTTTACATTATCATATCATGCTACAAAATAATACAATATTTTTTTTGGATTGAGGCAAAAAAACTAACATTACAATTGCCCAATATTCAATACCATTGATCCCAACTATTTAATGTGTAGTCACACAGTAATATGTGCTCAAAAGACTCACACGTTCTGTCGTTCATAGCCACCATGACCCAATATGACCATAGATGAAACCATGTATGTCGTTGTATATTATGTACTGCTGACCAATCGTATCGCTGTCACCGTTGTGCAATTTTAATAATAAAAATTTCAAATACATTTTATATGTTTATTTAACTTCAAATAATGTGTTAAGTTTTTTAAAATAATTTACTAGTTATGTCAGAATCAAATTGGGTGGGATGCCTTGTGTCAGTTGATTGCGAGGAAATTGGCAACTTTGAAGGGAAAGTCGTCAAAATTGACAATCTGAATGGATATGTGAAGCTTGAAAATGGTAGGTGAACACTTATTCAGGGTGAGTGAAGTCATTTCAAAATTGAATTTCCCTTTAATTTTACTGAACCTCACCACCTCTCGTGTTAACTGTTTTGTTGTATTCAATATCTCCTAGTTGACGTTCTTGTACATATCATGTTAAATTTTTCATCTAGTTAATAAAAATAAAAACTTATTTTTTAAATTCTAACATTGTAGTACTGAAGACAGTTTCTGCCATTTTTTTAGCAAGTCTTGATGGGAAACAGTTGTCTTGTAGTAATGTTACACTAAAGCTAGAAGAAATAAAAGATATTCAGATATTGCAACAAGACGTTATGAACACAATACAAAATTTCAACAAAGAACTACAATTTGATCTTGAAAGTGGAAAGGTGTGTAGTTGTTGAATGTAGAATTCAAAGTGTTGTTTTTATTTTTATCCACTCCTTTTTAGCCTTTTTTTCTTGTGATTCAGATTTTTTATCATTCTTTATATATTATTTTGCTAATGTAATCTTTCCCTTGAAACTTTGAAAAAAATGCTAACATGTTTCATACTTAGGAAATGGCAGAGAAGAACACAAAGAAGTTAAACAGTAATACACCAGGTTAGTAAATGCATTAGTTATTTGCTTGCTTTGTTAATGAGGATCAGTTTATTGAATCTTGATTGTCTGCAAAATTCATGTACTGACATCAGTTTGTCATTACATGTCATGTAATTTTTTACTTGGTGGGGAGGTAATTTTGTTTAAGTTCACATCATGAAGATTTTGTGTAGTAGACAAATGTTTATAAATAATCACTATGTAGTTAATTAATAATATATCAATAAATATAATTTCCCATAAATATGTTTTAACATATCTATGATTTATATGTTTTCTCAGTGTATGTAAGTATCAGCTTTGCTGTAAGTGTTATATGTACATAAGTTATATATATGTAATAATGTTCATTTCAGAGCTAAAGAAAATAGAAGGTTTGGAAAATAGAAAGCAAATGAAAAAAAAGAACAAGGTTTTAATTAAGTTTTCCATGATTTTAGGTTTAGTCAGGCATGTTGTTTCAGTGAAGAAACTTGCAGTTTGAATTATTAATTATTTTGGATATTTTTAACATACATTTGCAACTGAACATTCTGTTTTATTCTTTTAGGAATGTTTTGATATACCTTTACAAGATGTAAAAGTGCCAAATTTTGATTTTGAAGTGAGCAACAGAATCATTTATTTTATAAGTATACACTCCACTACATATTTGTCATTATATGAACTGAAATTTTCACATAATACCTTAAGATAAATTTTTTCTTATAGAAAAATTTAAAGTTGTTTAATAAAGAAGCAATCTTTGAAGAGCTTAAGGTAAAAACTTTATTAACACTTAAAGGCAAAACACATTAGTTAATTTGTCTCTACATTCTCAAGAGATACACTACAAGTTGAACATTTGAAATTTTTAGTCCTCAACATTGTGAACATATATACACTGTATTGCTTGAGTTTAAATTTTTTATATAAACTGAGCTGTTCCATTAAAGTCAGTTTTCAACCTATTTTCTCTATAGTTCTCAAACAACTTTAAAAAGTACATTTCATATATTCATAAGATATATGTATGCCTGTGAACATAATGACAGAATATACAGTGTATCACAAGATCAAGCATTCAGTAGTTTTATCATATTTACTTTATAAGAGAGATAAATACAAAAAAAAACTAAATTTTGAATGATTAAAGGGTTCAAGTAAGTCGAAAAAGAGATCGGGAAATGTCAAAAATTCAGTGGAACAAGAACCAGTTAACCTTCGACAAAGTATGTTTTGTTTTGTTTTGTTTTTCTTTATTTTTTAATGTTTTTCTCAGGTTAGTTCCATGATATATGACGTCAATATTATAGGATTAGGATTTACATTTTCAACATATTTAATTATAGTTTTGGCTCCATCACAACATACTGGAGGTGAATATCATACAAATGAAGGTATTATTGTTCCTTCTATTTCTCTTGAGTTGAAGAATGAACTCATTCAAGTCTCAGGTTTGTGGAAAATATTAAAACTGCAATTTTGTGTTTCTCTTATATATTCTTCTTACAATGTTTAAATTAACTTCTTATTCAGAGAGTATGGGTTTTAGTGCAACACAGAGATTTGAAAATGCTGGTATTTGTACCTGTCAAATGGCCTTACAGCTGCTTGGTAAATAAGAATGATCTTTCCTTTAACAATTCCAGTATATCTTAATTTCAAGGATTTTGATCATGTATTAATATGTTTTTTAATTTTGAAACTTTGAAACATTATACTGAGTATTTGATGATATGAATCCTAAAAGGTAAATATCAAATTCTATGGTTCTAAATTTTGCACTTTTATACATAAGGTGGTGGTAATAGATTAAAACAGCGTAATGCTCATCAACCACCTCATGTTGTCATCTTGGCTGGTCCTAATGATGTTGGTATTCAAGCAATATGTGCTGCAAGACATCTAGCCAATCACAGGGTGAGTAATGATTATCAATGTACTTGTGGTGTTAATGTTTTAATATGAAGAAATAAACTATTGTTAATATACCCAATAAGAAGTCAATGTTTACTTTGTTAAGTATTTAAGTGAATATGAATATGGGATTATAATTTACATAATTTTGTTTGTTCATAATTCATAGGTTCAAGTTACGTTAGCAGTCCCAGTAAAAACACAGGTACGTACGTATACATAGTTGTGCTATGTTGAATTTTAAAATCTGTTGCTTTATTGAAAAATTGAAAACTTGTATTCATAGATAAATGCATTTCTCCACATAGATTTTAGTACAAAATCTTGCTTTGTTTTTTCACACTGGTTCAAGATTGACGTCTAATACATCAGGTAATATTTTGTCATATTTTTAAATGACTTATTGTCAAGTTTGAACTTCAGTAAAAATTCAACCTCAAAAAAAATTTGATGTGTTATAACTCGTTATGTTTCCTCATGTTCTTCAATTTTTTTTTTATTTTTTTTTCACTTTCAGATCTTCCAAAAGAACCTGTTGACCTTATCATCCATGGTATGTTTTCTCCTAATGAGAAATCCACCAATCAAACGCCATCTGAACTGAAGTCTGCTTGTCAATGGTCCAATGATAATAAAGCACCAATTTTGTTACTAGAACCAAGCGCCAACACAAGTGGTAGCTAGCACTATTTTTATGTCCATTTGTTAGAATGAATTTAAGGCTACTGTATTTTATAATTTATAAGTTGAAATAATTGTAATTTTGTCGTTTTACAGACGTTGAATCAAAATGGTCGCTTTCTTTGGGTCTTCCTCTAGTAAATATATTTACTATTATTTTAGTTTCACACGACATTCAATAAAATACAAATGTTGAATTTTCATTATTCACTCACAATAGCGTGCACTCTATGTATAATTGCAGTATTTTCTTTATTTTTTCAATCTCATTATGTTTATATAAGTGTATAAACTTGATAATTTTATTTCAAGATTGACGCTTCAAGTGGATGTCAAATGTATTTAGCAGATCTTGCTATACCTAAAGCAATGTACAATGCTGTTAACATCAACTATACTTCTCCTTTTGAAGAGAAACTTGTGATTGCTTTAAATCAGTGAAGACATTTAGAGGTTTGTGGGTAATTTTTCTAATGTATTAGAAATAAATCTCTTTTTCTCGTAATCTATCCTCGAATTCAGACGAACATGGATAAACATAAAAATGGCGATGAAAATATTTGGCGACGTTTTTTTTTCAAAGAATAACGACATTTTCAAATTATACACTGTCTCATGAAACATTTTTATTTTTTCATAAAAATGTTGGAAATGTATGTTTGATCAATTTGATCAAATACTTGTTTTATTGCTTTACAGTCACACATTGTGTGTTAGATCTATTGAAAGAAAAGAATTGTTTTTAAGTAAAGAATAAACGTAGAATTTTTCATGGATAATACATAGATTTATGAGAAAAATATTCTTTACATAGAACGCTTCCTTGTGATGAATTCAAAAAAAGCTTTTTTCGGACGAGTTTATGCTCAAATTTTTTTAGAAAAGCAAGAAAGCTCTGTAATTGTTTATATTACAGCTTCATTGAATTACCGGTATGCTGTGGAGTTTTGTTGAAATTTTGTTCAGTTTTTCAAAGCAATTGTTTTATATTTCCACTACAAAATTACTAAACAATTAAACGATTTCAGTTCTTGTTATGGGTATATTAATATTATTTGCATTTTTGTGCAATCGCGATGCATCAAGTGTAGGTTTATTGTACTTGATAAAGACAGTGTTCGGCATTTTTGAATATTAGCTACTGTATATAGTTCCATATTAATATTTTTCTTTATAACTTTGACAATGAATAGTCTAATGTTTGTAAAGTATGAATCTAGTGATTATTTCTTACGTCATTTTGAACTGTCGATTAAGCAATGTGAATTTAGAAACATATTAAGATTGTCACAATCCAAAGGTTCTCATATCAAACACACGTGCCTTGCCTTTATGGCTTTGCACGTGTTTTAACAGTGTGATGTAGTCTCGGACTATTCATCAAGACAGTGGTATATTCCGCTTGCCAATGTCATTGTTTTCAGTGACGTCATGTGGGTCTTCATTGGTCTTCGTCCGTTAATCGTAATCGCCATAGACATGTCAACGTTAAAATTTCTCCAATGATAAACGAAGCAAAAGAAATTTGCAGTATGATTTATAAAGATTTTCTAATGTTTTATAACAGAACCAAAATATTGTATACATTTTGAGGTCAATGATAGGAGAGCTTGCCAGATCTCGTTTATGTGGTGTTTTGTCTTTGCTTATGATGTTTTTGTAATTTTATACTTTAACAACTGTTTTTCCAAAATGACTGTTGTGTAAATTTTATAGATAATGAAGAATATTGTTTAACAGTTATGTGAAAGCTTTGATTAATAAATCAATATCATCAAATACATTACATTACATAAGCCATTACGTATAAACATATTTTTGAATAAGAACGAATGAACGATTACCTGACATTACTGTAGCATGTCGTCCATGCAATTTAAATATACTTCACCGATTTTCATCTTTTGTGAAAACGTCCATTTTTGTCTTGATAATCATATCGCAATATGTTTTCCACGACAAGCTACATATGTTGTGTTGTTCTACAGAAAACTAAATAAATAATTTTAATATTGCTGAGATTGTACAAATTGATGCTTCGCATTCTTTCCATTGTCGTCACCTAATAGAATTTGTGTTACTATAAATTACTTCTAATCTTAATTGGATTTCAAAGATTTAGCCATAAAGCAAAACTTTTCAATGACATATCAGGAATCATTTCAGAGTTAAAGTCTTTTAATTGCTGTGTGAGACAATAATACGCCCTCAGGCTGAAAATAAGGTTCAACTCGATTGTTTGTCTGTGAAAACAACGGAAGAAGACGAAGACTAAGGTCTTTCGAAGTCAAGAGCTAAATTTCCTAATTCTTTAGTTCCATTGAGAAGTATCACAGATTTGAACGGATATTTTCCAAAGTCGACCCCAGGGCTTTTCTTTTGTTTTCTGTCGAGTAATAAATCTAGAAAAGATGGTGAAGTTACCAAATTTTTCACAAATATAATGCAGAGATATTTGAATATTTGAAACATCAATACAAGAACTCTTTTAAGCATAATGAATAATAATATTACTCGACTATAATTTTTGCTTGCTAAGCCACAGACATACTTTGACACTTATAATTTGCCATTTACGTTAAATTGTTTTATTCTTATTTTCTTAAAAAGAAATATTTTTTACAATTTTAAATGAATTCATCGACAAAATGCAATTCTATTTGTGTATTCTCGTAATAAACTAATAAAATGAATTTCAAATCACAATTTAAAAATTTAGTATGTTTTTGCGAAACTGAAAATGATGACGTTGAGCCATGGTCAATAAGTGTTAGGTAAAGGATAATAAACTTGTCAAGTTAATTAACAAAGTCAAATTTCATCCGTACAAAGAAAACAAATTGTGTAGCTGCGTGATTTTTAGTTTGTCTTGTATGTTTGCGTGTACTGTTGTAGAAGCAGGTTTTCTAGAGAAGCCATGATTTGTCCTTGACCTAGGAGTACTTTGCGTGACGTTAAATCGATCAAAGTTCAATACATACAAGTACCCCTTCAATTGTCACAGTCGGTAAAGTCGATATAAAAGCCAATATAGAGAAGGTTGCCAACAATTCACGGTGTATACATAATATGTGATTAACATAAGGCCAGGGTCAGGGAATATATTTTCTCGAAAAGAACTGTGAATTTCATTTAATTTATTGTCCTAGGTACATATTATTAGCTGTTTAAGCAAGTTTACTGTGTTTTGTGTATCAATTAAAGACTCGATTAAACACCTTTTAAAGTAAAAAATATTCTTCTTTGGAGTGCGTTTGACTAATTGCATGTCAGCGAAAGTTTGGTTGTTTGCGAAGATCTTTGTCAGGTCTTTATGTCAGTCTAGAAAGAAAATATGCAACTAATTAAGACTCTTTTAAGCGAAATAAACTATTACTGCGGTGGAACTTAAGCATTTTTGTCTGTATTGCATGCTTTTAGCTGTAATTATTAATGCCTTTGCACAATCATGTAAATATTTTGAATCATTAGTTCAAATGTATTTTTATCCTTAGAAAGAGAAACTGTCGTTGTTATTCCAGGAAAAAATTATACAATTAAGTAGAAACTGATAAAGCATCTATTCCCTGGTGTTATTTTTATTTTAAAAATATTTGTACACGTCGACATCCTTAGCAACCTCATGTGTTTGTTGTGATGTTGTAAGTTTTATTGTTTCCTTGTTACGTGAATGACTAACCCATTTTTGTTTCAGTTTGTGTAAGAAATGTTTTAAAAACGATATTGAATATTATTCACTTTACCTCAATAATTCCACAATCTAATTGTTTTAAGATTGTATCATAAAGTTTCGATGGTTCATATTCTACTGTTATTTCACATGACGCATTTCATGTCGAGTGATGATCAATGTATAATGTCAAGATATAACATTAGTTCTTATTATAGACATTTTTATTGACTATATTTTAAACTAAACAGTATATTTAGAGTATTATACTGAATGAAATTATACCAGTTGCAAATTCAGTATTATTGTGACATCGATGAATTAGAATATCATACAGAAAGATGATTCAAAATTATGCTTGCTTTAAAAATATTGATTTTGTAAAATGGCATATATCCACGCAAGCAAATTATTAATTAACAGTAATTTGCATGTTATCAATATTTACCTCACCCTTATTTCATGAGAGAGGATGATTGTGTCTGAACCATGCTGTTTCAAGAATTCAAAACAAGTGCTGTTGTTTTAATACTCCTACAATTCTTCAAATTCTTTTCAAATTACAAACAAGGATTTCAAAACGTTTGACTACCGGCTTATTGAATATATCAAAACACGAAATAATTACCAATTGCATGAAACAGTGTTTTCTTTGAAAAAAATAGCATCATTATATCCATCGAGGTGGCCATTGATATGAGTACGACGAAACAGGCTAGTTTTTCGCCGTACTCGAAGACAGAAATTGAACAGGTTTTGGCAAGTCTAAACATGCAGATTCTCCGCATGGCTGCCCATCTTTTCAAAACGTTAAAGCGTTGGAAGCATCAGGAAATGTCTGGAATGTTTTTTTCAATATTCCAAATCTAAGTCTTTCAATTATTGTTCGTTTTGAGGACGTTTTTCCGATTGTTTCAAGCGCTTTCCCATATGACGTGAATGGCTCATATGAAAAAGTCAGATACATCTTCGTCGGCTTTCTATCTTAAAATCTCTTTGTTTGTTTGATGTTGAAGCGATCTGTGTGATAAGGCCACGGCTGTCTTAGGAATTTGACCGAAAATCATTAGAATAATGAGCATAGCTTGATATTTTATCATTGAAAATCTTATCAGATAGGATTTCGAACTTTGTCAGTAATGTTAAGCATATATTAAAGAATGTAATGTAAAAATAGTTCTCCATGCTTTACAACGTGATTAAACATAAATATATATTTATTGTTCTTAAGCAAATTGAGCAATAAATCTTTGTACCTTGCATTGAATTTTACCGTAGTTTCTTTGTGTAATTGCTTGCTTTTATTTTGTTTCCTTTCCTATCATAGTAGACCATTCTTGCTCATACAATTTATGAATAAAGAATTCATTCATTGATCTTGCTTCTATAGCAGATAATTAAAGTATGAATTTGTGATGGTCTCTTTTGATTATGAAAGCGATTTTCTCACGTTAGTCAATGAAATAATGAAGGAAGAGGACTATAGTGAATTAACTAATAATAGTAATGTCTACGGTTTTCAATTACAGGAATTATGTTCTAGCAATCTTGGATATATTTTTGAATATTGCATGCCTAAATGTATCAAACACTCGAAATATGATAAACTTTTAAAAGTAAAATTATTAGGCAAGTTCTACATAAAAATCTTACAAAAATTTCTTATGAGAGTTTACTTCCTGATTCCAGCAGTTTGACAACATCTAAGAACTGAAACTCGTACATCGTTACGAAATAAATCAATATTTTCTCCAAAATTGAATGCTTGGTTTCTTTATAAGTGTAGGCGCGTTCATTTAAACTGACACAGTTGGAACGTAGTCAAAATTACTTCAACGAAACACGTCAAACTGACGACACAAATACGCAATAGAAACATCATTGGCAATAAATGTTTTTATATTTCAAATAATCGCTTTTTTGAAGACTTTCATTGCTTGCAATAGCATAGAGCAAATAGTTGGGGGGGTAATTTTCACATTCAATTTTAGCTGTAAAACTAAAATGTTTCAGTTTGTTCATTTAATGATGTAAGCAGCTTTAAGTATTGACCAAAATTTCAGATCCTCCACAAAGCAATACTGTAAATTATTTTACTATATGTCATTGATGCTTCGGTTACTGTTGAAATACGGAAATAGTTATTTTCTTTTGTTGAAAATTGAAAACATAGTTCATAGAAGCCATAGAGTATTGTATGTATTTATTTTGACACGGTATTGTCGAAGAGATTTTAAAACAATATGTGAACGAATTATGTTTTCAAAGAAGAACACGCGCTCTTTGTTTCATGGGCAAATATCGCTTTATGAATACATCTACTTAAGTGCATTTTAAACAAACTTATAAGTCATTGCATTGCTTGAAAACATTCAGTTATGAAACCTGGAGCATTGATGCAGCGTGTAGTCTTAAATGGAATATAGAATAATGGCTGAAAATGCTCATTGGAAAAGTTCAGTATGGGCGAAATAAGATATGTGTTTATTTTCTTGAAGCAGCTATATGTACAAAGGCAATTGCTATGTATGTTGGTAGATAGACCTCAAACACTATACTGAAATAAAAGATTATAATTGGTATGAAGACATTGTCCTTGGAAAAATAAACAAAATTACTGTTCACGTTAATTTTTGACGTCTGTGTGTTGGCCTATGGTAGTATATAGGTTAAATTTAGTGCCAAATGCTTAGATACATTAGAATTTCCTCGTGTCAACTTGGTTATAAATCATTCATTTGAAATCATGTTGATTTTGATATAATAACGCAGTATAAAATATACAAAAAACACTTTCGTTTTGGATATTTTCCAATTGGTTTCATGCATGTTTTACATTGATAGACGAAATTATAATTGGAAAAAATATTTATGAAAATTGCAATGATATGTGGATTGAAATATAAAAGAATTTCTAAAGGAAATCATAGTGCTCTAAAACCACTTGATAATATTATCGAAATTTGAATCGCTGGGCGAGTAGGCTCTTAATTGAATTTCTTCTTTTACTATGTTGAAGAAGGTTTCAATTTCCGTTTAAATCATTCGTGCGAATCGAGCTTTTGTGAAGACGTTCCTACAATTATATAAAAGTATTTGTAACACTTTATTCTGTTCAAACTTTAAGCATACATAATATTTATATGTTGTGGCTATTCTTCTTGTAAGATGCGTATAGACGCTTGCTAAAAGCGGTAAAGCTTTTAGCAAATTGTCCAGGCATTTGGGAATGATATTTATGTGAGCTGAAAGCAATTGTGGTTAGTAAAAAATTAATATATTTAGTGTACTCCACATCATTGATAACCTCTTTATCGTACATATAGCGACTTTCATGATTATGTAATTTTACTCAAACTAACTTTATTCCTCAATTTATCCTGATTGTGGCATACTTTTGAAAAAGCCGAAAAAACAATTACGGCAGAAGCGTAGGATATTTATAAATACCATAAATTTGTTGGTCTGACTATAAGTGACCCTGCTGAGAGGGTGAGAAAATCTGGACAGATTTTGGGTATTTATGGTTGTAAATTTTAGGAAACAGCTTATCAAACTCGTCGTTTAAAATGCAATCCTAGACGTTTTGTAGAATTATAAGGCATTTCAATACCCATTTCTGCGAGTTATTTAGGTTTATTAATTATTCAATGTCAATAATACCCACTTCGCTTTTGTTTCAAAGTTATTATGGACGAAATGGTTGCTTTAATTACCATTTCAAAACGTTTATTGTGTTCACTGAAGGGGCAAGCGTTAAATAGCTTTGTCCAAGGTCGCTCGCTCAGTCTTTCGTTTGTTTGCGATGTAAAGAGAGTTGAAAAGATCTGTTAACTATAGTCTTTGATATACATACAAGGTTGACAAAGCCGAAACAGTTAAATCTGAACGACTCAAAAGTGTTTACACAACGGAAGAGCAGAATTAGATTCGCGCTACAAATCGTGAAACGCGTTTGTGAGGAAGGAAATAAACCGTAGCGGCAGAGATTAGCACAGCTTTAGTATTTTTCGGCAGAAATCTCGCTATTTCAGTTCACAAGTACGGTTATCAAGTTTCCAATCTCTTCTTTTGGATGATAATAAAATTAAGAACAGGTATTCATTGATACAACATCTCCTGGACACAACATTTGTTTTCCAAATACACAAGAAAGATATTCTACCGAAATTCCCTCAGGTATTTCATCGTTGTCTTTATTATTATTGTAGATTATTTACCTTTATGGTTGCGTGTTGGTAATTTATGTTGCTCACTTTGGAACAATATAAAAGAAAAGCGTAAAGAAATATATAATTAACTGTGACAAAGTTAAATTGTCGCTTATTGAATGAGTCTTTAAAACCAGATTGTCTTGTATAGTGAATCAATGGCAGTTTTCTATTATCTATCAAACAAAAGTTGTTTGCATTGATATTATTTCAGCGTAACTTGTCGTCATTTATTTGTACATTGTAAAAATGACTTGACGATGAATCTTATGAGTCAAACAGTTCCCGTTGAAAATGCTTTTTGTCGTCAATATGTCTTATATATCCACTTATATTTGAAATGATAAATTAGAATGTGTCGTTTCCTTTAGCGTTTATGTTATTTCTTAATGCTTACACATGCTTTAAATGTAGAAGGCATAGATAAGCGAAGTTTTATATTGTTCTGAGTGAGCAGAAGACTGGTCAAAACAGAAATATTTGAAAATTTCAATCATCACACTTCACATTTTGTTAGTTTATTCGGGTTATTTCATTGATTTAGCCATGTATTTGTGAATAGTAAGTTTTTTTCTGCCTTGCACAAGAATATAGTATAGTCTTTGAATGTGAATATGTGCAGTTCAGTAGTCTCTATATAAAGAGAATACATCTTCGACATAAGCTGTTTTAATGGTACATGTTCTTTGATTGAACCGTCAAGAAAGCATGATTTTGATTTTAGTTTCTTGTTGCTCTGTAAGGACATTGTTCTGTTGTCAATTCTTTTCTGTCAGAGCTGTTCTCCATGAATCTATCTGCACATTAATGATTGTCCTTTTACATATTTTGATTCATGATCTTAATCTCAACTCGTTTATTACATTAGTGTTATTACTTTAATGTGTTTTTTGCTATAACTCATCTTCATCTTGGAAGATATATTATCTTTATTGACTTATGTTCATCATGTGTTGACTAATGATTCTGTATTCTTATGTGGTAATGTGCTCTACTTTATTCTACTTTTGTATAAAGCGTCTCACCACTTGAAGTATTTTCCCTATTTCGTTGTTATATTTCAGTGTCTAAAATTATATATATTGACAAAGTTTCTTCACGAAGACTTCAATGATGAGTGTTTGAGGGCTTCAATGATGAATTATTAGAGCTAAATTTTGCCAGTAAACAAAAGCGAAATCATTGCATAGAAATTATTTAGAAAATAGGTTTTGAAATTTGTCGATCCGTGCATTCTGTACACGAATCAAATGCTATGTTTTGTTCTATTCACAGATAAAGCAAAATGGCAACGACAAACCAAACCCAGTCAAATGGCGGTGCGCCAACGAACAAGGAACAGACGACAACGAAAGCCGATGTCCATATTAAACGACCTATGAATGCATTCATGGTGTGGTCACGTGACATGCGTCGTAAGATGGCTGCAGAACATCCACGCATGCATAACTCTGAGATTTCAAAGGCGCTTGGTATGCAGTGGCGAGTGTTACCTGAAAAAGAAAAGGTACCTTATATCGAAGAGGCAAAACGTCTTCAGGCTGAACATAGTTTAAGACATCCAAACTATAAATATAAGCCAAGAAGACGTAAGCCAAAACCAGTTAAAAAAGATGGCCGTTTCCCTTTTCCATTTCCACCCACGGCAGAAAGCGGTGCTCTTAAAGTTCCTGGTTATCCTCAGAGTATGCCACCCGAGGGAATGTATCCCTATTATCAAGTACCGTCCTCTTCATATATGCAATATCATGATCCATATCAAGCTGCAAGACAAGTGTCTTATTACTCACAGTCACAAGCAAGTGTACATAGTCCGACCGGCATAAATGGCCATGGTGAGATATCTCGAGAGATTACTGGATATCGCCCTGATGTTGTACAAATGCATGGTGCTCCTCCTCACCTTTATCCAATTGATCCTATTAGTGTTCCCGCCCAATCCACTAGTGTATACAGTGGTACTACGACGTCACTTAGTAGCCCAACAATGGCGGCACATTCCACGAACTCTGAAAATTCTCAGATACACTACCAGCAGTATTATTCACAACGTCATGTGATTCAGTGAACGTCACCACCTAAATAACGTTAATCTGTGTGAAATAATGATCTAGATTCTTGTAGTTATTACTGTAATGTTTTATATATATATATACTGTTATTTATGGTGAATTTCACGTTCTATTTTGTGGTGTTGGAATGATTGTTGAAATTATCAACACGAGTATTTAATAAAAGGAGTTTTTTTGCTTTCTTCATAGTCAAGATTTCTTATTAGTGTTTTTTTTAAATTCCAGCCTTGAATATTTCGTTACACCGTTTCTGTTTTTTATAATAGATTTTTTATCCTATTTTTTTCGGGAACACGACACTCAGTAGTTTATAGAAACGAAAAAATCGTTATAATGTAAATGGTTAAATTATATTCGTAAGTTTAACGTCTACCAAACACAAGTTTTCAATGTTTTTAAACGTCATGACGAAATTTGACCTCATACACTTTCAAATTTTTCTTTCAATATAAATAAAAAATATTGAACATTATTTATTTCCTAAGTCAGTTGAAACCATTGAATTATCTGAATTATAAGTGTACAATATATATTGAGCTCCGTAAAAATAACTCAGCTTTAGATAAGTTCTGCTTCTGATTAAACATTATCATTTATATTTATCGCCATCCTGGTTGGCTGCCTTAAAAACGGACATGTTTACATAGTTTCCATATCTCATTTATAGACTATAGTTTTCTATTGACTATTATTTTATCAAGCATATGATCGCCATCGCCTGCTATAAATTATAAATATGCAGCAAACATTAGTGAAAAGAGCTTGTCATGCGTTTTCGGTTTTTCTACTCCGCCCAAATCATACGTGATGTAAACAGAACGTGATATAAATTATCTTAATGTTCATTACCTATTTTTTACTCAATTTGTGATGTAGTAAATATGTTTGTAACTATAGTATTACAAAGAGCCTTTAGGTCATGTATGGACAACGAAGAATAATTTTTTTGGAGTGGATTTTTGTAGTTCTAGTTACGTAACAATGCCTTGTGTCTAATGAATATTTAACAATAAATATTTCAACACCCCCTTTCATATTAGGCGTTGTCTTTCTTTTGTCATTTTGAAAAAGAAATTTTCATAGAGCAGTTTCTTACATCACATTTTCAAACAACTATTGTATGATTTTTGTCTGTGTTTCTTTGAATTGCAGAAGGCAGAAGTTGATTTCATTTTCCCAAAATGGATTCTCAGTCGTTTTGTTGTAACGCAGTCCATCGCTTCTTCTATGTTCGAACGTTTTAGGTAGGCTTTAAACTTTGAGGGCAGATAGATTACGTATGATAACAAATTATTATGCTTATTTAACTAAATCTTTCAAAATTGTGATATAGCTTTATCTTTTACTGTTTTTGTTATTCACTATTAAGCTCAGTTTCTGCTTGAATACAGTCATACTAATGGTGACATTTTGCTCATGTTGATCTCACAGTTGAACAAATAACCGTCAAAATCGCTTTGGACTTCATATATTATGTCCTCACTAGTCTTCAAGTAAACGGCTATTTGCAGTTTCCTTATTTATAAATAGCGTAGTCAACACACTGGTGTAAAACATCAGGGCACTTGATTTTTTAGTTTTTAGAAAGAATTTAAGCGAAGCCTTGACACATCCCCATGCACTTCAACTTATACTTTATATTCACCCGACGCTTTATCTTTGCTCACAAAACGCTTCTCTCTGAAGAATATTGCCTTAATGCTGTTTGCGGTTCATCGACAACTCACTCACATTGTTTTAGAAACATCAAGATTATTGGTACGCTTGTATTATTGTTTGACATTTTACTTCATGTAGTCAATTTCTTTGTCTGGCACAGTCCGTGATTTTGGTTTAGAGATTCTACATTCTTTTGAACTAAATGCATGTTTTGCACTGTTTTATTATGTCAATGTTTAAGTAAATACTTAAGCACAGTAATTTTATTATTCGCTTGGCATTTCTCATGGTTTTTCTTCTTTATAGAAGGACAAAAGATGAAAATATTTTTCAGTAATCACCGAAACAAACATAGAACACATTTTAAGCCAACAACATTAGGTGAAAGTTGTTGCAAATAAATTACAGAAAATTTATTTTATTTAATTAAAAAATGACACGTGTTGAATTTCATGGGTTGACATGAGTTTTGTTGAAGAGTGTTCCAGTTACTCATTGTTCATCTGTTACAATACAACCTAACCATTCTTTATTACCTATATCGTTTATTTATAGTTCAACCTAAAACTATTTCTGGGCTCTTAGTTGTTGGAATAAGCTTTCTCCGCGGCACAACTCTCTACGTGATCACAGGTATGGATTTTTTTACTTTAATTACTAATAGAAGCGATATTTAATGAAAAGTTAAACACAGGATGCTGATTGGTCAATAAACATTAGCCTTATACGTTATATCCATTTGTTACACCTAGTAACTTTGAATAAGAATGACCTAAATGCCAGGGAGGGTATAAAAATATATATTTTAACAGTAATTGCAATTATATTTACCTCCTACAAACAATTAGTTCGAATTCTTTTCTAACCATTTACTTCAACCAGATAGTTTGTAATCAAGAACCATTATCTTTATATTCAATCAAAATGAATAAATTTTTGTTTGTCGGGTCACTTTTTTACATTTTTTTGTTGAATTCATGTGGGCAATTGGTTTCTAAGAACAGCAACTGCGCTTTTTTTAAGAATTGTCGGCGTGTTTCTTTTAAAGTCACTTTAAAACTCAATAAGGTCTATCTTTTATCAGTATACATACTTCCAAATTCATAACATATTGCGTTATTCAAACTCAGCTTGCAAAAGCGTCAAATATTTGTTTACGAGCTGTGAAAGTCGTCTACAAATGTACCTGCTACTACATGATGACATCTCGTTTCCTATTGGTCTACAAAAGACGGCGTCACTGTTTATTGGCTCTTGTGCTGAGCATTTTGCTGAATCATTCAGGCGACTAGAATTAAACTTGTTAAATTTCTCATATTCAAAATTGTTATATATTATTGGTAATTTTCGTTCATTGAGCAGTCCAAATAGGTTGTCGACGCATAATCTTATTGGTCACTACAGTGTAATTTGTCAAGATGTGAAATTTTGAATTGGTTAAATGGAGTATTCAAAATGCAATAGTACTAATGTGAATGAGTTATTCGGAGCTTGCGATTTGGATGAATCTGGTTTTATAGATAAAAGTGAATTGGCAGCAGTTTCCGATCTAAATGAGAAAGAAGTGGATGAAATCTTTCGTCAACTTGACTTAGATAACGATGGACGAATTAGCGTTGAAGAATTTAGCAAAAGTTTTCAGAACTTTACTGATGTGGTTGCCGAAATAAAATCCCAAAAGGAAGAAAAACTTGCAGACAGTCAAAAGGGATTACTAGCTTTGAAGAATGAATTAGGAAAAGAAGGATGTATTGTTACAAGGTAAAAAAATGCTTTTTTAAATTTTTAAAATCTTAACGAATGGATAAATTAATTGATAATTTCGAATCATTATGTAAAATGATATCTTTTTCGGTAAGAAATAACTTCAAATACACGGTCTTTACATCTTCATCGATAAACTTGATTATATCGTCAGATATGCCTCAATAGCATCGTGTAATGCTACCGTTTTCATTCTTATAAGAAATAAATTAAATTCATGATGATATCGTAAGGTAGCTAATGTACGATCATGCAGGCTTTAATTGGATATATCACAGCAACTATTTATAAACTGTGTAAAAATTTATATGAAATGTTTACATCATCAATCAACATAAGACTTATATGATATTAAATTTATTCACCAAATTTAATTTGCTGAAATTTGTTTTGAAGTTTTAAAGTTTTCATTTTACAAATATCTGTTTATTTTTAGACAGATGGATAAATATTCATTTAACATGCTAAACTGCTTTTATAAGTATGAAATGCTTGTGATATTGTAGTCTTCGATATATTTAGAATTTATTCACAACTCGCTATAAAATAGTGTGATAAATGTGTGATTTGTGAAATTCATCGAGAGCTTACGAACAACAGCGAAAAGATTACGCTCATGCACTAGGTCATGTGACTGCAGTTAAATTCAAATTAGTTATTAGTTCAACACCTGCGCAAGTTTCTTGGGTTGATATTTTTTTCTGCAGTATATAGTAGATCATGCAATAGGTGATGACATCTGCCTGTATTTACTACATCTCTGTAAAGTAGCTACTATATTTATATTTAATAAAGACATACAATATAACTAAAACTGGTTCGATTTAGATTTCTACTCGTAGGTTTCTTTGGAACCATAAGTGAAATTCGTGTGTCGTTCCATAAATCATATGGTATGATTGACAAAAATTTTCTATAAAGAACAATTAGGCCTGTTTCAAAAGTCGAACTTTACATGAGTCGAATGCATTTTCTTTAGTCTTAAAAAACAGGCCTTAGCTATATTTTTACTGATGAAAGAGTTGAAAATTTAAGTGGCATAAAATCTATCATGTCATTCATAAAACCATCTTACTAATAATATAATTTTAAAACTTTTTTACAAAGCTCTACATTATAGTTTGTGCATGTGCTTTGTATTTTTTAATATTTCCTGTTCGACAATCGTTAATGTGCAAAGCTGACAATCTCGTCAATTCTGAAACTCATTTCACACATGATCGCTTAGCGATGTATCTAAACAATAAATATGATTGACCAAATATGGCCTGGATACTCACAAAATTAAAATTGCTTCAGTTTTTGTAAGAAGCTGCACGTTTCAACGGATAATACAGAGAAAGACATCCATATTTTATGTCAAGTCTTACACAACTTGTAGAAATTTTCCTTTCTTCTACGGTAATGTAAGAGTTAATGTTGGTTGACATCGACCTGGGTTTCAATTATTTAAGCCTTCATAAAGACCTAGCCACGAAACGTATCATACGGAGATTTGCGACCAGATAAACGATTTACAAAACGAGATACCTTTATTAAACGAAATTTTGCTATCTCGATAAAATGGATCAATTCTCTTACAAGAACAAGGCTGACAAAGATAGTAGGAATAATTACGTTGACGATTTTGTGCCAAGTTTAAATAATGTAAGCATGCCAATGGCTACCCACGATAAGCAAGATTCAGATGAAAGTGTTACTGATAAATACAATGGCAGTTTAAGTTCTGTCGACAGATCTTTATATGAATGTCAAGTGAATTATTTAGAGAGTCCAATGCGAGTGATGAGTAGTCCAAGGTTAGTAAAAATCAAACTAACATTTCGTAATACTTTAAACACTTTGTGCCCACGTATTTAATTTCAAACCATTTCAAACACTAGTAGGAAAGTTCACATAGTTTGAAGTTATAGAAATATGGACTAACAAAACAAACATTAGTTGTTAACTTGATGATTAACTATATTGCCATTGAACATAATCAATAGTTTTGTACACAATATATATCGTCAACGATGAATATATTTTATGCAACAGGTATTTTCCCCCACGTACAAAAAATTTCCTTGACAAATGAAATTCACCTTCTATTAAACAAGGAGAGCTAAACTGGATGAAAAGTATCGCCAGGCAAAGTTTTTTAATGGCGCAATGCATACAATGAAAGCTGACCATAGATTCATTAAAATTATGTAAGATAGTGTAACCTGGTATTAATTCAGTTTTTCACCAAAAATTTACATAAGACAAGAGATATCTGTGGTTACTCCTTTGGCGATCTATTAATGACTTATTGATCTACAGCAATTGATATTTGTCATAAAGATTTTCAGTCAGCAGAATCTTCCTAATAACGTAATCTTGGTTAAAGAGTGCATACGGATTAGATTAGCATGCATGTGATGTATTTCATGAGCTTACTATAGTTATTAGTTCATAGCAGAGGTGTCGGTTAAAATGAATACAATAAATAGCAATAACATAGATCTGCCTGTAGAATAATAATAATTTGATGAAGTTTTTGTTTTTAAACTGAAACAGATGCCTCAGTTGCTCATTTCTACAATAAAATAGTTTCACTTAAATCAAGCAATCGAATTTAATGACGAAATTTTTATTACATGTTCTCATAGAGTTTGTCATTCGTTCTTTATTTTGAAAGCATTAATTTTTAGTATCTTCGATTGTTACTGTGTTTTACTGTGTGCTTGTCTACGTTTACATGCAGTATCTTCTTGTGAAACACACACGTAGCATCAAGTATGATGCACGTCTTCCGGAAATTCTTACATTTACGTGTTTCATCTATGGAAGATGTATTTAGTACTTGGAGATCTAAACAATACTTTATATAAACGAATTATTGATAGCACTTGAATAGTTTTTATCACGGTCAATTTAATGTGTAAAGATTTTGCTTCTCTCTTTTATTTCATAATATGCGTAATGATGGCTCTCAATCGTAATGTTTCACGATTTTGATTATCTGCAAAACGCGTGAGGCTGTCGATAAATGGTTATCTTCAGCTTGCTTAGTATGCTATTCATATAAAACTGTAGCAGTTGTAGTCTTTACACTTGTCAAAACAATACATGAAAGACGAAGAGTTTTTATAAATGTTGTGAAAGTGTAGAAAATAGTTGATTTGTAAGGCCAGCGCCAGAGGACTCTATGCATTGGCCTGAATTGAAATTAGTTTCATTTTCGTTTCCTGGATTATAAACAACTACTTTAAATAGCTATGAATGATGAAGCCAACAGTTTTTCAAGCAGAAATCGACATCTTCATCTTTTTTTTTCAGCAAACAATATGTGTCTGAACTTTACCACAATCTTTCGGATGCGAACAAGCCTGATTTACTGGATCTCTTTGAAAAGCATCTAGGAAGCGTTGTTGAGGATATAAAGTCAAGGACTGCTGAAAATCAACGATTGGAAGAAGCTCTTAAACGGTACATGTGCTAAAAATATTAATGTCTGTCATTTGGTTATGTTTATTACCTGTATAAATACAAAGTATTGCCATATGTATTGATTGATAATACTGTGATGACCAAATGTGTCGATAAAAACCTTTTAATTTGTGTTTATTTTACTCTGTAGGGCAACACACCAGCATGCAAAGCAGGTTCATAACTTGGATCGAGAGGTCGAGCAGCAGATGGAGAGATTGGAGGCAAAAGTTCGTCAAGAGGTAAATGAGCACTGAACTCAAGGATTTTTGCAAAAGAAGATCGAAATACAACTTATTTTTGTCATTATGCAGGAAAAGTCATTTTTTGAAAAGAAACTAGCTGATTACAAATTGCTGCTTGAAAGTAAAGAGAAAGAAATTTCAGCCATGAGCAACGCGTTGGAAACTCTGGAAACAAAACTTGATAATGAAACAAAAAAACCAAACTTCGATAAAGATAAATATGAAAATGTTACTGAAGAAAATCGTTTTCTGAAGAGTCAAGTTATTGATTCTCAAACGACGTTAGCTTTACTTCGTAGTGAAATGGCTGAACTAAAAAGTCAGTTTGTTGAACAATCAGATCAGTTACAAAAGGAACAAAACACTGTACAGACATTTGTTGACGAACAGGAACATTTGACCAGACAATTGAAATTGCTTCATGAAGCGAATCAGCGACTTCAAGATATTAACGATGAACTGCGTGCAGCTTTGGAGGAAAGGAGAAATTCATCTGCGTATCAAACACAAAATTCTCTTGAAGTTATGAAACTCTCTGGGCTCTTTTCAGACGTTAATGAGTAAGTGAATTGATGTGCATACAAACATACGAAACTCATACGAAAGCATACGAAACTCATACGAAAGCATACGAAAGCATACAAACATACGAAACCTTCTGAGTGCCTTGCCTGTGTAATACGATCTTTTTTTGGAAGTTAGCTGAAATTGATAGAAATTAGTTTGTATGAAGTTCATGGTAGTATAAGATGTATTTACTATAGTTTTTAATTTGCTTGATTTTTTTTCAATTTTTTCTTCTTAGATTATACAAAAGCTTTGATGCATAATGACTGGAGAAGTTGAATAACTGTTTTATTTTATGATTATACTTTTGTCATAGCAACGAGGAGGATTTACCACTTTTAAACCGCAGAAATACCTTTCCTCGTAAGAGGCGGAATAGATTTTCTCTTGACGCCAATCCTGTGGAGTTTCACAACAACACACTCAACGAAGACTCGCTCTTCACGGAAATAAATCATGCTAGTACGGTGAGTAACGGATTTATGACAGACCACTTATCCTCCAACGAGAATTTTGTCGAATTAGCAAGGAAGAGCGAAGAGTTCGTGCAACAGACAACGAAACACAACTACATCACTGTTGACAAAGAAAAAGCAATCTTGTCACCACCAACAACAACGTTGACAGGAACGAATGCAAGAACATTAGTTATAAAAAGAACTTTGACAACAACGAAAACAAAGGCAACACCAGCAATGACTTATCTATATTTAACATCATGCACACCCAATGTGACAATAACATTAACAACAACAATAAAATCAAAACAAAAAACCATCAGATCAACGATGAAAACAATGAAACTAAACACAAAAGCTGTGATCATTATAACACTGTCAAAACTTCTTTGATTGAAACGAAAGTTAAAAGAAATAGTTACGAAAATACCAATCTTAGTCAACTGGGAAAAATCATGAACATTCTTGCTACCAGAAATTCGCGTAAAAGTTCAAGTTTCATAAAAAACAAAGTAAAGCAAAAGCTTGAAACATTTCAAGCAAAATCCCAGAATACTTACATTGTTCAATGTACTGATGCAGAGGACAGCTGCTCATATTTTGAATCAAAGAAAACCCAAGGACAGCCAAATGCAATTCCATCAAAAATTTTATTTGTACAAACTCTTCTGTCAGCTAAAATGTTTGAAGAGGTAGTTTGGAAGAGTCATGTTGTTTGACATTTGTATTCGTACTTGTAAACTTCGACGTTTTGACATGAGTTTTGACATGATGATTTTTAAACATGTGACCAAGTTTCCCAAGCATTCACACATAGAAATTTAACTTACCAAAACACCATGTTTTCTTCCTTAAAACGTTATATTTACCACACTTTACTTGTTTTCCTGGAAATATTTAATACAATGTATGCATTTTCTTAGCCGGTAAAGTCAGCTTTGATTGATGAAGAAGATGAGAAATCTTACGAAACGCTTACGTCGACATCCCACACAGCTGACGTAAAAAAACAAATTCAAATACTTGAGTAAGATGCTTGTAGATTTTTACTATAAATTTTGTGAGTTATAGACATACAAAAATTTACAAGTAAAGGGCTATACTAAGTACCCTTTCTTTATCTTACTTGAAGTTTTTGTTTTTTAACAAATTCATGAGCATTTGAAATAACTAATTATCAGTAGATAACTTTTGTTGTCTTGTTTACTTCAAGGGATACAAACAAAAGACTTGGTAATAGTAATGATGAGTTAAGAACAGCTTTGAAGGTATTTTATGGACATGTATAAATATATATTTTAAAATTAGATTCGTATAACTCTTAAACGATTTTTTTTTTCATAAATGAATTTTATTTTCTATTTTCTAGATGCTAGCAAGAAGTGCAAGCTTTCGCAAAGTGAGTTTTTTGTATATAGTAAATATTTTTTATAATTCTCCACTGTTGATGATAAGATTATATTTGTGCTTATATATTCCAGCCAAAAAGATCATCATCCTTAACTAGACGTGCTATGAGCTCTCATAGTGATTACAGTTCCTTATCAAGCAACCGTAGCAGTCGAAGTTTTTCTCCAAAAAAGTCAGTATACAATAAAGTCTTATTGTTCTTTATAATTTGACGAGGACTTGCGTTTATTGATTTCCCTGCGATAAACATTGCTTGATTTACGATTGTAGAAAAAGTTCATCAAATTTTGATGTTGGTGAGGCGACAGATGAGTCGACCACATATGACGTTGACGAGGAAGAGCGCATAGGAAATGTAAGTTTATAAATTTGACTTCGTCTTTTTTTGAGAACATGTCTACGTAGCTAAATCCATGCCCATATAGCTAAATTGCTAAATAGATATCCATGTAGCTATATCCATGTCCACGGAGCTAAATCCTTGTCTACATAGCTAAATCCATATCTACGTAGCTAAATCCATGTCTACGTAGTTAAATCCGTATCTACGTAGCCAAATCCATATCTACGTAGCTAAATCCATGTCCACGTAGCTAAATCCATGTCCACGTAAATTCATTATTTAGGAAATATTAATACAAAATGTATGTAGAAGCTTTTATTCTAAAAAGAGTTGAAATAGATATGACAAAATTGATGTTTTTCAGTCAACTCAACATAAATTAAACTTTTAATTTCAAAATGATAAACATATCTAATTTGATAAATGTCTTGAGTTAAAACGTAAAATTCTAACATTTCAACACAAGAATGTCGTCAGAATAATCAAAGAATTGCTTCTACGTTGTTATCAGTCAAAAGATCAACAACATGTCACCAAAAATAATGCTAATAAAAACGAGAACACTGGAAAAGATAATTGTGAAATAACTATGGATGATTCAAACAATTATTTTGCGGAAATGGGTACAGAAATAAGAGGAAGTTCATCAATGTTTAAGGAACATACTTTGACAGGTGAAAACTACTCAGCACGTGACTGCTTGTCAAGTGGAAAAAGTTTACAAACCAATTGTAAAAGCATGGATTTGCTTAACGTTGAAAATATTTCAAATGTGGACATGGAAATGACCGAAAATTTAGAGGAAACAAATGATTTTCATATGAAATCATGCAATTCCTTACAACATAAAAGAAAAAATGATAAAAGGAATGAAGATTTCAATGAAAGTGTAGATTGTTACAATAATTATGACGAAGATTATTCGACTAATATTTATAGTAATAAAAATAACAACGGAGAATCAAGCTACGAAAGTTTAGAGAAATTTAATGGTGAATATGACATAAACCCAGATCACACAAATTTGAAGGAATACATAAATGATGGCAATGAAAAAGCAAATGAAACAGCAGATGTAGAGAAACAAAAGAAACGTATGAATGATGTCTGTAAAAAATTGAACGATTATCAAAGCAACTTGTGTCAAAGCTCTTTGGGTGAATTAAATCTTATGAAAGAAAAAGACAGTAACAGAAATGACCATGTGGATGCCAATGATAAAGATGTTGAAGGAAAAAATGAAGAGAAAAGTTATGAATTCATCGAAATTTCACCAACTTTGTGTCAGGACTCTAGTGAAGTCTTGGAATCATCGTTAGACGATGAAAATGAAATATTTAACGATGAAGGAATAGAAAATAATCATCGAGAAAAAGATACATTCTGGTGTAACAGATCTCCAAAGAACGCATCAAGAGATTTAATGAAAAATAGGGAAACCACAGAAGAAACGAATGAACAATATGTTGATGGGGTAGAAAATACTTTTAGTAGCATTTCTGAAGAAGAAAGTATTTCCTCCAGCGAGGAGGAAACGTCTGATTCAACTGTTGATCAAATAAAGGTAAAATTTGAAACGTTGAACACGTTAAAATAATTAAAATTAAAGCTCAAATTAAAATATAAAGAATGTAAAAAATAAAAAGTTAAATTGGCTTTCTTAAAATGTCTAATTCACATGACCAATTTTGCAAGCAAATGACTGTCAAAAACGTTTTTGTTTCTTCGTGATTTGAAATATTTGAAGCTGGTTTTATATGGTTAAAATATTAGTTTGCATTTTTATTTTTACTCTTCGTGCAAGCTCTCCAGCATAAGACCTAAAAACGGATGAGTTTTGTCAAGTGCTATACTTGGTTGTTTTGACTCTTTCAGGATAGCAGTGCTACAATGAACTCAGAGACAATTGCTGAACTCAACACTCAGGTATATTTCTCTCTTTCTCTCTTCTTTGCTTTCATTTAACCATTTCTCTAGTTCTCAACTAAACCAACAGCAAATTGACTATCGCTAAAACACTAAGACCTAGACGTTAATACATAAACTAAGGATAGAAATTCTCAATATATGTAAATGTTGTCAAAAATTACAGAATTATCTTGGTTTTGTACTTCACTAAATTTCAACAAGATTTCTTTGTTCATTTTTATAATGTAAAAGATCAGAGATGAAATGATAGAACATAAAAAACAGATGATAAAATCAAACAGCCAATCAAGAAGCGACTTGGATGACGATGATGATGGTGAAGAAATGAATTCTACTGAATTAGCAGAACTGGTCGCTATGGCATCTGACTTGACTGACATAACAGACTCTGATGATGAAGAAGAGGTAAACGATGGAATGAATAAAACAAGTCAGACGTCCTCAATGACCGCTAGTTTAACCGTGAGTTTTGATATTAAATAGGAGATCTATCTCTCAATCTACTAATTTAATGTGATTAAGTATAGTTAAACACAAAATTGTTATTCGTTTTCATGTGGTGTACTTACTATGCTCAGTGGAGAAAATTATTTTAGCAAATAAAAACAAATAGCGTCAAGGTTTTCTACATTATATATAATTAAAGTAAATAATATTTTCTTTTCAAGGCAAGTTATTGTACCCCTGAAAGAATGTATAAACTAGTGTTGGCTGGTGATGCTGCAGTGGGAAAATCAAGTTTTATTCTTCGACTTTGTAAAAATAAATTTCATTCTAGTTTGAATGCAACTTTAGGTAAGATTTGAGCGTTTACGTTTCATCTTTCGTAAAGTTAATGTAGCCGGTTGATTAACAATTCACTTTTGTCAAATAGGAGTTGACTTCCAAGTGAAAAATGTGAAAGTAGATTCCAAGACCATCGCTCTTCAACTATGGGACACAGCCGGTCAAGAAAGGTTAGTCTGTTATTCTATTTCCTGTTGAATGTTAGTTCTAAGGTATTACAAATTCATTACAATTTTTTTAAGATTTCGCAGCATTGCAAAATCCTACTTTCGTAAAGTCGACGGTGTCCTTTTACTTTATGACGTTACATGTGAATCTTCTTTTGTTCATATTCGAGATTGGATCGCAACAATTGAGGTGAGTCGATTTTTCAAATAATAAGAAATAATAAGAAAAATATCTCTAAACTCAAAGTATGATTTTTAACAACTGAGATTTCAATGATGGTTTGTGATATTACATTTTAAGGAATGTTCACATAAGAAAGTTCCCATCATGATTTGTGCAAATAAATGTGATCTGCGAGAGGAATATATAAAAGAAGGAAGAAAAGTTGTCACTAAAGAAAGTGGTTTACGTCTTGCTAAAGTAAGTACTATATATATATAGAAATATGAGCAATATGTTCTTGCGCATGAGCAGTGGAGGAAACAAAAATTGAGGAGTTTTTATGTATAATTTTCACTAACTTTGAGATATTCAATTTTTTAGTATTATGACGCGCTATTTATTGAAATTAGTGCCAAAGATGGCCATCACATCGAAAAAGCTTGCAAAGATCTTTCTCGGTAGGAATGCCGTATTTTTACAATCGTTTTATGCAAAATTTGCGATAAAGTTGATTTCTATGTTATCTTTTCTTTGAACTTACAAATTTATAGATTCCTTTTGATTTAGTTATTCAAACAACTTTGCTAAAATCACCAATTTTCTTAAACGAAAGAAATCCTATAATCCTATTTTCATTTCTTCCATTGAAGAGTATTATCTCAACTGCTTTTGTTACGAAATTTCTTTTAAAACAGAATTCTTACGTCTTTGGAAAATGAAGAGATTGAACAAAGTGGACTGAAACTCGAGAGAAAAGAGAAAGATAAGAAAAAGCTGCCATGTTGTACATCGTAATTTTTACTGTTTAACTAAGACATGTGAAAAAGGCGAATTTATAGGAACACAGGCTTACACATCTGCTTCTATGTTGTAGATATTTTAATGTGTTGTAGATATTTTTGTTTTCATAACAAAATTTTATTGATTTTCTTCAATCTTTATAAGAAAAAGATGTTCATATCACTGTTTTTGCATCTTCATTTACGTAGAGCGGAGAAAGAAAGTTGCTATTTCGTTTCCTCTTTCAGCTCACATAAGAAAACCATAATCTTTTACTTAATTACAAAATAGCAGTGATTCTTTTTGTAAATTTTCTCAAACTCGTAGTCATACCAACTTAATTGCCAATGAATATTAAATGACGTATATTGCGGTAATCGAACCAGAATCCTCTGGCTAAAAAACAGCTGGCTCAATAGCTGTTGTACGTTGTCTAACTAAAACTCTATAATGTAAAGTGTGGTAGAAGATTTTTATTTCATTTCAGCTTTCAAGGATTTCTTCCTTACACCCCTTGCTTTAAGACTTTTCAGAAAGCATTAAATAAGTCTGCGTTAACTTTTTTCTGCAATAAGAATGGATTTTCAAAATAGAGCGGGTGGCAAAACTGGCAGTGGCGGAGTTGCATCGTTTTCTGAGAGTAACAGAGATCGACGTGAAAGATTAAGACAATTGGCTTTGGAGACGATTGATTTGAATAAGGTAAAAAAAAAATATGAAAAGATTCAGTAATATTGAAATCTTTATGTTTTAAAATGGATTAGATCATTACCTTCTCATATTGAATTATAGGATCCTTATTTCATGAAAAATCATCTTGGTTCCTATGAATGCAAACTTTGTTTAACTTTACACAACAATGAGGTTTGCATATTTTGATAGTTTTGTCTACAAATAATTTTTGCTCTTACTGATAAGTGATAACATGACTTCTATGGTTAAAGGGAAGTTATTTGGCTCATACCCAAGGCAAAAAACATCAACAAAACTTGTAAGTTTTAAGCAGATAAAGCATTACTATATTTATTAGAGATGTTTATAGTGATAATATTTTCAATTTTAGAGCAAGAAGAGCTGCAAAAGAAGCGAAGGAAGCTCCTGCACAACCTGCACCTGTAAGATTGAGTTATATCTCATATCTTTACTGATGTCTTGAAATATAGTTAAAATGCTCATTGAATGTTTATGGTTGACATTGAAGAATCATTTAGAGATATTGTGGAATTATGTGTTAGTTAGATTTTAAAAGCTTTCTGTTTGTTTCTGGTTCTTGTTGTAAAATTTTTAAATACATGTATGTTATGTAATAGCTTTGTAGCTGATGTGAGAGTTTTTGAAAAAGTTTACTTTAAAATTTGAAAAAAGGCTTAAATGTTTTCTGTAGGAAAAGCCAAGAGTCTCTGTTAAGAAATTTGTCAAAATTGGAAGACCTGGTTACAAAGGTACGTATATTGATAAATAGAATGTTTTCTTGAATTCAATTTCCATTTACTAAACATCAGAATAAGTTTTATTATTAATCAAATACTTAAACTATTGACAATGCTAGCCCTGCTATATAGTACTACAGGTATATACCGTCATGTATGTGTCAAAAACAACAATTTTTTCTAAAGTGACCAAGCAAAGAGAGCCATCATCTGGACAACACAGTTTGCTTTTTCAGGTTTGTGGAAAATTTTTATTGTATTTGTTAATAAGATCAATGTTAAACATGTTGAATAAATTCTTAATTTATTAGTAAAAATGTCAAACATGTCTTGAAGAAGCAAATCGTATCTTTATTTTAAGTTTTATCTTTGATTTACCAATTTGAAACATTTTTGGAAGTACAGTTTGAAATTACTATCTACATTATGTGCACTTTTAAAAGTTATGTTTATTTTCAGATTGATTACCCAGAAATTGCAGATGGTTTAACGCCTAGGCATCGTTTCATGTCAGCTTATGAACAAAGAATAGAACCTCCAGATCGTTCTTGGCAATATTTACTGTTTGCTGCTGAACCTTATGAAACTGTTGCCTTCAAGGTATTGATCATATTTACTATATATTATGACTTAAGTTAAAAGTATAAGTCAGACTCTTACAACATGATGGTTTTGTCTTATTAAGTAAAAAATATGCTTTTGTGCCTTCAGATACCTAGTCGTGAAATTGACAAGAATGAGGAAAAATTTTGGACACACTGGAATGCCAATACTAAACAGGTGTGGTGAATTTCTTTTTCTTTTAAAAATAATTCTACGCATTTACTTATTTCTTATTTACAATTTGCATTTGTACATGTTGTATTCAGTTTTTAAGTTTAGAACACTTTCCTTGACCCGGATCCTTCTTAAGACGAGACATTTTACTCCATACAAAAGTTTCATCTTTGAATAAATCTTGTCTTGTCTCACCAAGTCTCCCTTCTCATCAAGCGTTCAGTTGTATATATTCCTAGGAATAATGGCATTTTTCAATATCATTTATGCTTGCCAATTTTCTAGTTCTTCTTTCAAATGCATTTCAAAATAACAGCAAATCAGCAACAGATCATGCAACAAATGAAGCAACAATCACGAAATCAGCGACGTTTGGATCCTCCTCCTCCTGGAGTTTCAAACAATGCCCCTGGTCAATCTGGAGCACCACCTCCTCCTGGATTTAATCTCCCATCAGGTCCCCCCCCTCTTGGACAAGGATCAAACTCTGGCCCACCTAGTCTGATACCGCCTCCACCGAGGAATGTGCCCTCAGAAAATCCTCTCAATCCTTTTGTTGCGCGATAAATAATTACGGACAAACTTTACTTTTAACTTTCATATACTGGTGTTTGATTAAAGTTTTCCTTTCTTTAACAGGTCTGCATCAAAAATAAAGTTATTTCCTCATTGATATAGCTTGTACTTCCAGCTAGATAACAAATATATTGCAATATTGACAATTATTACTGAACATCTTATCAGGAACACTGGAACATTGAGGGATGCAAAAATTAACTTATGCTTATTTTGCCTGATTACTTTCTTGTGAAATCATTTGTTTTTTCCAAGCTGTGACAGCTAATATATGAATATCCCTACACATCCCCCAGTTATCGATTCCCGGTGTTCTTGCAAGTTATTTTGCCCAGTACATTGTAGTGGATGATTGTCAACATTGGTGGTAGTGTAAGTTTAAGTAATAAGATTGTATTAAGGCCTTTTTTATTCACTACTTGCTAAGCTATTTGATATCAACGTTACACGAGTGAATGCCCTATACGCGCCAGGTCTATAGGTCTATTTGTGCGGTGTATGCCCAACATTTCATAGCCAATCATATTTGCTCATATTCATTACTTCACTTATCTTTTGCCCATCTTGCCTTATCTTGTTTATTTACTTGCCTGCAAAACGGGCAGAGAAACCTTTATTTCTCTTTGCCCGACATTCTGGTTGACATTACCCTATTGCCTGAGTTCAGCCAACGGTTGGTCGGCCATTCTTGTCGAGAAATTTGTCACACCCTAGAATTAATGGCGAAGTTTTCTTGATTTTCGACGTTTTTCTTTAGTGTTTAACAATTTTGAAATACGGATCGTAAACGGGAATATTTCAAGATTATATCTGATCATTTTGGTGGCAATTGGTTATTAATAAGCTGTGTGTTAAGCTCGTTGAAGTTCAATAATATTTAGCAGGAGTTGATCGGTATGTGCTTGAATTAAGCTATTTGATATTGTAAAATCTTATTTAAATGACCCGTAACAAACCCGGAAAGGAAAGTAGAATGGTTGAAATACTCTTTCCTACCTGTTTAGCTAAGGTATATAGGTTTTATGTTTTAGTATTTGTTAGAAATGACGCCGAAATCTACCAGTATTTTGGAAATATCGAATTATAATTCATCTCTTTCACACCATGACATATAAAAAGATATTATACCCGTCAAAGGTTTTTGTTATTTATGTGTATTTGCATTTGTTTGTAGCATTAAATAAATGATATTTTTTGTGATCAACGCACATTTGATTTTTATACAAATATACGTTGAAAACATGAAAAATGTAAACGAATATGATGTTCATCAAACATACTTTATTGTTGGAATATTCCAGATAGTGCAATGGCTCGTTTGGTTTTCAGATATTCTTTAACTGTGTTTATGTTTAACTGTATATTCATGGAATCATTTGTTTATAAAGTGTTGAGTTTTAAAGGCAGTATGATAACTGAGTGATGTTGATTTGTATTGATGTTATTTTATTTTTGTAAAAATTTGGATTATATAATTTTTGAGCATTTGAAATACATCATTCTTTCAATGATGCTTGTTTTAACAATCATTTCGGATTGCTCATTGAAGTTGTCAAAATATGAATTAATATCTTTTTTCTGCATGCAAGAATTATATTTTCAAAAAAATTTTAAGAATGATTGAAAGACCAGGAAGTTAATTTATCAAGCAGGAATAAACAAATAAAATACTAATTGTAGCTTTTTTACAATCTTCAAGTGGCAGAGTGAAATGTTCAAGGCTATGCTATTGATTGTGTGTAGAGTGGGATTTATTAAATATGTTATTTTCAAGGTGTATTTTATTTGTAAATGATGTTTTAAATTTTAAAGTTATATTGTCCAAACTTGATTAATAAATTGCTTGAAACTATGCTTTTGGTTAATTGGTCATATTTTTTCACTTTCTGTTTTCACTGGCATTTAGCAATTTTCTCATTTTTCAACAGGCAAGCAAATAGAGTTATCGTAGTTCAATCATGGGCAAGTTACTGTCCAAGATCTTTGGTAACAAAGAAATGAGGATTCTTATGTTAGGATTGGATGCCGCAGGAAAAACCAGTATCCTTACTGCATCATATTGTTAACATTAATTTGTTATTGTTTCAATTTATGTGTATGTTTGTGCACGAACCTAATTTTCTTTGTGAATCTAGTTTGCCATAGTATAAATGTGCGATAGTATCGTGACAATTCATGAAATTGAAACATTGTTGCATATTAAATTGTCTCCACAATAATATGTTCCTATTTGAATAGATTTCTTAACATTACACTTCAGCTATTTTGTATAAATTAAAACTTGGTCAGTCAGTGACAACAATTCCAACTGTAGGTTTTAATGTGGAGACAGTGACTTATAAGAATGTGAAATTTAATGTTTGGGTTAGTATCTGATTTCTCTTTACAGGACTCAAACTAAATATTAGTAAAGTGAAGTAAAATAGAAAGCAAATTTTTTCATGGTATTAAAATACAGAAAGCATATTATATCACATGATATTGATTTCAAATGAAAAGAATAATTAGTTAACAGTTCACAATTTAGATTATTCATGTTTTTATTGTTATTTTGCAAATAAGTGACTTGCTTTTGTATACTTTAATTTGATATCAACTTTCATCTTCAGGATGTTGGTGGGCAAGATAAAATTCGTCCCTTATGGCGGCATTACTATACTGGTACACAGGGTTTGATATTTGTTGTTGATTGTGCAGACAGGGATAGAATTGAAGAAGCTCGACAGGAACTTCACAGGATTATTAATGATAGAGAAATGAGGGATGCAATCATATTAATATTTGCTAACAAACAAGATTTACCAGATGGTAAGTTAAAGTTCGTAGTTATTAATATGAACTTTGTAGGAAAAATTGAAAAAGGAAAGAAACATAACATGCGAGAATATATATAGCCATATGCTGATTTCAAGTGGCTATCACCATCTGTTTTAAGTTTTTTCTTATTATTTTACTATCCTTAAACTGACTTAAGTACATATTAACCTGCCTGATGAAAGCCTGTAGCTCACTGACAAAATACTATGTACTAAAGACAGATGATAGTAACAGTAAGGCTTGTTAAAAATATGTTCTCTCTAACCTGTACCATCTGATGATGCTTTTAAAGTGTGTCTGAGAAAACAGCTTTGTTGAATAAAATAATGTATTTCCTAAAAAATTATTGATAGCAATGAAACCACATGAAATTCAAGAAAAACTTGGCCTTACTCGAATGAGAGAACGAAATTGGTATGTTCAGCCATCTTGTGCAACTACTGGAGATGGTCTTTATGAAGGGTTAACTTGGCTCACATCTAATCACAAATCGTGAGTAATCAACTCAGCCTTTGCAGAAACTGAGATAAAGTATTCTAGACAATAAATGTGTATGATAGAACGAAAAAGATATTTTGTAAAGTGCAATTAATGTGCACTATGTGCTCAAAGTTTGCTGCTACATTGGTTGAGCCAATGTGTACAAGAAAGCATTTTTCATATGCTTTTGGACATGTAGTATGTTGTCTTCTTTAGAAGTCAATGGAACATTATATGACTAGGTATTATTTTTTGATCAATTTGCACTGATAATCACAATTATTTCAATTGTGCATTACCACTCGCTCTGTTTAATGGTTTGTCATGCTGGAAAAAAACTGACTTTTCTGTACAGATATCAAAGAATGCAATTCTTTATTTATCTTGTATTTCTCTTTCCTTGTAACCAACAAAACCTTAAGAATTTTAAGTGCTACTCTACAATTGGGATTATTCTGCATGAATTTTACTCAACATGCAATGATTGGTATTACCTACACAACTTGTAAATTAATGAACGCATTAATAGGAGAAATAAATTGATGGCAAAATTGTATTGTTTTAATGAGAATTCTGTTGCAAACTATTATTGCAAGGCATTCACGCTCTATCTTTATTGCATTCACTTTACATAAATAAGAAAAACCCCAACATATTTAGAGCAATATTCAAAGGCACTAAATTTCATTTTGCTGAAGTTTCAATGCTTGAAAAGTTGGAGAAATGGCTGCCTTTTTTATCACCATTTGTTATGACTAATCATGACAGTTAATTACAAAATGTGTGAAACATCATTTGTAGCTATGAATTATTTTTAAATACTGGATCATGAAACAATTGTTTCCAACAACTATGCCAGCGTTTCTTCTGGAATTCTTTCACATTTTCTTGAAACTTTTCAAGCAGTCCATGAGCAGTGGGAAATCCATTTAACAGTTCTTGTAATTGCTTTGTTAGTTGTTCTGCATTGTCAAAAACAAGACCATTTTCACCATGTTTAACAAGCTCGTTAAGACTGGAAAATTGAAAAATTATAAATATAAGTATTGCACACCAATGGTTTGAATGGTTGCAACTAAACATAAGTCATTTTAATAGCCCTTACTTACCATGAGAAGCCAACAGCACAAACTGGCACGCCACATCCAAACATATCAACAACTTTCATTGGTAAATCAAGACCAGAAGAAGATGTATGAAGACATATACCGAGATCAGCACACCCTACTAAGATGGGATAATCCTCTGCTTCCAACCATGGTGTACAAATTTCTACATAATCAAATGTAGTTTGCATAATAATGCATTTGTAATGATCTTTCATGGGACCCTTTCCTGTAATTGCACACACAAGTTTAGGGAGATTTGATGATTGCTGCTCTTTAGCAATCAAATCATACTGTTTTAGTGCATCTAGAAGGAGGCCAAAGTCTTCATCTTCTGTCCAACTGGTGCTACTTATCAATAAAGCTGGACGGTTTGGCAATAACATCACTTTGTTGTCTTCTTGTGTGGTGAATCTTGTGCTTGAAATAAGCTGTTGTTAGGATGAAAAACATTTGAGCAAGTTGGATATCCATTCTTATGCAAGATAATTTATGAAATTCAAAATTCCCATTGAGTTTCAATTTCGTCAATGTTCCACCTACCTTTCCTTCAACTGATTTAAAACATTCATAACTCTTTGATAGTTTTGTAAACATTTGATGCCTTTCAGACAAGCTAATACTTCGAAACCTCTGTGGGGGTCGATCATATAATGTAGTTGCGCATATGCCCCATCTTTTTTGGAGGTCATTCCTCATTGCTTCTGTAACACAAATGTTTTGTGATGCAAATTGTCCAACAAAATGTTCGTAAAGCTGTGAAAATCTCACCAATGGATGTCCACTACCAGCTGTCAATGCTAAAATGCTGTAGCCATAGTTGTGCCAGTCTATAATCAATTTTGATTGACGAAAAGACAGATTAACCATGCAACAAAAAGGGTTGGTATAGCTGGTGGATTTTGAACAAGAACATGAGAATGCTTCCCAGTTTTTGCTAAAACTGTAATAAAGAGATAAATGGACAGAAATAAAGTTTTGAAAATGTAGTAAAATATGCGAGGAAGCCAATCAGGTTTAAGTGGTGGTTCATTAAGAGGCCAGACTTTAACATGCGTTTCATCAAGTAGTTCTTTTATTAATGGAGTAATGTAGAATCCAATAATGTCAACTTTATATCTTTCCTTTATAAACGATGAAGCGTGATACTGCATTCTTGGACTACGGCCTATATCACCCAGCACAATGATCAAAATTCTTTTCTCCCCATTTTTTCTTATGTTATTGAAGATAATTAATGATAGCATTGATATGAAAACTAATCCCACAATTGCGAACAACATATTTTTTGCGTCCTAAGAATATTTTTCTTTTCCAATGAATAATAAAATTGTTGCAATTTATTTATTTACTCTATTTGATACCATTTCTTATAACATGTTGCTATTGTGTACCATTCAATCATACCATTTACGACAAAATTATTGCGAATAAAACTCGCGAATCATTTATCCGGACATTCTTGTCGCCTCTGATTCCAAGAAGTCGCGGCTTACCTGCGGCGCGATTTGTAAACGTTTTAACTTTTACTTTCATAGTTTTTGTGTTGCTTCAATACTTAAAACTTCACAAATTGTTGTGCGTCTAGTTTTTTGTTATGGTTTTGGAAGTTTTTTAACATTTGACACTTCTTGATAGCTGTTTTGGCAATATTTGACCGAGGGAGGCAAGTTTTCATTGTACTATTATAATTTATAGCGTAATAATTGGAACTTATTGAAGAATGCCAAGAAGCACAAATATGTTTTTTTAACTTTGTTCCTGCCTGTTCGATATTTTATTGAGATTTAACGTCTATAGATGTCGTCTGTGCCGGGTGCTTGGAGTAAAGCTGCTGACACAGATATTCCAATAGGTCATCTAGATTATAGTTATGTTAAAGATTGCGAAAATGCCAAAGAACTCGAAGAAATAATTAAAATTTTACGGTTTGTTATGTTTTTACTTCTGGTTTTGTATTTTAATTTTTTTAATCTTTTGTGTTTATAAGTTTTTATGCTCTTGTTGTGTAGGTCTGGTAAAGAAGGTTTCTATCCAGATCTAGTTGCGTTTACAGAAAAGAAATTGCAAACATTAAATCCGAAAAGGTTTGGTTGAAGTATTATTTTGTTAGTGAATCAATGAAATCATTGGTGCATGTCTGTGGTTTTTTTCTAAGTAAAAATTTCATCTTGCAGGAGTTGGTTGGAAAGAAAGTTTTTGTGCCATATTGTATATTTATAAACCCTTAACTTTTTAGTGAAGTTTTACGTAAAGAGAATCCTGCGTTACTTGCAAATGATCTTGATCCTAATGATAAGGAAGCTATCAATAAAGAATTCTTGGTATGAACTTTTCATGTTTTTTTGTGTGTGTGTGGGGAGGGATAGTGATAAGATTAATAAAATCAAATTTCATTGTGAAATATTTTTTCCAACATCATTTGTAGGAATGGATGGATCAAAGAAGTGATTTAGAAAAAGAATCAAAACGAGAAAATGACCTTGAAAGTAGTCGTGTCTTACCACCAATTCGCACGAAAAAGACTTTTACCGAAAAACCCAATACAGAAATGGTAGATATTATTGTCTTATTACTTTAACTTTAAAATTATCACTAATTATGTCTTAATTTCTATCAACAATATTTTAGATTGATAAAACTTCATCAAAAATCAAACATGTCAAGCCTCGAGATTACTCTGAATGGGACAAGTGTGTTTTTTGATCTTTTGTTTGGTCTTTTCATTGTCTTCAAAACAGATTTTTTTCACTTCTTTTACAAAGAATTAACTTATTTGCTCTTTTAATGTAATGTTATGTAGAGTTGATGTTGAAAAAGAGCTTGAAAAGATTGACAAAAAAGAAGATACGAAACAATTAAGAAATCATGTTAATAAAAAGCCAGTAGTTGCTCAAAAAATATCAAGGGATGGTAAGTAAAAGTAGATATGTTAACAAGTTAATTAAGAAAGAAGCTAGGTATTTTGATATTTTTTATGTAGCGGTTTTATATACAAATAAGCTGTGTTGTTGCCTGTATTTCAATGCTTAAAATAGCTTTAATCCCTTTTCTTCTGATATCCCCCCCCTGATTTTGCTTGCTTGCCTTAATGAGAGAAAATCAACTTAAAATCATGTTGAGCTTTGAATTTCAAGATTTGACTGAAGAAGAGCGTGTTTTTCGAGCAACAAAAGAAAAAGAGAAAGGAAACGAAGCGTATAGGGCTCAAGATTATGAAGAAGCTATTGTTTATTACACAAACAGTTTGATGCTTCAACCAACTGCTGCCAGTTTCAATAACCGAGCTGCTGCCAGTAAGAATATTTGACTTTTTTTAATCAAGGTTGTTTTTTGGGATAGAATCAGATTAATTATAATTTAAAATACTTAATGTATCTAAATAAGGAACAGCTTTAACATTATAGAATTATCTATTATCTTTAATATGAGGAAGATTACTTTATTTGATTATTTTTTTAAAGAATAACTGCGAAACAAAGAGAAAATTGTGCTGTATTTTTATTAGAGTTAAAAGTTGAAAAGTACCTTGATACTATTGAAGACTGCAATCAAGTTCTTGAGTTGGAACCAAAATATAAAAGGTAGTTTTTATCATTTAATTTATAACACAAAGTGATCTTTGTTGGTGATCAACTTTGGAGATAATAATAAAAAATTTATTGTTGCATTCAAAATATTTTTTCAATCTTCATTTTCTTTTGTTCTGTTTTCTTTGCCTTGTAGCTTTTCTGCGTCGTGGTTTAGCGTTCAAAGCGTTAAAACAATACACCAAGGCTGTTGAGAACTTTACCAAAATTTTAAGCATTGAACCTGGGAACAAAAGAGCAAAGGTAAAATCTACGTTTTTTGATGGATGATTATTCTGTATGTGTTAATCTGAAAATCAAAATTTGTATTTTAGGACTTGCTTGAGGAGATTAAAAGGTGTGGAGTCTTACTGCATTGTTATTGTTAAATTAGAAAAAAACAGCAATTTGAGTATTGCTATTATTTATATCAGTGAACTATCAGTTATCTTCTTAGACATATGATAAAATTGAAATTCCCATTCAGAGATAGTCTACACTAAATGAGTATAACATTATTAAACTTCAAGTACATTGCTACGTCTATTTCATTTAGGAACGTTTAAATAGATCATGATATTGAATGTAGTTTGTATGTGAGATGTACGTTTTATGATGGTGCTTACTCAAAGACGTTTTCTACCTTAGCTCTTCAACACATGTCGTGGCTTCTTCATGTAATGATGTTACATCTGTGAATGGTCCGACAAAATCAAAGAACAAAGGTCAAAGATTGAAGATTATCGAAGTTGAGAATAGTGATGATGCGAATGACAAAGGAAATGTTGTCTCAGTTGATTGTAACGATAATGAGAGTGGAGAATCTCACATTGATTCGTACAAGTGCTCTGGTAAGGAAATCTTGGAGGATCTAAAGATTGTAAATGGTGATAACAAAGAAAATGAGGAAGTTAGGATGGATAACACATCAAATGACGTAATGGTTGATGGTTTAAAGAATACAAAAAGCTTACAGTCAAAAGATAACATAACGTTAGAAATTCCTGAAGATGTTAAAATACTCATGGACAAAGCAACCGCAAACTACAAGATGGGGCATTACGCTGACGCTTTGAAGATTTATAGTAAATGTTTTGATATTCTTTGGCCAGGTATTGCAGTAAATGAAATGTATGAAATATTTATCACTATTGATAAAAATATACACTATACAATAGATAACATTGAAAATATCGATGTTACACATAGAAGCAACGTAGTTCTTACTTATGACATTTGCACTGAGTAAAACTTCTGTGTAGTTTGATTTTCATTTATACTTGATGTTTTGTGTATGTTAATTATTGTTTTACATTAAAACAGAGCGTGAAAAGTATACCAAGGCCGTCTCTGGTCTACTTAACAACAAAGCGGCATGTTACTATAAGATGGGTGACTGTAAAAAATGCATTCAAGAATGTAACGAGTCGTTGAAGCTTATTCATGGAAACACGAAAGCGCTCATTCGACGAGGAACAGCTTATGAAGCGATGGAAAAGTATGAATGTTTATATTGAGAATTTTCTGTATTTCTTGAGAGTTAAAAGCCTAGAGTTGATGATATTCTATACAGTACGTAGATATAAAGTTTAGTAACATTTCTCTGCTGTATCACTAATTTAATGAGAGGTGATCCTTCCTAGCGGGATCTCCTGTCAGAACAATTTTGAACTGAAAAAGTTTCAATTTCTTCAACATATGTTACATTATTTAAGGTACGTCAATGCTTTCCACGATTTTAATTCAGTAAGATTACGTGACAGCTCAAACAGAGTGGCTCAAGACCATTACATAAGGTACGCAATCTTTATTTTTTAAAAAATACTTTGTGTAACCGAAAGAATTTTATCCATGATATTGTTGTGGAAAATATTTTAATTTTTTTTCACATTTTAATTGTTAGAGTGAGCAAACATCTGGAAATGTTTTACGGCAAGTCATGGCGAAGCAAAGTTGACAATAAAACTGGTGATAATATTTTGTCTAATGGTCAAGTTTGTAATGATGAATCAAAAATAAAGATGGATGGAGCAACAACAAAAGACGAAGAAAGTAAAAAATCAAAATTTTTAAAGCTTAAAGAAAGTGGAAATGAATTAGTAAAAAAGGTGAATATATCTTAACATAAATATGATTTATTTTTTATTTTTTTAACATATTTAACAAATGTTGATGTTTTAAGTTTGTAAATGGATGAATAATAGAAGGAAGTAAATGTAATTGACGAAGATTTTCTCGTCCCTTATGTTAGCTTATTATTATTTGAGGGTAAACCTGAGGATGCCATAAAGAAATACAGTGAATGTGTTACACTTTGCCCAGATGTCGTTGCCATTTATACAAACAGAGCACTTTGTTATTTACAAGTCTTAAAGTTTGAATTGGCTGCAAAGGATTGTGATACAGCATTGAAAATTGAACCGAATAACGTGAAAGCTTTATATCGCCGTGCCAAAGCAAAAAAGGTGAAATGTGCATACTTACGTAAATCAATCAACCACATCATATGATTAAAATTTGTGCATTTTTTTCGTATTTTTTAAGGGCTTGCGTTGTTACAGAGAAGCAAGTGAAGATTTTGTGCAAGTTTTAAAACTTGACAAAAAGAATTTGGCTGCAAAAAATGAGCTCACTGAAGTTGTGAATTTGCTTAAAAAGGTTGGTAGCTTGGATATCTTGGAACCAAAACGAAATACCATTATATAGATATTTCTGTTGCTGTTCTTGATATAGGAAAGAAAAGATGAAAACAAAAAAAGCGATGTTCCTACAAGAAAAAAAATATCAATTCAAGATGTAGAAGACGACCACGATACACATGTATAAATAAAAACGTGTTAGAATAACTTTAACGATAAAAAATATGTTTACTTGCTATTCTTTACAAATCATTTAATGTCTTAGAGTACAAACAATCAAGTCAAAACCGAGAAAAACTTCTCCAAGTCTGTTAAAGAAGAGGAGAAAGAAGAAAATAAACAAAGTCAAACTATAAATATGAAAAATAAGTCCACAATGAAAGATCGATCTTCAACGAACGAAAACAACGATCAAAAGAAATCAAAAGAAGAAAAAGAGAACACGAAACAAAAACAATCTTTATTCAACGTGGTAAATAGTTGTTTTGTGTTTACATAGATAACATATTATAAATGAAAGTAGCTATCTACTGTGCTGTTTCCTTTTGTAGAAAACTGCTTTTCAGTTTCTTCAATCTTGGAAAAGTGTTAAAAGTCCTTCGGAGCATTTAAAGATTTTAAAAAGGATCAATTTGAACGATCTAACAAAAGGTAAACTCATCGTTAGTTTGACGAAAGATTATCGTCGAATGGGTGAAAAAAACGTTTGAAAAATAAAATACTCTTTCTTTATGACTCAGTTTGTTGACTCAAATCAGTTGGTCTTCATTTTAAATTATTACCTAAAAGCTACTTATCTAATATTTTGGTTTCTACTTTCTAATTGATACTTTGCTTCTTTTCATTTTTAGTCATCAGCAACAAATTGGATGGAGATATGATTAAATCCATATTAGAAGCTCTGAATTTTGAAATGAAGGCTAATGGTATGTTAGCAGTAACAATACTCATTGATCATCATTCTTAAGCCTTAAATCATTCTTCATCTCCTCTTCATCATACATCAACATTCACATCTTTCTGCTCCAGTTTTTGTTTTCTTTTGTTAGTTTTTAATTCCAGTATTATTAAAAAGTTATTCAATTTCCGATATATGTTGACATTTTAAGGCGATTCTAAATTTATTTGGGAATTTTTGCAAAAGTTGGTCTTCGTCGATCGTTTTGATATGACTCTGATGTTTTTATCTGTGAAAGAGAAGCATAGTAAGTGACAAATCTCTTCATTTCTACTTTCTCCTGTGGTTTTACGACATTTGTAGTTGATTCCCAGTGCTTAATTTCTGAGGAAGAAAAGTTTAGAGTTACATAACTGCCTGATGGCTAAATTTTCATTTGTGTTTTTTAGTGTTGGGTAATTTGTTTAATTTTATCACGGAAAATCATCGTAAAGACAAGGATTCAAAAGACCTGGCATTGTTACAAAGAAATACCAACTTTAATGTCGTAAATATATTAAATATATCGTCGTTTTTATATTTTAATTTGCTTTGTTGCAAGGTTTGTATATTTCAATGTTTTGACACACAGTGCATAAAACCAAATAAATATTAAAGGAAGTTTTGGTTTAAACAAGGAAGCACCTTCACCTTCTTTCTTGCCGCCATATTGTTTTATAAGTTTGTTTAGTGGTTTGTTCATTCAAGTTCTCGTCTCGTAACTTTCCTTTTATTGTGTATTTAGCTACGTTTTTCTCTGTAACTGATATTATTCAACAAACTCTCTCAGTTGGAGCGTTAGGTTTACTGTATTGGAGATGAAAAAGAACTGAGAAATGCCAAAGGTTGTATCCAAAAGTTTTGTCGTTTCGGACACAAGAGACAAAGAAGAGTATAATGACGTTAGCACTGCTGTTTATGTGTACTATTGTTTATGTGGGCAATTAGCCTTAATTTTGGACACTACTCTGGAGAATTTGCCCTTGCGTAGAATTGATCATGCCCGTGTTATTGACTCGAAGATACATGCATATAAATTAAGTTGCATTGAAGGTGATGAGGTATTCTTAAGGCGAGAGAAGGGTGTTGAAAGACAATTTCGACAGAAATGTAAAAGTTGTGGCTTATGGCTTTTTTATAATCATGTGAAGAAAGATGTCAAGATTACTTTTGTTGTGGATGGTGCTTTAGTTCTTCAAAAAGATCCAGGTAATTTGAAGAGTTCACCACTCAGTTATGTTACTTATGTTTTGGTCCACATTTTAAAGAAGCAAATACTTAAGAATTATTGGAGGTGGTTATACTCAATATTTCGAGCAAAAACAGTTTGTAAATGGCCTGCAATTCATTGTACTTCTTTTGTGTACAATTTTCACTTTTAACAATAACCTTACCCACAGATAATTTTTGTAGGTGACAAGTGTCTGTAGGCTCTTAGCCAATCACCATCAAGATTGCATGAACATTGCATAATATTGATTATTTTGCAATTCAAAGAAGTTGTAATAATCTTATGTTGTAAGGGGCATTTGCATTCAACCAGCTATTTTTGTCTTAATTTTTGAATACCATATATTTATCATACAAAATACAAAAAAACATTGAAAAACAATTACATCTTGATCATTTGCACAGATGGGAAAAATCTATTGCAACAAAAGAAACCAAAGAAAGTTATGATGACAAAACGCACTAAAGAGTTTGGAAAGTTTAGCTCAGTTACAGTATCCACAGTTGATGAGGAAGAAGAAGAAATTGAACAACAAGAAGTAGAAACATCATACTCTCATAATGCTAAAATCATAGAAAAACAGCTTGAGAGGAAAACAACAGCTCAAAAACGTGCCAATGATGCTGGCATGGAAGGAAGGATAAAGAAACCTAAAGGAACTCTCATAGATAGATGATCAATTATATATGTATTAAAATCATGTAGTTCTTGATTTAATATTTAATTAGTTTTGAAAACTCTGGTCAATTCATGATCAATTGTTCATAAAGTTGACTGAATAAGTTCATACAAGCAACAAGGTTTTACTACCCTCATAATATAAAACATACATGAAGTATTCGTCGACTCCCAATCTCTAACTGCAGGCGCTCTTATTGCGATGAAATACTTGAAGTAAGTACCAGTTAAATAGTTTTACAAATTCACATGCTACTATGGTGGTGTTATCTTTGGTTGTTTTTGGTCGTCCTCCTCATTTAATATATGGTGTAAAGCGGGGAAAAGTTCCTTCATCTTTACGACCAAATGTCATCATGAAAAAGCAGGCGTTAGGAAGTATGTATATTTTATATTTAACCCATTTGTGAAAGATATAATGTTATCTGGTCTTGCTGAATTTAGATGCAACTTGTACAGAAGAGATGTCAAGATTAATGAATTGTTTTAAACGAGAAAATTTTCAAGATTCCAAATGTTCAAAAGAAATTCAAGAGTTTCAAGATTGTGCAAATTTAGCTGTTAGTTTTTTGTGAAAAATCATTTTATAATACCAAATACACTATATAGAAACTTAACCATTAAATTATTTTAACAAAATTATTTAATTTACAGAGTAAATACAGGATGGAAAAAAAGTCTACTCAAAGTGGATGGACATTGGATGAATTAAACAGAGTCATGCGTGAGAACACTCAGGTTATTAAGAAATCAAGGGTTAGAAGTTGAGTATTTATTTATTGAAAAGTGAGAAGTAGTTTGTTCAATTTCTTGTATCATTAAATTTGATTTAATTATTCCATATAACAACATCCAAGGTGACTATAAACTACAACATAAGAAGTTTTATATAAATTAACACACTTTTATCATCAAAAATAGGTTATCTCGATGTCCTGTTCTAGTTCATTACAGGATGATATATTTAGTTGAATCATAAAATAATTTCTATGTCAATATCGGGACATATTGATGATTTACTTTTTCATGATCTCTTCAACTTCACACAAAACTTCATTAAGATTGACCAATAAGAACTCTGCATCAGTTTGAGTAAAGCATAAAGGTGGTTTCAGTTTAAATACATTATTTCCAGGCCCATCAACACTTGTGATGATATATCTGTCTCTAAGTCTAGAAATTACAAGAAAATACATTATTAAAATTCTCAACAAAGTTGGCCATGAAACTTCTTTTTGCACAAATAAATAGTAGTGTAAATTTGTTGGTGATTAAAGACTACAACTCTGTGTTACATAAAACATTTTGTGTCATATAAATAAACATACTTTTCTTTAATTAAAGCAGCTTCAGCAGTAGCAGGTGTTTTGAGTTCTCTGTCAGTTACCCATTCCAATAAATAAACCTCCAATTTAAATATTAACCTGTTAAACAAAATCATTAAACTAACATATAGAGTAAGTGATGAATGAACAACAGAGAACAATATTAACAATGTAAGTCAGTGTAGGTAGTGATGAATGAACAACAGAGAACAAAAACTATCATTTAAAATACAGTGTAGGTTGAATGAACAACAGAGAACAAGATACTACATAAATAGATATCAGTGTAGGTAGTGATGAATGAACAACAGAGAACAAGAACAGTCTTTACACTACCTAAAATATAAACTAAGATAACGTGTCAGTGTAGGTAGTGATGAATGAACAACAGAGAACAAGAACAGTCTTTACACTACCTAAAATATAAACTAAGATAACATGTGTCAGTGTAGGTAGTGATGAATGAACAACAGAGAACAAAACAGTCTTTACACTATCTAAAATATAAACTAAGATAAAACATTGTAAGTCTTGTAAGTAGCATCAATATGTTGCATATAGACATTATAATATACCTCACATCTCCAATTATTGGATGAACTTTCTGAAGTTCTTTAAGATGCTTCATTAAGAAATTTCCAACCTCTACAGCATTTTCTTGAAGCTTTTCTTGCTCAATAACATCTAACACAGCATGTGCTACCTCACAAGAAACAGGATTTCCACCAAACTTAAAAAGTTAAACACTTTGTTAATACAACATGATTGTCGTTACGAATAAAGTTTATTTCACATTGTTCGTGAATTTCAACAATACAAAAAAGAGCTGAAAAAAGCAGTTGAAAAATGTAAAATTTAGTCGTAATATAATCAGATTTGATTTTCGCGTTACACGCACCGTATTGAAATAATTTGGTCCTTTAGCAACAAATGAATCAGAAATTTCACTTGTAGTTACAACCAATGATACTGGATGACCATTGGCTATTGGTTTACCCATTGTTACAATATCAGGAACAACATCTAATAACGCACAAAATGTATAAAGTTTTTTTTAACTAAGGCAAAAATCTTCGAGAACATTTTATTGTGAAAATAAGTTGAGTTCATACTTTGATGCTCAAACATCCAAAAATCTCCACATCGACCGAATCCTGTTTGAACTTCGTCAGCAATGCAAACTCCCCAGCATTACGAACATGTCTAAACATACATTAACATAAGTATATAGGAGGGAGGGAGGGAGCTAATATTGCAATTTTGCATATATAGATGGTACAACTAAAATGTTGAGCATAAATATCATATTTCATGGCAACTTAGATAATTTTTTGAATTCATTTCTAAACTGTCTAAACAATAAAATAGAATAGTTTTTCGTTATCTATCATTGATACGTACTCAAATGAATGTTTAAGAAAACCATCTGGGTAAAATAGTTGTCCACCACATCCTTGTGCTGACTCAGCTATGAAAGCTGCAATCTATTGAACAATGTTGAATGACATTTCATTTTCTCATACTTATGTCAAAGTCATGAAGGTATATTACAAATTGTTGATTAATGTTTTCCTTCAACTAATATCAATAATCTAATACAAATCATATTTAAAACAAAATTTACTGTATACCTTCCGTCCGTTTCCATGAGCTTCTTCTATTGCGCTTTTAACTTCATTCGCATATTTGATTCCAGTCTCTTCATCATAGCCAAGGTATTTTCCACGATACGGATCTGGAGATGTGATCACGTGAACAAAATCTTTGTATTTATGGTTTTTCATTTGTTTTTGTTTGTATGGTGATATATCCATTAAAATATTTGTATGACCATGGTAGGCACTAAATAAAGCATGTGTAAAATAAATCAACTTGAAATTCACACCAATGAATACGAATCAGTAGAGATTTATTTGGTGTTAAAGATTACATAATTCCTAATTTAGCATCAGATCACTCCCGATGAAGAAATTTAACTAGAGTATATAAAGACTCAAATTTCAACATCAGATCACTCCTGGTGAAAATTGTAAGTTGTATTTAAAGACTCGAGTTTCAACATCAGATTACTCCTGACGACGACACTTCAGTGAAGAAAGTAATTGGCTTTAATGATTATGGTTCATGGTTAGTCAATAAAAAACAACGAAAACTTACTGATCTAACACAATAATGTCTTCATTTCCTGTGTGAAGTTTTGCCATTAGCAATGCAAGATCATTTGCTTCAGATCTGAGAGCAACAAAATAAAACAGCATAAGTATTTAATTTTTGCAGCGCTTTCATCGTTTTTTAAATTTAAAGAAAACTCCGAACTGACATCTCAACGTGTGTATACCCACCCTGTACAACAAAAAAAACAAACTTTCAGTTTTTCAGGTAGTTTTGCAACGATCCGCTCCGCGTACTCAACAATACTGTCGTGTAAGAAACGATTATTTGTATTTAGTTGTTTCATTTGATTATTGCAAGCTCGAACAACATGAGGATGACAGTGACCAACTGAAAAAAAGGAATGTAATTTATAATTTTTTGTTGTGCTGTTCTTCATTCATCACTACCTACACTGACACACGTTATCTTAGTTTATATTTTAGGTAGTGTAAAGACTGTTCTTCTCTTTCTCTGTTCTTCATTCATCACTATCTACACTGACACGCGATTTCTTAGTTTACATTTTAGGTAGTGTAAAGACTGTTCTTTTTCTCTGTTCTTCATTCATCACTACCTACACTGACACACGTTATCTTAGTTTATATTTTAGATAGTGTAAAGACTGTTCTTGTTCTCTGTTGTTCATTCATCACTACCTACACTGACACACGTTATCTTAGTTTATATTTTAGATAGTGTAAAGACTGTTCTTGTTCTCTGTTGTTCATTCATCACTACCTACACTGACACACGTTATCTTAGTTTATATTTTAGGTAGTGTAAAGACTGTTCTTGTTCTCTGTTGTTCATTCATCACTACCTACACTGACACACGTTATCTTAGTTTATATTTTAGGTAGTGTAAAGACTGTTCTTGTTCTCTGTTGTTCATTCATCACTACCTACACTGACACACGTTATCTTAGTTTATATTTTAGGTAGTGTAAAGACTGTTCTTGTTCTCTGTTGTTCATTCATCACTACCTACACTGACACACGTTATCTTAGTTTATATTTTAGGTAGTGTAAAGACTGTTCTTTTTCTCTGTTGTTCATTCATCACTACCTACACTGACACACGTTATCTTAGTTTATATTTTAGGTAGTGTAAAGACTGTTCTTGTTCTCTGTTGTTCATTCATCACTACCTTCACTGATCTATATGTTATCTCAGTTAAACACAGTTTACAATTTTTTGTTTAGTAGAGATCACTAACTAATGTTAATGTTTTTCAAATTACTTTGCTCTCTATAGAGGTGAAGGTTTATTTATTGGAGCTAAATGGGTAACTGATAGAGAACTCAATATTTTCATCATTCATTCATTCTTTCCACAGCTTACCCTGTGTCACATTATTGATACAATCCAAATATCGTTTCCCATTTTCATCATAGAGATATGTTCCTAAACCTCTTACTATCTTGATTGGATTATCTTTAAAATGTATCTCTAGCGCTTTGCTGTTAAAAAAGATTTGTAGAGAGAAAATAATTTTATAAATCTTATGACAGTAAAAATGGTGTTACATAGAAAATAATAAATATATATCTTCCTTATGGTTACAATATTTTATTACATTCACAATAAATGATAAAGTTTGCTTTTAAAACAAGAATTCATTTTTCAATTGAAACACTAATCTCAAAAATCATTTGTAAACATGACTTGATCTCAAATAACGGAGAGTCAGGAGAGAATAATTAGGATCTTGTCAAGTCTCACAATCTTTGGTAATCTCCTGTACATTTTAGCTGAACAAACAGGAGTGGATGTTAAATGCATGTTTGTGGTTCTACTTAAGGTACAAAATAATATTTGTTTATTAACAATGATTTTTCCATTACCCAATCACTTTATCTCTTCTTTTTAGTGTTTCTTCCTTGGGAAATTTCTGATGACATTCAAGATTCTGCACTGTTTTAGAGTTGCACTGTTTTAGTAAAAAAAAACTAAAATTTTAATATACCAATCCTTGTAGGTACAAAATAAAACAGCTCATATGCTAAAAATAAATATATAAATGCCCATTTCTTACAATAGAACTTTCCTTAGCAATGAGCAACATATTCAACATATAGAGAAATAAAGAATGCAAATGTGATCTGAAATTTACATAGCACCACCAAACATCAAAGTGCAAGAGCATAATATTGCATATCAAGAGTGGCCTAACTGATTGAAACCTGACCTTTGGTGTTGTAAAGAGGTAGGCTCGACAGTCACATGATGACATGTATAAATAATGTAAACACATTGGGAAGATTATACACCAATAATTCTATTTGGAGAAAGCAATGTGAACAATACAGGCTAATTTAATAGGAAAAGTTTTTTAATTCATGTATACTAAAGTTTATATTAAAAGAGCAACGCTTTCACTTTATAATTTTATTAATTTTTTACCTGAGTAAGCCACGTTAAAATATCTTCATCTTTCTTTGTCTTGTTTTCATTTGCTTGAAGTAACACTGTACACAATGGAAGAACGGTGAACATTTTCACAGGATGCTGGCGTTGAAAATGAACGTAGATTATGTAGTAAAATACAAAAGTAAATTGTCAGCGCCCAGCAGTTGTCGTCAGTGTTGAGAAGTGAGTCAATGGAATGCGTTGTGAGAAACTGGAATAAAAACTTGAAAAACCTGTAAATATAATTACTTTTTAGTATATGCCCACAAAATAAAAATGTTATGTACATATTTGATTGTGGACGTACCACACAATTTTTAACAACTAGAATACAAAGACCATTCTCAGCCTGTAGAAATTTAAAGTAACAAAGAACGCCATTGCCAAAAAAGACAGCGTTAAAAGGATTATTATGGATGAAAGGATTTAATAAAATTTTTATAAATATCACATGAATCAGCAAAATATTTAAACAAAGAAATAGATAGAAATACAACTGACTATTAAAGCTATGAAAAATAAATAAGCAAGTTTATTTTCATCGTATATCTTTTTCATTAAATGTTACACCAAGTATTGCATTTATTATTTTGGTGTTTATTTGTGTCCAACATTAATGTTCATTGATTTTTGTTTTATTTTTGAATTTTTGTACTGTTTTTAGTGTGTTTAGGATAACGTCTGTTCAAATGTCTACGAAACTATGAGCTGATGTAACCAAATCATTTTGTAACCAAAGTATTTTAATAAAATACGTACTTAAATGACTGTATATATACAGGAATCAAAATACTGATATCTATCAACGTCGAGGGAATTATTTCTGATAACAACTCAGTTGTCAAGAATGAGTGATCGTTTAAAAGCTATTAAAGAGAAATCAAAATTAAGAAGAAAGTTGTTAGCTCCCATTGTATGTACGATTCAATATTTATTGTGATCTTGTTGTCTATTGTCTCTCTCTTCATGATTTCATCGCGACTTGAGTCCTTTTATACTTCAAACTAGTTTCTTTATAAGAAGTGATCTGAGATTGAAACTAAAGTACTTATGCAGAGTTTTAATTTATTTTAAGCTTGGTGCTTCTGATGCAGATAGGATTGGAGATGTATTGGGAAAGAAAGAAATTCTAAAAACTGTTGTAAAGGAAAAAGAAAGAACAGTTTTGGAGAAAAAGTCAAAAGATATTTCTAATTCTAAGAGAAAAGCTGTTGAGGCATTTGAGTTGCCTGGAATACTTACAGATGCTCCCCCTGAGGTTTTTGTTGAATATTTGTTGATACATTTCACATCATTTTGAACTTAGTGTTTGTGAACATCATCTATATTGTCATTAATGAAAGATGATCAAAAATATTTCTTAGGTTGTATTGTCTGATGACAAACCAATAGCTAAGAAAAAGCCTAAGAAAGAGGTAAATTTTTTTCATCAGAAGATGTGTATGTGTAGAATCTGATTTTTCGTCCATGATAATGGCATTTTAATAAATATGTGAAACTATGGCATGTTCTCTTTTGTAGTTTGCTGATGATGAAGAAGAAGATTATTCAGAGGGAGAGTTTGAGGAGATGCAAGAAGCATTTTATAAAGACAGTAGTACATTCTTAAAGGTACTGATTTTATATAAATACTTTGATTAAAGCTTTGTTTCTCTTTTCTTTACAATGCTCTTATGATATAACAGGGTACGCAAAGTGAAAATCCTCACAATGATTATTGTCAACATTTTGTGGACACAGGACAAAGACCTCAAAATTTTATTCGAGATGTTGGTTAGTTTCAAAAAAGCAATGATACAATGATATTATTATAATTCATTTCAAATCATTTTTGTGTGTCATTTTAGGTTTGGCTGACAGGTTTGATGAGTATCCAAAATTGAAAGAACTTATAAGGTTAAAGGTATAGTAAAGCTGAACAGACATAGAAAAAGCTTAGTGTACTAAACAAGTTGGTTGGATGTTATTTTATTTGCTCATTTTCAACTCTTAGAATGATATTTGAATTTGAAATGTAACAACAAAAGTAAAAGATTGCAAAACTGCAATTTATTGAAAAAATAGATACACAAAGCGTACATGTATGCAGTCCATGGCCTGCATACAAGCTACCCACAAAACCATCAACAAAGATTATTCAATTGATAATTTGATGTTGATTGTTGTTCTAAAAATTCAATTTCTTATTTCTAAATTATTTTTTCACAGGATGAGATCATTGCCAAGCGAGCAACACCACCAATGTATGTTCAAAGAAAGCTTTTAATTAAATTAGCTTACAGTGATTGTTTAACATACACAAGTTACTTACATATGGAATTTTTCATAGCATTCTTTAGCGCGTTATTTCATAAGATGAATTTATCTATACTAGGTATTTGCAATGTAATTTGGAGTCTTTTGATTTACGTGATCTTGAATGTAAATTTGATGTTATCCTTTTGGATCCACCTTTGGAAGAATATCAACGACGTGGTTCTGGTATCTCACACAATTGGCGACCGTGGGACTGGGACGAGGTAATGCCTAGATGTGTTCATTAAAAATTTTGGCTTTCAAATGTACAAGTTCACTTTCGAAAGCTATAACTTCTCTTTAAGTAAATACGTAGTACTATCATCGAAATTCAATAGTTCAAAACATTTTATCATTAACATTTCATTATTGTAACGTATCAATTACGTAGATATGAACTAATAACGTTTAAGTTGAGATGATTTTTTATTGATTTTATTTTTTTATTTTAGATTATGAAACTTTCTATAGAAGAAGTAGCTGCTCAACGATCCTTTATATTTTTATGGTGTGGTTCACACGAAGGTCTTGATGAAGGACGAAAAGTATATTTTCAAACATTAATGTCTTTTTTTCTTCCATTTTAAACAAGAAAGGTTGTTTTTATGATCTTATGGGTTTTTATATAACTTAACCTTGTTTACAATAGTGTCTGCGTAAATGGGGCTATCGTCGCTGCGAGGATATTTGCTGGATCAAAACAAACAAAAAAAATCCTGGCAACGTTAAATTTCTAGAACCGAATGCCATATTTCAACACACGAAGGAGCATTGTTTAATGGGAATCAAGGGAACTGTGAGAAGAAGTACAGACTTTGATTTTATTCATGCAAATGTTGACATTGATCTCATCATTACAGAAGAGGTGAATTATACAAAAATATTTTACTTTTTAGGTGAATTTTATAACAGATGTGATGTCACGAATTTTCTTATATTCTAATAAAAATATTGCTTTAAAGCCCCTATTGAAAGTACAGAAAAACCAGAGGAAATATTTCATATTATTGAACATTTCTGTTTGGGAAGGAGACGATTGCATTTGTTTGGCAACGATAGCAGCTTAAGACCAGGTAAAGTTTTTATCACAAGTTTGTAAAGGTATCTTTCTGTTATGACCTTTGATTTAAAATTTGATGACAATTTATAATAATACAATACTTTAGTATGTGATTTGTTTTGTTAAGATGTATTTCTGTGATAAAACTGGATTATAAAATTGTTTGGTTAACTGTGACTTTTTACGAGTCACGAAAACTTTTTGATCCAACATAACGTGATACTTTGAGGGGGAATTATAGCTAATCTACTCTCACCTGTAAAAGCAACAGCTGGACTTATTTCACAAAATACGTCTTCGAAATTTTTGACACATTCAAAGTTACATTCAAAGTTTTGATATTTGCTTGTTTTTCTCAATATTTGTATACTTTTTTTCTTCCATTTACTTGTTCAACTGTCTTTTCCAGGATGGCTTACTGTTGGTTCTGATCTTTCAAGCTCAAATTATTCTAGTGATACATACAACTCATTCTTTGAAAGTTCTCCTACAGACTATCTTGTTGGAGATACGCCTGAAATTGAGAATCTCCGACCAAAATCTCCCAAAGCCAAAAACAAAGGAGATGGTGGAAAAGGAAGGGGAGGTTCTGGTGGCCCCACGTGGGTATCGCGTGGAATGCGGGGTATTGGTGGTCGTGGGACAGGGGGGAGAGGGGGATTAACTAGAGGCATAGGCTTTTCTATCCGTGGAAATCGTGGTTTAAATCGAGGTGGTTTTCCTACTCGTTAGACAGGTCGTGTTATGCTTGACAATATTTCAATTTTTATTTTGATGTGGACTTGGAACGTCGATATTTTAACTAGAAGATAGTTTCAAATGAAGAATTTTGGCTTTACCAAGTTTTTCTCGTAGTAATTTCATTAGCATGACATTGTATGTGATCGTTCATATTTGGGGTAGCTCTGAAATTCCTCCAGATTTTACAATATAAAGATCAGTGATAACAATTGAGAAATGTTGTCTCAGATTATAATAAGATCAGGGTCGTACCAAAGAACTCTCCTGAGACCTCCTTCTATTCGCGCGTTCTTTTCGAGTTTTCTGTTTCTCTTATAAACAATATGGTATGTTCACAGTGAAAATAAGTTCAGAATCCTCAACGTTTGTTTCAATCCTTTGCCATACTGCAAATTTAAAAGTGAAATAAGATATTTTAAGAAACAATTGTCGAAATATCTTTCCCTTTTCATCAATCCTTTTCTTATTCTTCAGAACGTAAAGTTTGTGCTTCAAGCGATTTGTTCTTGAAGTTAGAAAATGATGTAGTCGTAATGCACATAATAATAACTATAAGTTCTTTATAAATTTACGTTAAGATGCATTTTTGCACGTTTTAAATGTTATAGAGTGAAAATACAGCGACAATTAGGACCCGAAAGTTCTTAACTAACCGCCTGCTTCAACGAAAGCAAATGGTAAAGTTTTATTTATTTGTCGATATTATTTTTTACACAGTAAAAAGTACTTGTAATAAAACTATTTTTTGCTAGTCAAGTTTTTCAAATAGCAAAAGATATTGTTTAATTGTTATATGAAGCCAAAACTACTCATCAAAATTGGAATGTTTTATCTCATGAATATATGAGGATAGTGCAACTTAGGGGTTGTTAACATTAGCCATACAGGGAGGGCTGACCCTACCAAGCAAGATCTTACATGCCATTAAAATTCCATAGAAAATAACTTTTTGTTTACATGAGGAGGGCCAGCCCTACCAGCTGGGATCTTGTTATTGTTTACCCAAGATCTTGCCATGTAGGGCTGGAAATTTCCATTGTGAACGCATTTGGTAGGGCTGGCATTCATGTCAGGCTGAAAGTTTAATGCATATGCATGCAATAAGGCATCGCTTTTCAGCAATGGTGACAAGTAAAGGCATTGAAGGGCTAAAATTTGCATGTAAAAGAGAGATAAAATACATCCCTACAGAGAAGGCTACCCCTTTCTGTAGTGGTCATGTACACAGCCCCTTAAGCCCTTCACAAAATTTTTGTCCAGTGTTTGTTTAAGCATTCATATTGCTCACTTGTCTCTAACATCCTCCAAAAAGATTGTATACTTTACTGAGCAATATGCTTTTTGGTTTGGTTTAAAATGACTGTTGACACCAATAATTTAAAATATATCATAAATTCCATAAATTATTATAGGTTGTGGATATAATTCATCCTGGTCGAGCAAATGTGCCAAAGACAGAAATTCGTGACAGGCTAGCCAAAATGTACAAAACCACTGCCGATGTAATTTTTTGTTTTGGATTCAAAACGCAATTTGGTGGAGGTCGTAGTACTGGATTTGCTCTTATATATGACAATCTTGATATTGCTAAAAAAACTGAACCCAAGTACAGATTGGTCAGGGTAAGCAATGATATTTAGACATTAAGTTTGTTATTTGTAATTTTACATGCAAAGAGTAAAATCTTTAGTCGTTTGTTAAAAGTAGTCTTTTTTTGTGACTTGTAGCATGGTCTGATGGAAAAGGCCAAAACTGCACGCAAACAACTTAAAGAAAAGAAAAACAGGATGAAAAAAGTTCGTGGTATAAAGAAAGCAAAAGTAGGAACAGGGAAAAAGGTGAGAAAAATTGACATACTTCTTTTTTATAATCAACAATTTAATATGCTGTGTGTAAATCTTTGTTTCTGATTTCAAGAATTCTTTTCTTTTTAGTAATGGTCCATTTTGGCAAATATTGCTTGTAATTGTTCTCAATTAAAATTATGAAAATCTCCTTATGTATAGTTTATGTTTAATTAGTTGCTTAATCACAGTTAAAAGGCATCACAATATGACATTCACAGTAGTCATCCTGATTTGCAAACTTACATGTCAAGTGCTTTACAAATAATTAAGATATGTCACAGACAATGTTCTGCATTATGTATGAACTTTTGGCCTGCATCATCGGGGGCTTTTCCCAAGGCTTTTCTCAGACCCAGTCTCGCGCATTGCAAGACGTCATCAGCGTTGTGTTTTGGTTAACCTTTCCCGGCACGTGACGTCAGAATGAAACGAAAGTAAGTTTACAACTTTGATTTCCGCACGTGTCGACCAAAAGTCTTTTTGTAAGTGTAAATTTATCAAATAAATTTGTCGCATGGCGTCGGGAGATGAATATAGTGGAAAAGAAACGAATAAAGATTCCAAATCAGAGGTATGAGTTAAAGCAACCGATTAAAACTCTTGTTTAACAGACCATTTAAAACGAAGTTGTATAAGACTAACAAAGTACATTGGATTTAATTGGATTCTTGTCTGTATGTGTCTTGCTTAGAGTAAAAGGAAGATTCGCCTTCCTCAGTTAATTGTGGAATTGATGTTGTTTTAGTAGGAATGCCTTATTAAATTGAAATAACCGTTAAATTTTTGAAACGCATATAGGAAGTTGTTATTTGTTTGTGTCAGTATTTTACCTGTACAACAGTATTGTATGATTTTGATGTTTCTATCTATATGAATACCTGTGTCAAATGGCTTTAATAAGCACATCATTGTGTTTTAATACTTTGTAATGAAGTCACTTGACTGAAGTAAATAAGAACTCAAATTTTGTTATGAGATCACTTCTAACGAAGACATTAGAAAGGAGTATGCAAGAACATCATTTTTAACATCAGATCTTTATTAATGAAGTCATTGGACTGTAGTATACCTGATAAAGACATTATTCATTGTATCATGACTTGTGTTTTATATGTTTTAAGAGTGTTGAGGAAACTACTGAAAACAAAGCAGACATATCAAAAGAAATAACAAAAAAGCATCCCTTACAAAATAAATGGGCCTGGTGGTTTTTTAAGAATGACAAAAGTAAAAATTGGGAAGAAAATTTGAGGCTCATTACAACATTTGATACTGTATCCTTTTATATTGTTGTATACATTACCCTGTTAATCCATTGTATCTTCATGAAAAATTGGTATTCTTTATCATTGTGTATTCTTGCCCATAGTTTTCTGAAATCTGTGTAATTAACTGATGTGATAGTTGTTTTCAGCCTTAATTTGTTTTAAGGTAGAAGATTTTTGGGCAATATATAATCATATAAAAAATGCAGCAAAATTACAATCTGGCTGTGACTACTCCGTATTTAAGGTAGTTGATGGTATTTTTAAATTTAGTAGTATTCTTACAAAGTGGATGGCGCTCCCTCTTGTATTTAGGCGTACATTTTACGTGTAAACAATTTTTTTACCAAATATTTTATTTCAAAACTATATAATCAGTTTGATACTGTCTATAATTTAGGATGGAATAAAACCAATGTGGGAGGATGACAAAAATAAGCAAGGTGGACGTTGGCTTGTCAACACAAACAGAAATCAACGCAATGATTTGGACAGAATGTGGCTTGAAACAGTATATATAAATATAATATAGAATTTGTATTGTTTAATGCATTAGTACATTAATATCTTAAGGTTATTTTTTGCTTCTATGCATTGTTGATCAAGTTGTTTTTATTGATGACTTTTATTGCATTTAATTTTGCAGTTATTATGTCTTGTGGGAGAGGCTTTTGATGATTATTCAGATCAAGTATGTGGGACTGTTGTGCAGATTCGACCTAAAATGGATAAACTTGCTGTATGGACAGGAAATGCTAAGGATGAACATGCTAATTTAACCATAGGGTGAATATAAAAACATAATTTTTAAAATTTACCATTGAATTTTTTGCACTAGTCTTTAATCAATTTTACATATAACACAATTCAAATTATTGTAAAAAAATCTGCATTTTTCATTTTTCCAGTCTCACCAAACAGAATGCTTGTTATATAGTGCCAGTTTATGTAACTCAAATCATACTTAATTTGTAATATTTAATGTTTTAGTTAGTCACCATTGTAATGATCTTCAATCTTCAAAAATATTTTGTTGGTAAATATTTATCCTTTTTTAGACGAGTATTAAAGACAAGATTACAGATGGGGACTAAAATGACCATTGGATTTCAGGTAGGTCCTTGATACTTGATGTAGAGAATTGTGATCTGCCTTTGTATTTTTTTCTTATTTATGATAGTTACTTATTGATCTTGTCATACATATATATTGCCAAGACTGGAAAGTTTCTAAATTGTACACCCAAGATTTGAAACTTATGTGTTCAAGAGCCTTTTTTCTCTTGTGCATAAATCTTGGGTGCATACTAAAAACGTTCCAGTCTCATATGTCACAGTGAGTATCAGTGATTACTTGATCTCCTAATTGATGGTGAGGATGGTATATAACAAATTTATTTATTTGATGTTCTGTGAGTTACGTATGTCATAATGAGGATGTTACATAAAATATCTATGTTTTAATCTTCTAACTGGTAGCAAAACTTAGAGTTCAAACTATTCACGTTATAATTTTTTGTAGTAAAGGTGTTGCATGAAAAATCAATTCAATTAATTCTGTATTTTGTGAAACAGAAAACAATTGACATTCCTTAACATGTAATACTTGTGGAAACAGGTGGAATAAATAATGTTTACTTTTCACAGAGTGTCAATCGTTTTGTGTTTTATTAAAATACTATTTGGTAGCCGTAATTGTGTATTTGTTGTGAGTTGTTTAAGTAGATGTTTCAATTGAAAAAAAAATTTATCATATCAGACACATGCAGATACAATGGTGAAGACAGGATCAACAACTAAAAATCTTTATCAAGTTTGATGATCAACAACAAAATAATCATGCTGATATTGGTGAAAGCCGGAATAAGAATATTGAAAGGATAAATGCAAGACTAAAATAATTCATCTTATTTTAAGACGACAGTCTCTGACTCCTTAGTTTTCATTTATAATGACAATAACGTTGAAAATTCGTTCATTCAAAAATTGTTTTTGAAAATGGCATAAAATGAAATTTTCTGATCTGCACCAAGAGTAATTTAGTGCTAAACATACAGTTAGTTACGTTTTTATGTCATTGGATGTTCAAAGTTAGGGTTAGCTGTACATCATGAACATTTATTTTAATTTATTTGTTTGTTTTTGAATTTTTTATGAAATGTTTATGTGAAAGTTGCGTTAACAATAAGCTTATCTAACTTTGAACTTAAGTATCTGAGTGTAGGACATTTTATTCGTTGAAATATTTTTTCAGTTGTGCATTAGTAAAGTAGTTTTATTTGTTGTGAAATTGTTGAATCATCCATTTATTTTGAACATTTGTTATTACGTATGCTTTGAGTGAACGTTTTGTATTATAAAGATTATCTCATAAATCGTATTATGATATCAAGTCATAAAATTGTACAATATATTTTATACTTAGTCCATGAGCTACAGTCGAACCTTCCGTAAGCTTAACACGACTTGGTGGCCGGTATGAGTAGTGTCCATTTGTGGAGGTTCCATTGTATTTGATCATGATTTGTGGTCATCGTTCTGCTATATTTGTTGTAGTTTTATACATACCTACCGAAGATACGTTTTATTACGTTATCAATGGAACATTATGTATGAAATGTCTTTACATATTTGTGGGGGATAAATCTTTAGAAAGGACGTAAAATGTTTCTTAGATAAAAACTGTAAAGCGCGCGTGCACCTATTTTTGGTTTGACAAGTAAGACAACCAATCAACTGACATCTTGGCGGAGACTGCCTCAAAGGCAACCATAAAAATGTTATTGGTAGCTAAAGAATATATCGAAATTGCAATCCTTGACGTATACGATAATTTCATTACATACAAAATGAAGCATAATCGGAAGAAGGACATCTTATAAACGTAAATTTAAGTTGTAAAACAAGATGATTTAAACTGCACTATTTCGATTTTGTTTCAAAACAATCATCCGACAGAATGATATATTTACTAGCTGGTAGTTACATATATATACAGAGCAGGTGTTAAGTGCTAATGGACTTTCATCAAGCACATCAATGTACAGAGTTCTGGTCGAGGTTTGCACCTTTGTATAATACCCTTACATACAGTACGTTGTTTTTCTACTTAGTGTAGTTATTGTAGTCCCACCTCTGTCGAAGTTACTACTACTCCTCAAATGATAATTTATAGTTACACAATGAATTACCATGGAAACCTTACACTTGACACCAGTAATTTGATATGTTGTATAAAGATAATCCTCAATGGAATTAATTATCAAGATGTACGTTAGCGTAAGGAGACTGTGAAATATAAACAGAAAAGGAACGGTTTATGTCGTTGTTGACAAAGCTAATATGACAACTCTACATGATATAAACGGAGGAAAGATGATCACAGAAAGTGAGATACCGCGATTGAGTCGGTATGCAACGTCATCAAAACCTTCAAGAAATGATCTTCACTCAAGAAGTGCTAGCTTTCCCCAACGTTCAAGCAAAAGTCCTTTTTTTGTACGACACAATCCTCATCCTAAACGCGTCATGCATCTTAAAGGATTGTTGGATATACCCATATGTACAGTTATAGACAGTGGTGCTCATGAAGATCCTTCGAGATTTTTGGTTAGAACACCAGCCTATCCAAGCGGCGCTATGAGGCAATTTCATGGCTTGCGAATGCCTTTAAATTCTTCATCGTTTGTGTACTGCAGAGAAAAGGCATTGCCCGGAATCGGTCTTGGTAAGTAGTTGCTCGTTTTTGTCTTTTTAATGCGGATTAAGTAATTCTTTCATTCTATATTTGATTGCGAATTTATCTACCATCTTTTGTTTGCAAAGCCTCCTTTAATAACGTTGGCATGACAACCTTGGTGCAGAAAAGGAGCAGTATAAATTGTGTTGTAAACTGCTCTATTTCAGGGATGGTTATAAAGTTCACTTACAAAATCTTGCCTCCTCGTTTAAATGTTTATCTTATTCAATTTATCAATTCAACTTAATCGTAATCAAGTCTTCACTTTATTAGGTCTACGAACAAAACGTATGTTTTCCTTCACTTTATCATTTTGTAGTTCCAATAACACAAACGTGGCGAGAGGAATTGACGAAATTAACACAGGCAGTAGGTTTGAGAAAACGACGGAGATTCGTAAATAAAACAGATTTGTGGTTGCCCCCTAAAACAACACAATCAAAAGATCAACAAATTCCTTCAAGAGATGGACGCAATGGAACGCAATCGGCGACAGGAAACGGTACGTACGTTCACATTGTTTAACATTTTTTCTACAAAATAAGGTATTGTCTTACTTCTTAATGTATAATAGTAATGATTTCATCTTTCCTTTTAATCATTACAAGAAGAGAAGTCAAACACTTCAGTTAATCAAAAAGATATCAAGTTAGAAACAAAAGAATATGCGATTCAGCAAGATAGGCCTATGGAACACACTATCTCCGATGCAGAACAAGAAGGATGGGTAAGTTGGTACTCTTTTGATGAGACTAAATTGACAAAAACTTGTGCGTACCTTCATTTGAACATTTAGGGATATCTTATCTTTACACAAGACAAATTCACTCACTAAGTTATATAGCTTCATTCACTGTAATTTCAACATGAAAATCTGTTATTTTGCATGGTGATACAACATTCAGTTGTTATTCAATCAAATATGGCTATTCGATCAAATATATTTATTCAATCGGTTTGCAACAATTTTAATGAAAAAACTGCCACTCGACTGTATTTCTCGGAACTTAAAACTGAACACTGGCTACGAGCTATTAAGAACTTGCTACCAGAGTTTACGCCACAAACTTCAACTCTAATGAGCACAATAAGTAAAAGATTTTCATAACTATATCCATCGTATTATATCCTCGGAATCTTTATACAAATATTCACTTATAGGCATTTATATACTTTTAAAAAAAGTTGAACAAAGTTAATGGTGCACTATCTTCTTTCACAGGTTATGGAGACGCTATGTAATATTTTACAAACCGACTCAATAACAGCTGTGCAGTCGTGGTTAGTAAACGCTCCTCACAGAGGTAAGCACTTGTTAATAATTGAAAAAAGTCATTCAGTTGAAGAATGTAAAGTTACATCGTGAAATTGTATACATTTGATAAAGAAAGAAGCATCAAAAAAAAGAAAATTAAAATTTTTGTTATGACCTTCAATAAAATAATTTTCTCACATATAAATATACAAAGATATACATACAATGCATAGAACTACATCTTTGCTCTACTAAAGAGCACTGATCTTTCTAATGATGAATTTCTGTTTTTTTGGAGATGATATTTTGATGGAAATGATTTAATTTTCCTCTCTTTTTGTAGAAAAAGAAATTGTTCTTGATATGATACGTGCACTATCCACATCTGATAATGATTTTCGTCAAAGTTATGAACAAATGATTTGTTCACCTGTTTATGAAGATCAATTGCTACAACACGAAAGCTCCTTGGACCTAGATGCTATAAAAGAATACAACAAATCCCGCAATGTTGAAATTGAGATAAATAAAGAAGTACAGGATGAAAAACTCGACAGTCCTACACGTAAAGAAATGTCAAAAACAAAGTAAGATCATCAAAATGTTAAAGACGTTAGACTAAGAATGTCTTTACAGCATCATATAGAAGAAACAAGATTTCATAATGAAATAACCTCCATAGTATAAATAAACTATCAACTGATTCATTGCTTTCTACAACAGGAGACTGGGAACTAGCAACAGTGTGAAATCAAAAAATGAATGGATCGCTAGTGAACTAAAACCCAGTTCTCTATTTAAAACAAAAGTTGACGTGTCTGATTCCGAGATTGAAGGTATGCGTTTTGTTAAGACTCCTATGGAAATCATCGAATTTCAAATTTTTTGGCAAGATCATCATTAAGTCATAATTTGTGATCAGCTACTAGCTGTAGTCAAAGAATCCGTGTATACTACACAATTTTAGAAATACTTTTGATTTAGAATAAGTGCATGCACATAATCACATCATGAAGATATGATTCATTACTAAATTGCATACTTTGTTTTCATGCCATTCAAACATGTTGTAAAAAAGAAAACAATCTTAGGATTTTATTTCCCATGGCGTGATTTTGGGGCTTGGGGATGCATAGTTTTAAAGCTAATAATATTTTTAGCTGTAACGTAACCGTTTCATTAACAAAGAAAGTCAAGTTAAAGAAACGTACGAGTTAAAAATCTTTCATTTTTTCTAGAAATACGCAATAAACTTGAATCACGCTGCTCACCACGGGTTTTCTCACATCAGAATCGCACGCTCCCTTCCCGGCATTCTTCACGTGGAACGTCACAACAAAGTGTTTACGTTCCTCCATCCCAATCCCTTGAAGCAGTTGCGCAGAGACCGCCTAGTCACCAGTCCATCAAGTCGCAGCAAAGTGTTTTAAAAAGCATTTTGGAATATAAGCCTGAAAAGGAATGACTATTAAGGTTTGTTTTTATAAATTAGTTTGCATAAGGACTCCATTTTTGCTTTTAGCATATGAGGTAAAAGACATTGTTCGAAATCGAATAATATTTCACACGGCATTGCACTTGTATATAAAGACCCTCATTAAACATTTTTGCGATTTTGCAAAGCTGGGAACTTTTTTCCAGGCTACATCTGTCATGAAAAAAAAGTATGTCAATGCAACGTTTACATTTTAGTATTGATTGGAATCAAAATTTACAATAAAGTAGATAAATTTACGAGAATTGACTGTAAAATACATAAGCTCACGAGAATTATCGTCCATGGTTTAAAGTATTACAGTTACCTATCTTGTTTTCAATGGTTTGAGTGTTTAAATTCCACAGTCATGATCATGGTTTAAATATCTTTGTTGTTCATGGTTTAAACTATTGTTGTAAATGTCTATGGTTGTTGTGCATGGTTTAAATGTCTATGGTTGCCTTTGGTTTTGTCTATGGTTGCTTTCTTGTGCATGGTTTAAATGTCTATGGTTGCTTTCTTGTGCATGGTTTTGTCTTTGTTGTGCATGGTTTAAATGTCTACGGTTTCTTTGTTGTTCATGGTTTAAATGTCTACTGTTGTCTTTGTTGTGCATGGCTTAAATGTCTATGGTTGCTTTCTTGTGCATGGTTTAAATGTCTATGGTTGCTTTCTTGTGCATGGTTTAAATGTCTATGTTGCTTTGTTGTGCATGGTTTAAATGTCTATGGTTGCTTTCTTGTGCATGGTTTAAATGTCTATGGTTGCTTTCTTGTGCATGGTTTAAATGTCCATGGTTGCCTTGTTAAATTCATGACCTAACATATTGATAACCACTAAACATCACTAAATAATCCCTAAACTAGTGATTTTCAGCAAATCAGTAGACTATAGTTTTAGTTCTGCTATGTTGTTTCTTTACATTATTATTACCCATTTTTTTAGAAATCTATTGTTTTCCAATATGTGAATAAATACAAATCTAAGGGCAGAAAACTCCACATTTGATTGTAGTCAAAAAATCCCATTTGTGTGGGATGTATTCACTAACATCACTTGTACAAGAAGCTACTGGTTCATGTTATGTTCGAAGAAAATTTAAGGGAAATGTCAAAGGCTCAATAAAAAAACAATTGTCTTTACTTAATCTGTAACTAGTTTATTTGTTATATTGAAAAGAGAAAACTATTTTGTTCGTTTTACCCATCTTCTTTTCAAAGAATTATATGCAAAAAAGCACAGAGTACCATCTTCTCAGCTGGAATAAATTATTTCGTATTTTAGCCAATCAGAGTTCGAAAAAAATTTAACCAATAAAATGCTAGAATCGCTTAGAAATCAGCCAATGAAATCAGACGACCAAATGATCTTAATAACACGCCAATCACTTTTCCAACAGCCAGCTGCCCTAAGAGTCGAAAGAGGAAAGAAGGTTTGTAAAATTTTTAATAATTATATGAAGGAGAATTTCAAATGTCGATCAATTCGATGACAAAAGCCTTGTTTAATGTATAGTTACATATTGTTTTACTTGAAAATCTTTTCATCGGTTATTTTTGTGCCATTCGGCGTTTCGTGTCTTCACCGTTGTGTTTACTTTGCCAGAGAAGCTTGTCAGTATAAAAACGACAAGTTTGTGTGTTTCAAAGTTTGTCTTTCGGTTTTAAATCAGTGTGTAGCGTACTGCCAGTATTTTGAATGTTTTGAAGTGAAACTTTGTTGAATATTCTTACTTTAAACTTGTATTTGTAATCGATATAATTTCAACAAAAAACTTGTGCGACCGACATCTTTCTCGTTTCACTCGCAAAAATATGAACAAATTCTTGGTGAAAAGTTATTGCACGACAAAATGTGAGATAAGAAGAGGATTTCTTATTCCTTGGGTTGATTTTTGTCGGTAAAAAGTGTGCTTTTAAGCAAAAATTTTGAAGATATGTGAAAAATATGAATAGGATTGTACATGTTGGACCTTGGACTTTCAATGAAATTGGCGCCTTTTTTGTTCCGCGGAAAATAAAGAAACTGGGCACAAATTATGCAAAACCAACCAGCTTGACTAGAAAAAAAAGAATCGAAAGTTTTGTCCGAAAACACTTAAGAATCTTTGAGTGAAGAGGGGGTATAGGCAAAAACTTACACTCTGCCTTTTGAATAAATGAGTTCAAATTTGAGTACATATTAAAAAGTTGTTGTTAAAAGTTACCAATTATTTTCAGAGTATTTTGCCAACAAAAGTGTTTACATTCTCTAGGAAAGATGCTAATTTTCTTTTCAAATTTGACTATAATCAATTATAAAGAATGCCACCGAAGTCGTACCCGAAAGTTGATATTCGAAACAAAGATGAAGGAATAGTTGTGGGAAGAATTGAAGGAGAACTGAACAGAAGTAAGGTAGAAAAAGAAACCCACTATTCCGACGGTAGAAACAAGTGTCAAAAATACGAGATAAAATTACAAAATTTGGATAGTCAAATGGTCGGACATACTATTGTTTATGTAGAAGAATGGCAATAAAATGGTAGGAAGATGTTTTGTGGCATTTGTAAATCTGATTCTAGTTATTCAGAACGATTATTTATAAAGGCAGAAGGCATAACAGTAAATATTAACCATTTTGGGTTTGAAAAAAGCATAAAGATCGAATGAAAGCTTGAATACTAGCATGTTGTCGCGCTAATGATTATTACGGGCCTTTACGGCGTGACTTAAGAATATCCAGGACAGATTCCAGTTGCATAAAGCTCAAAAAAAGCAAGCCATACAAATTTGTGAACTGTTATTTTTATTACTTGTTGGTTTCGCTGTCTTATAATCACTAAATCACTACTATTATTACTGATGGATGAATCTCCCTAAAACTGGCTTTTTAGATTCATTTACATATTATATACGTAAAAATAAAATTTTAAACTATAGCTATAAATTTAAATGTTTTAAATTACGATAAACTGATAAGGCTAAATGACAACATAAAACATTGTCTTATGAATATTTGTTAGCTAATTGTATTCAAAGGCAGTCATGAATCTCATCTGGAGTCTCAAGATACATCGAATCATAAATATTATAAAAATAACAGTTAAAATCGATGCAGCTAAAATCGGATCTGGATATTCTTTGGTAGAGTGGTTTCTTACAACGAAATGCCTACTACATGCTTTTACGTAATAAGTTGGACGTCTCTCTCTATGCAATCGAAAGAATTCATTTGTATCCGAAAAGTGTCCTGTTAAATCGCAAAATTGCTCGAGAAGAGAAGTTCCTTTCTAGATTGAATCATGAAAATATTGTAAGGTAAAAAGAAATTTATCATCCAAAATGAATCTAAAACATAAGGGTTGAAAACGAGGTTCAATTTAGACGATACAAATTGCTTGGCTTGTTAAATGTTATCTTTGTAAAAAAGTATTATAAACTATTATAAAAAGTGGATAATCCCTTTTTTCATGAAACCTATGGAGTCATATTATATAAGGAGGCTCTCGTTCGTCACGAGAAAGTTATGAGAAAGTTACATTGTAAAAGGTAACATATAGAAAACGTATAAACATGTTTAGAGTTGCTTTAAATTACAAGTCAAAGAGGCAGAAGTTTTTTGAACCTTTGTAGTATCCTTGGATGTTCTAGCTTCTTTTATGAGATAAACAAAAAGATACAATTCGAAAGCAAAAAACCCCGTTTTCGGTCCATGCTTCCCGATACCTTCTTAAGCCTAAGGCACTAGAACGCCGCATGTTAACGTTTCGGTAGGAGATTTCGGCCCCTCCACGCTATCCTACTTGGGAGATGCAATAGCAAGCTTCCGCCCATCAGACCCCGAGATCACCTGCGATAGGCTTTGCTCGGGGTACGCAGGGAGAGTGCGGTCGCGACCCGAAACGTCTGGACCCCTAAGCCACTGCATACATATCGCACCCAGCTTCCACTGCTAGTTGACATCTACTTTATCTAGTATTGGCTTTATATATATATACAAAAATTCAAAGGCTTACAAAAGTTGTGGTATTATTAAAGTCACTACTGCGCATGCTCAGATCATTTCTATGATAAATTGCGACTAAGTGAGCTAATTGCCATCAATGTAATGCAAGTACATATAGTTAGTCGTTGCCATGACTATGAACAATTAGTCCAGTGGACTGCGCATTCTCGAGCGCATGCGCAGATGACTTCTGCATTAAATTGTTACTAAGCATGCTATTTACTTCAAAATCGGTTCTAGTTGATGCAATTGGTCGTTGCCATGACCATGATCCTGAGAAGTGAATCAATTCGACTGCGCATGCATCAGCAGACTGCGCATGGGCAGATGATTTATCTTGAAATTTGTGACTGAGCGAGCTAATTATTCCATAATCGATACTAGTACATACAGTTGGTCGTTCTCAATAAATTTGTGACCGAGCGAGCTCTGAAATTGGTGCTTGCATATGCGCATAGCAAATTTTTAATGAAACTAGATTTGCTAAATAGCATTCAAAATCAATGTTATGGCAGTGGCATGTCCAAGTTAAATAACTTGCTGTTGTTTAATTTTAAGAAAAATAAGTCAGAGCAGGAAGATACTTTAAATTTTTGTGATGCGTTGGGTTAGGTCTTCTCCAAAATGCAGGACTTTGTTTTAATGTACATGATACTTATACTAACGTCAAAATGGCGATGGTAATGGTGCATAAGAATCAATATGTTTGATCTCCTTCTACTTGTCATAGTGCGAATGGTATATGAATTTTGTGGTTGAATTAAACAATCAATCATTAGAAAATCTTAAAAATTATAGAATGAATTTCTACACCGATCAGCTATACCAATCTTTTTCAATCTTTTGAGATTGCACGTATTGCTGATGACATTTCTTTTACATCGTTTGAAAAGTCGTTCTCTAAACTGAGTATTAATCCTAAAAGATACAAAACAGCAAATAGCAGAACGATGTTCAAGAGAGAACAAACAATGAAAAATCCTATAAATTACCTGTATTAGCTTGACTTGTAGCGACAATCGTCACTACTAATGGAATATAATTGAACTGAACAACCTTGATGTATAAAAGGTGGAAAAAATATTACTTATCAAATGTTTAAAGTTTAAAAACTGACTACAAGCATGTATGTACAAGACTCACTTGGAAAGAAGAAAATGAACAAACAATTGTTTTGTTTTTTGATAAACCCAATTTGCTTGCCTGAAATATGATTTTAAGTAGTGGATTTAACCAATGATAGAAAATATCATAAGCTTATTATCATTATTAAATAGTATAATTGTGAATATTGCAACAATTTATGGCATTCTAAAACATATTTGACTTAGCAACTTCTCTCAAACATTTTCCTGAAATATGGGTGTGCAAAAAATTGCCAAAAATATAATGGAATTATTATAGTAAACAGGGGTTAAAACATAACCAAACAAGAGCACGTAAAAGCTTCAACGAGCTATGACAGTAATTGATGGTGAGGAGGAATCAATAGGTATGTAATATTGGCATTTACTTGTTCAGTAGCAGAAGCAAATGTAGCTAAAAAGCTTCCTCTTAAAACATTGTTGGGTACTTGTTCTTGAGCAACTAGTAAATAAAATAGCAAGACATTAGAAAATTGACCATCTCAAACTGTTTATACACCATGAGTTCAACATCAAAGTTTTACCTTTAACAATAGGTACGCCATCTTTATCAGTCACTACAGCAGCAAGAAAGTCAGAATTCCTAAATTCAGAGGAAAATTAAATAAAATTTTTCTTCTTTTACATAGAACTATCCCCTATAAACAATTTTTACTAAAGATCCATCAACTATGGTAGGAATGTTAACCATTATTAATTTTTACTATTCATCTAAGGGTAAATTAATCACATCAGACACTATTTAGTTGTAATGCATATGTTTTCTAACAACACTTCAATAATTAAAGGTTATTGCACATATCTATCAATCACTGGATGAATTAATAAATACAGTTATAAATAAATTACTATAAATGTCACATGACAGACACAACATCCATTAATTTGTGTCACGTAAGATATGAATAATAAAGTAATAGAAGAACGAAACAAGAACGAGATTGTGAAATGCACCATTGCAACGTTTGGTCATACATCATGGGTTGTCATGAGTCATTTACCTACCAAATCATAAGATAGTGCAAGGGAGCAAAATCTTCCTTAGATATTAAATACATACCTTCGTAAAATAGAATCGAAAACTTTTTTTAGTTTCTAGAAAAAAGGAAAACGTCATGTTAGTTCAATAAATACATGCAAAGTGAAGAATAATGAAAGAAATTGATGAAGAATACCTCAGCCATGTTTACTAAGCAACAAAAACAAGATCACTATATAATCCTAAACTTTAAGATCTTTGACGCTTTTCATAAAGTTTGCGGGCTCACTAAATGGATAAAACCATATATGGGGCGCAGCACCATTGACACACCCAGTGCTGGGGGACCAAGTTGTCATTTTAATAGTAGGACATCTTTGAGGGGTATGCAAATTGTGCAACCTATTTTGGTTACGACAAGAATTTGAATTTATTTCTGTGTTGCATTGCAAAAATTATGGATAAAATTGTGTGTTTAAAAAATCTAAAAACTAGCTAGGGAATATTTATTTTAAGCCCACTAGTAAGAAATTGTATTCTTTTTTCTTGATTATAAAATGATAAATAATAGAAGAATATAATCATTGCTGACGAAATTTTCTTTTTTTCTCTGTAAATTTATTTCATCCATAGTAAATGAAGTAATGGAAAAATTAACTGGTCATTTCTTTTTACAAACGCAGGCTCGTCATTTTGCACGTGTACTCACTGTACTGTTCACAGGAAAACAAGAATGAAAGTCAAGAGGAAAACAAAAATGTTTTTTGGATAGTGAACGTATAATAACTAAAAATGTCCGTTGGAAATGTTGATCATGACTCTAAATTTGTAAAATACGACGAAAATTCACGTTATCAAGAAAGAAGTGAGTGGGAACGAAAACCATATCAGATAACATACGATGTGTTTGTTGGCCGAATTCCTGGCGAGTGGACTTCGGTATGTAATTGTATTATTTAGTGCATAATGATTGTTGTTTTATGTGAATATGAGGTGAATGTCGAATTAATTGATTTATTTATTAATATATATTCACATACATTCAAAAACACATGCATCCAACCATAAGTATAATGTAGTTAAGACATAAAGTTAAATAAAGAATGAAAAAGGGACATAGATGTTGTATTTTTGAAGGAAATGCCCAAGTTATTATTTTGTTTGAAAGCAAGATTGTCAGGTTTATTCTTGCACAAGTTTGTATTTATTTTGATGCAGGACAAGTTGAGAGAAATTTTTGAACCATATGGAGAAATCAAATCAATTGACTTAAGACCAGGAGTAGAATCATTCCAGGGATACCAGTTTGCGTGAGTGTAGTGTCTCAAGATATTGTTTTATAAACTATTGCAACTATTTTAGATAGTTTTGTTGTATAAGAAATTATTCTCGATGTCTTTCATTCTCTTACTTATTAATTGTGTGCACACTGCAGGTTTGTTCGATTTCCTAAAGAAGAAATGGCTAAATCAGCAGTAGACTCGCTTTCATGTAACCCAATTGAAAATGTGAATTTACAGGTGTGTAAAATGTATCTTTACTTAAATATAATTTTCATTTGAAATCATTCATTCTCATTTTATCAAGTTTGGAATCATTGGCTTTATATTGATGTAAATAATTTTTCTTTTAAACTGCAATCAGACACAGGAATTACAATATTCTTTAATGTTATTACTAAAAAAAGGGTTTTTTATATGTCATTTGGCTGTTGTTTTTCTTGCTTTGTACACTTTGTACAAAGTAATGTTACTATCAGACACAAAGTAACTTCAAGATAGTTTTTATTTTATCAAATCCAATACAGTGATATGTACTTGAATGCTGTAGGCAATTCATGATTTCAAGACTTTTATTTGATTGTTTGAATTTTAGATAAATCTTGGTCAAATGAGAAATCGCAACAAGGATTATAAGGAACGGTTTGTGATTACATAGTCTTTCATGGAAGTCATTCTCAACATTTTATAGCCAGTGAATTATTTTGAAAGTTTTGCATTTTTTATTGATGATATTTTTGCTGATGTTCTAGCTGTTGTGCATTTCCAGATATTTGGTTTACTGTTTAAGCAATTGCATTGTGACTGTGTTCTTCATTTGCTATACATAATAATTAATTATCCAGTCAAAAATCACATGGGTCAGGTTAAAGTCTTTATTTTATATGTTTTAGGCAAGGCTTTTCAGACTTAAGTCACCATAGCAAAAAGACATTTTTTGAACAAAAGCGACCCAAAAATGAGTATAGACGTGGCCAAGGCCGACAAAATTATGCTCAAAATGAACAAATGGATTATGGTGGTAGCCACGGGCCTTTAACATCACCATCACAGAAATATGAGCGCTTCAGAAGTCATGAAATTATTGTAAGAGGACAAAAAAATAATTGAATTTACCATCTCTACTCTAAAATATGAACTGATGACATTTTTCTGTATAGGCTGAACAATAGAGAATAATGAATGAACAATAGAGAATAAAATCTTTACACTACCTAAAACAGTTGCAACACACTAGGAGTAGGAGCTAAACCACCTAATAATTTTGAAATCAAACCTTGCACCAGATACCACAAATGTCATCTATACTATGATGTAACTGTCATATCAAAGAATGGCTATTTGACAGACTTCTATTCTATACTTTTTTCAACCTTTAAACAATTTGTACTTTTTGTACTGGTTAGGATGTTCTGGGAAGTCTTGTGCCTTGGGATGAGCAGTGTGTGAATTAACGGTGTGCAATGTGCAATTTGCTCATCGTTTTAGCTAAAATGAAAACAATTGCACATCACTTTTTCAAACGATGTGCAAAAATCTGCAGTTGTAACAAAAAACATTGTTGTAAATCATGAATTTGTTCACGTTTAAAAATATTAATTTAGCAATTAGTGCTATATAATAAATAACGTAATTATCGATTTGATTATGTCTCTAAAGAAACACTTTTATCAAAAAAATTGCACATTGTTTTTTCTGAACTAATTTGCACACTGATGAGCCTCTCTTAGTGATGAATGAACAACAGAGAACAAGAACAGTCTTTACACTACCTAAAATATAAACTAAGATAACGTGTGTCCGTGTAGGTAGTGATGAATGAACAACAGAGAACGAAAACAGTCTTTACACTACCTAAAATATAAACTAAGATAACATGTGTCAGTGTAGGTAGTGATGAATGAACAACAGAGAACAAGAACAGTCTTTACACTACCTAAAATATAACTAAGATAACGTGTGTCAGTAGGTAGTGATGAATGAACAACAGAGAACAAGAACAGTCTTTACACTACCTAAAATATAAACTAAGATAACGTGTGTCAGTGTAGGTAGTGATAAATGAACAACAGAGAACAAGAACAGTCTTTACACTACCTAAAATATAAACTAAGATAACGTGTGTCAATGTAGGTAGTGATGAATGAACAACAGAGAACGAAAACAGTCTTTACACTTCCTAAAATGTAAACTAAGATAAAGTGTGTCAGTTTAGGTAGAGATGAATAAAATTTATATTTTTAGGATCAGGAAAGGGAGGTTCTTGTTACTTATGTTGATCAACCATTGCGATTTTGGGCACAAAATGCAAAACAAGCAGTTGCAAAATCTTTATCAGCAATAAGTGAAGAAATGCAGTCGTATTGTCCAACTGGCTTAAAATATAATGACAATACATATCTAAAAACCAAGGTTTGTAAAGATTTTTGTTTAAGACAAAAGTTGTATAGATAAGACAAATAAAGTTTGCTTCGAAAAACTTTTTTTAGTTAAATCACCATTGGTTCATCAGTTGTTTTTTTTCAAATATTGTTAGATCTATGGTGCTTTATATCCTGTTGACAACTTATGGTACCGATGTTCTATTGTAAAATTTTTGCATTCAGAAAAGGTGAGAAAGGTTGTGTTGAACTGCTATTGTCTGTACTAATATGCACATAGTAAAGCAGTTCAATCTATTTAAATGTCACTTTGAATTTTGAAAATTCATTGAGATGTCAAAGATTATTAATGCATAACCCTTTTTTTTCATCATTCCATGTTTTATAAAGGTCAGTATTCGCTATATCGATTTTGGAAACCAAGAAATTGTTACAAAGGAAAGTTTGGTTGAATTGCCTCCTGGTCTAGCCGATACAAAACCTTTGGCTCTACGTTATTATTTGGCTGATTGTACATTTTCAACTAAACCGACGTTAAATGATATGACTTATGCTTTGGTATGCAGATTCCATTCTTGTGTTGCTCTTACGTCAAATCTCTTATTTGCATTGATCAAAGTTTTATTTGTAATGAAACAAAATTCATATTGTTTCTTACTTTTAGGGCATTGAGCAGCTAAAAAATCTTATCATGAGTAAAATTGTTAAAGTCAAATACCAATCAGAAGGCCCTTATGGTATTTGGTTATGCTTTTTTCAACATGTCCACACTTCATATTCATGTTACACCGTGTGTATTCAATTTAACTCATGTTTAACATCGTATTTTGTTTTTCCTCTAATCAATTTCAGGTAGTTTTAATGTCATTGTCAAACTTATCGACTCTCCATTTCCAACTGTTAATGAAACAATGTTGGATGGTGGATGTATTAATAGAGTGCGTCAGGTATGGAATTTAAGAAATCATTTCTAAAGGTTTGTTACCTAATTAAATTGGGAACGGCTTTGTTATGTTACTCGTTTATGTTTAGGTTTCATTTGATTCCGCAACTCAACCTGTTTGGCAAAACAGCCCTGCAAAAATGGAAAAGAGTGTCGCTGAAAAACCTCTGAATGAAGATAGCAAAAAATATTTTGATACAAAATCATCTAATGAGAATAAGAAATCTTTGGAAAAAGAAATTGAAGAACTAAAATTGACAATTAAGGTAAACTTGATGTACGTTGGAATCAAATCTACATATGGTGAAGAACATAAAAACACTGAAGTATAAAATCTTCATTTGCAGAAGTGAACTATGTTTGTCTGTCTGTAAATGCGTTAGTTACGTTTGTCTGTAAATGCGTTAGTTACGTTTGTCTGTAAATGCGTTAGTTACGTCTGTCTGTAAATGCGTTAGTTACGTCTGTCTGTAAATGCGTTAGCTACGTCTGTCTGTAAATGCGTTAGTTACGTTTGTCTGTAAATGTGTTAGTTACGTCTGTCTGTAAATGCGTTAGTTACGTCTGTCTGTAAATGCGTTAGTTACGTCTGTCTGTAAATGCGTTAGTTACGTTTGTCTGTAAATGTTAGTTACGTTTGTCTGTAAATGCGTTAGTTACGTTTGTCTGTAAATGCGTTAGTTACGTCTGTCTGTAAATGCGTTAGTTACGTCTGTCTGTAAATGCGTTAGTTACGTCTGTCTGTAAATGTGTTAGTTACGTCTGTCTGTAAATGCGTTAGCGATTTCTGTTTGTAAATAATTTATCTGTGTGTTAGATGTATTAGTCTGTGAGTAAAAGTATAAATTTGACAGTTTATATTTAAGAAATACTTGTGAGTTATTTTTGCTGTAAGAGTACATTTCGGTTGTATGCATAAATGGTAAATTAACTTTATATTTAGTTCCAATCAGAAAGCATCTGCAACATTAACAAACTATACGAAAGTATGAAACAACAAAATGAGTATATAATTTCTCAATTTGAAAACTCAATCAAGGTTAGAAAATTTTTGTGTAGGTTTTATTCGCCATTTATTAGTTGAGCATTTGAAAATTTTCGGCTAGTCTTGATTTATTGAAATGTTTTATGCTATTGTCATATTTTATTCAAATCATCCAATACATACGTATCACTAGGCAAATATATTTCAACGTCCCCTAGATTCTTTTAAAAGCAGATTTTCAGTTCAATCTTATAATTTTCAGATTGAACCCATCATTACGTCTATCGCAGACTTAAGAAAGACAAGGTACTGTATAGAATGCTTTATTAAATACTCTCGTATCATCTGTTTTGTCTATTTGGGAAGGAACCATTTTTTTAAAAGTTTTAACACGTATTCCATCACGCATTTTATGAAATTGGTTTGAACACTATGAAACTTGAATGAAACTTAAATATTTTTTTGTGATGTGTTCACCATGAAGTGAAAACCAGTTTATGGTTTTAACTGGTTTTCATGTTAGTAAAGAAAAAATATTTATTGAGAAATATTTATGTTGATTTCGTTCACTGTTGATCATTGGCATTGGTAACCTACCAATATGACAGTTTTAACGTTACATGAATACAAACAATGCATGTTGTTTGTGAGTATAACTGTGACTTATGTTATGGTTTTGTAGGCATTTGAGACTATGTCATTATGACAGAATCGCAAATATTGATTTAGCAATTGCTTCAGTGACAGCTCCTAGCAAAAAAATAACATTGAATCGTATGAAAAGTTTTGATCAGGTAAAAACTCTTAATGCAGCGTTTATGTTTTTGTGGCTAATTTACCTGTTCAACTTACATATGATTTTCAAAGTTTTGTGACGTTTGTACTTGTTGTTCCCAATTTTGTCAAATCTTTTTACTTGTTGGAAATGTCAGTAAATTCTTTTCTATAAAAGCTTACGTCATCACTTCAAGCTCACAAACTTGCAAACGAAATGATTAAAGTTTGTGAAACTAAGGTAAATGATTACTTTGATTGGTTCATATGTTCATTTTTCTTCAACTTGACTGGTTGTTTTGTAGAAAGTCCATGCTTAAAAAATGCTGCTTTTTACTCTAGTCAACTTTTATTTATTGTTTGTTAACATTTTTAGGAAAATCTCAAAGCAATCGTTGAAAAACGCAACAGTGTAAAAAATAGATTGATGGAAGACATTAATAGTTATGTGGAAGAATATAAATTACTAAATATTGATGAACGCTTTCATACACTCCAGGTTGGTTAATTAATTTGAATTGTATAATTTCATTAAGAAACCTGAACTGAATTCAATAAAAGCTCTAACAATGTTTACTTGATGACGACTACGATATTTTGTAAAACAAATCTTTTGTTCTTTAGGTGTACAAACCATTTTCTCTCGTTTTAAAAAGTTACCACATTTTAAATTCCGTTGTGCTTAACTTCCTAAGAGCGAGAAGAGTAAATTCTTGATCTTTTCACATGTAAAGATTATTCCATGTCTTTACGTGTAGTAAACGCCTGAGACATTGTCGATTTGAGTTGCTTTAATTATAATGATTCTTTAGCATTAAATACATTTCTGTCAACTTGCATTTTGACCCTTTATAGGAAACTCAAAAAAATATTGATATCCTTGATCATCAATGTGAGTGACAAATATAAGGAATGAAATGTCATGCTTGACTATTAACAAATCATCATTTTCATCATTTTGTTCATTTTTAAGACAAAGGTTGTGGTACACTTGACGAAGCTTTGCAAAACTACGAAAGTTGGAAGGTATCATTTTTAAATTGCTAGGAAAACATACATTGTTCAGTTATCACCATATACACTGACACACGTTATCTTAGTTTACATTTTAATTTGTGTAAAAACTGTTCTCATTTTCTGTTGTTCATTCATCACTACCTACACTGACACACGTTATCTTAGTTTATATTTTAATTTGTGTAAAAACTGTTCTCATTTTCTGTTGTGCATTCATCACTATTTTTCAAAGGCTACCGCATATTTTTAATTTGATTTACTTTACATTAAAATACAAACTCATAATATTCAGGGAAAATTGAATAAACATCATCAAGAATCTGTATATAAGAAAACAGATGAGATGTCTCGAAAATTGTCTCAGGAATTTATGAAACTTGGCAAGGTAGCTATGAAGCCTCCTTAAAATGATATGAAATGTTGCCGTTAGTCATATTGCTCAAATTCTACCTTTGGCTTAAATATTTACAGTTTTTCGATCCCGCAAACGACATGACGCTAGAAGATTATGGTGACGTTTGTATCGGTTCAGTTGTTACAAAGCTCAGTGCAGCTGTTGCGTCCGAAGTGTGCTACAACGAGGTAATTAAGTTTGAAGCACCAAAAATTTTTTTGAGCTTATTTAGGCTCACGTATCAGTGAGATCTCTTTTGCTATGGGAGTTGTGCAACCAGTGTAAAAATTTGTTGTTTAATGTAAACTTATCCTATTTCTCTCTTTTTAAGGAAGAGCAAAACGAAGAAGAAATACACATATTGAGTTCATTAATTCACTGTCTTAAAGCTGAACTGCGAAAGGAAGTAGTTGTTATCGAGGATTTGCGAACCCTCAATCAAGAATGCTTAAAACTGCAAGTATGAAAGATTAGGTCAAACCAGTATGACTTAAGCGTATGCTGATACATAAGATTACAATTATCGAATAGATAGCACATAATTATAAATAGAAAAATGCCTTCTTTAATAGAAGTAATTTGTTTTTTAAACTACTTTTAATTGAAAAGCTATTTGTTGCATGTTTTATAACTCGGTACACAAGATATTTGACCTCTGCAGTGAGAAAGTTTTTCCAATATTTCTTTGCGAACATTGTGTTTTTTTCTCAAAAGGAAAAGCAAAAAAGCTTGATACGAATTCTGTGTAACTTACATTCGTTTTAGGATGATCTGAAAACATTCGATGAAGCTCCGCCCGATATTTCAAAAATTATAGAACTTCGGAAGAACCTGAAAACAGTCAAGTCTAAACTTCGACACAAGTTAGCCGACAAGAAGGATTTGGAAGAGGTTTAAAAATCAACTCATTAACATTGAAGAGAATTGTATTTTATTGAGGCACTTAAAAAGAAAATTTGCAAGTTACAATTTTCTCAACTGTATGAAATACATGAATTGACCATTATCTCTTTGAGATATTGTAAGGATTATTTTGTATTGACGAAGCAATACATCAAAACTAAATGAATTAGCTCAACCAAGACTGAATTTTCGTACAAATCTAGAATGGATAACTTTCTATCGTTTCTGTGTATCTTATGTTGATTAGATTTAATTCTTTGTTATAGAGCGATGATACTGTTGAAAATTTGAAATTCCTAGAAGTATGTTTAAACTTTTTGTATTGTAAAGGTGTTTTATTCTTGTTAATGAATCATTCATTGAACTAGGTCGAGAAAGACTTAAAGAATCTACGAACGCAACTACATAAACTTCTTGTTGATGAAACAATTTTTCTTGTTAGTATCTTTATATATTTTATTTCAGTTTTTGTTTATATTGAAGATGTATTTACTATCAAAATTTTTTTCACAGGATGAGCTTTCCCGAGTGGCCTTTGATAGATTTCCGGAATTGGCAGTGGAATACCTGAGTTAGGTTTACTGAAATTTATGGTAAGCGTATGGAATTCATTATATCTTGAAGCTTGCTTATTCACATAATGCATTTTGTTTGAAGATTTCTATCCCTGAATTATACCAAGTTAATGGAATTCAATGTCTTTAAGCTTGTTGATTCATAGCAGTTTGTGTGAAATTTTCTTTCTCCATTATGGACATATTTATACCTTCACCATATTTTATTTTTTCTACAGTCAACGAATGGTTTGGTGAAGCAAGGTTGGGAGCTGACATATTTTTCTCAGGATATTTTGGTTGAAAAAACGCCACCAGGAGAAATCAATTTTGTCACTGAATTTAACGGAGAGAAATGTGTTCTTAAAGTAAGCTTTGTTCATTTTATTTTTCATTATTACTCATGACTTTAATACAAAATAATTATTTTGTCCAGGAATTTAATCATGAAGATATAAAGAACTTGGATGTTTTCGAAGCCCGTGCCACATCTTTCAGTCGAATAAAGAATGAGAATTTGATAAAATGCAAAGCTATATTTTACGACAAGGTATAATATATATTTTATGAATATGTCTATGGTTTCGTGTGTATGTATATGTATGTTAAATATTGATCTTGAAAGAAAGGATTAAGTTATTAATTAGCAAATTTCTCCATCCAGGTGCAAACGATCTTTCCCCATATTTTTAGTTGTTTACAGTTTTTTCTTATTCGAGAATTTAGTTTATCAAGGTTTTATATTTATTTATGTTTTTAATTAGACACACAGAAAAGCGGTTGTCGTTTTCCCGTTTTATGATGTTACGTTGGTTAAATGGCTGGAGAACACGCGTTCTGATAAGGTATGCGATTACAAAATTCCTTTTAAAACTACCATTTTGTTTTTCGATAAAAATTTCGATTTATAAAGGAAAAGCGTGATGTTCTATTGGACGTAGTCAAAACTTTATCAGATCTTCATAAACAAGGAATTACACATGGTGCTGTTTTAATGAAAAACATCTATGTAGATGGTTATGGTAGAGGCATTCTTGGTGAATTTTCTTTTCTTCAAGATACTGTGAGTAATTTCTCTTTCTCTCTCTCTATTTATTTATCCAAAGAACAGAAATCTTAAGATGTCGCGGCTGTATTATAAATCATACGTAATGTTCTATCATTGATATGCGTGAAATAGTTCGAATTTGTTCTTGAATTTTTTTGATGATTTTACTTAAGGAAAAACGTATTGCTTCAACTGTGAAGTTTCTCCAGAATTCCTCAATACCGTCGTATGATGTTACCACTGTCTTCGATGTTTTGTGTCTTGGTGAAATATTTTGGCAGGTATGTTTGTTGTCCATTTTGTCGTCAACTTCATTTTGTTTTTTCTTGAAATACGTTAACTTTAAACCATCCTTGAATCTCCTTGTGTTTGTTTTGTGTTTCCATTATGATTAAATATTAATTTTCCAAGGTGTTCCTTGGCAAAGATATCTTGCAAATGGATTTAGAAACGTTACAGAAGCATTGTAAGGTAAACGAGGCTTCACATAAAAGTCGATCATTTCAGTGTTTTCTTCAGTAAGTGTAAAGTGGATTTATAACTACGCTCAACATGTGATACACTAAATTCTGCTTTCTCATTACACGATCTCGTAAAAGATTCCCATTCTTAGTACAAACATATAAGATAAAGTAGACATTCTGCACTAGACTATGTTTATCTTTCTTCAGAACGAGGCTTTATCATCTATGTTGATGTATGTTTTGGCATTAAATGGTGGCTTTCTACCGTCTGTCGATGAGATTTTACAGCATCCTTTCTTCAACAATGAAATATATATAAGTAAACTTCACACCACAGTATCTGAAAATGAAACATCATTGTCTAATTCAAAAGGAAGTAAACTCCCGGAAGAAGATATACCTATACCAGATGAAGTAAGTTGCCATGAAGAAACAGGGTCACAAGCTGAAATTGATATCGTGATACCTCAAGACAACATACCACGTGATATCGTAACACCTCAAGACAACCAACCACGTGATATCGTAATACCTCAAGACAACCAACCACGTGATATCGTAATACCTCAAGACAACATACCAAGTGATATCGTAATACCTCAAGACAACCAACCACGTGATATCGTAATACCTCAAGACAACCAACCACGTGATATCGTAATACCTCAAGACAACATACCAAGTGATATCGTAATACCTCAAGACAACCAACCACGTGATATCGTAATACCTCAAGACAACCAACCACGTGATATCGTAATACCTCAAGACAACATACCAAGTGATATCGTAATACCTCAAGACAACCAACCACGTGATATCGTAATACCTCAAGACAACCAACCACGTGATATCGTAATACCTCAAGACAACATACCAAGTGATATCGTAATACCTCAAGACAACCAACCACGTGATATCGTAATACCTCAAGACAACCAACCACGTGAAGTCCAAACGTTTAATGATATAGAAAATTCAGTAGCAGAGTCATGTCTCGTATCGGGAAAAAATATCACAACTGCAGAAAATGTTGTATCAGCGTTAAGTGATGATTGTGATAAAAAGCAGGAAGTGGAAGAAGCTTTACCTGAGGAATATAAAAGCACAGTAAAAAATTTCTTATGTATCTGTCAGTTATTTAGTTACCGTAATGAATGATTGAGACTTAATGTTTTTTTATTGATCTATTTTAGGTTCAACCTGTCGAGCAGTAGCTTTCTCTTAATGATAGTGAATGATTAAGGAGATAAATTGCTTTTATTGAACAAATGGGAAACAAACGTATGAAAACGACATGAACATGTTATATTATAAATAGTTGAAACGTTTTTATTTGATATTCAATAAAATACTTTTTTTTTCATTTTTTTTTTATATTTGACAATTCAACGATGATTATTACTTGTTACTTGAACACAATGTAAGTATAGATTGAAATATAATATTTATCAAATTTATGTCATTTTGAATTTTAATTTATTTAGGCCAGTCTACCCAACTTTTGTCGTTAATTATTAATATATGCTAACTTATTGAAGCGTCTTCTGCTATCAGACCACGATAACGACAACCTGCTAGCCCAACACTTCCATAAGCCATAACATTTTAATATTTCAATGCTTTTCGTATTTAATAGTTCTTCTGTTCCCCAATTATTGCATTTTGTTCGCAAGATATGTTTTCTTTTATCCATCTAGATTTTATAAACTTGTGTGACGTTTATTGTAAGGGTAAACAGACGCAACAGTTAATGAAAGTTTTTGTTATTTATTATTCATAAATGCAAAGTACATTGATGATAAACGCAGATCAAAGGTATTAGTGACTTATTTGTTTATTTGTTCGAGCATAAACAATTCCTATCAACGTACTTTCTTTTTTGGTTATTAACCTTCTTTTGTTGTTCATCTCTTTTCTTGTGGAAATATAGTAAGAAGATTTTTCTTTTTATCTGAGGTCGTTACGCACGACGTGTCACATTTTGTTGTTTGTTTAAAAATACATAGAAGTGGGACGTTTGTAAGGTTTGGTGCTTTTATCTATTCGATATTACGTTGCTTGTAACCAAAGAAATGTAATTAAGCTCATCTCACTTCTCATTTTGCTTCATAGCTGAAAGCGGAAAATTGTCGTTGAAAAGTCTATTCATCATAATGGCTTTCCACAAGTTTGTGGCTGTTATTATGATGACCCAAATCATTTGGATATCTTCAGCAAGTAAAGAAAACAACGTCGCTTTTTCAAACTGCGTCGAAGGAACATCGAGTTTGCATGATTTCGAAGACAAACTCCTTTCAAACGAAGAACTTATACCATTTTCTCGCAATAAAGATCAAATCGTCATCATTACGAATGTCGCTTCGTTTTGAGGTCTTACAAAAGTCCAGTATCATCAACTGAATGCATTAATTGAAGAATTCGATACAAGTGTATGTCCTTTACGTGTATATGGCGTTCCATGCAATCAATTTGGCTTACAAGAGCCGGGAAATGGCAAAGAAATTATTAATTCACTTCGTTACGTTCGACCTGGTAACGGGTTTAAACCAAAATTTGATCTTTTGATCAAAAGAGATGTGAATGGGGAGAAAGAAGACGCTTTATTCACGTGGCTCAAGGTAAGAAAAAAAATAATTTGCTTCAAAAACTTCCCATTTTTATATTTGTTTATATGGGGTTGTCCTTGTGAGCCATTCAATTCACCCAAAATATTGTCGTTGCTGATGAAATGCATGAGCTTTTTTCAAACAAACTTATAGATCAGTGGCCATATAACCACAGTCAGCCAGCAATTTGACTGAATATGATTTTTCTTTCGAAATTGTTGGGGGGTTTAGTCATTTTACACCGTAATACTTGCATGGCTGGAGTAACAGTAGGACTTAACAGGTTTAATGTTCCTTGAGGTTTTTACATCTCGTTGGCGATTTTTTAAAAAAATATTGTATGCAGTTTAGTACTGTGCAAGTGTGTAGTTGTGAATTTTTCCAGATAAGTTTATATATTTATCATACACTCATTTACGGTAACAATTTTTGCGTTTAATTTTAGTCGCTTTGTCCAAATCCAGTCACGATGATTGGAAACCCAAAGGATTTGTTTTATTCGCCAATCAGGACAACTGATTTTCAATGGAATTTTGAGAAAATTCTTGTGGATCATAAAGGACGACCAAGAAAGCGTTATACACCAAAATTTAATCCGTTAGAAATGAAATCAGATGTGAAGAATTTAGTTGAAGAATGTGTTAAAGCAAGAAAGAAACGCGCGAACATACAATTTACAGAAACTGCTCATTTCTATAATGTGTAAAGAAGTTTTGGTAAGGTATCACGCTAATATCGCGGCATTGTCTGAACCATTTCACCCAAAGAGTTAATTGTTTATTGTTTTCATATTTGTTCGTAGCTGACACAAAGGAAACATGTGTTAATCATCTGTTTTTTTAAAAACATGTTTCTGCATGAAAATTATGTACGATGTCCAATTTGAAATCATTTTTGTGATGACATTCCTGTCACCTTTTTCTTGTTAACAAGGTAGCTACGAACTTACTCGGGAGAGTCGATTACTTGCAACTATTAAGGTATTTTGGAAAGTAAAACTTGTGTTTCTTTGTGCGCGTCTACTTTGTAAAATCACACATTATCTAACTGTTAAACGTGCATGGTTTTTAATGATGTTCACAATGCATTGTTGTGTTGATGGTTAGTCTTGCCACTACTCGTATTACAAATATAGACAGGAGTGACAGACCCTTGCGAAAGAATTTGTCTAAGCTTAATTCAAACAGCTTTTCTATTTTGCGCAGGTCTATTATGTTCATTATCTTTCAACATGAAACATTTGGCAACATAGGACAATGTTTTAAATGCTCAAGATTATGAACTTTTCATTACAAGATTATCAACTTTTCTGAAAACAGTATTTCTTGTGGGTTTGTGATTTATATGCCATGAGTGAAAATTTGTTTCTATTTGTGTCAGCTGCTGAGTGTTTAATATTTTGAGTTCTATTACATACTTAATAGCTTGCTCGTCGAACGAATAATTTCATGAAAGCCGTAGAACTTTATGTTTTTATTTGATTGTAATGTGAGAAATTCACAAATAACTTTGATGAAAAATACAGTGCGTAACTTGCATTTAAATAACAAATTCATGACAATGTAAAAATAACCTTTATATTTAGCATGAATATAAATTGTTGGTAACGAAGTCAATTCTAAAATACATTACATATATTCATAAACGTATATATAATCAAATAAATATTAAACATATTGGTGTATTAGTTATAACTAGAAAATGCTATAGACTAAGTATGAAAACGATACTTACATTTTTTTGAACTTTTTAAATGTATTATAATTTAAAGATTATGAAGACTTTGCCATAAACCGTTAGAAAAAACGGATGGTTAAGTCCGATGTAAACTAGTCCTGTCACTGTAAAAGTTTTTAATGCATTCAACTTAGTGATGTACTGGTTTGTGTACTTAGAATTGCATAATAAAGTTCAAAATATACTTGAAGGCGACGTTTTTGATTTTATTGTGTCTTCAAAATTTTCCAGTGGTAGGGAACCGATCTCGATTTTTTTTATTAATTATTTGTCACACTTCCTTTTCATCATATGTCCAACATGCAATAATCATTTGTTTCTTACAGGTTAATCAAAGAATTTTCTAGATGACAACATGTTCATTGTACGTGTTAGTACTGGTCGTTTTTTATAACCTTTCGTACAAATAAATGATTGTTAACACCGTTTATAATGAAGCAAATCTTCAATTTTTAATGACCTATAACGCGTTATAATTATAGAAATTCGAGAGATGAATGAATACTCTACTCACTTAATTAAAAGGGTTTTGTACAAGACAACGCTAAACGATAGTTTTATTTACTTTACAGATATTTTAATCTTTCTCAATCTCTCAAGAGAAGAACTGCGAATTTTGGTTGTAAGTTTCTGTCGGTAAGGAATTAACAAGTTTGTTGGCCGAATTTCATGATTAAAAGAATACATTAGTAGAAGATTTTTATCAGATTTCTAGTCGCATGCAGATTTTTCATCACGATATTTGAGTCCCCGAGGTTCCTACCTATGATGATCGATCAGAAAAGATCTTATATGATTTTACTTTTTTTAACGAAGATTATATACGACTTGGCGAAATAAAATTATTGCCATTGTGTCATGATATTGTAAAAATTCAAAGTCAGTATATACAAATCTATCCAGTTCAAACTAATTTTTATTTTCAAATATTAAGCACGCTTACCGCATTTGTTGATACATTATCTTATTAACAAAGATAAATAGTCAGAGGCCTTATCATGACGACGTGTTCGGATGTCTTTGATTGCATTTAAGCTGTTACATATGGTCATCATGATTTAAGAAATGTCGGTTTGAGTATAAGGATTATCGTAATGTACAAAAGATCAAATTAGCAACGGACCCAATTTGAATTTTTTGTCCTTTAGAAGTTAAAAGTAACTTTATCTAAGGAAAACGACTTTTGTTGTATTTGGGTGTAAATAAATCATGCCACTCTCATTACATTCATATATTATACATACTTGACTGTCACAAGAAATAGAGAATAGGAAAAATCGTTACAATAACTAAATTGTAAAATATAAGATTACGTGTATCAATGTAGGTAGTGATGAATGAACAACAGAGAACAAGAACTGTGTCCACACCACCTAAGTTATTGAATGTAAATGGATGTTGTTCATGCATTTGATTTTGGGGGTTGTCTCGTTAAATCTGATTGTTATAATCATATGTTACTGATATTACTTGATTGAAAACGTGCGAATTTGATTCATAGTTATTCTGCAAAAGGAGACTCGATTCAAACATCTATCTCTTTACTTAAAATTTCTTCTCTGACAGTTTCAGTAGTATACAGGTATCATAGTGGTAAACTAGTTTTTATTTTCTAAAATCTTTAACTGTTTTAATTAGTGCATACCTTAAGTTTTTTTGTAATCGTTAAGATAAAAATTTCATAGGAAATAAAAGAATTTGTATTTTTAACCTACTTCTTCATTTTTTGATTAAATTTCCTTGTACTTCCCCTTGGAAATGACGTCGTTTGGGACCTCTCCTTCCGTGAATGTCGAGAATTCGTACGATTCGGCTTGTTTCGAGCGATATTTTTGTAATTATTCAAGCTAATGAAATTTTTCGTCTAGGCATCTGTTTCTAGTTTTGAAACGAACATTTTTTATGATTTTCACTACAGTATATAAAGGACGGTGTCCTAAGACGCCATATTCTTATGGTTTAGTGTTTGCAGAAATCTTCAATTAGACATTTTTTGTGTTAAGTAGCTAAAGGTTTTTGATATCTTTTTTTTGTAATGTTTTAGTCTTTCCATGATTTTGGTGATGATAAAGCGAGTGAAGTTGTAAGTACAGTTCAAATTTTTATTCATATTTATCAACACATATCATGTACTTTAGCATATTTATGTCCAGTTTACACATCTTATGTCGCACTTAAGGTGTTTCGTTGTCAGGCAACCATGTACTGTCACAGTCGGTTATATGAGATTTCTGTTTTCATTCATGCAATCACCGATAACACAATATCGCTCAAATGGACGAAGTAAAGGCAACATGTTGCCCTCATTTTTATACGTAAAAATGCAAATCATGATTTGTAGTAGCGTTTAAGAAATTTTTAAACGTTAAAACGATCGAACGGCAACAAAATGGGTTTTTTTCTTTAACAATTCTATGACTCTTCTTTCATCTTAGAAGTTAGAATGATAAATACATAGCACGGACTTATATATTCATGTACTTTGTATATGTGTAAAAATTTACTTACAACCACGCTAAATAGATACATGTCATAGACAAATCATAGCTTCGTTTTTTAACCAAATATTTCTCTTTGTCTTCATGTTCACAACTGATAAGGTGTTTGTTTGTCATTGAAATACAATCTGATAAACGAATTAAAGGCTATACCTCTGTGCAACATTTTGGTATCAAAATTTGTTGATTGTTGAACATATTTACTTTACCTTAATGTTTTCGTTTTAATTAATACGCACAGTATTTATGTCTTTTTTTAATATGTCTGACACGTTTTTACAATGTTGTGCTATTTTCTTAATTTAGTTGTTTAACGCAGAAACATTAAGAAGTTAGAATAAACGAAAATAAGGTGAAGGTGTTGGTAAAGATGGCAAAATATTCGTTAAACGACAGTGTTTTCAACAACTTATCTTCTCTAAATAAAACTCAAAATGTCACCTCTAATATTTATCCATTCCTGTTTCCATATTCCGTTGAAGTTTTATTATATGTTGTGCAATGTATTCTTGTCGTCTTTGGGCTCTTTGGAAATTTTCTTGTCATCTTATCTGTTTGCTGTAATTCAAGAATAAAAAGGTCTACCTCAAATTTGTTCATACTAAACTTGGCTGTTGCTGATATTGGTGTCTTGATTTTGTCACATTCGTTTATTCTGGGACTTGAGATCAATAACTTTGCGTGGCCTTTTGGTAAGGTTTCTTGTGAATATATATACCCGTTTTCCGACTCGTTTTTTGGTGTATCTATATGGACAATATTGGCGATATCGTATTATAGGTAAGACTAACACTTTAGTTAGCTACATCAAGCCCAAATGGCCATCTCAAATTCTCAAAGATAATTGTTATTTATTGTGATCTTCTTAGCACCACACGATATTTCATTTCTAGATATCGAGGAATTGTTCATATTATGAAAACTCAACTGTCCCATAAACAGACGCGCTACGTCCTTGTCATTTTATGGGTTTTACCTGTCATCGTTATATCCTTGCCACTTTGGTTGTATATGAAATTGACACTTTCCCCTAAACTGCAAATTTGCGATGTTTTGTGGCCAAACAAGGAGAGCCAAATGGCTTATAAAATCATTTTAAATCTGTTCTTCTATCTATTACCTTTAATGTTGATAATCTTTTATTATCTGCGGATTCGCGTTTCATTGAAAGAAAGTTCAGGATTTCATCGTGAAATGACAACTTCAGTGTCGACGACAGCATCGTGTCGAGATCAAAAGAAACACCTTCAACGAAATGCTAAAGCACTTCGAGTTCTCACTCCAGTTGTAATCGTCTTTTTCATCACAATGTTACCGTTTACTGCTTTTCGTTTGGCACTTGTATTTGCAGATATGGCTAGTTTTCGTTATACTCGTGTATTATTTTTCCTTGGCATTGTAAGTGTTCTGGCCAACTCTTCAGTGAATCCACTTATTTACAGCATCGTTTCTGCTGACTTCCGTCGTTCCTTTATTCACTATCTTGGTTTTAAAAAGGGACATTTACAAAAAAAATCGACTTTCCTTGGGTCTGTTCGTTTATCTCGTGCGAAAAGCGAACGCGTTACAATATTGCAAAGTTAAACTTCATATATTGAATGGAAAAGATAGCGCTTATTATCTTTTTGATTGTACATGTCACTGTACTTAAAAATATTAAACAAACAAGCTTTTCTATAAACTTTGGTTTATTCATACTTGCTGATCTTTTGATTCCAGCTAATTCTTTAACTCTTACTTATCATAAGGTTTCTGCTAGTCGAGTGACCAGCTATCACCCCTGATTCTTCGATTCCTTTTGATTCAATGTTTCCATCTTTTCTTTTCGTCTTCATTCTATCATTCTTGTGACCGTATGATTTCTTCATGTTAATCGTATCGTTTTTGCTGATCTTAAATAATTCTTACTTGTCCTTAACATTCCTATTAATCTGAGTGTAGCTAAAAACGACTACATATACTTTGTCATTCCTGAAAATTCTTCCTCGTTCTTCCCAGAGATGTGAATGAATTTCTATTAACTTCACAACATATTTTGTGTAAAATCGATAAATATTTATAATAACATATCAATTGAGCTTATGGCTGCAATGAGATACAAGTTTCTATGCAACATAATATAAAGGATTAATTACATCTTCAATCTTTCAATTACATTTCTATGCATCTGGTAAAATATTTTCCAACAGATTTTTTATGATCCCTACATTTTAATTCTATGTGGTCATTAAGTATTAAATAAAGTTACTGAAGTGGCATAACGAGTCGTGACCATAAACATCATCGAAGAAATGTTCTCGTTTGTAAAATTAAGGAATGTAAGTGAAGGTGATCTTCCTTTCCTACAGGAAAAAAACAATTAACAATTTTTTACATTTCATTTAAAGAAGAACGCCTACAATTCTCTATTGGAAAAAAACTGCATCATCAATTAAATGACCTGATACTTTAACCAACAACAAACTTTGAGGATTCTACTCCTAACACAACCGGCAATACAACACATGATTGTCAGTAAATGCATGATCACAAACCTCATTGGCCGTTTGTTCTTCCTTTCGTTTATTATACAAATACCACATCTAAGAAACAACAGAAAATTACAGAATCCATGAAAACATTTCACTAAAGCAATTAGAAACGACAACAAACCTCTTCATTTTTCCAACCATAAATAATCATAACCAACAAAGCCTACAAACAAACGAATATCAATCACCCATGGACGTGCTATGTAAATTTGTAATCTTCAAATAAAGTCTCGTTTCGTGTAACGAGAATCTTCGTTCTCTGTTGTTCATTCATCACTACCTACACTGACACACGTTATCTTAGTTTATATTTTAGATAGTGTAAAGACTGTTCTCATTCTCTGTTGTTCATTCATCACTACCTACACTGACACACGTTATCTTAGTTTATATTTTAGATAGTGTAAAGACTGTTCTTTTTCTCTGATGTTCATTCATCACTACCTACACTGACACACGTTATCTTAGACTTTTTTTCTTAGTTTAGGTGTCTAAAGACTGGATTGTTGTGATCAAACTTAGAAGATTTTGTACAAGATTACAATTACAAACCTGAAGAAAGTACAAAGTCATGAAACTATAATGATATCCTTTTTGCTCCGTGTTATTGACTGCTTTAATTCCAAAATACCAAGCAAAAGTGACAACAAACAACAAGAGGAGTGAGGTAAAAAAGTTCACTCTGTCAATAGAAAATATGAAAAAATGATTCGTAAAATACCATCAAAAACTACTTCAACAGTTCATCTAATAATTATATGTATAATTCAAAACAAATAAATATATATGTATAATGATGTACATCTCACTTCAAATAATTGAGAGTTTTGTCTGTTTCTATTGTTTTAGGATGAATAAAGACATAGAAAATCAAAGCAACACGAGCAACAATGTTCACCTAAATAAAATAAATCGAAATCATCAATGTAAATATCGGACGATCTATTCGTTATGTATGTGACGGTGAGAAACTCTATTGTTTACATACACACAACAGTAATGTCTCTAAATTAAACAAAGTCAGTCATATATGATTGGTAATCTTTTTGATTTCTCATCACCATAGTGGACTAGTATACATACTGCAATTAAAGCCATCAAGGGTCCAAAAAAGTACCCACAGCTTGCTTTGTTGATAAAGATCCACAAACTTGAAATTTAAAAAAGTGCTGGGTTAGTGTTTGATTAATGACAAATGAAAGAAATTTTGGAACGTGGATAGACCTAACAAATGACAAGCCTGAACGATCAGTTCAAAAGAATTTCATACATTTCACTCGTACGTGGCTTTCCATAATGAGGAAAATCATATCCAGCAGTAGATCCAGCAAATGCAGACGTAAGTGCTAAAATGAAAGCGTTATTTTGATGAATAATATTTGAAATTGATGGAGTAGACGACTCGTATAGTAAATTGTATGATATAGGAGGGTTGACATATAAAAAGTATTCTTAGCTAGAAAAAGAATATACTAACCCCAACCAAGAGATATGTAAAATTTTCTGGTGTTGGTGACGTTATAATTAAATATTGGATGAATAACATTAAGAAAGTAAATAGCTTCAAGACAAAGCCAAACCAATGGAGATAGTTGACAAAAATGAAGGCCTGTCACTATCACATCGTTCAAAGTCTAAAAACAAAAATGTGAAATTTATATTGAAAAAATCATTGGTTTAGTATATCCTAAGTATATGGTGGCATTATGGAGGCAAGAAGATTAGAAGAAGAATCATAAACTCCATTTACGTTGTTCATGCTTGTGGCACATCTTTCGTAACGTAGGTAATTTAAAAAAGGCAACCAATCATTTACATTTTCTAATAAATAGAAGAGCTTAAATGGCTATAGCTACAATTACTATTTTAATATACAGTAAAGTTGTGAACATTTTGTTCCTTAGACTGTATAGGTATTCTGACAAAATCATTTTTTCTCTATTTTTGTTCAAGTTAACAAGCTTACATTACCTTGTTGTTGTTCTTTAAAATACCAACAATAAACAAAATATAACCAAAAATCAGCATCACACAAAGATGTGTATGAATACAAACACGATCATTATCATAACACCTGAATTTATGGGCGAAAAATTTTATTTTCAAATTGACAAGTATCGAATCTTTTGATGACAAATAGGAAAAAATCAAAGGAAAAACTTACTCAAGTTGTTTTGTTACATAAAGTGTGGCAATCAAAGCGAGAATTGCAAAAACATTGGACACAATGCCGACGATACGAACTGCTTTTCTTGAATTGTTATCTACCTAAAGTGAGCAATTAAACTATGTATTTTAATGGTGGATTCACATACAATTTATATACCTCACTTTAGGGCAAACCAGAATAAAATGTTCATTCGTAGAGTGTGCAAAGGATTGAATAATTATGTAGACAACTGTTCAGGGTATGCAGGGTAAAATTTACTGTTTTAGCTACAGATTTATTGACTTTACCTCTTTGTTGAGTTCAGATAAAACAACGAATGTAGACATATGACTAAATGAGCAAGCAACGTTTGTGTCATTGCTTTCTTTTACACTTGCACCAAGACTTGACCAAAAGCCACTATCAGCATGTACAATTTGAAATTAAATGAACATTTACGCATGTATCACAAAAAACTGAGTAAAAATACAAACCTGTCAGACCAAAAGTAACAACGGTCATTTTTTGTGCTATCACTCTGTAACAAAAAGTTATCTTCTCATAGTTTAAGTGGCTTTTTCATTGCTTGCATGCTTGTATTTTGTTGCTTACGAAAACATTCAAATTTAAAAACAAAAATCTTTTAAATCATTAACTAGCTACTATATATATGCAAAGCTCAACTCTTCATCTTTTCAGTTACACACTTTTTCAGAGGAAGATTTTATAAGAATGTTAAATAAACGCTTCTATAAGTAAAAATTTCACTAACCTTACTTCGTCTAAAATAAATCGTAAAAAGTTCATTCACTGGTATCGAAGGTTTTGGAAGGAGACTGAATGTAATAATGGGACTATTTATTACAAGGTTAGGTTTTTCTCTTATGTTTATGATCTGATTTTTCTCTATTTTCATCTCAGAAATTGGCAAGTGCCATGGATTACTATAAAAATGAAATGAAATAGTATATTCGTGAATTATTTGTTTCTACAAAAATTCAAATTAAACAAAAACAATAATTTAGTAATAATACTCTCGATATGGTTCAATTTCATCTTTTGGTACTTCAATTTTTGTTGTTTCTGTAATACTCCACGCCACTTGTACAATATTGGATGGCATACTCCTTTTTGGATATGTTATTACATTTCTAACTCTTCTACCAAGCTTGTGTATTGTATACTTATCGTAGATGTCAGGAAACAAGAAATTATCTGACTTGTTACCCTTTGATAAATTAATCACCGATGCTCCAAACGCTGAAAATTTAAAAGCAATCAGAAAAATAACATTAAAATTATAGAACAATATTTAACTAAAAAATAATAACACATATTATAAATGCAATAACTCAGGAAAAATGTATTGACTTTATATTTATACTATTGATAAACCAATCAACATTTATTTGGAGGTCTTCACAGTTTTCTTTGATCGTTTTATATACTATATATGTTTGGAAATTTTTATTGAGCAAAAACTTTTATTATATTTAACTAAACACATAATTCAAGTTACAGAATATATAACAACATGTTAATATAGTATATATAAAATTTTGACTCTCTAGAATTTAAGGTGGCTATATATACATACTAAACTTTTTTGTTGCAATGACAATAGTTCTGTTGACTTCTGATTGTTTTAGATTCTTTTCAATATATTTCGACAATTTTAAAGCCATTAATTCAGCCAATTCTGATAAATTTCTTGGATGAGTGTATTTCTATCAAACGAAGAAAATTACCTAGGATGTTGGAAAAACATTCTAACTAGATTTATATCGTTTCACCTACTTCATATCCAGGTGTTTTGCAATCAATGTACATTTCCAAGTCTTTGAAGTATTTCTATTATAAAATGTTAAAAAAGAAATTGAGAGCTGCATCAGGTTGAACAAACTTCAAAGAAAACTTTCGACAGCACCAAACTAAAATCCTGTCATAAATACCATTGCACACGATTCATTAGCGCAATTTTCAAATCCTGTTGGTTCTTTTGCAACTGTGCAAGGATCAGAAGTAGGTGGTTCTAAAACAAAGAAATGAAACGAAGAAACATTCGAACCATGCAATCCATTTCGAGCAGGAAATTTTTGAAAAAGTTTATACGATATAGAGTTATCATAGTGATAGAAAAAAGTACCTTCATATTTGTGTGGTTGCAACCATTTTATTATTTTCTTAACCAATCAGTTTTTACAATGTGAAAAAGTAAAAAGTACCTTCATTTTTGTATGATTGTCAAAAAACCATCCATGGTTTTTGTTTTGAAAGAAATATTTTGAAATAAATAATATTCTTAGTCTCCGATAAATATTGCTTGCATAGTAATTAAATTCACTTTCACATGAACAGAGCAAGAAATTGACAGATTTTAACCGGTTGATGTCGTAAGAATTAATATTTAAGGAGGAGCGGAGAAGTAAAGAGACAAAAAAAAGTTAAGAGAAGAAAGAAGAAAGACAAAATTTAAGAAGAAGAAGAAGAAGAAGAATGTGTAATGGTAAAACGTTCAACCCCAATTTTCAGTGGGATGACTTGAATCATTTATCAAATATTTTAGAAACTATCATTACCACTAGTAACTATATTGATAAATTGTTTAATAAATTTGAAATTTAACACTAAAATAATTTCTAGTTTACCTGGAGGACCTGGATGAGTTACTTCATGATAGATGGAACTCATGTTGTTTTGTTGGGTCGTGACAGAAGACACAAAAGTTTTTGTTGAGGCAACTGGTGTAGTGTTTGTCGAGGAAACATCTCCTAAAATAGCTAGAAAACAAATGTAAGTATATACTAACTAACATAAGAATTAAGATAAACTTTCTTAGTGTAGATAGTGTTGACTAAACAACGAGAACAAGTCTTTGCACTGTTGTCGCATTAGAAACATGCAGTCCACTCTCGGATGACATCATATATATATGAAACTACACTTTTTGCGTTCTACTTTAACAAACTAAATTATTGCTACGTTGGCTCTATGATAAAAAGACAGACCATAAAAAAAACAAGGAACACAAACCTGAGCTGTATAATCCAATACAAAAACACAGAAACATCTGCAAAAATAATACACAAAACCATTTAAACATAGACTATTCAGAATAAATTCAACATGTAGTTTCAACGTTCTATATAGTCTCAAAGTTTGCTTTGATTGTTAAAATATACAGAAATTTGTTTAGTTTTATCACCTTTCTAAAAAACATTTTGTCCTTCATGAACAAACGTTCATTTATCTAAATAATGTAACAACAACTAACTTTGTATCTTTGCAATCACCATAACAACATGTATGTATTTCAAACGACGAAGAACAGGTGGAGAACAATTGACTAACGGGGGCAGGTGTTCTGAATATACTAAAATGACAATTATAAAGCGTTATGTAAAAGATAAGAACTTGGCAAAAGCAAATTTAGCACCAGCACTTTACACTATCTTCTGTTTTCATCAGCAGTAGCAATTGAATATTGAAACTTAAGTTCTTATTAGTAAGTTTATGTAGTTATTTCTTCATCGGGACCATTGTTGAAAGTGAAGATGTTGTTAAAACATTCTTTTTTACTCGAGTTTAGTGTATCTGGCATTCTTCTGTGTTTATAAGGAGTAATTTAATGTTGAAACTTTAGTCTTTATACACACCAACATTTTTTTTCCACAGGGTGTGATCAAATTGGTAAATGGTCCTAATTTATCAAATTATATATTTAAATGGTTAAATATATATTCATATAGTACAACTACCCGACCTACGAAATCTGTTTCTTGTCTCAGGAATGGTCTCATGTGTGTGTAAACACGACGCAAGAGATTATACAGGAAATTTTTCTGGACGATCAAAGAAATCAATGCAATGCATTGAAGGCAAGTATAGTTTAGAACGAATAACATATGGAAAACACTTCATAATCTTGGGTTTGCTGTGGTAATGGTCACGCCATCACGCAAGCTCTATTATGAAAGACACGATTTTTGACCAATGAAACGCGTGCATTGCTGTAATGAATAACGATGTTTTGTTTAAATTGCCATAATTCAAATTTTTAAAATCATTTGTCATTGTAGGTACAAACGTAACGGAGTATTTGTGATGACCATACAGGAGGTAACGGCAAAATAATTTTCCGTAGCAAAGCATGCATTTTACATTTAATTGAGTTTTCGTGACAGATTTATAGGGGAAAACTCGCTCTATTTTTCTGTTGGTAAAACATTGAATATCATGGGTTCCCAGAGTAGTAAAGGTATTGTTGTTTAATCATTTTTATTTCATGTACTGAACACCTATGTCTTGTCAAGAAGCATGAATGTATATGTGTAATACAATATGTATTTTTATAGGAAGTACTTATAGTAAAAATGCACTGTACAACTATCTAAAATCAAATTTTCGAAGTTGTAAAGTGATTTTTGAATTTTAGACGTTAATATAAACAATCTTCAGTTGAAATCACACGAGCGTTATAAAATCTATTGTTATCACAACATGTGTTTGATTATAAAGACTTTTTTGTTCAAATAATTTCATCATGTAAATCATCTTTTTCAAGGATCAGTATACATTTAAAGTTTCAAACTGCCAGTGTAGGACAGCTAGCCTTATAGTAACCATCAATGACAAAACTTCTGCCTTTTTTTGTCTAAATCTATTTTGATCTTTTTTGAAAAAAATGTAAGCAATGAAATGGATGGCATACGTTGAATGAACATGAAACAAGTTTACAACAATTCAACAACAAAATTTCCCGTCGTTTCGAAAAATACTCGTCATCACTTCTGACAATGCCAAATATGTAATATTAACAGAGTATCACTTCTATAGCCAATGCTCAGTACCAGTCTTCAACTCCTGGAGCAGCAACGACTATCAGTTATGAGGTCATTTTAAGTCCAAGAATGGATAATGCTAGAGTTCCTCGTTTAACACCGAAAAAACTTGGATTATTAACTAGACAAGATATTGATGACAAAATTACAGCTGCAGAGAATAGACGCAAAGTAATGTTTTACATATAGCTATAATGTTGTATTTTTCGATAGTGTGATAAATGAACTATTTATAGAGAGCTTTAGAATATTCTTTACACTACCTAAAATGTTAATTGTGTGTCAGTGTAGGTAGTGACAAACGAAAAACAGAGAACGAGAACAATCTTTATACTACCTAAAATACAAACTAAGCTAACGTGTGTCAGTGTAGGTAGTGATGAATGAACAACAGAGAAAAAGAGCAGTCTTTACACTACCTAAAATACAAACTAAGATAACGTGTGTCAGTGTAGGTAGTGATGAATGAACAACAGAGAAAAAGAACAATTTTTACACTATCTAAAATATAAACTTAGATAACGTGTGTCAATGTAGGTAGTGATGAATGAGCAACAGAGAAAAAGAACAATTTTTACACTATCTAAAATATAAACTAAGATAACGTGTGTCAATGTAGGTAGTGATGAATGAGCAACAGAGAAAAAGAACAATTTTTACACTATCTAAAATATAAACTTAGATAACGTGTGTCAATGTAGGTAGTGATGAATAAACAACAGAGAACGAAAACAGTCTTTACACCACCTAAAATATAAACTAAGATAACGTGTGTCAGTGTAGGTAGTGATGATGAATGAACAACAGAGAATAAGAACAGTCTTTACACTACCTAAAATATAAACTTAGATAACGAGTGTCAGTGTAGGTAGTGATGAATGAACAACAGAGAACGAAAACAGTCTTTACATTTCCTAAAATATAAATTAAGATAACGTGTGTCAATGTAGGTAGTGATGAATGAACAAAAGAGAAAAAGAACAGTCTTTACACTACCTAAAATATAAACTTAGATAACGTGTGTCAATGTAAGTGAATGAATAACAGAGGACAAGATTCACTACACTGACAATGATTTTCCTTGTTAGACCAGAGAGTTAAATATTCGCTTGAAGATGGCGAGCAATGTGCAACACGCTGACATGGTTTGTCAAGCAATGAAAGAATACGAAGAAAGAAAGAGACGAGAAACAGAAGAAAGATACCAACGGCGTTTGTTTATATTTGCTGAAAATCAAGAAGTGATTGCTAATCAACGGGCAAACAAATGGCAGGAAAAGAGAAAGAAGATTGAAATGGTTCAAGAAAGTGTAGAAAGACGCGATAGGAACTTTAGAAATTCTGTAAAAGAGAAGCTGAAGCACAAGTTTGATAAATTAAAAGATAATTGTAATACCTACAATGTCAGTCGTCAAGAAGCAAGTTGTATACATGACTCGAAGACAAAACAGATGGAAAACAAAGCTTTAAAAACAGCCGAACATTTTCAAAAAAAACTTGCAACTAGCCAAGAAAATCCCAAGGCAAAAAGTACAGCAAGACAGAAGAGAATTGAAGAAGAGAAACAGTTATTGAGTGATAATATTAAGGTGTCAAATAATAATAAAGACAAGCAGTTTGAAAGTGGTTTTGTCAGGTAAACTATCAACTTATTTCTAGTTTTTTTTTCTGTTTGCATCTACTGAAAATATAAAAGACAATACATAACAATTTACACTTCGAATTTATCTTATCAGCTCTGGTGGTAGACAACAACTAAACGAAACTGAAGAAAATCGTAGTACGGCAAGAACAGTTTTAGTAAAAGTTGAACTGACGAAAGAAATTCACAAAGTGAACGAGCAACAGTCATTTCAAACTATGACAGGATACCCAAGCAGTGATATCTATAATGGAGAGAAAATATTGGAGAAATGTCAAAAGAAAAATGAAGAAAAAATTATGAAGCAGGTTTGTTGCAAAAATGAACACTTGTGAAAATCACAATGTAGGAAAAAAAAATTATTCATCCAGTTAAATCAAAAGTTTCAACATCAGATCATTCCTGACAAACAGTTCTTATCAGATATGTCATATACGAGAGATTCATAGTAACGTTTAAGTTAAATATGTTACAGGAGATCGACATGCAAGAGCCAATGAAAGCGAAAGTAAATTATTTCAAGGAAAACTGCGAGCGGCAACTAAGAGATAACAACACAGCTAAACATTCAAGTGTTGAAGATAGCTTATCCGCTAAAGATAAAGAAAATGATATTTCAAACGCTTATCATGTGGAAAAAGAGGACGAAAAGCACAAAGAATTATCTGAAAATTTTCGAAATCATAACTTGGAACACTTATGCCTTCGTTAAATGACTGACTGAAGTTAAATATGCCATTTTGGTTATTTTGTGTATGATTATTAGCAGTAGTGTGATATAATAAGTTTTATAAATTTTCTTTTTTGTATGTTGTCAAAGTCTGTCTATACTACAAGTTAATTTTTTTGATTAAACTTTTAGTCTTTTATAATGAACTTGTAAGTTTGTGACGAAACAAGATGAGCCTGCGTGTAAGTAAATTTTGAACAGCTGCTTGTAAGAATGTTATGCGCAGAATGTATGCGCGAAAGTTGGAGAAGCGATATTAAAGTCCTCCCTTGGTCTTTTCAGATGTTGTTTACAAAAATATTTTATTTTGGAATTTTAAACGATTTTTATATATGAAGAAATGTTTGTATTTAAACCTCTGGATGGATTGCGGAATTGGTTAAAAGGTCGAGCGCTTTATATTTCGTCATTAAGGTACAAAATATTACGGACAAAATATCACATTATGCATATTGTATAATTTTAATCAACTTTTGTATAAATGAGCCTTAGAGCTCAGGCTGCTCTGGTAAACTTTTATATGTTCAAATTATTTATTTAGTTATGTTGATATAAATGCAATAATAGTTGCAACTTTGCATTGTTTTGTGTAAAACAGTGAAAATATAACATATTCATGCATAATCTTTATGTGTATTCTTGTTTGGAAAATAAGTGTCAATAATACCGTTTCAACCATCAAAAATTTATCTTAACATTTCTCGTGATTATCAGCAATGTATTTATGATGAATTTTAATGATTACACCATGAAGGAACTCAAGGATATTGATATAACATAAGAATGTTGGGTGCCATATCCCTAAGAGTCCCATACTGTACTATCAGTCACACTCTAGACAGACTGGAAAATTTGAAAGTAGACACCCAAGATCAAATTTTACAGAAATTTTTGCGTGCCTGAAATGCAAATTTTGTACACCTGTTGGATAATTTCTTTGCTTTTTCTCACAATATTAATGTTTTAGCACAGTTTTTTTCATAAAACATATATTTTTCAAATTTACACACCTACGAACACCTGAGATTTAGAGTGCACAATACAAACTTTTCCAGTCTTAGTTCCAATCTTTTTTGTTCATAGTGTTAGATGTCGAAGATTGCTGTTTCTTTTCCTGGTTGCCTTTATTGTGTTTGTATTTTCTCCTAACCTCAGAAATTTCCATCCAACTAAATATTTGGGATCATATCATATAGGTAAAAATAAATATTTATATTGACTTGCTTGTCTTGTGGAAATAAAAACATTGTCCATATTGAATCTGAATTAGTATTACTTGTGTTTGACAGTTATTTTTCCAACCTATTGACAAGATAGTTTAGTTGAGGAGAGTGTTTGGTTTACAAGAATGTTTTGTTAATTTGGGAATAAGTAGCTTAGTATAAGCATCTATATTACTTTTTAAAAAGATTTATTAAAAATGTCGTATTTAGACCAAGCATATGTTTGCCTTGAGAACAGAATTGCTCATTGGAAAGAAGATATTGCATCAAAAGATGTTATGGTTTTACACAAACCACTAAAATCAAATGAAGCATTTACATTTGCTTTTGTTGGTAATAAAAATTAAATTTATATGAAACTTGAAAATGATATATCCACATTTTTTGATACTGTATTGACTTGAAAAATATTTGACTTTTAGGTAATGGTATTCTAGGGGTATCATTAAATGGTAATAGACATCTTTATATAAGTGATGGTAAATCAATATCCATTGAAATCCCCTATGAATCTTTATTATCCTTTACTGTTGATGAGTATAAAACATGGCAAGGTATTTTTATTATTTTTCAGAATCACAATTTTTTTATTCTCGTATTCTTTTGTGTCGTTTTTTGTTGAATAGTTGTCATCTTCCTGTTTTTTAGAAGCTACTGTTTTGGATTTACGACGAGGATTAGTTCATAACATTCACAGCTATTCAAAGGTGAAATTTTCACATTTCTGATTTGATTTCTATGAAAATGTCCTTGAGAATTTCAAGGTTATAAAAGAACTTGAAGATTGTTTAGCCTCCATCTTTCCTAGTATTGATGTATTCATCTTTTTATTTTAAATAGGAGCTTTAAAATAAACATGTAGAATTTTCTTTATGTGTTTCATAGGAAAAGAGCTGTGTTGTTGTTGAACATATCATTTATGCAAATCAAGAAAAGCCTACATTACTTGTCCAAGAGATTATCATCAACAATCATGTGGTAAATGAAAATATTTCAACTTGTGTTTGTATTAACAAGTGTAAAATATCTATTAAACTATTGTTTATATTTCTGTTGTTTTCATTTTCATGATGATTATAAAAACGTTGACTGTAATGTAACATATCTCTTTGCGTCCATATCACCTTTCTTATATTTTGACTTTGACAACTTATTGATGATTTTCACTGTGTAACATTTATTTTAAGTAAGAAAATACCGTAGGTAGTATGGTTTTTGTCTGCTCTCGCCACAATTCCATGAGATAAGGCATAAGATAATCTCACATTCCCACAAACTCAAAGATAATTTTGAGGTTGAGTATAACAAAAGACCTTGTATTTTCAATAAGTTATCTCAAAAATCGCGATCAGAGTTGACATGTATATCAGTTTTCAACAAAGAAAACTTTTAACTTTATTTTAGAATGGACCAGTGCAAGTTAAGTTTCAGCATCATGGACAAAAACAATTAAAGAATTCCAAGTTATTTCACGAAAAGTATGAAAACAATTTTTAAAAAAACTTAATCAACCAAAGATATTCATTGTGACTTTTCCTACTATTAAAACTGGATCAATAAAATCGTCAAATAAAATTAGTCAAAAGCTGATCGATCTTTTCATAATTATAAGTCAATAAGATATGACTAAGAAATCTGCATGTCTTCGATTTTATGCACGACCTTTGATTTTATGATTATGTAGTTTTTCAGCTGTTAAACCTGGGCAGTCGAGTATTCCTTTGAGCGTGTTAATAACCACAATAAATCATCCAACGAAGCGGGACACCGATTTAGTTGTAGCTGTCGGATCTTCTTCAATTGCTCCAATAGAAACGGTACCTTTTGAAAGGTGCGTAGAAATTTTCCATTCAAGAGATTGTCATCAGATAGTCAATCCTTCGTTGAAATCATGATGCAGCTATACCTGAATTCTCTCATTTTCGTAAATTTTCTCGTAGCGTGAAAAGTTTGACATTTTTGACGGCAGTTTCTTCCCAAGCTGTTCCACAGGTGAAGCCAACGACAAATGCTCAAATGAAGGTCCAGAATTCTCTACATAAAGTAGTTATAAATGTAAGGAGAAATACGTCGTTTTGTAGGAGAAAGAATATCTTTATTGAAGTCGTTATCTTCATATATTTACTTTGAATTGTAGAATTTAAAAAATGCTCTTCATCAAGAGGAATCATTGAGAGAAGATCATGTCTCAGCTTGGAGAAAGGTTTATGTTGAATTTTTACACAGCTTGAACAATTTTTAATGCAAATTTTCTCATTTTGACGTTAGTATAAGTATCATGCACATTAAAACAAAGTCCTGCAACCATTACTTGGGTGGAGCCGACAGCAAAATGTTCTTATTAAATACATAGTTGACCAATGTCAATGCAAAATGACGTGTGTATGTTCTTTTCCAAAAACAAATGAAATTAATTAATTTTTTAAGGATTTTGATGCTAAAGCATAACAATTTATTTTTCTGAACTACATAATCCTACGACATTTGAATTCTGTTTTACTATTTACTTTAACACTCTACTCTTGAGAGTGTTTATCAGGAGTGATCAGAAGTTTAAACTTGAGAGTGTTTATCAGGAGTGATCAGAAGTTTAAACTTGAGAGTGTTTATATTTAGATTTGGGAAAGCGGTGTTACAGTGGCAATTCATCGTCATCCAGATACTCCAGCGGGAGAAATAGTTAATTTAACGATGTATTATGTCCTCTCAAGTTTAACTACGACCATTTCCAAATCACCGTTAAAATATTTTCCAGGAAAATGTTATCAAGGTGTTCCAACGATGTAAGTCAATTTACTAGGACAGTTACAATTTATTTAACTACTGATTGATTTAGTTTTACGTTTATATACTGAGAAATAATTGTTAAAAAGCTTGACTACGCACAATCCTTTGTTATCTTAAGCAATCCTCCCCAAAACAATAAGATGCAAGTTTTCTCATTACTACGTTACAGGCACACGGCCTTGCTATGGAAGAGCCCTTATTCAGAAACTGACATTAGTGATCTTGCCATGAAATGGAAAACTGCTTTGACAACGCAGGGATGTGAATCATTTTTTGATCGAGGTACAATTTATTTAGAAATTGATCTTCAAACTTTCTTCATTATATAACTAATGAACTTTCAATACTTAGGACCTGTATATCTTCATCAAGCAATGGTTTTAAGTTTTGGCGGTTTTACATTTGCTTCTGATCATCTGGAATTTGCTGCAAATCCTGCCACATTACAAACGAATATTATGTTTCACCATATTGAATGTTATGGGAACTTTATCGATGTTGAAGTATTAGTTGGTCAACAATTGTCACAAGCCGCAGAAATTAAGGTTTGGGCGGAAAAAAAACAGGACACGTTGTTTGCCTGCGAGGCAGGTTGCCAATTTCCACCTGTTATGTTAAAGTAAGTTTAGCAATGAGATGCATTGTTTTATCCTATAAAAGTGTGTTTTACTATCTAAAAGATCAAAATATTCAGCGTTGAGTGTTTCTCTACTTCCTTTTTTTATTGAAATTCGTGCTTTTTAACATCTTTTCTTTACTTAGTTCAGCTGGAATGACGTTTCCAGTAAAAATAACTTCTCCAGTCACACCGTTGCTGTATATATCAAAGAATGAAAGTCATCTATTTACCCTCAAGAATATGGACTTCATTCAACAAGCTTGGAAAGGTTTCTTTTTGTTATACATAACATCATTTTCAAAGGTGCCGAGTTCGTCGCTATTCATCTTTTTGTTTTAGATACTCGTTTTCAAAGCAAACAATCTCAGACATATCTACCTGCAACATTTTGGGCCTTTATTGCATTCCTTATCATAGCATTTCATTTGTACTTGGTGAAGTTGATATATTCGGAGTGTTACAGAGAGACAAGATCTGTACGTTTAGCCCGATAATATCTTCTGCTTGCTTTTTGTGTCGACAACGAATTACATCAGAAAATGCGTTAATTCATGATATTGACCAAAACGTTTCATTTTGAAACTATTTCAAAGTTATAACCCTACATAAGTGGTTGATACACGAGAAAGATTTTGTTTCATTTTTAATATGAAAATCTTTAACTTGACTTGGAGGTTTGACCAATTGCATGTACAAAGGTAAGAATCTCTATCTTTCTTTTCCTTTTTTTCTTACGACGTTGACGATGTTATTTACATAGTCAAGTCATACGCTCAAAGTTAAAGGTTTCCATTTTAAAAATGAAACAAAATCTTTTTCATGTATCAACCACTTCTGTAGGGTTATAACTTTGAAATATTTGCAAAATCACTATGAATGCTTACTAAATGTAAAAGGGACACACGAACCAATTGTGATTGAGTAATTAATGAAAAAATATGAATAAAAACATAAGTAATATCACTGTATTTATAATTGAATGAAATAAAACATTAAATTTGCAGTTTCAGTTAATTTAAATGTACCGGAGCTAAGTTACTTCTGGGGGTTTTTCTTCGTAGATAGGTTCATTATCGTATTTACCTGGAATTCCACCTTCATAGGTTAAAGCTGGCAAAGGTTGACGTCCTTATTTATAGTTTTTCATTCCTTTGTAAATTAAATAAACAATATGAGTCTTCCACCTGGTTGGGAAGCTAGATGGGATCCAAACCATAGAAGATTGTAAGTAGAAGTATATCTTTTTCGACTTTAAAACTTAATTAGTCGTAAGCACTAAGCAATATGATCTGCGTCATCAGTCCTGTTCTTTTCTACGCAGTAGTTGAAAATTGTGACTGAAATATTTCAATTTTTAGTTTTTTTTATATTTATAACTCGTTTTAATTGGTCATGTCTAGTTTATAGTGATAAATTTAATGTTGGAGTTATAAAGTATGTCAATTCATACTTTATACCAGTCGACCAACGACGGCCATCAGTCGGCAATCAAAATATTTAACACAAAATTTAATTGTACTGTTTTTGGATGAGATGTTGATGATAGACCTATGTCAAAACTTTTATTTTGCATTCATAATAAGACTAAGTTCAAAACTAAATCACACCTGGTCACTCTTGATGAAGACAGTCAAGACACTAGACTGGAGTGTACAGTAACTCACCGTTAAATTCAACTGCTGCTTAAGAGAAGAATATTTCTTCTTTCATGTTAATTATTTGAATTTTTAGCTACTATTTGAACCATGCAACTAAGACTACAACCTGGGCCCGTCCTACTGCTCAACCACATGTGGAACAAATTCCTATGCAAGATTACCCTGTAAGATATGTTTTTTATGGCAATGGTTTTGTTTTATGTATGGCTTTTTATAAACTTTTTTAAACTTTTTCAACACTTGTATATTTTAGTATCGTCGACCATTCCTTCTGCATCTTCTCAATCGACACCATTGACAAGGGTAAATTTCAATGATATATGTAGATTTTTATAAGTAAACATTGAATAATCTTTTTCTGGTTTCAGTAGCTTGGTTTAGAGATTTTTTTTTGATGCAAAGAGAATAGATTTTAATTATTTGTTTTTTATTTACAGGAAACTGGTTTTCAATCATCGGTTTGTGTTTAAAATATTTTAAATATTTTTAAACTTAAAACTTTTGAAAACAAATTGTAATACGAAACATCAAAATTATAATTTTTTTATATTTGTAGAGTCAAAGACAAAACAGTGAAGAAGAAGAAGATATGTGGAGGAATGTGGATGAATTAGTAAACACAATGAGAAATAACAATAGAACTGCACTTTCATTCAATGAAAAAGTTAATGGTATGCTTTCATTTATTTATAAAATAACGTGTGTCAGTGTAGGTAGTGATGAATGAACAACAGAGAACAAAAACAGTCTTTACATTACCTAAAGTATAAATTAAGATAACGTGTGTCAGTGTAGGTAGTGATGAATGAACAACAGAGAACAAGAACAGTCTTACATTATATAAACTAAGATAACGTGTGTCAGTGTAGGTAGTGATGAATGAACAACAGAGAACAAGAACAGTCTTTACACTACCTAAAATATAAACTAAGATAACGTGTGTCAGTGTAGGTAGTGATGAATGAACAACAGAGAACAAGAACAGTCTTTACATTACCTAAAGTATAAATTAAGATAACGTGTGTCAGTGTAGGTAGTGATGAATGAACAACAGAGAACAAGAACAGTCTTTACATTACCTAAAGTATAAATTAAGATAACGTGTGTCAGTGTAGGTAGTGATGAATGAACAATAAAGAACAAGAACAATCTTTACACTTCCTAAAATATAAACTAAGATAACGTGTGTCAGTGTAGGTAGTGATGAATGAACAACAGAGAACAAGAACAATCTTTACACTTCCTAAAATATAAACTAAGATAACGTGTGTCAGTGTAGGTAGTGATGAATGAACAACAGAGAACAAGAACAGTCTTTACACTACCTAAAATATAAACTAAGATAACGTGTGTCAGTGTAGGTAGTGATGAATGAACAGAGAACAAGAACAGTTTTTACACTAACTAAAATATAAACTAAGATAACGTGTGTCAGTGTAGGTAGTGATGAATGAACAACAGAGAACAAGAACAGTCTTTACACTTCCTAAAATATAAACTAAGATAACGTGTGTCAGTGTAGGTAGTGATGAATGAACAACAGAGAACAAGAACAGTCTTTACACTACCTAAAAATATGAACTAAGATAACATGTGTCAGTGTAGGTAGTGATGAATGAACAACAGAGAACAAGAACAGTCTTTACATTACCTAAAGTATAAATTAAGATAACGTGTGTCAGTGTAGGTAGTGATGAATGAACAACAGAGAACAAGAACAGTCTTTACAACTAAAGTATAAATTAAGATAACGTGTGTCAGTGTAGGTAGTGATGAATGAACAATAAAGAACAAGAACAATCTTTACACTCCTAAAATATAAACTAAGATAACGTGTGTCAGTGTAGGTAGTGATGAATGAACAACAGAGAACAAGAACAATCTTTACACTTCCTAAAATATAAACTAAGATAACGTGTGTCAGTGTAGGTAGTGATGAATGAACAACAGAGAACAAGAACAGTCTTTACACTACCTAAAATATAAACTAAGATAACGTGTGTCAGTGTAGGTAGTGATGAATGAACAACAGAGAACAAGAACAGTTTTACACTAACTAAAATATAAACTAAGATAACGTGTGTCAGTGTAGGTAGTGATGAATGAACAACAGAGAACAAGAACAGTCTTTACACTTCCTAAAATATAAACTAAGATAACGTGTGTCAGTGTAGGTCGTGATGAATGAACAACAGAGAACAAAAACAGTTTTTACACTACCTAAAATATGAACTAAGATAACGTGTGTCAATGTAGGTAGTGATGAATGAACAACATAGAACGAAAACAGTCTTTACACTACTGAAAAAATAAACTAAGATAACGTGTGTCAGTGTAGGTAGTGATGAATGAACAACTGAGTACAATACTTTAGATAAAAGCATTTTCATGTATATTTAGTCAAAGAAAAGTTTAAGCGTGAGTTCAGGGAATTAAAAAGTGCTGATGTTGAAAGAGTAGTTGAGCAAGTATGTATGAACAATGATTTATTTTTTATTAACTTTCAAACGTAACAACTTTTTTTTGCATCAATATTATTAATTTAGAACAACTATGATGAAGATGTTATCAGAGCAATGCTTGCATCATTGAAAGGTAAAAATAAAGACTAGAATCATTTGTGTTTTGAGTAGCTAATAGTTAAATTTCCGTTCATGATCAAGTTATTGAATTCATCTTAATGCTAAAATTGAACTTTAAAATGAGTTCTTTGGTTTTTATTCTGTTTTGTACTAATTTTACCTAAACATCAATCAATGTAAGACTGCCTTTTTTGTCTTTTCCATGTTAAGTTAGATGTTTTGTCTCAGCCTTTGATAAAAATACATTCAAAAATTTTTCATGCCAGCTGTAAAACAATCCGAGAGAGAGTGATTCATATTTGGATTTCAACAATAATATGTTTGAATTATTTAAGTAATATTTTATTATATGCAGTGCTTCATAGTCAAACGCTATCAGGTGATTCAAAAGTAGTTCATTGACTGCATGGTGTAGTTTACATTTATGTATTTCACATTCTCTCATTCTTCTTCAATAAGATGTCGAACTTGAAACTCAGCGAAGGAAACAGGAAGAAGTCCAAAAGCAGAAAGAGAGACAAAGAAGAATGGAAATTGAGAAGATGAGGAGAGAAATGAAAGCCAAGAAGGAGGCAGAAATGAAAGCTAAAAAGGAGGCAGAAATGAAAGCTAAAAAGGAAGCAGAAATGAAAGCTAAAAAGGAAGCAGAAATGAAAGCCAAAAAGGAGGCAGAAATGAAAGCCAAAAAGGAGGCAGAAATGAAAGCCAAAAAGGAGGCAGAAATGAAAGCTAAAAAAGAGGCAGAAATGAAAGCTAAAAAGGAAGCAGAAATGAAAGCTAAAATAGAAGCAGAGAAAAAAAAGAGAGTTAAAGTTGGCGTGAGACACAGTGAGTTTCAAAGTCCATTCACAGCCTTAAATATTTTGTAGTTATAGAAAAGACTGTGAATATCAGTAGAATTCTACTGACGTCAATATTAGTTATTTTTCTTCTTACCAACTAAGCATATGTGTTATTTATTAAGTTTAAACATGGTTGTCCTAAGATTGATAAATGAGGGTGGGGCTATAGTCATGTAACATTTATATTGTATAATCCGTTGTCACAATTGATTTCAATAGAAACATATACAGTAGATAGAATGTATAATTAACTGTGACATTTCATATTTAAGATATTTAATTATGAATACAACATTTTTGTTTTTTCTTAGCAACACAGCAGATAACTGGAGGAAATACAATAACGTCACGACAGACTGATGTAACTGCGGCAGAAAGCAATGGAGTATATACTTCACGAGCACCTCTAGACAAGAAAGTTTATATTTCTCCAAACAGGATCCAGCCTGTTGGACCTCAAGCATCTTTACGTAATGGACCTGATTTAAAGAATTTAACGTATGTTTTATTGAATTTAGTAAAGTGAATAACTACGATGTATTTCATTTTATAATTTCATCGTTTTGAATAGACGGTGACATAGTTAAGTGTATATATTATGTAATACAAAGTTTTATGTTTGTCTAAATTTGTGCAAGCTTTTGGGTAGTTTTCTTCAAGTCAAATGTTATATCCGCATGGTATTTACCCGTCAACTTGTTGGGTAGAGAAAATAAACACTTCTTTTAAGTGTTTATTGAAGATTATGAAATATTCGTTTAGTTTGAGCAGTTCATCTTGATTCATTGCTTATTTGAACAACAGAATATTTTATCAAAATACTTTTTGCAACAAAGTTTGAAGAAAAATTAATCTCTTTCAGACGCGATGTCATCACCCCAGTGAGTGGACCAAACAGAGCCCTTGTTTCTGGACCACAAAGCTGTAATGTTCGTGGTTCAAGTAGAGTAAAAATAAAGCAAGCAATACATAATGGTATTATATCATTTTATTTCTCATAAAGTTGTTATTGTGACATCTTTTTTATAATTTACATAGTTTATGTTTATGCATTTTTCCTGTCATAGAAAAAAACTAGCTAATTTTACTTTCACATTATCTCATTCTTCTTCAATAAGATGCCCAACTTGAAATGATAGAAATCAAGTGTATGAATAAAGTTGTTTAACTTTGGGTTTATTTATTTAAATGATTTTGTATTTTCGTTATAGGACCCCAGTCTTGTCTTCGACAAGGACCGCAATGTCGTACAATTAATGGTTATAAAGTAAATGATGTTTCTAGTCAAAGCTCTGGATTAATGAATGCCGTTGTATCTTTTTAAATTGTCTGGATTTGATTTGTACATAAAAACGTTCTGTTTCCAGCTATACAGTAACAGTTTGTCTCAGGTCGATCGATTTTACAAATGACAACTTGTATGAAATAGCTGTTGTCATTATAACTATTCATTATTATTGTTATAAGTTCACCTACGTATGTCGCTAAATAACTCAACAAATATATATATACGATATTTTTATTTTGATGGTTTCTCCGAATTACCTGGGATGCAATGCTATTGTCAACATACATTCACCAGAATTTCTCCTCCACAAAGTTTTACAATTTAACTGTTTCTAATAAGATAACCAACCCCTAGCGGTAGATGAAGGAAGAAGTAGGAAGAGAGTAGTTATATGATCATTACATGAAGTTCAACACAGCATTCTTTAAAGATTAGAAGATAGAACAGTAGAAGTTGCTCAAGAGAAACTTTATTGATTTTTAAAGCTTAGATGTTTGTCATTAATGGAAGAAAACGCCACAAAACGTAAGTAAGAATATTTTTCTTTTATACTGCGCTATTTTGTACTTAAATACAACGAAGCAAAGGCTTTAATATCAAATAAAAAATTTGTTATTGTTCAAAATGGCGGTAAAGTTGGCATGTGCGTTGTTTCAAAAATCGTTTTTCAAGACTTAACGAAATTAATATTGCGTTGCTTTGGCTCGTTTAACCAAATATCTTAAAAATAAGGCACCAGTATTTAAAAGCCTGCCAAAGTCAGTATATTTATACATATAAATTTATACAAAATATTAAGTTTATTTGAAAAAGTTTTTCTTGATATTTGTCATCATAAGGTATGTACAATGGTTGTCAAGAGACAATGTTGACATTATTGTTAAAGCCACAAACCTCATCATATTGAGTTTGTGCTGTTCCTTTACATGTCTTCTCAGTGACCATTAAATGGATAGACAAACTTTATCAATTTGATTTTTTGATTACTAATATAAAAAAATTGATCTAATATATGTTTTATTATACAAATATCTTGGATAACCTCTTCATTATGATTTATCACGCCATTTTATAATATAATTGATGTCATCAATCATTAGAAAGGCCAGCTTAACTGAAATTGCTTGTAGAACCAATATAATTCCACAAATAATACCAGCATACAAACCATGTTTCTTCAACCATTGTTCAAGTGCATCAATGCAACCAGTTGTGTAGATTCGTAATTCTCTCTGCCCTTGAGTAATATGGTCTGTGAATACACCAAAACCACATTTTCTGTTAAGCATGTCAACCTTACAGCAGGAATGTGGTACAGAACAAAAACTGTTGCTCATTCCTGACTTCATCACTTTGTATTTGAACTGCAGTTATAATATGGATTTAGGTTCCAGTTAATAGGTTGATTTGATCCACAACATTTTAATTCGCTTTGAATGTAATCCATCAAAGCTTTAAGATCAGGATCATCTTGGTATTTTTTTATAGCTTCTTGAAAAATGTCATTTACTTTACTTTTTACTTTATCTCTTGCGAAATAAGCAGTTAGACCCAAAGCCAACTGTATAATAATAAGTAGCATTATAGATGAATAAAAAAAGCGCAATAAGCATTTGTTTTCTCTTAAAGCGCCAAGAGATCCACAAAATGACACGACAAAAACTATAATTCCTGTCGTCAATATGATGACCGCTGGATCCAATAATATTCCATTGAATTGACCCTTTAATTTTCCCTTTTCTTGCAAGGCAATGATACCAATTGTGGAAATAAATGCTCCACAAAGTAAAAAAAACATGTTTTCAAAAAACATTGTATACTTAACACAACGCGAAGTGCGCAATTTATTGACAGAATGTTCACTATTTGTATTTCTTGTCGCTTGTCTTCGTCGTTCGTCATTTGTCCTCGGCGACACTTGAACACGTCTTAAAGTCATTTCGAAATTTTAAAACTCCTTATAATTTTCTAACGGGAGAAATTCGAACCATCTTTATAGACATAACTGCCTCACTACCTTCGAATCTACGCTAAGTTTCTAATATGAATTCCTAGGTGTTCTGTTTCTCCTCGGCCCAGTAAGGAATGTGGACGTTGTGCACCGGATATAGACGTTGTCATGACAGCAGGTCCACAAACTTGGGTGGGTGGGCGGCATAAATAACAATGAAATTTTATTATTTATTTCGTTGCTTTGGAAACCATTTACTTTCGTTAATTTCATTTTAAATTTACAAAATATACGTATTCCAACTGTAGGATATACAAGTAGATACGAAATCAAGCACTTTACAGACTGGAAATTCTGTATTTAGTGCTCAAAAAACAGACATTCAATAGTGGCTTTCGACTTTATGAACTTATAAATACTTTAATTTTAATTTCTCTTAAAACACACCATCATAAACTCTTACGAAATTCATCGATATTGGTTCTTACGTCATCGTCATGACAAATTTTGTTAATGTTGATAATAAATTTATAACAAGGCTTAAAGAAGATAAAAAGATACATGCATGAGAAAGACGACTTACCTTCGAAAGTGATTGCTTATCGAACGTTTGTTTAAAATATTTCAATTAAATTAATCATACAAGACTATACTCGTTGACAGTAAGATAAAATATGTATTTGATGTTTGCTATGAAAGATACATTAAATGTTTCCTTGTTTCGTTTTATGTTGCTATCAACAATATATTTGTGTAACATTTTTGATTTATCGTTATATTGCCCAACATTTTTTTTATAATGAAGAACAATGAAATAGCCGTTATCAAAAAATCTATGATAAAAAGTGCGTAAGTTGTAGTGAAATTTTAGCAAACGTAAATTTATAAGTATTTCAGTTTTCAAGTAACGAAGTCGACCAATGAGTATATCGTGCACTAGTACAGAAAAAATCGCTATAAACATTACTCACTAAGTATATAATAAATAATTGGTAATTATTTTTTTCATTGAAAACATTAACAATTTTTATCTGGCTTATTACCAATATTGCCCCCAATTTCAACTGCTTTTTTCAAACTCAGCGGTTAGTTCGACAGACTGCAAGGCACTATTGGGCAGCGGTAAATCCATGACCTCCACCAGACAGTACTATATTGGACAACAGTTAGCTCCATGGTCTCCAGACAGTGTTCTCTTCATTTGCATTACTTATTGAATTATTTTCAGCAGAGTTGCGATGAATGTTTTCAAGTCGCCAGGTAGAATTTGATGTATGATTGCAATGTTTTGGCTTAGCTTTATTACTATATGTTATTGTAGCAGTTGAAAATCCTGCTTCTTTTTTAAATTGCCCTAGAGATGTTAACTTTGATTGTTTAAAAGGATTGAATGCATGAGAAGTGGGTTGTATTGAGAGTTTATCATTTACCAATTCACTTGATTGAGGTATATGACTATATAATGACGTGTGTGGTTCATTTAGAATTGTCGAAGTTGTTGATGAATTGAAAAATATTTCTTTTGAAGACGAAGGTTCATTGGTGATAACTGTTGCAGGCATTTGGTACATTGGTAGATTGTATTGTTTTGTGTGTTGAATAGTTTGATGGTTACTGAATACAGCATGACAAGTGTTTGAGAGATGTGTAAGAAGTCTATTACGGACTTTAAGTTGTAAATCAGGTGTATCCATAAGATATTTGTTGATTTCCATAGCGCTGTGATTGAAACCTGCTCTGTAATGAGCCAAAGCAACAGGATCTGTTATGCTTGATGCTAAAGAAAAGGAAATTATACTAAACAGATAATCTCCAATGGATGTCTAGTTATGAAACAATTTGTGTCATCACTTATCTCTATCATTTTTTTATTTAACAAAGATCTTTCTATTGCCACGGATGTAAGCTGTTAAAATGTTCATGACAATAGAGGTCAAGTTCAAATGTTCTTTGTACTATGAACAATTATGTTTTTGCACAAAATTCTTTTGAGCATTTGCCCAATTGCCGGCTTTTGTTGTTGGTAAAAACGATTTTCGAAAAATGTCGTACTGGTGCCACTCCGACTGAATAAAAAAATATTTGAAAATTTCTTCGTTGTGGTAATTAATTATGTTGTGCAAGTGAAATAATAGAAAAGACAGTAATCTTGTTTTAATCTGTAAATTAAACTAATTAAAAGAAAATGTTTTTACCTTTTACTTGTTGCATTCGGATGGATTTTAAATACTGCACGGTCATTTCTAGTATGTCAGCTTTTTCTAACTTTGAGCAGCAAGCCGTCTAAATGTCATTTATAGCCATAAGTTAGTCTCACATGTTTTATTGAGTTGTTGGAGTTATTGTAGAAGGAAACTAAAACAAACGATTTTATGCAGAAATTTAGTGTCTAACAGCAGGCGATAAATTCTTTAACAAGTGCTTTGTCAACAATTTATGCATCTAACTGCTGCATAAATTACATTTGCCAAATGAAATTGTATACTTTGCAATAAGCTCAGCTTGAATTTTTTGATATTATGTTGATTTGTTTTTAAAGTACCATCCTATGAATTCCTTTTCATGAGAAGTAATTGGATTACGAGATTCATAAATTTAATTTTCGTGAGCCAAATTTTTCTTGACTGTCTTATCCCATCACAAATGTAGTTGACAATTTTTTTAATTATTCTTCTAGTAAAACGAAGATATGAAAGAAGAACAGTTTGGAGGCTATAAATCTATCTATTTAAAGAAATCCAACCGACTTAACGTTTCCTCTTCTATACAAACACAAGGTTGGTAATTGTTATATAAACCATTGGATAAGGTCATTGATTTAACTTCACTTACAAAATCAACATGGTACTAATCCTGCTGCATAAACACCGTAAATAAATAAAAAGATAAATCATTGATGAATCAATTTATGATCATCGCCAATGATCAGACATGTACAAAACTGAAGTAATCACGCATTGAATTTATCCATCTCACTCCATACAACCGTATTACTACAACATAACATAACTTACATCTCTTTTCCTTGATTCTAAAAGCAAATTTTTCAGTTCGTTCAAACTGTTATTTATTCTCTCGCGTCTTCTTTTTTCCATAACTGGTTTGGACGACTATAAATACAAAAATGCACGAATTTAAATACTTCAAGTATTGTGACAGAAATCTATTATATGTTATTGATTTCAAAAATCATCACTATCACTGAAATGCACCCCCCGGCCATTCAAAGCTTAAGCAATGTATATATATGAACGATTTACCATGGATGCATGTCATATATCTTTATAGTTTTTGTATCATTGTTGATTTTGTATTATTTAGGCTGTAAAGTATTTCATATAAAAGCAATCAATTATATGTAGTTACATAAAAATTATACGAATTGATAATTGGATATGTAGGTACTAGATTTTAATATTTCGCTTATTTGTGTCCTCAATATGAATCTTGTGTGCATAATTATAATGTCCTTAAGTGAGAAACGTGTTGAAAAAACTCCAATTATATAACATTATCTTACAAGTGCATGGCATGGACAATATTTAAAATTCTGAAAGTCTATCGTCAAGTGATAAAAATACTTTCAAAATGATAATTGGTAAAGTAATCGCACTTTTAAGTAAATATGATAGGATTCAAAGCGAGATACCAAAGAATATAACATTGTATAGTGTTTTTGAAATGTCGACAAAAAACTTTTTCGTCGTAAATTTCTGATTGTTTGTCGGTTTCTGTGCAATATACGTATTATATAGCTTTTCATAGATCGTATGAATAATATAAACACAAGTTATTTTGCAAGTAATTATATGCTAGCTTATTTCTATCCAAACGTGAACCCAAGCGATTTATCATTAACTATAACCCGATAATTTCATTTTTACTTTTCCTTCGTTTATGAAAACCTTTTTAAGTAATTTGTTTTAACATGAAAGTAACATACCATCATGTTCTTATGTTTTACCTTTCTTTTTGACGACATTGTATTGCGACGATTCATCTCGTCTGTCTTGTTCTTGTTCGCACCACTGACACCCATGACATTGTTGTCTCTGTGTATACAACAAATCGAGGCGTATATTTGACATGGAAAGTCTGTCTTTGTTTCCTCGCTTGTATCGCGCGCGCTTAAATGGTCACGGGAGCTTGCGCTCTCTATAACTGTACTTGTATAATCGTGGGAAAACGCGCGCTACTTGGACAACCTGGGCACGAGGACATGCACGAATTGCAGTGAGGCACGCGCTAGCGCAAGTCCTATGTCTTGTCTTCGCGTGCCATTGATGTGTTAGTTTTTTAAACTTTGGCATATTTGATATAAATGGTAATCTAAGTAGCTATGTGAACTTTATATTTTACTAAAAATAACCAACAAAGTTTTGCAACAAACTATGGTGTTTGTTTCATCGTTTGAACGGTTTTTGTACCAGGAGACCTTCTTGTAAACAGCAAACTGTTTATAACATGAAAATTATCATTCACTTTTTACATAAATATCATTTTGTTGCCATTGAATTGACGCTCTTTATACATCATACTTTTAATTGAACTCATCGTCGTTATTCTTTATTTATTAACTGATATGAACATATATTACCTGACTTAGTTTAGAAGCAATGTTATTTGTAGTCTCATGTTGTCTTTCACAAGTAACTTTATTAAATGCATATAGAATCAAATTCTGAACTATCTTGTTCAAACAGAAGAACAACATCTCTATAGTTTTACTATCGCTGACTTTTATGTTTTACTTTAAAGAAATGTACAACATTGAATCCTACTGAGATAATGATCTTCATTTTAGAACAAACATCTTACCGTGAACTGTACCAGAAGATCTGGCCAACTTAAAAACGCTGAAAATACAAATACATTCTTTAAAGATCTAAGGTAGCTTTCTTTTCTTTGTCGCTTTTTTAATTACACAAGTGATTTTGTAACACGTTTTGACCCGTTCCAGCCTAATAGCGCTAATAATGTTAAAACACGACGTTCTGATGCCTAATTATACAAAGGAAATATGTACATGTTTTGAAATTATTGCTTCAAGGCAATTTAAACTAAAAATACTTTTTTATTGTGCAAAAGAATTTTCCTTATGAAAGGTATTTGATGCTTGTGTTTTGTTAAAAAAAATTTAGTAAAGAATTGCTGTTTGCAACGTGAAATCATTTTATTAATAAGTTACTCCTGCGTCTCAGTATTTTTAAAGAAAATCGAAACTTCGTACATGTATCACTTGTTTAAATATACCATGAAAAACGATAGACTTTTGAAATGAGAATTTTGTACATGTCATGTTTATGTTGTCTATGATATGTGTCAGCAATGGATGTGATCTTAGCTGAGGAGAGGGGGGGTGTTTGATTTTTGATGGTCAACTTTAAATGTCAATATTTGCATTCCAATGTAGGCACATAACATAAATGTAAATGTCTCGCTTAAGTTAACAATTCATTCTGTGTTAAAATTGCTATCTTTTCGAATGTTGATTTTGTCGTGTAATCTTTGTCCAAACTTTATAAAGCCATCATTGTTCAGGAGAAATTCGATGATAAATTCGTTAGACATTAATGGCTGTAATTAAAAATTTAAAAGGAACAGGTCTGGGCATGTCTTGGTTTATGGTAGACATTTAAAATTTAGACATGCAATATTTGTATAGAAAATTGGACGAAAATATTTGACGCATGCGCACGCGTACATAAATGAACTAAAATTTTTATTTTATCAGCACGAATGTGTGTGTGTGTGTTTGCATGTCGGTGTTATACAAAAACTTTTATCAAATACTTGAAACAATTGCCCTTTATTGTATGCAGCCTCCAAACGCAGCAAAATGTAGTTATTTTATGTTTTTACTTTTAACCAATACCAAACATTGGCATAGATTAGCGCAAGGTGGGGTCGGGTGGAAAACTGAAAACTAACCAAATTTTTTAGTATTGTGTCTAGTGTTTTGCAAAAAGAAAGAAGATTGTGCCGTGATCAGTACGCTGTTTCGTGATATTAATTTGCGCAAAGTGTCTGATTTGAGCGCTCGCAATAAAAATTTAATGACTTTACTCATATGCACTCAAAGTACCATTGTCATTAAAGTGAAGTTATTTTGAGAGTTTGCTTATGTACTTTAGATTGGTTACTTTTTAGTGATGTTTTTATGATAAAACATTTTATTATGTTTCATTCGTTTATCGAATATTATTTTTAAAGCTTAACATATGCTGTGATATATTGCTTGTTGTAAGTTGGGGTGTTTTGTTCACATGACCTTATTACTAAAAGTTACATCTTTAACACAGAATCAAGTTCTTATAAAACTAACGTTTCAAAATTTTATTCTTATCAAATGAGAGATAACAACATAACTACGGTCGCAGTCTCATAGAAATTGGTGAAACATTTCAATAATATTCCATTTGTCTTTTTAGCAATTTGTTGTTTGCCTAAAGTTGAGATTTAAAGTCTGCGTATGTATTCAAAATAAATAGTTCCGCGTCATTCTTCTTCAAATGTTAATCGACCGGGACCATGATTTTTCATGAAACGTCTAAAGACAAGTACAAAGGAAGGTTAGATAAAATACATTTACAAGTGAATTGATCCTGTGTTAGTTTGGTTTTTTTTTACCTATAAGATTTGTATTTATTGTTTTGGGCCAATTTTTCTTTCATTTCCTCTTCTTTTTCTGTTTGATACTCCTGAAAATTAATGTCGTAATTAATAGCAATGAAATGTTAAATTGCAACAATTCCGTAAATGTCCGTAACCTTACCGTTAAATTTTCTGCGATCCATAATTCTCTTTCTATAAGTTCGCTCTTTTCATGTGAACCTAACATCTTTATGTAAAACAAATTTATTTAGTAAGACTTTGAACTAATGCATTAAGCATGCTTAAGAGAAAGCAGTTCTTATATAGTTTATCTTGTACGACTATGGTTTTAGTTTACCTCCCATTGTGATTGAGATAGTTTCAGTTGTTTCCTCGTTAAGTAAGATTTTTCGTCGTCGCCATATTCTTCACGTTTGATGTTGAATTTCCAAATCCAGCGAATTCTGAATACGATATACTGTGCCAAAAAATATGGACTGTACAGAAAAAATATACACATTGCAGTAAGTTAAGTTGACTTATTGGGGTGTATAAATTCTGACATTTTGCCAGCCATTTTTTATATATGTGTAGCTTTTAGATTTGTATGATGTAGCGTTGCTTACTATCACTAATTGAAAATGGATGACTTGATGTACAATTTAGTTTACCAAACAAATTTTTTAAGCACTGGAGAACTTTTAAAACAAATTTTTTGTTTACAGTCATTGGTTGTTCCCACTCATCAGTAATAAAAGTTTTCAAAGATATGATGCATAAAATTACATTTAATTTCATGTGATTCATTCAGCTATTCATAAATGTTTTTTTCTTACCTAAATATAATTTGTATCCATAGAACCTGAAGAAGTGACGGACGACTATAGCCTCCTCTGTTTATATGTAAGTAAAAAATGTGTTTATTTGAGTCTTTTATAAAGAAATGAATTGTATTTAAGGCATGCAAATTATAAATTCACCTTATGTCAACATTTTTCTCAACTACACCTCTCAATATATTATCTTCTTCTTCCTTTACTTCTTCCTTAAATCACAAGGAGTACATGAGTTTACAATAGGATACATCTCTACATAACATGAGATTTTTCTGTCTACTTTGGGTCTCTTCTTCTTTTTAATGCCATTCAATAAACCTTCTTGAATTGCAATGCTCATAGCCTACATGTGAAAAATTGTCAATAAAAAATCTTAAGCCAATGTTGGGATTATAAAGAATATTCTTTTCTGATGTTTTTTACTTTGTTTCTATACTTAGGCTCCTTAAGGGCATAGGATACTGCCTGGTTATACCGTTGCCAACCATGGAGATACTGGTTCATGTAATAAAAAGAAATAAAAAATGGTAAGGAATAAAAATTATCTTGCATAATTACTTTGAAAGGCCATGATCACATTAACCATGGTCAAATCAATTTGAAACTTGCAAAAAGTTTTTCTCACAAAATAACTTACCTGAAGAACGCTTACTACGGTAATTGTGATTGCAATTACAATGCGAACATCAACCTGAGGGGAAACTCGACGTTTGTAATATCTGTAGTAGTTATAATAAGCCTCCTCTACAATGTGAAACAATAAAAATCAAGCTAAAGTTCATGATAAATATATTGAGTCCTGCTCAACATAGGTATGTTTAGGGTAAGGTTTTGTATCATTTCGTGAAAACTCGCCACTAGGAAAAGCATTGAATGATTATGCATGCTTTGTTGTTATTTACTTACTTGTCTTTGTCATTTTCTAACGACAACTATTTTATTAAATATAGTCCTACTGTGAAAAGTATGTGGGCAATAGTACATTTAAACAAAGCCTTACCAAGCTGTTTATATTTCTTATTACCTGGATGATCTAACATATAGTCATAGTCCTTTCGTTGCTCGTCATCTTTCAATATCTGGATATTTGATAAGAAAATTGTTTATAACACAACATAACATAATTTTAAATATTATCACAAATTATGATATGCATCATCAAGATGTTTTCAATGATTAACCTCAACAGCTGTTGCAATCAAACGGAATTTCTCTTCTGCATCCACTCCCTGTTGAACAAAAATAAAAAGTAATAAACAAACCATCAATAAATTGTGAAACCCTTTTTACTACTTTTACATACTTTATACACATCAGGATGGTATTTCTTTGCTAGTTTTCTGTATGCCTTAGCAATTTCATTCTATAAATGCATAAAAGTTAAATGATTTAGATGTTTAGCAGTCATTTTGACATGTTATATTTTACAAGAATACCGGTAAAATACTTCAGTTTTCTAGCAGAAAGGAACTTAACTTATTAGCAAAATAATGTTTAAAGTAAATGGTTTGAACCTGGGAGTATCATTTCATGTTTGTAAATGTAGATCGTCCAGGTTGGTATAGTCCTGAGAAGAACTGTTTTGACTCTGAAGATGACTACCGCTAAGGCTGTCAAAACATCAGTCAACAACAACAAAAACAGTCCTTCTCAGGACTTTATTAACTTGGACGATCTACATTTACAAATTAATGTTTGTTAATAAATATTAGCAAAATTTGTGTTTTTGCTTTATATGATTTAGTAGAGCATAAAATTAAGTGAAAAGTGAATACAGTGATGTAATACACATATTTTACTGTAAGAAACAATGTAAGGTACAAAGTAAGGAAAAGTCAATATGTAAGAAAGTGTTTGTTAAAATCTGAAATCAATATTTGTCTGCTATTCATTGATTTGAAATCAAATGAAAATATGAGCTAATTGGTTTTACAAAATGGCTTAGTTGCATTTTTGAACCTTTTTGGCATCTCTTTTCACTCCAAGAACTAAAAAGGAAGAAATAAGAGATAGCAAAACTTAGTTTCCCAAGTGAAACTTTTTCAATTTACTCATTCTCTTTAAATCGCGCGCGATTTGAGGAGATTTTGCGAGACAACAGGGAAATTAAACAATTCTATTGGCTTATCACAACGGTAAATAAGATTCGTGCGGGATTTATATTGCAAATAATAATACGAAAAGCAGGAAAGCATTCAAAGCAACGTGTACTTAACATGAATTTATAATTAGTTTAAATCCTGACTCTGCCTTCATTTTCAACATGTTGAATTTAATTTTTTAACCCACCGTCATAACAGTTTTCATTTCCACAGTATAATCCGTCAAAAAAAGCAGAAGCTATATTAAGTATCGACAAAAATACTAATACGCTGAGGCATTGGTCCTTTCGCGATCTCATCTTGAAGTTGTCTGTAAGAGATACGCGCCCGCATTGAGAGTCAGTCAGAGGTAAAAGTACTTCATTAAGTATGTCAATGTAATTGCCAAATCACACATTCTTCATTGATTCCCATATCATGGAGGACGCCACGAAATTGAGTTTCTGATACAGTACAGGTAAAGCATGAAGGTGGACATAAAGGTAGACATAAAGATAGACACTAAGGTAGACATAAAAGAATTGTAACGGTAATTATAATTTTAATCCATAGAAAGCGTTAAATTAAATATTGTGCAAATTTAGCATTGAATCATCACTAAAGATTCTTACAAATTTAAGAATTATGGAAAACACAGACAGACAATGAATCATTAACAAATAAAAATAAAATTTAAGGAGAAACTAATTTACAATAAAACATTTGAGCATTTAGGAATGAAAAGTGATAATGCAGTTTAATGAAGCAAGTCAAACGTTGTAACCTCATAAATTTATATAAAAGAATGATAGTTAGCCAATGAAGTTGACTTAAAACATACACCTTTTGAATAATTTAATGAAAAACATGTGTTTGTGAATCGAAAAGCATGTATTGGATACAATGTTTAGATTGGATGGTTCACATATTTCTTTTTTATAATAAGTAGTAGTTAACCTTTTCATTTGTGTTTATTTATAGATGTCAAAGTTCAGTTTGGTGTTTTATGTTTACAAATGAGTTGTTTACTTTAGTGTTTGAATATTTTGAATTTTTGTTGTTGAAAGGGAAGAGTTGGAGTGACAAGTTGTGCATCAGCAGTTTTTGGTTACACAAAATTTTTAATTACGATCATGTAAAAGTGGTTGAAATGATTGGAATTGTTGGATGTTTGTGTATAGCTATCTAAAATAACTATTCATTAACAATTCATTTAGAGCTGCAGTATATATAGACAGAATTGTACTATTCATAGATCAAAGCTGTGCAAGTCATATGATTTTTATGTGTATATAAAATCGTGTCAGGATTAAGATGTTTATTCTCTGATAATGGCTTTGGAATAAAGCTGTAGTTTAGGAAAGGGTTTATTTTCGTGATTTCTAAAACGTAATTAGACAGGCTCAGTTGATGTGGATTTTATACTGTTGTTTAAAGATGCATTGTTCTCAATTTTGAAGTAAAAATGTTGAGAAGGGAGAAGTTATAGAAAAGTGAGATTGAAAAGTGGAGTGTGTTTTTTGTATTACATTATGATAGATATAATTATGGGACATGCAGTTTGCATGTCAGAAAATTAAATTTTAGGTCATATGTAAACAAAAAATAAAAGTATTAAGATGGTATATTAAATAGAAGAGATGTATTGCTACTTAGGTATTCTAAACGATGGTATAAAGTATTGTTTGCAGAATTTGATGAATTTTCATGTCTTGCTAAATGACGTATGTAACATGTGACGAATTTTGACCAATAGCATTTGATGTTGGTTTGAATAGTTTACCGTTTCTTTCACGCATGATTTTAGAAAGAATTCTTGCCGTTAGGTAGGGCCAACACAGTCTTATTCAGAAAGATTATGAAAAATATTACGGTTTATTGGGGGGTTTGTCTTTTTATAAAATAGTTTGAAGATGTTTGTAAGTAGGGAAGAGATTTTGTAACCCCCCTTTAAAGAATTTTAGATGTTTGTTTAAACAAATGTGTGTTTTGTGCGAATGATTTACAATGTGAAACTAGAAGTAATTATTCATCGTAATTATTTAAAAGAAATAAAGATGTTTGTGGTATTTGTAGATGTTTGTGGTCATGTTTAGTCGCAAATTTGCAATAATCATTGTAAAAATTGCAGGAAGCTAAGCAAAACAAATTTTTTGTTTGTACAAATATCATTGATATATAACAAATGTGTAATTTCTATTATGGCAACTATGTGATGTCGCCAAAAAAACTCTCATTTTTTCAAGGAGCAGAATAGAGCAAAATAGAGAATGTTGCTTCAAACAAGCAATCCTGAATATTCAAAATCTACCTTAAATAATTTGTGATGAAGCAATAGTTATGGGTAAACAATTATGTCTAATCTGGTGTAATGTCTGTTACTTTCATAATTATGCTAATTATTGAAAAATGAGTAAACTCTTGAGTACCATATTTACATGGTGGTATTTAGGGAGCCTTGGTGAGTCATGCTTGTCAAATTTCATATTATTTTAAATAAAAATTGCTCAGTCATTAAAATGTTTATATGGAATTAACATGAATTGTCCTTTAGCTTGGATTGTATTATGATGGGTTTGATATTATGTCAGAATTTTTACTGCTTACCACTGTAAGTTTTTTGTTAGTATTAGGAGCTTTTTGAAAATGTACTTCACTAAGGACTAATCACACTAGATTTTGCTTGTTTGGTATATTACTAATTTGTAGGAAACTTAACACCCACCCCATTTTACTAACAGCCCTCTACCGCTCTAACAAAGGATAGGAGAGTTACACATCCTGCACAATTTCCAGCAAATCCAGCAGTCATTTTTATTGAAATTGTGTAGCCAAATATATATATCCAAAATTTCATAGCAGCATGATTGAAATGAGACAATTAACATAAACAACAACTTTTTTTAATTTTTTTAATGCATACTTGTTTCGGCAAACTTATGCTATCTTCGGTGCAGTATAATTAATGAAATATTTACAATGTGGTTAACAAATTCTCTTATGTGGGATGCAATTCCTATAACACCTCTTCACACGAATTAAAGAACATACTGCTTCTGATAAAAACTCTCACATATTCAAAAACTCCTCTCATCACCTCACTGCAAATCTAAATACTCACAATCTTGCTTTTGTACATTAGACAGTGCCCACACTCCTTCTTTAAAACTAAAAGAAGCACTGTACATCAAAAAACTTAAGCCTAATCTTATTATACAAATTCAGCATGTCAATGCTATCTTTAATTGGTAAATTAACTTAATACCCCTAATCACAAGAATATTGTAAATAACTTCCGCATCCCTCTCTTTTGTCTATAAATACATCGTGTATCATATTTCATAATAAATTAACTCTATGTATATATTTCATTTATTATACTGCACCGAAGATTTACATAAGTTTGCCAAAACATGTATGCATTAAAAAATTTAAATATATATGTATATAAGATAATATGAAACTTAATAACATGTCACATCTTCATTTCAAGCAGTAAAACACCAAAATTCATTAATATTTTCAGGAAATGGGGAAGCTTTAAATCTATAATAAATAAGCATTAATATTTTTCCTTTTTTATCAAATCATCATTCTTTCCTACCTTGTATAACAGAAGATTCTGCAGTTGCAAAAGGTTCATGTTACATTCAATTTTTAAGATCGGACGTTGACGGAAAACCTCGGACGAACTCGATAATTACCGGAATAGCTCGGCAATTATCGGGAAAATTTGGGATAAGATAAATCAGAAATGAGCGTAAAACATCGGATTGTCTTGAAAATCGACAAATTTTGAAATTCAAATCACTTTCAAAAGAAATCAGTAGGGCACGACGGAATATATGAATATGCACCCCAATTAACGTTCTAGTTACGCCTCTTAGAATATATTTCTAAAAATAATAAAAATGTGATAAGATTGGATGTATACACTTTAACAATTATTTAAAATATATCTCTAGTCGACAAAAGCTATCTCTCGTCGATCAACGCTATAAATCAATTTTTCATAAATATCACGAAATCAATCAAACTTAATGTAACAATCAATAAACAACGCGAGAAACATGACACGTAGAGCATCCGGGATGTTTATGAAGTTAATTTCAAAAGAAAACGCTCCATCTCAAAAACTAGATTTTTGAATATACAACAAAACTAAAGTTATAGCCTGTTTTACGTTCGTCAAAACTCAATCCCATTCCTCCCCACATTACTAATCACCCTCTAAAAAGAAATTCTGGAGGATGATATCTTGAATTTCATTATTTAGATTTTTCTCCATAGTTCAGTTCGGCACCGCCACTCAGAGGAAGATCAATTCCAGTACAAAATGTGCCTTCGGAAGCAAGATAAACACAACACTTTCCCATTTCTTCCAAAGTTCCCATACGACCCAATAACTGGAAAAAAACCAAAGTGTGTTTACTGTTTGCCAAATTTGATATTCATGACTAAATGCAGAATTTTGGTTGAAATTGTGAGCAAAATGAGTTGCTTCCAGTTTTTGATAAATGACGCAAAGTTGAATTAAAGAAGGATAACTGGATAGTTTATAGAAGGATAATTTATATACTGCTATAGCAGGGGTCTCCAAACTACGGCCCGTTGGGCCTCTCAATCCGGCCCGCAGAGGCACTTAAGAAAAAATAATATTATTATTAAACAAAATAAACTTTGTGCAGAAAGTTCACGTTATGTCGCAAGCCAACTAGCAAGAGTGGCTTACGTCAATTTTTCTCCCAACTTCCTACTTCCGTTTCAAGCACATTGTGAAATTTAAAAAGCTGAAGGATAACGTGGAAATTTTTATATTCTTCGGCCCTCAACATGCTGGATGAAAGTTCATGTGGCCCTCTGGCTGTAAAGTTTGGAGATCCCTGTGCTATAGTATATAAATCCAGCGTGTTCATGACACATGGAAAATACATTTTTCATCTCATACCTGTGCTTTTTCTCCGGCTGTTATTGCAGCTTCTTTATCTGATTGTTCAGATGCCAATTTTTCCCACAGTGGAGTCCAAACATTTCCAGGTGATACACTGGGAAAACATAATGTTAAATATCTATAAAATCGTATTACATTCAAGGTTTTTTCTATAACGCAATCAAAATGACGCAGTTTGCTCTCAACTACTAGTTACCAGTTCACTCGCACTTCGTGTTTTGCTTCATCGACAGCGAGAGCCCGAGTCATAGACGCAATTGCTCCCTATAAGTAAGTGAAAACGCAAAGATGAAAAATGAAATAAATAATTTTTTTGAACAGCAAAGACACAACTAACTTAACTTTATTCTGTAATAAATTGCGATTGTGCTTAACATTACGTAATTACGTTACAGTGTGTAGATGAAAATCTTGCTACGTAAAACATGCCGATTGTACAACCAATTAAATTAAACGAAGTTCTCGTCTGCATATCTGATAGATGCCATAATTTGTGTCGTCGAGAACGTTCAATATACGTCACAAGGTAAATTCTAATGGAGGTGAATAACAAAAAATCCACTTCAAAACAGTTTACTATACATGCGAGGATTGATAGCTAATGTCTATCCTTGAGTGTACTGTTTTTAATTCTTGTAAATATAGCCAAGAAAGAAATCCGAACTTTGTTCCGAAATTCCATTTAGAGATTTCAGTAACCATCACATCAACTTAGTTGCACAGTATGCTACAGCATCTTCTAGACCAAACATCAACTTAGTTGCACAGTATGCTACAGCATCTTCTAGACCAATCATTACCTTAGTTGCACAGTATGCTACAGCACCTTCTTGACCAATCATTGACACTAAACTTGAAATGTTAATGATATTTCCCTTTGATTGACGAAGATAAGGAAGGGTCATCTAAATAATGACGAAAACTGTTTGATTTCGTCCATCTGAACTCGTTTTTGTCTTGACATCCTGTGATATGGTAATTTTTATTTAATTTAAAATACAAGATATACCTTGCATAAAAGAAAATAACTGACAACGTTAAGGTTGAATAAAGACGCGAAGTCTTCAGCGCTTGTATCATCAATTGTTTTATAAGATGGATCTTTGCAATTAAATAAATATACATGGATTAAAATTTAAAACGAACTTAAACAACAGCATAAAGTAATCATGACAACACAGTGAGCACTTACGCCATCCGGCGTTATTGATCACGCAATCAATTTTTCCATATTTTTCAACAGTTCTATGAACAAGATTCTAAGAAAGATTTGCAAAACATGTTGAAAGGTGAAACTCAGGGCTACACAGCTGTAGAGATTACAGTGATTGAACCTTTAAATTTTCTTCCTTTTGAACGTCACATTTAACAAAGAATGACTCTCCTGGTCCAACTTTGTTAATTTCTGTTTCTAAAACCTTTCCATCAGCCTCTGCAATTTTATTCAACATGAGAATTTTTCATTATTCTACAAGACAATGGAGATTGTAGTCATGGTGATATTGACTAATGTGCACTTTAAAGTTCTAATAAAACCAAATTTTAATACACAGTTTGTGGTGTCACAAATGTGATGTCACAGTGATTCTTTGCATAATAAATAAAGTAAAATATCTCAAGAAAGAAGTAAAAAAAAACAAATCTATTCATGAAGTTATTAAGGCATTTAAAATGTTCTTTGCAATACACTGAGTATGTATTTAATGAATTTAGTATGTATTTAGGGTTAAAAATGATGCCATTAACATACCCTTGCGTGCACAAAAAACAACTTTTGATCCTTCATTTACTACAAAAAAGAGCCATTCAAAGTTAAGTAAGGTGGTTAGCAAACAAATATCTAATAAAAAGCCCTCGTGGTTAAACTGACATAAGCATGTTCAAGTCTATGAATAACAGATCAGAATTGTCATGTTAGTTTATAGTTCAACCTGCCAGTTGAAGTTATGTGGTAAAATATTTATTTTAGGGTATCATAATGAAGAAATAATTTATAAATAAATATTTCTTATAACAAACAACTACATATAGAAAATTTTTTAATTTTTTAAACCATATAATGATATTTGTATTTAACATGTGCATCAATATTGTCAATGACTTTGATAATTTTAAATATTGTCTGAGGAAAAACTCTTTGGAAATAATCTCTCTTTAAGTCATGATTTAAAAGCACATTTAAGCTGCTCAAGATGAACACAAAATGTACTTTTTACTCTCACAACTATTGAATAAAGGAAAATAACAAGCAGTTTTGTATGAGGTAACTTTAATTACATAACTTTAATGGAAAATTAAATCAACAAAATACGAAACCCCAGGAGAGTTAGTTATTTAATTACATGTGATGTAACGAGTGACTCAAAGCTTACATCACGATGTTTCTAAAACAAAAAAATTCATGAAAAAAAATTCTGTTTAAAGACGTATGACATTAAAGGTTGAAACATATAACGCCTTATTTCTTGAGCACTTCCTTATTTCATTGGAACAAGAAATGTTCATAACTAGAGTGTCATATGATAATGGAGAAATCATGCTGAATATAGATTATTGCTAAATATAATACTCACCAAATTCTCGTACAATTCCTTCACCAATACCTTTTGACCCTCCCGTGACTATAACAACTTTGTTTTTGTAACGCAATCTTTCCGTCGCCATTGCAGGCAGTAGATTGTAGATATACGTGAATAATACGTGTTTGTCGACTAATGAAAGGGAAAGAAATAAAGAAGCACTGAAGCAGTTGCAATATGTCTTTGTTTTCTATTTATGCATTCAAATTAGAAGCAAAACAAATTTGGACGCAGATCAACTGTTGCATATGATTCTTGGTCAACGTTTCGATGATACTGAATATTTAGAAATTGGCGTATCTTGCATTTAAGCATGACATAATGATAAAATGATGAAGTAATGTTTACTATTTTGAAACCATTCATTGGATGCTTTGTACAAGTTTTTTTATACAGGTTTTTGACAAATTGTTGCACGTGTCACACTCTCACTTAGCACGTGTTAAAACGTTACATTCATATTTTTTATTAATAAACTTAATTGGTATATATTTGAAAACTGAATTTTACATGTCTATGCTTACAGTCAACTAGTTAGTCCCAAAAAAGGTTTCGAGTGTTTCAAGGTGGATCAGATTTGTGGTACATTTTGAATTTGGGATGTATGCTGTTGTTGTCGACATAAATTAGCATAAAATTATTGCCTGTTCTATTAAAAGTATCCAAAATAACTCGCCTTTGTTTGACACTTGTTTGACACAATATTTAATTATCAAACTTGACACTTAATCCACCTGAATTCCAAAGAATTTGAAAATTAGAATTTTGTTGCGACCGTACACTCTCCACTGAATGACATATCATTTCTTCTGAAGACTTCGAATCATCAAATTCATTTATCATTTAAGTCGTTGTAATGGTCGTTCTGAATGTTTTACGAAGACAACTAAGGGAGTCGATTCATGGTGGCTGAAAGGAAGGTGTAAATAATAGATTAGATCATTAGAAGAATAACTGAATAAGAAAAATTTTACTTGGTTCTTGTAAAACAAAGTGAAGTCCCCCCCTGCACAAAATCGTTTCGATGACGTTGCTAGGTAACTAGCTCCATTTAATGATCGTATAAACAACATCACAATTTGGGAAGAAATTTGGATTTTTTCTTTAAAATGTTTATAAAAAATAGGGGAAACGTGTTCAAATTAATTTGTGTTGAATTTTGATTCGATACTGTATAAAATATTTTCCTACATTATCGAGGTTAGAGGTATGATAAAATATAAATCTTTCGAAATAAATGGCATTCTAATTCAAGCGTCAGGAAATTTTGGTTATATCGATTCATCACTGCGAGAAAAATTGATGAATCACTATATAAACGTTTGATAACTGCATAAGGTACTGTTGAGAATAAAATTCTCCCACAGGGCAATTTATTTTTGAGTTTGTGCTCGTGTAGTAATCTTCTTCATTGTTGAAATGTTATGATAAACGCATTATTTCTTCTATGTTTTAACCATCGTAATAGATTACTTGCCTTGTTGCGTTTATTATTCCAAAGATATGTTAAGCATTGTTGCTAGTGTTGTCCAAAAAGACTTGACCAAATAAGCCTGCCAACAGACGTAAAATGGGCAAGTCGTCTATTGTTGTAGTCTAAAAGGACATTGAAGCCACATCTGTGTCTAGAAATAAAAGAGTTATGTATAATTTTTATGTAGGGTTTAAGCATTTGGGATGGGACACATCAACCGTACATGTTTCAATTTATCATCTGACTTGTGATTGAAGGAGTACAGTATCTTAAACATGGCTGAGGCAGTAAAAGTCATAGTGAGATGTCGGCCACTAAATAAAAGAGAGAAGGATCTGAATTGTCAAACTGTTGTACAAATAGATTCATCCATTGGACAATGTCAACTTTTTAAACCAGGTAACACTGTGATTGCATAGAAAGAGAGTGAAGTCAATTTCAAAGTTTTTGGAAAGTTTCATACAACTAGTCTATTCCTAAATTGGTGCATGATTATTGATCAAACATGACATTTGGTCATTTGAATTTCATAGTACAGCCTATGTGAACTAGTATCTTTGTTTTCTACCATGCAAAAAACCTTAAGACTTCCATTCCTTCTCTTCTTAAGGAGTGATCTGATGTTAACACCTAACTCTCCATATACAATGAAATATAGTGTAGGTTATTTGTTATATTTTTAAAATAAGGTGAGAAAGAGCAACCACCAAAATCATTCACATTTGATGGAGCTTATGAAACAGACTCAACAACGCAAACAATCTACAATGACATTTGTTTTCCACTTGTGGAGGGTGTTTGTGAAGGTTACAATGGTACCGTATTTGCTTATGGTCAGACAGGTTGTGGGAAAAGTTTTAGCATGATGGGCATCTCTGATCCAATGACCCAACGTGGCATTATACCACGTGCATTTGAACATATCTTTGAGACAATTGATGTCTCAGAAAATACAAAGTTCTTGGTTCATGCATCCTATCTTGAAATTTATAATGAAGACATTCGTGATCTTTTGGGGAAAAATAATAAAGTAATCATGTCATTGACAATTGATGTTATTTGAATATTCTATAATATTTATATTTTAATATGAGATGTGTTTTTTATATGTCTTTTAAATTTATTTTCCTCACATTACAGACAAGACTGGAGTTAAAGGAACATCCTGATTTGGGTGTTTATGTGAAAGATCTCACAATGGTACCAGTTCACAGTGTTGTTGATTGTGAAAAAGTTATGGCAATGGGCCATAAAAACCGCTCGGTAATATCCATTTCAGTTTAATAGTTGTTTTCAAACATTGAAGATTAAATAATATTTATTCTATTTGCATTATACCTGTATAATAAACCATTAAATGAGAAGAGATTATGTTTATTTTGTAGGTTGGTTCTACACTTATGAATGCTGATTCTTCACGATCACATTCAATATTTACAATAAAACTTGAGATGGAAGACAGAAATTTGAATGGGGAAGAACATATTAGAGTTGGAAAATTAAATCTTGTTGATTTAGCAGGTAGCGAACGTCAGGCAAAGACTGGAGCCACTGGAGACCGATTGAAAGAAGCTACAAAAATTAATTTATCACTTTCTGCTCTTGGAAATGTTATTTCGGCACTTGTAGATGGAAAATCCAAACACATACCTTATAGAGATTCAAAACTTACTCGTTTACTTCAGGTTAGTTTAAGTATTTCCATAGAAAAATAAATATTTGAAAAACACTCATATAGACATTTTCCTTTTATTAAGTTATTTGAAATCTGTTTCACTAAATTCATGTTTCACTTAAAAACTCTAAAAAGATGCTAAATTTATATGCATTGATCAATAGGATTCTTTAGGTGGAAATACAAAGACGTTAATGGTGGCTTGTTTGAGTCCAGCCGATAATAATTACGACGAAACTTTAAGTACTTTACGGTATGCAAACAGAGCGAAAAACATAAAAAATAAACCAAAAATAAACGAGGATCCAAAAGACGCTTTGTTGAGAGAGTATAAAGAAGAGATTGAGAAACTGAAACAAATGCTCATGGGACAGTCGACTACACCTACGAAGTTGTCGGGTTAGTTTTATAGCTGTAGTCTATGTATGGTACAGCTGTAGTCTATGTATGGTACAGCTGTAATCTATGTATAGTACAGCTGTAGTCTATGTATAGTACAGCTGTAGTCTATGTATGGTACAGCTGTAGTCTATGTATAGTACAGCTGTAGTCTATGTATGGTACAGCTGTAGTCTATGTATGGTACAGCTGTAGTCTATGTATAGTACAGCTGTAGTCTATGTATGGTACAGCTGTAGTCTATGTATGGTACAGCTGTAGTCTATGTATGGTACAGCTGTAGTCTATGTATGGTACAGCTGTAGTCTATGTACGGTACAGTTCTAGGTTATAAAACTATAAAACATCTTCACTAGACCACGAAATTTGAAGTGTCATGTTACTCATGTAGGTAGTGATGAATGAACAACAGAGAACAGTCTTTACACTACCTAAAATATAAACTAAGATAACGTGTGTCAGTGTAGTTAGTGATGAATCATGAATGACCAACAGTGCACGACAGCAGTCTTCTGCGATTAAAAACATAGGACGGTTTGTGCTAATTGTCTCAACTCCTACTTTTTGTTAAATCTATAGTCGTGTCTGGTAAAACTGAGGAAAGTTTTGTTCAAGAGAAGCTAACAGAAGAAACATCCAGGATTAAAAATGAATACGAGGAAAAATTATCTGCGATGAAAAAGATGTTTGAAAAAGAACAATCAAGTAAGGAAAATTTAATGGATGAAATGACAAGATTGAAGGCAGAATATGACCAGAAATTGAACTCAGTTGAGTGCCAGTATTCTTTTCCGGTAAGAAATTTGTTGAGTTTTTTTTTCAAACCTAACAACGCCTATTACCTCTCTACGTTGGTTTTGTTAAGTTTTCCATCGTCATCTTTTAACTTTTGTCTACTAGAGTGCAATCTATGTGGTATAACAATAATGTATACCAAATTAATCTACATGTTTTATGTCGTTGAGATTTTTTAACCGCTTCTAATTTAGTAGGAAATTTTTGTTGTAAAAGTACGCTTTTTTTGTTTTGTGTTTCAAAAGCCTGCCACCAAAAACAGCGAAGAAAACCTTGAAACAAGTCGCGTTCCAAACTCATCACCAATCTCTCAGAATGGCGTGGACGTTAGTGAGGCTGGGACCTCTCTACAATTGCATCATGAAGCTCTTGCAAGATTACACAATCTTCAACAACAAATTGTGGGAGGTGAACGCAAGGATGACAGTCAACTTAAGGAAAAACATAAAAAACGAAAGGATCATGTTTTTTCTCGTAAAGAAAAACTAGTAAACGCTTTAAAAACACTTAACAACAGTGATCAAATGGTAAAACAATATTTTTTTTGTATTTTTACGGTGATCTTTCATTTATCACTTTGCCAATGTTATAACCTGTATAATTTGTAGGTTATCAAAGTTTATGACTCCTTGCAAGATGAAATCAAAGCAAAAAACAAGAAAATAAAAAGCCTTTACGACGAACTTAAGCTAGCTAAAGATGAGGTGGAAGATCTTCACGTCGAGTTTGAACGTGATCGCGAAGATTATTTGGAAACAATTCGCAAACAAGAACAAAAAATGGCCCTTCAAAAGGCAATCTTGGATAAAATTCAACCTTTAATACGAAGGGACTGCAACTACTTTAATGTTGATCGTGTGATGGTTGAGTCAAAATGGGACGAGGATGAACAACAGTGGATTGTTCCCGATGTTGCGATTGAACGTACGACATTACCTATGGCAGGTGTTGGGAATGTCACTCCGCTATCCCGTAAATTAAAGACAGGATCATCTCCACCTTGCAACAATTACGCAAATGAGGAAGATAAATTTTTACAGCATTTAAATCGGACGGAAAGCAGTGAAATTGCGGCGTCATATTTTGCCCCAAAACGCGCAAATCGTCTTCTAGAGACACAGAATCATCATCGACAGGACAATCATGAAATAACCTTACGACATTCAAGCATTTCCTATCATGAAGCTATTCCTCCTATGGAAACTTATTCCACGACAAACATGAGACCTGTGCGTCTGGAATCTTTAAATCCATATATGATAAATGGGAAAAAAAACAAAAAGAAGAAGCAAGCTGATGGGTTTTAAGCAAGTTGTTTGCACTAACTAATCAACTCAGTTTAGCTCATGAAATTAGCTCAGTAGCTTGAATCAATTTGTTGCATCTATGCTCTTCAAAATGATAAATAAATTTCACATATAAAAAACGCTCACCAGCACAGCACAAGTTTTATCTTTTACAAAATCAAAATATCAATCATATTTAAAAGAAAATTCATGTGTTTTTGACTTCATATACAACTACACACGTTCAGCCATTTAATGTGATTCCATTGAACTAAAATACATGGAATGCTACCTGTAATAGAAAAGCCTGATAATTTTTTTTAAAGCCAAATTTAACACCCAGACCTGTGTGTGTAGATCAATCAATTTTCACTCGGTGAGAGAATCTTGAAACACTAAACACACATGTCTGGGGGTAAGATTTGGCTTCAATTATTTGCTTCAGGTAGCGTTCCATGTATATTACCTGGTTCAATATGATTCAACCTCATTGGTTATTGGTCATAGTTCTCTTTCTAAAATTCCTTTTTTGTTTACATTGTTTAACCTTGTCAGGAAAGCAATAAAATTTATTTCTCTCTCTGGTCTCTTGGTCCAAATCTTCCATACTCATAGGTCCATTACCTTGTTTAGGACTTTTACCACAATCTTTAGACATCCTTAAAGTTGGTAGCGGAGCACCACCAACCACATATTCACTCATAACATACAAGTTACCTTTCCATTTACCTGATTTATCAGATAAAGCATTGACTCCAATCTTGGGCTCTGGTTTCTTGAACACAAATTTGCTGTCTTCATCGACGTTACAGTCAACAGCTTTTGGTTCAAGGCTGCAAGATTTCATATTTGTACTACATGGAGTTGAGTCCACTGACGATTTATTGGGATTCTGTGCAGGTTTATCACAAGCTTCAACCAATTTTCGCTTCCTTAACGACGACAAAAAAGATAGTGCAGCATGTCTGTTTAAACTGTGTTCATCCATATCTTGAAAATTCTCGGTTCCATCATTTTTCAAGCTGTATTTCGTCCATTTTTCAGGTGACAAAATGTGTCCTGGTGTGGTGGCTGTTAAACGTTTCAAACGACGGCCTTTTGTTTTACAATCCCTTTCGGGTTTCATCTCAAGCCTACCATGTGCAGTAGTCTTTCCATATTTGTTAATTTTGGGTTCCAAGGTATTCAGCTGCCCAAATATTAAATTAGAGCGGTTTTGAAACAATAAATCTTCGTTATTTAAACACATAAAATCACTTTTCCAATCTGCCATCTTGGAATCATTTGGTGGCTTGATTTCATTGGCTGATGAGATTCTGGACATTTTGACATTGTTATTGTTTTTTCGAGCTTTGATTGGCTAAAATATTAAATAATTTATTCCAGATTTTGATCCCACAGCTGATACTCCCATTTTCCCACATCTTTCTTTTTAGAAGGTTTAACCAAAGGTGTAGTATCATGCCTTCTGATTTGTATGTACTCACTTATTGAGAAACAATAGATTTCTAAAGAAACGAAAGATGATAATGTATCGAATTAACAAAACAGAAATAAAACTATGTATTCGCTAGTTTTTACACATGGATAGTCTGGGACTCTGGGATCTATTAGGTGAATGGTGAGATCAGTGGGTGGATATAGAAGTATACGGCATATGGTTGAGACAGTGAGCAAAGAACCAAAAGAACATAAACGTTTAATTTATTTAGATAAAATGAAATTGACACTAAAATGACTAAATTGACAAGTTCTAGTGAACAATATTTCCCGACACGTGTCCTGTTGTTCACATGTGTTTTAGTACAAACTAAAACCGTTCAAACTCGCCTGTGTCAAAAAAAAGGGTTGGCTGGTTCTCTCCTGTTGCTTCCTGTAAAAAAATTATGACATTATAACATGTAAACGTTTCACAAGATTACCATACAAACTTAGCAATGACCTCGTCGGATTTGAGAAACGTAATCTTATTATGAGCATTAGAGCCCAACTTATTACAATAATAGGAATTGCCATTGAAAAATATATAATATAATAATTTAATGAGAGAATTTTAGTGTCAAGAAAAATACCGATCAATAAAATTCTCTAACGTCAATAAAATTCTCTCGTTAAATTATTACATTACATTTTACAATGGCAATTTATATTATTGCAATAAGCTGGGCTCCAATGTTCATAATAAGTATTGAGCACGACAAAAGCTTTTCTATAATTTGTGGCTGATTCCCACACGAATGAATTACAAGCTTTTGACTTCCCTTCTAATTTATTCGTTGACGGAACAAGTTGAATAAAGTTGGCCAGGTGGGAGAAAAAGAACAACTCTCCTAGCTATGGTTCGTTGATTTGAGGTTTCGGATGAAATAAATTCTTGTTCATACAAGAAATTACCACCACAAGACATACTCTGTCTTCCTTGATAATTCTTACAATCATTGATTTCCCAAACTCTTCACTGAGAAAAGAAAAGAAAATTTCTTTTGTTTTCTCCAAACCTCTGGAGAAAAGGCTTTGCTTCCTTTTACTAGCCAGTGTAGTTAGCCAACTTAAAACCAGACTTAATTCCTTTTCTCTTTGCTCTGCATATATTTTCATACAATCAATGAATTTAATCCTTTTTATCATGGTTTGAACAAAATTGACGTCAAAACAAATGAACTAATAAATTAATTTGTGTGATATATGAAAGTTATCAGAATAAAAACTACGGTCTTTCGCTTCGATAAACGTATTTGACAGAACTTTTCGTCTGCTGAAGGTCGGTTGTGTAAGTTAAAGACAGTCTTTAAGAAATACAACTACTTGCTGCAAATTTCACCTCGAAAACAGATGATTAAAATATGTGAGCCGTTGAGAATAGCAAAAAATTAAGAGAAAAACGAAGGCTGTGAGGCGAGTAATACCACAAGAACTCTTATCAATGGAAAAGACGAGTAAACTATTTTACCCATGTTTGAAAGCAACAGATTAAATACAGAAAAATCGTTGAAGACATAAAGGTAGTCTACGATTGATGAATTTACATGTATTACCCAGTTTTGATGGGCATTCGCGATACAGCATATTCTTGACTTGCAACTATTCTCCTGAGATTTACGAAACAATGTTGCTCTCCTACGTCGGCTGGTGCCAACAGCAACACTGATAAAATATTCTTTCTATCATACCACAAACATGGCTGAATTGTAAGTCAAGAATTCAAAGCTTCGTTAAGAATCCTATTTGTTCAAAGGAATGATCAATTTCGTTGGTTTCTTGGTATTTCTATGTTTCGATCTTGGACCACAAAGTTGTCGTCAAGATTCAGGTATATATTGAAGTGAGAACACGAAACTGTGAAAAGTTTCCCACTGTTCTCGACATCAATTATTGGACCTCTATCAATATATGTCCAGAAAATATTTTTATTTTGCATTTCTCGTTATCATTTACATATGTGTGATGATTTTGCATTTTGCTATTTCTAACAACTGGCCAATGTTACAAATAGCAATTTCCATCCTTTAATCTTTGTAACTAAAGGATATAATGTATATTATATACCTAAAATATATATTTTAAAATATACAAGATATTGCAACATTTGGGCTTACGGACAGTGAAAGAACACGAACCCTAACAGTGGTATGTGCTTCTAATTGTTTGTTTCCATCAAACAAATAACTTCTTCAATCTTTTTTAGATACAAGGGACGACGATCAAGAAGAAGATAGAGGAGTATGTTAAGATTTTCATGTCATAATCTTAACTTGTTTTATAGATGTTTCGTTTAGATGTGGAGGATGCAGATGGAGAGACTAGGAGGATGCTGATGGAGGGACTAGGAGGATGCTGATGGAGAGACTAGGAGGATGCTGATGGAGAGACGAGGAGGATGCTGATGGAAAGACGAGGATGCTGATGGAGAGACTAGGAAGATGCTGATGGAGCGACGAGGAGGATGCTATTGAAGAGATGAGGAGGCTGCAGATGGAGGGACGAGGATGCTGATTTAGGGATGAGAAGGATGCTGATGGAGAGACTAGAAGGATGCAGATGAAGAGACGAGGAGGATGCTGATGGAGAGACAAGGAGGATGCAGATGGAGAGACGAGTATGCTGATGGAGAGACGAGCAGTTCAAATGAATTACCTCATATATACATTATACAATATACAAGATATTGTAACATGCAGGCAGAATGTTGCAAAATCTTTAAACGCGAAGGTCTTTTATAAACCTTCGCACCTTACCGAAATAATTAAGCAACCTTTTGGATAAAATCAAAAAGACTCGAGTAGAGAATATATTGCATAGACATTCTTCAATTATTTTGTTTTTATCTAGGAATTCTGGAGTTAAATCGCATGTAATAAATCGTTTGACAATGTTACAGAACACTGCATGTGTTATAACATTGAGGGATGTTACAACACAATGCACGGTTCAAACGATAAGCTTTCCGCGAGTGTTATAATCTTCAAAGTGTTGTTCACTTAACATACATGTTCAATCATGTACAGTCATAGATATAAATGTTAGAGCATGATAGAACTATTACAATGGGAAAGCACGATCTCCATAATCACTTGCTATGATTTTAATTCAATAATTGTTGTTGCATTTATGTAGTCATGTCGTGCTCATGGACAGCGAAAGAACACGAACCCTAACAGTGGTATGTGCTTATAACTGTTTGTTTCCATCAAACAAATAACTTCTTCTTCAGTCTTTTTTAGATACAAGGGACGATGATCAAGAAGAAGATAGAGGAGTATGCTAAGTTTTTTCATGTCGTAATCTTAACTTGTTTGTTAGAAGTTTCGTTTAGATGAGGAAGATGCTGATGGAGCCATGAGGAGGATGCTGATGGAGCCTTGAGGAGGATGCTGATGGAGCCTTGAGGAGGATGCTGATGGAGACTTGAGGAGGATGCTGGTGGAGCCATGAGGAGGATGCTGGTGGAGCCATGAGGAGGATGCTGGTGGAGCCATGAGGAGGATGCTGATGGAGCCTTGAGGAGGATGCTGATGGAGCCATGAGGAGGATGCCGATGGAGCCATGAGGAGAATGCTGATGGAGCCTTGAGGAGGATGCTGATGGAGCCATGAGGAGCATGCTGATGGAGAGACAAGGAGGATCCAGATGAAGAAGAAGATGAAAAACAAGATGAGGTATAAATATTTCTTTTTATTTGTTCCATTGACTTGTAGCTTATTGACTAAAGTCTTTTTTCAGGTTAAGGTGTTTGTTTCTATTCGCCACTAGTTTTTTGTTTGGCTATCTTTTAGATAGATGTTAATCAAAACATTATTTTCGACGTTTATTTTCGATTTTTCAGTGCTAGCAAACAATTTTTCAGAAATCTTGGATTTTGAAAAAGCAAATATACGCTATTGTATTCGGCGTACTCTTACTAAGTCAGAGAGTTCCCTCGCTCTCTAACTTAGAAAACAAATTTTGTGGTAAAGTATTTCAAAACAGGCTCCTGCCACCTATTTTGGAATATTGTTGTACAAATTTCCAATAAGTAATGATTTTATAATAATAATTTTGGTTTGAAAAGCATAAATGCTTTGATGAATAAAAACATCCATCGGTAGTTGTGAAACGACTGTCAGCTTAAAATAAAAATTTACATCTGTAATTTAATGTATGATAGAGTTAAGAAAAAATTTAAGAGAAAAGAACTTATCAAACAACTTCATGTAATATGTTAGTTTTTGCAAGTAAAAATGCTCGTACAATAAATTATAAAAACTTGTTTTTTTCATGGAAAACCTCTTTCTTATTTATCAAAATCAACTTGAGTAACGCAGTTTTGGCCTCTATGGTCGTTAAACCTGAAGTCATGGACGAGCAGGAAAAATATGTTACTTTGTCTTGCAACGTATATTGTTATCAAATTATCTTTTTCTCGTTTTCTGGCACATTCATAAAATGGGGAATGAAATATACATTGAATGACAGTTTCATTTGACTTATTAAAAACAAACACATTGCAGTGAGTATGTAGTCAAATCATATTTAACATATCTAATCGTCTTTCGCGTTCTTTAACATCGACATGATATCGTTTACATAGAAGAATGTCATGTGCCTCATGTTTTATCCATGTATCTGTATCTGGTGAAGTCGAATTGGCAGTCGATACAGTTGAATTGAACCAAGCTAAAGTGTGCATGTAGCTTGTATTTATATTAACTGCTATTTTTTCCAACAAAATGTTACGCACTGCAAGTCATTTCGAAGGACAAAGAAACGAACTGTTAAGAGTAAAATAAAACCATATTCATCAATAATTCCTGCATAAGAACACCATGAATTTTGATTCGAATTATGTTGATGCACTTTTCACCAAATTTAGCCGTGTGGTTGCCGGCTTAGAATTGCGCCAACGTATCCTCTGCGTGTCGTAAAAGACGACTAAAAGGGGTTGGTGTAAGGAAGGGCATCCTACCGTAAAACTTTTGCTCCAACAAAATTCATGAACTTTGGAAAAGAAGACATGGCCCCCAGTTCCCGGCAGCCCTTCAGTGGGCAGGGGGTGCGAAGAATCTCCGGATCGAATGTTGGTGGAAGTGTCACCCTTCGGGTAGGCACAGTGAACGTTGGGACAATGAAGGGAAGGAGTGCAGAAGTGGCGGACATGTTGAAGAGAAGGAAAGTTGATGTGTGTGGGTTTCAGGAGGTAAGGTTTAAAGGTGAAGGTACGAGAGTCATAAAGGGTGAAGATAATGGAGCGAGATTTAAGTGGTTTTAGAAGGGAAACGGAAGTGGCACGAATGGTGTTGGATTTGCGATAAGAGAGGATTGGGCGAAGTCGGTTGTAGCAGTGAAGAGAGTTTCGGACAGAGTCCTGAGAGTTGATGTAGTTATTGAGGCCGAAGTTGTGAGTTTCGTTGTGGTGTATGCTCCTCAGGTTGGACGAAGTGCGGAGGAGAAGGAAAAGTTCTACGACAGCGTGTATGCAGTGAGAGCAGACATTAGAGGGCGATGTGTGATGCTTGGTGATTGGAACGGTCATGTGGGAAGCGTAAGAAAAGGATACTGTGCGCATGGAGGTTTTGGAGTTGGTGATATGAATGCTGAAGGCGAGGCGATATTGGAGTTAGCAGCGAGTTGTGGGATGGTGGTAGTGAATACGTGGTTTATAAAGGAAGAAAGCAAGCTTGTGACAGTAGGACCGTGGTGGATTATATACTGGTGAATGAAGAAGAGAGGAAAAATGTGAAGGATGCAAAAGTGATTGCAGGAGAAGAATGTGTGACCCAGCACAAGCTGCTGGTCATGGACTGGAGAATCATGAAGGTGAAGAGGAGAAAGGTTGAGGGTAAAGGCAGGCTTAAGCTATGGAAGTTACGATCGAATGAAGGGAAGCAGTGTTTCCGTGACGAAATTGCGACATTGAATGTTGAGGGTGAGACGGTGGAGGAGCGATGGACGTGCTTGGAGAAGGGTGTTTTAACGGCAGTGGAGAAGGTATGTTGTAGAAGTAAAGGCGGTGTAGTAGAAGAACAGGCATGGTGGTGGGATCAACGAGTCAGCGAAGTGATTGGCGCGAAGAAGTTGGCATTTAAAAGGTGGAGAAAGTCGCGGACTGAAGCAGATAGGATCGATTACATCTGGTTCAAGAAAAGGCGCGAAAGGAGGTGGCTAAAGCGATAGAAAGGCATCAGAAAGAGCTCGTAAAATGCAGGAGAATGGACGAAAAGCGTTGTTTAGAACGGCTAGAGAAGGAGAGGAACGATATTTTGGTGCTCGGCGTGCAGACGATGGGGAGTTGAAGGTGTGGAAGAAGTTAGAAGTGTGGAGGGCGTACTGTGACCGTTTGATGAATGTAGAGAATGAGTGGAATGGAAGCGGATGAAGTTTTGGGGTCGTGGGAAACAGTGACTGTTGATGAGCTCTGCGCAAGATGAAGAAAGGAAAGGCGGGGAGTGAAGTGGGTAGCGAAATGTTGGACAATGAACTATGCGTGAGAGTTGTGTAATGTAGCGAACGAGGTTTTGAGGGGCTCAAAGATGCCGAGTACATGGAGAAAGAGTCTAGTGGTCCCGCTGTACAAAGGAAAAGGAGCAGCGACGGTATGTGGGAATTACAGGACTATTAAGCTGATGGAGCATGCGTTGAAGATAGTAGAGAGTGTTTGAAAGAAGGTTGAGGGAAGTTGTTCGGATGGGGGAAGAGCAGTATGGATTCATACCGGGGAGAGGAACGACGGATGCGTGTTTTGTGTTGAGGCAGCTGCAGGAGAAATTTTTGGAGAAGGACAGAGAATTGTATATGGTGTTTGTAGATTTGGAGAAGGCGTTTGATAGAGTTCCGAGAAAGGTGATCGAGTACGCGCTGCGTAAGAAAGGTGTGACAGAGAATATGGTTCGGGCAGTTATGGAGACTTATGAAGGTGTAGAGGCGGTGGTTACGGAGGAAAGTGTTAGATCTGGTGTTTTTGAGGTAAAAGTTGGTGTTCATCAAGGTTCAGTCTTGTCGCCGTTACTGTTTGCTTGTGTGATGGATGTACTGACAGAGGAAGTGAGAAGAAAAGAAGGATGCTGGTGTTTGTTGTATGCAGATGACATTGTCTTGGTGGCGGAGTCGAAGCAGAAAGTCATGGAATGGTACCGAGAATGGAAAACGGCAATAGAAGTCAAGGGACTGAAAGTGAATGAGGCAAAGACGAAGGGCATGAGATGCTCGAGGCAGGTGGAGGTGAAGGACAGTGATAAATGGCCATGTGGTGTGTGGGAAAAGAGTTGGAGTGAATTCGATAATGTGTGGGAAATGCAGTAAGTGGGTTAATGGAAGATGTTCAGGTGTCCGTGGTGCATTGACAAGAGTAACTGATTTTGAGTGCGGGACGTGTCGAAGTGGTGGGCGAGTCGCGATTGAACGGTTTGAACTGGGTGACGTGAGTTTGGAAGGTGTATCGGGTTTAAATATCTGGGCGATGTGTTAAATGAAGGGTGCGAGCAAGCGGTGAGGAACAGAGTTCAAGCAGCGTGGTGGAGTTTTAGAGAGTTGTCGGGAATGTTGTGCGGAAAGTCGACTTCGTTGAAGCAGAAGGGAGAATTGTATAAGGCATGTGTTAGAAGTGTTTTGAAGAGATTAGAGAAAGAGTTGGTGTTGAGTGTATCAAGAATTGGATAAGGCGCCAGCGTTTGAGGTGGTTTGGGCATGTGGAAAGGAGGGAAGAAAGTGCTGAAATTCGTAGAACGTTGCATATGAATGTTGATGGAGTCCGCAAACGAGGTAGACCGAGAAAGAGATGGATGGATGCTGTGAACAGTGATATGAAGGCGATGGGTATAACGAGAGATATGGCGAGAGATAGAGACGTTTGGCGTAGAAAAGTTCATGGACCGGTCAACCCCCCTGGCGGGGATTAATACTGGCCGGTATACAAATGTTGTTTGTTTGTGTTTGTTTGTACTTTTCACCAAATTCTTGTGTCACCTGTTATTGTCAGACACTGGCACCACAGTACAGGTAATTTTATAGCATTCCAGTTCGAAGACAATTTAATGATATAGTTTATTGACTTACCATTGTATTGATAAGTTTACCCTGTATGCAAATTTCAGAGTTGCAAAAAGAATTCAACCTTCCTCTGAGCAGGTTTCATGTTCTGAAAACTGTTCTCGAAATGACGTCACGCTAATTACCTTAGTTACATAAATTATTTGCACTTTTTCTTGTGCCCATTATATTCCTCATAAGATGCTGTATTGCACAATACTGTTGATATCATTGCAACAGAACCAAGAAACCATGGAATTCGGGAATTCTGACGAACACTTAGCGGTAGTCGTATTCGTAGTCAAATCTGACTCTCTAATATCAGGGACGGCTGAGCAACAATTATTCAATACTATTATGTCGTAAGAAACACTTCTAAACAATAATTTCAGCTCAGTCTAAATATCTTTTTTGTTTTACTACTGCAAAAAGTGGGCTTCTTCACCCCCACCCACCCACCCCCCCCGTTCACATGGTCTAACCCAATGGTTGGTTGGCACCCAGGGTAATGGTTATATTGTTATTATCCCAAGGATTACAAGATGGCGAATCGTCTCCCATTTCTTCACCTTAAGAGACGAGGAGAATTTTTATCATTAAAACCTGTGATAGGCGATATTTTTGGGACGATAAGTTGTCATGCTTTAAGGGCAGTTTTCACTGCCTGTAATTTGAACGTGCGCACGTTTGATGCTTCACGTTTTAGTCGTGTAAAATGTTATAAAAAAAAATATTTACCATTTAATGTAAATTTGTTAAAACGTTTGGAAGGCGACTGTTTTGTGAAAGGTATTTCAACCAGTAGATCATGGAAAGATGATAAAACATGTGATATCAATGATATTGAAGTTGTGAATTATGAAAATTTTGAATTTTTACAACAGCTTCGAGAAAGGACTGGTTTTTACAAGAACCATAATATTTTGGTAATTCAACCAAATTTTAAATGGGGTAAAAATCGATTTCATAAGGAAAGTGTTGATCACATGTTTGAGGAAGCCTTGAGTCTTGTTCACTCCATAAGCAGATGGAATGTTGTTGAAGGACGTATAGAACCAATCAGAAAATTAGATCCACGTTACTTTTTTGGAAAGGGCAAGTTGGATGAAATAACAAAGCTTGTTGAGTTGCTACAGAGAAAATGTTCTTTGACAGCTGTGTTTTTGGATTGCAGCAAGCTTACACGACGTCAGCATTTAGAGCTGGAACTTTTATGGAATGTTAAAGTTTTGGATCGATACAGCCTAGTTATTCAGATTTTTAAAGAGCGAGCTGTGACTAAGGAAGCAAAAGTTCTTGTAGAACTGGCAGAGTTGAAATATATTAGGTATTGGATAATAATGAGGTTATTGTTCTCAATGTGCTGGCCACTTAGCAAAGTTTGTACTGCAGATCTTGGGTGTGAAATTTTGTGATAACTTAGCTTTTATGCATGCAAATTTCAAATCTTGGGTGCACAGTAAATATAGACTTTCCAGTCTGGCATGTAGCCAGTGTTTTACATTATTTTTTTGATATAATTCATTTGTAGTAAGATAATCTGGTTTACTTCTGCAATCTTAGAATCGACATTCATAAATAATTGTGTTTCTTTATGTTGCTAACAAACTTTGTATATTTATATTTTTTACTGTCTTGTTGTCAATGAATGAATAGGTCACGGTTGATGATAGATGACCAAGCACACCATGATCAACAGCGTGGTGGTACTTATTCATTTTCTGGTGCAGGTGAAACCCACATTGAAGTAGCACGTAGGGTTTTGATGATGCGACAAATGAAACTAAGGCAAAAACTGGACATCATTAGAAAACAACGAAAGTTGATTCAACAGGAAAGAAACAAAAGAAGAATACCCATCATCTCAGTTGTTGGTTACACAAATGCAGGTGTGTTTAAAAAATGAAGTCTGTGTTTTTGAAAATGATATTTATTGCCATATAGATCTTAGAAATTTCAAGACTTTGATAAAAGTAGATTGCGATTGAGAAGCAATAAGTTTCTTTGATTTAAAGTACAATAATTTAATGATTGCTTATTATAATAATTAGTACCAACATTTTCTCTGTGTCAAACTTATTTCAATGTGTTCTTAGTAAGAAATATGATTGTTGAAAATTTTCTTTTCATGCAGGCAAGACGACCTTAATTAAAGCATTCACTCATGATACAAAAATACAACCAGAAAATAAGCTTTTTGCAACACTTGATGTCACAGCTCACCGTTGCAAGTTGCCATGTGGAATGACGATCATTCTTGTTGATACAGTTGGTTTCATCTCTGATTTACCAAATGAACTGCTAGAGTCATTTTCTGCCACATTACAAGACATCCTTAACTCGGTGAGCTTGAGATTTAAGCAACATAGCTCACTGAATGAGACGTTTAAACTTAACTATGCCAAACCAATTTTTATCAGACTACAAAAAGCTGCATTCCAACTTTCATTATTTTGCAGGATCTTATTCTTCATCTGCGTGATTCAAGTCACCCAGAATTCGAAGCGCAAAAATTTCATGTTCTTGAAGCATTAAAAAGGCTCAAATTACCAACATATTTAATGGAAAATATTGTTGAAGTGAACAATAAAATTGATTTAAGGTACACCAAAATATCTTGGCTCTTCAACAGGCTGACATTGCTGACATTGTTCATATTGATATGTGTATGATAAGTGTTTTTGAATTCATTCAATCCATTTTTTTCAGAGATCCATTGACATGTAATAGTTTCATAGATGGCAAGAGCTTTAATGTGTCTGCGAAATACGAAATGGGCTTACAGTCATTGTGGAATGCCGTTCAAGACATGCTGTTTAAAATAACTGGGCGAGAAATCATGACATTATCTATTCCACAGGATGGACTTCATCTAAGGTTTAATAAAGTATAAGTCAAGCAGAATAATCTCTTGTTGATGTACCGTATCTACATATGTTGCCGAAGTATAAACTATAAACTCTGTTCTACTGTTCATTTCCACGGGATATATAACTTTATCAGTTTTTCCTAAAGCTCTTCTTTTTCATTTATCATTGCTATTGAAAAAAAACCTAAATTTGTTTCAATTTTCTATAGCTGGTTACATCATGAAGCTACCGTTTGCCAAGTTGAAAGTACAAAAAATTGTAAATTGAACGTTAATGTTGTAATGGACGCGTCAACCATTAGAAAATATAAAGCAAAATTTGAATAACTTCAAGAAGGGAAAGTTGAAGGTACCAGGATCATTTTTATTTTGTCATTATGACGTAAAGTATCTTCCAGTCCCCCCTCCTCATTCCATTTTTATAAGAAGAACATTTCTACAATGACAATTTTACTCCTGCACATTATAAATTACGAACATACGGTAATGTTCGTATGTTTCCCATGTTATCATCTTGTATCACCAGCGATGTTGTTGTGTCACGTCGCTCTTTTTCATTACGTATCAATTTGTATCCTAATGTGTTCATGACGTTCCCGCAGTGATTTTGAATTTCATTAATGAATGACATAGTGAGCCTACTTCGCCACATATGTGGTACAGCGGTCGCATTACGTGTAGTCGAATAGTAATTTGTATCCAAGGAGTACTTAGTGTTATTTTGTAGCCAATGAATGACAGTCTGAGATTGAGCTATGCCTGTAAACTCCGATATTTTTTTATAAGCGGTCAGCGGGTCTTTTGAAACGTCTTCATAGCGTACCATGGCAAAGTTTTCGTCATGTTTTGATCTTTTTGTCCATTCTTTTATATCATTGATCATTTGAGTGCATAAATCTTTAGATACGTTGCCAATGTAATTCAAAATCGCTTTCAGCATCTTTTCACTTGCTTTGTTTGATGTGGAGTTCATGAACTGCGGTAAACGTTCAAGAATCCACGACACGCGAGACGTAATTATACCTCGTGGATCACGCACTAAATAAATCACCTTAGCCGGAGTGTGAGTAGAATGTTGAAGGAAATCAAGATTTTCCCATCGCACCATTCTAATTGTTTTTATTACTTTGTGTGGATGACTGCGACAAATTTGGGACAAAAACGTCGCGTTCAATCTTTGACATAGGTGCATTTTTCCGAAATTTACGCGTGGATCACAAAGACCTCCTGATCTTAAGGCTTCACTTTTAAGACGAAATGTGGATGCTGTGAGCGTGTTGACAAATAGTGGATGTTTTTGAAAGTTGCATTCGTATATAGTTCCAAGTAAATTCCGAACAAGTGTGTCGTAAAGTGCCGGAAAACGCCGTCGTGCTTCAAGAAATACATCAATTGTGTGTATGGGCTCGAAGATGTAAAATGCGTTCGGATTACGGTTAAACATTTCTCCCAAAAATGACGATCCAGAACGATGATAACCGACGATAATGACATTACTGTTTGACATATGCTTTGGGAATCTTCCCGTTATTTTTTTTGAGCCCATTTTTTTAGTGTATTCTGAACTGAAATCATTCTTGAACTGTTTATATGAATATTCGTTCGTGGTAGTTGGCAAATTTGTCCTGTTCTCAAAGACATTTTTCATTTTGTACTGCCTGATGTTCGTGTCTTGACCAATATTTTGCGCGTTTCTTTTTGTGTTTGTTTTTTCAGTTTCGTGTGTTTTTGCTTGATGCGTTTCGTAAAATCGCTTCCGAATCATAAGCACGTTTTCTTGAAAGCGACGTCCTATTTTTTCATCCAAGTCTACTCGAGAAGAAACACTCTTATTTTCCGTACTTCTAAAGCATAATATTTTATCTAATATTTCATTGTTAACGTCGATAGCTTCGGAGTTTGTTGCTTCGTGTTTTGTTTTATGCATTGTCGTTTCTAAAGAATTGTTTTTTATTAAAATTAAACTCTCTCTTTTGAAATCGGCTAAGACACGACTAGCTTGTTGTAGTTCTTTGTATAGCGTTATGAATGCATAAATAGACACTACTACGCATGTCAAGAATACGTAACGCAAACGAAATGACGATTTTTTCCTTCGCTGTATGGCGGTTTTTGTGAGTAATTTCTTCTCTTCAAGAATGTTCTTGCGCATTATTTTTAACAAACTCACGCTGTTTTCTTGCTTTGAAAAATGTTCCCAATTAATGGCAGCTATCGACTAGATGTTTGTTTTGAAGAGCAATTTAGAGATTAAGTATTTTTGCCTTTAACCACCTGTCAAAGAATCGGCAGCTGATTTCAAAAGACGAATTAATATCTGAGTTGTTTTTTAGTTATATGTTTGTAGCTTACCTTAATTCTTCGGTAGCCAAAAATGTTTTTATCAAGCCACGAGATGAAAATATAATTAAAACTATCGAAAATGACATTACTTTATAACAACTCAATAACTCACATCAAGGTTTTTGTAATTGTTTAACTTTGGCTATGACATGTACTGGAGACGCTTGACTGCTCAATGAATGCTTTTGTGAACAAGGATCAAAACGTGTGTCAGTGTTGGTAGTGATGAATGAACAACAGAGAACGAGAACAGTCTTTACACTATCTAAAATATAAACTAAGATAACGTGTGTCAGTGTAGGTAGTGATGAATGAACAACAGAGAACAAGAACAGTCTTTACACTATCTAAAATATAAACTAAGATAACGTGTGTCAGTGTAGGTAGTGATAAATGAACAACAGAGAACGAGAACAGTCTTTACACTACCTAAAATATAAACTAAGATAACATGTGTCAGTGTAGGTAGTGATGAATGAACAACAGAGAACAAGAACAGTCTTTACACTATCTAAAATATAAACTAAGATAACGTGTGTCAGTGTAGGTAGTGATAAATGAACAACAGAGAACAAGAACAGTCTTTACACTATCTAAAATATAAACTAAGATAACGTGTGTCAGTGTAGGTAGTGATGAATGAACAACAGAGAACAAGAACAGTCTTTACACTATCTAAAATATAAACTAAGATAACATGTGTCAGTGTAGGTAGTGATGAATGAACAACAGAGAACGAAAACAGTCTTTACACTACCTAAAATATAAACTAAGATAACATGTGTCAGTCTAGGTAGTGATGAATGAACAACAAAGAACAAGAACAGTCTTTACACTATCTAAAATATAAACTGAGATAACGTGTGTCAGTGTAGGTAGTGATGAATGAACAACGGAGAATGAGAACAGTCTTAACACTACCGTAAGTGATCCAATCTTGGAACATAAGTATTAAACGTCTCTCACTAATAAACCCTCCATCTCTAATATACACCTCCATCTCTAATAAACACCTCCATCGTTTATCGTGATTGTAACATCTTTGTTATTGTTGATTGTTGGTTGGGTTAAGAAACGATATATTTAGTACAAGTTTTGTTTTCATTTATTCAAACTAAGGTCATGAAAATAATATAAACGGCTATCTCTGTCAAATCCCTCTCATTTATTAAACCGCTTGGTCGTTTATTAGATCATCTTTATTACCTGAAGTAAGTGAAGTTTGTCTGTGTTGTTAGTATTCGTGAATAAAGAATGATAGTCTTCATTTTGGTCTTTTTATGTCATTTCCACTGACGTTTTTAAGAAATAAAAAATATAATCATTAACGTGACTCTTTGCTTCAATATATTTTATTTGCACAAGAGAATTTTCTTCAGTCATTGAACTTTGATGTCTGTGTTAGAATATTAATTGTCACTGACAACATTTTTTTCTAAAAATTTGTGAGCGTTTTCCAGAAATTTTAAGAGGAATTTCTGCCTTGTGAGTTCCATCTTTTGTTTTTTGCTTTGGATCTTTTCCTGTGTTTTTTCTGCACGTTTTGTCCAGTTGTCACGTTTGTCTTCATTCTCATCACAAAAGAATCCTATGTCACATTTTGTCGCCACGTCAGCTATTATCACGAGTAAAAGGGTTGCAAAGAGAAGCAGTCTGGCCATTTTATGTCAGCTTTATTTCAAAGATCTTGAATTCTGAAATAAACAAGAATTAATATGCGTGTTATGTTTGGAGTATCTCAAATCTCAATCTATTTTAAATGGTTTTAAAAATGGATAGTTTTTAGTGACTGGAGTCTGGGGCTTTTATCTTATTTATAATAATTTAATGTACCCATGAACAAAGAATTTAAAATAGTGAACTTTATTTATATTAAATCACTTTATCAGTATTTCTATGAAAGTTATAAGTAAATCTATTTTATCTTTATACATATCTTAGGTATTGCTATCAATTCAATGCTTGTTACTTACCATTAAAACTATTGACGATGTTCAAATTTTTCCTCGATAATGTTCTGTTTCAAACTTTTTATATCTTACGACGACTTATTAAATATTAAAATTATTATCAACCAAAAGCTCTAGGATAATTCATATATTAATTAAATGCATTGTGATTGAGATATTTGACTGTATTTAAGTCCATCAATTCGCTGTTGGGTTTAAATCGCTAACAATATTGTACAATGAATGATTAATTTTCCATTAATTTTCTTTTCTTCTCTATGACATTTGTCTCTGTAATGCTCGTTATTTTCAATATTCCTTCCCTAATCAATGAACTGTCTATAATGGAGACAGATGTTCGCTATATACATACACAAATTTATCAAATATAACGACACTACAAAGTTCAAACAAACCGTATGACTCCAATGCTCAATTAAGCAGACTTGTAAACCTTCCAGTCTTATTATACAATGTAAATAAAAAGTATTGTTGTATATGACATTGATAACAATTAACAACGGTACCCTCTATAAACTTAGGGAAAAAATTTTGAATTATGAAAAGAATTTGATTTTGGAAAAGAGTTAAAATATTCGTCAGCGTTTCAATGTTCTTGCAATGTTCATGCTATCATGCAGCTCAACTTCAACTGTATAAACAATTTATCTTCATCGCAATGAATTAAACCTTACTTGTGTGCATGCTTTGTGCTATGTGGCAAGCATTTGCCATGAAATAGGACGGTTGTAACAGGCGCTAATTATTTTGAAGATGTATAACTCTTGTTATAAACTTTTTCCAATCCACTCTAAAACATTGATTACGAAATAGTCAAATAGTCGTTCAAGAATAACCACAATATAAATTAAAAACTGCCCCTTGTGAATGTCGATTATTTTCAAAATCTTAATGCACAATGTTTTTCTTGGTGTAGTTTTCCCAAAGATTCAATAAATAAATGATTTGTTTCAGATTTATTAGAACAGTCTTGGGAAGTATTGGAAAACCAAATAGAATTTATTCAAAAACTGCAGCATATGTATTTGAATCATGCATGATTCAAATTGGATTCAAATATATATAAGTTTTTGTATAAATTATATTTACTTTATTGGCATGGTCAATTCACGTGTATACATAATTGCAAATTGTGTATATCTCGTGATTTTATTTAATTACTGTCGTTTGATCCCAAAGCTTTCACAAAGTTCAAGAACAGACAGGAAAACTTTGAAAATACGGTGAACATATACTGCTGCGATTCAAGTCTGTACTTGAATCGCAGCAGTATATCGCTCATATGATTTGATTGAAATTTCAAGATCTCAAGCTTCTCTACATTTACTGAGGTCTATACAAAAGATAGCTGCTATATTTATACAGTACTCTGCCGAACTTGTGGTCTCTTTACAAAAGTATGATTTGGACATTTAATGTAACAATCGCTTCGTGATTGGATAAATATATTGTTGTGCATGAAACAAGCTATTCAATGAATATTTTGTATAACCCTTGTTTCTTTATATGAGTGTCAGAGGACAAAGTACATCATCTCTGGAATTATATTTTGGTTCCACGACTTTCAGTGTTTGGCAAATTAATTGACTGCCATCTGAAGACCTTAGTTCGTCACGTTAGTGCACCCTGATACTATAGTTTTTACTTACCTGTGGGTTATGGGAGTTTTAGACTTTTCACGTTCAGCTAAAACGCTTGTCGAAATTCAATCTATAAATACCGTATGCAATGAGTAAATTGGCTCAAATATTTATTTCTCTTAATTCAAATCTCTTGAAATTAGGAAAAGCTTGTACATTTTTGATAATTAATTGTTCTTGAATTTTTTTTCTTCATTTTATCTAGCATGGATAATTCATCAGAAAAATCGAGATCTTTAGAAAGATTCCCACTACTTCAAGATAAAGATTCACCAACGATAAACGATATTGTTGACATAAAACCGTCGAAACCATCCATTTTTACGATTCCTGTCATATGTATTCTTATCGTGGAACTTTGTGAGAGGTTGACGTTTTATGCCATAAGTGCAAATCTTTTTCTTTTTGCTACTGACGTCAACCATTTAGACTTCAGCTCTGAAGTAGCAATTATTATTGCGACAGTATTTACAGGTAAACAATTTTGACTGTTTAGTTGTTTTCAGTTTATGTATGTTTTGTGTTTAGTCATAAGAAGATTACATTAAAATTTCATATTATACCTTTGAATTGCAAAATATATACGTTAATCAAAAATATTTTCTTCAAACTCTCTAAATAAATACATGCACTTTGGCTACATATAAAATTGTCATTAAGTTAAGTTTCATTGAAAGACATCAGATTTGTTTTTTAATTAAAAAAACACTAATTTATAATTGCAAAGTTTCTGTTGGGTTCTTCAAGTTTTTATGAAATAGTTCATAAAAAAAGATAACGTGTGAAAATTTCAATTACTTTTTGTAGTTTGTGCATATACTGTTTGTAATTAATTTTCTTAATTCTTGTCTGCTTCATCCACTAGGTCTTTGTTATCTAACTCCAATTATTGGTGGTTGGTATGCAGATTCCAAAGCAGGAAAGTTTGCAACAATACTTGGTGCTGGTGTCATATATTTGATTGGATCTATTTTGCTTCCGTTGGGATCAATAACTTATAACAACTCTGAAACTGAACACAGCAATTGGGCTGCAAGTAAATTTACAACCAATAAAGTATTTAAAAGAACTGTGTATCTTATTGGTTTAATACTCGTTTCAATTGGAACTGGAGGAATTAAATCAAATGTATCACCTTTTGGTGCAGAACAACTATCAAGTCTTGGTCCTTCGGCTATTCAAGGTACGAAAGTTGAGCACATATTACTCGTTCATGTAACATTCTTCATGTAAACTATCATTAAGATAAAATGTGCATGTAAGAAGCACTTGTGTGGAGATGAATGAACAACTGGGAATGAGAACAGTCTTTATACTATCTAAAATATAAACTAAGATAACGTGTGTCAGTGTAGGTAGTGATGAATGAACAACAGAGAACGAAAACAGTTTTTACACTATCTAAAATATAAACTAAGATAACATGTGTCAGTGTAGGTAGTGATGAATGAAGAACAGAGAACGAAAACAGTTTTTGCACTACCTAAAATATAAACTAAGATAACGTGTGTCAGTGTAGATAGTGATGAATGAACAACTGAGAACGAAAACAGTCTTTACACTACCTAAAATATAAACTAAGATAACGTGTGTCAGTGTAGGTAGTGATGAATGAACAACAGAGAACAAAAACAATCTTTACACTACCTAAAATATAAACTAAGATAACGTGTGTCAGTGTAGGTAGTGATGAATGAACAACAGAGAACAAAAACAGTTTTTACACTATCTAAAATATAAACTAAGATAACGTGTGTCAGTGTAGGTAGTGATGAATGAACAACAGAGAACGAAAACAGTTTTTACACTACCTAAAATATAATCTAAGATAACGTGTGTCAGTGTATATAGTGATGAATGAACAACAGAGAACAAAAACAATTTTTACACTGTCTAAAATTCAAATTTTACCATATAAGTTGTTTGTGTTTGTTGGTTGAGTGAAAAGAGAAGAACAAATCGTGTTTCGTTAATGTAATTTGTTTTATGTTTACTTTCATAGCTTTTTTCAACTGGTTTTATTGGATTATAAACTTTGGAGCAATGCTTGCGTTAGCTGTTGCTTCATATGTCCAACAAGATATTTCCTATTTTTTTGGATACTTGATTCCGGTGGTGACGCTTCTTCTTTCCATCCTGGTTTTTCTTTTGGGGCGAAAAAGATACATTATTCGTCCTCCAACTGGTAGCGTTCTTACTACAACCTTTAAAATAGTACGAGAGGCGATTAAACGATCTCTGAGGCCATCTCTGTCGAGTTCTTTTGTAAATCATTGGTTGGACCGAGCAAAAATGTGTTTTGGTGGCTCTTACAGCAGTTGGGAAGTTGAAGATGTGAAAACAGTGTACAGATTGTTGCCGATTTTCGCGTCTTTTATCGTATATTGGATGGTGTTTTCACAGGTTTCTGTATTAAATTTAACTCATACCTGTTTCCTTATTCCTTTATTCATAATTCCTTGTTTTTGAGAATTTGCTCTTTATATGTAGCTATGTAGTTGCAAACAGCAAATCTTAATGGGCAATATGCATACAACCATTCATATATGTCATGAAATTTTGACGAGTACGCTACCATTGAAGTAAACATTAGTTACTAGAGTTTGGGAGACGAAACTAACTTAACGAAACATTTGAAAACGAGTTTACGTGCTTTTAAATCTTGTGATCGAAACATCCAATGCAAAAACCCAAATGCTGCATGGTTTTGATTTTACCAAGCAATGGTGAAGAAGTAATTGAAGTTAAAATGATATTTTATCTTTGCTGTAGATAAGTTCAACGATGGTTTTTCAAGCAAAGTACATGGATATAAAACTTGGTCAGTTTGAAATTCCCATCGCGTATCTGTTTCTTGTTAACACAGTATCTGTTTTATTAATTATACCTGTTATGGATAAAGTTGTCTATCCACTTTTGGGTTATTTCAATATCCATCTCAGTCAATTACAACGCATCGGTATTGGCATGTTGATAGCCACTGCTAGTATGGCGTGTGCTGGGGGGATAGAAGTGTATCGTAAGGATCATTGTTGTATACCACAAGAAAGACATGGTGAAGATAAGCCGTTAAATGTCTCTGATGCCAGCATATTTTATCAAGTGCCTCAATATTTTTTGATTGGTCTGAGTGAAGTGTTTTCAAGTATTTCAGGTATGGACGATTTAAAACTTTAAGATAAAAAATGACATTAAATTAATGATTTCTTACGTACTGTCTTCACTATTACATATTTATAATGAGATCAACTTCGTTGATTTTTAGTACCATCAGTATCACAGATTAAGAGTCCATTGATTGTTAATGCAGCTTCATTATTCAAGTTCTTCCACATTCAACAAATTTTACTTAACTACGATGATCTTCTAAATTTGTTTCAGGTTTAGAATTGGCTTTTACTGAAGCTCCAAAATCTCTACAAGGTGTTGTGATGGGAGTTTTTCTCCTATCTACAGGAATGAGTAGCATTTTTGGCACAGCACTTGTCATCATCGTCAAAGCAGTAACGGAAAAAAGAGATGAAAGCAAGCAATGGTTGCCTAAAGGAAAGAACATCAATAAAGGCAAATTGGAAAACTATTTTTTTCTGCTTGCTGTCTTAATGTTTCTCAACTTTGTTTTGTATGTTTTTTTTGCCTTAAATTATAACAAGAAAAAGGAATTGGCCGCGAAAACGATGGAAAATAATGATAAAACACCGGAATACGTAACTTAAAATCCCCAAGCCATTGGTAATGTAGAAAGCAGTCAATCTTGTGTACAATGTGCTGTAAGTTGTTTTTTTCTCATTAATTGAAGGTTTTTTGTTTCAATTTGTTCGTTTTGTTTTAGTCTAGGTTTCACTGTTATGATGTTCCTTTGAACACCTTGACTAGTGGATTTTAGTAATTTAACTCATATTGCTTTTTTTATAAATACATCCGCCATTGTCTATCGAAAAATCTTATATGGTGTGATAATCAGGTCAAATTTGATAATTTTCAAATGTTGTAAAAAATTGGAAAGTCTACTTAAAAGCACGTGGTGTTATATTTAGCTGCTAGTCTAACGAGGGAAACGGGAAACCGCCGAGTGCAGGGAAGGGAGGGGGCTATACCCACTGAGAGGAAGAAAGATGGGGAAATACCCACCGAGAGGAGCACAGGTGCGGCCGAACCCCCCCTGTCCTATTTGAACTACTTTGAACACGTAAATTATGTCGATTGAAAAGCCAATTACACAGTTTACATTGGTCAAAATGAATTTTGAAAATGATGCAAAATATTTCTAATAGAAGTTTGTTAGTTTTATTAATATTTGTTTTTCATTATTCTTTAAATTCGAAGTAGTTTTTCATTCACGTCAAAATTAACGACAACGAATGATAAATATTATATTTTTATTATTGCCACATCTGTGTCTGTTCTTACCACTAAGTTGTCAATAGTCAACGAATTATCACGCTATACTTGTGTCTCGTGATTTCTAACATTCATACTTGAAATTCCAGGCTCATGCTTCAGAATTCCAAAACAAAAATGACCAATAAAATCAATAAATTGTTTTATAAAACGAGCTAAAACCCGTCACCAATTTACGTGTTATGGAATGAAACATAATCCTTAAAAATTACTTAAATCCTGAATATTTACATGTGACGTTCATAAATATGAAGATCGCATTTACTTGATGTAATAACTTCCGTTTATCGAATATCTTAACATTATATATGACTACATTTTTAAATCTAAATGGCAATATCTTGCTTTATTCTTAAAAGAAATCCATGTCTTTTTGTTGGACAAGTTACGTGAAGACGTATTTGAAAGATAAACGGAACGAGAAAAATTGTTATTGTATTTTTTTTTAATTTGTGTCACGAGTTAGTCAGCACACCTTGTGATTTTGTTGTGATGTTTCAAATTTAACATCAATTAACATTTGATAGCTTTTGCATTAACCATAGGTCGCAGGCCGTTCCTGAGGTATAGAAGATATTATTTTGTGTTCATAAACAACGCAAAAAAGATAACTTAAACTACTAACAAATTAATAAATTTTCAGTCTTGTTTATCTTCTTGCAAAGGTATAATTTATATAATGGCTGTATAGTGCATTATGTGCTCCTGTGAATAGTAAACTAATTTGAAATTTTTCTTGAAATTATATTTAAATGGTTTTACTTTTTTGTTTTAAGATGGATAATTCATCAGAAAAATCGAAATCTTCGGAAACATCACCACTACTTCAAGATAATGATTCACCAACGATAAACGATATTGTTGACATAAAACCGTCCAAACCATCCATTTTTACGATTCCAGTCTTATGTATTCTTATCATGGAGCTTTGTGAGAGGTTGACATTTTATGGCATCAATGCAAATCTTGTCTTGTTTGCTTTGAATGCAACCACTTGCAATTTTCTTCCTCGGAAGCGGCCATTTTGTCCTATGTATTTCAAGGTACTGTTGTAACTTGTTATAGAAACCGTTTACATAATGATTATGATACTTTATTTCATTTCGTACAATAGGTCTTTGTTATCTAACTCCAATTATTGGTGGTTGGTATGCAGATTCCAAAGCAGGAAAGTTTGCAACAATACTTGGTGCTGGTGTTGTATATTTGATTGGATCTATTTTGCTTCCTTTGGGATCTATAACTTATAGCAAACCTGAACACAGCAATTGGGCTGCAAGTAGTTTTACAACCAATAAAGTATTTAAAATAACTGTGTATCTTATTGGTTTAATACTCGTTTCAATTGGAACTGGAGGAATTAAATCAAATGTATCACCTTTTGGTGCAGAACAACTATCAAGTCTTGGTCCTTCGGCTATTCAAGGTATGAATGTTGAACAGATAGGCAGAATTAATCTGAATAGTATTCACTTGTGTAAAACATTGAAGGAAAGATTTCGTTTTTGTCTTATTAAGAAATGATAGTGATGAATGAACAACAGAGAACGAAAACAGTCTTTACACTACCTAAAATATAAACTAAGATAACATGTGTCAGTGTAGGTAGTGATGAATGAACAACAGAGAACAAGAACAGTCTTTACACTATCTAAAATATAAACTGAGATAACGTGTGTCAGTGTAGGTAGTGATGAATGAACAACGGAGAATGAGAACAGTCTTAACACTACCGTAAGTGATCCAATCTTGGAACATAAGTATTAAACGTCTCTCACTAATAAACCCTCCATCTCTAATATACACCTCCATCTCTAATAAACACCTCCATCGTTTATCGTGATTGTAACATCTTTGTTATTGTTGATTGTTGGTTGGGTTAAGAAACGATATATTTAGTACAAGTTTTGTTTTCATTTATTCAAACTAAGGTCATGAAAATAATATAAATAGCTATCTCTGTCAAATCCCTCTCATTTATTAAACCGCTCGGTCGTTTATTAGATCATCTTTATTACCTGAAGTAAGTGAAGTTTGTCTGTGTTGTTAGTATTCGTGAATAAAGAATGATAATCTTCATTTTGGTCTTTTTATGTCATTTCCACTGACGTTTTTAAGAAATAAAAAATATAATCATTAACGTGACAATTTGCTTCAATATATTTTATTTGCACAAGAGAATTTTCTTCAGTCATTGAACTTTGATGTCTGTGTTAGAATATTAATTGTCACTGACAACATTTTTTTCTAAAAATTTGTGAGCGTTTTCCAGAAATTTTAAGAGGAATTTCTGCCTTGTGAGTTCCATCTTTGGTTTTTTGCTTTGGATCTTTTCCTGTGTTTTTTCTGCACGTTTTGTCCAGTTGTCACGTTTGTCTTCATTCTCATCACAAAAGAATCCTATGTCACATTTTGTCGCCACGTCAGCTATTATCACGAGTAAAAGGGTTGCAAAGAGAAGCAGTCTGGCCATTTTATGTCAGCTTTATTTCAAAGATCTTGAATTCTGAAATAAACAAGAATTAATATGTGTTATGTTTGAGTATCTCAAATCTCAATCTATTTTAAATGGTTTTAAAATGGATAGTTTTAGTGACTGGAGTCTGGGGCTTTTATCTTATTTATAATAATTTAATGTACCCATGAACAAAGAATTTAAAATTGTGAACTTTATTTATATTAAATCACTTTATCAGTATTTCTATGAAAGTTATAAGTAAATCTATTTTATCTTTATACATATCTTAGGTATTGCTATCAATTCAATGCTTGTTACTTACCATTAAAACTATTGACGATGTTCAAATTTTTCCTCGATAATGTTCTGTTTCAAACTTTTTATATCTTACGACGACTTATTAAATATTAAAATTATTATCAACCAAAAGCTCTAGGATAATTCATATATTAATTAAATGCATTGTGATTGAGATATTTGACTGTATTTAAGTCCATCAATTCGCTGTTGGGTTTAAATCGCTAACAATCTTGTACAATGAATGATTAATTTTCCATTAATTTTCTTTTCTTCTCTATGACATTTGTCTCTGTAATGCTCGTTATTTTCAATATTCCTTCCCTAATCAATGAACTGTCTATAATGGAGACAGATGTTCGCTATATACATACACAAATTTATCAAATATAACGACACTACAAAGTTCAAACAAACCGTATGACTCCAATGCTCAATTAAGCAGACTTGTAAACCTTCCAGTCTTATTATACAACGTAAATAAAAAGTATTGTTGTATATGACATTGATAACAATTAACAACGGTACCCTCTATAAACTTAGGGAAAAAATTTTGCATTATGAAAAGAATTTGATTTTGGAAAAGAGTTAAAATATTCATCAGCGTTTCAATGTTCTTGCAATGTTCATGCTATCATGCAGCTCAACTTCAACTGTATAAACAATTTATCTTCATCGCAATGAATTAAACCTTACTTGTGTGCATGCTTTGTGCTATGTGGCAAGCATTTGTCATGAAATAGGACGGTTGTAACAGGCGCTAATTATTTTGAAGATGTATAACTCTTGTTATAAACTTTTTCCAATCCACTCTAAAACATTGATTACGAAATAGTCAAATAGTCGTTCAAGAATAACCACAATATAAATTAAAAACTGCCCCTTGTGAATGTCGATTATTTTCAAAATCTTAATGCACAATGTTTTTCTTGGTGTAGTTTTCCCAAAGATTCAATAAATAAATGATTTGTTTCAGATTTATTAGAACAGTCTTGGGAAGTATTGGAAAACCAAATAGAATTTATTCAAAAACTGCAGCATATGTATTTGAATCATGCATGATTCAAATTGGATTCAAATATATATAAGTTTTTGTATAAATTATATTTACTTTATTGGCATGGTCAATTCACGTGTATACATAATTGCAAATTGTGTATATCTCGTGATTTTATTTAATTACTGTCGTTTGATCCCAAAGCTTTCACAAAGTTCAAGAACAGACAGGAAAACTTTGAAAATACGGTGAACATATACTGCTGCGATTCAAGTCTGTACTTGAATCGCAGCAGTATATCGCTCATATGATTTGATTGAAATTTCAAGATCTCAAGCTTTCTACATTTACTGAGGTCTATACAAAGATAGCTGCTATATTTATACAGTACTCTGCCGAACTTGTGGTCGCTTTACAAAAGTATGATTTGGACATTTAATGTAACAATCGCTTCGTGATTGGATAAATATATTGTTGTGCATGAAACAAGCTATTCAATGAATATTTTGTATAACCCTTGTTTCTTTATATGAGTGTCAGAGGACAAAGTACATCATCTCTGGAATTATATTTTGGTTCCACGACTTTCAGTGTTTGGCAAATTAATTGACTGCCATCTGAAGACCTTAGTTCGTCACGTTAGTGCACCCTGATACTATAGTTTTTACTTACCTGTGGGTTATGGGAGTTTTAGACTTTTCACGTTCAGCTAAAACGCTTGTCGAAATTCAATCTATAAATACCGTATGCAATGAGTAAATTGGCTCAAATATTTATTTCTCTTAATTC